TATAAACCAGGGAGTCATGCTGGTGTAGTACATGCAGAACATGGTTAAGCAATTCTTTCTGAAGTGTGAAAGTTGTTTCCTGTATATGAAGTTCAACAGATGTTGAAGTAGGAAGACGTTTTCTGTTTATTAATGTTACTCTGTATTTAACTCCTCCCACTCTTTTTGGTACCTGATAGTACACATTTACTCTTTAGATTAATCACCAATGGGCTTTACCAGGACTTCGATTAGTCAAGCATCCTGCTGTTGTCAAAAGAAGAGCCTCTTTGCTCTTTCAGTCTGTCATTTCAGCGTGGACTTGTCCAACCCTGGTCAGCAGGTCTAGATGTTCTTGCCACATCCTGCAACCTGGCTCCATCACTACCACCAGCATGTGGAGCAATCAGGGGTTATTCTGCAGTCAGCTCCATCACTCCTTTTAAATGCATAAAGACTACTTGATGGGGTCTGATCCCAGAGGTTATCACATAATTGATATTCTCTGAATCTTGCAAAATGAATGAATGTTAACACAAGATTGTAGCGCCACCTGGCTGAAAAGGTATAATCTGGAGGGCAGCATATGTTGCTCCAAGACCTGTTCATATTGTTCAATATTGCCTTTCCAGGTGTGTACCTATACTATCAGCAAGTATGCACCTCTGAATCATCAGATGGTTTTTGGAGCCTGAAAGCTTCTCTTCTCGTAAAAGAGCAGGATACTTAATCTTCATAAGACAATGAAATGTTTCTGTTTCAACATCTGATATTTTCTTTGCACCCTTTCCAAACAAATGCAAAGCTAAAATCATTTGTAAACCATCATAATCTGTCTTTATCAACATTTTACCCAACCTTTTTGGGATTGGGGTTGTGTTTATGGATGAAACAGATGGCTGCCCTAATTGGAAAAACATCTATACATTTATTCTGCCAGGAAAAAAAAAGTTAATTTTCTTTGTTCCTTTGCAATCTGAAATGAACATCAGATGATTTAAAGGGGTATTTCTAGACGTGCAAAACTATAACACAAACATAGAAATTGACTTAATTTAGCCCCATTAAACTGCAAGACGTGTGGTCTGGCTAATCACAGTGACGACCCTTCAGGGTTTTGTTTTGTTTTTTTTCCCAGATCATGAGAAAATGATCCAGTAGTGATAAGACGACTAGCTTTATGCTATGGACTGAGAGAGATAAGAAAGAAGTAAGATGATTTCTCCAGAAAACAACTGATATGAAGTTGCAGTCACAGAAAAACGTAGTAAATTATTGTCCACTTAGAGTTTTCATACATGTATTGCTCTCATTCTGACTGATCGTATCTATTGTGATCCTGTTAGACTGTTCATACTGACAGGAGGATTTCCATTTTTATCCACGCTTCTTTCTCAGGAGGATCTTTATCTTCTCATTCACAGTGAACAGCAGATCATTTACTCTCATTCGTTTTATTTGCTTTCAAACGACTTCATGAGCCCACCACAGGATGAAAAGTTAGTTGAGCAGTGTTAGACCAAACTCACCCAAGTCGGACTGACACTTCTCACTTTTCTCTCTCTCTCTCCTTCTCCTCCCTTCTTTCCCCTCTGAGGTTTACTTCATGTTTTATTTACACGTCTGACCAAAAGAATCCTATACACAGGAAATGCTTGTGATTGTGTGTTCCTCTCCTCAAATGTGGGGACGTTTATTTATTTCAACAAACATTCCTGATTTGCAGAGAGCCAGTCTCACACACCGCAGCTTTTACACTGCATGGTGTGTGTGAGAGAGAAGGCTGCGGGCCTATATTTAGAGCCAGCTGCTCTGTGTTTGTAATGATGCTGTCAGCAGAGCACTTTGATTTCATGCAGGTGTCATTCGACAGAAGGATCATTTGAAGCTCTCTGTGCCATGACGAGAATCCACTGAGTTCGGGCTCCATCATGCATTTTGTCTCTCCACTTTTGTTCATTAGTGAAGCCGCAGCTCAGCACGCAGCCCCTCTAAATGTGTTGTCTTCGTTGGAGGTAAAAGAGTAGGATTAAGATACAATAAGTCACCATTTGGATTTGGATTACTCTGATCATTTAGAGCACTAATGAATTGTTGGTTCAAGTCCGTTCAAACATGGACATATAGGCCTACATATTAATCACGGATTCCACAGAAGTGTCTTTTATGATCTATTTTGACTTCAACCATGATTGAAGAAAAAAATATTGAAACAAATCTAGCAAGATATAGCAATTCAGTATACAGTATTTTTTGGCAAACCTCTCTTTCTTCCAAAAAAAACCTTTGGAAGATCTTTAATACAATGCATTAAATTGTTTTTGATGGTTTTCCTGCAGTTTTGTTACATGGTGTTTTTGTTGTGACACAGAGACCTATGTGGATACCATGCTACAAGTGGAGCTAAAGTGAGAGGCAGCTCAGCATCCAGCCTACATACATGTGCCAACATTTTTAGAATACAGCAGATTTTTAAGGGGAAACTCAATTATTGAGTGTTGCACTGACCATCTAGGATCCTGGATTAATGCAGTGGCTGTCATACACTCAGATGTTATTCCACATGAAGCTGCGCTGGAGTATTATATAATTATATATTATCTGATTATGAAAGTATAAAATATAAGTATATAAGTATCATCTTTTTAATGGGAATTGAAAATATTTCCTGGTATGAAATTTAGGCATTAAGACTACAAATCTGCTATGTGAGGCAGTTTGTCTTTTTCTTACCACACAGCTTCATGTTTGAGCATTTCATCTTTTGTCAAGTAGTTTGATCTTATAACTTTGAGAGTCTTTATCTCACTTGGTTTGAAAAAGCTCCCTCTGAGTTAGTCAATGTTTAATTGGACAGTTTTTGACTAAGTTTCATGAGCATGCATAGATACACTGCTGCTGTCAGAGCTCAGAGCACAGCGTCTTATAATGCTTTTCATCTTTTACTATCATAGGAAAGGATAAAAAGCCATTTGAAAACACAGTTCTATACTTAATATTGCACCATAACACACCATCAACGTTTTTTTTTGTTTTTTTTTTGATTAGGTCAAAAACTTTTTTCCACAATCAGAAACAGTTTGAGTAAATTAAACTGTCGAAAAGCTCTACATATGAATTACCCAATATCAACTCAAACCTGCCTGTGTTTCACTATCTTATTATTCAAAAAAGTGCCAGCAGGATCACTCTTAGTGGCAGTATGTTTATTATATGTGTTTGCGTTTTTATGTTTGATGTGAATGCTTGAGAAATTTGCAGCAGTGGTGGATGCTAAATTTGAGCACATTTGCATACAGGGAGAAAAAAAAAACTTTTTTCTGGCAGTTTGAGGTACTTTTCATCTTGTAGCACAATATCATAAAATATCTCAAAAATTTCTGTTTAAAGATGTTTATATCCTTGTTTTAAATACTTTTTAGAATAACTAAGAACAAAGATTTTAAGTGCATTTTTCATTTTCCATCAAAGAGGTGACTTTTTGTTGTTCGTAAACTGCAGGTTTTCGAGGTATCTAACTTTTGCCAAATGTTAGCCTCTTGCTAGGAAGAAATTGTGACTGCATTTTGTGCTTGACTTAAAAAAATTGGGGTTGTTTGTGAAGAAGCCTTAGTGAGAAAGCCCACAAAATCTGCATTGGGAAACTTCAAGGAAGTTTTTAAGTCATAATTTACAACAAGGTAGAATATTCTTTAGCTTCACTATAAATGAGAGGAACTTAAAAACAGTTCAAGTCTCTTATTTTTAGAGGCTAGTTAACTACTTAACGCCTCATCTGAACTGACTTTTTTTCTCTTTTGTAACAGAATTAAAAAGAAAAAAAGGGATCTGTGGATTCTTTAGTTCAAGACTGATTTTCTGTTTTTCACTTAGCAGTCACTTAAAACTGCAGGGGATTGAAAATGTTGAACATAAATCTGTGCCTCTAAGAGGGGGCTCACAGTCCCTCAGGAACTGTTCATTCAGTCACAGTTTAGACCAGAAAGCGACACAATTCTCCTCAGCCATGGAGTTCAAATGAGTCAGAACTTTTGAAACTTTTTAGTGTTTTTTTTTTTCTGAAAATAAGAAAAGATTCATCCTTGCCTTTTCCCCTGAGTTTAATTTGACATGAATCATATGTTTTGTTGTTGATGACTTTTTAGCTGACACAATCCAGACCCTTATTTCATGAGACTTTCTCCCATGATCCTTCATGTGATAGGACACTTTCCATGCTTCATTTGTATCAAACCTATGATGCCCATGGCGTTAACCCTGTTACTTATACACTGGGAAAAAAATGCTGAGGCCTGGGAATCAATTCAGGGACCGAGACATTCATAAAAAAAACTGTGTTTTGTTCTGCTTTTCCACACCAAATCTAGAATGCATGACAGAAAGGCCGAATGGCGCTCAGTCTATGACAGTGAAGGTCAATCTCCTAAAACGGTGTCTTAACTTGATCAACAGCAACCATTGATGTGGACAATTAATCATAAAAACACAATCCCCTGGTCCTCTGTTGATAAGACATCATTTCAATAAATCATACCTTATTTTTTATGAATGAACTAAACTTTGTTTTTGCCGGGAAAATCACGGTAAAGTGGAACAAAGAAGAGCATTTACATCATAAAGAAAAAAGTTTATTCTCATATTTTACATAATGTGTTTGAGTGTTTTTCTCATGATGATTTCTCATGAGGTATATCGTGTAAAATGATCCTTTCCCGTATGGTCAGGCGACAAAATACTTACATTTTCAATCTTTTAATGCACAGCAGTGGAGCAACAGTTTCAGAAATTAAAGTGAAGGTAACCATAAACCTGACAGTTACGCATGCGTAACTAAAAAGTCCCCCTGTTGCTCTTTGTCAGTGTCTGGTTATAGTTGTAGTGACTAAAATTGCAGATATCAAGTTTTAAGCAGTAAGCTGTTTTACAGTCATTCATCATGCAAGGCTGAAACTCTGTAAGGCGTTAAACTTTACGCATCAGTGCGTAATATACGCATCAAACATACTTATCAATGACTATACTTATTTGAACGGCAGAGCTTTGTCAGGGTACGAGACTGACAGGTATGAGCAAAAGGGGAATCCCATCTGATACAACTGATGCGGTCTGCCACTGAGAACCACAGAGGAGCTGAGAGCAGCCTCCGCGGACACACCGAGGACGCCTCCGCGCATTTCATCTTCACTTCTTGATAAAATACTCTCGATGCTGAACGCTTTAAATTTACTCTTGCTTGGAGTATTTCCTTTCTGCCTGTCCTGCGCAGGTGCAGTAAAGTTTGTGTTGCCTGCACAGCTGACAGTGCAGAGCGGATCTCTTTCTCTCCCGTTGAAGGCGCACTTCCTCTCCCCCTGCTCCAAGCGGAGGGACGCACTTGGGAGATGAGCACTTTCTTTCCATACCGGAGTGGGACCTGGCTCTGGTGGCGGGGCGTCTGGCCCCTTTCCCGTGGAGATGTCTTTGTTGAGGGGTACTTTAAGTCTCTGTGAATAAAGACTCTGCTGCTGCTCTTCGTGGTTACTCTCGACGAGGACGGTTTTTGTGCCCGGTGATTTCTCCAGCTTCTCCAGATCCTGCGCCACGGGCATCTCTGCAGGCACCGAGCTAGTCTGAGGTTTCAGAGAGGACTGAGAGTCCCTGAGTGGCCCCTGACCCTTGTTGCGCTTATGTCCAGCTGATTTGGAGTCCAGAGGCTCTTGCTGGCTCTTCGCCTTCCTCTTCCTCCTGCGGTAGTTGCCATTCTCAAACATGTCAAGGCACTTGGTATCCAGCGTCCAGTAGCTGCCTTTGCCGGGCCGGCCCTTCTCTCTTGGCACTTTGATGAAGCAGTCATTCAAGGAGAGGTTGTGGCGTATGGAGTTCTGCCAGCCTTGCTTGTTGTCGTGATAAAAAGGGAAGCGATCCATGATGAATTGGTAAATGCCGCTGAGCGTTGCGCGCTGCTCCGGTGCGCTCTTGATGGCCATGGCGATGAGCGCGATGTAGCTGTACGGAGGTTTCTGCGGAGGCTCCTGGCGGGTCGGCACGAAACTCAAGCCGGTAGGCACGACCCCTCCGCTGTCTCCTCCATACAAGTAGATCAGCGAGGGGGCAGCCAGGTTCAGAGTTGTAGAAGGCACCCCGAGGGACGGCAGGCGGCCGTGGTAGAGAGCCATGAAGCCGGAGTGTGTCCCGGGGAAAGCTGCGGCTGTTCCCGGAGCTCCTCTCCGCCGCTGACTGACTGCCCGATCTCATGGGGGCCCCACAAAATGTTAATAATTGTTGTCCGTTTGCTGTGTTCTGTTGACTTTGCACTGGGAAATAAATTGTCCATCATAAACAGTCGGTGGTGTTCTCAGCCCACCCACATTAATTAAAATTTCATTGCGCTGAAACTCCCTCATGTTCCCCTCGTCTGCTCAGCAGCCAATGAGGCGCAGGGTTATTCCCTCATCTGTTTACAGAATTAGCCGCTTGATAAGTCTGCCCACCCAGGTCGAATCAAGCTGTGTTTATTTGGAAAAATTTCCGGGCACCCAATACATAAACGCACTGATGTGCTGTTTGAAATATCACGTCCACCCCTGACGCGGAGGGTTGCTCACACAGAGAGAACAAGCAAACAGTGCGAAGTCTTTCTGGGAGTTGCTGTGGCTTCTCTCAAATGAAAACAAAGCGTATAAAAGGGAAAATAACCGAACCTCTTTTTTTTTCTACTCGTGTCGGAGCCTTTTCTTGACTCAAATTACACTCCGTGGAGCAGGACAGTGAACGTGAAAGAACTGATTCTATATCACACACCACTCCACTCTGATTAAAGGCTGACCTCTCTGAAGACGAAGGAAATGATGAAACATAAGAAGATTTATAGGTAATCACAACATATGACAATAACACTAGAACCACAGCCAGTCTGTGGCTTCACTGTTTCAATCTATGGCAGCATCATGACCCCTCATTGTTTTTATAAATGCTTGAATTGAGTTTGCCTGATTTTCAATTGCTTACTTTATTTATTAAACCATATTTATACTATTTCATTTTGAAACGTAAAGCTCTTGTGATGAGTTTTCTTTTCAGCTTTGAAATAAACTGAAATTCATATTGATGTGTCTTTATGATCTACAAAGGTAAACAAGACCATCCAACATCATTAACAATATTTATGTGGTAATTTTAAATGCCTGAAACCAGTCTGGGGGGGTAGGTGTCAGCTAAAAGGGCCCTGTTTTTACAGTTTCCACAAAACATTTACAATAAATGATACATTTAACCCTTGAAAGTCAGCAGGATGGGATTTTTTTGGTCAGAAGATTCAGTTTAAGCATTTGCAAGAGAAGGTAAGTAAAGGGCGCCAATGTGCAGACATGTCAACAGTTGCTCACAGATGCTTCAATCCAAAGAGTATCAAGCTAGGAAAGAAGATAAACAAATGAAAGAGATATTTTTTGGGGTAATTTAACTTCATCCTTTAATTTGGGATCAAAAATTTCTATCTGTCTTAAAAGAGGTGGAAGAAATCTTTTAAGTGTCCTGTGTCCTTATAATAATTCTGCATCTTCCTCCAACAACATCATTTTATTTATTTACTTATTTGTATTATAATTATTATTTGAATCATACTAACTTCCATGGTGCAACTGGACATTAGACAACACACCAACCATGCATGTTTCATAGAGTGCAAATAATGTATTTGTTCATACAACACATTTTATACTGCCAGCCAACAGATGGCAGCAAGGGCCAGTCCCATGGCGATTGAGTGATTTGGGATTTTAGGATATCTTTGCAGGAGAAGCTGAGAACTGAAAAGAGCTTGGACTCGATCAGCTAAATCATCTTATTGGATCAAAAGTAAACAGTTCTACAATGACAGATGGAGAATTTGCAGAGCTTGGTCATTTTCACTCATCTGCACAGTCAATGTACAAGTCACATGACTTAGCACCACAAGTGCAGACCAGGTACAGAGCCAGGGAATATGATGAGAAACATCAGTTTATTATTGTTCATTATTGCTGCTTTTATTTGTTCATTTGCATGTAGCACTCTCGGCAACTGCCTGTTTTGCCATGAGCCCTATATCTTATTTACATCCTCTGTGAACTTTTTCTCAGCAATACTATAGAGACCCCAAACAGAAGGTGTGTTTATTCAGGGAGATCTAGAGACAGAGGGCAGCCTGACATTTCCCAACCACATGCCAAGAAAAAGACCCATTCTTTAGCCAGACATCCCAGATTTCCTGTCTGCATTCATACTGAAGGACACATTTTACACCCTCACACTGCACTTTAAATCATGAGATTCACTCTAGATAAGATTAGATACAACTTCATTTATCCTTTTGGGAAGGTTCCCTTAAGGAAATTAAAAAGTAGATGAAATCCACTGAGTTATACTTGAATGGACGATAATGGTGTGTGGTGGGGCCGTGTGATAGGTAACACTGATGTCTAACAATACACAGTTCTTTGGTCAAAATCCCAGCATTGAGCCACTTTTGTAAAGTTGGCATAAAATGCTGTTACTGCAGGGGTCTGGACAGTGCTTTCGTATCAACACAACATAATAGAAAAAAGATCAAATTTTGTGTGGAGGGACATGCTTTCCTAAGCAAGGCTCACCTGTGGTCGAAGGATGGTGCCTCTTACTGAACAGATCCAGGGTCCAGATCCAGAACAGGGACATTAGCAAAGAAGAAAATGCCGTCCTCACTTACAGCTAAAACCGTGGTCTTAAACCTCCGCTGTCAGAAAATAGAAAGAATCAGAACTTCAAAAAGCAAACACTGACAGGTTAACTTAAAGCAAAGCAGTGAGGGCCGCTGCCTCTCAAGGAGAAGGATCATAGGTTGAAGACCAGGGTAGATGTTCATCTATTGAATCTGGAAGACAACCTGAACTCACATCAGTTCAAACAGGTGGTTTTAAATGTTATTAGTTGGAAAACAAAGGGGAAAAAAGCACCTACAAAAGCAAGCACTACCAAGCTACCTTGTGGTGCAGTGGTGAGGGATGCTGCCTTTCAGTGAAAGGGATCTGGGTTCAAATCCAAGACTGAGGAATGTCATCGCCTCACCTCATTCCTGTAGAGAGACACAAAGGCTGAACCTCAACACTGTTCATTATTTTCTGTTAATGGATCTTTGTTTGTCTTTTAGAAATGTTGTTTTTTTGTATTTTGGCACTTTGTGTGATGCAGAAATAAAAATACTGTACTCACCTTAACATAGTCTATTGGTGAAAGCTGATGCCTCTCCATAAAAAGATTCTTGGTTACATATAAAACATTTTACTTTCTTCTTTTGGGGGGGACTCGGCGCCCCTCCAGCATGTGGGACGCCTAGGCTGACAGATGGCCCTGATTTGTGTATTTACAGTTTCATATGTGATTGTAGGACTCTAATAGTCCTTACCTTTAATGTAAAGAGGTACTGTTAATAACAGAGGTTCAACTGGACTTGTATCCTTATCAAATTCACGAGGACTGCTGCGCTACCATTATGAACATACAGCTACTCAGTATGGTAGTAAAATCAGACTTGACACATTTTGTAAATTCTATGCAGGATTTTCTTATTTCCCTGCTGAGCTGAAATAGAATCAAATAATGAAATGCCCCCTTGCTTGGTGTTCAAACTATTCTGTCACTCTGGAGGAGAACCATCAAACTAGTGAGGACTCTGCTGTTCATTTGAAAGATTTTATGTCTGTTAGTTTCGAAGCTGCATTAAAAGAAACATGCTGTTTTTTTGAGAAGCTGCAGAAGGCGCTGAGGACTGTATTGCCTTACAAGGACAACATGGACAGTGTATTATTTGTAGATGTGAACATGATGCTTTATATTCTGTATTTTCCTGTTTATAGGTCAAAGGAGGATTATAACAACTTTACAAGTGCGCACAGCTGGCTCCTGATTACATTAGGGCTTTGGAGCTCTCAGTGGATAAACTCAGAAGTTGCTCTTTTTTTCTGTTTCTCTCTTCGCAGACAGTGATTCATTAGCAAATAAAACTAAACTAACATGCAAGTATTAGTGAAGGCCACAGCAAGTCTCATTTGACAGTTTAAAAGAGCATCTGCTCAAATGTGCTTTTAAGGATTCTATATGAGTGCTCAAGTCTTTATGTAAGAGGCTTGCAGCAGACACATGTCTATTTACCATTAAACACATATATTTTGGTTCATTTAAAACCTTTACAACTCCATTATCTCAAACCTTAGAGTTTTAAACACATCTGCGTGTGTCATTATTGAAAAAACAAATTAATTAGGAAATAACTTTTCTTTTATTGAGCGTGGATGTGAAGGGCCACTTATTTCAGCCAATTACTCTTGCAACTTATGAAAAAGCACACAAACAAGGAACTTTGGAAAACTGTTTCAAAAATGTTAGTCTGCTGTCTTGCATCATTATTTTAACAGAAACGTCCAAGAGGCTGAGGGATTGTCACTATTTTCTTACTTAAGTAAAATGCAGAAGGAAAGTCTGATCCCGGGTCACTTTGAATGTTTTGTGAAATTTACCTCCCAAAGTGTTACCTGCTGATCTTCTGTATATGCACACAAGAAAAGGGCAAGCTACTTTGAGGACACAGCAATACGGAGGATAAACTTCTTCACTTTGTGTCAAGTTTTTCCTCTTTCTTCGTATATGTCTTTTTATTGCTCCCATTTTCCTTAATTGGTAATCATTTCACATCCTCTTTGTCTCAGTTATGGGTCTCATTTATTGTTGCTGGGTTCTTATATTGCTGAGGTTCGATTGTTTGGGTTTTGATGCTGTGCTGGTTTGGGCTGGATTTCTCGAGATCTGATTTTCAGTTGGGTTCTTATCTTTCTTGATTTTATCTTTATTGTTTTGATTTTGATGTGCTGTAGGCTTTTGTTTGTGTCAAATTTGTAAGCCTTTGTATTTATCATATATTATCATTATCATTGTGAAAATGTGGAGATTTTACTTTTAAAAATTCATTGATTCAAATAAAAGTTTAAGTGTGGTGTTTGGTGACATCTACTGGACAAATATAGGAATGCTTTGCTGTTACAAGTGAGATTGCTATATGTAAAGACACAAGCTTCTGTCATTCACTTCAAACTAAAATAATTCAATCAAAAAAAATCTAATGATGAAATTGATTCAAGCCAAATAAATGCTGAAATACTGTATACAGATTTATGACAATATCTTGCTCTTAGTCTAACTCCTAAACTCTTAATTGTACTTTCAGCATTTCGCATGTTTGAGAACTCATTCATGACATTGACTTTGTGATCTTACAGAAAGTGAGTTTATAGTTTGTTTGTTTTTTTTATATATATGATGGATAAACATAAGAAGTGTCTACTTTTACCCCTGAAGACAGCAAGACTGCTGCACATAGATTGTATAGGTCAATGATTTTGAAGTGTGAAGCATAGAGCTGGCCAATGACATAAGCCAGGAAAATAATGTGCCTTTTGGTGGATCATTTGTGTCATGCAAAGATACTGAGGAAGCTGCATTTTCAAAGTTTAAAGTTATTACCTGGTGAAGCTTCCCACATGTGCTGCAAACTGTTGAGAAAAACAGTAAACTGCAGCTGAAGCTCTCTGCCTACCAAACTAAATGTAAGAAAGGCTTATATATCACCACATGCATTATTTTTTGTGTAAGTACTATTTTTGTTTCTATAAGATAATACATGCACGGATACTGATATCCCAGTGACACGCCATTATGGGCTGATGAATACTGGCTGTTTAATTTTTAACTTGAACTGATCTCCCATGACTAGAAATACACTAATTTTGTTAACAAGTTCCACTACTGGTCCATTTTTATATGAGCAGTGAGGTTCAAAGCCTGATTTAGTTTGCCGAACGACTGGCCTCCCCTGCCCAGTGAAAACCCTCTTAATCCAAAGCATGCCGGCATTAAATTGAGGCTAGACAACAAGGAGACATCAGAATATTGGCTGATACTGGTCAACCAGTTAAATAGTGTATCCTCACCCTTAACCATGATATGTACTTTTCTTTATTTATTTTAACTGGTTCAACATCAAATATCTACCAGGGAACATTTGCAACATTTCTTTTCCTCACAAACTATAGTCTCAGTGCTGGTACTAAAAATGTTGTATAAAGACATACAAAATAGGCTCAGCTACTTTGTCTGCCCTGGAATACACTCATTTTGGCCAAAACAGATACATTACTGTCATCAGTATATCTGTGTTAGGCTATTTTCATTAGTTAATTAGCCTACAATGCTGAAGGGCTGTTTATAGAGATTAACCTTTGTCGTAAATCCTTTGAATTTGTTTTGTTTTAACCCAGGTCCTACTTTCACATCTGACTGAACAGGTAAAGAAAATTTTGGGCCACTATGAACCAGTCACTTAGACCTCAAAATATGAACAAATAGGGCCTTTGACATTGCAATGTTGTTCTTCCTTTGACATTGTAATGTTCATCAAGCTGCAGTAACAATGGCAGCTTAAACGTCTGTCAGGATATTGAATCTTAAGTAGAGTCAGAAAACATTTCACTGGAGTTTCTTGACGTGTTAATTGAATTATCAGTCTGCTTTGGAGTGACAAGATACTTAACCGCCCAGGTCAGTAAAGAGTCGGGTATTTTCAATAGACTCATATCCTGTATGTTTTTTCCAGACACTTGATAGGAGTAAGAAAACGGCTTTCCATCGCTGTGAACAGTTGAAGATGTTCTCAAAGTGGTCCCATCAGTCTGATCCTGTTGGTGACTGCTGCTCTTTTCAAGCACAGAGTTGTTTGTAGAGTGAAAAAGCCAGGATGGAGGACTTCCGCTTACATGCTGCTTTTCCTCCTCCTCCTCCACTGAGAAGGTTTCAGCTTCAACTGAGGGCTCGCTTTTCTTTCTCTTTGCCTTCCTTGGTTTCCTCTCTACAGTTTTCGCCATGTTCTCCTCAAAAATCTGGCTTTCCTGCTCTGAAGCAGTGAGTTTTGTTTCATCTGGCTCTGGTGGACTCACAGTGGTTGAAGTTGTAGAGGGGTCACTTAGATGTGGGGGTTTCTGGTATGGCGTAAGGCTGCTGAACTCCTTGCTGTTGTTCTCTGATGTCTGCCGGGATTCCTTTGAGCTTTGGACAGAAAGTTGTGTTCTAGTAGAGACGCTAACTTCTGGCTGGGGTTGTATTGATTCTGGGGATGCGCTGGTGGATGGCGAGGTGTCTCTGAGTGAAGGAAAATTGTCCCAGGGGTTGGATAAATCTTTGTTATGGCTTTCGTTTAACCCTGTGATTACATCATCAAGCATGTTGTCGTCTTCATGAACTTGTAGGTTCTCATTTGCAACACAATCTACTCGTACAAGTGCTGGATCTTTTAACTGCCACTCTACCTCATCTGCAGAAGACTCAGCTGTCTCGACTCGTGGTAGAGCTGTCGCTCTGTCCTCAGGAGCAGCAGAGAGCCCACTTGGTGTACTGCTCTCAACAACCAGGGGTGTCTGCGGCGGCTGAGCACCATCCTCAGCTGTGAGAAGACAATTGATGGGAACAGTGAAACATTTCTCTCTCTTATATTTGATCCGATCGACATCCCAGCGTGTAGAATTGGATAGGTCTGTGTGAGTCAAGGGTGAGGTAGAAGCTGAAGTCGAAGGCTGAGGTTCCACAGACCTGCTTCTAGCCGTTACCAGCTTCTTTGTATCATCTTCTAGCATAGACTGCAGATAGTCATGCTGCCACTCCCCTAGCAGCTCAGTCAGATTAAACCCACGCTGGCTCTGGGAGTACAGTTCCTCCTGACCCAGCAGGGCCTTCCATGTTGAACAGATCTTTTGGGACACAGAAGGCAAGGTTGTGCAGCAAAAGACGCTTTCCCTCACTGGATCTGTCCCAGTTGTTGTCATCTCTCCTATTGTTAAATAGAATCTGCAATTAACCAGCTCAGGTGCCATGTGAAACAGCAGCTGGTAGTCGTGAATGTACACTTTGCTATTGAGCAGGCTGGTGAGGCTCTCCAGCTCCTCCTTCTCTTGAACATCTTCCCAGGCGGATGAGGTGAGGATGGCAGGGATCTGGAGCACCCCATCATACAGGAAGACCAGCCCTGCGTGACCTTCAGAGCCCTGAGCCTGGGATTCAGATATCTTACCTAACCTGATGATTTGTGCTGTAAGCATGCTGCTACTGCGGCGGCTTCCACCCTGGCTGTCATAGCCCAGGATCAAACCCTCTATCCACGGTTGCATGTTTGTAGTTTCACACGGTACGTTTCCTGTTGTTTTCCGTCAAGCAAACATGCACCACGCCAAATGGTTCCTCCGTCACAACAACATCAACCTAAAACCAAGAATACATAAACAAACCTTGTTAATAATAATCCACAAATGTAACAATTATGTCAATTAATTATATTTGCAAAACAAGTTATTTATTTGGGTAACGTTAAACAGATATTCACAGATTTTGGCATTCCCTTTAAAAAACATCGACTAAACAATGCTTTTAAAACATGACTCCTCTTCTTAAAAACAATTAGATTTGCAAGTTGCAAAAAGAGTTATTGACCCTGGAAAGCTGAATTTGTTTAACTATCTAACTAACATATCCTCCTGGCACTCATTTAATCAGAAACTGATATTTCGTAGCTGAGCGCCAAGTTTACAATACTTTCTCACATTATCAGAATACAAAATAGTAGCGTAGCCTACACAAGTAGTTGTGTTAGTTACCTTTACATGGCGTACCCTTGCGCAAAACATTAAAAAAGACAACACGAACACGATTTTGTCCAAAGTTATGGCGGCAGCAGTTGTTTCAAGTTACTGAGGGAGAGAAGTGAAAAGGCGGAAGCAGAATATCTTTCAAAATAAAGGCCCCGTGCTAACCTATATTTCCGACTTGTAGCGAGTACATGTTTAAAAAATAAACAACAGACAGTGTTATTTATATTCTTTATTGTATGTGACGTTACAGTATGTTAAAAAAATAGTTACTTCATAGTCTTTAAAAAACTACAGCGGATAAACTTTGTGTTTGTATTTCCAGCACTTGACACCAGCAACGTTGGTTTTGGCCTCGTTCCGCTATGATTTGAGTCTCACTTGTACTCAATATATCGCTTCCCTAATGATCATAAAACATACATTTCAATTTAATATAGTTTTAAAAATTCTATACATATTTTACAATCACAAAAAGGTTATTGTCTCTTAAGTATTGGTGTAATTGACAACCTATGAGTCCATACAAAGTACACAGAAATATATTGGAATGCTCCTGCGTGAACACTTTCCGCCTAGCTGATGATGCATTCAGGTGCAGGATGAATGCTTTTAACCAACGTTTTAATGATAGTATAATGGGTTTATCATCGGTGTAGTACAGCAGTTCAGATCATCTGTTGTCATGGTATATACTAGGATTTTGATAGTACTATGTTATTCTGAGCAAATATATCTTTTTGATTCGTTTTGACTAAGATAATTGCGAATACAATCGGATATAATCACGGAAATGAGTATTTACTATATTATCTATGTCCCTGAACGCACGTCTTCACGTCCACTTGAAACATTCTCGCATGGAGTGATTCATGTTGTTCTAAATGCAGTGAGGTACAGCCGTGCCCTGAAGAAAACATAAGCGCAGTTCGTCTTTTCAAGGTAAGACACTCTGAAACGAATAAACTGGAACATTCAGATTAAAAACGTGATGTAATAAGTTATAACACAAATAGACGCGCACACTGCAGAGCTGACGCCTACATTCATGTTTTTGTGGCTTTACTCGATTGCTAGATATTTGACTTAGAAAACTGTACTAATATGGATTAGTCATCATTCCTACTACTAAGTTGTTCAGACCTTTGCTGGTGACAAATGATCGTCTTTCTGAAATGTAATGTTAGATGTCGACGGTTGATCTGCTAATAGCCTTTAGGCTTTTAGCCTCTCAATGACAAGTTTCATGTTGAAACTTGTCAGTTTGAGAATTGTAGACTTAAAGTTTCCCCTTATATATTAAAGATGGGTGGTAATCTTTGCAGGGTTGCGTTGACACGTAAATGTCAACATAGGTCCTCACTGCTCTCTCTGGTGTGTTGAATTAAGGGAAAAATCAAATGAGGAGATGTAAAATTGGATGTAAAATACACCAGTATGTAAAATTTAAGCCAAGTTTTGTAAATTTTTAAATTAAAAAAAACTTTGAGTCTTGTTATTTTTGCAATCTGAATCAAAGCATTCTTCTTTTTCATCTGTGTATAATCAAATCTAGACATGCCCCTTTCTGGATCAAGCGAACCTGGTTCGAAGGTTTCGGACCCCCAACATTCCCAGAAACTCCTCCGGGTTCTTCGAGTCTTCTGGCAGGAGCAAAGCTTCCACGATGCAGTGCTGGTGGTGGATGGAGAGGAGCTCCCGGTCCAGAAAAACATTCTGGCTGCTGCCAGCCCTTATATCAGGTGAGATCACCTGGGAATGACCATTTGCCTTTGATCATCAAGTGCAGAATCAGACACACCAATCTAGATATGACATGAACATGATCTTTTTTTAAATTATATGACGTTAAAACAAAATGGTTGTCTCTATCTTCACAACACGTCAGCCTGTATTGCAAATTTCATGCTTGACAGTTTCTCATGTATTGATATTTTAATCTTAGGACCAAGCTGAACTATAATCCTCCAAAGGAAGATGGGTCTACATACAGAATTGAACTGCAGGGGGTCTCCATGCCCATTATGAAACAGATCTTGGACTACATCTTCAGTGGCGAAGTGAGTGTGTTGGCTTTAACAGGAGTCCCTGTATTCTTGGACCTTATTTTAAAAATATTTTGTTATCTCCCCAGTTTGATGTGCCATCACCCTCAGAGCAAATGTCCGGGATCAAAGTATATTGTTTTCAATGCCAGCAGTCGCATATTATTATTCTAAGTGTCTGAAACCATCAAAGATAGGATCCCTTCAGTGATAGCCCCTTTTGTTAAGCAAATATCCCTTTTTAAACCAGAAACACTTGTTTTATTGTTGTCTGCCACACAGAGTGTGTGACAGACTTATCTTGCAGAACCTGGGAGTGATACTCAGGAGGTTTCAGGAGGTTTTCTGCATTCTGACAGAACAGCATAAAAAATTAGATACAGCCAAAGTGGACCAGCAGCTCAGATATTCTCCAACGTGAAATTTGTGGTTTTTCAGCAGAGTTTAGTTGCTCTGACAAAAGAAGGTTGCTGTAAGAGGTGGAAAAAAAAGATCTCCCTCATCAAAAAGTTTCATAACTAAAGGTATTGTATCAAAAATATTAAAGGCTGTAAATTGAAAAAAAAATAAAAAGAATAAAAAAAAAAAACACTGTTACAGGACATGCTGTAATCCACCACATTTACCCTGAAGAAAAAATGCAGACATCACTGCCTTTAAGCTGCTCTCTGGAGCAATCTGCTGAAGAAATTCCAATATTGTTGAACCTGTATGTAATTCCAGCAACATAATAAGCCTAACCTGGGGTCAGGTTTAAAATTCCTAAAAATGTTTTCAAAAATCCTTGGTTACACGATCAGGTTTTCAAAACCCATTTCCTGCTAATCTTCACATAGTAATGAGGAAATTCATTCAGCATAATTTGCTCCTTTTCTTTGTTTTTCTGTCCTTCACACACAGATCACTTTGAGTGAAGAGACCATTCAGGACATGGTACAGGCATCTGACATGCTCCTCATGATAGACCTCAAGTCTTTGTGCTGCCAATTCCTAGAAAGCTGCATCACTGCAGAGAACTGCATTGGCATCCGGCTCTTCTCTCTGCACTACTGCCTTCACCATGTCCACTATGCTGCCACCGAGTTCCTGCAGACACATTTTGGTGATGTGGCGCTCACTGAGGAGTTCAGGGAAATGCCTACAGACCGCCTGTGCGAAGTGCTGGCCATGGAGAAGCTGAACGTGGGCAATGAGAGGCACGTGCTTGAGGCTGTGGTGCGATGGTTGGCTCATGACCCCGAGGATCGGAGGGTAGGTGATGCTCTCTTGTGGGAGAAAGATGAGAGAGGATATTGAAAAGGTAGACAGGTATCGGACTACTGGTCATTCAAGCGATTAAATAAATATAAAATTGAATTAGATAGTCAAAGAGCACATAGGTAAATTTAAATTGGAAATATAAGGTAATAAACCATTCATCATCCTATTCAAAGCATGGTAAACAAGAGCCTATCCCAGCTGTCATTGGGCAAAAATATCTGAATTAGAAAATTTACATTGAGACCAATTTCAATAGAGAATAATTATGGTAATTTACTCGTGAGTAGTGCTGTCAGCTTTAATATCATTAATGTTAATGTTATTTTCTTTTAGTTACATCCTTTTTGTCCCTTGTAGCACACTGTATTGAAGCTGCAGCAGTCTCTTCCTGTTCTTCTCTATGTTTAGCATGAAGTTACCAGTCCTTTGCCTTGCTGTTAGCTTGAACAATGTTTCACACTTGAAGAAACTGTAGGAGACAGAAACAACCACCAAAATGGAACTCCTGAAAAGTGCATTCACTGTCTTCTTAACTAAGAGTCATTGGATGTCAGGGAGTCATCAAAACGTTTTGCACTGGCTTTGCATTGTTAGTTTGATCTCAAAAATCCTAAATAACTGAATTTTAAATATGTGACCTACAATTGACCATTGAACATGAACTATTAATTATGACTAAACAACTTAGTCATTTTACAGCACTATGTTTAAGCTGTTAAACTGAGTTAGTTAAATTCTGCAGGAAAACAGAAAAAAAAGCTCATCAAAGTTTTGCCCTTTATTGGAATTAAAAGAGGAAGAAAGAGAAGTTTGAGGAGAGGATTAGGGAAAAATAAGAATGAAATGAATAAACTTTATGAAATAAATTTCTGAACAATTAAAAATGTACATGAAAAAATGAAAGTGAGTAACTAAGGCATTACACAAGCCTGTGCTGGTTCCAAAACACAAATCAGAATGAGCATTATGTCATCTGTACTTTTAGGTCCACATGAAGGAAGTGATGTCAGCAGTATGGCTGCAGGGCCTGGACCTGAGCTACCTGAGAGAGCAGGTACAGAAACAGTTCAATCATCTACACATTAAAATGTTTGCTCAACATGATACTACAATGCCGTGAAGTCCTGTCATTTGAAATCCACTACTCTGCAGGAGCAAAAGCTCTTCTGGCTATCTCAGGAGCTAACCTAATTGTTTATCCCATCAGGCTATGGGGGAGCCCCTAATGAGGGAGGTGGTCAGAGATTACTGTCAGTCAGTGCTGAGCGATGGTCCGCTGCAGGGGGAGGCTCTGCTCGCTGCCTTTAAACCAAGAGGTTACTCAGAGTGTGTCGTCATCGCTGGAGGAGAGGATCGAAAGTGAGTTGTTCATTTTCTGTTAGGATTTTCTAATCTCATACAAGACTTCTACTGTGTGTCAGTGGAGATTTTAAAAGTGGCCTCATCTCCATTAAAGCTTAAATGAATACAATCTCTTTGACACGAGAAATATTAAAGACATCAACCATCACAAACGTCGGTACTGTCAGATCACGTGTTTAAGAGTCATTAAGTCCGTGAAGACACAGGGGACATAGATTGAAGAGCGAAACCGGGTCACAATCAGAGGAAAAGCTTCCACCAGTGTTGAGTTCAGCCACAGACTCACTTGGCTCACATCCTGTCTTATCTGCTGTTTTTTGTTTTCTTTTTTTTGTCCCGGACAGAACCAGGAAGCCAACTGCTGTGACGCGCTGCATGTGTCCACTCTATGATTCCAACAGACAGGCCTGGATTGAGCTGCAGCCAATGAGTGTTGCTCGTGTATGCCATGGGGTAGTTGCTGCAGGTCAGTAAAAATGATGCAATGTGTGTTTGTAACGTATGATCCTATGTATTTTTTTTTAAACTGTACCCCTTTTCACATGATTACGGGTGTAAATGATATGACGTTATAAAAAGTTTTAAAATTCCTCCACTGGTGTTTCAGAAAATACGAAGCAGATAATCACTTGGGTTTCAAAATATGTGAAGTTATTTGCCCAGGTTTGGACAGGATAACTCCCCTTAAGAGTAACCTTTAATGCAGCAAAGTGAAACGGCTCATCCAGTGAATTTAGATATCAGTACTAACATTAACTTCCTGTCTTTAGAGGGCTTTCTGTTTGCGATTGGTGGGATAGATGAGCACAACACAGTCCTGAACTCTGGAGAGAAATATGACCCAGACAACAACACATGGACCCCAATAACACCCATGCTGCAGGTAACTCTACACGGTCACTGTAATGCAGTTTTATATAAAATAAACAACCAAAAGGTTTTAAATTTTTCATTTGGTGAGGTAAATATCTTGAAGAAAGTGAGGTTGTCAGTCCATGTTCATATGACGCAGGTTTCTGCATCCATGTTGCAAAATATAGACATTTTAGTCAATTCACTTTGTGACCACTAGATGTCAGCTCTGCTGTAATGTAGACTCATATTCAACCTTTGTCAGCAGCCAAAGTGGATGGGACAGACTTTGGTTACCTGCTCAGTTTATAAAGAACTTTGATGTCTTACACATTGCATGTTCATTGTTATCGAACACTCATAGGACACTCAAAGGTGTGTCATTAGAGATGGTGCCAGACTCATTAAGTTTCCCTTCTTCTTGTAACAAGTCTGAACCTCATTGTTTTGTTTTGTTTGTAATCTACTCATCAAAACTGTGATTTCATAAAAACAGTCATTACCAGTGAACCTTACTGTCAATCCTTGTATCAATTTGTGATTTTAATCTTAAAAATATATTTTAAAGGAGCTCTTGAACCCAGAAAGTCTATGTGTATTTAAAAGCTGCTTTGGTCTGAGCTTATTTCGATGTTCGTAGGCTCGTCAGAACTTTGGTGTGGTGGAGCTGGATGGTCTGGTCTACATTCTGGGAGGAGAAACTGAAGATACGGAGCTGACCACTGTGGAAGTTTTTGACCCTCACTTCAACTCCTGGAAACTGACTACAAGTATGACTATGGTCCGCAAGGTAACCACACACCGAGAACTTAAATATTCACAGAGCAGCAGGAAATACATGTCGAACATGTTTTTGTTACCTCACAGTGTTTAACTTTACACCTCCTCTGATGCGTTTACATTGAACCATTTCATATCTCACTGAGGCATACTGACGAAGACTCGTCAGTCTTGTGAACTCTATGTTGAGTTAACATTTCCAAGAAAAATGTCTGAGTCCCGTATATAACTGAGTAAAAGTGCATCAAGAGGGAGCAGGTGAAGTAGGGCACTGCATTTAATCTGTGCTGGGTCGGTTTCTTCTTTGCAAATTTCTACAAAGTACATATTTGGTGCTGTTTGTAGTGTGTATTTTTTTTACAACTTTATGACATTATGTCAACAAAATAATTAATATATATATATTTTAAAAATCATCAGATTATCTTTTACAATTTTTTTTTTAAATATCAAGCCGTACTTGCTGCCATGTAATTTTCCACAGTCTTGAAGATGAACAAATCCCTCCTCTAAAAGTCTAAATAAAGGGGATGTAGAAGGCCTAAAACAGTTGAATTAAAAAATATGTTTCAGGTCTGTTTTTGTCTGGACATCATTCAATGGACACATGAAAAATGTATTCACAAAACCTTCCACAAGAGTCAAAGGGTCACGACAGCTGTTGTGTAGATTTGATAAAAAATGAAACAGAACTTCGACAGCTTCACAAGTTTCCAAAAGGTAACGTCTCCCAACGCTCTGTACAGTTGTTTCTGTCTTCTGTTTCAGGTCGGCTGCTATGCCTCCATGAATAAGAAGATCTATGCCATGGGCGGAGGCTCCTATGGGAAGCTGTATGACTCTGTGGAGTGCTATGATCCTAAAACACAGCAGTGGACGGGCCTTTGTCCTCTGAAAGAGAGAAGGTAAACACAGCGTCTGATTGTTGTAGCTTTGTTGTCCGAGCAAAACAAAAGAAAGAGAATTACTGATGTCCTTAGGATTTTATTTTACTGTCCCATCTTGTCTTTTTTTTTTTCCTGATCCATGACAATTTTATCACTTAAAGACACTTGTTTTACTAAAACAAAGGAAAAGCTTTAAACCTTGACTGCTACCAACAAAGTTCCATGGTAGCTGTTAGTTTGGTTTCAGTTTGACACGTCAGGTGATACTGACACCAAATGATGACAAAGATGGGGGTTGTCACAGAGGATGTTGAGTCATATACCGAACGTTGGTCATGTTGAATCTGAGAACTCCAGAAAGAAAGAAACATTCGACATACAAACTTTTGGTTTTTGTTTGTAAGTTAATTTTAAATGTTGAGATTTCAATCACACCATGAGTAATGGCTTGACATGATAAATAGGAGGCACTTCTTTTGGTTTCAGTCTTCTGACCACCGACAGCTCCTCAAGCCTTATACCCCACAACACGTATTCATAAGCTCATCCTCACTAATGTTGATAAGACAGCCTCTAGTGCTTTGCTCAAGAAACCATACAGAACAAGGTGTCAACAACAATCTTGTCGCAGATGATTCACTTTTTCTCTCAGCCACAGCTGCACACATAGCAAACAAATCTAACCAATATGCTCGTGCCTGATATATAAGATCTGGAGCATCAACACAGAAGCAAATAACTACTTGTTACCTCCGCCAAGGAGGTTATGTTTTCGGTAGCGTTGGTTTGTTTGTTGGTTTGTTTGTTGGTTTGTTCGTTTGTCTGTATGCAACTTTACGGAGAAAGTTACAGACGGATTGACCTGATATTTTCACCAGAGGTGCGTCTCAGCCCCAGGAGGATCCCATTACATTTTGGTGGTGATCCGGATCGCCTTCTGGATCCAGGAATTTTTTGAAGGATTCTTTATCATTGTGAGATAGGGCAAACTTTGGAATCGTTGCATTTAACTCTATAAAAATGGCCAGAGTCTTTAGTAAAAAAATACACAAAAGGATCTCAATGAGTTTTATGAGGTGTCAAAGGTTGATCCTGATCCAGACAAAATTCTGGATACTGTGATCCAGAACACACAAAAATAAGGGTGTCGTTGGAATTTTCAATGCTGAAAGATAACCAATGGGCGGCAGAGTGGTGTAGATGGGCGGCACAGTGGTGTAGTGGTTAGCACTGTCGCCTCACAGCCAGAAGGTCCTGGGTTCGAATCCTGGTTTTAGGAACATTATGAACAGTGAACATACCAGTTTAAACACAAATAAACGTTAATAAAAGACACGTAACAGTAAAAGTTTTGGTGTGAATCACAATATAAGGGGGGACATGAGCTGCTTGGCGGAGGTCTGAGCTCTCCGAGTGCTTTTCTAGTTTTCATACAATGAACTGAAGTAATGTTGTTAAAAAAACAAAAACAAAAAGAGTGAACAAGAAGAGGAGACAGCCAAACACTCAGGTCGCCATATTCATGACTTGCCAATGACAAGTAACAGTGACTTCAAGCGTGCACATGTTAAGCTTCTAAAATTGAGCTCCAAATGGGTCTACAGTTTACAAAATGAACATCATGCTACTTTAGAGAGGACTTCAGTGATCCAAACCGCCAAGTCATCAGGAAAATGTTTACAAAGGTTTCTATCGCAACTTCCTAGGATTGTTTTTGATCAACTCTGTGAAGTCAGTCTTCTCTGTGCTGCCTGTGGAGTCTTTCACTGCTCACACTGCCTGAAAAAATGTCTGTTCATTTCCCTGTTATTTTTTCGGTCAGGTTTGGTTCGGTGGCATGTGGCGTTGGCCAGGAGCTCTACGTGTTCGGTGGCGTTAGAAGCCAAGAGAACGAGAACGCCGAGCAAAGACAGATGATGACCTGCAAGTCTGAGTTTTACCACGACGAGATGAGGAGGTGTGGAAATTCTTCTTACTTCTGACGAATTCTTGGAAATGGCAATCAATACTTTATTCTGTAATCTTTACTTCTATTAATCTTTATGATAGCCTGTTCTTTATTAGAGTTCCCAAAAGGTTTTTTAAGTTCCTTATTGACTCCACACAAGGTACTAAAGAGGGACCTCTGGTTTTTCAGGCCAATCACCCAACTCAAAGTACCGCTCTCTGGTGAATCCTGACTAGATTTGGGATGTAGAATCCCTTTTTCCACATTAAATTGAGCATCGTCCTTTATAATCCAGCTCTTATTGTTGCGCAAACACATTTTTTTCATCATCTTTATTTGTTTAGAACCCAAAAATCTCAACAAAACACTGGCAAACATTCTTCTGAATATATAAACAACAAAAAAACTTTTGATATGTGCTCCTGCCATTCCAGTGAAGGAGATACATTTGGGAATCCTGAAGGGAATACTTGTTGATTTTGAAAAATCTCAGTTTGGTTCATTGTGATGTGTGACTGTCAAACCATCCAGCTCTTGTTGTGAATACTGTAATAATGGCAAGATTTATTCAAAGGGTCAACTGAAAAATGGCGGTTAGATATCCTAATGTCCTGGAGAAGTCCTGCCCTGTTCTCATGAAAGGGAGTTTCGGGAATGTTTGCAGAGTTTCTTCAAGTCAATTCAAACCTCAATCAAACTCTGAGATGATCTGATCAGATTCTGGTGACAGAAGAAAAATCTAATTTGTCATACATCCCATTTCAATAGCTGTAAAATCTCAACACCATGTGGTGATTTTATTACATCTTCTTTACTTTTATGTTCATTTTTGTTGCTGACCGGAGCAATGCCATCCACACTGTATCACAAGTCAGATCCACTGACAATCACATGCTGTGCAGAAAAACAGATTCACACCCCTCATGTAAATGATTGTGGTGTGATCTCTCTCGTTCAAGATTTAATAAAGTTATTTGTTTGAGATGTTCTCATATTTCCATCAGACCAAATACACACCGATAAACTTTCATTCTGTGTCTGGGAAACACTGAGAAATGTGAGATGCCACTCATTCACTAAGAAGAGACACACAGCTGTTGTGCTGCAACTCTAGTTTGAAATGACAAAAATCTAAATAGTCGTGCAGGAAAATGGTCCCAAAATAAAAATGTGCCTTTTATTTTTCCTTTGGTTTCTTGTTGTCTTGTTTGAATAAGTTTAAATCTCACATCTATTGTGTTATGGTTTGAACAGATGGATGTACCTGGATGACCAGAACCTGTGCATTCACACCAGCTCATCCTTTGTTTACGGTGCCGTGCCCATTGGAGCCAGTATCTATGTGGTGGGAGATCTGGACACAGGTGAGTGAAAGAAGTCCTTGCAGAAAAAAAAAGAAAAACCAGAGTTTTAATCAGTGTTTGAGTGTGAAAATGTTTTAATACGTGTGTGTGTGTGTGTGTGTGTGTGTGTGTGTGTGTGTGTGTGTGTGTGTGTGTGTGTGTGTGTGTGTGTGTGTGTGTGTGTGTGTGTGTGTGTGTGTGTGTGTGTGTGTGTGTGTGTGTGTGCAGGAACAAGCTTTGACTACATACGTGAGTTTCGGCGCAGCACCGGGACGTGGAACCGCACGAGGCGCATGTTTCCCTCCGATCTCTCCAAAACAGCCTGCGCCGCCCTGCGTATTGCCAACTGTCGCCTGTTCCGCCTTCAGCTGGCCCAGGGCGTTTTCAGGATCAGGGTATGACTTCATACCCGCCAGCGGCCGATATCACTCTGTACTGCTTCACTTCGCACACTTATTTTTTCTGCTGGCCGTAGGTCGGATTAAGGGATTAGATGAACACGATAGTATTATGGATGTTAGACTTTTTTGATTAATGCTTGTTCAGGGCTACTACTCAAGATGGAACAACACTTAATCTTAACACGTTTAAAGATTATGGTTTTTATGGGATCTTTTTTTGTTTTATAAAACCTGTGTTTTATTTAAAAAGAAGGATTTTCCTTTCATCTTAAGGACATTCCTTATTTTTAATGTGATCTGATGATCAGTGACTTTCTGTGGGATTTAACACTTGTTAACTTCCACATTAACACAAGGGATTATGATGAACACTGAAAAGAGCTGCTGTGTTTCAGATTTGCTGTCTAGAATATTTTAAGGTTTTTTTAGGGATGAACTGTTGACGCTTATACCCAAAATTAATCACATGGTTACAATTGAGTGGAGGTTAAGGGTAGGAATGGCATAAGTTTTATGAATTTTCTATGGGAAGAGGGGTTTGGGTGTTTGTTCTGTGAGAGCCAGAGAGCTTTCATACGAAAATAAAAAGTCTGCAGACCCATCTGCAATTTGATGAAGCAATGGGAGTGAAAGGTCCTCCAACACAAACCCTTGATTTCCCTAGCTCTAAGTAACTAAACTTTTAACCTACTATGCTAAACATCAGAGGAGACAACACTTTTAAAGATACAGTGTAAAATGTAGCAAGGTTAAGCAGAACAGACGTGCTGAAAATGGAATATGATTCTCAAAAACATTCTCAAATCAGAGGATAATAACCCACATATAAAAGTCTTTTTTTTTTCTCTTAGAATTAAAACAGGTCCCCTTGGAGACCACCATGTTTCTACAGTAGCAGAGAAAGCAACAACTACACACCATTTCATATCTGCATTTCTTGTATTTAGGCATACAGGCAAAGATTTGATCAATTAGGGATGGGGACGAACACTCGAGTAATGAAGTACTTGTTGTAACCATCATTCTTGAGTATTGTTGCACTTCTTACCTATGCATTGTTCTCTTTTAAAGTACCTCAACTCAATTAGTTTACAGGCAGCATGTCAGCTGTAACCAGGAAAAGTGATGTGTGGAAGTATCTGATATAGAAATACTAGTTCAATGCTTAAAGTCCCACTCCGAGCATTTTTTTTTTACTACTTAAAGTGTTATCAGCGGTCTTTAAATTGTGATTATGACGTTTTTACCAGGATTCGCATTACCTGTGTCATTTTCAAGGGCTTTTCTTCTGCACAGCTCCAGTAGCTCATTAGCAATTCGCCTCTGAGTTGTGGGCGGAGACAGCGCTGCTCTGCAGACTCCTCTTTACGCTAGCTTGCAGCCTAACATTGCCGGTGTAGTAGAAGTGGCAGGTAATACAGGAGCTATTCAGCTCTCAGACACAAACGTCTTTAGGGACACGATGAAAGATAATATCATAATTAGCTTTCTTACAATCCTTGCAATCCACTACAGCACACACTTGTTCTGGGATAGTCTTCTATATTTCTCCTGTATATGCAGAGTGTGGCCTGCATAGCGGGGCTCCGGGGGTGGAGTGTGGATTGGTTACGTAGGAAATCTCACTATTTCTGAACCTGCCATTTTGGTCTGTCAGAGATTCACAGCGATTTTAATGAAGAAATACTCATATAATGCCATAAATGCCATATAAACATGTAAACAACAAGAAAAACACGATTTTCATCGGAGTGGGTCTTTAACCACGTTCCTTTGAAGCACCAGCAGACAGATGATAGGCAGTCTCACATCACACATTTGCTAGCCTGGTCAGCGAACGCCGGTGTGATGATGCTGACAAGGGGGTGTTACATCCCCCTTGTAAAACAAAGGAAGGATAACACACTACAACCAAAAATAATTGACAGGAGTCAGAGTGAAACTGAAAAAAGGCAAAGTCTATTTATTTTCCAACTTAAATAACAAAGGCTTTCATAATGTGAGAGAGAATAGGGCTACAATAAATCAAAAGGGTACAATCAAACTCAGACTATTTCTATTTCATTCTAAAGTCAAAGTAATGAACTTTGAAAGTCTATAAATTAGACTAAAAAAGGACTGTAATCAATATAAATACATGAGTAACTCAGCGTGTCTTACAGTTTAATTATTGGGTGCAAAAATGTACAGGGTACCCCAAACTCACCTATACGCCTACATGTCCCACCACATACTTACAACACAGAGCACACGACTCAACCAGACTCAGAGGGGAGAACTCAGGAGAAGAGAGAGGAAGAGACTAAAACTTCTCCTTTTATACTTCTCTCAGCATGTTAGCAGACAGATCCTCCATCTCTGCCTCCCAATCAGCAGCAGAGCAGAGTCTCTCAGGTGTCGCTCTATCAACTACTCACCTTAAGAAGCAAGGATGGAGGGGGGAGAAAAGAACACAGCAGTCTGCCTCATGCCTGACATGTAACACTAGTGTAGAGTAAATTGGCTTACTTGTAACTAAAATGGTGGCTGAAGACATGCTCCCGTTAAGTTTTGTGGAAGGCTTCTGTGAGATGGTGGTGATTTTTTTGAGCCTGAGCACAAGCCACCATCACAAAAGATAACAACCACGAGGGTGGAAAAATGTTTGAGGAAACACAGCAGAATTGAGGGCTGTTTTATAAAGTGTTGACAAAGTGGCTGTCACTACTGACTCATGGACAGGTCTCACTCTGGAGTCAAACCTTAAAATCACCTGTCAGTTCATTCAGAACATTCCTTCAGACGCACAGTTAGCTGACCACTTCGCTAACCAGCAAAAACGTAAAACTTACAAGTACTCAGTTACTCACTGATAAAGTAATCTGATTACTTGAACAGTGGACTTACTGGAAATGCCTATCCTTATGATGAATCATACTTATCAATCCGTGCTTGACTAGTTGATTAAGCAACAATGCCAGGTATTCCCATTTCGACATACTGTACCTTTCAGGCACAGGAGCAGGTTTTCAGGACTTGTCTGGTTTTGTTTTTGGTTTCCGGAGCTCTCATCCGACTGTCTGTGGAATTTTCACAATATTCACCAACAAAGTAGTCATAGGAAATGTAGAAGATAAGTAACTCCATTGATAGAAGATAAAAGAAACCTTGATGTCCACCACGTTTTTTTTCCCACATTGCATTGAGTAAATGTTTGCATGCTGGAGCAGAAGCACTTTACTTGATGGTCACTTTTTAATCATTGACCAAGCTGTGTGGGCCCTGCTCAGCCTGGTCAGAAATACATGTCAGTGTGAGTGTCACTCCTCAGTTGCAGGATGTGTTTGCTGCCTCTGTGACCACTGACCTGGCTTTCCAGTCAGAACACTTTTGGCATCTCTCGACCCCGTTTGTTCTGTGTGAGTTACAGCTGCTGCTGTCTGTCCTCTGTTCGGGGCAGCAGAAACACACTCGACACACACTCAGTCTTACTCCTATAATACATATCACACACACACACACACACACACACACACACACACACACACACACACACACACACACAACACACACACACACACACACACACACACACACACACACAACACACACACACACACACACACACCAAACCACTGACAGGGCTCCAACTGAGGTATACTAATCATACAACACTCAAACTTGAAATAATCCTGTAACTTTGAGAAAAGAAGTGCTTTGGATTTTACTTTCTTGTGCCTCAAATTAGAAAATAATGCTTTTAGAAACAGTTAGACTCACTGTAATATAACATAACTATGGGCAAGCAGTTTGGGATTCAAATCTGAATAGTTTTTAAGACTCAAGAAACAGCATACTGTACCAGCCGAACTGAAGGTTGATCCTCAGTTAAAGTGTTGAGCCAGTCTCAGCAGAAACTTTGTAAGTGCTTTATTTTACCATCTATTACATTTTTATGAACTTTTAAGTGACGTAAATATGGACATCATTAATAGAAACCATGGCAGTGTACAGCTGGAAGAAGAAGTCCTTTTTTGGATAAGATTATGCCGAAGTAAGTTCCTTAGAAAATAAAGGAAATACCGCTGTTCTCAAACATGGGTTTAAATGACTCACAGATGAAAAGTTTTATTATTATTGCTTCTGTTTGTAGTCCCAAGTCGCGCTTCAACTTATTCCCTACTTACAACAAAGGGCCTGATCGGAGCGCATCCTTCTTTGTGACAGGAAATATCCCCTTAGTATGACTTAGGGGGAAAAAATCCCTCTTTTTCTATAAACAGGACCCAATTTCTGTCTGTCATTTAACAGATGATATACTGACTGCAATTAAGTGAGTACAACAGGTTAACTCATGTCCTTTCTCTAGTTTGTTGTATGAATAACTCAAAAGGCTTAAATAATGATAAACTGAAACAGGAAAAGTGATCAGTAAATTTTAAAGTATTAGAAATAAACATAAAAGTTATCATAGCCAGAAGGTCACACTCCGGTTTAAAGATACAATTCAGAAAAAAAGGTAGTTTTTCAAACACAAGGTTCACACTGTTTTGAGTCACAGACTGAAATAAAGGATTTCCTGGAGCTCTATAAGGCCACAGGGCCGACCAGCTGAGGCCTGACTGTGAATAATGTACTTCCTTATTTTTGCACCAACACTTAACATTCCAGAGCATCTCATCATTTACAGAAAATACGACACTAAGTTACTGAGCCGCTATGCATTGTAAACAACAATTGTTGTCACGTGTAAACATCTCATGACAGTCTGTGTTTGGTGGCCGTTTAAACTGAAAGTAGCTGTCGAGCTTTAACCAAAGTTGTGAAAGAAGGGGAGACAAACTCCAGTTTCAGTTTGTACTTTTCTTACTGATGCATGAGGAAGTTTGGTAACATGTTGCCCATGAGTGTCATTCATTTACGTCAAAGGGATTAAAACACCAAAATGGTCAACTTTGTGTCTGGAATCGTGTGTTTCTATTTTCTGTTTGAAGTTTGTTCTGACTGCTGGGCTTTAGTTCATGACTAAGGCAAAGGTTAAGTGTTCATAGTATCTCTTAGCGTCATAACACTCATCTCACAGTGAATGATAGACGTATTTTTATGTTTATAAAATGGTCTAAAATTCCTAGTGATGCCTTTTTATGATGCTCAAAAGTTAACAAGACTACCAGCAGCAAGCTTGATGATTGTTATGCTGTCATTTTCCATGCCTGAAACCAGTGATACGGGGTAGCTTTTAGCAGGGCATGACACAATTTCCTCATTAAATAAATAAATGAGCAGTCTGAATGGAAAAAGGCAACAGGATACGGTTTTTGTCAGATGACACAGCTTAAGCATGTGAAGGATAAGAGAGGTAGAGCCTTCTCATAACAAACCTTTCTCATTGGAGCTTTAAGCTCAGTTGTTTCTTGTTTTATACACTCAATATTCACTTTGTTAGGAACACCTTTCTAGTATTAGGTTGCGCTCCCTTTTGCCTTCAGAACTGCCTTAATTAGGACCACGAGGCACTGGCCCCTACTATTGTTATACTGTGGATTTTTTCTTATTCCTGTTCAGGACAAATTTTGATTCCCTACTAGTCCTACAGCTTGAAGAGTTGTAGGACAAAATATGTATCATAATGTGCGGTTTAATCGGGATTGGTGTGCTTTAACTTTTCTCAATTGTATACGAATTTACAAAAAACACTTACACTTTACATGCATGTTTTTTTTTCCACAGTTGTAGACACACTTGTTCTATCCCGAACAATGTGTTCATCTAAGCAGAGAGACTTGCAGAATTTAAACACTGAGCCTCTAAGTGCGGCAATGTCTTTCCCTGCTCCTCATTGACACTAATACAAAGATGTTCTGAGAGAAGCAGAAGGGACTCCTGTTTTTAACTTGCAAGTATGTCTAAACTTTTTACCATAGAAACACCAAAATCACATCAGAGCATTCAGCAAGTCTTTACAATGACTACAGTCAGTCCGTGTTGTTATACTGTAGATTTTTTCTTTTTCCTCTTCCAGACAAATTTTGATTCGCTCCTAGTGCTACAGCTTGAAGAGTTTTATATATGTATGTATATATATATATATATATATATATATATATTAAAATGAGTGAATTTTGTACTAAAGTCAATGGGACAAGTCAAGAAAAAAAGAGCAATTATTGGAGTTTATCAAATGTCTACATCTCCCCGTAAAAATAAATACTTGAAAAGGGAATGTTTGTTGTCAGGGGTTTCCTTGTATATAATTGCCTCTGCCAAGGAGGTGATGTTTTCGGTAGCGTTGGTTTGTTTGTTTGTTTGTCTGTTTGCATTATTACGGAGAAAGTAACAGACGGATTGACCTGAAATTTTCACCAGAGGTGCGTCTCAGCCCCAGGAGGATCCCACTAAATTTTGGTGGTGATCCTGGATTCTGGATACTGTGATCCAGAACACACAAAAATAAGGGTGTCGTTGTAATTTTCAATCGGCGGCACAGTGGTGTAGATAGGCAGCACAGTCATGTAGTGGTTAGTACTGTTGCCTCACAACCAGAAGGTCCTGGGTTCGTATCCCGGTCAGGGTATTTCTTGTTTAAGGGGGGACATGAGCTGCTTGGCAGAGGTCTGCGCTCTCCGAGTGCTGTTCTAGTTTCACAATGCTACTACAATTAATTAATTTGAAATCTCTTAAGAGTTTCATCATAATGTACACACCCTGGCCATAACCCCCCTGGCCCTTTCAAAATTTCCCAGAGGGAATTTCTAGTTCTTTTTAAATCATCTCAAATCAGTCTGCCCATTCTCCTGTGACCTCTTACATCAGCAAAGCATTTTCACCCATACAGCTGCTGCACACTGGACTTCTCCTTTTTTTTTAAACCATTCTCTGTTAACGCTAGAGATGGTTCTGCATGAAAGTCCCAGTAGATCAGCAGACTCTGAAATACCCAGGCCAGCCCATCTGGCAACAACCATGCCACGTTCAAGGTCAATTAAATCCCCTTGGCTGATGGGCTGATTAGCTATTTGTGATTTAGAAAGTGGCTAGTATGTTTGGCAGCATGTTTGGAAGTTAATCTAAAGCCATTAGATCATAAGTTGTGTGTCAGTGGTTGTTGTAGCCACAATTTCTATGGTTAGTATGATTTAAGACTTTGCTGTTTTAAAGTCATACCAGTACTGATGCAAACATTCAATGATAAAAGGGTTTATTTTTATTTATGATTGCATAATTAGATGATTGTTCAAGTTGAGGGGATCCTTCTTTGATCATTGATTTGTTTGCCATTTGTGGCGTCGGTACAATTTAGGAAAAAAAAAAATTAAAATCTATGCAAAAAAACTACTTTAAAATATATATACTGTATACATAAATATATACGTGTGTGTGTATATATAACAGAAGTGCTAAAATGAATATACCCTAAAAGTCATAATTTTGTTTATTGTAGTACATTAGTTTGCTAATAAATTTAATACATTCTGGTGAAAGAAATAGTATTTGGTACGAGAAAGTGTGGGAAATTTGGCCCAATTAAAAATGGGACAAACTAAAGCTCAAGTTCATCCCATACTTCTATGGTGTCCTCAAGGCCACCATGTGAATTCTGCATGACAGCGAGATATGATCACAACCAATGTCATCCAAAAACATGCAACATTCTCCAGAGCAGAATAATGACTGAAAAAAGGTAGAACAAGAGCAAGGAAATTTAAATTACAGATCAAAAGTGAAAATATGAAATTGTAATAAACCACACTATGAAAAGGAATATGTGAGAAAATGATTTCTTGAGAAAATAGCACATCATGTTGCATATTTGTAGGTCTGGCCAAATCTAAATGGAAAAGCTTATCCAAAATGATGTCTGTTGATATAAGAACCAAACATGGCGTCAGCAAACAGCCACTGGTCTTTATTTATTATTTAAAGTTATTGTATCATATTGTTTTGTATTGTTTTGTGATATAAAAAAGAAATTAGCCTAAAGTTCCTACCAAAATCACTACAGTTTATCTCCTGGGTACCATTAATAGCATCTGCAACTTTCAAAGCATAATACAATATTGTGCTTTCAAATTTAGGAGGAAGTCCAAATATTAGCTATAGATACAGATGTGCACTTATGTCTAAACAGAACGGATGTCATATTCAGGGGATCAGCAATATGGTTAGTTGCTTTAATAATATCTGTTGTTTTATTTCTTTTTTCAAATAGATTGAATACATTGAAAAGAATAGGTCAAAACTTTATCTTTATAGAAGCAGTAAAGGGTGTCAAACCTTTCAAATCCTGGATGGTTATATTTAAAGAGGTAGGGGTGGGGAGGTTTATTTATTTAAGAATTTATGAATTTAACCTTTGCTTGGATAAACCTTTTTTCTTACACATCTTGGAGGCCTGTGGGACTCTGAAGCACTGACCTGGCGGGGCCTCTTTAAATTTGGACTTCAACAGGTATGATGGATCACGTTCTATGAAGGTGGAAATTGTTGACGTACATGATTCATATACAAATCTAATTATAGTGTCAAATGATGTGATGTTTCTTGCAGATATTTTTTTGTTTCAAGATGCGTCAATTATTTTCCATGATTGCCTAATTAATACATCAGACTGAGTCCGTGACACGTTACATTCTTTCTGCATTTCTTTCTTTCCAGTAACTGTACACACTCTGTTGACACAACAGCTGACAGTCTGCTGGCAGGGCTACTCGGCGTGTTGAAACTTGTCTCATGAACAACAGTGGCTGGTGTGCCGGTGGTGCTGCTGCAGAAAAAGGACCCTCTGCTGACAGGGGAACATGCACGGAAATCAAGAGGCTTTTAGGAAACAGCAGGGCATCCCTGTGGGAGCATGTAAGCACCTTCGAGGGAGCACCGAGGTGGTTGTTGTCGACAGTAAGAACTCTAGAGATGGGAGAAGCCTCTGTCGCTAGTCAATTACATTTATTACAGACTGTTGCACCTTGTTGCTCTTTCCTCTGGGAGTTTGAGAACCCTGATGTCACCTGCCAGGAGTTTTTTTCCACCTGCATTTGACTGTTGATATATCGCCCTGTGTGTATTTAATATAACCCATTGTTGGCCTGGAGTTCACTCAGGGATGCTGGATGTTAACAGCGGGTTACATGTGAACTTTCCTGGTTTACACTGGAATTGTTTGAAGAAAAACAACAACTTTGTGGCAAATTTCAGAAGTATTGGTTAAGTCCACTTGTGGCAGCAGTCGGGGTCACAGACTGATAGAACAGCAGAAGATTTAAACCCAACAGGCTGATGTAACACAACAAAAAGAAAAAGATTTGGAGAATTACTTTGTAATATTACCAGAATAAAGAAAATACAGTTGTAGAATTATGAGATTAGAACTTAATTTATGAAAATTATTCATAATATTATCAAAATAAAGCTGTAATGCCACAGGGGAATGTCATACATTACTGAAAAAAGTCCTTATTGTTGGCAATTTTTTGTGTTGAGATAAAAAAAAGGAGCCTGCAGCTGCCTGACCTTAAATGTGGTATGTGAGGCATCTTCTTTAATATAAATTCCTTAAAATCACGAGTGCTTGATTTTTTTTAGCAACAGAGTTATAGGCATCAATTGTGCAAGGAACAGTCTATTATCAAGGTGGGCAAGCTAACAGGTTGTTCATTGCATGAGATGAGGAAACCCTATCACCCATAATTGAACTGAACTGATTTTACAATGAAACAGGACAAGTAGCAAAGGGTCGAGGCTGGAGGTCAAATCAGTAACTGCTGTGATGAGGTAGCCTCTATACCTGAGGCTCTTAAACTGCTATACTATTGGCACACCTTTGGTAACGTTTTGACTTGATAGACGTAAGTGTATCATTCCCAGAATAACATCATTTAGAGGATATTTGGTACAAAACATTAAGACTAGTACCAGTCTTCTGAACAATCTAGACTGATACCAACATGTACGCAACGTGAAAAGTTAAAGGTATATCCCGGCGTAAAATTGATTTAGGGTCAAACACACCATAACACCGAGTTAGTTATACCAACTTTAGCAACGATCGCACGACCGTAGCAATACACAGCGGTCTAAGGAGCCATGCACAAACTTCAAACAAAAAGCAACTCTATAGCCACAAATAATGCTCAGAACAGCACCTAACTTCATCAACAGTACATGTAGGGTCCCAGCCAAAGCACTAGCCATCAAACATCTTTTTAACTTTGCCTAATTTCTTTAGCAAAGAAACTAAACGCAAACACCCACTCTCTTCCAGCAGCCACTTGTTTGTAGGGAGGACAAGTCCATCACCGACTGCAGCGGGGTGAAGCAGCTCAAGGAAGAACATTTATGATCATTTCTTTATCATATTAATCATTTTGCACTGCAGACGTGGTAGTTCTTCTGCCTTAGCGTCTCAGTCTGATTGCATTTCCATGAAGAAATGATCATAAATGTTCTTCCTTGAGCTGCGTCACCCCGCTGCAGTTGGTAATGGACTGGTTGAGGCTCCTTAGACCACTGTGTATTGCTATCATGCGGTCATTACTAAAGTTCGTATAACTAGAGAAACAAGTGGTCGGCAACCTTCATCTCGTGAGGGGGTGTCTAACTTGGTGTTATGGTGTGTTTGACCCTAAATTAATTTTATGCCGGAATATCCCTTTAACCAAAAAAATTAGATTAGAAGATAGAGCTCGACAAACCTATCAGAGTGACAGACATGTCAAACAGGCTACTGGAAGGCTAGGTGTTTACTGTAATGCTTCAAAGTGAAACAACTGAGTTGACTACTCATCGACTTATCTTGAAATAGACAAAAGCCATCACTCCCACCTGTGCTGTTTTTGTATGCCTCATGCTTTTTGAGCAAGAGGCAGCATGAGCCCTGGTTGAGTCTTCTGGCAGTGGAAGACATGACTGCAGGGCCTTATTGTTCAACACCCACCCTGCTGAAGTATCCATGACATACGTCCAAATCTCTACAAGGTGTGGCAAGGTGTGCTTCACTCTGTATCGTAAATCAGCTTACCTTGAGTCTCAACCACTGAACAAATATTCAGCTGTTTAATTTATGACAAAAGATAGTAAGGCCAAGAGCCAGTGTGACAACAAGTGAGGATAATAGTAGTTTTACACAATAATAAGACCATGTTGACAGAATAACTAACATAATGACACTTTTGTTAACTTCTGATTGTAGTATACAGTGATCAGCCATAACAGTATGACCTGCTCTAAGATAAAGTGAATAGCATTGATTTACTTGGTACAATAACAGCCTGCCAGTAGGTGTGGTATGCTGGGCAGTGAGTGAACATTTGTTCTCAAATTGAATGTTTTGCAGCTCTTGTGGGTAGTTCCAATAGGTCTGCAAAGGCCAGCCCTGATCTGAACATATGTTTGCATCAAAAAACAACCTGGGTGCATTCTTTGCAAGGACTTGACAACTCTAAATCAATCTGTTGGTTTCATTTTGTGTAATACATATTTGGTTTTTTGAGCACTGGGCTCATTTGCATATGTTGATAAGTATGAAATCTTCTGGTTGTTTTTGATTTCTGAGGGAACTATTCAAAAGGACTCACTGAGCAAGCTTGCCCCAAGTAGATATAGCAGCGAGTCATGTGACGGTGAGCTTCAAGGCTGACTAGCTGGTTTAAAACTGTCCTTTTTGTGCAGATTTAGTTCTTTGTTGTAAACAATACAAGCATTTTTGGCATGACATCATTCAGTAGCTAACACTTGGCAACTAACTTACATTGTGTTTGTTTAACACTGACACCTCTACATTCAGTACATTCCTTAAGAGTGGCAGACATTTTGATTGATTGCAGAAATACCTCATTGGATTTTTTCTTCACAGTCCTCACATCACCCCTGCACTACGAGCATATTTGCAGAATGGTCAGGATTTGCACATTAAGGCCTGGATGTAAGAAAATGTATTGACAAACAAGGGTTAGCTTTGTGATTTTCTAACTCTAATGTTTCTTAAAAGTCTAGTTTCTTACTTTTAACTATTCATCAGTTCCCCTCACTCTCACTTTCTCTTTTTTGACCGGTGAATCAAAGCAGCAAATGAAAAGTTCTGAGGCAAGTAAGGAATATTCAGAGTATCAAATGGCCTCACTTGATGCACAAATATAGTTTACTGGAAGCAGCATGATTGAGTGACAATCGACAATCCGCGGTATTGTGGTATCTTCAGTCCCTGGACCAGTGATAGATGGTGTTTCAGGTTCAGTCCTGTGAGTCGATGGTTTTGTAAAGTTTATTGCTGATTGCTACCTTACTTAACTGCAGCATCATCTGCCATTAGCCTGCTGGCATTTATGTCCATGTAACTATTTCATCTTGGTGCATCTACTGATATTTCAGTTTGGGAAAAACACCACTTCTCTTTCTATAATCTGCACAACTAATCATTTTGATTCAAGATTCAAAATCCAAACAGCTTCAATTACCCAGAAAAACAAAACAAAACAAACAAACATCAACGCAGTGCTCAGTGTGCATTGGTGGATAATCTACACAACTTCATCACCTCAGTCTAAGAATAGTTACTCTTTGTCAAATATTATTTAAAGATTATTCAAATACAAATGAGAGTTGCTTAATCAAATTGTTGCTTGATTAGAAGTACTTCAGTACATGTTTTTAAATATATACAGTACATACATGTGAGGAGTTTTTCATTTGTATCAATTTTGGGAATCTTTTGACACAAAATCTCATCCTGCTGACTTGTGACTGTCAAATGTGTAATTTATGTTAATATTTTAGGTGGAAGTTGTAAAAACAGGGCTGTTGTTTAAGCTTCTTGGCAGACACCTACCCACTCATCATTTCTTTCAGGCATTAAAAATTGACAAGGCACAGATTGTTGATCTTGTTACTTGTGGTCTTTCTTTGCTTTGGGTAACATGAAAAAGCATTGATTTGAGTTTCAGTGTATTTCGTACAAGTCTTAAGAGCTTATATTGTTTGAACCGACCTTTAAAAATCTCAAAATGTTGTTTTTCACAGTGAATGGGTACAGTCAAAGATGTATGGGTTGTATTCTGCCGAGCTAAGTTTCTTTGGGTGACAATAACTACAACTATTAAACTTACATGCTACAGATTTCAAGATTTGTAGCTCCATATTAATAAGAACTAAGATGAAAACAAAAATAAATACCTAATGACCAGAGGAAATGTCAGTCAGGTTTCAAACGGTGAGACAACATTCACATTTTATCAACATGTCATTTCAATAGGTGCCATATGTTTGGTCTCCATTGAAACATCCTTCAACATGGGCTTGTGATCGGAATATGGGAGTTCGGGTGAAGAATCGTCATCTGTCTCTGCTGTTACTATTACTATCAGCACGGAATAAACTGCCTGATCTGAGTGTCTTTTGTTCTACATTCAACCATGGAGACATGTGACATACAGGTATGGAAACACCACTTAGACAAATCATATGCAAACCCACACAAACACAGTTTGGTTTCTTTCAAAAAGGAAGAGAAATTTGATCGGCTGAGCAACAGTAAGAAATATGAGCATTTATAAAAATGTATTGGTCCCAAAAGTATGATTCTGTCCTTAAGATGTAGTGCAGTCAAAATTACTTTTACTAAATTTATACTATTTTGTAGGAAATTATCTTATTTTTTCAGATAACTTAATATAGATTGTCAGAGTAATACCAAAAAAGCCTTTATCATTAAGTTAATATTGTCATTATTATATTATCCTGGTAACCACAACCTTCAAGGGCAACAAGACTGTACCATGGTAAGTAAATACAGCTCAATTGAATCATTGGTGGTAGTAACAGGGTTTCCTCAGCTCATTTATTGGGCTACAAGCCATAAATCCAGTGACATCATGTATCCGGTTCCTCCCTCCCACTTACTATTTCCCTGGAACACAACTGGAAGGAAACCAAGGAACTGGAGAATAAGAGTTACATTTACAAAACACAACACTGGGGTAAAAACGAAAGATTCAAAGTAATGTGGGTTCTGTGGTATTAAAATTCAAACACCCATATTTCACAAAAAGACGGATTGTTGGCTGTCCATGGTGGACAGATAATTTAAGGTACCTTGAACAGTTAGAAGGTCGTTTTAATATCATTTTAAAATTTACCAGCCAACAATCGATGATCTTACAGATGAGGTAAAATATGTCTAAGTTACACAACAAATTAAGAGGCTCATTTGAGAACAGATGTGTCGATAGCTTTCATTCAAAGACATGATATGGGCATTTGTAAATTTTTACAGGACTGTTTTTAAACTCTTGGTTCTTAAAATCCATTTTGGTTCCCAAACCCCTGCTCCTTAACTTCGTAAAACTTACTACTTCAGCAGAAGTTTTAATTCTGTTCCCCCACAGTGATGTCGAGAAGCTGCATCATTTCTGTAGAAATAAGATGGTCATTAAAAAAAAAGGTGGGCTCTCTTTAAGGCTCTGCGCCCTCCTCCATTTCTCTGCGCGCAGGAGGAGGAGGAGGGGGAGGTGAGTTGGAGGAGCAGGGAGGGAGGTTGGGAGGGGTGAGCGTGCGCCCTCGGCAGACAGTCAAGCGCAAAAGACACACGGCTCATCCGCTCGCCTCCCCATTGACGTCAGTCCGGTATCACATGAACGAGGAAGGACCAATCGGCGCTTCGCTGCCGTAGAGTGCTGGCTCCTTCACACCGAGATAGGGGAAAAGACTGAATAAAAGGAAACCGAGCCAGTGATCTTGTAATGTCCACGAAAGCTCTCAGAGGAGCCTAGACCCGCCGCCATTGGATATTTCTCCAGTTTTCTCCTGATCCTCTCGTGGTCCTCGCTGTGGATTATTGTGTTTGGCACCGGGGTGGACGGAATGGATAAGGCCATGGCCCTAACATATTGAATAGCTCGCTGGTGGTGGGGAGGGAGGCGAGACGCGCACCGTGGAGACAATTCATGGGGCATTGTGCGGGGAGGAAAATGGTGGATTATTTGCACTGTATCATAAAAACCCTTCCCCGCGTGGATATCCTGCTATAGGTCGCCGTGTTGTGGCGTTTCTGCGCCTGTCTTGGCCGAGTCTTCATTTCTGAGGTCGTGTTATAGCGGTAGGTAGGTACCCCCTCCCTTCACTCCCCCCTTCAGCTCTCGATCCGAACGACCTTACCCGTATCTTTATTTTGTAAAGCCTACATGTTGAAGTTTTACATAGCGACCGCTGTCTGACAGAAACATTTGGAACCAATAAACCGCTGGATCACAGGACTATGGATTTCAACAGCGGCGGCGGAGGAGGAGGCAACGAGCTGCACAACAACCAGTTTTATCAGTGCGAGGAGAACAAGCCTCTGCTGGGGGAGATGTCGGAGGGGAATAATAACACCAAGCTGGGCGCAGGGCCGTGCAAGAGGTCCCTGCACCACAGCAGCAGTGGGATGCGATACAAGCTACTCCACGAGGGGGACATCCAGGTGTGCGTGGTCAAACACCCCCGCACCTTCCTCAGCAAGATCCTTACCTCCAAGTTCCTGCGGAGATGGGAGCCGCACCACCTCACGCTCACAGACAGCAGCCTGACCTCGGCCACGGTGAGTCGCTTTCTGGCCTCCTATGTATGTAAGAGCGCGTCTGAGTGAGTGAGTGAATATGTGTTTGACTTCGTGATATGTTGTGTTTCACATTCCACAGGCAGCTTTGGTGTTAGTCTTTTCTTGTCTGGACGCAGCAGACGCGCGCTGAGATTACGCACAGTCTGTTGTTGACGCAGTTTACAACAGTGTTTCTGATAGCATCGGCAACACTGTTGATGTGGTCCGAGCCCCTCCACCCTCCTCATCCACTGCTCTCCATCACTCTGTTACTGTGTGTGACCCACAGATCCACAGTCCTCACATTGGGGCGCAGAGGATGCTCTAGGCCCTCTATTGTGGAGATTCCTAAAGTGTGCGCATGTGTGCGTTTATTTGGGTCAGTGCTCTGCTCTAGGATGCTTCCAGCAGGTTTCAACTCTCAATTTAAATTATAGATCAGCGAAAATCTCCTCTGTTAGGCTTTGGAAATAAAACCCAGCTGCAGGGGGTCAAGGGGGGCTGCTGTGTGACATGGCACCAGAAGTGGACTCCTGCAGCCTGCAACCACAGAACAAACTGGTGATCATGTGTTGCCATTCAGCAGACTAATGCAAGGAGAGGTTGCAGTGAGAAAACTCAATTTTTAGTGACCTTGGCATCATTGTCAGTCAAATAATCATGAATCGTTCTTCTCTTTTGTGAGTTTAGTAGCCTGTATTGATCAGCTGCCAGGCCTACCTGTCAGATACCAAGTGTCTCTTATATATTTAGATTTTTTTTTCCTCTCTGAAGCTGACTGATACCAAAAGGTGTGGTATCTGATACCCACAGCATCAGCACAGTGGTCAAATAACAGCTGTTTACTTGTCACTCAACATGGTGCAACATGATTCATTGCTGTGATGGTTTTAGGCCTGACTCAGGTTTAACCACTTGTTAGATGAAGAAAAAATAAAAAACAGAAGCATGCCACAGAACTTTTGAAAAAAATATTTTGTTTCAGTCAGCTACAACAAATTTGTCACCTCTGCCACAGAAACCATCTTGTCACAGGGTGTTTCCAGAATTTCTTTAATTATATTGCACTGGTGTTATTTTTGATCATCATGTCGTAAATGCTAGAATTAAGTTTTTCTTTTGCCCAATGCAAGGTTAAGTTGCATCCGTAGTGGTCTTAAACGTCTTAACCGTCTCTGGTGGTCACACAGTGCAACTTGATAGCTGATATTTAAGGCTGAAGTTTCTTCAACCCAAATTGGAATTGAACAAGGGATCCATAAATACTGAGCCTCAGCCAATATTGGGGGCCAATAACAGTTTTTTTTTCCTGTATCATTTTATTTCGCAGGTCATAGATAAAAGAAATACACAAGTTTGGTTTCCTGTCCTGTCTGTCTTTCACTCTTGATCTGTTTTCATTTACCATCTAATATCCTGCCCACAACGCTATGTCGTTGGCCAGATTTTACACAACTGTGACACAATTATACCGTAACTGGAACTGGAGCCAGTTCACTATTAATGACAAAGGGAGTTTCAGAGTCCAGTTAACATGAACTAAAGGCTAAAGTGTTGTGTTGGTGTCTGTAATATTCCAAAAATTACTCATGTCTTTATAGATTTTTATTGACATAACCCTCCCTCCCCCTCCTGACCACCTATGAATTCTGAAACATCATTAATGGTAAAAAAAAAACAAAGCAAATATAATTGACAGATGATACATTCCATAATGACTGCAAATTGCTTGTCTACATCCACATGTTTAGATGTATGATACATATCTTCATATCATTAAAAATACAAAAAAAATACATCTAGCAGAAAAGAGGAATGAAAAAAAAAGAAAAGAAAGGGGATTATTGTCTTACTTTGTAAATACTACAGCTGAAGTTGATGGGATATCAGGTCTGGTTTCAACAAAGTGAGGGGATGAAAATTTTGATTTTGCCATAAATAAATTTTAGTTAATATCAACTATCATTGTCATAAAATACTAATGATGAGTATCAGCCCCATAAAAACAATATCAGTCAATTCCTAATCAGAGACAATCCAAATTAAACGATTTCTGTATTTTAAAGGGAATTAAAATTTGCTATTTTCATCGCCTAGATTATCCTCATTGTCTGTACTGCAAAACTAGCCCCAAACACTGAACATATGCTCACAATACAGGAATAATCATAGTCACCATGTACTAGACACCAAGTACTAAACTTCACAAGACTCAGGTCTGCCGGAATCGGATGTAATTGCGGAATAATTCCAAAACAACAAAGCCTTTATTTCCTCTTCTCTTATTGTCAACACCTCTGACATTTCCACAAAGCCCAGCCCTATTGTTTTATCAACACACCTTGTTAGAGGTTTTTTGGATGTTGGCCTATCACACCCACACACAATATGAGTGTGCAGAAATATTTACTGCAGGGTAAAATGTCTTGAAGATTGTTTTCGTTGAAGAAAACTCTTGTTGAAGTACGTTGGGAAAAAACCCACCTGAACTTGGCCTACCTTACATGGATTTATTGATTTTCAGTTTCTTGTTCCTCAAACAGTTTCGTGAGTACATTTGGGAGTATGTATCAAACCTAAATTTCTTCACATCTATATTGATTTGGTGTTTAATGATAATTCATACAGGTTCCCCTTTCTTTTTTTCCATTAACATTCATTGTTGTTTACTCCTGCACACCAGCCTGTTGTTGTGTGGTGACATAAGTAAAAGGCACCCAGAGAGGATGTTGTTAATGATCAATGAATCAACATGCTTGGGTAGATAAAAGTTGATCATGAAGCATTATGTAATGGAAGCTTCCTCTTTGTGACTTTCAGTGTAAACATACCAGATTGCTTACGAAATCCTCACCATTTCATTAAGAAAAACACAATCTGTCTTCACTCAACTAATACATCAGCTAATGTTATGGATATATTAATAACAGTTTTTTTTTTTTTACCAGATATGAAAACTATTTAAAGGCCAAATTGAAAAAAAAAATAGACAATGCTTAAGGTATTGTGCATGATATCACCTAGTTTCATTCATAGTGCTCACAGTATCTTCTGCTGCTCATATAGCAGATGATCACACTTGTGAAAACAATATTGTATAGAAGAAAATTCCAGTTGCATTTATGCAGTTTTTGTTTTCCTGTGACTTTATAGCAGGTAGCTGCTAACCAGGGTGGATAAACCTACTGTGTGCTTGGGTGAGATACCAGAACTGACTTGATGTACTTAATGGAAATCTCCCCATTATTTCTATTTTTGGGGTGCACAGGACAAGAAGAACATCATATTGAAATATAAGCCGTACCTGGAGGATGAAAACGTCTAAGCTGCTAAGACCTCTATTTTATATTTGAAGAAGCATGTACAAGCTACACATTTACAATACTGACCTAGAGAAGGAAAAAGATGCTAGTGGTGCTACAGCCCCCAAAACAGTGATGACTAGCTTTTAGCTCAACTAAAACTGTCACTCAGAAGGAAAGGAAAGAGTTTATTGCTTGTTTTGTGGTGAAGGAGTCCACAAAATGCTTCTTTAACAGAGTATGAGGCCATCCAAACAGCAGAGCCGAGAAGAGGACATTAATCTAAAAGCAGATTTTCTGTTGGTTTCCTGGAAAAATACAGTACAGGGATGGTTTACCAACAATGGTGTTAGAGAGACGGAGAATAGGCTGTGGTCTCTTAAGAAGACGCTGCTCTCAGCACTTATACTTCCTTGTCATTGTTGGAAGTGACTATAGAGCAACTGTAAGTGCACAAGGTCAGCTCTTACATTTGTTTCATTAAATATCAGGCACCTGAGTCACAACATGCAGAGATAAGTCTTTAGACCATCGCTGCCTGTTCTGCCCTCTGTCCTCTTATTTTATTTGTGTGTTTACCCACGTCCAGATAAAGACAGCAGCGCACACACCACTGTAATAGGCAGGACTTGGATATTTGCTTGGCTCTATTTGTTAGTATTTAAAGTTAAACTAACCTTCAGCGAAAAAAAACAAAAAAAACCTTTCTTTTTTAGGCTCTTTCTGTTGCTGTTCCCATTTTGTATTTGTATTTTCAAGTAGGGTGCAGTGAACTTGGCTAAATGTCAGTAAATTTTTATTGATTGTGAGAAAGTGGGGCAGAATACGAACTTTGGCCAGTCAACAGCAGCCCTCAGCGACAGCCAGGAAATTATCTCTGTGGGAGCAGGGATTAGGTCAAACTCAGTATTTCTACATCTCTTAGATCAGGATTCATGGACAGTGGGTTTTGTCCCAGAACGGCCGTTGCTGTGGTTTTAGTTTTGTTTTCTTCTGAATTTGTTGGTTAAGGTTTATTTTTTCACTTGGACTCCATATCTGTTTACTCCAAAACAAATTCATTAGGGTTTCTAGACACTGGGAGTTTAAAGTTTTGAATATTAAAGCACATACAGATTAATAAATGCCAGGCACCAGATATTTCTCTGGACTGTTTGTCATTAAGAGAATGGCAACTGGTGATGTTTTTTTGTTTTTTCCATCTAAAAATTAGGCTCCTCCTTTAGGCTCTTCCAAGCAGTATCTTTCCAAGAATCTCACATGCTTAAAGTAGCTGCTTTATTGTCTTTGCTTCAAAGAGCCAATAGGTAACACCCACTGTCTGCCTGAGACCTGCTGTCATAAATTATCCTGTAAAACCTTCAGAGACTCATGGAAATGCTGCTCTGCAGGTTTACATTGCTCTCTAAGTCTTATGTCAGATGCCTTAGGTCCTGGATATTTTGTTCACGTGTAAAAAACTTTGTCTAAAACAAAGTCTGTCTCTGTCCTTTAATGAACCAGAAGCTGCTTTGTATTTCTGACAGGAGACCAATTCTTTTTATAAAAACGGATGATGCTCTTTACTTTGTTCTCAAAGTCATGTTGGTGATTTATCCAGAAAATATCAGTGTATGCACCGATCACATGTCTTGTTGGCCGGTCGACGATGTCACATATTCTCCTCTCTGTGAGGGCTGAACTATGAGGAAGAGGGTTTTTCTATTCAGGGTGAAGCATGAATGTGCATTTCCTGAGAGGAGATGTTGTTGTGCTTGGTGTCGAACTGAGCGGTTATGTGGGTAGGAGAACAATGCTGACCCGTTTGCTCTGCTCTCTCACAGAGAGACCACTTCTTCCAACAAGGAGGCAAAGAGCATTGACTCTGCGTCCCCATCAACATCCCCACACACGACGAATTACTGAAATGATTGTGAGAAAAGAGCTTTGTGAAAGTGCAAGGGGCTGCCAAGAGGGATCATTAGTTTCTGTTACAAAAATCCCACAAATCCGGTTAAAGCAAACTGTTAAATCCTGCTAATATCTTATTTAGAAAGCTGTATTCAAAATGGTTTTATGTCATTAAATCAAGCGCGTATTTATTTTTATTTATATATTTTGACTGTTTAAGGAGGAATTAACACATGGGTGAATGCTAATTCTCACAGAAGACACAAGAAGCGGTGACTCACTTTTCTTTCTTTTGACAGACCTGCCTGCCACCGCTGCAGTCTCATACCTAACCTACATCACATTTGCGTAAGAAGGGCGCCAGTGAAAGCAAACACTTCCTGTCTTACGCCTGGCTCACAAAGGGCTCAAGATGAAAGGATTCTGGTCTTGTTGTGAGCATGAGGGGCTCTTCATTGGCAGGAAGGCGACAGACAGGATCCTTTTAGGAATCAATAAGGGAAACTGAAGTGCTTTCTGATTATGTATGAAGCCTGAAGTGTCAAATGATCACTTAACAACTAACAAGGTACATCAGGCATGTGTTTTTAATGAAAATACTTTTTTCGTTTGTGATCAGTACATTAGTCAGCTCTAGTTTTACTTTTATTGAAGATCTTATGGGGGTTTTATCAGCGAAGAATAATCAACTAACTTGCTAAGGGAGAAATTGATATGAATAAAACAGCAAAATGTTCATTTGCTGCTTCATCTTAAGTGTGCTTCTCTGTTTGGCTTCAAATGAAGTCTAAAATAACTTACCGAGTGTGGAGAGACTAATACTATTCAAGAGTGTTTCGCCCCCCCATCCATGTGAGCAGTTGATGCCAAAACATTGGAGACCCACTCGCACTTCTTTAATTGGGCATACACGGCCCATTGAAGACGCCACCTTTACACTTCTTGTTAATACAACAACATTTTCTGCTCTGTTAAAGCCTGATTGGTCATTCACAGGTGGGTGCCATCAGGTCACAGCTCTCAAAAACAAAGCAGATAACAGTCAGATGTCATTTTGTCATTTGATCTGAGCAACGTAATAAAAGTTTGAGAGGAAGAAGATCTCCATTTGGCGGTGGGAATCACGCACCAGTGTCTCCCCCCTTACAATGTGGGACAACATAGTCATTCTGTAGATGTGATGTGGTAGGTCGCTTAAGTTTGAAAGGTTTGGAAAGACAACTTAAGTTGCAAGAATTTTTATTGCATTTTCACAAGTTCTGCACTAAAGGAAGTTCAAAGAGTATCTCCGTTGTTATCAGCCTTAACATCTTTACTCTTAACCCTGTTTCAGCACTAAGCCTGCAAATTATCATGAACATGATTAGTGTCTTCACATATAAGGAAGAACATGATGCTGTGTATTTCACATATTCATACGCACTGTCCTGGTAAACCCCGTCTGCTATTACTCACTACAACGTGCGTTAGTCATGTGGATGTCACTTTTTATTCAAGTAACACAAATGCTGTTTTTTTTCTCCTTGTGGCAGTTAACTAGCAGTACAGCTCAGCTAGTGGAGCAACACTGCACCGCAGCTTTGACACAACATATGTTTGGCATGTCAAGCCTACAAATATATAAAAACATTAATAAGAACTTAAAAAGATGATTGCTTTGTTGCTAATCTGAATCCAAAGGGAGATAATTCTTAACCCTACCCTGTTTTACTGCAGCCACCAAACCAAAAAAGTAAGACTGTCGTTGATACCAAACTTAAATTACACAGAGGAATCTGACACTGTGTGTGGATAAGGATAGTGTACAGGGCAAAGACTATATATGGAACGGGCAGCGTCTGCCTCCTCATTGGGTGAAGCCACTCCGTGAACAGCACCCTCTGGTGACGGGCTGCAGTCATAAATCCTGCCTCCACCAGCCATTTCTTCGCCCCCCTGCTACGATGTTGACATGTAGTTACAGTAAGACTGGTTTATGCTCAAGTCCTCTTTTTTTCTGTGCAGCTCCATTTTTAAAAGTTATTAGGGGTTTCATGTTTTCTATGATTGACACTTAAAACAGCGTATTGGTGTACAAAGATTGGGTAGCTCACCCGGGAGATACGCTGTTTGAGCCACAGTGACTCTTTGCGACTCTCCTGCCGAATGCGTACAACGCTACTGCGCAATGTTGGTTTCAGGAAGTGGAGAAAAAACACGGAATTACCGAGAGCTTTTTGGCTTCAAATCTGTACACTGGCGGAAGGCGGAACCAAGTTGTCCGTACTGTATAGGGTCTATGGTATCGGGCTGGTAGTGTCTTTTTCTTTGCTGATGCATAATCAAGGGATTTTATGAATAAAGTTTATATCCAAATCAACTGCTCCACACGTCACTGAGCAGAAGAGGCACAAGATAACTGTCACCAGACCTTGTTGCTGGTAATGGTTTAATTAAAACAGAAAAAAGGGAAGAGAAACAGCATGCAGTGAGAGCAACCTGTGATCTTGTACACACACACACACACACACACACACACACACACACACACACACACACACACACGCTCCGAGACACGGGGGGTTTGGAAGGCTCTGGGCAGACCTCCAGGACATTCTGCTCTACGTGTTCGTATACAAATAATGGATCCTCCCAACGCTGTTTGAACAATGCAGCCATTAGGCAAAGATTTGAGTTACAGCCGGGAATGATAGCGCTCACTGCCAAATTGATTTACGATATTTAGAATAGAGTCATTTTGCCCTGTTATGTGTGTCAGTGTGTGGTGGATGAAGTGAAGACAGACAAATAACAAACAACAGAGTAAGGAGGAGAAAAACCATGACAGGGATGGAGACTGCAGCCCTTCAAAGGTTAGCCTCCTTTTATATCACTGTTGAAAGTCTTCGAGGAAACTGTGTCTTGTTTTTAAGTCAAATGAAGACGGCTGTTGTGCACAGCCACTTGGAACTAACAGCTGATATTTTTCAAGGCCTTTATTGCGTATTCTGGGGTGTAAATGACAGACTAACAGGTCAAAGAAGGTTGGTACTCCTTTTGATAGCTTTAGCCAGCAGCAGCCGAACAGGCTTTGATCGCTGCATCACAATCATGTAAGGCAAATGCACCCAGCTTTTAATCGCGCAACTTGTAAGGTGAAGCTGAAGACCCTTTGAGTGTTAGTAAGCAGTATGACCGTTTTTTGGTGGGCAGGGCTTAGCTAGAGGCATAAGACATGCTAACCAGCAGTAGCTAGCAAGTTGTTTTTGGCTGGTTTTTGAAACCCATACGCCCTAAAATGCCAAAAGTGAGTAATGATAGTCCTTGATACTGAGGACTTCATCCATCCACACAACTGTATAGGCTACATGTTGAACAATGTGTGCACTGCATGTGCAAGCATTCTCAATAACCCCCTAACCCTAACCCTGTGCTCTTACAGCACTCTTAGTTAGGAATAGTCCTTGTCATTATCACTTCTTTATCACCAACCAATCAAAATCAAGAAGGACAATGATGCCTGATATCAGCTTTGTCAACAACAATGGTTCATATGAAGGAGAAACGAAACACACTCCTTTTTCTGAGGCACAATTTCTGCTAACCAATGAAAATGAAGCTTTAAGAGTTTTTTTTTAAAACAGACTTTTCACCAGTAATGGGGAAGAGAGAGCACTGCAGGTGACTTTCATCAAACTTGCATCAGGAGGCTCTTGAGTGTAAGAAACACTCTGAAATTAAGGTCATGGGCTCTATGAACGCAAAAGTATTGTAATAGTAATAATAGTAGTAGTATTGTTTATGCCATGTACAGGTGGAGTTTAACTAAAGTAAAAAGAGACAGTGTAAGCTCAAATGTTTTGGTTTTATGAGAAATACATAGCATAGCTTCAGAAAATTCAATTTTTTTCAGCTAGATGATTGCTAGAGACCTTAGTTTGAATTTGAATTATGGACTTGAATTTATTTATTCAACAGGAACAATGCAGTAGTTCCATAATAGAGAATGAATCTGACATGCTGACTTGGTATTGGGAACAACCAGAGTTTCAAAAGGGGGATGTACACAGACAGAAATAAAGATCTGGAATACAGTATTTTACAATTTATAGAGGGGTCAGTGATCAAGTTTTGCTTTGAGATGCATTAGGATCCATACGTGAATCATCCCATCCAACGAACTGCAGTCATAGAAAAATTAATAATCTTGAAAGACAGGCTAAAGAAATACAAATGCAGGCAGGAGACTGTTAAAGAGTAAAGTTGAAACACTGTCAGGAAAGGGTTAAATGATATTTAGACCATGGCATCGAGTAGAAACCACAACTAGATTATGTGAACCAGCTGCTTATCATGTGCAACATATTAAAACTAAAACATCAAGTCAAGAGCAGTCTTTTTTATGTTGGCTGCCTTTTAAGTCACTTTTCACTATTAATTAAAACAAATAAAATAAATAAATAAAAATTAATAAAAAATAAAGCAAATAAAACTTATTTTTCTTGTAATTATTATTATAAGCTAAACTAAAAAAGGCAGGACATGGCATTTTGCATAGACAGCTGACAGCTGGGAGATTTCGTGTTACTTAACGATGTAAAAAGAGAAGTGCTAGTAATGAGTGATCCGGCCCCTTTTTACTGACGTCTGAAGCTCATTCACATGTGGCCCTGTCAGACCACAATGAGATACAATGAGAAATGAAACTCTGGCCTAACTTTGAATGTCAAACTTCAGTCTAGTTGAAGCAGACTCTAATTTAAGAAATGGCCCAACTACAGTTTGTCTTTTTCCAGCCACACTCTAAAGGCTTAAATTTAGTGTGTTACGCAACAACAGTTGTTATCAGTTCAGTTTTAATTTGCTCAAAACTAAAGGGAGGGATGCGAGACAATGAGTGACGATGAACCTTAAGACGAGCTTAGGCTGAATGCAAAGTAACCATCATCAGTCTGTGTGAATTGGCATGCAGGTACATCAATGCAAACTGTTTTTTTATTTTCACTTCCTGCAAAAGTGATATTTCCTAATTCATTGTCCTTTTCTTAATTTTTACCTTCTATTTAGTTTCACATATCGAATAGGTAATTGGTACAGAAAGTTTTGGATTTGCTTCAATACTCTTCTGTGACATGCAGCTGTGAGACAGCTGTGACGTTGGCCTTTGGAATGAATGCACTGGAAGTACTTGCTTGTTTTCTGCACACAGTAATGCTCAGACTGCAATTCAGAATGTCTGACAACATTATGGAAAGGATCATGGAAGATTAAGATCTTTTTTTTGTGTGGCTAAATGATTCGTTTTAATCTAAAAGAGCCATTTGAGGTTCACTTTAAAGCCACTGGACTCCAAAGACAAATAAACCAGTTTTGTTTACAGCAGACAGGAGGAGCTGCTCCTCTGCCACTTATCCCTGAGTTTGTTTGTATTTCTGAGTGGCATTGTTTTTAGGCTTATTATACGGAAGATTCCTTTTTTGTGCTTTGATGCCGTTTTTAAGGCAAGGGTAGTAAGTAGGTAGTGAAGAAAACTGGAAAGCAAGAGTGAGAATGACCTTCCATTCTATAAAGCACGGATGTAGTCTTGGTCTCGTCATCATTGGTTTCTGATGAGGGGTTTTAAGGCCAAACAATGTAGGTCACTATACTGGAAATGCTGACTCAGCCGAACTTTTGGTTAACCTAAACACATGCAAAGAGGTGGAGTTGTGGCAGGTTTTAAAGCTCCTGGCAAACAACTAAATCACACCCATCTGTGAGTCAACTCAGCTATGCCCTTATTATGCAAAACTATGCACTCAACTCCTGGGGCTCTATTTTGGTGCCTCGCCGGAGATCTGCCGCAAGCGCAGCGTCAATCAGATCCGCCGCGCTGACAAGGCGTTCCCAAGCACATTTTGGTATTTTGGTGAGCCGCGCAGCCCGGCGTAAGTATCCCCCCTCCCTAACTCAGCTCCTCCCAGCACCATAAGTCGGAGAAAGGGCGTGTAGTGATTTTAACAAAGCCGAGACCTGTTTTCACCAATCACATAAGCTCCTCTCCTTGCCTTTAAATCCGCCACCGGCGAGGCGTATTACTATTTTCATGAAGTAGTCAAAGAGATCAAGAGATGTCTTAAGACAGTAATGCCACAAGATGGCGACAGAGGGCAGCTGCTCAACAAGTGTCCTCCACACTCTCTCATATGAGCACAGATGGATTTAGTGTGCGTAATGTTGGTCCCACTGGTAAGACAAACACCCTTTTCCACAAATAAAGACACTCACATAAAGTTGCTCATATTCAAACCTCACGTGACAAAGGTGGGTTTAGCGCACAGATCACAACATAAACTCCAAAAATGGCATTAAAATTGGAACCATCTGTGCGTAAATGACGCATCGCGCTCCGTGGCCTGGCTCTTTCTTTCATAGATGTTGGCATATAAAATAAATTTGGCTCACAAAACTGAATATTATAATATCCGTATGTCGGCTTAAAGTAGATCACGCATCTGAGCACTGAAACAAATCATCTGTTCAGTCGCAGCAGCAGCAAGACGGACAGAGGACACGGAGACGTGTCCAGGTCGAGCTGTGCGAGAAATAAGAGGAAGAGGAAGAAAGAAAAGGAGGGAGACGAATTACATATCTTGTTAACTTCATCATGTGTGTTTATTTACTAGATATTTAATTTAATTTGATGCGGTTTCAGCTGTGTTGATTCGGTCAGGTTGTGTGTCCAAACGCGTGCCAAACGCGCTCATCAGATCAGATATAGATCAGAATATATCGATATAGATCTAAATGTATGTGCTGACTCAGATTAATAGTTGTTGATGATTATTTATTGCACTGAAATGTGCCTGACACTGTGGAAACCTGCCGGTGAGGCATCAGTGACGTATGTCGATACGCCGCCGGTCTACCAAAATACTACTAGACCAGCTGCGTTCCGCCTTGCGCTGAAAGCTGACCAGGTTTGAATCGGCGAGCTTTCAGCGCACTTTACACGCCGTTGGCGAGCACGAAAATGTCACTGCGCCAGCTGATTCTGTCAACACCTCCCCCTGCCACACCACCACGCCCAGCTTGGCGGATCTCGGCTCGCCTCCGTGCGGCTCATGCCACGAAAATACCAAATTGGCCTTACGCTGGGCTCCGCCAGACGAAAATACAACTGCGCGGGGCTCGCCGCCCTCCGCCGCCTCACCGGCGCGAACGAAAATAGAGCCCCTAGTCTTAATACCTTAAGAACTGTTGAGTTTAAAAATTATCACCCTTTACAGTGTGTAATAAGGAAACAAGCCGGCTTGCTGTTAACATGCTTATTTCTACCATAATAATGGGCATCTTAATATGGTTGTTGGTTGGGATCCCATGGCTTTTGCAGCCAGCCTCAAGTGGACACTCAGGGAACTGCAGTTTTTGCGCAGTGCATTTGGTGTCTTTTTTTTTAAACGTGAGATTGCCGCTTAATGATGATGTGTGGGAAAGGGCAGGGGGTCTGACTTGAACGCAGGCTGCCAGCTCTAAGAACTGAAGCCTCTATGTATGCACTAAACTTTAACCACTAAAAGCTATGTGCCTTGTATTCCTTTTTTTAACTACAACCTTCCCCGATGGTTGGCACATTCAAGCTGTATTTGAAACTGTACCTTTATCTTCAAACATAAAACTGAGAGCACAGCTTAATCTAGTTTTCCATCAGTTATTCTGCCTTTCTAAGTGTAGTTTTTGACTTGATCGCTGGGAGCTATTGTAACAGCACACACCAGTTTTTCATTGTATTGACGGTACTCCATTTTCTGGTTGATTTATGTTGATTTGTGTGATTGTTGCTGTGTTATTTGATCACATTTTGGCTGTTGTTGCTGTTGTTATGGATATATCTGTCTGTCGCTGGAGCCCTTGTTTGGATGTTTTCTATTTTGGATGTTGTTGCTGTTTTGTGTTGGTGATGAGTTCAAGCAGTTTAAGGCATGCTGATGTCAGTCAGTACACAGCTTCTTTGTCCACATCCCCCCTTTTCTTCATTTTTAGCTCAGGCGTTGATTGAGTTTGTCTTTTTCTTCTCTAGTTTAACAAGGAATAGAGAAAAGCACATGCATCTTCATTCCATTTCTTCCAGCAGGAAGAGTTTTGTCAGTCTTTTAGCTAATAGTCATATTGCATTGCATTTCTCGTGTCAGGCATTACTTAGTGCCCGTGAGGAAAGTGGGCCATCACTCTATAATATTAAAAAAATAAGCTTAATGCTACATTTGTGTTTATAATCCAATATTTTGCTTTTTGCTTATTGTTATTCAGCACATATTGTTCCAGCAGTGCTTATCACTTTCAAAAGCCAAAACACAACCTCGAATCTGATTTTTGTCCTAATTTCATTTGTCTTGCTTGGTTAAATTAAGTAACATTGCCAGACAAAGTAGAGGTAATAATTTCCTTTTGTTTTCCCTGAAAATACTGATTCAGGCATCTATACTTGAACAGCACACCATATATGAAAATAAGAGTCTTGTTTATGAACATAAAACTAAAACAGCCAATACAAAAACACTAAAATCACAAGAGTTAGTGTCAAGACCAAAAGATGCAAGTTGTGTTTGCCGCTACCTTAGCTTGTTGGTTGTGGTTGACAGCTGACTCCCAAAGCCTTTTGTATGACAGCTTTCATATTCTGTGCAGTGGTTAATTCACAGATGGTGAAACAAGTCAGCTGTTGAGTTGTCTTGAACAGCAGCTGCTTTCTAGCATAGTCTACAGATCAGCTTCTTCCGAGCAACATCCACCCTTTCAAAGCTGACTCATGTCTTGCAATAACCTTTAACAACATTGATTTTGAGGCCAGTTGGGTTTTTGTTTTGTCTTCTGGCGCAGTTTGTGTTCACTAGTTTTTTACTCCAGTAAAAACTGCCTTGTAGGCAGCTGAGTCTGTTGAGATGTAGCTTTATAATCTGAAAAAAAATCCAGTTAATAAATGGGGAAGGCCAGTACAATTTCTTGAATTTAGTTTGAATCATAACACTTTAACCCAGAGAAGTTTCTTGGAAGAGAATGTGCAAAAGGAAGCAGTGTGAAACCACACTGCTGTAGCACCACACATCTTACTCTACAAAGTGCTCTGTACTGTGTCCTCTGAGCAGGCCTGTAAGGCTTGTTGACAGTGTCTGCAGGTCAGCCCTTTGTTTTTGTCCTCCGAGGTTTATGAGCAGCAATTTGATTGTCCCTTCCAAATGGAGAAGTAGAGGGGCTTATCGTTCGGGGAAGTGACTCTTTGAGGCCTGGAGGCTTCACAGAAATATCCCACAGCTTCACATGAGCCCTGCAGTGTGTTTCTCTTACCAGAAGCATTAAGATTTTCATAAGTGCGATCAATCCTCCGGTTACATCAAGGGTCTATGAACAAACTCGGAGATCATATAACCTCTGATGCTCGCCAGATCTAGGTCACTGCTGAATGTCCTTTGTTTGGGAACTACTGTTGTGTGATTATTGGTAAATATAAGACCGATGGGGCACAGGATGTAAACTGATAATGTTTGCTTGATGACAGGAAGAGGAAAAAATGTGCACTCTGATGCCTCCTTATCCACTTGCTATCTGTGTTAACAGGAGGTTTGTGGTTGTGACTCAGTGTGATGCAAACAAACAGTGTCTCCAGGAGGAGGTTTTCACTGAGTGTTCAAAGTGTCTGCAGATACATTTTCTTACTTATAAGCCAAGGCAAACATTCTGCTTTTTTACTTGGATAACTCCCAGATGGCTTTGTCAGTAAGTCAAAAGTGGTATGCATTTGGTGTCAAATGGAATAAAAAATTTGAGGTATTGCTTTGAGTTGAGCTTCCACCTTTGAGGTATTATTCCTGTGCTGCTAATCAGACTGATATCTGTGGGTAACCCCAACCAAAATTGCAACAGAATGTAAAACTGGTGTTGTATAAAGTGGGGATCATTGAGAGACAGTGAGTGACTCAGTTAAAATTACCACAGAGTAACTGTACAGCATATTTACACAGGTTTTTGTGCTTGCACTACTGGATATTTCTTTATGTGTAACACTGTTATCCTTCAAAAGGACGTACTTAACAGATTAAGAAGAACTGCATCCTACTTCTAATGTCACGTTCACACCAAGCACAGGTAAAATAATTTGCGTGAGTGAATTACATGTCAAGTCAAAGCAAAGTTGGATTAGACACGCATTTTACTCAGGCAGTGTCAATGACGTGAATTTTGCGGTGTGAATTAAGCGTAGTATTCTCACGATTTAAGTGTGTAAACACACAGTATTGTCATGTCTAGATGCATGCGAATTAAGCAGAGGGTAGATGATTTTGTTTACACTTGGTGTTAACACAACATCAGCTGGTTTCAGACTTAACTGGTGCTGCAGTTGCAGCATTTATATGAGAATAAATCTGCGTGTCCTTATTTTTCAACAAAATTTAGCTTATGTAGGGACACACAGTCACAGATTTATATTCTTAACCAGCCATTAAATATTGCATTACCAACATACGCCTTTACTGATTCTCAGGTAGAAAATATATTGATGGAAGTTACATGGTAGTCATCATGTGGTCAGCATGTTTTACTTTTACACTAAGACACACTGCACTATGTTTACTTTTTGAACCAACTCGTTGTGATCCCACACACTGTTATTTGTTCTTCTGTTTCTTCCTTCATGATTTTTTTTCAGCACCTTGCATCTATAGTACAGAAATGGTGAAAGCAAGCTCATTAATAACCATCCAGTAAAAACATTGTGCACTGTGTAGCAGTCTGTCATTTCAGTAATAAAGCTGCTCACGTTTTTTCATGAGTCTTTTTGGCCCCTATTTTGACATGATAAATGATCATTTCTTGGGAATTTTAACCACGACTTTAAATATTTTCTACATATTCTGTTATGTAAGATTTTGACTTTTGTTGAAAAAATGATGATTCTTTTTCAGGTCATCCATCGGTTGTTTTTTAGAAATTCAGTGGCTGCATGTAAGGTTGAGAGATGCATTTTAAACACATATTGCAAACTGGTTTGCGGTTATGTGTGAAAGGAAACATAATTTTTACCTGAAGGTAACAGGTTAATCTTACAAATGTGACAAATTCACATCAACTGAAGAATAAGATCTTGAAACAAATAGTAGGCTTTTATGACTTTTGAATTTAGAAGACTGTATCAAAGATGGCTTTTGTCTCATCAGTGACAGAGCTACTTGTGTCTCACAGAGAAGTCATATGTTCATCTTGTGGTGCACTGAACATTTTTAGGCCAAGCTGTCTTTTGTCTTTCTTTATTCTACCTTCTTTTCTTTCTTAACCCTCCATCATTGCTTCCTGCTTCTCCCTGGAAACAAACAAAAAAAAAACATAACATACATCTCCATCCGCTTGTTTCTATGGCAACACAGCAGTGAGGAGAGGAGACAAACCGAGCTGTAACCTCCTTCAACAAACCCTCCTCCATGCAGGATGAAAGGCAGAATGGAAAGAAACACAGTGAGAGACAGAGAGAAGAGGAGATGACTCAAGAAAAAGTAGGAGACTGAAGAAAAAAAGAGATTTACAGCAAGAAAGAAAGAAAAGAAAAGATGCAGCCAGGAGAGAGAGAAAGGAAGGTAGAGAAAGACAGGCAATCAGTACTTGGTCGTGTTCAGGATGGAGTATCTATGGTAACCTCGGCTGGTTATCAGAAAATTGAAGCTCCCTGTGTTTGTCTCCGTTCTGCTCTGACTCTGTCTGCACCCAAAGCACATTCATCTCCTTCTTCAGCACACAACATTATATTCTGCTCTCCATGATACAGTCGTTAGTGTGGCACGTGCATCCAATTGAAACATGATGAAAATTTTCTGTTTTAGTAGTGAAGAGAGACGCACACACAGAGACAGGCAGGCAGAGGCCAACATTTACTCTTCCAGGGAAATGAGACATCCTGACCAGAACCAATATTTGCAATTCACGTTGTCTGTAATGACAATCCTGTATGATTGTGTGTGTGTGTGTTTATGTGTGTGTGTGTGTGTGTGTGTGTAGGGGGGGGCTCAGTTACAGATGGATGCAAATAAACACAACCACCTGACTGCAGAGCATCACCAGGACAGAACAACTACTACTGTGCTGTGTGTGTGTGTGTGTGTGTGTGTGTGTGTGTGTGTGTGTGTGTGTGTGTGTAGCAGAAAACAAAGGAAGCCTGTTTTGCTAAAATGCTAATATTAGCCTCAGTGAGCTGGATATTTAGTTATCTGTGTCTGATGTGACAGATATAGTTACAGGTATAGACCCATCACTAACTTTGGCCATGAGATATTTTTGTTCCCTTATGGTTATACATCAAATTGAGTAAAGTGCTAGCTCAGGCAGGCCAAAAAGTCAAGCTCAGCCCAAAGTGCATTAGCTAATCCTAATGCCAGCCCATATCAACCTTCTAGATAAGCTGATTACCTTCTAGGCATCCAATCAGCAAATGTCACAATACTGTTTTAATTAAACTGCTGTAGTCTGCTGAATCTTGCTGCTCCACCCACAAACGGCTTTGCAACCCTTCCTCCACTCCAGACCCACCTTTTCATGCTTTGTCTGATTTTAACTGCGTCTTGTGTTTTGTTAGCAGCCGACACACAAGACAGTTAAATCAGGAGATATCTCCAATAGGCTGCTATTTACACTCTTGAAAGAAAAGACACATTACAATCTGTGTTTACACTCAACTACCATAGCATTTCAGAGTATTTTTTGGATACTTTTTACAAACAGTTTAATAGTCTGTCAGAAGATGACAGCCATATCCAGATGAAACTTCTGCCAATGAAGAGGGTGATTTAGTATCTCATCTTTTCGAAATAAAAATGGTCTCAGAAAAGTGAAAGGAAAAAATTTTAATAACTCCCAGAAAGCATAGCTGCTTTGTAAGATGACGTCCACGGGGCCCACTTGTGGATATACAATTAGTCTCCCATCAGCAATAATTGGTACTAAGTCATGTCGTGACGCTAATGTCTGGGAAATCAACCAGTGATTCATTTACTGCCATTTCTGCTTTACTGACATGCACATGTCTTGTCTCGCTGTTTCCCCAAACATTTCTCTTTAAACTACTCCAGGGGCTTACAAGATATACAGACTTGGTTTCCTTGTGGTTTTCGCTGGGCCTCATTATTTTTATCTGGTTAGATATTCATTTTCTTCCCCCTCCCCCTCCCCTCCTCTCTAGCTCTCTTTCTAAAGACTCTTCTGTTCCTGAGCCCGGAAACTTGTGGTCATTTGTCAGCGTTTCTGTAATCATTTTGAGACGAGCAAACAGGTTGTGGCCTGTTACTCAGTTGCATCTGCTTCCAGCTTTCACAATGGAGAGAGAGCCTGGGATCAGAGCTCTGCATCACCACACCGGGTTTTCTCTCTGTGTGTGTGTGTGTGTGTGTGTGTGTGTGTGTGTGTGTGTGTGTGTGTGTGTGTGTGTGTTGACTCAAAGCTGCATCAACAGTGTCTTTCTAGGTGCTGTGTGTGTATTTGTCTGATTAATGGCTTTTGCTAAATTGATTTTCCACTTGGTTTCAGATATATTCTCTTCTTCTTCAGATGACACCACAGCTGATAAAGATTATTATGTGTGCGCTGCCGTCCTGTTGTATTTGGAGGTTTTGTTTGGCGTTGTGTTTACTCAGGGCAGGTTAGCCCAGGATATGTTTCTTTTTGTCTTTCCAGCTGACTGCCAGTAAAAATAACTTTCTTTTCTCCTCTGGCTTTGTCTGAATACACAGTATGTACTGTAAATGTTAGACAGTGGCAGACTAATATCCTCTTGTTTTCTTTTTCTTCTGTCCAGCCCACTGGCTACATGGAGACGTCATTGTCCTACAGCTCCATAGAAGACCTGCAGCTGCTGTCATGGGACAACGCTCCCAAGTACTGTGTCCAACTTAGCTTCCCAGGTGGCACCGTCCTGCTGCAGGTAACCTGGCAGACACAACAGTGACTCCTTAAGACATTTGCAGCTTTTATATAAGTGCAATTTTCCTGGTTATTTGAAATCTATCTCCTCTATCATTTGATCAGCTGTTCATACAGATTAGACTAATACCCTGAAATAACAGAGTGAAACAAAAACAAAACTAGAAACTAACTACTATGATATTTAAATAGGCTAGCTTGCTTGCTAAACAAGGTCTGATAGATCTTTTTAGGGCTGATATCACACTGATGTCACAATATTAACCGGAGGCAAACACAAACTGGCAACACGGGGCAGACGGTGACAATGGAGTCTTACGTTTCATCCTGTTGTGTCAAATGAAAGAATAAAAAGAGTAAAAAAAATAAATTGAATAATAAAAGACTCTGTTGAGGACAATATTTTCTCTTAATTGGGATTGCCGTAAGCGTTCCCATCGTACACTGAAAAAAAATGCTTTGTCTATTTGTCTTTTTTGATTTGAGTAACATTATATTCAAACTAAACCTGTTCTTCAATTCTACTAGAAGTTTCCTTGCTGTTATCTCCTAATGTATTTTAACAGTACCTGAGTATAGTCAAGTTGTAAACAGAGGCAAGACTTCAAAAAAGAACAAAAATTTTTTTACTTCAAATCAAATATATCCTGGTTGTAAATGTGGATTAATTTGTAACCAAAATAGATTTTGGCAAAAAAAAAAAAAGAAAGTGTGAACTTCATACCAAGAATTCATATGTCTCAGCTGTTAAATTAGAGGAACTCGATGAAGTCTCATATCAGTACAGTAAATCAAATTTAGTCATGGATTTTATCTTTACTGATGACTTAATTAGAATTTAAAAGTGAAGCACTTCAATTCAAATACTTAGTGACACACTTATTTGAAATCGTATTTTAAACTGGTAAATAATTGTCAGGTATGATAAGATAGAAGAAGATTAGAATAAAATATTTCTTTATTGATCCCCCATGGAGGAAATTTTTTTTGTCACAGCAGCATCACAGACAAAGTGCAAAAATGCAGTTATGAAAATAAAGATCCTAATATTAAGAACTTAAATAAATGTAATAATTAAGAAAAAATTTAGAAAAAGGAAAAAGGGAGAAGAAAAAAAATAAGAAAAAAAGATGTAACCAAAGGACATTCTAGTGCTCCAATATTACAGTTTAAGCAAGAGAGACACAAAGAGTAACACAGTATTAACATGTACAAAAACACTCAGTCTATTAAATTATATAAGGTGGATGAGGGTGACATGTAAAGAAACTGTGCTTTAAAATGAAAGAAGACGCATGATAAGTTCAGTACCACAAAAATAGCATCACTAATGCTAATATTGGCAGTGATATGTAAAGGTAGTTTCTGCAACATTGACCCAATCCATGCCCTGGGTAGTGACAATGCTGATAATACTACCTTTACTACCACTGATAAAGAATTGACCCATATGGAGGCTCGTGATGAGAAAAGCGTTGCTTGTGATTTTTTTATTTTTCTTTTTACTTCCTGCAAAGAAGTGGTTCTAGGGATTTAAGGTTTCAGCTTGAGGGTGACGACATGTTAGTGTTGTGAAAGACATACTGCACACGGTGATACACAATTTACAGAGTTACCTCACTGCTGTATAAAATTCTTGTTTTTAGACTTCATATCTGTGCTGTTTTGCTCATAAAACATCAAAAAATTGCCTCACAGGCTGACACTTGACAGCGTATACCCTGGGATTCAAATGTTTTTGGGGCATACGGTCTATAAAGGAAGTGAACATAACCAATGTGGTGATAACGATTTCAAACTCGGCATCCACATAACTTGCTGCATATTTCGGTGGCTGAAGTGGTTTAGCCTCAGTACACTCTGTGCTCGCTGAACTCTGAGAGGACATCCTGAATTTCTGAGTAAATCTCATTTTGTTACAATTACCAGCTATTTAATGAACACATCTAGTACAGTTACCCATCGTCCAATTATGTCTGATACACAATTCAACCCATTATGAGTGTTGGGGGTCAACAGTGTAGACCCGTATCCTCAGCTGTGTTTGCTTATTCCTGCTGCCAGCTGTGTGAAACGCTGCCAGGCACTGGTTCCTATAAACAAACCAAGATCAGACCAAGTTTATGCACAAGAAGGGGAAAAGAAGGAAAATCAAGTTTAGTTTCAACCTAGAGAAAGTAAATGGAAATTTAAAATATACCTGAATGTTGTGTAATGAAGATGGTGCAAACTAGAGAACAAGAAATAGGTCAACCTCAAATACCCCAATGGGAGTGGACATTGTCTCTGTCAACATACTGGTTTCTGTGACTGCAGCCGTTTTTGCATCTGCTGAAACTTTATCATCAGTTACTTAACTGCACAAGAATCTGCTGGTTCTGTGAATTAGGTTCCTGCTAAGCTGGTTTATATTTTGAACAATGGGAGCAGAAGTATGAAATGAAATGAAATCATCAGATAACTTTCAATCTTATGACGCAAAAAGCTGCATGTTTATTTTTTGTAGTATCTACAATAATGACTATAACAATGATGTCTGATTATAACAATGATTATAACAAATAGAAATTTTCACATGGTATAATCACTGTGGGATAAAAACTGTATTCTATCTAATGAAGTTAGGTTCGACAGTTGTCATCATTATGAGCCCAAAATGTCTCATTTATTTTTAACAGTTTAAAAAGTTGCCAACAATAATATGCTATTTACACTGAAGTGATAAACATGGACGAATATAACCACAACCAGCAATGTAATCACAAATCAACTCCAGAACCAGCAGCTGTATTCAGTTTTTAATAACAGTGCATTACTGACGTCACTTACTCTGAGTATTTGTTGACAAAAGTGAATCATTAGGTCTACATGTAGTTACTCATGAGGGCAGATCCGCTCAGATGGTAAAACAGAGGCTCATCAGGAAGAGACAGGAATGATGACACCCTGTTTCAGTAAATAATGGCACGTTTAAAGTCACCTGTTAAAACATTTTTCAGTGTCCAACAGCCTTTTTTTTCTGCTAATCAAACGGTAAGAACAGGTAGTGAAAAAGGAACAGGAAGGTCCTCGTTCTTTGTTTTGAATACAGAGTTTGTTCCCTCTGCGGTTTGTGTCACTTCATTTAACAAGTGGTATATCTGTGGTGTGGAAGAAGCATGTCTTAGATGCAAAAATAAACATTCCCACTGAATTTGTTTTTGTTTTCTTCGTTCTTTTTTTTCACTAGTGACTAATGCTTATCGTTACGTCTGCTCTTTGAGAAAACTCCCTAATCTGGTTAGATAAATGTATTTACTGACTTGAAACAGTCAGTCAGGAGTTGTTGGTGTGTTTATGGAAAATTTTGGCTAATATACATTTTTAATATCAGACCTAAAGTTTCAAATTGAATTCGACTAAGAAAAGGGGTTTCATTTTTAGACATGTGAAAAAAAAGGATATTCTTGGAGGGATCATTGGGATGACTTTTAACACTGTTTGTGTCTTTCTGTGTGTTTGGTGTGTCTCTGTATGTGTGTTTTTGCTTGTGTGTGTGTTTTGTCAGGCTGCAAATAGCTACTTAAGGGACCAGTGGTTTCACTCCCTGCAGTGGAAGGTAAGAATACTGATTTGTTTTGAGTATTTATTCATCTATTTCATCTGTCTTATTTCCACACTGAGCCTGCCTTACAAATAAAAAGCAGCCCCCTCAAGAGGATCATGTCAAAACACCAAAATCTGGTCCTGTTTTGTTATTTCACAGACTTTTATGAGGAGCAGAGCTCTAAAGCTGTCTGTTTGAGAGCCCTGCTGTGCTCTGTAAGCTAAATAAAGCTATTCAAGGAAGTGTGCTCGAGCTAGTTTGAGCTAGTTCTTCCTTTGGCTGGAAAAAAAATCCAGTGTTTACAGTATTTGGACTTTCCAGAGAGCACTTCACGTGTTACTGTACCTTGAGAGATACTCTTTACACAGCTATGATGTTAACTGTGTTTTAAGTCTTGACAACAGAATAGAAACTTACCCCAAATCAACAAACATTTTGCAGAACAAAGTGGAAACAAGTTAAAAACAACAACAACAGAGAGGTGCTAAAGAACTGTTTTGAAAGCAGAGTACAAGAAGAGGATTATAGTGTAGAAAATACTGGTCTAGTAGTATTCATAGTCTTTTTTTTTTCAACAGAAAAAGATTTACAAGTACCGTAAGGTCCTTAACAACCCAAGTCGCTGGGACGTGGTGCTGAAGGAGATCCGAGCATTGGTGGACATGGCTCTGACTTCACCCCTACAGGACGAATCCATCCACCAGGCTCCACTGCACATCATCTCCACCCTACTCGCCGAGGTAGTGACACTCAAACACAAGTGCACTGACACAGGCACTGTTGTTCAAAAATCTTATATGAACTCCTTCCCCTGGCTCTGAAATTTCCCCTTTATTCCAAATGTTAGTCCATGAAAAAAGCTCATCTCGACATCCTTGGTAATCAAATGTGATCCATTTAGCTAAATAACAAGGAGAGTAACTAAGACACTTGAGTACTCTGTCTTTTAGGATTTGTAATTTTGTTTTGCCACTTTATGTTCCTGAATGAAAAGCTAATAGTCCCATTTATTCAACTATACTTACACATAATGATACATATTTGTTATACCACTAGCTAAAATTTGCTCCAGCTTTTTCTAGCTGCTAAACTGCCGCACTTAGCAAAGCATGGTAAATATAAACAGTAAAACCAGGATTGCCCCTCTTATTTAAGGGGAGAGGCTGTGTTTAAAAACTAGGCCCTGGTTTAAAATATGTTGTAATTTACTTAACTGACAAGTACAAAAAGATTTAGATCTACTCCAGCAGATTTTTATAGCCAGCAGCTACAGAACAGGCTGTCATGTCTACAATGTTACCTTTGGCGGCATATAGGCAGGTATGTCCTCTCTCATTGGTTTCTTTGGCTGCTTATAGGTTATGTTTGAACTCGTTTGCGAGAGAAAAAGAAAGAGAAAGAAAAAAAATTGTAGCTATTTCAGTAAAATGGAACCTGTAGTCTCAAGATATGAAGCCATTTCAGAAGTGCTAAAAACTGCAATTCCTTGAGTGTCCACTTGAGGCAGGCTCTAAAAGCTCAGGAAGCTACATACACACCCATTCTGAAAAGCCCATCTTTACAGCAAAAATAAACATCTTTACAGTTCTGTAGAGGAAATTATTTTAGTCTGAGTAGCTCATTTATGTAGCCGCACACATTGTCATGGGTGAATTTTAGTTAATTGTTTCATGTAAATGCAGCACTGAGATGAATGTCTCTACACCTCAGTGTCATGTTTGGGTATGTCTTTGTTTTTGCTGTGGTGCTGCTGAGACTTCCTTAGGCTACATGCCAATTGAAGTGCTTGGATGGCATTGATGTGGCTGTGTATTGACAACCACACCTTTTAACTACACCTTGGTTTAATCTTAATCTCCTACCCAAACCTGGTACTTGTTCCTTATCCTAAATCTCAAAGATAATCCTCTCTTGTATTCCACTTTAGTAATTTTTCTTCTGAGGGCATTTGATTACAGCTGTTCTCACACAGACTCTTTGTTTTCCTTCTCTTCATTCCTGCAGAACTCTAATCTCAGCACTCAGGATCATGAGAACATCATTGTGGTGAGTATGAACTTCACTCCTGTAATAAAGCAGGATCTTTTGATTGGTTGGTAAATTATTAATACTATTGAGTTTACCCTCCTGCTTGTTTGGGGGGAAAAAAAAAATCGAGTCTTCATGTGTTTTTGTGCCTGCAACATTTGTGTGTTTGTGTGTTTTGGATTGTTCCTGTCAATGCCCATATGGTGGCTGTGTAGTTCGATGTGGGGATGTTTGTGTTGCTCACCTGTGGGCAGTTTTACAACGCTCCTACACCTGACAGCCGACAGCTACACTGATGGCTCTCTGCCAGGATAAATAAGAGATACGATATGGAAATATTCTTCTAACCGTGCGTGTGTGTGTGTGTGCACGTGTGTTTTCAGGCCATTGCTCCTCTCCTGGAAAATAACCACCCACCTCCTGACCTGTGTGAGTTCTTCTGTAAGGTGAGTACAAATGCTGTTTTCATAAATAGAAAATTACTGAATTCATTGTTTTTGTAGTAGCGGATGGTTCCTGGTACACATTTTGAAGTGTTACCCGTTGGTGTGTGTTGCAGCACTGTCGGGAGCGGCCGCGGTCGATGGTCGTGATTGAAGTGTTCACCCCTGTGGTTCAGAGAATCCTCAAACATAACATGGTGAGAGCTTCTGCACAGAGTGGTCAGCAATGACGATGGGATAACAAAGTATCAATAGACATGCATTGTTTATATTATCTCTGCTAAGTGTGTTTTATGCTCTGGTGCTTTTTGATTTTTGGTGCAGTCTTGTTCTCAATGATAGATTCAGTAGATTTTTGTGTTTAAATGTCAAAAGTCTCCCTAACTTCTAAGGAAACCAGGAAACATTCAAAAGATGTAACACAAACTCATAAAATATGTCTATCAGCGTAAAACAATGAGGAAATGTCATAGTTTATCCAAAGGTCAACTTTACTTTGACACTTCCTGACATTTATCCTGTCTTGTTTTTAAGCAGATTTCCTCATTTCTGTTTATTAGAACAGTCTCATCTTGATTCATAAAATCCCATATAGAGGTGCTGGTTTAGCTCAGTAGTTAAGAGTAGAAAAAACTGTAATATCTGACCTTATACAGCGGTCAGATTCTAGGTGGAAACACTCCTCTGCTCACCCTCCCTTTGGCGAATCAATGGTGGACTTTAAGGAAAACCAATTTGTGTAGCTGTTCACTAGTTACAAAAATTTGCAAACTGCATTTAGCACAAAACATAATCATTTGTACATTCTGTGTGACTCTAGAAACAAGAAGGCGACCTTCATGGAAAAGGAGCTGTTTGTAAAAGGCTTATTCCAAGTTTACAAAAACGTAAAACTTCATGACCCATGTACAGAGGCTGTGGCGACTATGTTTTTTTTAGGCCTTGACCTTAACCCTTAACTATTAATCTGATTCCATACAGAGTTAGTGTAAAATACTGACGCTAATGAGACCTTAACATTTATCTGAAGGCATGATATGTTATCAAAGTTACAAGGTTCACTGAGTAAGTAATACATCTTTACTATCTTTTTTTATTCATTTAACAAAAGACTGAGGGATATATTCAGAGATGTGAACATTGAGATCATTTCTTTTTCCAATTTTGGTATACAACCACCCTCAAAAGTTGAGATGTTGTGCAAAATGCTAATAAAAATAGATTTTGATGGTTTTCAAATCATTGCAACCCTGTATTACATTGAAAACAGCGAAATGATAATCTGTCTGCTGCCTTGGAAACCTTTTAAACCTTTTATCTCAGAAATCACAACATCCCTGAAGGATAAAATAAAAAACGTGTTGTTCAGATGACATAACTGTGTAAAAAATTCAAATTTTTTTTTTTTACTCTTTTCATTGGTCAATTTTTTTTAAGTGAATGATGACTGAGAGCATTGATGAATGATGTTTCAGAAAATAAAATGATGAAATCTGGAGATAAGAGGTTTCTTCCTGACAGAAGTGGAATGTCGTAACCGGACAGCGTTTTGTTTTCTGTAAATATGCGTCATTTTAATGTGATGTCCTTGACATGTTTCAAAAATAGGTAAATTTCCAAGAGACCAGTAATGACTGTGTATATACAGTAGGGGCATCTAGGAAGCAAAGATAGAAATTCACCATGCAGTGAGAGACTGCATGAGTGATTTGGTTCGGAAATTTCCATAGAGTAAAATTGCATAGAATTTAAGTATTTCATTATCTCCAGTAGAACAAAGAACAACAATAAGAAGTCTAGAAAAGAAGGTACAAGGCCACAAACCAATACTAAACAGCCATTATCAAAGCAGCCTTAGGTAGCATTGTATTGAAAACAGACGTGACTCTAAGGTGGAAATCCATGCATGGACTCAGAATCACCTCCAGAAACTACTGCCTATGCTTACAGGTTTTTTTTTAAATGCAGGTTAAAGCTATTGTTTGCGAATGTTTTCCAATTTTTGCGCTTGTTTTTTTGTGTCACTCTTGCAGGATTTTGGAAAGTGCCCTCGATTGCGTCTCTTCACTCAGGAGTACATCCTGGCTCTCAATGAGCTGAACGCCGGGATGGAGGTTGTTAAGAAGTTTGTTCACAGGTAAGAAACTGCCTTGTGACATGGAAACAGGCCTGTTATCAGTCCTGACACCCAGTCTCTTTAGATATAAACATGTAATCCAGAGTCAGGTACCATAATTGAATAATTGTTTGGGGTCAGCATCTTCAACATGAACCTCTGTGTTGCAGCATGCATGGGCCAACTGGGCAGTGCCCTCACCCACGTGTCCTGCCAAACCTGGTGGCAGTCTGTCTCGCCGCCATCTACTCCTGCTATGAGGAGTTCATCAACAGGTCAGTTACACACACACACACACACACACACACACACACACACACACACACACACACACACACACACACACACACACACAGTCATCTGACTTCCAGGAGAAGTCCAACAAACTGAATGACCGGTAAATAATGCAATTTAGTCTGTGAAGGTCTATCCTGGGAAGAACTGTTAAGCCCTATGGAGAAAGATATTCTATGACGAGTAGATATTAAAGAGTGATGTAGAGTAAAGCATGAGGACAACCTCATCTTTGACAGGATGTACATTGAAAAGTGTCTGAAATGCTTAAGTTACCTGAACTGTTAATTCAGTACTGTTAGCCAGGAAGGTTCCGAGGGGGGATTTTGATCATCTTTGAAATATGATCGGTCATCCTGTGACCAACTAAACCATATGCAATGATTGCCCTATCGAAGTGGTCCTGTGGCAAAATCAATATGACCTTACATAACCCAGGGTGATGTAGTTAAATAGGTATAGCTAGTGGAAACAGAAGAGATATATGAATGCTATGTATTTGTGTATATTTGCATGTACATCTACTTCATGTCACCCACTACTGTTAGCTAACTAAAGGTAAAGTTAGCCTCAGAAGTGACTGAACCACTTGTCCAATATGTTATTTCTGACAAATATAAGGTAATTCAAAGCTTGGGCGCCTGCAGTGATTTTACTGCCATAGAGTTGATGCGTCTCCTCACTGAAGAGGGAGAACTGTTTTTTTTGTTTGTTTGTTTTTTTGGCTTAATTTTGTCCCTCTGGTCACTTCTTAGTAGCATCACATGATTTACAGTTCAACAAATTCTCAACATAATTCAGGCTACTGTCTTAAAAAAAAACAGCAACTTGATCACAAATACTTAAATTTGAAGAATTTTTTATTGATTCCTTGTTTAACATTCAGTCTTGTTTGTTTTGTTTTTTTGTTGGTACATAGGAGAAACCAAACTGTAAAACCGAAGACAATCAGAGCATCTTTGCTTTCTAACTGACCTCACTTCAGAGATTAGCTCTTGATGGTCATGTTTTTTCCCGTCTGTGGAGGCTGTTTGTTGACTACAGTTGTATGATGTTGTGTATTTTAACTAATTAGTGCTATCCCCCTAGCTTCCTTTACTCCAGAGAGGATCATTCTTAGCAGATTTTTCCAAAACTCCAGCACACACAGGAGCCATCGCTGTGGCAGCCGTCTCACCTGACTCTCAGTGCATCACACCTCACTTTCCTCTTCCCTCTTTCATCATGTGTTGTTATTTTTAGGCCTCTTTCCTGGACTTTTATCGACATTACCTCTGTTCTTTGCCAACCTGTGCTATTGAGTCAAGGTTTATTTGTGGTTTATTAACCCTTCTCTCGCTCTCCCTGCAGTCGGGATAACTCCCCCAGCCTGAAGGAGATCAGAAACGGCTGCCAGCAGCAGAATGACCGCAAGCCACCAATGCCACTCCGCCTGCTGCGCCCAGAACCTCCCACGCCACCTCCAACAACCCTGCTCCCCCTTTCTGCCAATCCCAGTCCTCCTCAGCCACCTCCCCCAGCCCCATCAAACCCCACTCCATCCATCCCCATCTCCTCCCCCACGCCCTCCCTGCCCCTCTCCCCTCCACCCTCTGTCGTCAACTCCAGCGAGATCCTGGTGGAGCTGGAGCGAAACAACAACTCAGCTAACGCCAAGCGGAAGGGCGGGCCTTCGGGGGGTGACAGTGAGCCCAACCTCATCGACTGTCTGCTGGTCAGCCCAGCCGTCAACACCCTGTCCATCCAGCTGCCTGCACAGGCAGACCGCGTGCTCGGCTGCTTTGCCCTCATCCTCAAGATGCTGTGAGTTTATACAAAGAGCTTTCACTCGTGCCGAGTGTTTATGGGACAGTCTGATATGTTAGACGTGCTTGTTTAACAGGAGTCAGATAAGAAATGATCAAATACAGACATGAAACAACATCCAGCCTTTCTGCAAAACTTAATGTCCTTAACCTACCTTTCGAGTAGTTCTTGATCGTTTAAGTTGTTTACATTTATCTTTTACTTATCAGTCTATCTTCTACTGTTACTCCACTTCTGGAAATATTGGACTATACCTTTGCATTAAGCATAGTGTTAGTCCAGGCAGGCCACAAAGCCATGCTCAGCCCTCAGCTGATCCCAACGCCAGCCTACATCAGCTGACAGCTCAGCCAATTCAGTCGTCAAAATTCTCACCCAAGCTCTTCCTCTTAATGCTTTGTCTGATTTCACATCTTGTCACAAATGTCTGTCTAAATTAAGAAGAAATAAGAAACAAGAAGTCTTTCTCATGTCTCTAAAGACTCATGAACAGATATAAGACAAAAGAAACTGTTTTCAGGCTTGTATGATATAATCCCAAAGAATTTTGTTTGATTGAAACTGTATGCTGTAGTTGGTGATGAGCAGTGTAAGGGTTAAACAGTCCTTTATGAATGAATGCATGAGCCCGAGTGCTGATTACACACAGTGTGAAAGTGGAGCAGCAGTTACGTGTTTGTGTGTGTGTGCGCGCCCCGGCTAGGCTTTATGTGAGGTAACCACACAGGGAGGCCTAAAATACAAGATGTCTGTGAGTCTGCAATGTTTGTAACAAAGCTGCTGTTACTTAACTGACAGTGATATGATCCTGCTCCAGTTTATGTTAAATCACCGCGGCGGGTCTACGTCATTGCAGTGCTGCTCGTGTTTCAGCGACTTCTTTGTCTTTTTGTTCCTCTGCCTCACTTTTCCAGGGCCGCACCCTCGCACTGTGGTGTCCTCCCTCTTCATCTTTTCTTACCTTTTCTTTATCGTCTCTTCAAGGTCGGACTACGATGACTGGAGACCTGCCCTGGCCAGCCTGCTGCAGCCCATCCCCTTCCCAAAAGAGTTAGTATTCACACACACACACACAACTTATTAGTAATCCTATACAAAAAGGGACGCAAAACAATCCCCAAATTTGAATAGCCTGGTTTAAAATGTCCCTTTTTTGGCTTTAGCTTCCAAAATTTAAATGAAACAAAAAAGGAAATGAAAAAAAGAAATGTTGATGCTCTTGCAGTAGCCTCACTTTTTCAGGGAGTGTTTCAAACTGGAGCCTTTTTTTTTTTTTTTTTACATACTTTGAAGTCAAAATATGTAGACAAGGGTGTAAAAGGTTTTGGATTCACTCAGCAAAGAGGGTGTAACCTCCTGAGCACAGAGAAGAGTGTAGCCTCCAGTGTCTGACAAATATTAGCTATGTAATTAACAACTAAACAAATTACAATTGCACTGATTGACAGACCCACATCCTTATTAGACAAGCAGAACCGGACAACAACAGTGGTAGCAACATGCTGGTGAAGATGCTGAGGCAGCCAAACAAATTTGGACTTTGTTGCCAAGTTTTTCTCCAGGGGGTCATTTTCCCATCCCCCCGAGCTTGCGATTTAATTTGTAATTTGGTAAGTGTTAGGCTGCTCTCTCTGTCCTTAATATGGTTGCTTGTATTGGTTTGTTATGTCTGCAGACAACAGACAGTTGGCTCTCACTACAGCTTCGTTTTGCTGGACACTCAGTCAGCAGATGTTTACAAAGTTCTCCAAAACTGCAGTAACTGAGTAAATCTGCTGAGTTAAAATCTTGGTTTCTTTTTAGATGAAGAATTTATGACTTAATTCCATCAGTCTCATTCAGGTCTAACTCACATGTTACATTAAAATAAAACTGTGCTTAGGATCACTGAGGAGTTTGTTCATGACTACGCTCACACTGTATTTTTGTCTTAATGAGACTTGTATGCATTGAAAAGGGAACGTTTTGCTCTAATGAATGCACAATGGCTCATTGAAAAGTATGCAAACAGCACTGGTGCAGGGAGATGATGTTTAACAGCATAGTTGTTTGCGCAGAGGTGGCAGATAAAAAGCTTCACAACCCTTTGGTGCCTCAGGCCCACAGAGGCCAGACACTCAAAAACAAAATAAACTGTACAAAAATGAATATAAAGTAGAATTATCTGGTTAAAATTTCAATAGGTATCATCACAAGTTTCTATTTTGTATCCTGTCTATTAAGTTAAAGTTCAACAGCAGTTGCTGAAATTGTAAAAAGCTGTATTTATGGTAAGTTTCCTGTCTTAATGAAGAGCAACAGTGTCTCCTGACAGCCTTACTGGTCTTTCTGAAAAAATGTGGAATAGATTTTTTCATTCAGACCTCAAATGAGCCACAAGCATAAAAATATGGAAATGAGCACTGATTCAGTATTTCATGCCACCACTTGCACCCTATCTCTCCCATCATGTATCAGGGGATAAGAGCATGTTTCTAGGAGGCCCCTGTTGGGGCTTGACTACTGACGTGAATGAGGTACCTCATCCAGGCTCCAGAGGGCTGTGAAGTGGTGAAAGGCAGCGTTCCTACCCTCAGAGAACTGTCTTTAATTAGCTATGAGAAGCCCCAAGCCTTCTTTGTAATTGGCTGTCTCACCTAGAGCTTCATTAGTGTCAACTAGTGGATGACTTGTTGTTTCTCTGACTCTGGGACACACCTGTTGCTCACCTGTGCCTATGTTGTCTGGTCAATGCCTTTAGGCGTCATTAAGAAAGGCAACAATACTCCCTGCACCCTGTAGCTGAGGATATAATGAGTCATCAGAGCACACACACACACACACACACACACACTGCCACTCACTCATACAAACACACACACATTCAGTGACTATTGCCTGCACATGGCTCCAGAAAAAACAAACAGTTGACAATAATGAACCTGATGTATAGCTCCTGTGAAACCAAATTACAAAGTCTTTTATGGTAAGATTTTTTTTTTATATGGGTAACCTTCTGAAATTAAGGACAAAAAGTAGGTACATTGGACAACTTAGATGATATCACAAATGGGTATCAGTCAGGGCGATTTGGCATAGCATGTAAGTTGTATGCCCCAGGTACAGAAACTAGTCCACAAAGCGACTGGCCTGGGTCCAACTGTTGACGTCTTGTTGTATGTCCTTTTCTGCGTACCCTTCTATATTTATTTCCCATTGTGTGCAAAGATGTAAATCATAGAGTAAAATTAAAATTGGTTGAGGTTTAAATTCCTTTTTGGACAGACTTAGAAGGCAGACAATTAAATGAGCAGATCTTTTCTTTTTTTGTTGTTTTGTTTTCCCCAGTATCAGGTGGGAAACACACATAGATCTAAATAGACCCATAGAGAACATTTTTATCATAAATTTTTGACTTTAAGTATTCTTGCTGTAAAAACCTTACATTTGTTTTTCTGTCTCTCCAGGGCTCTTGCACATGCCAAATTCACAAAGTAAGTGAACCAGAGATCAAAAACTGTTCATGGACTTCATGGCTTTAAAAACAACCTGATAATAATTTAATAAATATTTCTCTGTCCATATAGGGAACTGAAATATGTTATTCAGAGGTTTGCAGAAGACCCTAGGCAGGAGGTGAGTGTTTTCGACCAATAACAGCTCTCGAATTACACAAAGGGCCTTCAGCACCTGTCCAACAGAAAACTCATCTGTGTGTGTCCTCCAGGTCCACTCCTGCCTCCTGAGTGTGCGGTCAGGTAAAGACGGCTGGTTCCAGCTCTATAGTCCAGGAGGGGTGGCCTGTGATGATGACGGAGAGCTGTTTGCCAGTATGGTGAGCGTGTAGACACACACCAACATACACACACACACACGTACTCACTCACAGCATGAGTTATTAATGTGTGCTGCTGTTACAGCACTTAACCCTGCCCTCCTCTCTGTATCGTCTGCAGGTTCATATCTTGATGGGCTCCTGCTACAAGACCAAGAAGTTCCTGCTCTCTTTGGCTGAAAACAAGCTGGGTCCCTGCATGCTGCTGGCTCTGCGTGGGAACCAGACCATGGTGGAGGTTTGTGTGTTCCTTTTCATTCTATGATCAACTCGTGTTATCTTTTTTTCTGTTCTATCAACAAATAACACAGTTAGGGCTGGCTGATAAAACAATAATGATATATATCAAAAATTAAATTCCCTCAATATCGATATAAAACATGGTCAGCATCCTTTTCGATAGTCTGCATTCTGCCATGTTTTGTGTTGAAGTATTTTGGTTTTTTGAGGTCGGACATGGAGCAGAGTAATGTGCACTGCAAATTATGTCGAGTACATGTTCTCGCAAAGTCAGGGAATACCTCAAATCTTTTTCACCACCTGAAGCAGCGCCACGCGGCAGAGAAAGCGCAATGCATAAGGTTACAAACCCAGAGCGAAGCAAGGAGCTTTCTCTAGCACAGCGCCTTACAACAAAACATCGAAGAGTCACAAAGACCTCACAGATGCAGAAGCTTATTGTATTTCAAAAGACATGCTACCAATAAGCTCTGTTAAATTTCATTTTTTTATACCCTGATATATATCGATTTCGACTGATATGAAAAAAATGTATCGTGATAAACTTTTTCCCATATCGCCCAGCCCTAAATACAGTTAATCTAGTTTAAGAAGGGTTTGTATAAAGGGCTTGAATAAAAGTTTTGGCTTTCTCTGAAATTAAGTTAAAAGACGAGTAAAACTATCTTTTATTCCTGCAACTAAAAAAATAAAGGATAAGGGTTTGAAACATTGACAAAAAATAAAACAATATTCATAGTGAAGAGACTGTAGAGGTGTTTCATGCAATGCAACTTCTTCCATGTATTCTTTTGGTAAAAACACCTTCAACTCACTCAGATTATATGTATAATATGTGTAGCCATCACGCTACAGCCAAATAACTCCGGTGAGACAACCTCAACATGAGACCGTCGTTGTTAATGCGAGTGCTTGTGTGTGTGCAGATCCTGTGTCTGATGCTGGAGTACAACATCAGTGAGAACAAAGACACCCAGCTGCAGATCATCTCCACGCTGGAGAGCACCCAGGTGGGCCTGCGCATGTACGAGCAGCTCTGCGACCGCCAGAGAGAGCTCAAAGAACTGGTGAGATACTGCGCCAACACACACAATCACACTCATGCAAACACGCACACCCACACACAAACACAGATTACTTTATAAGGTACGCTAAAGGCTGAAGTTGAAGCTGTCTGACATCCTGCAGTTCTCGCAGATCTGAACCAAGAACATCCCATTCGGCTCAGCCCACATGTCTGTCTGGTGGAGTCAAACCGAGTCACCAGTTTCTCATTATGAACAAATTCTTGTGTCCTCAGTGACGCATGTGATCTATTAGTCAATTCACAAATCCAAGACCCTGCTGACAGCCGCTGTTACCGGCGCCTAAGTCTGAGAACAGATCATGTACTGAATGTAATGAGAACTAAAGGAGGACACGGGGTCAGGGTCATTTAAAAGATTGATGTGTCACTTTGAACGGCTCCATTATTGTTGTTCAGGAGCAGGAACAGAAAGCAGTGGTTTAAGTAGATAAACTCCTCTTTGAAGGAGGAATTAGTTTGCTCTTTTATGTCCATGTTTTTACCAAATGTCTGCTAATTGTTGTTTTTTGACATTAAAGCAAGAACCTTTGCTGAAGGTTTGGAATTCATGCGAGCAGATACCTATGGAGAGAGACTCAGTTGCAGCATAAATCTGATGCTTTTTTGAGGAAACAACAGCTGATTGTTGTCACATGCCTGGTCTATTTGCAGGACTTTTATAAATGCATCATGTGAACTGCAGTTGCGTCAAAGCTTTTAGTCAAGTTTCTGACTGACAGACGTGGGTTTTGACCTGGGCCAATGTGGGCCTCACATGCCTCTTTAGTGATCATGAGATGATATCACCAAGACTACATCTATGTTTTCTGCAGTTTTTGCTTTTACTGTATCATTCCCAATCAGTTCTATTCTGCAAATAATTAAAAGATTTGAGAAACAGATGCCCCAGTGTTTTCTGCGGTCAATTATTTCCGACCTCAATGACCTAAACTAGCTCCATCCAACTTTCACACCAAACTGAGCTGTTCATTTATGTGGTAAACTCAGTAAACTCCAACACTGGAGTGTGAAAACTTACCTGAGCTTGTCCAGAAATGCTTGAACGTTGAAGCGGTAAAGATGAGAGCATTTACCGAGTGCATCCCTCTCAGCTCGGTCTGCATGCTTCACACGCTGAGTCACATCCACTTGACTGTGTCTGCAGCTCTGAGCTGTTCATGTATATGGGCTGACTGTCTCAGGAAAACACCACTGACTGACTTTACACAGATTTGTAAACCCATATATTCAGTGTGTATTTTGTTCACTTGTTCAGCACAGGACTTGCTGCTATGTCTGTCTTATTTGCATGTTGATATGAAAGTGATGTACATAGCTTGTTTATATATAGAATAGAGATCAATAGGAGTCCTGTTTTAGTGTGGATTTTTGTGTGTTTTTACAGTCAAAACTACATGTGGGAGTATTTATTTGTATTATTGAAAACTGTGAGTATTTGGGCATAAATAACGCAGAATTTACTCCAGTAATAAGTCTCTCAGGCATGATAATTCACAGCCTTTTATATCAACCTGATTGAAAGTACAGTTTGATCTGTTTTCAGATTTTTGTCTCTGCGGTGTAAATAGGGAATAGAGACTTAAATGGGAAATTTTCTGTTATTCTTTTGTGTGAGAGTGAAATTACATTTTAAAATTGTTATTCTGGTTTAAGTAAGTTGAAGGATAGAAACACGTCCCACTTCCTCAGTATGACCTGAATGCGGCATGTTTGTAGCTGCTCGCACACACCCCATCTACAGTTTGAAAATGTCCCTGCAAGCCAGTGAGCTCAGACGCCATTTTTCTTTTTCTATCTGTGTTCTCCTCAGCAAAGGAAAGGAGGCCCCACCCGGCTCACTCTGCCCTCCAAGTCTACGGTAAGATCACAATCCCCTCCACTTACATATGATAATTTCCCACTTTTCCTGTGCTCAATTAAAGAAAAAGTTAGTTGTAAATTCCTTTGAGTCGATTAAGCACTTAATGTTTTCCTCTTACCATGTCTCAGGATGCCGACCTGGCCCGGCTGTTGAGTTCGGGTTCTTTTGGAAACTTGGAGAACCTGAGCCTGGCCTTCACTAATGTCACCAGTGCCTGTGCCGAGCAGCTCATCAAGCTGCCTTCACTCAAACAGCTCAACCTCTGGTCCACACAGGTACACACCTAACATTCCAACACACACATACAAACAGGTGATGTTGAATGATCCAGTCTGTGCTTACAGGATGTCTAACATGCTGTGATCTTTTCCTCTCTTCAGTTTGGAGATGCAGGCTTGAGGTTGTTATCAGAGCATCTGGCCTGTCTGCAGGTTTTGAACCTGTGTGAGACTCCCGTCACCGATGCTGGTCTGCTGGCTCTCAGCTGTAAGAAAACATACACAATCAATCACTTGCTTGTGCTCAATGGAATGCAGTTTTGTCTCGCAGAAACTAAGAGAAATGATTGAGTGCTTCAACTAAAAAATTCAAAACTGCACAAAGTGAACATGTTAACTGTCGGTGTGCAAAATTGTGGAGGGTAATTTCTACTTTTTTTGCCTTGTTTTTTTTTTAGCCATGAAGAGTCTTTGCAGTCTGAATATGAACAGCACCAAGCTCACAGCTGACACATATCAGGACCTCAAGGTAATACTGCAAGACCACTCATTTCAACATTTAATATCAGGTGTTAAAATGCTATTTTCCTCTATCTGTTTTAACTGTAATTCCAATATGGACTCTTAAATTTGTCCTTTATGTATAATCGGAATTTCTGTTTTTAAAACTGCTTTTGAGTTTTTTATTATCAGAGAAATTTCAACCTTTTTAAGAAAATAGAAGTTTAATATCCTCTATCCTGAGCTTGTTCAAACAGTATAATATACATGATAGGGCAGTTGCAGTGGCTGTGATCTATGAAAAATCAGCATCAGCATATGGTAATACTGTAAGTTTGTAACTATGGTATCTTCCTGTAGCAGCTCCTCGGCTCAGGAATAACCAGCCGGAGAAAGTTATATAGGCTAACTCTATTGAAGCACCCAAATTCTGTGTTCAAATGTACAAATACTCCCATTTATTCTCCCGTGTATTTTCTCTGCAGGCCAAACTGCCCAACCTGAAAGATGTTGATGTTCGGTACACAGAGGCTTGGTGATCAGCCGCCCTCCCACACCCTTCAGACATATCTGGACACACATGTAGACACCTGCTCACCCTGCAACCAGGCTCAGATACACGACAACGCTAGGATCACTAAATGTAACCGGACGATTGCCGACTCTGAGCCTTCATCGGCCTCAGAGGTCATCACCAACCCCAGTAGAGAAATCCTCACCAGAGAGAATTCAGTGACAGAAACACCTTTTTTCTAAACGAGACATCTTTCTGGATCCCTCCACCCCTTCTACTTCTGTCAACAATGTTCAAGGACCTACTTTTTACCGACATGATCCGAGGACCTGCTAAATTGAGACAAAAGGGACCCATTTTTCTCTCTTTCTCTGTTTTCCTTCCCCCTGTTTTTATATGTGGTCTCCCAGTTTTCATATCCAGTCCAAAATGAGTCCCCTCACTTACACTTCTCCCTGAAGCCTTTCCCTCTTTCTCTCATGCGATGAAGGCCAGATACAGCAGCTCACATTCCAGTTTGTCTCTGATCTGATCCACAATGTAGCTTTTGAAATACGGACACATTTAACTGTTAATCACTTCACTCTTTTGATCTTTTTCTTCGGTTTTTTAGTTTTCACATATCCAATCTTTCATGGGGAAAATGAGGTCCTACCTCAGAGAAAAGAAGAATTGTGCCTAGTCCTCATTCATGACATTGAAAAAAGGAGGAAAAAAATGTTTTTATCAACTTGAATGAACATATTTTTCCAGACATCTGTGCTTTCATATATTGTATGTTTCTGTATAAAACATAAATGAAGATAATCCCCTAGTGATAAGCGTTTCACCATTTCAGGAGCTCTGCAGGAAAGCTTAACAGCAACATTTGTTCTTCTTTCATTTGTTTTCAGTGTACATGATCTCTTAATACTCTTTAATAGGACAGTTGTGTAGCATTAGCTGGGTGGTCTGGGACCACCTGATATTTATAAGTTGTGTCTTTTAAACCTCCTTTTATGCTGTCTCCTCTGGATTAATCCTGACAGTAATGAAGTACTTTCTTTTTGTATCAACACAAGAAGCCACCGAGTAGGCTGCCCGAAAAAAACAAAACAAAAACCTGGATCTCTGTGCATCGTGCCATAGTGGCAACTATGACCTGCAAAGTGAAATGCACCTGACATGGACCTGAAACCAAGACCCATCACCAGCTGAGAGTTGTATATTTTCATACCTTCTGCTCTTTTTGGCTCTGTTTGATGCTGTTTTTGGAAGGAAGAAGGGACACTTGCCAAACATTGTCATTTCAGTTTTGTGCACTTGTTTAAAGGAGGCCAATGTGAGCGTGTTTTCGGTACTGATTGGTGGAGCTACTTATGACCTGCCTGTGGAGAAAGACTCTGACTCTGTTAGAAATTCATCACTGTCGAAGTGAAGAGTTGCAGTGCCTCTAGTGGAGCTGTGGATGCGTTAATTTTCTGTCTGTTTCACCACCTGTTTTGAATTGTTCTGCTGTATTTATATTAACGCCATGATACATGGGCGACATTTTTAGGCTGTATGAGTAATCCTCTTCAATTTATTGTACATATTTTGTCACAATGGGCTATAAAGGGACAAAAGATTAGAGAAAAAAAAGGCCCCTCTAGGCCTTATTTGCCCATCTACATTCCCTTCAAATGTTGCCTGTTTGTTGTGGCAACATTTCATCTGATGTGGTAACTGCCCCGACACACTGCAAGACTGTCAGATCTTTCTGTTCCTCCCAGTTTAGATGTGGTTCAGGTTTGTTTGTCTTGTTCCAGTGGCCCTTTAGAAAACACAAGACAGGTCCACCCTTTTCTCCAGTCGGTTTTGCTCCGACTGCATCCATCCAATTTTTATTTATTCATGTCCAGAAAGCTCCAGATGTTTGATGAATCGAGGCAGACTCTGCAACAGAGGACAGGATGCCGTCCACTAGAGACACTTTGTTTCCTATTTATTGGGTGCCATGACAGTTTTCTGTCCGGGCTGTGGACTCGGTTCATGTCTGGCCAACTTTAGGTCCAACTTTAGGACCTTGTGCTCTCTTTCATATCCTGTATGGTGTATATACAAGTGTATATAGTCGTCTCCTCCCTCCTCTCTTTGAACCATTTTTTCAAACCTTGCCCCCTTTTCTGTATCTTCTCTCAGCCTCCTTTTAATAGCAGGCTGGTGTTGCCTTCATCTTACAGTAATGTGTGTGGTTGTTTTGTTTTATTTTTTTCACACAAAGTGCACTGTAATCTAAAAAAAAAAAAGTTTTCATAATATCATTTGTTTCTTTAATTTAATCACTTTAATCAAACATTTCTGTGTTTTGTTTGTTTTATTTTTTTGCATGTACATGTTGCTGCATCATATTTTATTTTGTAATTTTTGTTTTATAAAAGGTGTGATATTTGATAAGGGGTCTGATCACTATCTTGTTAAAGTTAAGGACTGAAATGGAGAGATCCCATCTAACTTTTGTCTGATTGGTTGTTGCCAGGATCTACCCGTGAATCTTGAGAGATCCCATTGGTCGAAGCAGTCTGGGTTTGGTTAATACTGTTTTACTAAAGAGCCAGTGGTATTGCTGGTTCTTTGGACTGAAGCTGCCCCTAGCTGAGATCTAAGCATTTAAAATTGACCACTTTCACTTTTTTTTTTTTTTTTAAGCAAACATTATTTGTTTTTTTCAAAAACTTTATTCTAATGTTGCCAGATAATCATATCAGAGGTGGACCACACTGACTGGCCTTTATTATTTTTAAGAGGTTTTATACATTCAAATATTGGTAAGTGATTGAAGAGTTTTGTTGTATCCCCAATGTTTGATAATTAGTGTTTTATATTTAGGATACTAGACTTACCCTCTGCTTTTAAGAGTTGAATGAAAGACTGATGTTATTAGCTTGTCTGTCCACCTTGAGCCAAGCTGAAGTTAGCCTAGCCTAACATAGAGATTGGAAATAAGAGAAAAAAGCCTGTGTGAGCCAAAGAGATTCTCAAACCACACAAGTTTCAACAATATCATCCCACAGTGATGGCGAGACTCTAAAGGGTCTCTTCAACCTGCCAAGAAATAATTGGTCCAAACCATAGGTTCCCTGAATCTTTATTTTGTTGAATTTTGCATTGAAATTCAAGCAGCAAGAAGGTAACTCTTTCTTCCTTAGAATTTATTAATGCTAATTCGGTCATTTGTTGCCAATCTTTATGCTAAGCTAAACTAATAAGCAGCTTGCTGTAGCCTTACACTTCACATGCAGACATCAAAGTGGTATCAGTCTTCTCAGCTAACTCTGCATCATATTTAAAAAAAAAAAAAGATAAATGCTCCTTGAGAAGGGGGTCAGTCTTGGGAAAATCTCTCTGTGAACTTACCCCACAGTTTTTATGCCATGATGAGCTGCTGCTCAGCCAGCCTGGGGCCAGCATGTACGCAGAGGTAACAATGGAAGGTTTTTGTATTACTGCAGAAAATGTAATGGTTGAATAGAAGCACCTCCTCTGTTCTGTCATGTCTCCGTATCCTGTGGAGCTCACTGTGCTTTGCTTTCCATCCCGATTTCTCCCTCTCCTCTTTCACCCCTCTGATATTTTTTTTTATATCCCACACAAACTGTAAAGAGTTTCTATCATGTCCAAGTTGTGTACAGCTGTGCTCGAGTCTTAACAGTTGTTATGGAAGGAAAAGGGTCAGATGTGGCACAGCCTGACAAACCTAACAGACTGAAGCAAAACATCTCCATTTCCATAATTCTTTGTAGTAAAATCTGCTTTGGCAGCTGGAAAAGGGGCACCCATCATGTTTTTCTCTCTTTTTCAGTCTTTCTCCGCATTGATCTGCTTCTCCTGCTGGGTTATTATTATTGCTGCTGCTGCTGCTCTGTGGCTGTTGTAATAAAAATACAAAAGATCTTCAACAGGAAAATAACAACTATGATGTGAAATAATTTCAATCAGAAATAAATTGTCTGTGAATATGTTTCAGCTCTGACTGACGTGTTTTTTTTTCCTTTACACCCAACAAATTAAAAATAATGTAGAGCTCTTTATATTCATTAACATGACCTTTGGGTCTTCAGCCAGCACCTCATTATTTCCCTACTATGTGTGTAAACAGAGGCATACATATTTGGTTTGCCTATATGTTTATTGAATGTTAAACTGTTTTTTTGTTTGTTTGTTTGCTTTTAAATCTGGCCAATAGATCCAGGTACACTTATCATTATACACTTATGCACACTAAAGGCCTATTTTGTCTTTCACCACGTTAGGGCTTGGATAACCCTGGTCATGTCATGTTAATGGTTGAAAGACATGTTTGTCAGAACTGGGGATATGAATGCACACCTCAAGCGGAGACTCCATCCTTATCCTTTTGGCCAGGTGACCACTCTCTGAAGCCACTAAGACATACTCATTCTGAAAACTAATTACGAAGCAGATGGGTAAATTTTACAGATATGTGGTACTCTAGAACTGGCATTCAATTTGGCTGACATCTTACTTAGACCACTCAGAAGCAACTTAGAAACTTAGAAACAGTAGCTTCACCGCTGTAGCTTTTATGACAAATTAAGGTAACACTTTACAATAACCATAACTTATAATAGTAAATAGACCATTTATAAATGGTAAGCAGATAGTTTATTGATGTTTAATCATCATTTATAAATAGTGTATAGACCATTAATAAATTGTAAATTTTACAATTTTAAAAACCTAAACCTAATCCTAACTTTACAATAACCATCTAAGTAATGTTTATAGGTGGCTTATAAACCACTTATTAATCATTTACAGAGTATTACAAACATTAGTTGTAACTTTACAATAACCATCTAAGTAATGTTTATGGTTTATAAACCAAATATTAACCATTTACACAGTGCTACTGATACAAATTTAAATCTAGATGTTTTACAACTAATATTTAAACCCTATATAAACCTTTAATAAATAGTCCAATAATAATTAATCCAAATTATTAATCATGATTTCATTGCTTCTTAATGGTAAAGTAACAATCAACTTACAATAATAAACTATATATTGGTCTATATGCTGTTTTTAAACGATGATTAAACATTAATAAACTATCTACTTACCATTTATAAATTATGGTTACTGTATAGTGTTACGGTGTTACTCAAAGTTAACCTACATCCGTAAACACTGCTTTAAACTGCTGCGGTCCTCCGTACCGCTGGGGGTCGCTAACATTTCTTTTCAGTTCCAAAACGCCATGAGGAATAGAGAGGAGCAAAGGTAGACACTTGAAGCCACATTTAAACGATTTCGGACTCCAGTAATTATCAATTTCAAAGTTATACATTGTAAAATAGCCCGAGCTTACGTATCCTTTTTTAATTTCAGAGACGTTGAACCTTGCTGATCGTTGTGACTCTATGGCAGTAACTATTTTGGTTAGTTTCTCAGCTACACGCTCCGAGCACTGGTGACATGTTCGTAAACATTAGTAGGTTTTAGGAGTCTAAACGTGTAACTTGCCCTTTTAACCAGTTGCCGATAAATTATTCCCTGCTTATGGTTACGTTTGCAAATTAACATAAATTCAACATAATAGTCTGTATTTTGAATCTATCAATCATAGATCTCGTCATATCAAAAGAGATACAAACCATCCTAATGTTAGTGTTATGTTTATGTCTTGCAGCTCTAGTCTGATGCCCTGATGAGGTGATGCTGCATGTGTCTCGCTGTCCTCTGCAGAGGACACTTATCTCTCTGCAATGGAGGTGTCAGCGCTCCCTCTGCTCCACCAGACCTCACTCTGTACCGGGGGAGGACTCCACAGAGACACGCCTGAACCCCCTTAACATACAGATGCTGTCAAGGAACCTCCATGAGCAGATCTTTCGTGGCATTGAACCAGAGTATGGTGAAGAGGATGTGGAGCGCAGCATCAAGCATCTGCAGAAACACAACCTGTGGGGGAAAGAGACTTCACCATTACCTGATGTGGAGCTGAAGCTTCCTAGAATGTATGGAGCCAATATTGACGAGCACTTCCAAGTCTTGGCCAAGAAGCAGAGTCTTCCCTATCTTGAGGCGGCAACCAAACTGCACCAGGCAGAGCTTCCTCCCATGCCACAGGAATGGAGCTGGGAGGTTGGTTGGACCCGCTATGGGTCAAATGGAGAAAGTCAGAGGGTCGATTTCCCAGCAGAGTCGGCGCTTGTGTTTGATGTGGAAGTGTGCATGACTGAGGGACAGTGTCCAACGCTGGCTGTTGCTGTGTCTCCCACTAACTGGTAAGAAAGTAGAGCAGATTATGTAAAGCAAGGGTGTCAAACTCAACCACTGCTAGGGCCATAATCTGGATTTAAGTCTAACCTGAGGGCCCAACAGGGTCGACATTTAACCCAAACTGTCAGCCTCCTTTTCAAAATATATATAAGTAAATCAGCAACGATTATAAGTCATTTGGAAATTCAAAAAGTAAAAAAGGATATATTTAAAAGGCAATCTGAGATTATTGGATTAGTTCAAAAGATCAGAACACAATATTAAAAATAGAAAAATAATGCTTTTAAAAACCAAATACATGAGGAGAAAGTTGAAATCATAAGTTTAAGAAGTTAAAATATGAGATCATTTTGAAATCAAAATATGACTTCAACTTTTAAACTGGAATCTAAAGGATTAATATGACATAAATCTAAATACTGAGTGGAAAAAAATCAAAGCACAAAATAAAAAGTCAAATCATGTTTGACTTGTAATCCTGAGATGCAAAATTGTAAATATGAATAAAACGTTAATTATTTTTTACCCATATTCTTGACTATTTATCAAAACTTCCTCACTCTTTACTTCCCCAGATTTTCATTAATTATTAAGGATATTTCAAATAATTGTGCTAAAGTTTACAATATTATCCTGGAGGAAATCCACAGACCTTATACTGGTGGGCCAATAATAATACAAATATGACATGATCTCGTGGGCCAGATGTAATTGTTCAACGGGCCAGATTTGGCCCCCGGGCCTTGAGTTTGACACCTGTGATCTAAAGGGAGAAAATCGACCAGTTGTAGTTAACTGTACATCTGAATTGACATGTTATTCTGCTTTTGGTTCAGTTGTTTGCTTGCCCCTTAAATGCTACAAAAACTGCATAACACTATGTTTTCATCCACATGATCCATGAATTTTAATGATTCCACCATAAAGAATTCTCACTTGCTGTTTTAGGTACTCTTGGTGCAGTAAACGTCTGATTGAAGAGCGGTACTCCTGGTCAAACAAGCTGACCCTAGCTGACCTCATCCCATTGGAGACACCTTCAAACTCTGCACGCCCGCCAGGTGGTCAGTGGAAAGAGAGGCTCATAGTGGGCCATAATGTCAGCTTTGACCGGTCTTTTATTAAAGAGCAATACTTACTCAAGGTCAGTAGCTGTCTGTTTCTTTGCTGCAGTTTCATATTTTGGGAATTTAGACTCAAATTGTCTCTGCTTTTCTTCCCCAAGGGTTCTAAAGTTCGCTTCATGGACACCATGAGCCTTCACATGGCTATTTCTGGTCTTACTGGGTTTCAGCGCACGCTGTGGATGGCCAGTAAACACGGAAAAAAGATGGGTCTTCAGGAAGTGAAAGAACACATAAGGAAAGCAAAACAGAAAAAGGAGGGCCCAGGGGTTTGTATCTTCAATTCACTATATTTTGATTCAGTATACTTAAATTTGTAAAAATTTGTGTGGCTGTCTCAAGTTGCAATTGTCTGGATGCTTTTAGCGAGGTTTGGTGGAGTCATTATCAGTGAAACTTTAAGGTTGTTTTTGTTGCTTTATGGCTTACTTGATGGGACAGTTTGAGAGAGTGAGAGTGACATGTACCCAATAATGTTTCTGTTGGGAACCAATCCCAGTGAGAAAAGGATTGCAACCCCTGCACACGAAGAGCCAGCTCCACTAACTAAGCCCAACCATCTCCCACTGAAACTTATTTGCCATAATATATCTGCACACAGATTGGCTCCTGGGACTGGGTGAATATTAGCAGTATTAATAATCTGGCTGATGTCCATGCTCTGTATGTGGGAGGACCACCGCTGCAGAAGGAGATCAGAGAGACCTTTGTAAAGGGGAGCATAGTGGACGTCAGAAACAACTTCCAGGTTAGAGGATATTGACAAATTCTCAGATTATTTTAAATGCAATCATATTAATACAGCTTCTTCATGAAATAACTGCTAATGAGTTTGCCTCTGCTGACCTCTACAGGAGTTGATGCAGTACTGCGCCATGGATGTTGAAGCCACACATCAAGTTTTCACGGAGCAGCTACCGCTCTTCCTGGAGAGGTTAGTGGTTGGAAAAGTAATCGATCTGACTAAATACCTGATCTTGCTGCCTTCTCAGCGCTTGATATTGACATTATGTTTCCTATCTTTTATAAGGTGCCCTCACCCTGTGACGCTAGCAGGAATGCTTGAGATGGGAGTGAGCTACCTTCCTGTCAATCAGAACTGGGTGCGTTACCTGGAAGATTCAGACGACACTTATGAAGAGCTGCAGAGAGAGATGAAGAAGTCTCTGATGGCTCTGGCGGATGATGCCTGCCAGCTGCTGCAGGATGACAAGTAAGACAATCCCCGAAATAGCTATGAATTAGGGCTGGGCAATATGGCCTCAAATCAATATCACGATATATTAAGCAGTTCACCTCGATAACGATAAATGGACGATAATCTCCACAAGCTGATCACTTCATTCCACATTAACTTTGTCTACTTCAGCGATCGCTCCAGTTGCTCCAACTTTTGACCCGTCCTCCATCTCCTCACCTGTCTTTACCTCTTTGTTACAGACTGGATGGGTGGCGTAATGTCTCCGACATAGGACATTATCTTAAAGGAACATGAGACCATAGCCTACCTACACACATCCAACCAACTTTTATTTATTTATTTTTCTGACACCAATATGGGCAAAATGATGTTGGTTATTGTCTTAAATTTCAATATCGGTAAATTTTCAGCTTATCGGCCAGCCCTTCTATGAATATAACTGTTGCACCTTGTGTAGTCTGGGCTAAAAGTGTGTGATGAGACAAGGTGGATTACAAAGCATCATCATAAAACATCATAAAATTTATGGATTTTATTTATTTGATTAAGATACAAAGAAGACCCCTGGCTTTGGGATCTTGAGTGGGGTGTGCAGGAGTTCAAGCAGAAGAAAATAGCAGTGAGTAAGAAGAAAAAGATGACTGAAACTTGGACTTCTACTCCTCTTCCAGAGTGGGAAGAAGGTAAGAAATAACCAACATTTCATTCAAAGAGCTTAAAAATGCAAAAATTAAAAAGAATAAAAATGTTTAAAAAAATGCTGCTGTTGTGAAAGGCGATGTTAAAAATGCTAACTCATTACATTTACAAATCAATGCTGCACTTCTCTTTATGTCCAAGATGTTATAGAGTTTCCATATCAGTTTATCTATTTGGTCCCAGATCCAGGTCCACCTTCTGAAGAGGAGATGGCTGGTCCATGCCCTGGCAGACTTGCTGTGGAGAAGCTGAAGGAAACAGTGAATCGACTTCCTAAAAGAAGACAACATCTGCCTGGACACCCAGAGTAAGATCACTCTAAAGTATTTATCATAGTTTCCCTTCCATTCACTGTGGGGAGTGTACAGTGAGACTCCTACCTTCCACCCTCTGTGTCCCTTAGGTGGTATCGTAAGCTCTGTGAGAAGATGTCTGAAGACGACAGCTGGTCGCCTGGAGCCAGCCTCATCAGCATACAAATGAAACTGACTCCAAAGCTAATGGGTCTGACGTGGGACGGTTACCCACTGCATTACACGGAAAAACGCGGCTGGGGTTACCTGGTACCCGGACGCAGGGATAACCTCGTCTCTGAGGGAGAAAACATAGGACCTGTGTGCCCTCATAGGTGTTTATAACACAGAGCTCTTACAACATTCATAACATTTATTTATTTTATTTAGCCTTTCTTTAACCAGGTTGGTCCCACTGAGATTAGAAATCTCTATTACAGGGGAGACAAGCCAAGAGGGCAGCAGCATAGTTCCTTTAACAGATAAAGTTCACAGCACCTCAACATTAAAACAATCTCACATAAAACATTTACACACACATGAGGTTGATTGTAATGATTTCACTATAGCTTTAAATTCATTTAGTGTCACAAGAGCTTGAAGGCGAAGTTCAGACTGCAGTTTGTTTCAGGTATTAGGTGCTGAAAACCTAAAACCCTTCATGCCCAGTTAAGTTCTTACTTTGGGGACACCTAACAGTAGAACATCCATAGAACAGAGATTGTAACTTCCATGCTTTCTTGTTAAGAGACGAGACAAATATGACGGGATATTGCCCGGAATGGCTTTGCAAACATAAACTTCAAATGAAGTAGTCTATATTTTTACAATTAGTGTGTTCATTTTAGTGTGTGTGTGTGCCACTCAGAGCTATTGAGAGGGTTTGCAGCGAGTATTGTGAGGAGAACAGCAAAGAGCAGCCGCAGTATCTGGACCGTGAGCCTTCAGAGGACTTCATGCTTACCAACAGCACTGTGTGGACAAAGGTCTGTTTACTCTTACATCACAGTATTATTCAAAAATCCTTTTCCCTTTGTAAAATTGCATAGAATATTTCCTACAGCTTTAGGTTTTGCCTCGGTGTAAAACAATGGCATGATCAACTATTTGTAAATCCATGACTTAAGACCTTTTTAGACTTGAGCTAGCATGAACAACACAAGCTCATGCAGACTTGAAGGTGTATCATTCCTTCATTCGATTTTTAAAATAAAACTAAAAATGAAAAAACAAGAAAACAAATTGTTTTCGAAATCTTCGTCTGCAAAACAACAATGAAAAAACACATACAGGCTCATTTTCCAATTTCCATTTTCGTCAGCTAAAATGAAAATGGGATAAATGGATACAACAGTTTTACCTGATTTAGACTTTTTTGTCTGTTGAAAGTTTCATGACCCAGAAGGGAACCTTTGGCATCGTGGCTGGACTCGAGAATTATTCAGAGCTCATACGGCCCTTTTTTCGGATTTCCAGCACGCTGCAGAAGGCAGGGGTGCCAAGGTGCTCTGAAATGTCTGTCAGAATGTTCTGTGCCCAAAACAACCTGAGATGAAAATGATCTGTATCAGACACACAGCTGGGGGCCGCCCCCTACGAAACTTTGTACAGACGAAAAAGTCTAAATCACATAAAACTGTCATTATCCACTTATCCCATTTTCATTTGAGCTGAAGAAATCGGAAAATGAGCCGTCATCCATTTTCTATTTCAGTTTTAGAGACGAATATTTAGAAAACAATTCATTTTGTCGTGCTTTTCATTTTTGGTTTTATTTTGAAAATCAAATGAATGAATGATACACAGATTGCGATGGTTTTCTCAATTAATTGACAATGGTTTATCAATTCATTTTAGTTGTTAAATATTTAAAAAAAGTGTTGAACATTTTGAAAAATCCACATTATTTTTCATCTGATGTCAAGGTGGAGCAGTTAAGTACCGTTGAGGGCCTGAATGAAGAAAATGGAGTCGCAGCGACGAAAACTGGAGCTAGGAAGAACACGGTGAGTGAACTGTACTGTCCTGTACTGAAATATTGATTTAACTGTGATCTGCTTTCTGATTGATTTTGATCCTGTATCAACAACAGTCCCAAAGCCCAGCGAATGTCCCAGAGAGTAATCACTGCCATTATCACCAAGGAAACGGCCCCTACAATGATGTAGATGTCCTAGGGTGCTGGTTCTTCAAGTTGCCTCATAAGGTAAAGTTAGAAGATTAAATTTCAAACAGCACTGACATATTGTCCCCACACTAAGGTCAAGTTGAATTGTGAATCTGAATCTGTGTGTTTCAGGATGGAAATCACAACAATGTTGGCAGTCCCTTTTCCAAAGACTTCCTTTCCAAGATGGAGGATGGAACTCTTCAAGCAGGACGGGGTGGAGCTAGTGCTACACGTGGTCTGGAGATTAATAAAATGATGTCTTTTTGGAGGAATGCCCATAAACGTATAAGGTACTATTCCTTTGCCTCACTGGATAGTTAAAAGCAGCTTTTTCAGTTGTAAAAAGGTGAAAATAAAATCAAACTCTTCGTCTTGGCAGCTCTCAGATGGTGCTGTGGCTACGGAAAGGAGAGCTTCCCCGCACTGTCAGCAGGTTTGTCTCTTATATTAGCGCTTCTTTGTTTCCATCGGTTTTAAGGTTGTGTTTAACAACCTCCCTATCTCCACAAGACACAAAGATTTTGATGAGGAGGGTCAGTATGGAGCCATACTACCTCAGGTCATCACTGCTGGAACGGTGACCCGAAGAGCTGTGGAGCCAACGTGGCTGACTGCCAGTAATGCTCGGGTAAGAGGCACGGCTACAAAGAGCAATCTGCACATCCAGATCACAAATTAGATTAAGATCTCAGCTGCAGATTTTGTCTTTGTGTGTTAACAGAAGGATCGAGTCGGCAGTGAGCTGAAAGCCATGGTGCAGGTGCCTCCAGGATATCACCTTGTGGGGGCAGATGTAGACTCACAGGAGTTGTGGATCGCTGCTGTACTGGGAGAGGCTCACTTTGCCGGCATGCATGGTGAGGTTCTTGAGCTTCCATATGATTAAAGTGCAGTGCCATCCTGCGGGAAGCACTGATGCATATCTCACCTGTGTTCCTTGTATGTGTCTTCTGGGTTCAGGTTGCACTGCATTTGGCTGGATGACCCTTCAGGGAAAGAAGAGTCAGGGCACTGACCTGCACAGCCGCACAGCAGACACTGTAGGGATCAGCCGAGAGCACGCTAAGGTGTTCAACTATGGACGCATTTATGGTGCAGGGCAACCTTTCGCTGAACGGCTGCTAATGCAGTTCAACCACCGCCTGAGTCAGGTAGAAGCTGCCAGCAAAGCCAGGCAGATGTACGCCTCAACAAAGGGAACACGAAGGTAGAGAGAGACGAAGAGTTGTGTGTTGTTGGGGAAAATTTAGAGCGCTTTGTGCTGATATGATCCGAGGGTTTCATGTTTGGGTGTAAATGTTTCAGATTCTATCTCTCAGAGGAAGGTGAGTGGCTGGTACATGAGTTGGATATAGACGTGAAGAGAGAAGAGGATGGGAGTGTCCCTCTGGAGGAGTTGTGGAGGATCAGAAGACTGGCATCAAAAAGGTGAGGGAGTTGACATCCACAACAATCGCTGGTAAAATTTGGGATTTTATTCCGTGTGTTTCCTTGAAGCCGTACCCTCACTTGTGTCCGTTTACATCCTGTGGCTCATACACCCCAGCTCTAGGAGCAGAAGGTGGGAAATATTCGACAAACGTATGTGGGCCGGAGGTACTGAGTCGCACATGTTCAACAAGCTGGAAAGCATCGCTCATTCAGAACAGCCAGCCACTCCTGTTCTTGGCTGCAGGATTAGCCGAGCACTGGAGCCCACAGCAGTGAAGAATGAGGTGAGATGATGCTGATCTCTCATGCTTCATCTCAGATGTACAAAGCGTTTGCTAAATATATTAACATTAAAGCACACATCCCCAATCCACTGGTATGCCACATCAAGAGCTCTGTGTACCAAAAAAAAAATTCATCAGTTTTCCAATTAGGATCCCTGACTGGATGTAGTTATAAAAGGTTAAAAAGTCTTCTTGCTTTAAAAGTAAAAATGTTGCCATGTCTTTTTTTGTCAGTTTATCACAAGCAGAATAAACTGGGTGGTCCAGAGCTCTGCTGTTGATTACCTACATCTGATGCTGGTGGCCATGAAGTGGCTCTTTGAAGAATACAACATTGACGGCCGTTTCTGCATCAGCATCCACGACGAAGTGCGGTACCTGGTCTGCAGTGAGGACCGTTACCGAGCAGCATTGGCGCTCCAGATTACAAACTTGTTAACCAGGTCTGCTTTCCTCTAGCTAGCTCTTCTTTTTTTCACTTAAAATAAAAACAATAGACCTGACAGCTTCTCTACTGTATGCCTCTGTCTTCTTTAGGAGTGCATTTGCTCATGCATTGGGTATGCAGGACCTCCCTCAGTCAGTGGCCTTCTTTAGTTCAGTCGACATCGACCAGTGTCTGAGGAAGGAGGTGAATATGGACTGTGTCACCCCCTCTAACCCCACAGGTCTGGAACGAAAATATGGCCTCCCACAGGGTGAGTGTGTTCATAATCAACAATCATTTTATATTCACCTGTAAAGATGGTCGAAAATGTTTACAGTGCTCATAAAGCCATATATCTTGCAAGAATATTGAGTCTCTATCCTACATAAGAGGATTAGGGTCACAAGAACAGAAAAGAATAATTAAAGGAGGGAGATTTTTTTTATTTCTGTTTTGAGATTAAAGTCGAAATCTCAAAAGTTGAAATGAAATGTTGAATGGCTTAAGTTTGTCGTAGCCATCCATGTGCCATTGGGTCATCGGCTTCAGTAACGCCTGCCCCTGAGATACAATCTCAACATTACAACTTTATTCATGAAATTTCATGTTTATTTCCGTCAACTTTAATCTTGTAACTTTGACTTTAATCTCAAAATTTCAAATTAATTCACAACATTTCGACTTTATTCATGTTGACTTTATCTCAAAATTTTGACTTTAATCTCGAAATTTAAATTTTTAATCTTGATTTTGACTTTATTTACCTAATTTCGACTTGATTCATGAAATTTCATCTTTATTTGCGTCAACTTTAATCTCGTAACTTCAATTTTAATCTCAACATTTTTATTTAATTCACAAAATTTCGACTTTATTTATGTCAACTTTATCTCAAAATTTCAATTTTTAATCTCAAAATTATGACTTTGACATAATTTCGATTTTTTTATCTCGAAATTCCGATTTTAATCTCCCCCCTATAATTATTTTTTTTCTCTTCATGTGGACCTTTTCCTCTTTCATACTGTCCAGGCCCAATTCAAGACAAAAAGGCTGTAAAGTAAGAGCACAAATCGAGCAGATGTAAAACAGAATTTTATAAATGAAAGCTTGAAACCCTCCTGAGTTTACATATTTGTTTATTGAAGAGCATAGGTCTTTATCCTGTCTTAGTCTGCCACAAGACTGAAAAATAAAGGAAATTTAAAAACTCTTTTATGTCAAACAACTGTACTATCTTTAAACAAGAACTGAAGCTGCTCAATGAAAGTCAGAGTAAAAATCCAGAAGTAATGTAAAATTGATCAGCTGAGATTGAACCTGTTAGGAAATGCATGTCACAAACAAAACACATTCACTTTAATTCAAGTAGACTTAAATAGGAACACAGCCAGTGTGTTAATACTGTGTGCAAACTTTCCACAGGTGAGGCCTTGGACATCTACCAAATCATTGACATCACCAAAGGCTCTCTGAACAAGGGAAGATGAGTTTCTAATATTCAAAACAGTTCAAAGTGCCAACAGGCAGTAGCTGGAGAGGGTGTGTTGTTGTTGTTGTTTCTATCAAATATGAGCAGCGTCACTGTTTTCTCTTCTTTTGTTTGGGTTCTTGTGTCTCCTCTGCTTCCTGTGACTCTGGGGTCTAAAAATAAAGAAGACGAAACACCTCAGTCGGGAGTCATCTACTGGAAAGAGTGTGTTCAAGAGAGCTAACTGTTACCAAATACAATGTGGAAGAAGAGACATTCACAGAGACGTTGAAGGCACTGATTTACCTCGTCACTGTCACGCTCCTCTTGTAGGGCTGCGTCTAAAGTTGCAGCATTGATGCGGAAATCTCTGGAGGTGCTCAGCTTCATGTACTGCATCAGATTTACCTGCAAACACAGATAAACATGAAGCTAAAGACAGTAAGAGAAACCTGTCGGATGACTCCAGACTGACTGTGTCTGTGCTTGCATACAGTTACGAGCATTTCTCACTGCACTCTGAGAATCATGTCCCAACATTAACATATAATACCTTTGATTTCTTTGAGAGGGTGATGAGGAATTTCTCGTACTGCTCAATGCTGAAGATTAAGTCAGGGATGGCTTTAGTCTCACGCTGAAGTTTAGCCTTACAGGAGAAAAAAAGGGTTTTATTCAATTCCTTTTCTTCTTTTCTGTAAAAAAATATTTGAGTATACTATTTTCATGTTCTAGATTTGTATAATATTAAAAGAGAGGAATGTTCTTACAGAGGCAGCTGTGTTGACTTCAGTCCTTTTTTTTTTCTTGTCATCTGTGCCTCCACCACTGAGTTCCCCGCTCTATCAGATGAGAAACATTATCTCGTCACATTAACACTCCTTTTGGGGCTGAAATGGTCTCAGCAAAATCCATGGTTTAAAAAAAATCATACATAAATCGTTTAAATTACAATCAGTTCGTTTGTACCTGTGCATATGTGATGAAAGAGTAGCACTGTGGTGTGAGGTGGGAGCCCGACAGTTTGACCTGCAAAGAAAGTACTTTGTCAGTAGGACACCAGGCGTACAGACAGGTTGATTCAGACTAGGGCTGGGCGATACAACAATAACAATATGTATATCGAAAATTAATTTTCCTCAATGTCACTACAGAACATAGTCAATATGCTTTTTGATGGCATTCTGCTATGTTTTGGTGGACTATACAAAGAATGAAAAAGGGAGTTGCTCCGGGTCTGCTTCACGCTGAACCAATCGTGCTGAATTAGAACCAAGTAGCAAACAACTGCATGGTAGCAGGCTGCAGCTACACGCAACCATAGCACTTAATGTTGAGAAAAAAAGAAAACGAGTGCTACCCCCGGCAGAAATGCAGATGAAGACAACAGATGATGACATTGTCAACAACACTGCCACAAAAACAGTCGACCATTCATTCCACTTTCTCTGGCGCAACGCCTTATGACAAAACGTTGAAGAGACACAAAGACCTCACGGATGCAGTAGCTTATTCTACTGCAAAAGACATGCTACCAATAAGTACTGTTAAATTTCATTTTTTATATGATGATATATATCAATATTGACTGATATGAAAAAATTATATTGTGATAAACATTTTTCCATATCGCCCAGCCTTAATTCAGACGCAGCTAATCAGACTCACCAGTTTTTCAAAGCGTGCTGGCAGTGCACCATGCTGGCTCGCACACACCTGAATGTACTGAAAAGACACAAACCAAGTTAATGTCAAGCAAACCTCCCAAACTCTAACTTCAAACTGAGATCACAGGGCGCACAAATACACACATATTTGACCAGAGTGGTGAGGATAGTGTATGTGCGGCTCAGTTCTCTCAGCAGTGTGATGGTACAGGTGCCGGGCAGCAGGGCTGTTTGCACCAGTTCATTTAGTGCTGTCAAGAGAGTCCCGAGCTGCAGAGTCACTGCTTTCTCTATCGGATCCTGCTGGCCCGCCGTCTGAGTGGCATCACCTACACACAAGAACAAACACAGAACTTCATTTATCGTCTCTTTTTACAATCCCATCATTAAGATCACTGAGCACCAGTGAGAAATGCTTCTTACTTGAGCCTGATTTGTCTGAGGACTGTTGGCTTTTCCTTCTGGCAATCAGCCAGTCTACCTCATCCAGCACTCGACTGACCTGAGACAGGACCAGCAGCTGAGGATAAAGATCACATTGATGAGCATCGGGCACTAAAACATTGTGATACATCACAGAAGGTCAGAGCCTAAAATTTAAAGAAACACTCACTGCTGCTGTGGATGCAGTTTTCATGTTGATGATGGCAAAGTGAGACTGTTTTTCCACCTCCACGTCCTGACCACGCAGCAGGAAAGCAGAATAAAGTGAAAAGACTCCAACCATAGTATGTTAGTTTAAGCTGTGTTGCTCTGGTTGTCATGAATATGTCTTTGACACAACTACATGAGGGCCAAAGTAATCTTTAAATTTCTTGGTTTGTGAAAAATGTTAAGTGAAGTACAGACTATATTCAATATTTCGCTGTAATCCACCACAGTCAATGCCTCACATGGCCACTTAAACCTTAACTACAAGAAATAGGTTGTAACAACACAATGTTGAAAGGTCGGATTTGAGCAGACTTCTTGCTTGATCAGCACTTTGACTTGCAAGTATATGATGCCAAGTTGTATTGTGTGTACCTGATCGATATCTCCCAGTTGGCTGTGGATGTCCTGGCAGAGCTCCAGCAAGAGACTGGTGGGGCTCTTGTAGAGAACATGCAGACTGAAGAGAAGAGAGAGAAGGCCCTTGGAGAAGGATGAGTCCTCTAAAAGAGAGAAAATCTTCAAACATGTGCCTCCTTACCACTCAGAGCATACACAACAGGACATACTAAGCACCGTCTCTCACCGAAGCTGGTCTCCTTACAGATTTTCACCATCCATGTGATCATCTGGACAAACTGAAGATGTGGGCGTGTATTAGAAGAGCAAACAGGGATCGTTTTTTTAAATAATTGAATTTAATGTGACACCTACCTGTTGAGAGGATGGCTTTAGCTGGTGTGAAAGCACACTCAAGATGTTGACCAGAAGCTGGGCCTCTTTGCTGTTGAAATCGTCCTCACTGCCACTTAACTGGGTAAACAGTGCCCTCTAGTGGCAGTCAATGAACACAACATGTTAGTAAAGAGAATTTTGGACCCAAGAAGTAGTTTAAAACATGTTTTCCAGATGTACCTGAAACTGTCTAATGTAAAAGAAGTTCATCTCTGTGACACTGCCGTCCTCTGGATCCTCATTGTCCTCTGGCACTTCTGCGGGAACATTAAAGTGTTGAGAATATCTGTTTTCTACCAGGGTGTTTTCCCTAAAATAACATCTGTGTCTGTCTGACCCATGCTGGATAGAAGCTGGGGCATCTTATCCGGGAAGCGCTGCTGACAGGTTGTGAAGATTCTGAGCAGACCCTCAAGACACAGCAGAGACAAGCTGGAGCGCTTTTCTTTCTTCCCTGCGTCCTCCACAGCGGTGGGGATGTTGGTGTAACGCCACATCAGCACACTGGAAATGAAACAGGGTTTTTCTTATTGCTGAAATGAGCTTGTAGGGATCAGAGCTTGATCGTTTTGGAACAAAGCAACGTCATCGAGGCTAAGAAATTCACACCTTGTCATATCACAGAGGAAGCGGAAAATTTTGTCCGTGTTCTGTCCGTCTGGGCCGTCTGCATGTCCATGCTCCTCGAGCTGCTGAATCTTTTGCACAGCCACACTGACTGCATAACGCACGAATTCCCCACTGGAGCGAAGCACTGAGAGAGCCTCCTCTTTACTCTGAGTACTGTCTCTGGAAAAAGCAACATAATATTTTTGAAGCAAATATCTGATGTTTTACATTCTCAGGATAATATCAAGAGGTATGATTTTGTATTGGCTAAATATTACCACTACACACTCAAAAAGAGCATGCTAGGAGAAGGACTCAAATGTGTGCATGGCGTGGTTTGCACAGAATCTATTTTGGGTTTTGTTTTACATTCAACAACTTCGAGCATGCCATGGTTGAGGCATTTACCTGAAAAGCACAGTGAGGAGAGTCGATACAAATCCTAGAGAGAGTAAACTCCTGGGAATCTTGTTTGAGGGAACTCGACCCTTTCCGGATTTCTCCTTCAGGATCTCGGACAGCTTGTGATAGCGGTGGAACAACTCCAAGAGCTCCTCAAAGTGGCTTTTACTAAATCACACAGTTAGGAAACAGACTAAAGTCAGCACTTAACGAAACTTGTCAATAACCAACATCCTGTGCACAAAAAGAGAGGTGGCTCCTACCTGTAGTTTGCTTTGATAAAGCTGAACTCCATAAGGACCTCATACACTCCCATCACCAGCACAGCATAGATATTATTCTTCACTCCAACGCTGGAGCCCATGGAGAACTCAGCTGACTTGTCCTGCACAAAACAAAGACAGAAAATACAGCGTCCTGCGTGTAAATTCACACCTGTTGTTCTGATCCAAATCTCACATTGTTGAATCCGGAATTTGAATGGACTTGTTTGGGATTTGTAGTTTGAATAACAAACAGTGTTTCAAAAAGCAGACATCCACTGATGCACAACTTCAACTTAAGGCAAGTGGTTTTCATTTTAGTCAGATACTTTAAAAATATATGAAAATTATCCAGATTCTTATCCAATGTGAGTATTTTTAAATGAAATGTAATATTCATCCCCACTGCTTTAAAAATGAGGAACTTCTTTACGTATACAACTCTGATTTAAACATTTTTTATCTATATTTATTACTTGACAGATAATTGAAATCATGCCTCCAGCGCTAAAAAACAAACAAAAGTAGATCAGCCTGGTATCTGTGAGGACTATCTGAAACAGATAATAGTTGAAATATAACAGGAAAGGGGGAGTGTTTATCAAGCTCTTTTCTAGGAAGCCGATCATGATTTCTTCAACTTCAGTACAGCATACTGCTTACAGACTTGTGAAGAAATCCTTTTACGTATCATTTTTGAGAGCGTTAAATGTTTCTCCTCAGCCGCTCTGCAATGGTCTTTTTATACCCAGTCATGTCATTTACACGTTGCACATTTACATGTCCCTGTCTTGACTCTTTTGAAGGGTGTTGCAAGCATCAAATTTAAAATGATCAAACATTTTTCAGAAAACAAAATCCTTTTTCAGGTTACATTTTTTGATATGTTGTCTTTGCACTTATTTTAGATAGACCTAGGGCTTTAAAGATTTATAAATCATTAAAATTGAGTTTTAATTATCATTTTTAAAGTGTCCCAGTGTCTTTGGAGTTGGGGCTGTACATCAGTGTGTCTCATTTCAAAGTGTCTCTGTCTTGTGTACCAGTTCAAAGTCCTCCAGTTCACACTTGATCATGCGTCTCGTCATGTTCTCCAAGATTGTCTGTAGTTCCGACTGGTACCCTTCCTCCTCCTCTTCATCATCATTATCACTGTCATCAGTGTTTGGGTGAGCTGAACGCCGCATGCCCTGGAGCCACAACAGGCAGTGTACAGTGCAGCTCACTAAATGGGCCTGAAAGGGGAACAAACAATCTTTATGACATCAACATTAGCACAGAGTCAAGACAAAGTCATAAAAGGCCGATAAGAGTACCAGAGGCTCCTGCAGGTAGACTTGGTTTCCTAGAGCTGTGATGCACGGTTCCAGTTTCACCGGGGGCAGGAGGTCCTGTTCAGGCTCATAGTATCGCCTCAGCTGTGGTTTAAAAACATAACATACAGCTGTCAGTGTTGGAGGTAACATGACAATAATCTGGTATTTGAGAGACAAGCGCACCTGTGAGAAGAGAGTCTGCATGATAGAGCTTGCAAGTTGAGAGTTGCGGCGAAGAACATCATAGAAACCCTGAAATTGAAAGATGTTGTCAAAGAAAAGCACAAATGCAAAAACACTACGGCTTTCTTCGTGTATTTTTGACTGTAGTGAATGGATTTCTTTTTATGTATCGGGTGATCATATTCTGAATCCCTATAAAGAGGACACTGCTGCACGGGGCAGAGTCACACAGTTGCGTGTAGTCAATTTTGAGACTCAAAACTTCCATACAAACCCCGGACATTTGAAGAATTTTATAAACTCTCCGCGACAAGGCTGGACAAGTCGGATAGCCCCCAAAAAAGAGGACATATCTGGGTAAAAGAGGATGTATGGTCACCCTAAATATGTCGCTAAATTTAAAAGACCTCTCACCTCATAGAGCATAAGGCGAACATCAGCCTGTTGGCCAAGGCAGCGGCGTAGGCTGCTGAGGATCTCCAGACAGAACGCTTCATTGGCAGCAGAGTTGTAGCGAGAGTGAACGTCCACCTGGACCTGTTCAGACAGACGGTGAGTGTTGAAATAAATCTGTTTTTCAGAGCTGTTTTGAAGCATTGCTTTTGTAGAGGCGTCTATTGGAAGACCACCAACAGTTCAAAAGTACCTGGCTGGAGGAGATAGCCTGGCTACACTGGCTGGAGGATAAGCTGCCCAACACTCTGAAGTTCTTCAGCAGCAACAAAAAGCCAGTCACTGCAGACTTCCTGCCATCCAGTTGGCTGGAAGATAGTCAGAGGAAGAACAGTGTGAAAAATGATCTTGAATTGAGTGGTTAAACTGCCACTTCTTTAAGAGCAGTTTTGCAATCAAATATGTAAAAGGATGAGTTAAAAATCATTCAATTGAGGAAAAAAATCCCTAGAAACCTGGAAAACATGGCCTTCCTGAGAACAAGAATCAAAGCATCTTTCAAGGACATGCTGACTTTGAGCAGGGGCTGGAGAAGAAACAGAGAAGGACCAATGAACAACACAAATCTCAGCAGTACTTGTCCTTAATGTGTGCTTGTGCATGTGTGTATTTTTTGATACCTGGACCGCTTTAAGTAGACCCTGAACTGTGGCTAAGGGCAGATATGACAGGTGGTCAAATGTCTCTGTCACTTTCGAGGAAGACTCCAGGAGGATCATGGGAGCAGAAACAACAATATCAGAGAAAAGCTCTGGTGAACAAAAACAGGAGAGTACAAAAGTTAAAATGTAGTAGCCTGTCTCATAAAGCTGATAAGATAATGATGTGAATATGACAGCCAAGTAGGCCGTCTTTGAGGCTGTAATACCTAAGTAATGACTGACAGGTGAGGCTGTCTTTGTGACCAAACGGTTCAATACTTGCTCCAGTATCTCTCCTCGGATGGGCTCGTGCATCTGACATCGGAGAAAGGCAGAATAAGATGGAAATTAAACTTGAAGCTGATGATGAGTCATCAGAGACAAAGACTGATAATTAGTCATGGCAGGGGGTCTTTTAAACACTGCATTTGTTGCACTTCATTCACATGCATCAATGCCTACATGTATTGTTCCTGTCAAATAAATGGAGAAATAGAAATTTATTTTTATTGTTTTGTGATATTTCTATGAAATAAACTTTGATTGTTACCTTAAAACCCTGCAGGAGCACCTGTCCCCCCAGCTTACACGCCTGCTGAACGGGGGTTCGGGCTATGGCAGCAGGGCTTTCAGCGGCCTTTCCAAAAGGTCCAGGTCTGGGTCCAAAGTTATCCATAAGGAAGAAGCCAAGCTGCACAAGCCCCTGGGTCACATGATCCCAGCCAAACACACTGAATGAAAGTGAAAGTGTTGAAACAATTTCAATTGTTATGGTTTGAACAATAAACTTCTCCCTTTTACTCCCAACTTTTGGGGACTTGAGGCTTGTAGAATACGAGTTTGTCGATGTAGAATTACAGGTTTTTGTTAGATTTCAGGATTGTTGAATTATCATGATACAGAATCTGTACATGTGAATCTTAGTTAGCATCAACCAAGCACTACAAATAACAGCTGTCTTATTTTGATGACATTTCTTAACTTTTTAACCTGTTCTTAACTGTGTCCAGTATCATCTGAGCCAGACTGCACTGTCCAGGCAGGAGGTCCTGTAGGAATTTTGACCCCTGCTGCATCTGCACATCCTTGAAGCTCTTGATAATTGCCCCCTTCAACAGGTCAAACACCTTCACAAACCACAGAGAGCAAAGAAATAAGAAAATAGAAAAGTGTCCGTAAAATACCATAGAAATTGTGTAGGATTAGTCATTAGCAGTATTGGTGAGTAGTCAAGTTTTGTTACCTGCTCTTCATAACGCTGGATACGTGCTACTGAGAGCAGCAAAGCAACACTGAAAGGGCACAAGTCACCGTAAGACGCCTGTGGAAATAGAAACGTCTATTTAACAGACTCTCTATGTAATCAAAATAACATCACTAAGGGTGGGCTGACGTGTGCAAAACCTTTATGCTTTTGAGAAATTCTCTCCCGAGCTCATGATCAAGTCGTATAGCAAAGACGATGTGGAGGATAGCTGTGCCCTCCACATGCCTTAACTGGTCCTGAGGGATGGACTGAACCTCTAGATCCAGGCTCCTCAAGAGAAAAACACAGAAAAGAATATTTAATAAGTAGAAAGACAGGTTTTTTGTATTTAGCTATAAATACAGTTTTTAAGATGTGCCACTCACTCTCCGTGTTTCTGCTCCTCCTCCTGGCGGATGTCCTGCTCCTTGAAATAACTGATAATACCATCCAGGACCTGTTTCTTGCAACCCTAAAAGACAGACAGACAGGGTAGTGCATCACAGAATATTAAAAAAGAAGAAGAAATGATGACCAGTGACCAAAAATGAAATCAGTCTGTCAAACATTCACACAAGTACCTTTGCAGATAAAAGTAGCAGCTGGTAAACCAGCGGTGGGATCTCCTGCAGATCCAGTTTGTTAAACACCCTCAACACTTTCTCAACCACAAACTGCAGCTCCTCTGACGACAAGGGTACATCTCTTTAAAGAGTCAGACAAAACAAAACAAAAAAACAGATGAGCAACATTTAAGGCTAATGCTTTAAGAGGACGCATGAAGGGCAAATAAATATTGAGGTAAAATATCAGTATCATACTATTGAACTGCATGTAAGAATGTGATGGTTTTAAACTGGATAGCTTATATGCTGGCTAGTTGATTTTCTAACAACAAGACCGCAAAGAACTCATGTCAATGAAACTCTGTCGGAGACCCTGCTTTGCTCCAAAGGTTCATCATGAAATCTGCAGATGATTCCATGTTCATGAGCCTTCTGCAAGACCATGAGGATGGACATGGTCCTGTGCTTGACTATTATTGTTTGTTGTTAGATGGTGAGACGATTCTTATCTGCAACTTAATGTGTCAAAAACGAAAGACATGATTTTTGTTTTCCATAAGAATCCATCTGTCACAGCCCAAAACTTTGTTAATGGTAAAGCTGTAGGAATAGTCAGTCAGTACAAATACCTAGATACCATCCTGGATGACAAACTGTCCTTTAAGACCAACTAAGATGCCATCTGTCAAAAGGCAAATCAGATTTTATTCTATCTGAGGAAACTGAGGTGTTTTAATGTTGACAAACAGCTTCTTAAAACATTTTACTCTTTTTCTATTAAGTTAATTTTAACCTTTTCTATGATATGTTTTTTGGTAACCTCACCGTTCCAAATAAAAATAACTTGAGGAACATTGTCAAACTTTGCCAAAAAACTATTAGCTCGAGTCTTGATGATCTTGACTCTGTTTTTACATCCCGAGTCACTCAGGCCATTCTGGCAAACCCTCTCCATCCTCTTCATGCTGAGTTTCAGCCTCTCCCATAACTTTCACTTACATGCCAAATCAAACAGGTACCTTATATCCTTTGTCGCAACAGCCATTTGTTTTTTAAATAAGCTGTAGGTGAGCTTGATGGGAACAACACACCCATGAAATTGTACTGAGTCTGTGTGTTTACATGTATTTATTTGTATTGTGTCTGCTGTGTGCTTTCTTTCTGTGATGTGAGAATTGTATAAATGTGTGATTTAACCTCCTTAGGGGACAGTAAAGACTTCCAATTAAAATCAGCTCTTACCTGAACATAGTCGTCAGGTGGATGACACACTTTGGGTCCCATCTACATTAAGAAAAAGGATATATTATCGAAGTGATCACAGAAGATAAGCTGTCATTTGTTATGATTTGTTCTTGTAAAACAAACAGGTAAAACTAACTTCAAATCACAAGTGAAATAGCACCCAAAGTTTAAAATCAGAGATCTCCTGACCTGCTGGAGCAGAGGCTATTGATCAGCTGTTTCTTGTACTCCTCACCATTAAGTTCACCTTAAGTTGAGATGTAATGATCAAACAAGAGAGAGATCAGAGACGTGCCATCATGTACAACATTTTCATCTCAAAGATATCAGAACTCCTAATATCACATAAACAATTAAAATAAATAAGGCTAGGAGTGTGCACAGACCTTTGCCATAAGACAATGCCTCGCACGCTGAAAGTGCAGTAAGCACAGTAGGAAACAGCTCCAGGGATTTTCCATTGCCCATTTTCCCCACCTTTATGGCTTCAACAAAAAGAGATGCCACTTGTGCAAGACATGGTCCAGGGAGAGTATGAGCCTGTGTGTAGCATTTAAGGAGAAAAGTGGTTCCCAAAATTTTATTTGCAGCAACTGTATGATTAAATTAACCAGAAAAGCTTCATTGTGAGGGTTTTTTTCTGTACCTCTAGCATCAGCAGGCCAATGATATCAGCTGCCACCTCAGTCTGAAGATCTCCAGACTCACATAAAGGGATGCAGTGTTGATAGACAAGGAGTCTGCGGTTTGATCCCTCAGAGGAATTGGAAGGTGAGCCTGACATAAGAACACAAATTTTATTTTTTCTGCACTTAATATCACGTGTGACATTAAAATCAATGACGGTCATGTGGACTTACCTTTGAATATGCCTTTAATCATTGAACCGACCTTCTTGCCCTTTAATGCACCATTAGAGATCACGGTGATCAACTAGAAACAGATAACAGTTTATAGATTACTTCTTAAATACTGTAAAGTTTCACGTTTGTCAAGTTTAGCTGTACATCTAAAGTAGTATGGTGGTTAGATATATATATACCTGGTCATCAGAGAGGGAGGACAAGTATTTCTGAAGCTCTGCAGTCTTGTCTCCATCTGACAGAGTAAGGATTTTATCGGTTTCAGCCCTCATGTTCAACCTGCAGAGACAGTGGGAAATTCCTGTTATTGGCGAAGCCCAGTAAGAGCGTTCCTGTACGTAAATACTAAATGTAAAAAGCGAAATTTACAAAATAAAGACTTACCTCTACTTGTTGATGGTCTGGAGTTTGAGAAAACTCAGTATAAGACATGAAATTTGTATCAACTTACTTTGTTTAACATGCCAGAGTCAAGCCTTGTATAAAACGCTTTCATAATAATTCCCGCCAGTAGTCAATTCCTGTTTTGCTTTTAGGTTGCCATGAAGCGTCAAATTATATTTATAATTACATTCTTGATAAACCTGTCATCATCATACTTAAGAATATATTTTATGAACTAAAGTAATATAATAATATAACGTGATACCACTGGCGTTTTTTCAAACGATTTATAAAAAAATCGTAAAAATTCCAGTTTAAGAAATACTTAATTCCCGCTGATCTGGCAACCCTACAGACAAGACGCGCCCCCAAACTCAGACGCGACATCGCTGTGTTGCATTTTTTACCGTAAGTACACAGTTTTTAAATACTTTAAATAATCACTATGTAGCTTTTTTGCTTGTTTTTATTCAACTAAAATTTCTATGACTGTTGGCTGAACATGTTGGCTGCTATTGTCTTAATAATTAACAAGTATTACCAAGTTTTACAGATAAACTAAGAGCGCAGTGAATTTACGAAATGACCCTTTTAACGTTTCCCATAAGTCGGGCCAGTGGCGCAATGGATAACGCGTCTGACTACGGATCAGAAGATTCTAGGTTCGACTCCTGGCTGGCTCGAATTTTTTTTTTCGTCTTTGATAAATCTGTCTACAGAGCTGGTGAAGACTTTCCGTAAATTTGAGTTGTTTTCGCATGACGCGTCTGACTAGAGATCAGAAGATTCTAGCTTTGAATTCTGACTGGATCGAAACTCCTTTTTCGCTTTTGATGAATCTGTCGATAGAAAGGGTAATATTTTCTGTAAAGCTAAGTTTTTGTATAATACGTGCTGCTACGGAACAGGAAAATGTGCCCAGCTCAGACTCCTGGCTGATTTGAAACTTTTGTTCGCCTTTGGTAAATCTGTCCACAAACCTGCTGAAGTTCTTCCGTGAATCTAAGTTGTTTTTGCACAAGATCTATACTTTTTGTCTGAACTCGATTTCTGTCCTCAAATTACACTCCCTCTGGACAGAAGTATGCACTCTGTTTTAAACAAATGTGGTCTGACCAGATACTGCTTCATTCTTCAAGGCTCTTTAGACAGGTCAAGCTTGTTGATACTCCTCTATGAGCAAAATGTTTAAAGACAGTGACTGTTGCCAAGCCAGAGAGATGTAACCTTTTCTGTTTGTCTAGCCAAACTGAATGGACATAGAGGCTAGTTTACAACAAAACTGTCATCTCTTAGCATCACCTCATATGAATGACTCTCAGCATTTACTGTCCGAGGTTGATGAAATCGATCACTTACTCCACTGTATGTGTCTTATATCACATAATTCTAACCGGTTTCTGGCGTCTTTGATATGTAACAGGCTCATTTTTACAAGACTGTGGCCCATGAAAAACTATTTCTTCCCTTTATTAACAAGACAAGTATTTGGATCAATTTGGTAAAATAATATATTCAAAAAATTTAATCAACAGGACTCTCATTATTTGTGTAACTCTTAAAAAATAAAAGTGAACTAAAACAAAATCATGTATCATCATCATCATCAATTATAAGTTTTATTTAAATCTACTTTCCCAATCATACTAAACTGTACTTAGAGATGCACTAAGATATGTGCAGTTACAATGTTAAAGCTCCTGTGAAGAACTTTAGTTCTATATTTACTTTGCTTTTGTATGTCATAAAAAAATGCAGCTCTGTTCATTTCAGTCTGTGTCATAAACTAACAAAAACTCCAAACAGGAGCTTTAATATTTTAAAATGCAGTCAGAGACTATCAAGACTACCAAGAAACAAAAAAAGGATTGCTTACTTGGATTGAATTCTTACTCATTCAAGTATTCTCTGCAATTGTAGCCCTCTCTTGTACTCTATTTTGTAAAGAAAAAACTTCATAACATGAGAATGCCTTTCAGTGATTCAGAACATTCACAGCTGTATTTTTGAAAAGAAAAAGTAAAACATTTCAACAATCTGAACTGAAACTCCTCTCATCAGACTCCTTTGAGCCACTGGCTCAACTTACCCCTGAACTACTATGAGGACTTTATTAGTCCTCTAAGCTAAAACGGTGGACTTTTATGCTAAGATTTGACCTCATGTTGTAGCTTGTGGATACCACGATTGATTAACCAGGCTTTTTACTAATTGCCTTTTTATATTTCTCTTATTGCAAATGTTCATTTTAATCCAAGTTCTTATTGTTAATTTTATGTCATTTAATTAGTTATCCTTGTTCTTAGTCTTGTGTCTTAATTCCCTTCACAGGTTTTTACTTCTTTTACCCCTTTTTTATATGGTAAAGAGCTTTTTACTTATCTATTCATTTAATATTATTTTCTTGTTTTAGTTCATCAGTTTTTGTTTTTTTTTTTCACCATTTTTATCTATAAGTTTTATCTCCAGTTTCCCAACGGTGGCTCTTTCCTCATGTAATGTCAGGCCATGTCTCCCTAACAATATATCTTAAATTCTTACACTGTGTGTGTGTGTGTGTGTGTGTGTGTGTGTGTGTGTGTGTGTGTGTGTGTGTGTGTGTGTGTGTGTGTGTGTGAGTGAGTGAGTGAGGGTGGGTGTGTGCCTTTGTGTGCGTTTGGGTGTGTGTGGGTGTGGGTGGGAGGGTCGGTTTTATTGTCGTTATTATTGTTGTTTTTAGCCTCTGTGAAGCACTTTGAATTGCAATTTTTTGTGTGAAAAGTGCCATACAAATAAAGTTGAATTTGAATTTGAACGTATAAAACAAATTTAAAATGATCTTTTTTGGTCTGAACACAATTCTAATAAAACTTATGACAGACTAAATTCACTTTTAAGAGTGAAAAATGTTGTTGTTTTTCTGTAAATAAATGTCTAACCCCCTCACCCATGTGCTTCTAACCTTCACAGACTCCATGAATTGATGCCCATCTCCTAAATTAGGGGTCACATGATCAATTTCTTTTGCCATTTCCAAGCAACAGGGGTCGGCTCAACTTACCCCACTCTCCCCTACTTTGTGTAGGAGTGAGAAGGAACTCACAGTCCAGAGTCATGCATAGTTACAGGCCATAGCTCTGAGTTTGAGCTTTGTGTGGTTCGAGCCCTGAGTCCAGCATTCTGCTTTTAGAATGAGGTATTGTTGTCGTTGTTAGTTGCCTGGTATTAAATAAAATCTATTATAAACAGTTTTTCACTTTAGAGGCAAATAAATCTATGTGGATGTTCATGACAGTGGGAGTTTATAAATGTTCGTGAACACTTATGTTTAGAAAGGGTTCATGAGCACAGACCATTTCACACTAAAGATGTCAACCAGATAAAAACGGCTGTATAAAGAAAGCCAAATCCGTCTGACTAAGGTTTATCTCTTGGGCATAATATTCTGTATAAAACTAAAGGTTAAAATAAAGGCTGAGAGGGGAGGAGAGTTACGCTCTGTACGTCTGCCGCTGTGACGTCAGAGCCGACGTTCCGTTCAGGCTCACGCGGACAGGAGGAGACGAGTCTACTGCAGCTGATAAATGTGTTTCAGTGATGTAATGTTGCTTGTTTGGTGACTACGGATGGCTGTTTGTGCCAGGCTGTGCGGAGTGGGTCAGTCGCGGAGGTGCAGGAGGCGACAGCGGCAAAACCAGCAGGACCAGGGGAGCGATTCCGAAATGGACGAGGAGGAAGAGGAGCGGATCGTAGGACACAGGCGAGCCGATATCGGAGTCGTCGGCGGCGGCGGAGGAGGAGGCCTGGAGAGCGACGTCGCCGCCACTGCAGGGCCCAGTGACGCTTGTGAATATGGCAGCGGTCATGTCAACAGAAGAAGCTTTTTGGATCCCACAGGCACAGGACCTCCACACCCGCAGTCATTAGCGGATTTGCCACCAGAGCTTCTAGTAGAAATACTATCCCTGCTCCCCGGAACAGCGCTACCAAATGTTGCCCTTGTCTGCAAAAAATTCAGGCAAATCGTAAACACTGAAACCATCTGGAGACGGCGGTGCACTGAGGGTAAATACATCGATTTTCAATGCAAAGATAACACCAACCAGTAACATTAGATTGCCACAAATGAGTCACATGTGAATATTGCAGTGTGCTATGCTGCCTCTTGTTGACATGTTATTTGTGTTAGGCTCTGTGCCCAGCTCAGACTCCTCAGAAATGCGCTCCCCTAAAAGCATTTCTATTGATCTGTGCGAGATCCACGGAGGAAATTATCCTTAACCCCATGTCGTCAGTCACTCTTTATGAAAAACAGACCTCTCAGGCCTTCCTCCTTGTTATTAGGTCCATGTCAGCCATTCTGTGCAGCTGATAAGACTGTCGATGCAGTGGAGCTTTTTGTAGGCCTTGAGAGTTATTTTGATCACAACCACCAGCACAAGCCTCTTAGATGATTGTACTATGGCAGCTCTCATCTGATGCACACAAGCAAGGGTAATGGGGAATGACTCCACAAATGGTTAACACAGCTCACTCCAAGTAGCAAGTCAAAGTAGAAGTCAATTATGTAAAAAGGTGAACTTTTAATTTGAGGTGTTAAATACCAATTTATTTGGTGATGGCCTTGATTAAGAATATCAAATTGACAAAATTTAAATGCAGGCAAGAGTTCTGTGCAAAACACTAAAAGCAGAAAGGCAAAAACAGATGACTAAAGTTCACAATAAAATAATATTGTAAAATAACAGAATAAACAAATATTTTTGTTTATTCTGGACCATAATGATTTAATGAAAGGTTGTGTAAGGGCAAAATAACCAAACATAGTACCAATACTGTCACCACTCATTGAATTCCGCCCATGGGAGGCAGCTACACCCAGAAATGCCAAAGAGATAGAGTTCACATCAATGCAGGCCTAATTGAAAAAAAAGAAAAAAAACGTGTTAGTAGATGAATTTCAGTTTCTATGCAAAGACAGTGAACGTCAATGAAAAGACACTTTCATTAGCATGAGAGCATAATCAGATTTTTAAGAGACAGTTGAGCGTCTAATGAAGATAACAAAATTGATGGCACTATTTAAGAACAGTAGGAATTTATCTCACTGTCTTTGATAAATTAAACAAAAATAAAAATTCCAAAAAATTATAAACAATCAGAACTGTTAGTTAATAGATTGTTAAAATATGTGATATTTGTAGCCCAAGTATGACCTTAAAAAGCTCAGGGGACATGTGATAAAGGAATGACCTAGAGGATTTTGTGCTCTGAAATGGTCCTTATCAAACAACTTACCAGGCATTCATAGAAAGCCAGAACACAGTGGGAAATCAGTTACAGTATACATAAACTAAGTAAAGACAGCTCTTTATCTGACTGACAAATTGTCCTGTTCAGCTGCCCTCACTTTGCACTCTCACTTGCTCAGATTTATCAGTAGTTTTCCACTGTTTTGTTTGGATTTCTATCAGGACGTGCTCAAATGTGTAAGGCCATTTTTCTTATAACGTGAATACCAAACCAAGTGATAACAATATGTATAAATCTGACTGACTGCATTACCCTTTCTACAGCAAACATGTGTCCAACTAAATGCTGAGCCACTTTCCTCTGTGTGTTTTCACTCTGCAGAGTTTGGTATGAAGGAGGACCTGCGGAAGATGGAAGTGGGAGGAGTATCAAGTCGAGACCTCTATGTTAAACGTAAGTACATCTACATGACCTGAAGCGTTGAAGCATTTTATTTATTTCCTCTTGAGCCCTTGTTGCTCTCCCTCCTTATTTTCCTGTGTGTATCTGGATGTAGTTGTCAATAAAGTTTTGCCTTATGTAGACTATGTTTGCAGATGATAGGGAAAAAAAATCATATTTGAAATTTAGAAATGCCTCAAAACACTCCAGACACAGTGGCAGCAGCTGTTTTCCCTTTGAATAGATTATGTTGGCACATTACTGCTTTCACTAGACGGCTGCCTTCAGCCCACAGTGATCTGTGGCTGCCCTACACATGGCTTTGTTGTGTCCAGGTGTCAACCCACGAGTGAAATCTGGGCGCTTTATGAAGCTCCTCCCGGACTACGAGCACATGGACTATAGAGACATTTACACACAGTGTATGTACATGGCTGAAGCATGAGGGGGCTGTGAGTGAAACTCATGAGTGCAACAACAGCAGTGTTCTGCATTGTGTGTGAAAAACAAACGTGCTAATAACTCTTTTTCGTGCTGTTTGCTTTCATATTGCGTGTTAAAACCTTACTGGGAAATGTTGGTGTTGTGTGTCTCGTATGGACTGTCTGAATGGATCATGGTTAGTTTACTCTTTCTTCCCTTTGTGTTTACTTCTCATAGGTTCAGCCTTGACAGACACTTAACAAAGTCTTGGTTTTGGCGTCTTTTTCCAGTATTTCTAACCCTTTCAAAATGTAGCTGTTAGCAAAGCATGGGCAAAGTGCTGCAGAAACTGATCGACGTTGTGTCATGTTGTGCCACTGTGTTGCAGTACTTCACCCGTACAGACATATCTTGGGCTTATGGCAGCCTGACATTGGGCCTTACGGTGGACTACTCAACGTTGTGGTGAGTCGTCCTCCTTAATGTGCATTAAAGTATGCATTATTGATAGTTTGTTGCATGAAAAACTATCAGAAAACAAGCAAAATCTGATCCATCACCATGCTTTGGTATTATGTTGTTAATGCTATTGCAGGAAACTGTGCATTCAAGTGGTGATAGACTATTAACAGTGGGTTTTATACAGGTGGATGGGCTGTTTATCATTGGCTGGATGTATTTGCCCCCTCATGACCCCCGTGTGGAGGATCCCATGAGGAGGCGGCCGCTTTTCCGCATCCACATGTGGGAGAGCAAAAAGGCCACAGTGGAATGCATGTATGGACACAAAGGGCCCCATAAAGGAGATATACAGGTGACGCCTCACATGGTTTAAAAGCCTCTTCCATGTGAAGAAATCTGAAATCCTCATAATGAAGATGCTCATTTGCACATCACACTCCAATTCGAGGTTAGAAAAGTAGGTCATCCCTTAATACATGTCATATTCTGTTAATTTTAGACTGGGAAGAAGGACGAATTTTCAACGAAATGTAACCAGACAGATCATCATCGCATGCCAGGGGGCAGACAAGAGGTGAGTCAAATCAGAAAGCTGAAACTAGGCCACGACCTGTTCTATTTTCTGACTTATCTTACCTGATTGTGTTTTTACAGCTTCTTTCGTGTCACAATGTGAAAATTCAAAGAGTGTTATCTGAATCTGTAAATTTGTCTGTCTGTTTGCCTGCCTGCCTGTGTGTGTTTGTGTGTGTGTAGGAGTTCAGGACGTGGTTGGAAGAAGAATGGGGTCGAACACTGGAAGAAATTTTCCACGAGCACATGCAGGAGCTCATCCTAATGAAGTTCATTTACACAAGCCAATACGAGTAAGAGTCTTTTTCCTTGATCACACTCAAGTCTGTGACTGAAATTAGAGTATGTGTGCACATAATCCAGGGTTTCCCCTGCTTGTAATTGATCGTGGCCCACTGCCACGGCAAAATAAAGGCCGCCACACCTTAAAAACAAGCGATATTTCTCAGTATATGCGGCGCAAACAGGCGCTGCACTGCTGTTAACCCTCAAAGTAGCTCTGACAGAATATTTATTACCAAACTACCTTGTTATCTTGAGAAATGGTTCTTGCTCCCACAGTGGATTACTGTTTAACCCCGTTTGCGGCTGATGTTTACTCCTCTGTTTTTCAGCAACTGCTTGACATACCGGAGGATATACCTTCCTCCTGCGATGCCCTCTGACCTGTTGCAGCCAGGTCTCTTCAAAGGCACCTATGGCAGTCATGGCTTGGAGATAGTCATGCTAAGTTTCCATGAGACCTCAGCAAGAGCCACAAAGCTCACTGTAAGTGTTTGATAGATATATATACTGTATTTGTATTTATTGTATTTATTTAGCGCAGATGAAAAACAGTGCAAGGAGGGAACGATGCCAATAGGCTTATACAAAGCACCACTCCCGTCAGGGCAGTGAAGGCATAGGGTGCAAACGACAAAGTAACTCGGACATAGACATGTTATAAATATACAATGAGGAGGGAAAGGTCAAAAAATATACAAATTGCCATAAATAGAACATAGACTAATCATCAAACAGTGATAGAGACAATATAAGTATACATAAAAAGGAAAGAAACGTGATCATAACAAATAATGATGTGTTTAAGACATGATCAATGATATTTTAAAGGAGTTGAGGGATGATATTGATTTTAGAGATGCATCCAGATTATTCCATAGTTCCGGTCCTCTAAAAGTGATGTTAGACTGATGACTAGAAGTTCGACAGGAAGGTAACTGAAGATGGCCATTTTGTCTTGTTGAGTACGGGTGAAGAACAGATGAAAAGGTAAAAAGTTTTGGAAAGTTTAAGGAAGGTCTTGTTTGTTGATGAACTTGTGGACAAATAAACAAGAGTGAAAGACATTGAGTTTGTCAATCGGTAAGATGGAGTATTTGGAAAAGAGAGGTGCAGAAGGTTCGTGTTTGCTGGATCATGATATCATTCTTAAGAATCTTCTCTGGATTAATAATATTTTCTTGAGGTGAAATGGACACATTGCACATCATACAATATTACAATAGTTCATGTATGGAAATAGAAAGCTATAATACAAAGACAAATGAGCAGAGGGATTGATCAGGGGACAGACCTTATTAATTATATCATTGACCTTTTGCAAACTTGACTGATATGAATGTTCCACTTAAGACCCTCATCAAAGATAACACCCAAAAAAATGGTGTGGGGTACATGAGAGATTTTTGTACCATTAATTGATATTTTGGCTTCATCTTTTGGATAAGATTTGTTTTTGTTGCAGAAGATCATGAAAGTTAATTTTTTTTTTATTGAGAGTTGGCTTATTAGTCAGAAACCAGTTAGCAACAGAAGATAAGTTATTTCTGAAAAGGAGGGAAAGAAAATAATTTAATCTGTTAGGTTCAACTCTATTCTCTCTTTTAATCATATTGTTAAATCCTTGTATTTTGACAAATGCAGAAAAAAACAGTGTGATATTAGCATCATATATCATCAGTCTTTAGCTAACCTATTGTCTCATTAATGGTAGCAGCTGTCAAAAAAACAAAATTGGTTGATCACCAAATATAACAATGACAGAGTTTTGTCACTCTAAGATCATAATCTTACTCCTTCCTGCAGGGAGACCCCAATGTTCCTGCGGGACAACTCACTCTGGATGTTGACCTGAGCCGGCCTGTGGTCCTCCCTGACTTGGAGCAACAACGCAACATAGAGGAGCTGTCTCGGCTGGTATTGGGAGTGCATGAGCAGGTACAGAGGGAAGCAGAGCAACAGGCTAAGACCTCTACTGCGGCGGATGGAGCCTGTGGTGGTGCCAGCGCAGATGAAGGGGCAGAGGCAGACTGTGGCGCCTGTTCAGACAGCTGCCAGCCTGGTCCTAGTACCACCGCTCCTCCTGAAGCCCAGCCCTTCGTCCTGCCTTTGGGGGTCATGGCTCGAAACGAGGTGTATCCTCGCAGCTGCAGGAAGTGGTAAGTGCTTGGCTAAAATGACTCCACTTTGTTAAAGTAGATTGATAGTAACTTTATTTTCCCTGGTATGACAAGAGGTCAACACAGTTCACCAGAGTTGTTCCAAGCTGCTTCGCTGGTTTAAGTTCATGACCAACGGGCAGAATTCATGTCAGGGAGTCGAGACAGCTGATCTGTTACTCTGAAAAAGCTGATGTCCACAACCTTTAAATTCATTTAGATATACTTATGGGGCAATGTCATTACCATTCAATGCCAGACCACTGTGCAACTTGCAACAGGAACTAAACTGTGTATCAGTCTTAAAATATTTGTTGCACTCTCTGATGATATTACTATCAGCCTAAATGAAAAACATGGAATCTACAGACAGAAAGACATCTAAAAAGTGAATGAGAGTAATATAGCTGAAGGACTGAGTTCAATAGTAGAGGGACAGACCTATTTCTGCCACAGTTTTTAATCCTGTTTGTCCACAATAATCCATAATGAGGTTGCAATGAAGTTTACCGGGAATTTCAGTCAGCCATTACTGTGTCTGTGAGTCAATTATTGTCCTAGCTACAGTCTGTTCCTATTTTCTGCACCCTCTGACTCCAGAGGCCAATTCATGTTGATATTCATTAAAGCACTGATTGATTCATTTATGCTTTAATTTTTCTCCATTTCAGCTTCTATGGGACAGGCCTGATTGCTGGGCACGGCTTCACAAGCCCAGAGCGCACCCCAGGGCTCTTTGTGCTGTTTGATGAGGACCGATTTGGTTTCATCTGGCTGGAGTTGAAGTCTTTCAGTCTGTACAGTCGCCTGACGGACCACCTAGCTCACGCTCAAGCTCCAAACATGGAGCGATTTGAGGCCATGCTGCGCAACATGCAGTCCTGGACATCCTGATGCAGCACACTTAACTCTCCTTCCACATTGCAATGCATAGAAATACCATTACACACAAATCACCTCTGTCCTCCACTGACAAGCATTGCTATCTTGATAGCCCATGACCTTAACTATCCGTATCTGTTTCAGAAACTTTGTGTCTTACTGTCTGATTATTCTAGTTATGTCATCCTCATGCTCACACTCAAGCTCTTGTTCCTGTATGAGCACTTTGAAAGGCCTCCTCAGACACCATCTATCACCTCACCTCAGTATGACCTTAATCTTCCAGTGCAGCATGATAACAGGTCACATCAAGTTTTATTATTTATTTATTTATTTCATTCCCTGGAAGAGACAAGGAATGATATTTCAAAAACCACTTATGACGGAGCAAACTGTATGTGCCTCTGATTCTGAAACCATGTCTGTACTTGGTTGTGCTTGAAGAAGATAAAGGCGTCCAATGTATTCTACTATATAGTATTATACTCCTTTTAATGCCCAACATATTAAACTGCATGCTGCATTTTATTTAGATCTGATCAAGTATACTCATATGAGTTTTTTTCTTCAATTATTTTTGCTTTTGACATCCTTAGTTGAGAAAAAAAAAAACATCTCAGGTGTTTCACTCTTCACAAGTCAGTAAAAAAACAGACACAGAAGTATTTATGTGTTTAGTAAAAATGTAGGTTGTTTCATTCATATGATTAATTTGTCCAGTAGAAATACTAAGTGAAATTTATATAATGGGCAATTTTTTTAACCATTGAAAAGAGACAATTTCCTGTCTTATCAAACAGTGTAGCTTCAGCAGTCAGTATGGGTCAGACTGATATGTTTTTGCCCTTTGAACTGAGGTGATAACTTTTACAACTATATGCTTTGCATTAAACATACTTTTCATAATGTTATATGAGCTGGAAAAATGTATTGTACTGCAATAGATTAACATAACCTTAACATACTGGTAAGCTGGATTTAATCAAATCTTAGCAGTTTATGTGCTTATATAATTATGGTCTGAAACAAAGGCTTCTCTTACCTTCAAAATGTATTGCATATGTTGTTCGTTCGAAAGGCTGACTTAACGTTTGCCTGGCTTTACACCTGCAGAGCTTCTTCCCTAATTTATTTTGAACCAGAGACCAGGCTAGCTGAATATTATACAACCCAACAGCTGAAAGTGCATCAATAAGTACTAAGTAAGTGTCTGTATGTGTCATGACTGGCCTGATGGTGGTGCCCAGTAGCTTTCCTACTCCAAGTGCACTTTTCTGGGCAGTAAAGTAAATCAGTAAGAACCACTGGCCAGCACTTTTATATCAGACTGCAGCTTTACTAACATTTGCAAAAAAAAGAGAAAACAAATGTCTGCTCAAGCATCTTTAATTTACTTTAATACAATAATATTATTTCCTCTCTGATTTGGTACGTTTATTTTATACATTCTTGTATCTGTACGCCTTCTGTACCCAGCTATTTGAATGATTTGCCTTTGAGAAGTGTTGCTTTGTATTATTTTCATTGCCTGATTTTATGGAAAACAATCTAATTTTGACCTATTGAACTGCTCACTTTGGACTTCAGGGAGCTTTTCAGCTTAAATGCTCTTCTCAGTAATAAAAAATACAAAACTAAAGAAAAAGATTTTGTCAGTTTTCTTTATTCTTTTCCATTGTGTCCTTATGCATCATATTGCTTGAGGGAAAATAAACAGTTCTCAGCCATCACCGACATGATAATCTCCCTCTGAGATATGAAACCAAAGATAGCAAACAAACTCCTGTTATCAGTGTAAACTTTGAACCCAACCCTGATTACACATCAGGATTAATAGCATGAAGTTAAAGGGCTAACATGGGCTGTGTGTTTCTAATGTTTGTCAGTCACACTAAGACTTGATTTAAAAAAAAAAAAAACTTCACATTTTGTGTTGGGGGGGAATGGGCTTTTTGAAAAAGGTTTTAACAGATGGTTTATTATCACAGTATTTTACTCTAACTTTCCTAATTAACACCAACACCACTAAAAAAACCTGTCCCAAAAAGCACTGGACACTCAGTTCTTAAAATTTAATTAGTTTTACAATGTCAGGGCATGTGTTAAATCAATTTAAGCTGACTTGGTAAGTTAAACTGGGCTCAGTGTTCAATACATAAGAGTGAAATGAGACTCCTCTACAGCTCGCTGTGCTCTGTCTTCTCTTTGCGTTGTCTTATTTTCTCTGGCAGTGTCTGAGTCATGAAGACAAACCGCTCCTTCTTCAGGTGCTGACCAGTAACCTGCTCCTTCAAGTCGATTTTCAGGTAGTGCTCTTCTGCTCCATACTGTGGCCAGTGAACAAGGCCTTCCCCATTAGGAGACCTAAACACACCGAGGGTAAAGTCATAAATAACTTTTTCTTAGCTAAATATGCATTGAAATCTTAAATGAGGGTTGATTCTTACCCTGTGCGAGCAAAGTTTCCCCAGTAGCTCATCATGGTTTTGCTCAACTGTTCTTCCTCTTTAGAGCATGCATCTACAACATCAGTTACCTGGTTAAACACTTTGAACTCTGTATAACTCAGGTTTATAGTAGTGTAAACCTTATGTTTAGATTGTGCTCACCTTCTTCCAATGTGACATGTTTGGTTGTGAAACAAGCTCCTAGTACTGTGAAAAGTTCATCTCCATGGTCAGCCCCAACAAAGCTAGGTCTTTTTGCTTGCAGGAACTGAGGGGGATGCTGGTACTCATACAGGTATACAGGTGCAACAGCATCTAATTGGGAACAAATAGTTGTGATCAATACAATTTCTCATTTCTCTTCTCTCAGCGTGAAAAGTTCTGCATGTTGTCTCAAAAAATTACCTCTGTGTGCGTTAGCAGTCTTGATGGCTGGAATTGTGAATATCGTATCCCCAAGCAGCTCAGTGTATCCGTTCCTATTTTTTATAGGATCCTCACCAGTGCCCATGTATTCTTCTATTATCAAATCAGAAATTAATGGATCGGGGAAAAACATTGAGAGCAGGTTCTTAACAGACTCCAAATCCAGTCCCTCTGTCCAGTTTTTGGGTGCAAAGAACTAAAAGAAGACAAAGATACCATTAATATCTCAAACATTCACTAAAGCAAAACTCTATTTTTACTGGCTCATCAAGAAACCCACAAGCACTTTGGTTATCCATGACTCAGTACAAATTTACAGCATCCATACTCACATCAACGAGCAAAAAGCCCCCTTCATCGTTGTTAACCCCTGTCATGAAGGGTATGGTAAGTAGTTCATGTTTTTTGAACAGCTCATCCACAGGTTTTGTCAGGAAGTGTCCGTCAACACTTATAAAAGATTGCAAACTAAGATCCTTGAGAAAATGACAGTTGAAAAGAAAATTAAGATAGACCACAGATAGGCTACAATGGTTGTTTTCACTCACTATTCTTTGAACAGTATGATAGTTAATAACTCACCTGTGCAATGGTTAAAAAAGTATCAAGATCAAGATTTCTCATGCAATCACTGATCTTCTCTGTGCTGTCCAGGCTGCAGCCAGACATATTTGCTGCCGCCTGAGGAATATAAAAGGATTTTATGTCAACACCCTAAGGACACAACTAAGTTTTAAAGAGCTATCTTGAATGCTGACAGTCTACCTGTGCCATTGGTAGAGGATCATTTGTCATCAGTAAATCCATTGCTGCACTGCCGCTCTCAGCGATAGCGCGGTGAAACAGTCCTTTAGCCAATGGGGAGAGAAGCTGGTGGATACAGACACATGAAAAATAAGGATATGTGAAGTTGTAACTCAGCAGCGATTTTACAGGAAAATCCTTAAGATAAATACATGGGTTTTATGTGTGTTGTTCATCAGCTCATTAAGAGACTGATCCTTACCAGTAGAGACACACTCATTCCACCAGCAGACTCTCCAAATATTGTAACTGAGTCTGGGTCACCTCCAAAGCTGTGAATGTGCTGCTGGATCCACTTCAGAGCTTGTACCTGGTCCAGAAGACCAAAGTTTCCAGTCAAGTGTTCATCGCCAGTGCTGAATGAAACAAAATATTGTTTTCCATCAGACTGTGTTTAGTCCTTGAACAATGGCTCTGTTGCAGAAACATAGAGCCTACAGGTAGAAGCTAAGAGGCTCTTGTTGAACCAGGGAATTAAAAAACAGTATACAGGGGTGTAAATGGTCTAGAGGTAAAGGCTGCCATCATTTGTGGAGTTTGAGTTTGAGTTTGATTTCATTCAGCATATAAAGGGTTTAGTGTATAGTTGAAAGGGTGGAAGGAAAATGCAACTTTCCAGTCCTAAAAAAGAGGAAAAATATTCTAGCCTTAGCCCCTCCTATTTAGGTATCCCATGGTAAACTGGTTTATTTCTTATTTAACCCAAGGCCAGTCAGGCAAGCAAATTGTAACCAGGAGAGAAAAAGTTTCAGAATCTTTTAAATATTTTTTATCAGTCTCATCAAATATTCTCTAGTAACTTCTCAGTGAAAGAAAATGAAGCAGTCATGACAGCTTATGATGGAGACAGAAAATATATCTGTGTTGTGTTATCTATGTTTGGTACCCATGTCAATCAAAAACCTTTGACTAGATAAAGATGGTTCATCACTGCTTCAGACTGAAACCAACGTATGCACGGTTGAAAACACAACTCACATAAATCCTGTATATCAGCCAAACTTATTATACATTTTCCTTTTTGAGATATGTTAACTTTTTATGTACCATCCAAAATCCTGGAAAACTGATGTGAAGCTGTTTGCATGACCATTACGTTACTGACTGCATATGCTCAATTCTTTGTCTTGTTTGTCACTGCCTTCATCAGTGACAGATATGATAAGAGAGTCCAACTACATGGATCTATCATAACAAAGCAAGCATTTTAACTTCAAATGGTCTTCAAACTTTGTTTCTTTAAACTGTGATTAGTTTCTTGCATTTTCTCACCTGACAAAGCCCAGAAGTCCGAGACGATACTGGATCAAAACAACAACCACATCCTGATAAGCAGCCAGGGCAGAGCCATCATACATCGATGCTGATCCCATACTAAACCCTCCTCCATGGATCCAGACCATAACCTGGTAAAATAATGGAAGCGCTGAAATATTTATAAAATGTGAGCTAGTGAGAACATTTATTCAAGTAATATAATACAAGTCTGATACCATATAGTTTGATACTGAACAATCAGTCTGCAATAAAATTGCCATCTTGGATTCATCAGTTCTCCCACTGTCTTTTTAAGTCACCCCTTATTCAAACATACACAGTATCAGAAACTCTGACAGCATGGTAGAAACACCTTTGTTTCCACTCATGATCATATGAAAACATCAAACATTTACAACACATCCTTCAGCAAAACACAATGATCTCATTTCCCCATCCGGAGTACATCATCAGAAATTATCAGTTTTTGTAATACTTATAACTAAAATCATCAAACCATATGTGACATCACAGCCACACACCTTGAGCACCCCTCTTCAGCTGAGATTTAATCAACATCCTATCAGCAAAGAAACCCCTTCTTGTAGTTGAAGACTCTTACCGGAAGCTTAGCATCATCAGCTCGGTTTGCAGGAGTGTAAATGTTGAGGTAAAGACAGTCTTCTGAAACATCTGGGATTTCTGCTGCCATTTCACCAACTTTTTCAAGCAGATCAAAAGAAAATTGTCTATTTTGAACACACCTAAAAAAGGGAGACAAGATGTCATATTATATTAATTGAAGGTGATTTTTTCAAGTGCTGTGTCCATCAGCTGAAAATACACGGATGACTTACATGAGTGGCTGCTTGGTGGCATCTCTTACTCCTGTCCATCCCTCCACAGGCTGAGGTGCAGAGAATCTCAGAGCAGGGCCTACGGGTGGCTTGGCAAACGGGATACCCAGGAAGGCATGGACCCCAGTCTCCTTTCCTTTAACACTCACAAACTCACCTCTCAGACTTCCAAGTCCTGTGTGGACCTCAGGCACTGATAGGATGATAAGACTGGGTCAGAGTCATTGCTTAAAATTCAGAACTTATTGATAGGTGTTTATCAAAGCTAAGTGATGCACAAGTCCTCTGTTGATGCTCATATTGAACTCAAGTGGAAAACTGTGAGTTGGTGCAACAACTCTCCAACTTATATCAGCCATGTGAAAGACTTCCAAGTCTCAAATGTGTTTCTGTTTGTATAGGTAACTTAAAGACAGGCTATAAGCAAATGCTCAAATAAGCAGCTTATCAGGGCAACAAGGCAAGCGTAATGAGGCACAGTGCACTTTCCCCCTTTTGTTAGAATCTGATTTTTCTTATTCCTGTCCCGGTAAAATTTGGATTTGCTACTAATCCTCCAGCTTGAACAGTCAGGAGAAAAATTATATATCAAAATATACGGTTTGATTGGGATAGGGTGCTATTATGTTTCTCTATTTTATATCATTTTTCTACAAGGTAAATCACGAAAACTCTGGAAAAATTTTCCATTGAAGTCAACGGGACAAGCCAAAAAAAAAAAAGAAAAAGAAGGAAAATTATTGTAGTTATTCAAATGCCTACTGCTCCAGCATGCTTTCACCTAAAGACTCCATTTAAACTTTAGTGTAGACACAAGTCTTGTCTTTTGGAGCATAAATCCATGTTTTGATAGGTATCATAGTTTTTGATCACTCACTGTTCAATGACCATGATCATTTTTGGATAAATTTTGAGATTATAATGGGTGTGTATTGCGTGGAATGTTCATGCCAGAGTGGGTGACATCATCGGCTAGAGTGAGAGAAGTTGCATGAAATTGTCTGAAATTTTCCTCTTTTAACACTCATCCTGGCCTCAAATTACACTCTACATGCATGGTTTTTTCCACAGTTGTAGACACACTTGTTCTTTCTCTAACGGTATGTTTATCTAAGCAGAGAGACTTACAGAATTCAAATACTGAGCCTCTAAGTGCGGAATTGTCTCTCTCTGCTCCCAGGATTTTCTGAGAGGCAGAAGGGACTCCTATTTATAACTAAGTATGTCCATAATCTTTACTGAGGAAACACCAAAATCATATCAAAACATTCAGGAGGAAAAGCAGACCGTTGTCATCGGTCTGCTTTTTCTGATAGGAGCTACTGTTTTGTCAGAATAAGCCCAAATGTGAGACCAGTGCTCATTTTGACAGCCTCAGCCTGCAGTGTGTCTTTCATCATGGGCAACCAGCTCAAGTTGCTGTGGCAAGCCTCAGGCCAGGCTCACAGTTGAGACCAATTCACTTGTCAGGGGCTGCTCTATTACCTCTGCATCACTGAATCACTTTTAGAGCAATTTGATTAACTAGAAACACTGAGTTTCAATCAAATTCCTTATTAGGGCCACAGGGAAAATGCACTGAGGCACTGGCCCCTATACAATAGAGATGCTAAAAACTTCACAGCAGGCCACTTTGCTTCGCCCCAAGGCACTATGGTAGGTTGAAGAGTTTCAGGACTAAGTACACATCAAAATGTGCTGTTTGATCAGGATTTGTGTGCTATTACTTTTCTCTTTACTGCAAAAACATTTTGCATTGAGGTCAATGGGACAAGCTCAAAAAAGAAAAAAAAAATGCAGTTATTCAAGTTGTCTGAAATGTTGACTGCTTTGGCTCTGTTTTGTTTTTCTGTTCCTAGGGGGAAATTTCTTGTCCAGTACATACAGTACTGTAGTTGTTCACTAGGAAATAATTCACCCTTACAGTCAGCTAATCAGGTGGTTTTAGACGTTCCTTGATCCTTTCTAAAAATCCAGGGGAGATTGAGCATTTTCTGTCGTGGCTCCCACTTTGTGGAATGCTTTACTCTTGACAGTGCGAACAGCAAATAGTCTTTCAACTTTACAACACTTCTGTAGACATACCTGTTCACTTAGCCTTTGGGATAGTATAGCTACTTTTATTGGGTCTTTTATTTATTTGATATGTTTATTTTTATTGTTGTTTTATGTTTTTTATATGTTTTATGCTTTTGATATTTTTATAGTTTTTTATTGTTCCTAGCTATTTTACTGTAAAGCACTATGGAAGATCACTGGCTGTTTTTAAACGTGCTATACAAATAAAGCTGACATTGACCCATACTGTAAATCTGTGTCAATCTGTTCTATATCGACCTTTTCTGGAAACATTTAAACGCTAGACTCACTGAGTTGGTAGTCTACTAAAGTAAACCACATTATTTGTCAAAGTCAATTATTTTCGCAGTTTATCTTGGGACCTAAAAATCTTTAAGATGTTTTGCTAAGTAGTCTGACAAAACAAAACTGAGAATCATTGTGCCCCAGGATGAACTCCTTACCCATTTTTTTGATTTTGTCACCTCTGAACAGCATTATTGATAACAAACCATTAGTGACAAGTAATCATTATTAGCAAACAAACTGTTAGTGAAAACAACAAAAGGATGTAATGGTTCATGCTATTTTCTTGATCAAGATATGCAAATACACTCACTCATCTTTTCTTCCTTCTCTTTGCGTTGTCTTATTTTCTCTGGCAGTGTCTGAGTCATGAAGACAAACCGCTCCTTCTTCAGGTGCTGACCAGTAACCTGCTCCTTCAAGTCGATTTTCAGGTAGTGCTCTTCTGATCCATACTGTGGCCAGTGAACGAGGCCTTCCCCATTAGGAGACCTAAACACACCCAGGGTAAAGTCATAAATAACTTTTTCTTAGCTAAATATGCATTGAAATCTTAAATGAGGGTTGATTCTTACCCTGTGCGAGCAAAGTTTCCCCAGTAGCTCATCATGGTTTTGCTCAACTGTTCTTCCTCTTTAGAGCATGCATCTACAACATCAGTTACCTGATTAAACACTTTGAACTCTGTATAACTCAGATTTATAGTAGTGTAAACCTTATGTTTAGATTGTGCTCACCTTCTTTCAATGTGACATGTTTGGATGTAAAACAAAATCCTAGCACTATGAAGATTTCATCTCCATGGTCAGCCCCAACAAAGCTAGGTCTTTTTGCTTGCAGGAACTGAGGGGGATGCTGGTACTCATACAGGTATACAGGTGCACCGGCATCTAATTGGGAACAAATAGTTGTGATCAATATCATTCCTTATTTCTCCGCAAGTTGAACAGCAAATGTAAAAAGTTCAGTGTGTTGTCTCAAAAAATTACCTCTGTGTGCGTTGGCAGTCTTGATGGCTGGAATTGTGAATATCGTATCCCCAAGCAGCTCAGTGTACCCATTCCTATTTTTTACAGGATCTTCACCAGTGCCCATGTATTCTTCTATTATCAAATCAGATATTGATGGATCAGGACTAAACATAAAGTACAGGTTCTTAATAGACTCCAAATCCAGTCCCTCTGTCCAGTTTTTGGGAGCCAGGAACTAAAGGAAGACAAAAATACGATTAATATCTCAAACATTTATGAAAGCAAAACTCTTTTTTTTCCCCACTGGCTCATCAAGAAACCCACAAGCACTTTGTTTATCCATGACTAAGTTCAAATTTACAGCATTCATACTCACATCAACAAGCAAAAAGCCCCCTTCATCGTTGTTAACCCCCGTCATGAAGGGTATGGTATGTAGTTCGTGTTTTTTGAACAGCTCATCCACAGGTTTTGTCAGGAAGTGTCCGTCATAATTGATAAGAAATCTCAAACTAAGATCCTTGAGAAAATGACAATTGAAAAGAACATTAAGATAGACCACAGATAGGCTACAATGGTTGTTTTCACTCACTATTTTGTAAACAGTATGACAGTTAATAACTCACCTGTGCAATGGTTAAAATAGTTTCAAGATCAAGATTTCTCATGCAATCACTGATCTTCTCTGTGCTGTCCAGGCTGCAGCCAGACATATTTGCTGCCGCCTGAGGAATATAAAAGGATTTTATATCAACAACCTAAGGAAACGACTAAGTTTTAAAGACCTATCTTGAATGCTGACAGTCTACCTGTGCCATTGGTAGAGGATTATTTGTTGTCAGTGAATCTATCGCAGCAGTACCACTCTCAGCGATAGCGCGGTGAAACAGTCCTTTAGCCAGTGGTGAGAGAAGCTGGTGGATACAGACACATAAAAAATAAGGATATGTGAAGTTGTAACTCAGCAGTGATTTTACAGAAAAGCCCTTACGAAAAACACATGGGTTTTATGTGTGTTGTTCATCAGCTCATTGAGAGACTGATCCTTACCAGTAGGGACACACTCACTCCACCAGCAGACTCTCCAAATATTGTAACTGAGTCTGGGTCACCTCCAAAGCTGTGAATGTGCTGCTGGATCCACTTCAGAGCTTGTACCTGGTCCAGAAGACCAAAGTTTCCAGTCAAGTGTTCATCTCCAGTGCTGAATGAAACAAAATATTGTAGGGGAGGTATTTAAACTATCATTCAATCTTTATATTGCACTGTACAAAATGCATTGATTCAAACGTTGAATCAATAGTCCAACTACAGAGATCTATTGTAACAAAACAGGCCTATACATTTCTTATGGTCTTCAAACTTTGTTTCTTTAAACTGTCATTAGTTTCTTCTATTTTCTCACCTGAAAAAGCCCAGAAGTCCGAGACGATACTGGATCACAACAACAACCGCATCCAGATAAGCAGCCAGGGCAGAGCCATCATACATTGATGCTGATCCTATGCCAAACCCTCCTCCATGGATCCAGACCATAACCTGGTAAGATAATGGAAGCAATTCATCTTTTCTACACAGCATACAGAAATATTAAGAAATGTGAGCTTGTGAGAACATATTTATTCAAGTACATTGAACCAAAGACAAACTTAAATCTGACTTTAAAATGACACTCATCTCTTTGATTTATGCTTTTGGGTATGTTGAGTATTATTCAAACTGCAATTACAGGACCCACATTACAACAAAAGTTGAGATGCTGTGTGAAGCATTTCACCAGAGACTATGGTTAGCTGAAATTGTTAGTTTAAATAGTGCAAAAAATACATATATTGAATGTTGAAACTGAAATAGATTACAGCAAATGGATTCACCCTTAACTTGCCTGATACCATATAGTTTGATACTGAACAATCAGTCTGTAATAAAATTGCAATCTTGGATTCACCAGTTCTCCCACAGGCTTTTTAAGTCACCCCTTCTTCAAACACAAAATCACAAAGTCCAGTTTGGTACCATCTAAACTCAATCTTGTCTGGACTAACCCTGATACTCTCAGCAACAACAAACACTTGTGTGATTCCACTCATGATCATATGAAGACATTTACAACATATCTTTAAGCAAAACACAATGATCTCATTTCCCCATCTGAAGTACAGTGTCAAGCACAACGTCACAGCCACAAACCTTGAGCACCCCTCTTCAGCTGAGATTTAATCAACATCCTATCAGCAAAGAAACCCCTTCTTGTAGTTGAAGACTCTTACCGGAAGCTTAGCATCATCAGCTCGGTTTGCAGGAGTGTAAATGTTGAGGTAAAGACAGTCTTCTGAAACATCTGGGATTTCTGCTGCCATTTCACCAAATTTTTCAAGCATATCAATGGATACTTGTCTATTTTGAACACACCTGAAATAGGGAGACATGATATCATATTAGATTTATTGAAAGTGATTTTTTCCAAGTGCTGTGTCCATCAGCTGAAAATACACGGATGACTTACATGAGTGGCTGCTTGGTGGCATCTCTTACTCCTGTCCATCCCTCCACAGGCTGAGGTGCAGAGAATCTCAGAGCAGGGCCTACGGGTGGCTTGGCAAACGGGATACCCAGGAAGGCATGGACCCCAGTCTCCTTTCCTTTAACACTCACATACTCACCTCTCAGACTTCCAAGTCCTGTGTGGACCTCAGGCACTGATAGGATGTTAAGACTGGGTCAGAGTCATTGCTTAAAATTCAGAACTTATTGATAGGTGTTTATCAAAGCTGAGTGATGCACAAGTCCTCTACTGATGCTCATATTGAACTCAAGTGGAAAACTGTGAGTTGGTACAACAACTCTCAGACTTATATCAGCCATGTGAAAGACTTCCAAGTCTCAAATGTGTTTCTGTTTGTATAGGTAACTTAAAGACATTTTATAAGCAAATGCTCAAATAAGCAGCTAATCAGGGCAACAGGGCAAGCATAATTAGCATAGACTGTATATAGAATGGATGTTGTCTGCCTCCTCACTGGGTGAAGGCTCTTAAGAACAGCACCCTCTGGTGACAGGCTGCAGTAAAGGTCATAATTTCCACCTCCTCCAGCAATCCCTATGGAGCCTTGGACAAACTTTAGAAATTAATTACACTGAATATATATTTTCTCCCCACTGGATGCGATGTTGACATGCAGTTATGGTAAGACTGATTTCCGCTCAAGGCCCTTTTTTTTCTGTGCAGCTCCATTTCTAAAAGCTATTATCATGTTTTCTATGATTGACACTTCATACTATTCACACTATTTTTTTGATCAAGATATGGAAATACACTCACTCATCTTTTCTGTCTTCTTCATGTGTTGTCTTATTTTCTCTGGCAGGGTCTGAGTCATGAAGACAAACCGCTCCTTCTTCAGGTGCTGACCAGTAACCTGCTCCTTCAAGTCGATTTTCAGGTAGTGCTCTTCTGATCCATACTGTGGCCAGTGAACGAGGCCTTCCCCATTAGGAGACCTAAACACACCCAGGGTAAAGTCATAAATAATTATGTCTCACCTAAATATGAATTGAAATCTTTAACGAGGGTTGATTCTTACCCTGTGCGAGCAAAGTTTCCCCAGTAGCTCATCATGGTTTTGCTCAACTGTTCTTCCTCTTTAGAGCATGCATCTACAACATCAGTTACCTGGTTACACACTTTGAACTCAGATTTATAGTAGTGTAAACCTTATATTTAGATTGTGCTCACCTTCTTTCAATGTGACATGTTTGGTTGTGAAGCAAAACCCTAGTGCTGTGAAGATTTCATCTCCATGGTCAGCCCCAACAAAGCTAGGTCTTTTTGCTTGCAGGAACTGAGGGGGATGCTGGTACTGATACAGGTATACAGGTGCAACAGCATCTAATTGGGAACAAATAGTTGTGATCAATACAATTTCTCATTTCTCTTCTCTCAGCGTGAAAAGTTCTGCATGTTGTCTAAAAAAATCACCTCTGTGTGCGTTGGCAGTCTTGATGGCTGGAATTGTGAAAAAAATATCCCCAAGCAGCTCAGTGTATCCATTCCTGTTTTTTATAGGATCTTCACCAGTGCCCATGTATTCCTCTATTATCAAATCAGAGATTGATGGATCAGGGAAAAACATTGAGAGCACGTTCTTAATAGACTCCAAATCCAGTCCCTCTGTCCAGTTTTTGGGAGCCAGGAACTAAAAGAAGACAAAAATACGATTAATATCTCAAACATTCAAAAATCCCTTTTTCACTTTAATGGCTCATAAAGAAACCCACAAGCACTTTGGTCATTCATGACTCAGTTTAAATTCACAGCATTCATACTCACCTCAACAAGCATAAAGCCCCCTTCATCGTTGTTAACCCCTGTCATGAAGGGTATGGTATGTAGTTCATGTTTTTTGAACAGGTCATCCACAGGTTTTGTCAGGAAGTGTCCGTCAACATTTATAGGAAATTTCAAAGTAATATCCTTGAGAAAATAACAGTTGAAAAGAAAATTAAGATAGACCACAGATAGGCTACAATGGTTGTTTTCACTCACTATTCTTTGAACAGTATAACAGTTAATAACTCACCTGTGCAATGGTTAAAATAGTTTCAAGATCAAGATTTCTCATGCAATCACTGATCTTCTCTGTGCTTTCCAGGCTGCAGCCAGACATATTTGCTGCCATCTGAGGAATATAAAATGATTTTATGTCAACAACCTAAGGACACAACTAAGTTTTAAAGAGCTATCTTGAATGCTGACAGTCTACCTGTGCCATTGGTAGAGGATCATTTGTCATGAGTAAATCTAACGCAGCAGTGCCACTCTCAGCGATAGCACGGTGAAACAGTCCTTTAGCCAATGGGGAGAGAAGCTGGTGGATAAAGACACATAAAAAATAAGGATATGTGAAGTTGTAACTCAGCAGCGATTTTACAGGAAAATCCTTAAGATAAATACATGGGTTTTATGTGTGTTGTTCATCAGCTCATTAAGAGATTGATCCTTACCAGTAGGGACACACTCACTCCACCAGCAGACTCTCCAAATATTGTAACTGAGTCTGGGTCACCTCCAAAGCTGTGAATGTGCTGCTGGATCCACTTCAGAGCTTGTACCTGGTCCAGAAGACCAAAGTTTCCAGTCAAGTGTTCATCTCCAGTGCTGAATGAAACAAAATATTATTTTTCCATCATACTGTGTTTAGTCCTTGAACAAAGGCTCCGTTGCAGAAACAAGGAACCTACAGGTAGAAGCTAAGAGGATCTTGTCCAACCAGAGAATGACAAAACGGAATACAGGGGTGTGGATGGTCTAGAGGTCAAGGCTGCCATCAGTTGTGTGGTTTGAGTTTGAGTCCATTCAGCATTTAAAGGGTTTAGTGATAAAGATGGTTCATCACACTTCAGACTGAAATCAATGTATGCATAGTTGAAAACAAAACTCACAAATCCTGTATATCAGCCAAACTTATTGAACATTTTCCTTTTTAAGACATGTTAACTTTTAATGTACCATCCAAAACCCAGGAAAACTGATGTGAAGCTGTTTGCATGACCATTACATTACTGACTGTATATTTGAAGTCTAATTCTTTGTCTTGTTTGTCACTGCCTCTATTGGTGAGAAGAAAAGAACAACCTTTTACGGCATGGAAGGTGATGTAAGGAAGACAAACGAAGCACAAAGGCCTAACCAGGGCTGGTTCAGGCCTGCAGCATGACAATGAAGGACATGTGGCAGAAAAACATTTTCAGTGTCCTCATAAATGCATATTGAAAATGGATTCTCTGATAGTGGATAAGACCATGTTTGTCGCCTTCATCTGTAAAGTGATTAATGTAGCCACTAATCAAGAATGTAAAAGTGATAAGATCCTGACAGTAGTGAATGCAGCTCAAGAGTTCTTAGACAACAAGAACTTCAAAGCAGGAGATAGTCATGAAATGTTGAAAGTATATACTGATGGAAGTTCCCAGGCAAATGTTCATGATTAAAGTCATCACTATGATGCTTCACATACTGCAATTGAATTTCAAAAGTCTTATTGATAATGGACAAGAACTTCAAAGGTATGTGCTTGAGATGGAAACAAAACCAGATACTATATGTGTTCAAGAAACTTGATTATGATCATATATTGATTTGATTATCCCAGGATATGTGTTTATAATAATGATAAGCACAATAACTTCAGCCAAAGTAAATTAAAACAAAAAGATCAGTTAAAACAAGGCCTCAGAATTGAAGGCCATTTTCATATGTCATAAGGAACCCAGACAATACAAGAACCATACAGCACAAAATGAGACCACGTGGATCTAAATAGAAACTTAGAATTATTAGGGAAAAAAAATGCAATAAAAAAGGGGGATGAAAGCAGAAAACAGCATAGCAAATATAAAAGGCAATATTAATAATTATAACAAAACAATAACAATAGTGATAAAATAGAATAACAGAAATTAGTAAGCGATAGAACAATAAAAAGCCTAAAAGTTTCATCAAGAAAAGATTTAAAGTGCATCAAAAGCTAAAAAGACAGCAAAGCCCAAATTAGATGGAGGTAAAAGAGATAAAAGATAAAAGATTGTTCAAGACTGCATTGTATACAGAAGACTTACAGCTCCAGAAGAACTGGAAATGTGTCACTTTTGAGGTATGTAATACTGAATTTTTATCAGGGATCAATAAAGTTCTTCTTCTAGTACAGACACTATTTTCAAAGTAGTGAATTTCTATAACCTATGTAAAAACATGAGTGTTGAAATGTTTAGTGAAACAGAATATGTGAACCAAAGTAAAGTCTGGTGTGGGGACTTTAATGCGCAGCAAAGCAAATTGGGTAGTAAACACACGAACACAAGTTTTTACGGACTGAACAAAAGATCAAAACGATCATGTAGGAACAGGTGTCTATATTCCACAGTTTAACTTTAGCATAGGGAAAATAATGACAGATAAACTGTCCGTGTATACAGCAGAGATGATGGCAGCAGTTATTGGTTTGGAGTGGGTGGAGGAGGTAAGGACAGATAGGGTGGTGGTGTGCATTGACTGCAGTTTTACTTTGTAGTTTACAGGACATGGGCTGAATAAGAGAGTCCAACTACATGGATCTATCATAACAAAGCAAGCATTTTAACTTCATATGGTCTTCAAACTTTGTTTCTTTAAACTGTGATTAGTTTCTTGCATTTTCTCACCTGACAAAGCCCAGAAGTCCAAGACGATACTGGATCGCTACAACAACCACATCCTGATAAGCAGCCAGGGCAGAGCCATCATACATCGATGCTGATCCTATGCCAAATCCTCCTCCATGGATCCAGACCAAAACCTGGTAAGATAATGGAGGCAATTCATCTTTTCTACACAGCATACAAAAAAATATTGGTAAAATGTGAACCAGTGAGAACATTTATTGAAGTACCTTGACTTGTCTGATACCATATAGTTTGATACTGAACAATCAGTCTGTAATAAAATTGCCATCCTGGATTCACCAGTTCTCCCACAGTCTTTTTAAGTCACCCCTTATTCAAACATGCACAACATTAGAAACTCTGACAGCCTGGTGGGAATTCCACAAAATCACAAAGTCCACTCTGGTACCATCTAAACTCACTCTTGTCTGGACCAACCCTGACACTCTCAGCAACAACAAACACTTGTGTGATTCCACTCATGATCATATGACGACATTTACAACATATCTTTAAGCAAAACACAATGATCTAATTTCCCAATCTGAAGTACAGCATCAGAAATGATCAATTTTTGTAATACTAATAACTAAAATCATCAAACCATATGCAACATCACAGCCACAAAGCTTGAGCACCCCTCTTCAGCTGAGATTCAATCAACATCCTATCAGCAAAGAAACCCCTTCTTGTAGTTTAAGACTCTTACCGGAAGCTTAGCATCATCAGCTCGGTTTGCAGGTGTGTAAATGTTGAGGTAAAGACAGTCTTCTGAAACGTCTGGGATTTCTGCCGCCATACCACCAAGTTTTTCAAGCAGATCAATAGACAATTGTCTATCTTGAACACACCTAAAAAACGGAGACATGATATCATATAAGATTAATTGAAGGTGATTTTTTCAAGTGCTGTGTCCATCAGCTGAAAATACACGGATGACTTACATGAGTGGCTGCTTGGTGGCATCTCTTACTCCTGTCCATCCCTCCACAGGCTGAGGTGCAGAGAATCTCAGAGCAGGGCCTACGGGTGGCTTGGCAAACGGGATACCCAGGAAGGCATGGACCCCAGTCTCCTTTCCTTTAACACCCACAAACTCACCTCTCAGACTTCCAAGTCCTATGTGGACCTCAGGCACTAATAGGATGTTAAGACTGGGTCAGAGTCATTGCTTAAAATTCAGAACTTATTGATAGGTGTTTATCAAAGCTGAGTGATGCACAAGTCCTCTACTGATGCTCATATTGAACTCAAATGGAAAAGTGTGAGTTGGTGCAACAACTCTCCAATTTATATCAACCATGTGAAAGGCTTTCAAGTCTCAAATGTGTTTCTGTTTGTATAGGTAACTTAAAGACAGGCTATAAGCAAATGCTCAAACAAGCAGCTTATCAGGGCAACAGAGCAAGCATTATTAGCATAGACTGTAAATAGAATGGATGTTGTCTGCCTCCTCACTGGGTGAAGCCTCTGTAAGAACAGCACCCTCTGGTGACAGGCTGCAGTAAAGGTCATAATTTCCACCTCCTCCAGCAATCCCTATGGAGCCTGGACAAACTTTAGAAATTACAACTGAATATACATATTTCTTTCCCCTGGATGCAATGTTGACATGTAATTACTGTAAGACTGGTTTGTGCACAAGTCCTCTTTTTTTTGTGCAGCTCCATTTTTAAAAGTTATGGGGTTCATGTTTTCTATGATTAACACTTGATACAGCCTATGGGCATACGAATACTGCGTAGCTCATCCAGGGGATACGCTGTTTGAGCCGAGCGTCATCACAGCAACACGCCCAACAAATGCATACAATGCTACTGCAGGAGTGGTGGTTCCAGGAAGTGGAGAAAATCCCAGAAATACCAAGAGCAATTCGGCTTCAAATTCATGTATTGACAGAAGGCGGAGCCAAGTTATCCTTAGTATATAGAGTCTATGCTTATGAGGCACAGTGCACTTGCCCCCTATTGTTATACTGCAGATTTTTTCTCATTCCTGCTCTCGACAAAGGTTGATTCACTGCTCAGCCTACAGCTTGAATGGTTGAAAGAAAAGTTACAAATCAAAATATGTGGTTTGATCTGGATCAGTGTGCTATCAATTTTTTCAAACCAATATAGACAAATTAATCATTATTGGTAGACAAACTGTTAATGAAAACAACAAAAGGATGTAATGGTTTATGCTATTTTCTTGATCAAGATATGGAAATACACTCACTCATCCTTTCTGTCTTCTCCATATGTTGTCTTATTTTCTCTGGCAGGGTCTGAGTCATGAAGACAAACCGCTCCTTCTTCAGGTGCTGACCAGTAACCTGCTCCTTCAAGTCGATTTTCAGGTAGTGCTCTTCTGCTCCATACTGTGGCCAGTGAACGAGGCCTTCCCCATTAGGAGACCTAAACACACCCAGGGTAAAGTCATAAATAAGTTTGTCTTAAACATGCATTTGAATCTTAAATGAGGGTTGATTCTTACCCTGTGCGAGCAAAGTTTCCCCAGTAGCTCATCATGGTTTTGCTCAACTGTTCTTCCTCTTTAGAGCATGCATCTACAACATCAGTTACCTGGTTAAACACTTTGAACTCTGTATAACTCAGATTTATAGTAGTGGAAAATTTTATGTTTAGATTGTGCTCACCTTCTTTCAATGTGACATGTTTGGTTGTAAAACAAAATCCTAGTACTGTGAAGATTTCATCTGTATGGTCAGCCCCAACAAAGCTAGGTCTTTTTGATTGCAGGAACTGAGGGGGATGCTGGTACTCATACAGGTATACAGGTGCACCGGCATCTAGTTGTAAACAAATAGTTGTGATCAATAAAATTTCTTATTTCTCTTTTCTCTGCTAGTGGGACAGCAAATGTGAAAAGTTCTGCCTGTCGTCTCAAAAAATTACCTCTGTGTGCGTTAGCAGTCTTGATGGCTGGAATTGTGAATATCGTATCCCCAAGCAGCTCAGTGTACCCATTCCTATTTTTAACAGGATCTTCACCAGTGCCCATGTATTCTTCTATTATCAAATCAGAAATTGATGGATCAGGGAAAAACTCTGAGAGCCCGTTCTTAATAGACTCCAAATCCAGTCCCTCTGTCCAGTTTTTGGGAGCCAGGAACTTAAAGAAGACAAAGATACGATAAATATCTCAAACATTCAAAAATCCCTTTTTTCACTTTAATGGCTCATAAAGAAACCCACAAGCACTTTGGTCATTCATGACTCAGTACAAATTTACAGCATTCATACTCACCTCAAGGAGCAAAAAGCCCCCTTCATCGTTGTTAACCCCTGTCATGAAGGGTATGGTAAGTAGTTCATGTTTTTTGAACAGCTCATCCACAGGTTTTGTCAGGAAGTGTCCGTCAACACTTACAAAAAATTGCAAACTAAGATCCTTGAGAAAATAACAGTTGAAAAGAAAATTAAGATAGACCACAGAAAAGTGACAATGGTTGTTTTCACTCACTATTCTTTGAACAGTATGATAGTTAATAACTCACCTGTGCAATGGTTAAAAAAGTATCAAGATCAAGATTTCTCATGCAATCACTGATCTTCTCTGTGCTGTCCAGGCTGCAGCCAGACATATTTGCTGCCATCTGAGGAAAATAAAAGGATTTTATATCAACAACCTAAGGACACAACTAAGTTTTAAAGAGCTATCTTGAATGCTGACAGTCTACCTGTGCCATTGGTAGAGGATCATTTGTCATCAGTAAATCCATTGCTGCACTGCCGCTCTCAGCGATACCGCGGTGAAACAGTCCTTTAGCCAATGGGGAGAGAAGCTGGTGGATACAGACACATAAAAAATAAGGATATGTGAAGTTGTAACTCAGCAGTGATTTTACAGAAAAGTCCTTACAAAAAACACATGGGTTTTATGTGTGTTGTTCATCAGCTCATTGAGAGACTGATCCTTACCAGTAGGGACACACTCATTCCACCAGCAGACTCTCCAAATATTGTAACTGAGTCTGGGTCACCTCCAAAGCTGTGAATGTGCTGCTGGATCCACTTCAGAGCTTGTACCTGGTCCAGAAGACCAAAGTTTCCAGTCAAGTGTTCATCTCCAGTGCTGAATGAAACAAAATATTATTTTTCCATCATACTGTGTTTAGTCCTTGAACAAAGGCTCTGTTGCAGAAACATAGAGCCATATCAGCCAAACTTATTGAACATTTTCCTTTTTAAGACATGTTAACTTTTAATGTACCATCCAAAACCATGGAAAACTAATGTTAAGCTGTTTGCATGACCATTACATTACTGACTGTATATGTTAAGTCTAATTCTTTGTCTTGTTTATAATCAAGATCCTGACAGTAGTGAATGCAGCTAAAGAGTTGTTGCTTCACATACAGAACTTCAAAGGTATGTGCTTGAGACGGAAACAAAACCAGATACTGTATGTGTTTAAGAAACTTGGTTACAATCAAATCTTTATTTGATTATCCCAGGATAAGTGTTTATAATAATGATAAGTTTATTTGTATAGTATTTTTTAAAACAGAGGTTTATAAAGTGCTTGACAATTGTTAAGCGCAATAACTTCAGCCAAAGTAAATTAAAACAAAAAGATCAGTTAAAACAAGGCCTCAGAATTGAAGGCCATTTTCATATGTCATAAGGAACCCAGACAATACAAGAACCATGCAGCGCAAAATGAGACCACGTGGATCTAAATAGAAACTTATAATCGCTAGAAAAAGGAAATGCAATAAAAAAGGGGGATGAAAGCAGAAAACAGCATAGCAAATATAAAAGGCAATATTAATAATTATAACAAAACAATAACAATAGTGATAAAATAGAATAACAGAAATTAGTAAGAGAACAATAAAAAGCCTAAAAGGTTCATCAAGAAAAGTGTAACAAAAGCTAAAAAGACAGCAAAGCTCAAATTAGATGGAGGTGCATTTCCTCACCTGACAAAGCCCAGAAGTCCGAGACGATACTGGATCAAAACAACAACCACATCCTGATAAGCAGCCAGGGCGGAGCCATCATACACCGATGCTGATCCGAGACTAAACCCTCCTCCATGGATCCAGACCATAACCTGGTACACAGCATACAGAAATATTTAAAAAATGTAAGCTAGTGAGAACATTTATTCAAGTACATTGAACCAAAGACAAACTTAAATCTGACTTTAAAATGACACTCATCTCTTTGATTTATGCTTTTGGGTATGTTGAGTATTATTCAAACTGCAATTACAGGACCCACATTACAACAAAAGTTGAGATGCTGTGTGAAATGTTTCACCAGAATGTTATGGTTTGCTGAAATTGTTAATTTAAATAGTGCACAGACAAAATAAATGTTGAAACTGAAATCGATTACAATACTCCAAATGGATTCACCCTTAACTGGTCTGATACCATATAGTTTGATACTGAACAATCAGTCTATAATAAAATTGCCATCCTGGATTCACCAGTTCTCCCACAGTCTTTTTAAGTCACCCCCTTATTCAAACATGCACAACATCAGAAACTCTGACAGCCTGGTGGGAATTCCACAAAATCACAAAATCCACTCTGGTACCATCTAAACTCAATCTTGTCTGGACTAACCCTGACACTCTCAGCAACAACAAACACTTGAGTGATTCCACTCATGATCATATGAAGACATTTACAACATATCTTTCAGCAAAACACAATGATCTCATTTCCCCATCTAAAGTACAGCGTCAAGCATAACATCACAGCCACAAACCTTGTGCACCCCTCTTCAGCTGAGATTTAATCAACATCCTATCAGCAAAGAAACCCCTTCTTGTAGTTTAAGACTCTTACCGGAAGCTTAGCATCATCAGCTCGGTTTGCAGGTGTGTAAATGTTGAGGTAAAGACAGTCTTCTGAAACGTCTGGGATTTCTGCTGCCATTTCACCAAGTTTTTCAAGCAGATCAATAGACACTTGTCTATTTTGAACACACCTAAAAAAGGGAGACAAGATATCATATAAGATTAATTGAAGGTGATTTTTTCCAAGTGCTGTGTCCATCAGCTGAAAATACACGGATGACTTACATGAGTGGCTGCTTGGTGGCATCTCTTACTCCTGTCCATCCCTCCACAGGCTGAGGTGCAGAGAATCTCAGAGCAGGGCCTATGGGTGGCTTTGCAAACGGGATACCCAGGAAGGCATGGACCCCAGTCTCCTTTCCTTTAACACTCACAAACTCACCTCTCAGACTTCCAAGTCCTGTGTGGACCTCAGGCACTGATAGGATGTTAAGACTGGGTCAGAGTCATTGCTTAAAATTTATAAATTATGAGTCACTACCTATTCCCTAATATAATCCAGACAAAGTGAGACAACACTTTGACGGAAAGCTGTTTTGGGTTTAGATTTGGGATAGTTTAATGGAACATGAATAACAAAACACCACTTTAAACCCAGGGGCAATTTCCTAGGTGTAAAGTAAACCTCCAATTTGTAAATGAGATTACATGCAAATATTAATGTATTAATTGGATTTTCTTGTCAGATTTATAGGCACTCCCTTGTTCAACTTTGGCTCAGTGAGTGCTGCACCCACTCACTGCTATCTTACAATGCAGTCAATGACTGTTTGTTTCTACTTTATATACACTGTTAGGGTGGGGTTTATTAAGGGTTTATTTAACTTTCCAATGCACAGCATGTTCAAAATCCTTTAATCCAAACAAAACTCCAACACGACCTGCATATTACCTCAGTATACAACAAGATGTCTATTTGCAACATCAATTTAAGACGATGATGTAATCATCTCATATGGCTTTCCAATGCTGTGCTTCATTCTGGTAATCCAATGAGAGTACACCCATGTCATTCCCTGAATAAAATTATATGGCAGTAGCTTTAATCTCACATCAAAGTTTAGCTTTGGTAAATAGCCTGCCCTGCTTTACCTTTGGACATCATTAGCTCGGACTACTATCCTGTGTGGGTAGAAGGTTAACTGAGGTGCATTCAAATATTATCAGGTAGGCCTGAGTAGCAGGGATTCAGTCCCTTTAAACATACATGCAGATTACCTGTGTAGTGCAGCCGTGGTGGCATATGAAACAATCAGTAACTTTCTTTTCATTTCTGTGTGTACACATATTTAAAGTATCTACTTCTATTTATGTAAACACCTTTCTTTAGTTTGGTTATATGGGTTTTTGTTATGATTACTGTTGCTGTTGTTTCCTTTTTTTCTTTCTGATTATATTTTAAATTTATTTTATTTTATGACCTATTCATCAGTTTTGCTTCTCACTAGTAAGTTGTATTTTTCTCTCTTGTGAGTTATTTATTCCTCTATTCTATAAATCCTAAAAACCTTATTCATAGAGATTTATTTCCATATAACACAAATTCTAACATTTATTTATACCATAGCCTACCAACACTGTTTCTTTGTTTTTTTTTTATATATATATATATTTTTGTTTAATTTTTTAAATTACTCCTTAATTTATAAATATTATTTTAATTATTTTCTCCACTTTCCTTTTCTAAAGACTAATATCCATTTTTCTAATATCGCCATCATGTTTTAACCTTTTCTTTTACTGTGATTTTATTTCATAAGAACACCAAAGAAAAAAAAAAATCAAAATAACTATTTAAAATTCAGAACATTTTAATTGGCATACTTTTTTTCTGTCTGCTGTTGTGCGATTTTTTGCTGTTGGTCTGATTAATGACCTTTTTGACATTAATGTCACCTTTTGATTGTTATACAAGCAGTAAACCACAAAAATAGTTAGACCCTTTTTGTATCTTATAGCAATGCATAATTATAAACATTAGTGATTTTACTATGTAGTTAAAGAAATAATCACTACTACTTACCCAGCAAGTCTGCAGAAACAGAGAGCAACAAAATGGATGTTGTGAAAAAGAAAGGTAGTTTAGCAGGTAACTTCATGGTGGTAATCTTTCTCCAGATGGCAACACTGGAGTGTTCCATAAAGGAAGAGACCTCCGCCTACGAAGCTTTCTATAAATGACTTAAACAGTAGGCTACTGTTGCAATATTGGACATTAAATATGAGGTAATAACATAGTTTTACAGCACGGCAAAGGGCGGGGAACGGACTCTCCACCCCCTACCTTCACCTAGTTTAGTGACCTCCATGACTCAGAGCTTTTTCTCAAGACCAGTTTCCCCTCCCTTTGTTTCTGAACCTGACCCTCACAATAATACTTGAAATGCTTATGCAGCACAAGTCTGCACAAGTCCTCGGTTTATTTTGCTCTCAACTCTAGACAATAGTTTCACGGACTATACGGAACAACCCCCATAAGCCACGCGCACAGGTGGAGCTATAGAGAGGTGGGGGTTGAGAGTAGGAGAGACTGGGGTTGGTTGTTACACAACTGCTCAGTTGGCCACATGTGAGACAAAAAGTTAAACATTACATGTAGGCTACTACCATCTCTGTGGCCCAGGATACACAGAAGAATTGTTTTGGTTGATTTTTCTGCCTCTCAATCCAGACAGACAGAGGATACTGAGGACATCTGATATACTCAGGCTGGTCTCAAAAGTTGTTTCCAATTAATCACAAACATACACTCTCTAACCCTCTCACACTGTCAAAATAAATGGTTTAATAAATACATAATTCTGATGTTTAACAATCTTTACGATTCTGCCACATTCAGTGGCTTTGTTTTTCTTAAGAGAATCGTTCAAACAGCAAAGGGCTATGATGAGTGTGAACTAGCTCAAAAACAAAATAAATAATAAATCTTATTTTCTAAGCTACATCTTATCAAAAACTACAGGGGCAACCAACCTCGTGTCTTTAATAACTTGTTCATAAATTCAGCGACAAGAACGAAAGAGATATCATTTAGAAACAAGACCACAAGCGTCAGTCTTATGTAAGAATGACCACAGCAAAATATCGTGATCATTAGACTAACAAGTTTGGCAATGAGCCCCGCCTCCCCTTTACATTGCACAAGGCAAAGCATAGAAACAGAGAACAGAGACTATTTTGGAGGAAAGTTACAGCCAACTTATGGGGCTGTAAACAGCATTAGTTTAGATAAAATCTACTGCTCATTCAGCTTCAAGAGGAACAAAAATATTGTGACAGATATTCAAGCATGTTATTTTCCTGACATATCTCCTCTGCTTATTAAAGAATGCTGTAGGATGCTCATCGTCACTTACCTCTGATGGTGGGTGGAACAGCTCCAGTAATTTTATCAGCATTAATTTTAGATGTACAATGATTTGCCCACCAATTGCCTTTTACAATTTCCTTTTTTTTTACTCTCTTCTGATAATGCATAGTGTTCATGCTTGGTTGAAGTTGCTGTTGGTTCAGTTTATACATGGCAGGTTCGATCTTCATCAGTTTTCCTCACTCTTACACCAGTGAAACCTTAGCATTTATATTTCCCCAAACAAGATTCTTTAGGTTGTTTCTTCAAGTCTCAAATTCCTGTTTTTGTTTTTATTCACAATTTTAAACTTTCAGCCAACTTGTTATTTTCCAAACAGTTTCCATCAAGCAGTTATTCCACTGTTACTGATAAATGAAAGATCTGGTATTGTTAATTATGAAAGCAGACCAATCAGCTAAAACTTTGAGCCATGGAGGGTAACTGTTTTCTAAACCAATTACCAGACCTAATGCACAGTGACGATGTTTATGTCACAGTCTTCAGTCACATTTTAGAGAATGCAGTTCTAGTTGAAATAAATGACTTCCTGATAGAAGAAATATTCTCTGACTTGAAGCCTTTATTTTGTATTAATTACACCATCCTCACGCACTGTTCTTAGGTGTGTCTTACAGTGACTGCACCAAACTTCTAAGTTTCATATCTATCCAGTCCTTTTTAGTGTGTTTAAGTTTGCACTTTCTTTTCATGCATTTTTGGCTTCCTGTGGACACTCCCACCTACTGCGAGGTTGCTTAGTCACTTGTCAGTTGAGCACATTCATCATGTCAAGGGCGAACAACTAAAGTGGCTACAGCCCATCTGCTTGAGGAGAAATGTGATGCAAATGCAGAGATGATGTGACTTTAAATTATATGCTACAGTCAAAGACAAACTTAACAGAGGAAATGCATTACTGATAAAAGAAGTGTGCTGCGAACATCATAGTACAATTGTAAATACACAGTAGATGCAAAGAAAAACACAACATCAGAAAACAGCTGCAAAAGATAAACAATACACAAGGATTATAGGGATAAATGCCACTTGAGCAAGGTGTGTTTCACAACCATGTTCTTGGGTCTACTGTGCCCAAATACAAATATGTGGCTCAATAAAACCTGAATCGTTATCAATGAGAAACTGTTTGTGAAGAACAGACAGTTTTGCTACAATAACCTGCTAACTACAGCTGTGTTTAACCTGCGGCTCTCGGTTAGATTCTGGCACCTGTTAGCCCCCAGGTGTCAGGCTATGAGTACAGGAGTGTGTTGGTAGGGTGCATTTTGCCCAATACTAGGAGCCCAGGGCAAAATGCGTTACGAAGAGGTGGACAATATGTAGAAGTGTTTTAATTTTTACACCTGAGAAATTTGTGCCAGTCAAAGTAATAGATAGCAGATAAAATGTGAATAGATGTGTGCCAGTCATAGAAATGCTTGTAAGCACAGCAAACTCCACGTTGACAGCAGCAAGTTAGTACTGAAAAAAAAATTCTATTCATTGTTGTGTATTGCCTTTTACACTGCATGGTAGTACCTATGTCCAAATGGACGTGAAGCACTTGTTGCTCTTACTGATCTTGTTTCCTCTTGTCTAGATCTTTGCTTGTGTTGTTCTTGTTCTTGTATGTACGTCACTTTATATAAAAGAATCTATTAAATGTCACAATAACATTGCAAGTTAGTCATCAAAAGTGTTTACGCAAAGTGAAAAGTTCTGTGATTTGACTTGTAGCTACTGCAGTCCTGACACTGAAGACACCACATTATCAGTGAGGGTACTAGATGAAGAAGACAAACTGAAATGTTTTTTTTATTTGGCATCAAAAGCTACAATAAGTCAAGATTGATCAGTTCTGGTCAGATAAAATAGTAGAATTGTTTGGTGATAATAGAAATTTAGCCCCTGTGCAGAACTTTTTTCAGATAGAGATACTGATTAAGAATAACTAAGAATGACTTTATTTGATCCCTGAAGGTAAATTCAATTGTGCCATGAGCAAAGGAATAGACAATACTGAAATAAACAGGATATCTTTAGAGGTGCAGCTATGTTAACTAGTGATAAGAAATTAACATGTGCAGAGAGTCTGTATGTATCATTGTGGGAAAAAATGGGAACCAGATGTAAGGAGACAGAATAAAAGAAATGCAGTCTAGAAAATTTCACAGTGGCCAAAATATCTTAACCCCACTATGTTAAGTCTCATAAACCTTTGAAAAGAGCTCCTTTCCTAAAGGCCACATATTGTAATCTGTATCGGCTAAGAACCTAAAACTTAATCTCCATTTAGTCTTACAACCATCACCCAGAAAGTCTAATTACCAGCTGACCTGGTCTCTTAAACTGGAGTCAGTGTAAAGTTAATCAAAAGACAGGAGACTCCTCTACAGCTCGCTGTGCCCCGTCTTCTCTTTGTGTTTTCCAACTTTCTCTGGCAGGATCTGAGTCATGAAGACAAACCGCTCCTTCTTCAGGTGCTGACCAGAAACCTGCTCCTTCAAGTCGATTTTCAGGTAGTGCTCCTCTGCTCCATACTGTGGCCAGTGAACGAGGCCTTCCCCATTAGGAGATCTAAACACACCCAGGGTAAAGTCATAAATAAGTTTGTCTTAAATATGCATTTGAATCTTTAATGAGGGTTGATTCTTACCCTGTGCGAGCAAAGTTTCCCCAGTAGCTCATCATGGTTTTGCTCAACTGTTCTTCCTCTTTAGAGCATGCATCTACAACATCAGTTACCTGGTTACACACTTTGAACTCAGATTTATAGTAGTGTAAAATCTTATATTTAGATTGTGCTCACCTTCTTTCAATGTGACATGTTTGGTTGTAAAGCAAAATCCTAGGGCTGTGAAGATTTCATCTCCATGGTCAGCTCGAACAAAGCTCGGTCTTTTTGCTTGCAGGAACTGAGGGGGATGCTGGTACTCATACAGGTATACAGGTGCACCAGCATCTAATTGGGAACAAATGGTTGTGATAAGTCTCTTTTCTCATTTAATAAGCCCTGCAAAAGTAAATCAAGAACATTTTTATATTAACAATTTGCGTATTGTTTAAAAATTACCTCTGTGTGCATTAGCAGTCTTGATGGCTGGAATTGTGAATATCAAATCCCCAAGCAGCTCAGTGTATCCATTCCTATTTTTTACAGGATCTTCACCAGTTCCCATGTATTCTTCTATTAATAAATCTGAGGTGACTGGATCAAGGCCAAACAGAGAGAGCATACTCTCAATAAACTCCAAATCCAGTCCCTCTGTCCAGTTTTTAGGTGCAAAGAACTAAAAAAAGACAGAGCCGAAATTAATATTTCACACACTCACAAAACCAATTTACCCCTGGTTTAAATTAAAATCCATAAAAAATTGGGTCATTCATAAATTATTTTAAAAAATTAGCATTATACCCACATCAACGAGCAAAAAGCCCCCTTCATCGTTGTTAACCCCTGTCATGAAGGGTATGGTAAGTAGTTCATGCTTGTTGAACAGCTCATCCACAGGTTTTGGCAGGAAGTGTCCGTCAATAGTTGGAGGAAACCTTATTCTTTCGTCCTTGAAAGAATGACAATTGTTAAAGAAAATTCAGAAAAAGACATCAAAGAAAGCCAAGAAATAACTCTAGCAACTGTATGATAATAAATAACTCACCTGTCCAATGGTTAAAATTTTATCAAGATCAAGATTTCTCATGCAATCACTGATCTTCTCTGTGCTGTCCAGGCTGCAGTCGGACATATTTGCCACCATCTGAGGAAAAAAAATATGAATTTTATTTCATACACTCGAATGTTGTGTAGAGCTTTACTGAATATTGGCAATCTACCTGTGCCATTGGAAGAGGGTCACTTGCGATAGCTATATACATTGCAGCAGTGCCACTCTCAGCGATGGCACGGTGGAACAGTCCATTAGACAGTGGAGAAAGAAGCTGGTGGAGACAGCCACAAAAAAACAATGAATCAAGTTTAAACTCTGCAGTAATAGAACTGTAAAAACCTTGAAAAATAAGTTTTAAGTGTGTGATTCAACCAAATGCACCCACACATATACAAATTGATCCTTACCAGTAGGGACACACTCATTCCACCAGCAGACTCTCCAAATATTGTAACTGAGTTTGGGTCGCCTCCAAAGCTGTGAATGTGCTGCTGGATCCACTTCAGAGCTTGTACCTGGTCCAGAAGACCAACGTTTCCAGACAAGTGTTTATCTCCAGTGCTGAATGAAACAAATGTTATTTTTTATCAGACTTTAACACAGGCTCTCCAACCAGAACTTGCAGCAGCATAAGACTCAAGGTAAAAGGTTCAAGTCATAACAGCAATAAAACCGAGTACCATTTTGTACGCCCCAGGTAGGAGGTTTTACACAGCTACAATCATGTCATAATGTAATATTAACTTGAAATGGCAGAGACACAGAACTGGTGATCCAGCCATGGTTGCATCAAGACATCCTTTCACAATGGACTTGTTGCCACTATCAAGAAGAATAGACTCTGACTGACTCAGATTCACGATTTAGTGATGCATGATAAGTATGATCCTTCATTTGTCAAGTTTTTAACATAGAAAATTATCAAAACCAATTTATTTGAGCACAACAACAAGAGAGCTCAACCCAGCTGTGTCTGTGTCAGATCTGCTTCTTGGTTGGATGTGTTTTATAGAGGACAGCACATCAGAAATGAGGGTTGTCCATTCAAATGAGTGTAGTCATTAAGATCTGGTACATCTGGTTTAGGTACATCCAACACCCAAGTCTTCAGGGTTTGCCCTTGGCTGTTTTAGTCTAGTCTTTACACAAACTCCTAAACAGTCTCTGTCTAATGTTAAGAGAACGCTTGAGCACCACAGTGTTGATTAGACAGCGCAAATGACTACAAGTCCTTGAACGGCCACCAGGAAAATCACAACTGAGAACAAACAATGTAAAAGATCTTGTTGAGAACTCAGAACAAGTGTTAATATACCAAACTGGATATCTTCTGACAATGCATATTTGCATTGATTCCTGCTCAAAGGCCGACTGTAGTGAAGGACCAAAAACTCCCCTGAACTACAGTCAAATTTAAGAAAAACTGCATTACTGAGACCCAGGCCAAGGCATTCAAAAGACTACAAGAACTGTGGCCGGGTTGATGTTATATTGTCAAGAGGCACCTCAGCCCATGGGTGTATCATAACATGTTCTGGTTTTTAGTTTTTCCCTGGTTTTGTGTTTCCCTCGAGTGTATTTTCTTTGTGTATTTTCCCTAGTGTTTCTGTTCCCTATTGTTCCTGTTCCCCTGTAGTCTTGTCTTGTGAGTTTTCAGTTTGTGTCTGACCACAGTTCCCTCGTGTTCTCAGTGTTCTATTCCTTAATCAGTTTTCAGTGTTTCCTGTTTTATTTTGAAGTAGTTTATTCCCTGTGTTTCTGGTCTAGTTCATCAGTTTTCCCTCCTTAGTAATTGTCTGCACCTGTGTCTCAGTGTTTCACCTGCCTCTTGTTGCTCATTTCCCTGTTTGTGTATATATAGTCCCTTGTCTTCCCCTGTTTCCTTGTTGGTTCATTGTTGTATGTCTGTGTGTCTGTTTGCCAGTGTCCCCAGTGTCTCCTTGTGATTTTTTCCTCCCTGTGTCTTTTGATGGATTTTGGGTTTTTGGTTCTTTTGAATTTTGCCTCATGTGTTTTTGGCCTTTGGGAATTTTTCTGTTTGACATTTAAAGTAAGTTTTTGCTTTTTCTTTTAGTTCCTTTTAAATATGTCCTCTTTTTGGTTCTGCATTTTGAGTCCATCCCTTTTGTTTTTACTCCGGATTGTGACAGTCATGACATAATGATTTATTAAAAAGGAACTAAAAGTAAAAACACTTGAGGGAAACACACAAAAAAAGGGAAAAACTGAAACCAGAACATATCATGACAAGGTGCCACCATGTTGTAGCTCACGTCATATCTGCTTGGTCAGAGAACATCAGGTCTCGGGGCTTTCAGGTGACAAAACCAGACAGACTTTATCTGTATTCATGGCTGTCATCTGGCTTCTACTGCTTGAGACTCAATTCAACAGATGCATAGATCTAACTCACAAATCCCTTACAAGAAACACAATGCATTTTAATATTTAAGATGTCAACTTTTTATGAATTGTCCAAATTCTCTATCGCTAACCAGTGAAGTGACAAAACAATCTGAAAATCTGTTTGACACAATATCACAAACACTGATAATACAATGCAAACAGTGGCTAAGTTTTTTAATCTATTTCTTTATCTTCATTTCACCAATATGAGAATGTAGATTACCTTTTTTTAACAAGACCAGGACGGGCACGATCGATTCAAATGGTTTCCACTCGGGGTGCATCACAATTTTCTGGCCGATCACCACTCATTAAAGCCTGACCTGCGGATACTGATTTTGGCCGATACTGATAACTGACAGCATACACCTTCAATGTTCTAATCTTATTTCAGTCCTCACATACTGTATATAACAGACTGCGAATCTTTGCCCTTTTTCTTTTACTGTATAACACTGCCAAACAGATGACATGCTTGGTTGACCATGCTCTGGGTGACTGTTCTTAACCTGTGTAGCTGGCACACATGTGCATGCACACGTGACTTGGTGAGCAGGCCTGTCAGTCTGGCAGAGCAAAAAGCTACAATGGCTGACTTTTAGAGCTTTGCAGAGGTAGATAAGATTGGTTTCTTAAGGGTCGTCGATCGCTGATCCCCCAAAATTGATCTGTGCATTATTTCCACAGTATGGTATTTTTAACTGTGTTTAGTATCTTAAATCTTTATACCTGAGAAACCCCAGAAGTCCAAGGCGGTACTGGATTAGAACAACCACCACATCCTGGTAAGCAGCCAAGGCGGAGCCATCATAAATTGATGCTGACCCCATAGTAAACCCCCCACCATGGATCCAGACCATTACCTGGTGAGATAATAAAAGCACTTAATCTTTTCTACACAGCATACAGAACATTTCATCAATTTTGAGCTAATAAGAATATTAATTATAATATGCCCAACCAAAAAAGAAACAATCTTAAATTTGACTCTGATCACTGAACAGTCTGACTCTAAACAGAAGTAGCATCATTTGAAAGGCTATCGTACAATCAAGCCAACTTCCTTTGGTAACTTAACAAGGTTGAATATCAGTAATTGAGCAGTTAAAGACCCTTACTGGAAGCTTAGCATCAACAGCTCTGTCACCAGGAGTGTAAATGTTGAGGTAAAGACAGTCTTCTGAAACGTCTGGGATTTCTGCCGCCATACCACCAAGTTTTTCAAGAAGATCAGTAAGCAATGGTTTATGTTGAACACACCTAAAAAGAGACATGATATCATATTACATTAATTGAAGGTGATTTTTCTAAGCTCTGTGTCCATCAGCTAAAAATACATGGATGACTTACATGGGTGGCTGTTTAGTGGCACGTTTTAGTCCTGTCCATCCCTCCACAGGCTGAGGTGCAGAGAATCTCAGAGCAGGGCCTACGGGTGGCTTGGCAAATGGGACACCCAGGAAGGCATGGACCCCAGTTTCCTTTCCTTTTACACTCACATATTCACCTCTCAGACTTCCAAGGGCTGTTTGGATCTCAGGTACTGATACGAAGTTAAGACTGAGTGAGTCTCAGGACTAAAAATTCAGAGCTGAATGATTATGTGTGTATTATGACCCAGTAAGCTAGAGAAATGTGTATCTCATGCAGGCAGTAAAGGACTTTGATCCCACACTGATTTTGGGTCAATTGATCACAAGACCTGAAAGCTATTGAGCTAAAATGCAAATATTTATGATTAATTATGAACAGGTTTGAAATGTGAGAACAAGAGGCAGATCTCATGCAGCTTCCAGGTCATGTGATCAATTGCCTCAAAACATATGTGGGATCATAGGACTCTACTGGCTGCATAAGATACACCTTTTACTTTTACATTTTAAATGTCAAAATTTTTTAAATTAATTTTAATATATAAATATTTGCATTTTAGCTCAATAGCTTCTAGGTAATGCGATCAATTGACTCAAAATCAGTGTGGGATTCAAGTTCTTCAACGGCTGCATTGTTTTAACTTCATATTTTTTTTATTGGTTTTTATAGATAAAGAAGTGTTTCCACCGGAGTGAATGTCTGTTGAATATTCAACTTAAAAACCATCTTTACCCCAGTGAGTCAAAGTCCAGTATCACCACATTCACTTTGGGTTCACTCTTACAGTCCTATGCGACAACAAGAGCAGACCTTTCCATCCATATTAATTTTCAGATTACCGGTAGGGGAGACCAGGGGTGGTTGTAACATAGGTCAATTATAACACTTCCAATTTCTCCAATCAGGAACAAGTTACAAATCACCTGACTCACTCTGCACATGCTTAGTTTAGTCCTTGTTCCACGTGTGTACATGTAGGATCCTGTGGTAGACTTCACCAATTTTAAGAGAAAAAAAAACTAATTTTGAGGTACGAAAGTAGTTTTTTTTAATTCATATATTTTTATGATAGCATTGCATGCTTTGTAGTTGAACTCATCAAACTTAACTTAAATCACGATGTTTTTCCTGCAAGTTGTTCATGCCAAAGTTTTAGCTGTTAGCTGTAAACTAAGCTACTTCCTGGTGACAAGGGTCTGGGTTAGATGTAACAACAATAAAAAATGTTACAACCTCCCCCAAGCAAACTTTAAACTATCTTTACGTTTTCTTTAAAATTCAGTATGCCTAGTCTTGGAAGAGAAAGACTGACCGGGGGATACCTCAACATTTAGTTCAGTGTATTATATTCAAATGTTAATATAAGGCACACACACACACTGCTGTGTAACTGTTGAAGCCACTGCAAACACACACACATAGCCTACCAATATTCAGTTGGGGCAACATTTTGTTCAGTTGTATTCATAGACTGTATATAGAATGGACAGAGTCTGCCTCCTCGCTGGGTGAAGCCACTCTAAGAACAGCACCCTCTGGTGATGGGCTGCAGTATAGGTCATAAATCCCGCCTCCGCCAGCAAAGCTTATAGAGATGTGGACAAACTTCAGAAATTTATTACACAGAACATAATTTTTTCTCCCCCCTGCTTGTGATGTTGACATGTAGTTACTGTAAGACTGGTTTGTGCTCAAGTCCTCTTTTTTCTATGAAGCTCAGTTTTTAAAAGTTATTAGGGGGGTCATGTTTTCTTTGATTGACACCTGATTTAGCTTACTGGCATTCAGGGATTGCGTAGCTCGCCTGGGGGATACGCTGTTTGAGCCGAGTGTCATCACAGCTACTCTCCCGCTGAATGCGCACAATGCTACTGCACAATGCTGGTTTCAGGAAATGAAGAAAAATTGCGGAAATACAGAGAGCTATTTGGCTTCAAATCCGTATACAGTCGGGAGGCGGAACCAAGTTGTCCATAGTATATATAGTCTATGGTTGTATTATGTTCAGTCGTCAGTCACTTCTAGGACTGGCAGTAACTAACATATATGCTCAAACAAACACACACCAGTTATGTTAAAAAGCCTTTAAAATGTTAAATAAAAAGCTTCTTGGGTGAATTGTAACATTTCACTACTTATGTTTGAGACTAAATTATGCATAGTCTGTTTGTGTTGCCGGGGTATCTGCTACAGTCTTCAATAGCAGACACATAAACCTAGTTTGTATCACAGTTTGAATGCATTGGCTTTGAAGAGCTCTAAGATACAGACAGAAATATCAAAAATGTTACAACCATCCCCGGTCTCCCCTATCTGACAACAGCTTTAGAACCATTAGAAAAATTAAGCCAAAAATGAATGTTGTGTCTTGCGTGGGTCTCTGGTGCTGTATTATTACCTTTGACACCGTTTGGTGTGCCACTGTCCACTGTGGCTGAAAGTGTAACTATAACACAACTATAGCCCAGCACGAGAGTGTGGCACGAAGGATTGACAACTCTGAAATACCACCTGTCAGTAGCAGTATGAACTTATCACAGACAGTTTATTGTCTAAAAGCAATGCTTGGTAATAATTGTAGGTGATTTCATTATTTAAAAGACAGCATTTCACTTCTACTTACCCACCAAGTCTGCAGAAACAGAGATCAACAAAACAGAAGTTGCGAGGACGAAAGTTAGAACTACAGGAAACTTCATGGTGGCCATCTCAGGGAAGACAGCGATCATGTCGAGTGCTTCAAAGACGAACAAACCCCGTGCAGAGCTGTTGCATTTAATAGTAAACGATACATGACGTAACTTGGATTAACCCCACTGCCAAAAGAAATCAACGGGATCCACCCCTAACCCCGACCTCCTGCACCTGGTTTCAGTGAACTATGGCTCAGAGCGTGTTCCCATCAAGTTTCTCTTCCTTGTACCTCGGAACAGCTAGAACAAGCCTGCAGCATTTTCTCACGAACGAGCTGTCTTTTTATGTGTTCCTGAGTTAGAGATAAATTGGATTTTCTTTTGTCCAAATTTCAAGTCCTTTACTTCAAGCAAAACAATTGGTCGGTCATTTTGAACTCACAACAGAACGACAATTCCCATAAGCCACAAAGACAGGGAAGATATGGGACCTGTAGTCTAGTTGTTGGGGCTACCACGGCTAAATGGCCGTCAAGTGTGCCGGAGCGATAGAGAGGAGTATAATACAGTAGGGTAGTATTTCTTTCCAGTAAGCATTCATGTAAACAGCGGAGTAGGGGAGAGTGGGGTAAGTTGAGCCAAAGGGTAAGTTGAGCCACCCCCCTGTTGTTTGGAAATGGTAAAAGAAATTGATCATGTGACCAAATATTTAGGACATGGGCTTGGGCATCAATTCATGGAGTCTGTGAAGGTTAGAAGCACATAGGTGAAGGGGTTAGACATTTATTTACAGAAAAGCCTTTTTTTCCCCTTTGAAGGTGAATTTAGTCTGTCATAAGTTTTATTAGAATTGTGTTCAGACCAAAAATGATCATTTAAAAATTGTTTTATATGTCAGTTGAGGTATCTATGAGCTACAACATGAGGTCAAAAACCTAGCATAAAAGTCCACCATTTTAGCTTACAGGACGAGTAAAGTCATCATAGTAGTTCAGGGGTAAGTTGAGCCAGTGGCTAAACTGAGAAAGTAAAGGAGTCTGATGAGAGGATCAGAGTTTCAGTTCAGATTGTTGAAATGTGTTACTTTTTCTTTTCAAAAATACAGCTGTGAATGTTCTGAATCACTGAAAGGCATTCTCATGTCCACTTTTTTGGCAACTATTTTATTAAGACAGTTCTGTTTACACTCATTCTGTTGGTTTGCATGGATGCACAACATCTTGAAATATATGTAGATACACTAGTTAGAGACAAAACTATGATTGCCTTGATGGAGTGATCCGAAATATAAAAAATGTCTCATCTTACCCCACTCTCCCCTACAGCGCAAAAAAAAAAAAGTTTATCAAGTGCAAATTACGTAACCAGGTGATTTGGTTAAAGAAGCAGCAGAGTTTTTTTTTTTTAAGTTCCACTATTAAGTGTTCAGTCAGGATTGAGAGGGGGTTCAGAGGTCAGTGTTTCTGGGGGGCAGAGAGAGGAGGTGGCAGGGTGAGAGAGATCAGCTTTCTGACGGCCTGGTGGGGTGAAGCTGTTCATAAGTGTGTTGGAGCAGGCCCAAAGGCTCCAGTACTACCAATAATCTTCCTAGCTGCGTTCACTGTGCACTGCATTGTTTTCTTGTTCTGTCCTGTGCAGCCCAGTGACAGAGCTGGTCAGAATCATAGACTGTATATAGAATAGAATTAATAGAATTGCAATAGAGTTAATAGATTTTTTTAGATGATAGTATTTAGGCTATCATGACAGTAAATCCGTTTTGTGAGCTATGCAGCAGCAGCAGCCTTAACAGCAAGAGAAGATCGTTGATTGCATGAAAACCCTTGATTGTATTTTTATGAGCGTTGAGGGTTTTCATCTAAAACCCAAAGAGAGCACACTGGGAGTTGTAATTATGTGGCCAGTTTTATATTGCTTTCTAATTTTGACCTCTCAAAAATGAACTTTTTTAAATCCCTGTTAATGTTAATAGTCAAAAACTATTGCTGAGTTGTCGCTAAATTCATTATGAACTTATCTCTTTACCTTGACTTGTGTTGATAATGATCTAAAGGGCTATTTACCTACTGATAACAGGTTTGTTTACTTGCTTTTGCAATGGAACTGATAAAATTGTTCAGAAAAGTCATCAAATAAAATGAACTTTTTCTAGAATAGAGCATATTTTAACTGTCAGCCTGATCACAATATTTATGGTGGTTTGAGTGGCTGCATCATATCAAAACACAGATGGACTCCAGCTACAGCTGGAGTTCAGCATATGGATAAACAATGGGTCAGGTCCAACACAATATCATTCAATTTTAATACAAGGTGACAGCTTCACTTAATGCCAGATGGTGCAAAACAGCACACAATGATGAGTTTGCACAACTTACAGTGATGAGGTCAAGGCCAACATCCTATAAGGTAACGTAAGGTAAGGTAGACTTTATGGACCCCGCATGGGGGAAACTTTTTCACCACCAGGACATGAAGACTCATACATGCAACAAACAGCATGGAGACATCAGAAAAACATAGACTCAACACTAGATACACAACAAACACAGTGAAGGCCAATGAAACATGATTTAAAAGTGGTACAATAAAAGATAAGGACATGATTAAATACAACAATAGCCTGATAAAAATGAATAAATACTAAAATAAATACCTCTGCAAACTATACAGCAGTGCCAAGTCAGACCCTTACATATGCCGTTAAAAAATCTCACTGCTGCTGGAACAAAAGACTTTCACGGTCGTTCAGTGGAGCACCAAGGCTCACTAAAAGAGCTTTAAAGACCTTTGAAGAGATGATCCTTGTAGCCCAGGATTAATTTTTAATTTAGACCTGGTCCTCCCCTCAACAGTGGCCTCAAGAGACTGGGATGAGGGTACATTTCCCTGGTCTTTTGAAAGAGAAAGTTCTATGCCATCATATGTTTTTGTTGCTAAATGATGCCCCCATGTGGTAGTTTTTGTTTCTAACTAGCTCTCTCAGGTGGGGCTGTGGGAATAGCCTATCTGCCTGCTTTGCAATGAACCCTAGAACCCCCTTCTGAGTTATCTACCTCAAGACCCACTGAGCCTTTCGAATGACCATTGAATAGTTTGTGCCTTTTAGAAATATATTTTGTTTGCACACTTTTTGATTAAGTTGATGTTTAGGTAAGTTAATGATAGCTACAGGCCTATTGGGTGCTTGCAAGCCAGTGAATTAACGACAAGCATATTTGCCCGTTGGTCTCCCATTGACAAAGTGTAATAAATTAGATCTATTTTGACAAATTGATGGATCACAGTTGTCTGAAATATTGAAACTGGGTACAGGATGGTTTTCAAAAACTGGATTATCTTGTCTTCCTTCAGCTGTTATCTCATGTTCCTACAGACTAAACGGTGCTGCCCATGATGTTCTTTTTGACAAGTGAATACACCAAAAAGGCCTACAGCATAGTTGTGTTGAAGTTGTTGGTTATGCTGTAGCAGCTGTTAGTGGGCTTTCACTGCATTAGTGTATGGTATGTATGTTTTCTTTGTGTCTTTTGTCACACTTGTAGAAAAGTGGGGTTAGGTTAATTGATCACTTTCAGCTCCAGCCACCACCCCGTTTGGGTGGATGGTAAATTGTCCACAGGGTGGCATATTGAAATTGAAGTTATAGACTTACAAAATATATTTGCTCGAAATTGAAATCTTGGCCAAAATTTAGGCCTCTTTTCTCATCATAGATATCTCCCAGTCAAGAGCAGAGCAGCCACAACTCCAAATTTTCCCTCAAACCTATCAAGGGGACAGACAACAATGCTTCTCTAAAGACTGGTATAATAAACATAAATGGCTGGAATACTCTCAGAGTAAAGACTCTGCCTACAGTTATGCCTGTCAACACTTCAGTCTCCCCTCCTCAGGTGATTCAGTATTTACATCTGAAGAGGGGTTCAAATATTAGAAAAAGGCATCCTCCAAAGATGGGGAACATTTAGGCCATGCCAAATCTGAAACACATACTAACGCAATGTTAGCATGGGCAGAGAATGAATAGTCCAGAGCAAGCACATCTGCTTTTAGCCTCCTTAAATGCAGAATATAATAAATTAGTGAGAGAAAATAGGGAGTACATTAAAATTGTTGGAGAAACCCTGCTCTTCACTGTTACGCAGAACAATGCACAGGGAGTGCATAACAAATCAGAAGGTGAGAATAAAGGAAATTTTCTCTCTAATATGGAATTGCAAGCCAAACACAATCCCATGGTAAAAAGAAAAATGACAAGTCGAAGAAATGCGACATACCTTGGGCATGATATACAAAATGAAATATGTGGTCGATTGTGTAGCTGAAATGGTCCGCACCTTAATATCTAGTGAAGTTGCCCAAAGCGAGGCTTTCAGCATTTTGGCTGATGAGACTAAAGACTTACACAAGAAGGACCAGATGTCACTTGTAATTAGATACCATTACAGTGGGTCAGTATGTAAAAACTTCCTTGTCTTTGAGGCAACACAATGCCTGGATGCTGCCACACTTTCACAGAAAATAGTACAAATTTTGCAGAAGCATGGTCATGACAACAAAAACCACCTTGTAGGGCAAGTGTATGATGGAGCCTCAGTTATGAGCGGAAAAAAAGCACACATTAAATCAGGGGCCCCATTAGCTTTTTATGTACACTGCAATGCTCATTGTTTAGATTTAGTATGAGTTGACAGTGTGAATTGCTTCTTTGCTCTTCAGTTCAGGGCTGCATCCACATCCAGCAGAGAGCGCTGCTTCCCCACTGTTGACAACAGGGCAAATAAAACTCTACAGTGTAAGGAAAACGTTTAAAGCAAAAATAAATCAGATAATTACTTAAAACCCTGCCCTTTCTCATTAGTCATTATTCCCCTGTTAACCAGTTCACCTGTACACCTGTACATCTGTAAACATGTGGGCTATAATTTCAGATTTCTTTCAATAATATAAATAATCAGTTATTTTATCTTACAAAACATGGGCATGTGTAAATACAGACTTTTTATGGGGATCTTTGTGTACCATTAAATCTGCAACACAATGTATTTGTTTCATGAAATAAACACATTGTGAAATAATCAGCAAGTTACAAAAACTGATTTACAATGCAATGGTTTATATAAATAAAGGTCGTAATTACATGTGAATAAATAAAAGGCAGCCACATGCCAAGAGACAAACTTTCTCAAGAACACGGGTCAACTGAAAGTCATATTTATTACAGGAAATCACTTAATGTTTGAATTTGAATAATATTATTATGTATATTTCATAGGCTACCATAGACAGCCAGTCCTTAATCTGACATCTGAAAGTTAGCTGATGAAATGCACGATTTCCCAACTTTGAAAAAATAGAGCTATTAACACTTTTAAAATAACACAGCTCTGCTAGTTCACAGCTGCAGTGAAACACAGAATGAATGAATGCATCATTACTTTGCAGCCAGGGTTGATTTTTCCAAATGTGCACTCTAGAACTAAACATAAAGAGCTACAGTTCCTAAAACAAAACTGCACTGCATCTAAGTGCAAGAAATACTTTGACAATAGTTCCATGAAATCTCCATGTGCCAGTACAATGTCTAAAGGTTTATCATGGTGATGACAAAAATACATAACAATACCAATTTATTTCCTTCTTAAGTCAGTGACTAAACAAACATAACCTGTTAGTTTCAAAAGAGGTATTATCCTCTTTAGATCTAAAGCTGTAGTAAAAGGGTCCCTGCTTATCATCAAAGAACAAGGCTGTACAGGCATTCTTGTTTATGAACACTTTTTTACTCATTTGCAAAAGTACATTTCACAAGGATCAGAAAACTGCATGAGTAGCTGCAGTCTTAAACAAAGTCAACCATATATTCAGAGTGTACGTTGTAAATTAGGACAGTCATGCACCCTGCTTCGGTCTAAGGTTGTATTGAGGGAGGTGTCTTGATTCATCCCACTCTTGCCCAGGTGTTCAGAGAATCGTTGTGACTTGGGGTGGTAGGTACATGGAGCACTTTCAAAAGATGGAGGGTAAAGACCATAGTCTTCAGATGTGGTCCTGTAGAGAGGATTCTGAGGCTTTGTCCACGGCGAAGGTGCAGCTTTGATGGCTGGAGTCATCATGCAGGAGAAAACTGGGTTTCCAGGGTTAGCACAGGTTCTTGTATTCCCTTCTTGAGAGGCTGACATCATTGGAGTGCCTGTAAAAGAAACCAAAACCAGTCATCAAAACATTCTGTTTCAGTACAAAATCATAACAAGTTTATAATAGTTAAGTCCTCATTAAACCTGAGTTAAACAACCTTTAGACTACCACTTTAACATGTTGACCTACATGGTAATGAAATATTAGACAGGCCATCCCGGGTCAGGGCCTATCTCATCTTGCCTACTTAAGCAGAATATCACAAACTAGCTGGTGTTACAGCTTTAAATCATACTTTTGGCTGTCTAAACGAAACACCCTCCATACTTAAATAAAGTTACCTTCAATTGCAGAAAACCAACAGTTGTTGAAGTTTTATCTGACTGGTGTTACAATCAACACTGAAGACTGCGGCGTCTTGTTACTATGGAAACGTAGACGAGTCAGAGTTCATTATGCATTCACGTGACATCGGAATAATCCGAAAAATGAGTATCCGTTTTCAAACAAACCAGAGGAAAGGTTTTTTTTGCCACCCCATGAGTGGAATAAAAGGAAGGCCAAAGTTTTATGACATAGAAGTGTTTATTGAAGCTATAAAATCCAGTAAGCCTTTCCTTTAATAAAACCAAACTACCATGTTTTTTTTTCCACGCTTGGTTCCGCCCTTTACCAGAAAAGTGCAGGATGTGAAAAAGAAATGCACTGTGCAATGATATTGTTCAGCAATGTTTTATACTGATCGAGTCACACTTACTATTGTCTATCTGTCTTTTGTCGTGTTTTACACAATACCTATGTTTGCTAAACGTTTCTCCTAAATCCATGATCTGCTGACATGCAGTTTGTTGTTACTACATTTTTACCAATTATTACTAATTGGTAATTGGTAATATTATTACTCCTGTGTATTCGTGGTATCACTGTTTAATCTTCTTCGGACGAGACAAATTTAATAGAAATAGCACGAGCTACATCTCACTAAAGTTTCCCAGTTACAGTGAAGGCATCATTAGATTACATCATCAATAAGCGTCGTGTGGTTACGTACAATTGCCGCATCTGCTGTAGTAGTTCGTGGGAAATCTGTTTCTGTTCAGTGGCCTAGCAAGTTGTCAGGTAAATTTGTTGATGTGACCTTCTGCAGCTCCTGCCTCAGTCGAGTGTGAGGTTTACAGCTAGCTTAAGGCTAAAAGGTCCAAAGGAGAAGCCCAGAGACGCAAGGTGTGGACTGAGGCTGCAGAGAGGATGGACAGTGAGATCCAGAGAGACGGGAGAGTCCTGGACCTGACTGATGATGCCTGGAGAGAAGATAGACTGCCCTATGAAGATGTCACCATCCCTCTGGTAGATACTCACAATAATTACTTTGACTTTGGTCCAGATATGAGTCTCACAAAACTTTACTCCTGACAATCATTTACGTCCTTATTGTTGACACTCCTCTCTGCACAGCCAACGAAACTTCAATAGCTCTACTTTGGACAGGTGCAGAGTCAAAATCTCTTCACACATCGGGATTTTTGGTCTTTTTTTTAGTCTGGGAATTTATGTATAGTTAATGTGCACAAAGAGTAGAAATGCACAGTGTTTAGAGGACACGTCTTACTTCCCTCATGCCACTATGTAGTGTGTACTTAGTACTCTCAACGTCATAAGTACACTTAAAAAAAAAGTACTTTTAACTGCTTCTTGAGTTAGTCAACAGACTTAAAGTTATACTTACTACTTGGGTAAATGTACCTGAGGTAGGGGTGGGCAATAAAATGATAATGATATATATCGAAAATTAATTTCCCTCAATATCGATATAAAACATGGTCAATATTCTTCAAATCAATCAAATTTTATTTATGTAGCGCCAATTCACAACAGTCGTCATCCCAAGACGCTTTCTAAAGAACAAGAGCAGGTCAAGAGCTCATTGTTTGATGATCAAGAACCAACGTAAGATGGGTTTTGGCCCATTTCATCTAACATGAGTAGCAGTGGCAAGAAAAAACTTCCTTTTAAGAGGCAGAAACCTTGAGGAGGACCTGACTCATGCCAGACAGCCACCATGCCGCTGTTGGGTTGGGGAGGAATACAGAGATATAGGGAGAGAGAGAGAAGAGAGAAGAGGGGAGAGGGCGGGGGGGAGAGAGAACAAGATAAGGGGAAGGAGAGAGAGAATGAGTAAGGAGAGGGTGGGGGAGAGAGAGAGACAGGGGACAGCAGAAACAACAGCACCAGCTCATGTAATGGTGAAACAAAATGAATTCAGTTTACAGGAATAGGATATGAGTGATTATGGACTATGTTAAATTAATTTAATGTGATTACAGTCAGCAGGCCTAATAGTAGTTAACTCTAGTTTTATGTTATTAATGTCAGTGAGGCTGATGTTCATGTCTGCAGTAACAGTCCAGAGGAACCCAAGAGAAGAAGGAGCTCAGGGCCTGAGGCGTACAATCATGGACGATGCGGCTGGAGTCAGGCAGGTCTGCAGCAGCCATCATTCCAGAGCAACCTGGCAGACTCGGGCTCAGAGACATATAGAGAGATCTGGTTAGCAATTCGATAGTCAGCAATCTGCCATATTTTGGTAGACTATTCGAATAGCCAATGAAAAGGGGCGTTGCTCTGGGTGCGCTTCTTGCTGAACCAAGCATGTGCTGAATTAGAACCAAGTAGCAAACAACTGCATAGTAGCAGGCTGCAGCTACATGCAACCATAGAACTTTAACACGTAAAGCCAACAGCACTGTTGGTAAGAAAAAAAGAAAATGAGTGCTACACCCGGCAGAAATGCAGATTAAGGCTCAACAGATGACGACATCGTCAACAACACTGGCATGAAAACATCAGTGGTGTGGAGGTATTTTGTGTTTTTTGAGGTCATACATGAAGCAGATTAATGTGCACTGCAAATTATGTTGAGTACATGTTCTCGTAAATTCGGAGAATACCTCAAATCTTTTTCACCACCTGAAGCAGTGCCACGTGGCAGAGCATGTGCAATGCAAAAGGTTACAAACCCCGAGCGGAGTAAAGAGCCCATGGCGCCTGTGCAGCCGAAACAGCCGACCATTCAGTCCGCTTTCTCTTGCGCAACGCCTCACGACAAAATGTTGAAGAGACACAAAGACCTCACAGATGCAGTAGCTTATTGCATTGCGAAAGACATGCTACCAATAAACACTGTTAATATATATATCGATATGGACTGATGTGAAAAAAATATATGTTGATTAACTTTTTCCCATATCACCCAGCCCTACATTAAGGTATCTGTACTTGTACTTCAATAGAATACTTTGGTACTCTTTCCACTCCTAGAAACAGTGTCAGAGCCAAGATGAACCACTTATTGATTCTGGTTTTGTAGAGGGCTAAAATGATCACTGAGAAATTTTTCCCACTCCTAATTCCCTGTTTTTATTTTTAAAAAAAAGTTTTTAACAAGTAAAGGGCCAGGAAAACGATAATGGAGTGCTTGAAACTTGTGAGTTCCTCAGAGACTCAACAGAGTCTGTTTCTCAAAGAAAACTTAAAAGTTTTGTGTAGACAGTATAATGTTGAAACTGCTACAGCTTTATTGATTTAGTATGCTCAGACGTTTTGAAAGGGGAAGTATTGTTTGTCAAAAAAAGAAAGATGGAAATGATTGTTGAACTATGTTACAAGATATTTTCATGACAGGCACGCACATGATAATCAGCTTACAGGATCAAAGCAGACCTGCTGCACCTGCTTCAGACTACATTTTCTTACCCCTGTAATACTTCTTGTAAAACATGGGGGATTAAAGGACATGAATGTTCGTTGTTTTATACAATTTAAAATCAGAAATCCTGTCTTCATAATCTCCATCTACAAGTGTATTTTCCTTTAATAAAACCAAACTACCGTGTTTTTTTTCCACGCTTGGTTCAGCCCTTTATCAGAAAAGTGCAGGATGTGAAAAAGAAATGCACTGTGCAGTGATATTGTTGAGCAATGTTTTATACTGAGTGACTCACATTTACTATTGTCTATCTGCCTTTTGTCGTGTTTTACACAATACCTATGTTTGCTTAATGTTTCTCCTAAATCCATGATCTGCTGACATGCAGTTTGTTGTTACTACATTTTTACCAATTACTGCAATTTGAGGTCAGCTTAGGGTTGTTCTTTTTGTGCTCCTGTGTGAGGCAGATTCACCTGTAACTGCAGTAAGGGTTTCTTTCAGTATGTCTTTGTTTTTTTTAGAAGTTTTGAGGACTACAGATGGGTATTTTTTTTGCAGGCATAGTAATTTTGAGACCAAAGTCCACTGAAGGACAAAACAGCTTCTGCAGAACATGATGAATCTGTCGACTTCAAAAGTACAGGGTATCTCTTACATCTGTCTCATGTTAGCTTGTATGGCTCTTGATTTACATACCATGATAAAAATATTGTTCTGATCTCATTCCCTCTCTCTCTCTCTTTTTTTCATCTATTTAGTGTTTATCTTAATACCATCATCCTGCTAATAAATGGCAGTGTGTCCCTTTCATTGCATCTTCTCTCTCTTGTCTCCCGTCAGAGTGAACTACCAGAGGCTGAGCAGGATAATGGAGGATCCACAGAGTCTGTGAAAGAGCAAGAGATGAAGTGGACAGATCTCGCCCTGCAGAGCCTGCATGAAAACACACCCAGTACTGGGAGCTGAAAGATGCAGCCGGATATGGACTAGAGTAAAAAACAATACATGTGCATACCGACACAACAGATTGAGACACATGTTCTTGTTGTTTTGGACATTGTGTTGAAAATCTGGGAGGAATTGCCACACGTTTCAGAATGCAAAGTTAGCAGAAATGAATTTTTAATTTATATGAAATGTTCAATAACTTTCTGATTGGATACACAAGAAAAAGTGATTTTCTTTGAATCGCCCTGTCTCTGTCTATCATGCTATGTTGTGTTCAAGTTGGCGCACAACCAAAAAAAGCTTTAGATGCAAGAGTATGCTCTCAGTTAACATTATGTCTTCAGAACTCATGCAATCTGTTCAGCAGTCCCACAAAAAATCCTCCTATCTTGAGAGATGACCTTTTTGGTTAAGGGAGTTACAGTGGGAGGAGGATTTAATCCTTTCTTTATCTTGAGGCTTAAATCTGTGGAACTGCTGTGTTATGTTATATTAAATTGTTACTAAAAAGTCATTGCTAATTGACGCCTTTTATGTGTTTTACCCATATAATGGTGAAAAAGGCCTAATCCTGGCTGCTGTTCGTGCATGTACACAGAGATAGCTCCTGCATAATATCCCAAGATAGATTTAGCCATCAGAAATCTCTTCTGTTTGGAAGAACAGTCCAAGTCCATTGTCTCTTTCTGATCTCCAGCGCCTTCCCTCTTCTCATGACTTGTTTTGCATCCAAAGAAATTGTCTTTGTCTCTATAATCCAGGACAAATATCTCAGCAGCAACCTCCCTGAGGAAATGTGGCTGACTGTGGCTTTTTTCCATCAATGTGCTTGTGCAGCGTCTGCCAAGAGCTTACGAACATGGTCATGTGGCCCCTTCCCCAGCAGTGCTGATGGATGCCGGTAGGACCCCCCCAATCGATCCCAGAGTGTGAAGTATTGACCGTAGTTGTAGTTGAAGTAGAGGTGATGGTCGACGTGGTGAGCAGCACCGTTGATCAGACATATCAGTGGGCCAGGGATGCGGTAGTCTCCATCATGTATGGAAATGGTCCAAACGTTGACAAAGACAAAGAGCAAGAGGTAGACAACCTGCAGAGGAAACATTAAACATGGTTGGTGTGACAGACTTAACAATGTATCGTGATATATGCATTTTATCGCCTTTCAAACAAATAGGATTAAAGTCTGCTCAAAGGGACATTTCTAGAGGCAATCTAACAACAGCAACATGATCGAAAAGCAGGTGGAGCCTGAGAAGTCATGTCAAATGTTTGGTAAATGGTAAGACCAGCACCTTGTGGAGGGGGAAGATGAAAGGGTAGACGTGATAGGGTAAGCTCTGCAGAAAGCCGTCCAGGGGGTGGAAGGCATGGCTGGCAAATGGCGTAGGGATCTTGAAATTATGGTGCTGCTTGTGGAGGTGCTGAGGAGAAAAAACGAACAAACAGAAAAAGTCAGAAATTAAAGAGCGTAAAGATTTTTTTTAAAAAGATGTCGGGCTGTAATCCCTGCCACCAGTGTGATGACAGATATTTAAAAATGCAAATAATCAGCCTGATAAGTTGACCAAACAATTGCTCGGTCTTTCTCTATCCCCAACCATTAGTCAAAATATAGATGTAGATTCAGTTTTTGAGTCTTTTTGATGAAGACCAACAGATATTTATTACTTTTATTCATTTTGCCTTGTAACACAGCACATTCAACTGTTACTTAACACAAATCCCCTCATGAAGCTTTTACAGAAAGATGTAACTTAACAGAGTCATGTATGCATCCTCCCCATCTGTGTTTGTCCAACAGTCAACATACAATTATTTCTATGTTGACTCTAAACTTAACAGGAAAATATTTGACAAACATTTCCAGCTAACGTTTACCTTGTAGATATTCTTATGGTGCATGGTTCGGTGTATCCAGTAAATACACATGTCAGTGAAGAACAAGAAACCTGCAATACTCAGGATCATCTCCTGCCAGCCTGAAACAGAGAGCAACAGTGAGCTTGAGGTTCTCATTTGGGTCAGTCATTATAAATCTTCCAATGCAGTTGTTTCTCACTGAGTTAAGTTAATATTCATGGGCTGCCAATGCTGAAATCCTGGTCTTACCCATAGAGGATTCACTGATGTTGTCATAAAGTTTGCTGTAACCTCTGATCTCCCAGAAGAAAAGGGCCACTGTGGGGAAGCTCATCCAGAAGATAGAGTTGGCCCCCAGTCTAATCTCTTTCCCCACCTGGTTCTGTCAGATGAGAGATACAAAGCCAGGATTCAGATGAAGGTGTAGGTCTACTGTCCACCAACGGCAACAGAGACAAATAGGTTGTGGTCCATCAAACATCTTACCTTGATGAAGAGTGGATGTTTCATAAGCCTATGATCAAACACATAGTAGAAGCTGAGAAGGCCAAAGCCCAGGTAAATCAACTGACCCCCCAGGTTGGTCACCACCCATAGACTGATTAACTGACGCAGAGTCCCATCCTCGGGCCATGAAGAGGGGTAAACATAGGGAGTGAAGACGTAACTGTCTGCAATCTTCAGCACATGATCCATGGCACTGTCTTAGAAGAAAATGAAATTTACATTATGACCAGTCTTCTGACAAACTATGGTGAAACAACTTACAAGAGAAGACTACGAAAGAAAAACAGTCAACAAGCTTTCAAATTATAGAAATGACCAAAACGGAAATGTGCCAGTGCAGATTAAAGTCATTAGTTTGAGTCTGAATTAGGATTTTAAAACTCTGAAAAGTTGGTGTCTTTCAATTTCTATTCTTGCAAACATTTACACTGCATCCAACTTTTCTGGAGTTGGGGCTGCTTGAAGTTTTAGAAAATTAGGATTCCTGTCTCATTTTGTTAATTTTTTCTGCTTAAAAATAGACACAGTGGTATAATTATGACAATGACTCTGTGTATCTGCAGCAAGAAAGATGCCTTTACAACAGGAAAAACAACATATGGGACATTTTAAAAGCATGACATCCCTGTTTCAGAATTGTTACACTTAAATATTTCATAGTAAGAAGAAAATATAAATCTTTCATGCTCTGAAAGCACTCCAAAAGAGTTTATTTCTGACCTGCTGTAGGCTCAGAGGCAGACGTCTGAAGTGTGTCAGCCTTCCTGGAAAGAAAAGTCCTCCGTCTTCCACTCACAGTTAATCATACAGATAGTGACAGGAGGCACTTTGCTTCAAGCAGCAAAGGGTTGAGTTGCACATAAATCCCATGCTGCTGCGATCAGCAAACATAACATTCCAACTTTTCTATGATTAAAAAATTTAATTTCAGTCCAGAAGATTAAGAGACAAACTTTTCTCTGCTTCATTTCACCATGAGTAAGCACGTTGGGGGGGATCCACAAACTCAAACGTGTTGGGTCAACACTAGAACAAGATCCCTGCGTGCTCAGCAAATAACAAGAGCTCGGTGACTGCAAGACTTGATCTTCCAGACAGTTCTACTATCTTTGATCCACGCTGTCTAAGGAGAACTTAATTTGATTGTTAAGAAGTGAATCTATGACTAATGAGAAAATATCCTACAAACCCACGTCCTCATGTTGCATTCAAAGTTATATTAAATAATCATTTTTTTACTTGAAAAGACCACATCATTAACAGGATACAATTTGACAAGTATTTTTGATTATGTTAGAAAATGGGAGGAATAGTTTTGAATTTATGAAATGTGTGTCCTACTCCTAAAATATTGTAACATGTTGTTTTTCAGCACCTGTAACTCACTGAGTTCTCATTTTGCTCGCTACAAACTTAGTTTCAAACTTCTGCAAAACACTGTAGATCTTGTGAGTTGATGTCAAATACAGGGGGTTCCTTTGTTACATCTACCCTCCTTCCAGGATAGGTTGAACTGTACATGCTGAGGTAAGGAGTCACAAATAGACTATAATGAAGGTTCATCAAAATCAATCTAGAATCATGTCTGTCTCTGTCTTTCATAAACTTTCTAAATGGCTTTTAGCATTATTAATCATACTAATGCATAGAAATAACTACATAGCTGTAAAAACCATTTGTTTCTTGATGGTGGAATTCCATATGGCCTGATCTGCTTGCTAGCTTAGCCAACAATGCTCTGAGTCATATGACCTGCAGAGGACACACATTAGTGTATTGTTAACAACAGAATAACTGTTACTGGAAGAATCTTTTCCCAGCACATACTGTTTCATACAAAAGTAGGTAGTGCATTCATTTGTGGGACAAAAAAACTCCCAAAGTGTGCAGCCAACAATCTGGAGCTCCCTCTAATGATGGGCTGCACTGTAGATCATAAAACCCACCCTCTCCATGTTAACAGATGGGAAATGCTTCATACTAAGATTAGTTTCGAGACCAATGTTTTTTTTTTCTAATACTGTATCTGTTACTATTTAAGGTCCTCCTTTGTGACCTTATCTGATGCTTATGTTAAAAATAAGGAATTTAAAAAAAAGAAATATATTTCTTTTAGATGTTTTTTAACTAGCTGTATTGGTAGTTTGACATCAACATGGAAAATGATACATCACATTTTGCCTAGAAACTACAATTAAATGAAATGTAAATCATGATTTTATGTAAAATGGTATGAGTACCGAAAAATTATACCCTCTCTCAGAAAAGTTATTCATCCCTGACTGGTTTAATACTGATATCAATCTCCCTCCACATTTAACCCACCCTGTCTCTCCTTTAGCATGACACATAAATTTAGGAATTAAACCCTGCAGAGCACATCTTGACTCCCCTGCTCGGCTTCGGTATCAAATTTCCTCCTAACTGTCTGCCCTTTAACCACACCACATGCACACTTCTAACACGTGCTCACAAAATGAAAGGGGATGAGTCTAACCTGAGGATAAATGTCAGCACTTCCAGCCTGTCTCAGGGGATACAAAATACACATTTGTGAATCCACTGTCCAAGTGGACAATGTCAAAAGAGAAAGGCGACCCTTTGACGAAAAATTTGGAGGTTTGCGGGTTTTCTTGCCAATTTTTTCTGTAGTCAGGGATATTTCTGATTCATCATCACTATTTTAACAGTATGTAAATGCATTATAAAACTGCATATTTTTGTACACCAGTTACAAAATACTGCATGCATGTTGTTTTACAGACATATAGCTCACGCTTTGTGCAAGGACACCTCCTTGGTAAGAGAACAAAATGTTGCACAAAACTATTTCTTTACACTCTGGTTGTGTAGTTATTTAATTTTTAATCAATGTAACTTTTAAACATTAAGGTAAATAATGTACCAATATCCTCTCACAACCAAATCGCCCTGAAAAAAAGGGAAATTTGTCTCCTTCTAGAGGTGTCTAACAGTAACAGCACCCCTCTCTTTAGTGTTCAGTACACAGATGGAAGGACCGATGCACATCCATATCCGTAAATAACCAAGTTAGTCATTGAAGTTTGGACCCCAGTCTTTAAAGAATTAGCCGTTTGAATAGTTTCCAAATGTGCATCAAATATTTGAAAGTGAGTGGTAGCAATAAATAAATAAATAAACAAATCTGTGTTTGAGGCTCTCTGAGTGCAATCAAGGTTTGAAGAGCTTTTATAGTCATTATCACTCAATCATAACACTTCACTAATCACCAACTGTTCTCTCAAAATCCTCTTTCAAACTTTCCAAATGAGCACACCACAGATTAGTCTCTTTGAATAATGACCCTATTATGTTTGTTAAGAATTACAAAGCAGATTGGGAAATTGGATATGACGGGAAACTAGGTCCAGGCTGAATGGTCTTGATGTTGCAAGTATATTTGGTAACTTCCACCACCAACTTTTGCTGAAATGTCCTACTTTTTTCACCTCTTTGCTGTTTTGGGTCAATATGTTCAATTTCTCCTCAACCACTTGAGATGCAATTAAGGAAGTATTTTATTTTAAAAATTAATGATAATCTGTTTTTAATGAACATATGGCTACTCAAAGTTTCTTTGTAGTATTGAGTGTTTTTGTGCACCATCAGTTATATAAATAGTAAATACATGATAGCATGGTCCCAGATTGGCTACCTGTTATATCAGAGGGTCCATAGTTGATACATGTCAACAAACAAGCATCACAAGTCTGCTACACTGGTAAAAGTGGTGTTTTGGAGGAAATCACATTGACATTTAGATCACTGATAGGCAACATTGACAAGCTACAACATATGAAGTTATGTCTATAATCAAAAATTACTGAGAAATCAGAAAGTAGAAAAACTAAGTTCAGGTTGGTGTTGTAAGTAATATTTAACTTTCCCAAAAGTTTCTTCCCTCCTCCTTTCAGTTATGTTGCAAGAGGTTTTTTTTATTTATTTATTTTTTAAATCAGCCTAAATATAAAAATATAAATATATAATATAAATATAAAATAATATTTCAATATATAGCTTCATTGAAACTCCGCATAACTAAAGTTTTTGTATTAGTTTAAGAATAACTCAGTTCAAGTATTTTAAAACTATCCTGTACTGAACAAAGAATCACCTTTCACTTTTGTGTGTGTGTGTGTGTGTGTGTGTGTGTGTGTGTGTGTGTGTGTGTGTGTGTGTGTGTGTGTGTGTGTGTCGTTAGATAAGTTTCCGAGATATTTCTAAAGGTTGCGCACAGCTCTTCATCTTCTCTGCCACTCGTGACACCCTGTGATTTCTGCTGTCGTACCCTGTGATGACTTAGCCCATTATGTCCTGACATACGGGAATCACTTAAGTGGAAAAACACAGCCGGACAGGGACGAGCGCAAAAGTACAATGCTGCCTTCAGTGTAAGGTCGTACATCCGAGTTTACTGAGTGATAATTGCAAGTCACACGGGTTAAGCTAAACGTGGTAACGACATATATTTGCAAAAACACACCAGCCCACGAGTTCATTCAGAGTAAATTGTGTTCATATTGTCAAAATTGATCCACGTTAGTACTTTCCCTAGCCTTTATAACTTTAAGCAACAAAACAACCTCGATTTAATCTCACTTGACTCATAGTTCCAATGTTTCCTACAGTGGGCGGTACGTGAAGGCAGCATATTACAATAGCGTATTTACATGGGTTTGCTCACGAGCGCTGAGTGGAGCGGCCGAGTGCAGAGCAGCTGGAGGAAGAGTGGAAACAACAAGAACGGACTGTTTATCCGAACCGTGTGCACAGACCCACAAACACACTTGCCTCATTGAAAAATATTTCTTTACATGTGATATTAATGGGCGGTGTCATTTGACCCAAACCACACAGTATCATCGCCAGGTCAGTCTGAAAAGTTGGAGGTCAGCATTTACATTCCTGTATTACAAATCATAAAGTTGTGTAAGTTTGGGTTACGACAACAGTCTATGTGTGAAGCCCACGCGAGTCAGTGGCGGTTTGAAGGCAGTGGCTGTGTGCCTGAGCACGTACTTCCACTTCAAGTGACAAGAAGGGCGATTGATGAAGCTATTTTTGCGATGGAAATGTAATTTTGTAATGAGAAAACACGAAATTCTTTGAAGCCCACATTGCCAATCAAATAATAAATAATCAAATAAAAAATTACAAACTGATTTTGAAGTTTGTTTTTAAAAGGCTTTAAACAGTTTGGTGACTCGTGGCACATAACCAAACAGGCTATAACCAAGTCAACTTAACATGGGGCACATTGTTTACATTTGAAAGGGCTTTTCCATTGTATTTTTTTTAATACATTTTCTTTATGTCATTTATGTGATTTTATATCTTTTGTTATTATTCTTTAAGATTTCATACAATTACTTTTTTATGTTTTATCAACCTGGAAGGTCATCTAAAAAGGCGCTTCATTTAAAATTTACAATTTGTAAGAGCATATTGACAACACAATGTTTACATGTTACTTGATTATACAGAGTGCTCTGTCTCTGTTAACATTTCAATGCTCTGAAATGGCACCTGAGTGTTACTTTGTTTACATCTTTTCTCTTAAATGGTCTCTTATCTATCTATCTATCTATCTATCTATCTATCTATCTATCTATCTATCATCCTTATCAACTTATTTCTAGTCATTCAAAATTATTGTAAAACATAAATCAAAAGGGGCTAAAAAATGAAAATAAGTCATATTTTTGTTAAGACTAAATCTCTGATTTGAGACAGCAGGAAGTCTCATCTAAGCCTTGCACACGAATCTTTCTTTAATTTAGTAAATCCGTGTGCAAACTGAGTGCGTGATTCGTGGATCTGTGTTTATCACACTCTGCCTTTATAGATGCCTTCTTTACATTTGGAAACCAGATTTCGACCCTTTCACTGCTGTTTCTCTCTCTCTCCACATCACATGTTTATAAGGGAGCTTGGGTGAATAGGACACGCAGGTTGCGTTCAGGGCTCCCCCAAATTCGCGGAAATTCAAAAGAGTCTTCGCTTGAACTCCAATAAACTGTGTTCCGATCTGTTAACCATAACAATGCTTTTCTCCGTATAAACATACTCAATATTCATGAATTCAATGTCCCCAGGGCGAATAATGGGCTCTTATGTAATCACACACAACATGCCAGCTTCTCCACGCCTGGGAATCTGTCTGTTGTCGCTACTTTAACAATCCGTGTGCACAAATCCCTTTGTCATCAACCACTACGTTTCTGCGTGCAGCGTGATTTTGCACCCGGTACTGTTGATGTGGTGCGCTATAAAAGATCCGCCCCCGGTCTGTCAGCAACAACACTCGCAGCTCTGAACTTAATCGAACGACAACTTCACTCGAAGAAACTCCAACATCCACTGGAAAGATGGACCCTTGCGAATGCGCCAAGAGTAAGTGATCTGTTTGAATCTCTGTATCTGAGAATTTTGACCTTGTATTTTGTTAAACGGTGTATTTTTTTTAGCAGAGACTGATCTGATTTTTATATTTTAGCTGGAACCTGCAACTGCGGAGGATCCTGCACCTGCACAAACTGTTCCTGCACTAAATGCAAGAAAAGTAAGTCTGCTAACAACCTTTTTAGAGATGACAAGCTTGAGGAAGGCGTTCACTGCTCACTGAAGCAAAAATAAGCTTAAGACAAAGTGTATCGAGGATTCAGAACCTTTTTTTTGCTTTACCTCTCTGCTTAAAATTCTCAATTATTTATATTAAGTTACCCCTAGTGATGTCCTTTTTGAAATTCTGTACCAATCTTGAATTCATAGTGCTTATTTAAACTATTTTTTGTAATTATAGTCCATGGCTCGTGGCTGCACAGGTGACTCTAATTGGCCTAATTGTCTGCAACGTGTTCAAGGAGGAGGAGAAGTCTTTATCTCCTCCGCAGTTAACTATTTCATACATTAACTATGCAGCTTTGTCTCTGAAATCCACCACCTCGACTGTTAGTAGGATATGAACCTGTCTTCAGCACTGATGCTTGACTGTCCTCCAGTCACTAATGGACTGTTTCTCCTCTTGCAGGCTGCTGCCCATGCTGCCCATCCGGCTGCAGCAAGTGCGCCTCTGGCTGCGTGTGCAAAGGGAAGACATGTGACACCAGCTGCTGTCAGTGAGGAGTGTGATCATCGGTCTGTCTCTGCCCTTGAGATGGCGCCTGTTTTTTTTGATCAAGTCTAAATTAATGTAGGGACCAATGTCTACTAATAACAATGCACAAGATTTTGTACTTGATATTGAAATAAACGCGTTTCCTTGATGTGACTTTGACGTGTCCTGGTTTGACTTCAAAGCATAACTGTACATTGCCGTTGGCTTTTATCATCTGATGTACTCGGCATGCAGGGATAGGTCACTCAAGGAGGGCTTCTTTATAAAAGCTGCTGTGATGGCTGCTTTCATAAAAGATTCAGGGGTATGAAGTTCATACATTACTGGGAATGGAGAGTCGAGGAAAAAGTGCAATAGCAACGGGGCTACCTGCAATGCTAAGTGGACTGAAAAAAGTAATTGAGAACTTAAAGAGGGCCTCACACAAAGTGAGCTGAGGCTGGAGTCAGTGCAGCAAAGGCTACCATGCATAGACATCTTCAGGAACAGGACAAAATGTTAACATTCCTGATATCATGCCACTCATGATCAGGCAAAAATACAAGCAAGCAGGAAACTGCTTTCAAAAACTTGAGCTTCGATAATTTAACTGTGCTACAGTCTGATCACCTCCTCACAAAGCTGCATTGATGTAGAAGCTAATTGATGGCACAGGAGCCCTTGAGAACAAAGTGTGTATAAATAAACATTGCTCATATTTAGAAATGGAACAAAGCTTCCATCAGGAGTGTAAATAGAAATTCACATGGATGCCTTTTTCATGATATCTAATATACATATATCATTACCAAGTATGAAATAAAAAAGAAAAACAGTTCCAGGGGCTTGGTGTCAGGGTGTTGGTCTTATAGCTGAAGAAACAGCCTTGTTAAAATGTTTGCAGTGTATGGTACATTTGACTGTCATAAGTCAGCAGGGTAAGCGAAGGCTGCTTTGTCAAGAAGGGTGCCAAAATTGACACAAAACAAATGTCCCTCACAGGAGCTTTAAATCCTTTTTAATGTATTTGAGAGAGAGTTGTATTGATTTGAGAAACTGGATTTCTAATTTCCATGAGCCATAAATCAAAAACATATAAATCAAATGAAAAACAGGCTTGAAATATTTCACTCTGAGTGCAATTGTTAAAAGAATGCGAGAAAGTTGACCTTTTAGGACTCATTCATAAAAAATACCTAATTTACAATACTTAAACACTTAGTATGGCTAAAATATTGATACAAAATGCTCTAAAAATATGTGGTTTCAAATTATTGTGTATTATCCCACTGAGAAATAGACGGCTATTAGATGTCTAGTTTATTTTTAGACCTAATTTCAACCATTGAGAGTCTGTATATTTTTAGACGGAGTTTAGATGTTGCACTTTAACCCATTATTTGATTATTATTTATGTCAAAAAGCAGCTGAGTTGCATAACTGATCTCCAAGTACTTAACCTAAATGATTATTACAGCAATTGAGCAATATACAGTGCAGTATGGAGATATATATATATATATATATATATATATATATATATATATATATATATTAATATATATATTGCTTGGAAAATGTCTAGGCTACATTTAGACATCTATTAGACCTCTTTTAGACCAAAAAATTGCTCAGTGGTATTTATTATGGCTGTGAAGGTCTGTGTCATCATGTGTTTGTACACTCTTGGTGGAAAGCGAAGTCTGCCAGAAGCAGAAAAATAAAAGCCGTAAATTTTTTATTATTGTAATATTTTTTAGATGTATTTATACACATCTATTCTGTAGGCGACAACTTCCTAGTGCGGAACATTTTAGAGACACTTTGGTTTCCAGTGGGACCTATATTCAGTGACGTACAGCGGAAACTCAACGTCTCTGAAGTGTTGTGGTGTGAAAGCAGTAGCTTTGCCAGCAAGTTGACTTTAATATAGCTGTTTTTAGAGGTGAAACATGCCGAAGGTGGTGTCTCGAAGTGTTGTGTGCTCGGACACCAGAGACAGAGAGGAGTACGATGACGGAGAAAAGCCCCTCCATGTTTACTACTGCCTGTGCGGTCAGATGGTCCTGGTCCTGGACTGCCAGCTGGAGAAGCTTCCAATGAGGCCCCGGGACAGAGCCAGGGTGATCGACGCCGCCAAACATGCCCACAAGTTCTGCAATGTTGAGGTGGATGAAAACACCTACATCAAGAGAGCCGAAGGCATCGAGCGACAGTACCGCAAGAAGTGCGGGAAGTGCGGCCTGCTGCTCTTCTACCAGCACCAGGACAAGAACAACCAGGCCACCTTCATCGTGGACGGAGCCGTGGTTAAGTTCGGACAGGGTTTCGGGAACACCAGCGTTTACAGCCAGAAACAACCAGAGGCTCCGAAGAAGGTGCGGGTGATGATGACCAAGAGGACCAAAGACATGGGCAAGTTCAGCTCGGTCACCGTGTCCACCATCGACGAGGAAGAGGAGGAGATCGAGGCTAGAGAGGTGGCCGACTCATACGCCCAAAACGCTAAAGTGATCGAGAAGCAGCTGGAGAGGAAGGGCATGAGCAAGAGGAGGCTCCAGGAGCTGGCTGAGCTAGAGGCCAAGAAGGCGAAGATGAAGGGCACCCTGATTGATAATCAGTTCAAGTAGACTGAAGATGAAGAGGGTTTGTGTGAAGGACTCACCCTGAGGGTGAAATTCACCACCAGACATCCTCATTTTTACTGGACTGAACGGGCTGGTGGTTCACTTGAAGATCCAGTATGCAGAGGGGACTGACCTGGACCTGTACATTAAAAACTCTGTCGAAGATTACATTTTGTTTTGGAGTTTGAGATGTTTTAAAACTGCAAACTTGTTTATAATTTTTTGTACAAAAATTAAAAACAAAAGAACACAAGTCATTTAAAAATAGCTTTTTATTTTAATTTCTATTTTACTTTGGTTTCATCAAAAGTTTACTAAAGTCTTGGTTTTGGAAATTGTGACCTGTGATTTGTTTTGTCTTTTTTTACCTTTTACTGGTCAATAGGTTTTTATTTGTGTGTCATGCACACAAACTCCCCAGCAGAAATACTGTTGTATCTTTTCTGTAATTCATTGCAGTGCTTTTCACAGCACAGTCTTAAATATCATATTCTGCTTTTGGTTGCAGCCTTTGCAGATAAAAGGGCTCCTCTACTAAAGCATAAAATCATCTAACTAGCAAGACATTTAACAATCTCTTATGTGATGATAGTAAGGACAGTATCACAAAAAGTGAAAATCTGTCTCACTTTCACCAAACTCAGGAAACTGTTCTCTGTTGTGACAGGAAACCTACTGCCTGTGGTGCTGATCCTGAATGTAGCTGTGCAGAGGAGAAATCTTACCACATATGGGAAACTGCAGAGCACATCAAGTGGATGATTAATTTCTTTTTTTCGGAAAAAATAATCACGGGTTTTCTAAATAATCAAAGTTATTGTCAGTATTTATTTACACAAACTTGTCTCTGGGCCCTCATTAACCTCTATTTGTAATACTTAAGAAGAAATGAGCAGGTAAGGTTTGAAACCTGATAGGGTTTGGTCGACGACCTCCCCCATAAAAAGGGGGAAAAAGAATAAAAAGGGCAGTTCCTTTCACAGAAACTGAGAACAGATTAAAAGAGGAAAATAATCAAAAGAGAAGAGAATGAGCTATTACGACAGACAGTGTATGTAGATTAAGTAAATATGGACAAAAACTGTTGGTAAGGTAAATGAGTGTTGAATCTGCTGCTGCAGATGAGGCACTTTTTAAAGACCTTTTTTCAGTGTTAATTTTTTTTTTTTTTTCTTAGGCTGTGTCCGAAATGAATCACTTAACCCCTAACCCCCATATGGGGTTTTACTATATAGTTAACTATGTAGTGAACTCAATCACCAGAGGTTTCGGACACTACATGGCATGACACAATGCATGACGGGATGCCCACCACCGGTGAGTGACCATCGGATGGTCACTACATTTTGCAATGCTTTATGGGAACCCTCAAAATACTGGACACCCCTCAAAATGGCGCTAACCCCCATATAGTCACCTATATAGGGGTTAGGGATCCATTTCGGACACAGCCTTAGTCTGATTGTTGACTGAGTTTGACAGATTTTCCGTTTGAACAAACAACATTTTTTATTCAGTTACCTTTTATGTACTTATGATTGAGGGCTCTAAAAAAGCTCCAGAGCAGAGTCAGTTATGGTCTTTCAATGTCATAAACACTTCAAAAATCAGTGCTGCAGCACTCCGTCTATGACTGTGTGAGTGTTGTATAACAGCAATAACAGTTGTACATACTGTGTTATATAATAATTTACAGTATAGCCCCAAGGTTACTACTCCGCATGACCACATCTGTCCTCACAGAGAAGCAAACTGTAGCATGCAAGCAGCCATCTGGCATCTGTAATTCAAGCTGCAGCTTCCCTTGTGAGCTACAGCAAAAAGTGCAGGATATCAACACTACATTTTAAACTCATATATGACATTAGTGAAGTAACATGCTGGACAGAAGATCTGCAGCAGACTTGAGACTTGAATGGACTGAAAATTAAGTTCAGAGGGTGGAGCAGAGTAAGCTGTATTTGATTATTTGATGTGACTGTACAACTGATGGATGGTAAAAGAAGTTTTAGTTCATTATCTACCTTGTACTATTTCTGGTAAGAACAATGCACATACGTAGGTTTGCAATATTTTGAAAGCATAACAATTCAGTCACATTTTAAAAGCAGACAGACTGGTTATTATTTCTATATAAGAGCACTATATTCTATCAATTTGGATGGCTGGGCTTTTAGGTAACAGTGATGAGAAAGTTGCTGTGAGATGTCACCACTTTTTTTTAATCAAATAAGGGTGATATCAGGCAGAAATACTTATTAAACGAGATCAAAATCCTTCCAATCATGTAAAACGTTTTACCAGGCCAAAACAGAGAAATAAGTATCCTAAACTGTGTCTCAAAACATAGACCTAGTGTGGTCAATGTTACTGAAAAAGCCAATGAGAATCAAGTATTGACATGAGAATGTCAATACTTGATACGATTCACTTGCCACATGCAGGGCTGCATCAATTTTTCTATACATGTCATGAAAGGGGTGAAAGATTTTCATACATGTGTGAAATAAAGTTACCAGAAACTATAACAAATATTTCCAGTCTACCAGCCATCATTTAGAGGAGGAAGTTCAGAGTTCATCAGAGATAAGGTTGATTTATTGATTTACTGACAAACCCTGCACCAAACTTTGTGTTTACTCTTCCCTTCATGAAGCTGCTATTGAACATGACCCAGTTTACCCCGGAGGTGTATAGCACTCTTGCATCATGTGCTGACCTTGACCATACAGAGTAAACAGTGGAAGAATTTGCAGCAGCACTGATGCGATATACTCACAATGTGTCTTGTTTTGCAGAGAACATTTCAAATGAGGGATACAGCTATCACGATCTAGTACATACACTATAGGATACTTGGGGAAAAGAAAAAAAGAAAAAAAACAGATCCTAACCTGTTTCTTTCTTTTCTAGCATTCAGCCAAATGAAGATTACAAAGGAACAAGGCAGGAGTACAACCCTCAGAGGAGTCCGGAGTTACTGGCAAGACCTGAAAACCCCAGTGCTCACACAAATCGACATCATACCAATACATTACACTCATTGTAAGCCCTATGTGTTTGAAATTGTGTTCAGTTAACCAACCTGCATCTGTTTTCCCTTCAATAATATTGTGTTCATACTTTTGTTTGTCTCTGTCTCGCAATAGAACATAAATTAAATAATGAGTCAAATAAAATCACTGGCATAATAGGAATGCTCGAAACAGCCCTGCAATGGACTTGTTGAAAAATGAGACTGCAGTACATCACAGAAATGAGAAGTACTTTTAAAAAGTTCCAATTTGATGTTTTTCCCAGTGACTGACATTCTTTGGGGTTTGAATGTTATTTAGTAAAACTGTTAATCTGTATGCTGCACATCAACTTCATCTGAACCAAGTTGTTTGTTAGTAATAATTTGGTTGTCTGTTTGATCGGGTGGATTGGGTGTGGCTTTTATAATTCCCTTTACTTTGTAGCAACAAGATCTGAAAATATAATGCACGTGAGTTCAAAATGTGTTAATATTTTTTCTAAATAGATATAATATAGCAGAATTTAGACCCATGTTTTAAGATCTTTTTCAAGAAATTTAAATATCTGAAGGTTTTTTTTTAACACCACATACCCCCAGTTCTTTAACTCTTGACTGAGACACTTAAAGGTGATAGCGTCATACCAGAAGTATCTACATATGTGTGACTTTGTAAGTATGGTGGTGTCGTCGACTACCGGGTAATCCACCTTCTTCTTTTTCTTTTTTTTCCTCAGACTTTATTGACACATCAGGAATTACATCAAAACACAAAACAAAGAACAATATTATGCCAGGGGGTCACAGTATTCCGTTAGAAAACAATTTATTGTTTTTTAGTTAAATTCAATGAAATATTATATAAAAAGTATAACTCAGTGGTTTTAATAGTTTTTTTATTTGATGAATATTGGATAGTTGTGAAGTATTGTTGAGTTCCTTCAAAAATTAAAAATAATGGATTGTGATCTGCGAATTTGGATTTGTGTATGTGGTATTTAGCAAGTAGAACAAGCAAGTTGATGATGTAATAATGATCTTTGTTGTTTGCAGGATAGGAGTGGAACCCAAACAGCACATTCACATATGTAAGAGACACCCAGACAAGATATTTTGGGAAATAAATATACAAACATCTTGCCAGAAAACAGATGAAAAGGGACGGGACCAGAGAAGATGATAGGGTAATCCACCTTTGTCCAGTAGTCGGCGGTAATGCAATGATCATGAATACCGACTGCTGTAAGACACCATAGAAGCAGAAGTTTTCCGGCAGGCGCCGGGTGTCCTCCAATCAGCATCGAGTCCAGAAGTGCCGGGGTAAATGACATGTCTTCATACATGTTGTGCTTCTGCTGAGTGAAACTGAATAAAGAATATAAACTGTACGCTCGTTTATCCAAGGAATAACTCCAGGACAACAATCTTCTGTCCTACACAACAGGTATGAGACCTGCCATTAGCAGCCAGTTATTCAGTATTTAGAGTTTTTAAATGACACGAGAGCGAGCATGCGAGGAAAAGTTAGCCGTTAGCGGTTTAGCCTGCTGGCTAACTTCATTCACCGTCCTCACACGGATTCTGTTTTAGCTCTAAAGCTGGCATTAATTAACCCTACATTAACCTTCAGACTGCCCGTCTCTCTCGTTAACACCAGTCGGTTACCTAAACCAGTCAGCAATGGTGTTCACGAGCTAAAGCGAAAATAAACGGACAGGTATGACTGAGCGCGCGCGCTGTATCTGTCTATCCTTAAGAAAGATAGTAAACTGTGAAAGTTATGTCCTTTATAGTTTGTTAAGGTCTAAACGAGAAAGTTTGACGGAGAGGTTATAACACAGTCATACTATTTACTGTAAATGAAGTTATAAATATGATTGAAATTTATAGTCAATGTCTGTCAAACACTGATCAGCCCTACAGTCATGTCCGCAGATAAACGAAGTGAATAACAGGGATTACCTCTGTTCAACAGCATCTCTCAGTGAATGGCGACTATCAGGAAACAAGTCAGCATCATCTTGTCCTTGATATTGATATGTTTATTGTAGGGCTGGGTGATATGGGAAAAAGTTTATCAAGCTATATATTTTGTTCGTATCAGTCGATATCGATATATGAAAAATGAAATGTAACAGTGCTTATTGGTAGCATGTCTTTTGCAATACAATAAGCGACTGCATCTGTGAGGTCTTTGTGTCTCTTCGACGTTTTGTTGTACGGCGTTGCGCTAGAGAAAGCGGACTGAATGGTTGGCTGTTTTCGGTGTTAAAGTGCTATGGTTGCTGCAGCCTGATACTACGCAGTTGTTTGCTACTTGGTTCTTAAGGTCCTTACACACAAGGGCCGACGCGAATCTAGAACGTGAAATTCCGAAATATTTGAAGGCGAATTTTGACACACCTGACTATACACATCAAGCCCGATGCGATTTTGCGACTTTCCGGGGGGAAAAAAAGACGTGTCCTGAGTGGAAGCGAGAAGACTGACACAACACCAGACCGACTCTTTTTGGTTGTGATTAGACTCTAGTGTTGAGATGACTGTCTGTCATGATAGCATGTACTAAGTCGGGTCCAGTTCCGGATAAGCACGTTAAACTATAATCCATAAACGTAAGGTAACAACTGAGACCTAATGGTGCTGTGACAGCAAAGCGATTGAGTTTGAGACAGTGAAAATACATATGGTATGTTGTATCTGAACAGGTTAGCTTACAAGCTAAAGTTACTTAGCACAGATGAAAGTTAAAACAAAGAAGTTTAGCAAACTGTTAAAGCACACAAACTTTCGTCGTATGAGTGATCCGATGCTATGACTCTCCACAAGTTGTCCTTCAGGTTGTTCTCTTTGTAATATTTGTGTCTTTTATCAAAAAGCACTCTGTTCTCCAACACGTTAACAATTACCCGCTCTGCAACGTTGGATATACCGGTGATTTAGACGTCGCAACAACATGCAATCTGATTGGTCAGAAGTGGACACACAGTATGCGAAACTTTAGAAAAATCGACCATGATCCGAAGAAATAAATGCCGCAATATTGCAGGAGGGGAAAACATCGCTGATGTGAACGCTTGTATTAACAGGATACGGGTTCGGAAAAAAATATTGACGTCCAAAATAGTCACATGAAAAAAAGGTGCCCAGTGTTTCAGGACCTTAATTCAGCACATGACTGGTTCAGCGCAAAGTTGACCCGCAGAAACTCCCCTTTTCATTGGCTATTCGTATAGTCTACCAAAACATGGCAGAATGCCGACTATCGAAAAGCATATATATTATATTTATATCGAGGGAAATTAATTTTCGATATATATCGTTATTGGTGTATCGCCCAGCTCTAGTTTATAGCAGGAAAAATGAGGACATGAGTGACTTTGACAAGTGATGAGCAAAGTGTTATTGCTACAAGACTAGATTAGACTCTTTTCAAAACTGCAGCTCTTGTGGGGTGCTTCTGGTCTGTATTAGTCAGTGTCGAACACAAGTGGTCCAAGAAAAGAAAACCAGTGATGGGCGGACAGGAACATGTGCAGCCAGGGTTTGGTAATGTGTGTGGGGAGAAAAGGATGGCCCATGTGCCTCAATCTAATGGAAAAGGCAGATGTAGAGAGCTCAAACTGCATCACAGTTTGACAGGATACCTGTGCTGACCCCTATCCACCACTATGAAGGACACAGAAGCATCAGAAATGGACAACGGAGCAAGAGAAGGTAGCTTGGATTTATGCCAAAATTTTGACTTGGCATTCAAGTCCCCCAAATCTCAAACCAGTTGAACATCTGAGGGTTATCCTGGACAACAGAGTCCAGTCTATTGAGGTCCCACCTCACAGCTTCCAGGACTTCGGATCTGTAGTTAAGGCCTTGATGTCTGTTACCACAGAACATCTTCAGAGGTCTGGAGGAATCCATGTCTCATCAGACCAGATTTTTTTTATCCTGACCAGATGATGGACCTTGGAACATTTTGTGAAACTAATCTTATTTCTTGTCGTCCACTGAAGTCTGTCATATTTGGTTTTACCGTATATTGTGGCTGGGGGGGCAAAAATGTGTGGCGATGTTCAGGAACAGATGAAGACACAGTCGTTTAGTTGACAAAATTTTTTAACAGTTTTTAAGTATGATTTTGTGAAGTGAACCCAGCCTGATACCATTTTGTGCCCAAGCTGAGGGTTGATTGCTTTTGAGGACAGAGACATTACCTCACACTTTTTCAGTGCAGTCTATTATCAAGGTGACCAAAATCAATCTGAAACAAGGTGAAATTTTCATCTGTTTTCTGCTCAAAGAGAACTCCTTGGAAGGTTTCAGTTCTTCATTGCCTCTTAATTTTTAAATGGGGATTCCTGTGGATTAATGTCCAGAAATGTTCAGTCTCCTATTTGGCTTAAAATAGCATTTCCCTTGAATAAAATATACAATCAGTTCTCTTTAGTATATTTTCAATGCATATTTTTATTTCAATGGAAATGCCAGGTTAAAGTAAAAACCCCTGTGCTCTAATGTCAATGCATGAGTGCCCATTTAGATCTATTATGTCTACAGACTGAGACCTTAAAGGCTACTTTACCGAGGTTTAAAGATGTTGTGCAGCTCTAGACAGGTTTTGGAGGAAGGGGGAGAGGAAAAATGGCTCCTTAAACAGAAAAGGTTCCTAACCCCTGCCCCACATTAATGTGTTGTCGACTATGCGATCATCTGTGGAGCTCTCATCTGCGTTTCTGCTGGGGGTAGCACTCATTTTCTATTTTTCTCACCAACAGTGCTGTCCACTTCACATGTTAAAGTGCTATGGTTGCCTGTAGCTGCAGCCTGATACTATGTAGTTGTTTGCTACTTTTTTCTAATTCAGCACATAATTGGTTCAGTGCGAAGCAGGCCTGGAGCAACTCCACGTTTCATTGGCTATTCATATAGTCTACCAAAACATGGCAGAATGTCGACTATTGAAAAGGATATTGAACATGTTTTATATTGATATTGAGGGAAATTAATTTTCAATATATATGGTTATTGTTTTATCGCCCAGCCCTACACTGGAGCAAAGAATTGATAAGGCATCATCACTGCCCAACTATGAACAAACCTCACTTAGCAGCATACCTTTCATTTCCATGTAACCCAGTCATACTGTTTCTACATCTCACAATAAGCTCTTTCCCTCTCTCTCTCTCTCTGTTTAGAAGTATGGATGCAGAGGGTTTCGGGGAGCTGCTGCAGCAGGCAGAGCAGCTGGCTGCAGAGACAGAAGCAGTGTCAGAGCTGCCGCATGTTGAGAGGAACCTCCAGGAGATCCAGCAAGCTGGGGAGAGGCTTCGGTCACGCACCCTGACTCGCACTTCGCAAGATGCTGCAGACGTAAAGGCGTAAGGAACATGCCTCATTTATCAAAGTGCCATGACGCCACACATTCAGAAAATCCCTTTTGGTGCCACCAAAACCTTTACAGATGGGAACACATCATACACATATTCCCTTGTCTTTTTTTATGACTTATAGTGCCAAATCTGATGTGTTTGTAATCTCTCCTTTTCTAAGAGAGATCTCTTTTATGCGTCTCTGAAAATCCATATATTTAAGTGTTTGTGCTCTTTGTATTTCAAATGATACTTTGGGATAAAATACCTAAGATTTATCTCATTGAGTAAGTCAGTACCTCACTGCCAATTCTGAACCGACTGTGTGGGGCTGACCTGATATGATCTTTCAACAGAGGAGGGCAGTTTAAGTAGAGCCTCTTGAGCCCTCTAGTGTTCATCAAGCAAAACTACAGTCTATTGTTAGTCTCCCTCTTGCATCAGTTTTTCATCTAGTCATTCTCCTGTCCTCTTTCTCTTCCTCTCAGGTCAATCCTTCTTGGATCAAGAGGTTTAGATATCTGCCACATTTCCCAGAGGTTGGAAAGTCTAAGTGCTGCCACCACTTTTGAGCCCTTGGAGCCGGTCAAAGACACTGACATACAGGTATGAATTAGACCAGTGGTTCTCAAGTCCAGTCCTCGAGGCCCACTGTCCTGCATGATTTCGATGTTTCCCTGCTCCAACACACCTGATTCAAATGATCAGCTCGTTATCAAGCTCTGTAATGGCTTAATAACGAGCTAATCATTTGAATCAGGTGTGTTGGAGCAGGGAAACATCACTGAATATTCTTCGATTCATTTGTTTATTTGAGCCATGCAAAAACTGGTATTTGTTGCATCAAATATCAAAAAAATGTAACCGATGGGTCTTGAAGTAAAAAGAACACTCTTCAACTGAAACACACTTATTGTCTTGTAGAAGGATTGCTTTAACCAGATACCACCCTAGATTTATCCGTTTAGATCACTGGCATAGAAATGACATCAACACTACCAGCCTTCTTGTTTTCCTATCTTTGTGCGCTGTGGTTTGAATGTCTGACACATATTAAAACTATAAGAGCATATGTGTAGTTCATTCAACATTAAACTTCATCACCTTTGTTAATGAGCCCCAGGATTACTCGTTGGTGAAACAAAATTTCAGCATTTTTAATCATTGTATTGTCTGTCTGACATATTCAGAATTTGGTGCAGCTGCTTTAATGCTATAGCGCTCCACCACCAGAGCAGGTGTAAACAAACACAGGTGATTGATGGCTTCTCATGGATTAGAATTGTTTGGCAGTATTCAGACCGAGAAAGTAGAGATAAAACCGTATGTATGCCGTATCTGACATATAACCGCTCAACCAGCACAGGCACATGTATGTTTAGCTGCAAGCAGGACAGGAGGCTGGTAGTGGTAGTGCTGCTCATGTTTGCAGCATTTGGCAAACTAATTTATTCACAGACTGTAATTCCATGTTCAGCCATGTCTTATCAAATTTTGTCAGTTCAGACTGTTTCCTGAGTGCACCCTATGACCAGTTGGTTAATTTTGAATTTAAGTTCAATTGACAAGTAAATGACTTCAGAACATACCTGGTAAAATCACACATACTTTATAGATTTACTGTGGTCCTGAAGGCTTAAGGGTTACTTTATCAATATCAAATAAATCTTCCTTGTAGTTCTGCAGAGGAGCTCTGCCAAACGGAGTCAGAAAAACTCCACACATTCTTATGAGCTACTTTGTATTTTATTACACTTAGTCACGCCAAGGAGGGAATAGAGGTAGATATATGAGCGTATTCAAAAGGCAAAAGGATGACTGGTGGAGAGTTTGAACTATGGAGCAGGGCAGGGAAGAGATTTATCAGGGCTGTGGCATTATTGCATTTCAGCATTTCAAAGTTTCTGTAATTGTGACTTCCAGGGATGTGTTTGGCAGCTTGTGTTGAGGCTCCAGCTTCTCCCTGCTGAGTCTGAGCTGTCTGGATGTTGATGGGGCTGTATGGTTGCTGTTGAGCATAGACAGCTGTATAGCAGGGAGTTAGACAAACCCGCAGTTACACAGTACAATGTAAAGTAAGAGTAGTCCTTTTCTGTTGGATTGGTTGACCAGTCCCTCAAGCTTGTTAAAGTTTGAAGCTTAATTTGTAAAATAGAAGTAGCCAAAAGGTTTTTGGCTTTTATAAATTTGTGGTTTTCATATTTATAAAAGGATAAAAGTGTCAAATCTGTCACAAAAATCCTCTATGTAACAGTTCAACATAGATCTGAATGCTGTCTGAGCCTCTTCTTTCACTGTTTGCTTTTCGTCCTCTAGTTCTGAAAAGTCGCTTAATTTCCCAAAGCTCCATCTGCCTCTCTCTCTTTCTCTCTCTTTCACTCTCTCTCTGTCTCCATTCCTCTCTTCTAACCCAACAAATTGTTTGTGTATCTGTTCATTCGTCTCACTCCATCCCTGCTCTTTTTCTCCTTATGTCTGACACCAGTTTATCACTCTGTCTCACCTCTTCTTCATCATCTTCTCCATACTTGTCTCGTCCCGCCTTTCTTGCTGTCTACTTTTCATTCTTTTACATTTACGTATGTTTTTATCTATGCGTCTTTCAGTCCTCTTGATCAGCCGGATGTGTGCTAGCCTGGGTCAGTTTGACCGACTGACTGACCGACTGACTGAGCACTTAGCTTCTGGCAGTGCTTGGGCACAAACACACACACACACATGCACTCTCTAGCTCTCTCTCCCTCTCTTCACTCCTTCTTTGCTCTTGCTCTCTTTCTTTTATTGGTTTATAAGAAACCAGTAAATGACAAAGTTTCTTTTCAGACAGACTCTGTAATGTATCACATGTTACTCACAAAACCACAGCCTCATTTGTCCAAGAGATTTCAGACAAGTAATGAGTATGTAGAGGAGGTCAGGTGAGGTTTCCACAATGTGACGGCATTATCTTGAAAAGCTCATGTATTCAGTAAAGCTTGTGTGAATGAGGATTAACACAAAGAGTGACTGTGTAGAAAAAGAACTAGGTGGGCGTGAAGAACGACAGAGAACATTTTTCAAGAGGCCAGAATTAAAAAATATAGACTGACAGTAAGATAATATCAAATTTATTGAGGACAAAATGCTTGTTACTATGGATGCAGATTTGTAGTATTTCCCATGAATGATCCTTAAAAATGTCAAAGAACAAATTTAAAAAGCATCAGATTATTTCTTTCCTTACCAAAAAATCAACCCTGAATGCTTTCTTCCTCCTTTTTTCACAGAAGCAGAATGAATTAAACTGACAGTATTGCATAGCTACAGCACAAAAAGGAGCGCACAAATTTTTTATATGCTGAATGTCGACATGCAGAGCAAGCTCAACCAACTAAATGTCAGGGATATGATTCTTAGAGAGAGAACTGAAATTCAGGATTTTTTGACCAGAAGAGGTGACCCATCATGTGAATCATGAGAACTGTTAGAAATACATGTTAAGAGGGGGGCAGTAAGCTGGTTAGTGAAAAGGGAAAATCTCACAGACAGGCCTGAGGATAGTAGGCTTTCGCTATGTTAGCATGAGCCATCTGGACTTTCACAGTGTAACTAGATAACTAGTTCATCAACAGCTACCCCCCACCACTCACACATATGCTCCCCGGGATCATGTTACATTGTTAGGTAAAGTGACTAGCATGCTGGAAAACTGTGATGTGTTAAATAAGTCACCATTTTTCATTCTCTTGAAGTGCACTGATGTGTAACTGATAAGATATGTGAAACTGCTGATGTCCAGTTTGGCTTAGAGGCCAGAGAGGAGCACAGCTGTGAAATAGTCAAAGTAACTGTTTACATGGGACAGTATTTGTTTTAAAGGGTTAATGGGAAGATTTATTCTGCTCTTCTGCTACCAAATTAAGTTTCATTTAAATTTAATGTGGTTTGGGCTGTTTATTCTAAATAAGGTGTTTACATGGAGCATTTTCATTCCCCTCACACTTCCAAACTGGTTTTGATCTGAATATTATGGTCCATGTCAATGCAACTGCTGGTGAGACATATTAGCTGTTTATGTATTTACAACGCTGTGCATTAACTTAAAAGTTACTAAATGACGTCAACCGTCATCTCATAGCACAATGAATGACATTATTCCAGCTGTGTAACCTGCTGACATCCAGCCTAGATGTCAGCAGGGTCTAGAACTCAGTCATTGATAAATTCACAATCAGGAAATCAGCGCAAATTAACAGAAATACTCATTACGTCAATTTTCTTTGTGTATGCTATTTTGAGTGATCAGGTCTAGAGTAACAGAAATCACTCTCTCTGTCTCTTTGATTGAGTCTAGTTTCTGTTAAAGTATGAACAAAAATTTCTTCACTGCATGGCCACATTGATAACTATTTCTTCCAATGACTATCATAAGTCTGCCTCAGTTGTTGGATAGCTAAGCCCATTTTTGAGCCCCTGTTTGCTGGAAAATCACTGTGTCTCTCAATCATTTCATCTCTTCGGTATTGTAGTTGTGAACGAAAGCTGGTCTTGGTTATGATGGGTACACTTGCTCTACAGATAAGAGGCCCAGTCACTTGTAACAAATATTGGCGCTTTATTACAAGACCCTGAAAAGAGAACAGTTCCTCTATATTCAGATGAATGTCAAGGAGAAAAAACTCTGTCCTTAGCGGGTCAATATGGTTAGTTTAACGATGCAGATATATCCTTAGAATAATAACAGAGTTAAAGTATCACATCCTAGATCTGCATTTAGGTGAGGTTAGTATTTCTACAAGATCATGTAACAAAGTGTGGCTCACATGAAGTAAGAAAAGTGGTTTACAAGCTAATAGTTGGAATTTGGGGGATTTTCTTTTAAAATGATGATTATACTCAAAAAGCTGTTTTTAATTTCAAATTGGGACTAATTTAGATTATAATCTTCTTAACTCTGTGTATTTTGTTGACAAGGAGCCAAAAAAAAGTTAATCAGGCTCGGGAGGCCTGCTCAGCCAGAAATAACAAAACCACAGAGGGAGCTTGTTGTGAATTCAGTTTGAAAGAGAACTGAGTCAAGTTGTGATCAACACCGAGCTACAGTGCAGCCCACTCTCTCTCTCTCTCTTCCTACAGATCTTCATTTAGCTTCCTGCTGGGAGGAGAGCAGTCACTTTAACTCACCAAGTACACCGAGCAAGATAGGTTAATTGATGCAAAAACTTTGCAAAATAGCAGCAACACTCGCAGTGTAGGACAACAGACAACATCATCACTTCTTGCTCAAACAAGCTGTATCACAAATACACACTGTACCCTTCATGCTTCGCTAAACTGGGAAGAAATTGGTCCTGTAATAAGAATCAGATATCAGAGCCCAAAATAATTGGAAATAAAAAAAAAACAGAATAACATTATTTTGGTTGAATTCTGTATCAAATAATGATTTAAAAGAACTAATCTCTGAAATCTGAGGTTACAGCAGAGGGGCACAAAACAAAAGCAATCACTTGGTCCGTGTTTGTTAGTGTATGTGTGTGTCTGTATATGAGTGTGTGCATGTATGTGTTTTGCATGAGTGAGCTTGCTGTCTCCACAGTGTTTTATGCACAACACACACACACACACACACACACACACACACACACACACACACAGAAAAAATCCCAGCCTGAGTGAAATGGTGTGTGAAAAATGACGTGTGAATGATATGCCTGTATATAGACAGCTGAACTTGTATCAGTGAGGATCTTACTATAGAGGGCTGTATGGACAAACACAGAGGGAATTCGGGCTCTGCGGATGTGGGGGTTGATCTTATAGTGCAGACTACATGTATAGTCAGCGGCATCCTCACAATACTGAATTTTCCTCTTTTCATTGAGGTGCCATCCTTTCCTTTCATTAGTGACCAAATCCAGATTTTACTGCATGGATGTAAAAACAGTCCAGCACTACGTTGCTCCTGCTCTGCTGAAGTTCAAACATCTTCAGTCTTATTCTCAGCTTTATAGTCTATAAAACTACAATTATCATGGCACATCATTTCTCATACCTCTGAGGATGAGAAATGAACGATTTTAGTGTTAGTATGCTTTCTGCACAGCATTCTCTGCAGTCTTTCTGAGGTAAATGTATGATGACTTTGATTTGTCTCGCCACTTCCATTTTCCTCAAGCAGAGAAAACTTCATTAGTGCCGTTATTAACAGTGTAAATCATGGTCGATAGTTTCCTTACTTCATGCAGGGCTTGAATGTAACTTTTTCACTTGGTAGTGCTAGTCTTTCCAAATTCTTCGGGTTAGGAGTGCCAACAAAAATTTTCAGCACCCACCAAAAACTAAGTGGCATTACTTCTTAAAGTGAGCTAATTGTATATGATATTGTTGATGAATATAGATCAGCATGTTACTTTCACACTAAATTAGATTTTAAAAAACACACTTGTCATCAGCAATCACATGTCCCACATCAACACCCCCAAAAAGGATGTTAAGAAGCTGTTTCTCATACACTCATGGACAGGATGGTGTCTCCATCAATGATGCGGAGTTGCTGTGGCGATACTTAAACTGCTGCTATCTTGCAGGTGTTGTCTGCTATAATGCTAACGATGTTTGTCTCTGCATAGGTCTTGTCAATCTTGTTGAGCTGATGCCTTTCTTTTGAATGAGATGCAACATGGGTTTAAGTTCACTATAGGTAAGCGCTTCACTGGTGTAGACGCTCAAATTTCACATGCAGCTCTTCTAATTGAGTGTGATGGCCGGCAGCATCCTTACCAATGACCCCCAACAGATTTAAGTGATTTTGAACCCTTTTTCATTTTGCGACAAAATTGCCCCTCATGTTTTTCACTCTCTCTCTTTCTGTGAGATCAAACTTTCACTCTTAAAAAACATGTATTCTGTGGCAAATGCAGTGTTACCTGCTGTGAACCGTCTTTGCTAATGGAGCATCCACATTCACCACAACCCCATCACCATCTGCGGGGTTTTGATTTTCTGTAAAGTTACTTAAGAAATCCATCAGCGCTCTCTTCATCTTCTGTGTTCAGCTCTTCTTATTTTGAGCTAAGTAGCTCCCTGTCACGGGACACTAAAGCGCAGGAAAAGAGAGGGATGAAGGCTGATGTTGATCTGATATCAGTATTGAAAGTTCAGACTGCTAAGCTGACGTTTGATCGCTGATCGAAGTTTTGGATTGAACATAACTGCAGTTGTTAGTGATGCTTGCTAAGAGGCCCACACTGCTCTAAACTGATGTAACAGCGCTTGGCCTCATAAGAGGCTTTGCTAATCAGGCATGGGCCAGTGTGTGAGGGAATGCTTTATAGAGGAATAAATAAATGGAGTTGCACCAAAACTGTTTGCACTTACAATAATGCTCCTGAATATGATATGCACAGGTTAAGTAAATCAGGGGCATATGTGATCAAATTCAGCTGTTTCAACTCATAACTGGTGTCATTGTTGTCTCATACACCAAGTATGATCAAGGCTACAAGCTTCGCTAATATTAGTATTTACCAAATCAAAATGCTTTGTAATATTTGACAGACCTTTTGAATTGGGGTCCATAGCAGTTACTCTGAGCTGTTTGGAATCAGGCAGGAGAGGCAACACTGTTACAAACACCTTATTAAAAATGTGCTTTTCAGTGATTGGCCACAAGAAATAAAAATAAGTATTTTGGCTGGTTTTGACGTGATGCTACATTAGCCTTACGTCTGCGAGGTTCAGCTGAACAATGACACAATTCAAGTTCAGTGTTTCCCCCCCAGGACGGAAATCTATCTGTGGTGGTGAGTGATTGGGGGGTGGGGGGTTAATGAATCAACAGTGACATCGCAGATGATAACTCGCGAATGCTAATACTTGGCGCACACTCTGCGGTGCACCGCATGTATGTATACTGATACATATGAGTCCAAGGTAGAACCACGTAAGAAAACACCTCATTTTAAAGGTTTGGCGGCTCTTATTTAGCCGTGGCGGTGCGCTCCATTCAATTGCATACAGGAGGAACCCTGAAGTTACAAAGTAGCTAGTCTCAATGTGTGGTTCAGTCTGGACTGTGCACCTCAAATTGAGGGTGTTTTAGTTTACAGCGCTACTCTTGTAACAGGCAACTTTGAACCGGATGCATCCCTTACAATTGCCTTCAGATTTTCATTTAAAACATACTTGATGAGTACATGTTGAAATACATCAGGATGCATATGGAACAACTGTTGTACATGCTCAGCTGAAGATTTCCAGTTAACAGAGTCACCCTTAAACTGAAACACCAGCTTCTACTTGGCAAAGTGTGACTAGTGTGTAGGCATTTGTTTAGGCTTGTGGAGGGACAATCAAACCGATGTAACGACAGAGACGGCTGTGTGATAGTGTGTGCTTTGGCACACAAAGTGACCTGAGGGACAAACCCAACAACATAATCTTAAATGTGAATCAAATCAAAACAAATAAGCATCAGCTGGGAAAGTATCCTATGAAACTAAAACAATCTAAGTGACATCAAGAACTGTCATGGCCTAATTGTGCTGCGTTCAATTTACCCCGGAAGTCAGAAGTCCAAGCTAAAAATGACATCACACCTGAGTTCCCGGCATTTCAGTCAGAAGTCAGAAAAAAAGCAAAATCGGAGGCAGAAACAAAATGGCTACATCTATGGAAGTTATTTTAGCGCCTGCCTCATACTCGGAAAAGGAAAGGACTGAAATAACTTTCGTAGATGTGGCCATCTTGTTTCCACCTCCTATTTTGCTTTTTTCCGACTTGATAACTGAAATGCTGGGAACTCAGGTGTGATGTCATTTTCAGCTTGGACTTCTGACTTCCGGGGTAAATTGAACGCAGCATTAGTATGATAACTCTGCGTATGGCACTGATGTCAGTCTGACTGTATTCAAAGACATCACACTCAGTCAGTCGAACAGTCTCTAAATATGTCACGTAATGGTTCTTGAATTCAGTAGATTTACTATCTTTTGTTGCACCAATTTAAAAATGCACAAGTCCAAGTGGACAGGCAGGAGCGTACCATCTTTCTGCTGTGATTCTAAAGCATTGTTTTCCTGCATTGTCCTTGTCACTGTTGATTGAACAGGATGCTGTTCAGGCTTTTGTCATTTAGATTCATTTAGTATGAATCTTGCTCACACAATCTCACTTCTTTTTCACGACACAAAGACATTCATGAATGATTTCACAAGCAGGGATTTAGACTGAAGTACAAAAGGTCACAACATGAATCTGAAACTGTTTTATAAAAAGCACATTTCTTTACAAATCAAATATTCCATACAGACTCACTCCACACTCATGGCTACAGTTTACATGTCTTGACACTCAGATCCTTTTCTCTTCTCTGCAGTTTTGCATTCATGCTCAGTCTTTTCCGTGTAGGTTACTGTCATGGATGAATTGTGGTGAATTCGATCTTCAACGCTTTAGGGTTATTTGTTGTAAATGCCCTTAAATGATGTGTTCAATTCGAGGCTTAGAAAGGTGACAAATGGGAATAAAGAGAGGCGATAATCACGAGAGAGGAGGGGAGAAACGGGGACAGTAGATAGAAATCAAATAGACAGCAGCATGAAAGTAGGAGTGGAAGGTGGAGAGAGTAGTGCTGGTAGAAAAATGGCGACTGGCTGCAATTTTTTCTGTCTGTGTCCTCGTCTCACTTTTCACTGTTCCATCTTTCTCTGCCAGCTCTCTCGCTCTCCTTCTCCTCAACCCTCACTCTTTTCCCACCGAGCTCTCCACTATCATTTATTTTCTCTTTTTCTTTACCTTCTTTCCTCTCTGACTTTCAGCTTTTTTACGCCCTTTTCCCTTTTTTTTTCTTGAACCCGTTTACATCGTTTCTTTCCATCCCTCTCTCTCTTTGTCTGCCCTCCCCACCTCCTAACATACACACGCACACACACACACACATCCCTCGGCAGCGATGGCATGCGTTCAGCTGATGCATTTGGCGAAGCCCAGAGCATCTGCTGAGATAAACGAACACTTTCGACTTTGCTTCGCAGGATGTGTGTGTGTGTATGTGTGTGTGTGTTCTGCATAGTCTCCTTGTGCTGTGTGCTCATGCCTGTAACTGTGTCAGTAGCGATCGATAGCTGGCGTATGCGCCGTCTCCATGTTCTTATGAATGAATATGTGTATCCAGCGTAGATTTGGCTGCACGTGGGAGCATGCATTGTCATCCTGTCTGTGCTGACCTGCACGTATGAAAGCAGCTCTTCAGCATCTGAGCGAAGTGCGCACCATGTGCAGGGGACTACATGTGGAGGTGTGTGTATTAACACGCCTGCTTTGTGTGTGCTGCCTGTGATAGTCACCCTGCATATAGGAATGTCCCCCCACCCTTCTTTTCTTCCCACATGTGCCTCCCAAAACCCTTCATTAACTAAACATGACCCTTAAGTGCATGATTAGCCTCATTTCAAGACAGGATGTCGGAAGCCATCAACCGAGGGGAAAAATCCATTACTATAATTGCATTGAGCTGAGGGAGGGGGTAGAGAGAGAGGGAGGGAAGAAAGGAAGGATGCATAGATGGATAATAAAGGAAGAAAACGAGTGGGACTGAGGGAGGAGGCGGGCGGTCAGGATGCTGGGATGAAGTGAGGAGAGAGTGAGGATAAGAGAGGGAGGGGGAGTCAGCTGATGGTAGGGACTGATATTCTATATGAATCCATAGTTGTTTCTCGTGGATCCCCCCTGTGTCTGAGCGCTCACTTGGTATGTCCCTCCGACAATAAAACCACCTCCAGTGAGTCTTGATGTGGCACTTTTACTCGGTGCACCGGTTCAGCCACATGAACCTCCGGCCTGCATTCGAACTGGGGGGAAAAAGCTGCAAGCGGACCGCCATGCCAGCTCAAAAGGGCACAGGGAACACGCCCCAGCATGGCGGCCTCTGCCGCTGGCCTGGCACGGCCACACAGAGAGGGATGGAGAGGCAGAGGAGCCATGCAGGTTTCCAGGGCTGTCAAAGCCCATGTACCTGGGCACAGACAAAAGACCAAAAAACTGCTCTCATCCTTGTCGCATCCTGTCTTCTCGTCTGCCTGTCTGCCTACCAGGCAAGCAGGCAGCCGCTCAGCATGAGTGAGTATTGCCTATACACATGGATCTGCACCCACACACATTCACTCAGACAGGCATGTGCTTTGTCTGTCACTTTTTCTTTTTTTAGTCAGCGCTCTGTCTTTCTCACTCTCTTTTCTGCTTCTGCCGCCTTCTCTGCGGCTCTAAGAAGAGTTCATGATTGTATAGAGTAATTGTTAGCGTGAAACATAAACTGTTTTAATGTATGAATGCGTATTTGTGTGTGTGTGTGTGTATGCTGGCGTACTTTGCATATAGATTTTTGCCATACAGGAAGTGAATGAGTGAAGGGTGGGGTTTCTCACACACACACTCGGGCAGTGGTCGGCTCATTGTGTCATGGCAAATGAGGACAGAAAGCCCTCGTCTCTTCCCCCTCATGATGAGTACTGGCACAGAGAGCGAGGCTGCCCGTCTTTATTTCCCCTTAAAGTGCTCTTTGACTGTGTCCTTATGTAGCCTTTAGATTCCTCGACACCATGTATCTACTACACCAAATCTCCCAGCGGATAATCAGCACAAAGCCGGGGCGAAAAAAAAAAAACCCTGACTTTGTCTTTTTCCTAAACATACTTAAAGACTACATGAAGGTACGGACAGCGTGACTGTCGAAACGGAGGCTGCTAGAGAGCGGGCCTGTGCGCCAGCACAGAGAAAGAGCACATACATGTTTTTTAACATGCGTTAGCAGAAAATGCGCACACACTTAAGGATTCATTTTAAAGGATTAGTTTGATCATGAGAATAATTTGGATCAGAAAAGGTGCGTCTTTTGCGGCACTGGCACATGTCAGTAGATTTTCCATATCTGCACATTCTACAGAAATTGTAGACGTGTTGAAACTTAAGCTCAGACGCATTTGAAACAAAGAAATTATTCAGCTTTTATTTCTCGTTGACTGAATTTATATAACAGGATTGAAGTAATTCTCTGTATTTTTTCTCTAACCATTGAAGAGTTGTTCGTAGCCGTTCTTGTAGAAGCTTCTGGGCTATCTGGTCAGCAGGTTGTGGGTGTTCACAGTGGGTTGCAGATCTCTGAGGATACACAATACTGGGGTGGGGCAACAGAAAACACATCTCAACATACACCTATTGCAGGATTGATTTTTCACAGATGTAAGTATGCATTCAGGCCCTGCTCAAAGTCTACTCTCTCTCCGTTATCACGGTGCGTCAGTGAGGCTCTTTAAACGGATACATTTTCTCGCTTTAACGTCATTTTTACCATTTTCAATGAACGCAAAGAAAATTAACTGCGTTCAGTCAGCTTGATGTACAGGGAACAGAGTGTCTGGAACTGAAATAACCATCAGCTATTTCAACTGTTCGGTGCTATTCAGATTCACACAAAGGTCGGGACATTGACAACAGTATTTAATTTTTTGTGTGTTCAGTTTTATTTTCTGATTTCTTCAAAGCTGGTTAACTTCTTGACTGTCTAACAAATTTGTTATCAAACCTGATCACCGATGGAAGTCTTACAGGATTAAGTTAGCTGTCAGCAGATGAGATGACTAAGGTTGCCTAATTCCAGACAGCTTTTTTTTTTTTTCCATTTTTGATTTGGATGACAAGTAGCGACGTGCTTTTCCTGCACGTTTTAGAAGAACTCGTGACTGCCTCCTATCTACATGAGCATGAGAAAGATGCCTGGACAGAGTATATGTTCAGAGGAAACAGGACTTTGGTGTTTCATATAATTTTGACGGAAAATTTGCAGAAAACGGCAATAATTGCATTTCACTGCACAGAGAGAGGTCACTGCCGTAGAAACAGTGGAAAACACCAGTCATCGCAACTTGATGCATTTCCGATAAACATTGAAAAGTTGATCACATCGCTCTGTGAGGTTTTTAACGGTCAAAAGAAAATGGCTCAAAATTTGCCCCATAACAGCCTCGACATTTGTGTGCGTTGGAGTTCATTCTTGATGTTTGTCAGAGGCATTGTCATACAGATTTTGCGATTTCATGTCCAAGTGTAGCGTATTTGCATCTTAGACAAATGGGAGTTTTGGCCACAGCTGCCGGCTAACTTGTCAATTTTCATTTGGCACGCAAACTGTTTTATCGGCAAAGTCGTTGGCGGTGCAAGGGCAGCTGGCAACAAGCAACAAACTGACAGCGATGAAAAATCTCTGCCTCCTGTCGTCCATTTGAAGCAAAAAAACGCTGAGGCAACGACCCCTCTGAGTTTTACCGTTTGGCCTGATGTGTCACTGTTGCTCTGCATTTTTTTTTCAGAAAGAGCAGCATCAAACCCCACCCAACCGTCAGTTTCTGGTAAAGTTAGTCTGATTTCCCCTCTGTGTGTTCAGAGGAATAACAATAAGGCAGGAATAATCACCAATGAATGACTTCTCCATTCCCCTGTTCTTTCTTTGTAGGTCCACCTCCTAACCTTCTGATATAATACAGCTAGTCCTTTCTGTTCTCTCCTTTTATCCAGTGCAGCTCTCCAGTGAGCATTGACCTGAGCTCTCCTCCGGTTAGAGTCGTTAAATTTAGGCCTATTCTCTGCCTCTCCTGGGAGAAAGAGAGAAAGGGGGTGCAGGCAGTGGGGAAGCAAGGGAATGAAAAACTGTCAGAGGGGTTAATGGGAGGGGAAGGGAAGGGGGGAAATTAATTGATTCAAGTAGCACACTGTATTAAGCGTTTGATTAGTTTCAGACCAAGTTGTACCTTGACGTTTGAACCTTCATTATGCCAGGTACTGTCTTGCCATGTCATCTCCAAACTAAACAGAAACCTTAAATGAATCCAGCACGATTACAGCTCTTTCTTTTGTGATTTGTCTCACAAACCTTGAACTGAGTCTTTGCCACTTGAATCCGCTCTGAGGGTTTTGGATGGTCTTTTTGTCTGTCCTCCACTGTGACCTGAAGGACTGCCGATCACCTAATTCTCAGACATCTTCTGGATTTATGCCGAGCTGTGACCAATTTCAGGTTTTTCTTTCTCACGGTTTCTGACTTTAACAAAAAGGATCTTATGAACTACACAGACATCATTTAAGAATACTTTGAAGCTAGGGATGTGAAAACACTCTCAACGATTAGTGATGACTCATGATGCTAGGCTCACAACAGGATTTATTTCCCCCCAGTTTTTCAAGCAGCCCAATTCACAATCAAGCCTTTAGATTGTGACCTACAGATGTTTTAGTGATGCTTTTATTTTGCCGTTTAGCCTCCTTACACTTATGGTGCTTTCCACTTAATCTCAGACGTCAGAAACTGTGAGATGGCGCTTGGATACGTCATCCAGAAAAGCCCCCTGCGGTCAGTAATTTGACTTGGAAGCACAGAGCAGTGCAAATCCAAGATGGCTGCTTCCCCATTGTCATAAAAAAAAAGAAAAGCTGGTGTATAATCAAATTGGTCTTGTTTCCTGTAATGAACTCATTCACAAGGATAATATCTTACAAGTCCTATCTGCAGACATGTTGTCATGTTTCTTTCAAACACAAACTATCACGTAATGCGTTGTTACCGCCTTGTATTATTTCTCAGACAAACGAGACCATAGTTTATGTGCAAGGTTTACTAAGTTCTGAGGTAAGAATTATAGATTCTCTTTACTGGTTCGTGTGCATTTTTCACTCATTTTTAACTTCAGCTACTGTCCTAACTTAATCTGTCCCATTGGGCTTGATCATATTCAGAGTATGTGTGCGGACTTAAAGTGCATTTCGATCCCTTTCAAATGAGTACAAACTCATTATTGTCATTTCCCACATTGTCAATACAACAATTAAGCTATTATCTTTGATGATATACGGTATATTGTGTGGATCACACACCCCTATTGCTCCTGAAAATGCCTGGCTAAATTCCAGACAACAAAATTAAGTGTGCTTCGGTAATTCTGTATAAAAATCCACAGACCTACGGCTAGTGTGTATTTAACACTTACATCCCTGTCACATTTTTCTAAGTACACCTTCAGATTTGCTTTTCTGTGGGTCACAACGGGCACACTAAACACACATTTTTGTTTCCTGTAAGAAAAGACGTGGCGTTGAGTCTTTACAAAAGATCTAGATGCTAGGGCTGAACGATTTTGGAAAATAATCTAATTGCGATTTTTTTCCCTCAATATTGCGATTTAATATGCGATTATTTTTTCAAGGTTTCCTTTTTGTGTTTTTTTCAACAAACGAACAATAAATCAATCTGTGTTATAGTAAACAATGTTAGATTAATTATACATAAATTGTTCTTTCTGGCAATTATCATTTCACACAGGCCCTCTCTGCTCACAAACTATCGCGCACACACATGCACGTGCCCTCATATGAAACTAGTCTATGTACCAATGTCGAGATGTAATTGGTGCCCAAAACACTGGAATCGGGTTTATTTATGCATCTGTGCTGCCATCACGGTATTGGACGTGTTTGCCGTCGTTATACAGACGTGGTTTAAAGTTGAAGCTCTGGTCGCTGGTGTTTTAGCCATTCAACTATCATACATGGCTTTGTCGCGTTTTTTTTTAAATGTTGATAAAGGTTTGTAGTGTTACCTCCTGATTTAGCAACAGTAGCACGACAGGTTCTAGACACGTTGCGCAGCAGCATCTTTTTTAGCCAAGATAAATCCACACAACTGCCGTGCTGCAGTGTCAGCTTCTGTGGCAGAATTAGCCCATGGTGTGACAAAATGCAGTGTTGACTTCTCTCTATACCTGCTCTGCTTCACTCAGCTCTTTATTAAGTTACGTGACCAGATCACATGACCAGGTCAAGATCGCAGCCTTTGTGGTTAGAAAATTGCGTTTTATTATACGGTGATGAATCGCAAATGCAATTAATCGTTCAGCCCTACTAGACGCTACCAACCACAAAACCACCTGTGTTTCAAATTATGTTGGTTTTTTAAAATTCACTTTCATTGGATAAGTTTGTGACCCGGTTTGGAAATTGCTGCAAGGTTGGCTTTATGGGATTTATTGTCTCAGTTCTGTTTGGTATCAGCATTGTTTCATTCCTGTTCTCAAAGTTTGAGTTGGCTCAGATTTGTCAGGATGGAGAGATGAAATAAAAGAAGAGAGGAGAGCGATCGCAGACAGGGGTTGAGATTGGTAGCTTGAAAAGAAACTTAATTAAACTTAAGTGTCCGAGCAAAGGTGAGATGAGTGGGGCTATGAGGGAGAAAAGATGGAAGAGCAGGGATTGCAAGCACACCCCTCCCTTTAAAGCCAAATGAGCTCTTATTGGCTATGAATCGTGTTTCCTCCAGTGCAGGTGCTTGTTCTTCAAGCTGAAATGATCATACGTTCTTCAAATGCATAGACAGACGGTGCCAAAATGTCATCGGTGAATTAACTGCTATTATCTGACAAAGAGAATAACTTAACTCAGACTTGAGAGGCGGTTATGTCAGCGGTAGAAGGCCTGTGGTTATATAAACCCTAAGAACACAGCCCATCTCAGGGCTTTCTTGCATAATGAGCAGAGGCAGTTTTGTACTTTACGTCTGAGGAATGTAAATGTGCGCACAGCGGTTCTCAGCTGGTGAATTGACCTCCAAGTTTGACGAAGCTGACAAAGCATCTAAGCTGAACATTATAATGAGAGCAAAAGCAGGAGATCATTCATGGATAAATTCTCCTCTGTGTATTCGGTTTTTCCTCTAAATTTTGCAACAGTCACAGTAAAAAAGTGAAGAAATGACCAAAGAAGAAAACCAACGGGAACTCCACCCTTCACTGTGCGCCCGTAAGTCGACATGTTCTCTGATAAATAAGTTTAACTAATAAGTATAAGTATAATAAGTATAAGTTTAACTTGATGGTGCCTGATATGCAGTAGCCGGATAGACCCTTTAACAATCTTACACTTAACCTTAAAATTAGATTAGATTAGATTAGATTAGACTTTATTGATTCTTTTGGGGAAAAAAACAGAATGATCAGATAAGTAAGAAATAAAATATAGAGATATATATAAAAACAAAGATAAAATAAATTTTTAAATTAATTAAACATTATAATATAAAAAGTAAGATGTAAAGCTATGGATATTTGTATACTACTATTACTACAACAACTACAACTATTATGACCACTGCTACTTCCCATCCTCTGTCCTCCTGTTTCCTCCTCCCCAGAGAGGAGTTGTACAGTCTGATGACCACTGTCACTAGAAAGTCCAGCTCCTCGCATCAGTTTTTCTAGCCTGAATGTGTCCTTCTCGGAATGTGTCCTTCTTGTGCCAACAGCCTTCTTAGGAAGTTGGTCCGTGTTTAATGTGTCGATAAAAGTGTCATTTTGGGATGATTTTGTCATGGTATGTCACAAAAGCACATGCTCTGCAAGTGATTTAGAAATAAGTTGAGGTGAAAGTCTGATGATTAAATTACCCGACCTATGTGCTCATCACGTGTACCCGTAGTTTATTTTTGTAAAATATGAACAGATATGTATTTATAAAATATCTTTGAAAAGCTGATCAGAAAGAACAAGACGTTTGAGGTCCTCACCTCTGGCTCTACTGGTATCAACCAGGGTGCAGCAATAAATTCCTGACCAAAAGCACCCTGTGGCATCAGTTTGACGACAGAAAAGATGACTGTGTCAGTACGGGTAAAGAGATTAGACAGTGGTTTACTTTCATCTTTGCCCTGACTCCTTTACAGCTTTCAGCTGTTTTCTGTTGGTGTTAAAATGATTTACAGGTATCATGATGTTCCTACTAAGTTACTCATCATTTTCATTACTTCTATAAAATGGTGGGTTACATGGCAAATTTTTTTCTGTGGCAGAATCACAATCTTGACTTAACACTTTTTCATGACATTTTGGAAACAGCTCCTCCAGTAATTGATCAGCCCAACAAACGGGTCCTCAAAGAAATAGAAATAGATCACTAACGGAAAAATATCTTTTTAGACTTGTTCAATCTGTGCGTGCAGTTTGGCAAACCTCTATCAAGAATAGTTGACATTAGAGGTGTCCCGATCTGATATTGATATTAGATATCGGTCTGATATCAGCAAAAAAATAAACATCAGATTATATCACCTGCATCTAAAATCTCCAATATCAGCACGCCGATACAAGCAGTCCATTCCAGACTCTGCTTCTGTACCTCTATCTAGCAGCAGCACCCGGATCTAGCATGAAGAGCCCTCAAAATCACAACAACAATGCGTACTAAAGTACTAACAAAGTAACACAGAATAAGAGTGATGTCGGCCGTGTGGCAGTATTTTTCATTAAAGTCCGAAAAAGACGTAGCACCTGAGTGCAAAACTCGTCATGCACAAGTTTGTGCTAATATCGGATCAATATCGATATTGGCCAATACTGAAGGCTACAATATCGATATCGGAAATAAAAAAAAAGTTTTATCGGGACACCTTTAGTTGACATAAAACAAGAATGTTGACATGGAAAACATTTAATGTAGACAAGTGGTAAAGGGGGGCAGATATCTCGCCTTTAAACGGCAGTATGTGAGCACCGTTAGTGTCGGAGGCAGCGGTCAGTGTGGAACTGTTCATTTTAATAATGAATGTCTGATACTGTAAGATTTACAGTAAACTGATTCAAATGGTAATTCAACGATGTAACCAAAAATGTAGAAGGTAGTCTAACTTTTAACAAAAAAAAAGATACAAATTTCATCAAACAAGTCTCAAACGTGAAAACATTTTCAACATTTGTTAAAAACTCTTATTGCACAGAGTGAACAGCAGCAGATCCATACCTGATTGCACTCGTCTAAACCCCAATGTTGGAGGAAATCCCTGATGTGGAGCCTCGTTTAGCAACAAGCTGCTCAGAGACGTCTTCTTCATTACCCTCAGTTTTGTTTGTTATTCTGACCTGTGTGGGCTACGGCTGCGAGTCCGTCGCCCGTGCTCACGTCATCTACTTGCATTTATCGCGTTTATCGTGAGATGGCAAATATTTATCATGGAGAATTTTTCAGACAGTAAATCGTGAACAATAATTTATCGCTCAGCCCTATTGGAGTGTTTTCTTTATTCTTTATGTGCTCTGTGTAAAGCCGAGGATTTACTCGATTTGGCGCACATGCCGTTTGTTCTGTCCAGCAAAGTGCGCAGTCAAGCACATCAACATGCGTCTGTTGTATGAGCAAAGAAGTGCAGGAAGGAAATGTGCTAAAAACTGTGATTTCTCTGGATTTGGAAACCATGGCCATGTTCCAGTCCCTCGTGGTACAAAATCGTCTTGTCACACACTCTTGCCTGATCAGTATGAATAAAGACATGTCTGTTTTTTTAATCCCTATTCTGCTGTCTTTGCAGTTCTGAGCTGTTCTTGTACATATGCTAAAATGATACACATGAATCATGATGTTCCAACCGTGAAAGACAAGATCTTTTTTCTTTTTCCAGTGATGTCCATGTCATCATTTACTGTCTTTTCTCAGATGCGTGCCGACTTTTGAGTCCCTGCACACTCTCTTTGTTTCACAAGTACCACTTCACTGCTCGGTGTTTTCAGAGAGGAGCTCTATTAACAGTTGACTTGGATGTGAATCATTTCCAGCCACCTCAAGAAAGGCCTGAGGAGGGGATGTATGAATGCACGGGCAGCCATCTTGGTATGCAATCAAAATGGAGGACGGCTGACTGCTGCTCTGTAGCGAAATGGCGTCTAACAGGAAGAAGATTCCTTTACAATGTCTATATGTCTGTCAGAAAGCAGCCAAGCACACAACTAAACATCGCAGTGCGATGAACGTATCAGGACAGGATGAGAAGAGACAAAAACACAGACGAGTTTCAGAAGCAGCTTCTATGTTTGATTTGATGAATCTGTTCTCCTTTAACTCTGCATTTTAATCTCAGTCTCCATGTTTTCCTTGATGTTTGCAGCTAATCGTTCTCTGTTTCTCTTTTCCTTCTGTCACTCGTCTTTTTCCCCTCCTCCTCCTCCTCCTCCTCCTCTTCTATCTATCTGTCTGTCTGTCTTCCCGTCTCTGCTTCATCCACAGGGCTTCTTGAAGAACGAGAGGGACAACGCCCTGCTGTCAGCCATCGAGGAGTCTCGCCGCAGGGTCAGTGTCTGACTGTCTGACTGTCTGAGAGATCTAAAATAAGGAATACATGTAGAAAACTTAATCATACATTTTCAGGATAACAGTGCACACGCATCTTTAGACTTGAACAAGCCATCGACCCCTATGATGTCAGTTTTTTTCTTTTTTTTTTTTTTGTTATTTACTATCAACAAGGGAAAAGGTTCGAGCGTAAGACCATGAAGCTGTAATTGAGTTTATAGTTCCAGAGAAGTTTTCTCCGTGCTTTCGATTCAGCTCCACAGTGTGTATTAAAGCTCTTCATAATATAGCAACACTTAGAGAACCGTTTTTGGTAATTTCTGCTTGATGTGATCTGAAAGTCCTTCTGGTGTGAACCTTTAGGGACTTTTTTTTTTTTTAAATGGCTTCCCTGATGTGCACTGTTAATAGGCCCTGCGTTTAATTAGCTGCTGTTCCCATTATCTCCTTCCCTGCTCCCTGAGAGGGAAAAAAAAAAGACTTTGTGCAAGGGTGGAAAACTCAAATGCACCGACGATTAAAAAGAGAAAAGATGTTATAGATGTTCTTGCAGATTTCTATCAGACTGCTCTACCTTTTTGCAGCACATGAAATGCGAGTCATTTGGCTGTGAAATGAGGCATTCAGTCTGAGCTGTCCGGACTCCCAGCAAACCACTTGACACAAATGAAATCTCGTTTATTTTTAGAGACTTCTTACAGTCACAAATTCTGGATTATTGTGGCTGAGACCCGTATCAGTGCAAGCTTTTACCGAAATCTGATCTGATTTAAAGAACATTGGAGTATTTCCCGTCTCCTTCCTCCTTGAATATGTTCGCGGTCTCGCCATGTGGTTTAAATTACATTGTGTCGAAGATTGCTTCTTAAAACAGCCTGAAGATGCACTGCATTTTCTCATTTCTTCTATAGATGCTCCCAGCAGCTTTACATCGCAGGAACATTAAATGAAAAAGACTTAATATCTTGTCACAGGCAGCGACCACGTTAACCCGGTGAATTTGAGCTTCAGTCTACATTTGTATCTCCCTGAGCTGGAAATCAGAAGGATTCAATTATCTCACGTTCCCATTATCTCACTTTGAGTCTCTGAGGAGAGTTAAAACTAGACTGCTCTGTGTCCTGGTGCAGCAGAACAATCTTGCTGCTATATCTGGTGCATGTTATATGCACGCATTTGTCGGAGGTAAGCCTGATTTATAGGACATACATCTATGCCTGTCTGTGTAAGGACGCTTTACACCTAATCAGTGCCACTACTGATGCTACTTAAACAGCATGGTGATTAAGTGAAATATCCACAGTCCCAGATTTGAAACGCTCTGCCCTCTTTCAGACGTTCCTGCTGGCTGAAGAGTACCACCGTGAGTCCATGCTGGTGCAGTGGGAGCAGGTGAAGCAGAGAGTGTTGCACACGCTGCTCGGAGCAGGGGAGGACGCACTGGACTTCAGTCAAGATGTGGAGGTACAATGAGTGTAATAAAAGGCTGGTTTAGGACCTCTGTGGTTTGAAAAAAAGACAATTAAAGAATCAAAAATCTATACCAAGAGAAAGAGAGAGAGAGGAGCTTTGTAAACCACAGTAATTAAAGCTGAATTTCTACCTTTCTAACTAAAGAGTTAATGTCTTACCCGACAGTCTCTGTAAGCTAACAAGAAGGTGAGTTTGTCAAATAAAAGACCTAATTGTTTTGACAATAGTTTGCACGCTATAATTGTGGCTTATGTAGAAATTGGCAATTTACCGTTTTAATAGAAATGAGTAAATTCTCTGCAGAAGTCATTAAGCAACAGTGTCGTTTCTTTTCCAATTAATTCAGCCACATAATCCTTGGACTGATTATGTCGGCCTAAAAGCAAGTCTCAAATCTTTCAAATTAATTTTATGACACTGCAGTCAAAGCTGTCTACCTGCTCATCAAAACTAACCCTCTCATCTGAGGCTCTTTGGTACTATTTTAATCTCCATCCCGAGTGAAGACAGATGTTGTCATCCTGCCCGCCTTCCAGTATGATCATGTCCCAGTATGCACCTGATAAATGCAGTTTACTGATCAAAATCTTTGCTATCCTTTAAAGCATTTTTGTGTCTCTACACTACAAGCTGCGAAATAAAAAGTAAAAGCCCCAATGCATGGACGCGTCTGACTTTGGTTCCCCATAAATATATAAAAATTGAGGACAGACTGTTCTTCTTTTGGGGCTGAGAAGTCTTGAATTGCAGGATATTGATCGAAAAGAAAACCGAGAATTGCTGATGCTAATAGAGGATCTCACATTATACAACCAATCACAGTATGAAGGTACATGAGCAGCTGATGTTTCTGATGCGTTTAGTTATTGGTGAGTTAACTTCTGTACCTCTTTGTTATTGCAGCCCAGCTTTGTGAGTGAAGTAACAGCTCCAGGGAGAAGCGCACTGGACAACGTGGAGGTGGCCTATGGACAACAGGTGAGCTCTTAGTTCATACTCTTGAAACATCAGCCTGACTGTGAATCCTGCTGCAGTCGGCTTTTGTCTTTTTATTCAAACTTTTACCTCGACGAAGTCAGACATGAAGTCGTAAACTCCAAAGATGCCGTGTGTGCTTTTATTTGCTCGTTTTTCCCATGTGAAACACAAAGTGAACATTTTTGATAAGGACTCCTTACAGCTGCTCTGAAGTGGAACATGTAGGCCTTAACAAGACATCAGTGCAACTTTTACGCTTTCCTCCAGAGATTTACATTCACACAGATTTAAGATTTGTACTGGGGCGTGACATTTAAATTAAAGTGCACACTTCCTGTGTTAAGACTACAGTTCTGTTGCAGCGGTTGCTGGTTAGACTCCTAGTTATGTCTTACCCTACTCCCTGCTCTCCACGTCCCCTGGTATTCCCTTCATTTTCTGTCTTCAGCAGTTTTAACCAATACAGGCAAAAAGTCCTGAAAAATACAATAAAAGCAGAATGCTTGGACTGAATAGGACACTGAAAATACAGACTTATCAGTACTGAGTGAATACGCTATGTGTAGAGGACACTCCATACCTTTAATACCAAGAAGTTACCTCTGAGACTGTCATATAATCAGATTTTCATCTTGAAATACTGGTGGCTGAAAAGTTCACGATTATTGTGATATTCTTGGAGGAGTTCGTCGAATTTGAAAAAAGATAAAAGTGGAGCAACAAATCATTTCAGAAACTGTCCGGATAAATAAGAGAGATTTCTTCGTTTCCTTTTTCTGGATCCTCTTCTCCTTTTCAAAGATGTCATACATCTGTTCGCTAAATGTCATATTTCCTTTGGTGTGGTTGGATAACTGATCGGTGCTTAATGAATAAATGAATAGCGTCTCGCTTTGCCTTAACACACATGACTAACTTAAATATTATTATTCATTTCTCGTGGTTTACAAAGTTTTGTCTCACTTCTGTCAGGAAACCTCGAACTAATCCTCTCGTGTTCTGTGTGTGAGTCTGCGTTAAGCATTTTTTAGAAAAACTGACAAAGACAAGGACATTTTTTATGATTTCTGCTGCAGCAAAGGTGAGCTAGCTCGCTGGTTACTAAGCTGTATTATTCTGCGGCTGCTGCCTATCAACCAATTAGTATGAAATGCTTATTTTCTTTTTGCGCAGTATCTTTTTTTAAAGACGATTATCACCAGTACCGGTCGATTGGGACACCCTAGTTACCACACGATGATTAAGACTGATACGTATCATCTATCAGCTGATCCCCTGATGTTTGAGTCCTGCTCTGTTAGAGATGATGAGGATTTTTAGAGTTTAGTTGTAGTGAAACAGAGTTCAGTCCATCTGTTTGTGTCGCCCTCTCAGTTAAAAAGGGGTCACAGTGCGACAGGAAGGAGCAGATCAAACATATTGATCGATTGGTGGTAGAGGGGGACTCTGGGTAATTCTCTCTAACTCCCTCACTCTATTCCTGTCTCTCTGCCATCCCTCCAGCCTTATTATCCCGTTTGACCTTCTCTCTCTCTTTGTTTGTCTCTGATCTGCATCACAAAGCAGAGCATTAAACGTGGATTTTCCTGCGAACCATGTGTCGACACATTGCGTGTGGCGTGGTTTGCCTTGTGTTTTTCATTCTCTTTGATGACCTTTTAAACATTTTGATCCTTTTTTCCTTGTTTTTAATCGTGAACCACTTCACTCGATGGTCCTAGTGTTGGATCTTACTTTTGGAGCTGTGGATGAGGCAGATTTTTCAAACAGCAACCTGCTTTTATAAAAATAAAATATGTGGATTCAGCGCTTAGCTTTGTGGTGGACTTGATCAACCAGAACCTTCTTTTTTTAAACCCTATTTTCTCTCCCTTGATCATTAGATTTACATTTTCAACGAGAAGATAGTGAACGGCCACATTCAGCCTAATCTTGGAGATCTATGTGCTTCTGTAGCAGACAGCCTGGATGACAAGGTGAGAAAAAAATTTGATTCCTATTAACTTTCTCTTCTTTCACCTTTATTAATAATTTCTTTTACCTCTGTGAAAACTTATATTTTTATAAATAAATGTCTTAATCTGACTGTGACTGTTTCATCCTCCCTTCCCTCCAGAACGTCTCAGATATGTGGGGGATGGTGAAACAGATGTCAGATGTGTTGCTGGTTCCAGCCAAAGACACTCTTAAAAGTCGCACCTCAGTTGAAATGCAGATGGCTTTCGTACGGCAGGCGCTCAACTTCCTGGAGAACAGGTGACGGTGCTTGATTTTAGGGGTGTGCAACTTTGAGTGACACCTATGTTTGCCCAGACTTGAAGTTGGCCTTCATCTTAATAATAAAACTGTGTGTTTGTGTCCTAGTTATAAAAACTACACTATGGTGACCGTGTTTGGAAACCTCCATCAGGCTCAACTCGGAGGAGTTCCAGGAACGTACCAACTAGTGCGCAGCTTCCTCAACATCAAACTACCAGGGCCTCTACCTGGCATGCAGGTGACTGACACACACATACATAGACTTTGGGCCCCATTTAAATGATCTACATTGTATTGTCCAAAGCATCTGTCTTCGTGCCTGTTCAAGACAGGACCGTTACAACTCGCTGTCAGAATAAGTGTCACAGCGGCAGCCGCCAAGTCAGATGTGTCAGAGCGAGTGTCAAAGGTGTACCGCAGGCAGAAATGTGTCACTGTGTCACTATGTACACAAAGCTTGTAGTGTTGTACTCATCACACTTTTTTGATGTGAAATCACAGCCTGGGACTCAAATATTACCGTGCGAAAGGATAAAAACTGGCTGACTGAGGGTTGAAGAGGTACAGAAGGCTTAGAAAGTCAAGCAGGTGAGACAAGAGGTAGCAGTAAGTGTGTCCTCAGTGTCTCATCAGCTTGTGTGTCAGAAAATAAACAGAGTCTGAACAAAAGACTACAAGCTCTGCTCTTTGTCCCTGGGTGCTTAACACGCTGAGTGGAAGAACCTTTCTGCAGAAGGGCAACTTGCAATCTGAATAATTCTCCCTCTAAATAGCAGGAAGCCAGACCGATTTTTTTCTAGGTCAGTGGCGCAGTCACTTTCTGCTGTCTCAAGCTGTGCCTGACCACACCTCATTTTAGAGGCCAGAAGACCCCTGAGTGCACAGAGGGGTACAAATAGATTTGCTCCTGAAACAACATGAGTGCGGGGCATGAAAAAGACAACTGCATCAGTCAGATATCAGCAGCGACACTTGTCTGTTAAATGCTTTTTTAACCCACACTCTGTAATCCTTCCCACTGTGAACACATTTGCGCCTCTGGAGGTTTGTATTTTATTTCAAAGCGTGTTTGCCTCTTCCCGTTAAAACCCTGTCTTAGTCACTCATCAAACAGATTATGTAACAGGCATGATATGGCGCAAAGATCAAATGAAATATCTGGTGACAAACTTGAAACTGACAGACTGGAGTTGAATGTCTTTCTGTGCAATAGGACGGAGAGATCGAGGGTCACCCTGTGTGGGCTGTGATCTACTACTGTCTGCGATGTGGAGACTTGAATGCAGCCATGCAAGTCGTGAACAGAGTGCAACATCAGCTCGGAGACTTTAAGACCTGGTTTCAGGAGTACATGAACAGCCCCGACAGACGGTGAGAACGCCTACTTGTCTTCGTCCCTGTGTTCGGCCGTCTCAATAGGTCAAAGACGTTGTTTTCTAATCTCCTCCTCGTCTCGTCATCTGTTTTGTCTATCGATCCTTTCACTGCAGCCTCTCCCCGACCTCGGAGAACAAGCTTCGGCTCCACTACCGCAGAGTGCTTAGGAACAGCGCTGACCCTTACAAGAGAGCCGTTTACTGCCTGATTGGAAAATGTGACATCAGTGATAACCATGGAGAGGTGGCCGACAAGACTGAAGACTACCTCTGGCTGAAGGTTCGCTGCACGTCTTTTGCAGTTTTTCCCATTTGCTGAATTTTCTATTCAAGTTTTTTAGCACACTGGAAAAACAGAGGATAGTCTGGTCACAGTCAGTAGGATGGCATTATCTTCAAGAAAGAAGATAACGCCATCCTACTCAAACAAAGCAGCGGGCTATGAAGTATGTGATGATTATTAGCAGATAGGACTTAAATGAATTCACGCAGCATGGGCCCATTTTATCCTCTGAGCCATTCGGTAGATATTGAAGTGGAAAAGCCGGAGAGAGGGCTGTTGTTGGCATTTCTTATAATAATAATAATAATAATAATGATAATGTCTACAGCAGGAAGGACTCAAGTGTCCACATTTATCATGAACACGTGTCACCCATTTGATCACACAAATGTTGCATACTGCCATCCACTGTATCCTGCAGGTGTGCTCAGACACAGAGCAGTGTCACCAGCTGTTATGCCTGCTGTGATTAACTCTCTTCAAAAAAAAATCATCTTTGTCCTGCTTGTGACGTCCTGAGGTTGTTGTCGTGTCATTATTTTCACACTCAGTTTTGTTTGTGCAGTTGAATCAGGTGATTTTCGATGATGACGGCAGCAACTCTCCTCAGGACAGACTCACTCTGCCGCAGCTACAGAAACAGCTGCTGGAGGACTACGGTAAGCACATTTTGTGTTAGCTCCATAAAATGACCACAAATCTGAGAACCTAGTTTCTTAACTGTGTTGATTCTCCCCCCAAGTGCCCCTTTTTCAATCAACCGTTCCTCCTACTACAAAATATAATGGAGGGGACAGATGTCTGTTGTTTGCCTCTGTAGAACAGACTTGGCGCTGCATATTTTATTGAATGTATTTTTTAATTATACTCTGACTGTATCTTTAAATTGTTTAAACCCTGAGGCTGGCTGATTCTCAATTATATTCTGATACAACTATTAGGGGTGGGAATTGCTGGTGGCTCCAATAGGATATTATCACGTTACTTAGCCCACGATATGATATTATCACGATACTTGGACTACGATACAATATTATCACAATACTTGGGCCACAATACGATATTATCACGATACTTGGGCCACGATAGGATATTATCACGATACTTGGGTCACAATAGGATATTATCACGAGAGGATATTGTCACGATACTTGGGCCATGATACAATATAATCACGATACTTGGACTATGATATGATACTGTCACGATACTTGGGCCACGATAGGATATTATCACGAAACGATATTGTCACGGTACTTGGGCCACGATACGATATTATCACGATACTTGGACTATGATATGATTCTATCACGATACTTGGGTCACAATAGGATATTATCACGAGAGGATATTGTCACGATACTTGGGCCATGATACAATATAATCACAATACTTGGGCCACTATACGATATTATTGCGATTTTTAACATTTTGCAACACAGTGAGTAATGTGATACAGTATATTGGGATTTATACATTTATTTCAACTGTTTAGCTAATTTAGCATTTGTCTTTCCTTTATGTTTGTCTTATTTACACAGTATTTTATTTTCATGTAGCACATCTTGCGAACCTTATATATATTTGTTGTATTAACTTTCTCCTGCTCTATGATGTCGCCTCTGCCAACCTCACTGGACAAACTGTTGATTTTATTTTTCCATTATCATAGATTTGACTTTATATTAACAATTAATTTGAAAAATCAATACTTGGTAAGTTAGACGGTATGATACATCACCAGACAAAATATCGCGAAACTATGCTGTATCCATTTTTTTCTCCCACCCCTAACAGCTATGATAGCCCAAGAAAAGCTAAGAGCTCTATACTGCTGACCCTGCATGGGTGAAACATGATTTCTGGAGCTGTTTTACGCTCTGGTTACACCTTATATTCAGAAAATGGAAACTTTGAATCCCATTAGACTTTCCTTTATTATCTAGTTTGGCAGTCCGTCTAAACCGAAGAGAAAACATATGTATATTTGTCTAACAACACGTAAATGTACAGTAATTATGACTGGTAGGCTTTTTTTGCACTTCTTTTGTTTGTTTTGGAGCTGAAGAGACCCCTGCTGAAAATTTGGCCCGCGGTAAAAAAAAAAACGCTAAATTAAAAAACAAACCAGAAAAAAAAAACAGAAAACAAGCGAGCACCTGGACACAAGCTGGGCCCACTTTGACGACAGCTTGCCTCACAGCCCCTCTGGATACAGTTTCTGCCAAAGTGGTGCGAAAACAGAGGTTCTCCAGTGTTAAACAAAACGGTTGAATGTAGCTCTGACTGATATTACAGCGATGCTCCATGCAGGCTACAGTTAAGACCTGATCAAGAGGAATTCACATCTGATGCAGAGGGTTGATGTTTCCTGATGTTCATAGATTATAGGATGTCACTGATGCATGGGCTGGTGTTCCCTACACCACCTAAAGCAGCATTTGAGCGAGAACCAAGATAAGTGTTACCATAAAAGGGCCTGCAAAGAGAGGAGATAGAAACACAGTATTGCGTCTGTATTCAATGACTCAGTGACTCTGATGTCTTCACTTAAAGCAGCAGTTTGTCTTGATTTTGTTCCCTCTAAGAAGATCTAATCTACATCTAATCTCTTTGCTGATTTTGTCCTGTAGATGTGTGTTAATGATAACAGATGCCATCCTGCTGGGTCCCAGTAATATCCCTCACTGATGCCTTGATGAGATAATGATAGCCCACTAAAATCAGAGAAAGTAGAGAAGTATGCATGCCAGGCCAGAAGCTGGCAGAGATATAACTTAGTAATGAAACAGCACTAAAGAAAACCGTGTGTCTGCATATGAAGATTTTCCACAGCAGACTAGTAATAATAGCTGTTTTGACAGGATCCAGGTATCGTCACTTTACATGGCGACCAATGGGCAAGTATTTCCAAGAGACTCCTCACAGGAACCTGTTTTTAAGATTTGCCATTTCAGCCACCCAAAGCGCCAAGATTCTTTGCTGGAGAAAATGTTTGTTTGACACCCACCTGGTGACACCTGGATCAGATAATAATCCACTTACTGATGGTCTCATTTGCTATCGTTGCCCTTAAAGAGGCGTCAGTATCCTGATTAGAATCATTCAGTTTTATTACAAATTTAAAAAAACACCTTTGAAGGCAAACTTGAAACTGTTAATGCATGGAGGCATTGACAGTGTTTCAGATAGTGTGTGGGGAGAAAAGTGAAGAAGGAGTTTTATGAAGACTAAGAAAAGAACCAGAGACGGAGAAGATCAAACTCATTATGTGTCTGAACTTTTGGCTCTCTGCCTGAACATCTGATTGAAGGACATGACAAGGAAGGCCAGGATCCATCGGACAGACTTGAACTTTGATTTTTTATTTTTTTTTACTCGAGCTGTCCTCTTAAACAACCTCATGCCCCTGAAACACAAAACCAGGAATGTAAAAGCTTCAGGGCTTCACACCCACAGACTGCAAAATCACAGTTTTCTCTCCCTGGTTGTAGCCTTCTCCATGGGTCGATCCTGCTCTCGTCAGATAAGACCGCACTCTTTTCCTCCCTCTGTAGCCCTCACTCCCCCCCTCTCTTTCCCCTCAGTTGGAGGTACAGCCTGTAGCCTTGTTCTGTTTCCTCTTTGCTGCTCTGCTCCCTCGGTTGTCTGGCACAGTGTTCATGTTGTCCTCCATCTTGCTTCACAGCGGGTCGCAAAGCCCAGAGCCTCTCTTGGTTTCTCTCACAGACTGCCAGCGCTCGCCAGCGTCGTCTGTTCTGTTTTCTCCATCCTTTCGATGGCAGAGACTCTGTCCTCATTTCATCCCTCTCTCCTTACCCCTGCACTGTACTTTCCCCTGATTTCCCTCCTCTTTTGCATGTTTTCGTGCGCGTACACGTCTTTCTTCTCTTCTTGTTTGCAAACTCTGCCGCGGCCCCCCCTTCTCCTCCTCACACCCACACTCTTATCTCTCCTCTTTCGTCCTTTTTCTTCTCTTCATCGCTCTCTCTCTCTCTCTTGCTCTCTCTTCATCTCTCGTGTGCTTTTGCTTTTTGAACTAAAGTGCTGTAAGTCTGAGATAAGGCTATAAAATGGCTGACATGGTCCACCCTGTTCTTCTGCTCAAACTTTCAGCCAGCCAGAGGATTAAGGATTATAATTAAAAAGTAAACTTGATGACTAAGTACCTGCACTGGACAAAATGTTTTCAAATTCTTGAATGTCAGTTGCCATAGCAACTGTCAGAAGTGGATGTTGCATAGTATAGACCTTGACTTTAAACGGTTGTTACTATGAAACAAAATATGAAATGAATGAAACATTTTCTTCTCATAAGATATTTCTGTTCAGTGATAACATTCGATAGGTTTCTTGTTGTCGTTGATATCTTTTAATTTAAGGCTAGAACACCACACAGCATTGAACCTAAGTACAAACTGTGCTTAATCGGCTTTTTGGCACAGTGTTTTTTTTTTTTTTGCAAATACTTCCATACAACAGTGAAATCACTTTTTATTTTGAAGGTCTGATTAGTGTCTGTGCCTGACGGCTGTTTTCAGCATAAGAATCTGGAATCAATCTAATGCTCTGCGCTTGTTAGTGTCTCTGAAATCTTTATAGCAAAATAAAATCGCCAAATTCTTCTAAACAAACCTCAGACATTAAAACCCCATGGCAGTGTCGGATATTCACTCAACAGACGAACTCACTTTCCTGCAGTATGAAAAAAGTGTTGAAGTTTTGGAGATTGTAAATAATTGAAGCTGGAGTTTGATTGAAGTTGTGTTTGGTCATTTCTACAGTTTCCCTATTATTTGAAAGAAAACAAGTGTTTACACAGGGTAGGGAGAGAATTGCTCGTCAACTGTGCTTTCTCATTTCATGCACCATGTGAATCTAAATTCCTGTCCTCCCCTCTTCAGTAGTTTTGTTGTGAGAGAGGGTCTATTCCAAACACCCAGATACCCCAAAGTGTGCTTATTAATTAACACCATGGAACTGTTTTAGTGAGGGAAGATAATGAAATAATGAGGGGGAAAGCGGCAAAAAAGTGGCACCACCAACTTGGACTTGACTGGTGATCAGATGCTCGCAAGACGCGTTAGATAGGAGTGGATCTTTTTATGCAACAGCATGAGCTGTTACGTCTCCTCTGCATGTTACATGTGGGTTTGAGTTAGGGCTGGGTGATAAACCGAAAATTTACTGATACTGAAATTTACGACAATAATGGACTTGATTTTGCCCATATCAGTATATTTGGTGTCAAATAAGTACATAAATAAAAGTTGGTTTTGGATGTGTGTAGGTAGGCTATGGTCTCATGTCCCTTAAAGACGCTCTCCTACGTCGGAGACGTGACTCCACTTTATTAAGTCTGTAACAAAGAGGGAAAGACAGGTGAGGAGATGGAGGATGGTTCAAAAGTTGTAGCGGCTGGAGCGGCGGCTGAAGTAGACAAAGTTAATGTGGGAGGGGGTGAGCAGCTTGTGGAGTAGTTATCGTCCATTTATCGTTATCGAGATGAACTGCTCAATATATCGTGATATTGATTTGAGGCCATATCACCCAGCCCTAGTTTGAGTTATCCAGAAATATGTCAAAACCTGAAGCACTGATGGTAAAAAGGAATAAAAATTAAAAAAAATCTGTTTTCATCTAAACCAGCTCCCTTTCTCTCTCTCTCTCTCTCATGTTTTCTCCCACAGGAGAGTCTCACTTTTCGGCGAGCCAGCAGCCATTCCTGTATTTCCAGGTGTTGTTCCTGACAGCTCAGTTTGAGGCAGCGGTGGCGTTCCTGTTTCGTGTCGAGAGACTTCGGAGTCATGCCGTGCACGTGGCGTTAGTCCTCTATGAGCTGCGTCTGTTGCTGAAGTCGTCTGGACAAAGTGCTCAGCTGTGTGCGTCTCATCTCATTTATTTCATTTATTTTGGAGCAGGCAGATATTCAGGTGAAACTAAAGTGATTCACTCTCCTCTGTAGTGAGTCAGGAGCCTGGAGACCCTCCCATGGTGCGCCGCCTCAACTTCATTCGTCTGCTCATGCTGTACACTCGCAAGTTTGAGTCCACCGATCCACGAGAAGCCCTGCAGTACTTCTACTTCTTACGGTAGGCAGAGTTTTGAGTGTAGCCTCTATTGTTCCCAGAGTTTGAAAAGGAAGAGGAGAAAACACCTCAGATGACAGCGTTGCTCCTTTCAGATCATATTTTGATTCTGTTTTTGTGCGCCATTCTGCAGCAATGAGAAAGACAGCCAAGGAGAAAACATGTTCATGCGCTGTGTCAGTGAACTGGTCATCGAGAGCCGAGAGGTGAGTGACAAAGTTAAAACAACAGCCAGTCATGTGGTGTGGTGTGGTGTGGTGTGGTGTGGTGTGGTGTGTTACAGAGATGAAGGAGTGTTTATGTGTGTATGAGGTCTGCAGCTGTTTGTTTGTTTATGTTTTATGCATTTACTGTCCCGTAGAGGCGAATGTTTTACTCAACCATAAATTAAAATCCTTTTGTAGGTATTTGTAATGATGTCTGGGATTTTGTCAGATACTAGAAACCAAAAGCGATGATGACTCATGATCCTAACTCGGAGGCATGTACTTTGAAGTATTAAGCTTTTTTCTCTTCTTTTACACCCCTTCCTCATGACTACAAATTACAAATACTTTAACTTACCTTCTAACGTGCAGATCGAAAAGCTTGTAGGGACGCGGCTTTACTCTTGAGTTTGTATCCCTCTACCATCACATCATACTGATCATTTTGTCAGATTTTTTTCGATTTGGTTGACGTCTCTTTGAACTTTTTTCTTTTTCTGGTCCCCCGAACAAACTCAGAGTAATGTTGAAGGAGTTGTTTGCTGATCTTAAGTGCTGATGTTCTTGCCACGGTGTCAACAGGCGGCAGTGAAATGTTATGACCTCTTTTTTTGGGGATTGATTTAAGTTAGGTACAGTTAAGATGTGGAAGGACTAAAACGCCCTCAGCGTTTTGACCAATCAGAATCAAGTATTTACACTTCTTGATAAGAGCTTGGTTCGCGAATATTCGACCAAAACACAACATAAGCTGTCTGTCACTTATGTTGTGCCTTTAATAATTTTTCTTTGTGAGTATAATTCAAAAGTGATCAGAGTGTTTTTTGTAATTGTGATTGTTTCATTATCTGTCTTTGGAACAAACACAATAAAAAGGTGTAGACATGTAACCATTAGTTACTTCAGAAGCAGCTACCTGCTGAGTTTACGGAAACAGACTTTTGCTGCAGACAAACACTACTCTCTAATATTTATTCCAGCTGGAGGGTTTTTTGTTTGTGTTTTTTTTTGACAGCTGTAGATGTTTTGTGTAAAAAGAAAAATAATCTTAAAAAGTGTCATATTTGTTTGAGAGTATGTGCCTTGGTTTGTGTTTAGCTGTAAAGCAGGTGTCTCTATTGTCTCTGCCGTGTTTTCTGTATGTCGGTGATTTGATATTTTTGTCTTTGTTACAGTTCGACATGCTGTTGGGGAGATTAGAGAAAGACGGCAGCAGGAAGGTAAGAAGATTGTGTCTTTGATATTTTTAACTCATCTCTTCCGTGCCTCTGGTGTTTCTTTTTGCCTCTTTCTTTATCTTCTGCTGCATCATATTCTCTTTCTGTCTCTCCATCGCTTTTTATCTCGGCGCTGCGTGCGGGCGTTTCTGTCAGTCAGACAAGGACAGAAATATTCCCTTCCTTCAACATGTCTCCTACATGTTTTGATGCTCTCTTCCACTGTCGAGTCATCAAAAAGCTCTTTATAATGCCTCATTGTCGCCTCTGCTTGTGGCGTTTGACTCCTTTATTCCCCTTAAACTGACATCGCTGTAGATTTAATACCACCCACACGGGAGACACGCTGCGTTGTCAGAGTCGTGTCTCTTGTTTTAAATGCTGTCTGATTGAAGTGATGATGGCACGTTGGATGAGTACTGGAGTGTTGGTTTTCAGTGCTGTACATACGCAGTCTTTTCAGATAGATTGCACATTTAACGATTTGATTGTGAGCTTGTTTAAAACACTACAGATGGCACTTTTGATACTCCCTTCAAGCCAACTCCTACTTCCTTTATCAGCACCTCTCAGACAAAGAGTAAACTGTACATGATTTCTGTCATATGCTGAGTTTAAGACCAAATGGCCTTTGTTTTTTTTTCTTATTTCTCAGTCTGTCTTAATTATGTTTCTTATGGGTTAGATCCAGAAATGAGATCCAGGAAAAGCATCTTCTGGTATACAGAGGATTTTTAGAGGAATATTGATGAGTGAGTTCTCTGATCAGTGTCTCTGGGGAACTGGATTGCAAGTCAAAGCAGACTTTTTAGATCCCAGTCTCTGTAGAGATTTTGAGTATGATTTTTATTATTTTTATCACTCTGTGTCATTCTTTTTATTTCCAAAAAAGGCTGTCTCTTCAAAAAAAAAGAAAAAAGGGAAGTATTTTTGTAATATGATCTGATAAGAGTGATCAGATACCAGCTCAAATTCACAAGCAAATTACACAGCCCTCAGGATTTGTCTGATTATTAGCTGTAAAATTCAAAGACGCCATCACGATGCAGTAACTTTAAAGTCATTTAAGCAAAGAAGCGCTCAACTTTTGGATACACAAGTAAAATATTGTAATACTCTTAAATGTAATACAAAAATAAAATCTAGGTTAAAGGGCTTTTGGATGTAAGACGCTACAGCTTGTGGCTACAGACTGACCTAGAGCTGTCACAATGCCAGAACTCTGAACTTTGATATTATAGTCGTCAAAAATGAAATGAGATTAATACCTGTGTCAATGCCACGGCTGACAGACAGCAAGGCAATAAGAGATGAGATAACATAAGATGTTCCTTTAATCGTCACATGGGGGGGAATTCCAAATTTACAGCAGCATAGTATAGGTACAAAAAGAGTAAAGTTAAAAGATAAAGAAACTTTGAGTTAAAAAAAAGATATGTTCATGCGTCATATTTACATCTGTACAGAATTTACATAATAATAATATGATTTATTGCACATTGAGGTGCAGTAAAGTTATAAAATATCCAGTTATAAAAGACAAACACAAAGCAGGATGATACAAAATCCATATTTTATCCATATTTTACAGTTCTGTGAAGCTTCCTGTCAACAGACATGAACCTCTTTCTGAGATACTTCAAGGCCCTAAAAATGAGCGGTGTAATAGCTGTGACGGTGGGGGAAGCAGAGACACACACAGCAGGCAGGAAGAGCATCCAGAATTCTGGACAAGCTTAGACTGAAGTGACTGGCAGCAGACTAGAGCAGTGGTTCTCAAGTCCTGCATGTTTTGGATGTTTCCCTGCTCCAACACACCTGATTCAAATTATTAGCTCGTTATTAAGCCATTACAGAGCTTGATAACGAGCTAATCATTTGAATCAGGTGTGTTGGAGCAGGGAAACATCCAAAACATGCAGGACAGTGGGCCTCGAGGACTGGACCTGAGAACCACCGGACTAGAGCATGCATTATCACTGTTTTAGAAACACTTTGAAGTTATGGTTGTAATGCATTTGCAGAGGTTTGTTTAGTCTTTGTAAGAAATGCTAATTATTTTACAACATTCATTCCAAGTGCAGCTAATATGTTTGTTTTGATGTTTCAATCTTCTGCCTAAGGTGGATGTTGTGCTTTTTATGTGAGTAGATCAAATGTCCAGATTTGAGATGTATGTGCCTCGAGCATTTGCTTTAATTTGACAGTCAACAGCAGAGATATAAACAGGTAAAGAGAGAGGTGGTGAGAGGAAGTAACACTTAATGAAATCTAAAGTCAAATAAGGAAACTACGTCCAGGGTCTTTTCAGGACGGAGCATTGCTGTACCATCAAAACTGCAGTGTTCTCACTCTGATCTCCTCCTCCTACAGCCTGGAGTCATAGATAAGTTTGCCGGGGACACCAGAGCCATCATCAGTAAAGTGGCTCTGGAGGCAGAGAACAAGGGCTTGTTTGAGGAGGCGGTCAAACTGTATGAGTTGGCAAAGGTGAGCAGATTGTCCTCTGTAATCTCTGCATCCATTTACTGCAGCACTGTATTTCTGCATAATCAATGTCCTTGGAGTCCTCTCACTGTCTCCGTGCCTGGGTCCTTTTTATTCTGAGTGCAGAACCCCGATAAGGTTTTGGAGCTGATGAACAGGCTCCTGAGCCCGCTCATCGCTCAGGTCAGCGCTCCGCAGTCCAACAAGGAGAGGCTAAAAAACACTGCAGTGGCTATCGCTGAGAGGTGAGCACATACTGTACACTCTTAAACTGATTATAGACCACAAAATCACCGCTACACAAAAAGATATAAGATAAGGTTTTCTAGCTTTCATATGTTGACAGTTTTTGGGCCACTCGCCATTATTGGCTACAGCCATTCAACATTTATCATAAACTTACACCTTTCGACCCTAAACTACCAGGTTGTCTGGATGAAAATTCCCAAAGATAATAAATACTAACATTCGGTTGGTTAAATATTTGAAGCACAGTCACACCAAGTTTGACTCCAAGGTTTAAAAATTAAAAATAAAGCCTTTGAAATTAAAAACTAGTAAAAACCTTTTTGTTCTATTCTGCAATATACAGTATATTATTGCTATATGAAAATACAGCAATTAATACTAGATAAATGCAGTTCTCATCCTTGTACATTAACTCCTTTTTTCGTAAATTTATGACCTTAATGTTGTACATTTACTGCTCTCGTTTTTTAAAATTTTCCACTTTAAACTTGTAAATTTACAAGTAGTTTTGTTCTTACAGTATTACAACATTATACTTACAATATTAAAGCCATTTTCTTATACATTTTTAATTACTTATTATTTGGATCCCCATTAGCTACTACCTAAGTAGCAGCTACTCTTCCTGGGGTCCACAAGAAGACAGTAAACATTCATACACATTACAATGATTAAAGTCCAAACAAGAAAATTATACAAGATGATCATAACTAAAACAAGATTAATGATGACATTACATCTGCAATTACAATAGACACCGATTAAGGCCAAGATAAATCTACTAGTAATCAAAAGATAATCTCATTGGTATGTATTGTATGTTGTCACAGCCTAGTCTAGATGTTCTGTTTCCTTTTGCAACAGTAAATAAAGTAACTTCAACATGACAGTGTTACACAGAAGGTCATCAAAAAACAAAATGCATGTGATTTTTACAATACTACTACAGGTGAAAACACTGAAAGGAAACACTCTGTCCTCCTGTTAGCAGTATGTCTGTGTGCCCACAAAGTTCATGAGCAGGAATACTCTGTCCTAAAATAGCCAAGTGTTTGTGGGGTATCTGTGACAGCTCACGCATCATGTGTAAATTTACATGTGACTCATAGATAGAGGTGGATATTTATGCATGTGCTAAATGAAGCGTCTAAAAGTGGATTGTTCCCTCTTTCCTCTGCAGGTATCGTTCTCATGGGATAGCTGGGGAGAAGTCAGTGGACAGCACTTTCTACCTGCTGTTAGATCTGACGACGTTCTTTGACGAGTACCACGCAGGTCATGTGGACCGAGCTTATGACGTGAGTAAAGACCTGATAATGCTCGACACACTGAAGCGGGTGAAGTTATGATGCGAGTGTGGCTCTTTTCTCTCAGGTGATGGAGCGTTTGAAGCTTCTTCCTCTCAGTCAGGACAGTGTGGAGGAGCGAGTGGCGGCTTTCAGGAACTTCAGCGATGAGGTGAGATCAAAATCTGACTTCTCTCCACACTCAAAGGGATTCTTTCTCTTTCTTTAGCGCGTCTATTCTGAAAATGTCCTGTGTGCACAGGTGCGTCACAACCTGTCTGAGGTTCTCCTGGCCACCATGAACATCCTGTTCACTCAGCACAAACGTCTGAAGGGGACGCCAGCAGGGACTCCAGGGCGACCACAGAGGACCATAGAGGAGAGAGACATGGTGAGGGCAAGGACTGTGTCAGAGCAAAGGAACAGTAGGCTGGTTTCAGCTTTGACTCCGTAGGGGGACGTCTCACAGGACGTCACAGAGACTACATCCATGTTTGATAAAGTATATGGTCTCCTCATACTGTAGCGTGAGTTGAATTTCTAAATGTTTTTGTCTTTTCTGAACAGCAACTCCGCAGCCAAGCCAGAGCCCTCATCACCTTCGCTGGTATGATTCCCTACAACATGGCCGGAGACACCAACGCCAGGCTGGTGCAGATGGAACTACTGATGAACTGAGACAACATACACACACACACACACACTCAAACATGGAAGTACACTCTTTTGTATAAAAAAAAACTACGTTCATCATTTTGTTGACAGATAACCCCCCCATACACACACACACACATACATGTCACTCTCCTGATTTGCCATTAAATTTCAGTTTGTTTCGTTGTTTCATTTTTCATTTTGATGTTTCATTTTTGTATTTTTGTTGATGTGGAATAAAAAAATAAGTTTACATTTCACTTGTCCTTTTTATTTTGAATTATTCATTTCCATTACATTACTCTTCTCTTTTCTTTGATTTATTTTTTAATACCATATTTCACTGTAACTCTTGTAGAGGAGAGCAGTCAGCTACATTTGATGATGCTAGTCTCTTCAGATATTCATTATGAAGCTGAGTTTAAAGCTTTTCAATCTGTTCTGATTTTAATTTGATATTTTCATTCAGATGTTCAGGCTTTCTTCTTTAGTCCAGGTTGCTGAAGTGATTTATTCCCCTTTATTTTTCTCTTACCTTGACATTCATTTAGATTTATTTCTGAATTTCATGTTTCAGTGTCGTGGAAGTCTCTGAAAGCCTTGTATGTTTGTTTCAGTTTTCCCCTGGATATTCAGCCTCTGTTGTTCCACATTTTGCGCTTTTGATGGCCAAATTTTCATCTTGGCTCCTGATATTTTGGAGGGAGTTTTTGACAGCTTATGATAGACTGAAATTGATACTGCAACGTAATCATTCTCTGGTAAAGCCAATAAGGCTTTATGACGCATGATTGGCTATTTCCACTAAGTAATTTGTGTGCCTTTAAATGCTGCCACAGGATAGGAGCTAGATAACCACGATGCTGCAACAACCTTATTTTACTTTTACCCTTTATTGCAAATATTTTCATGAACAAGTTACATTTGCAGGACAAAATCGGGAACGTGCCATAGCAGTTACAGCAGCTGTCACCCTGAAAATGCTCTGGATGTGTGTGATTAGTTTCTCCTAGTTACGGATCACAGTTGTTATTGACAAAATCGGTACCTTAAGTCCCGCCTCCTGGTTCTTATTGGTCACTGACTAAAAGGGATCGCCGGCTAATAAAATGGCATTGGTGGACACAGCCTGAGCTGCTCATAATATTTTGCACAGCAGGCTAAATTTTCTATAGGGGGAAATATCCAGTCAAGTTTCAGAAGTCTCCATTTTTAAAGGACTGTTTTATAAGATGCTTTAGTCAGCTAGCTTCATTTTATATCTCGAGAACCTTTTCATTTAGGCATTTAATTGTATTTTCTTACAGATGCGCAGCCTGTTTCTCAGTCCAGGTTCTTGCAGTAAATGATCGATCACACTTTATGATCTCATGAACTCCATAAGAAGGTTTTTCCTTTAAATTCTTTGGATTTCTGTAGAGAATCAGACATCCTAAAGGGATACATTTCTTGTTCTAATCATCAAAGAACCAAGTGTTCAATGTTTACCTTTGTGTGCGCTTTTATTGCATGAGAATTTACAAGAAACGCTGTCCTCAAATAACATCTCAAAAATGATGCTTTGTTTTGTCACTCATTTTCATGACTTTGCAAAAACAAGCCGCAGCAGCAGACAAAGTGATAAGAGTGCAGCTGTATTAGAGGTAACAGCTGAGGGAATGGGAGAGGAAACAAACATTGTCTTGTACATCAGGGTCAATGTAATGTACAAAGTGAAATTCAGCCTATTTTACAGACAGCTTAAGCCCACCCAACCACACAGAGAGTGGTCCAGTGTCGATGATGAGTTTTAAACCTTTGCTCTTTACTTGGTTTAATGTGAGCAGGTTTCATCTCCAGCTCCTGATTTTCTCTGCAGGCTGTAGATTAGTATCTGTGGCATATTCAGTCCACCAGCAGATGGTTTGTTGGCTTGAACTCCTCTCCAAGACTGGAGGGAAATTTCTGTCTGATTTTGTATCAGGAGTGATTTTGAGATATGGAAAAGTGTAGACATTTTTTTATCCAAATAGAAACAGATCCTTTTTGATCAAATTCAAGGTTGTGGAAAAAATAAGTGAAAATCTGCCAGTTTTTTTGTTCTGGATAGTTCCAGTTTTAGTTGTAATGTAACCAGTTTTTCTTGAAGGTTTTTGAAGTATTGAAAGAATTTGAAGGATACTTTAAATTCTTTCACCCTTATCACTATATGCAGGAAATGCCTTTGCAACCATGAGTAAGATCAAAGTAACCACCTAAAAACCCCTATGAGAAGAAAAGAAAAAAAGTATAGTACCAGCCTTAAGCACATGTAAATTTTGGAAACAATCAGCCATCATCCTCCCTGCTCGATTTGTGGCCCACTCTCCGTGTCCTTCAGTCTGGCCTGAGAGAACACAGATGGAGGCTCATTCTGTCTTGGCTGCTCCACATTTCTGCTTAGAGACGTTGAGTTCATCTGCGGACACAGACAGAGCAGTGCCAAGCTCATTAGATCGATGCTGTTTTACTCCTTACTCTACTTCCAAATGTGGAATCGGATGGATTATTTGTTTTCTTTTTCTGTACGTCCTGCATGCTCTGTGTGTGTTTTCATGCGCCTGTCGGCAGAGGAAGAGCGGCGCCTCTCTCAGGTGTGTGTGCTGCAGCTGGTGTTGTGAATCAGGCCGATGACAGACACCTCCGATAAGCCGGCTATTTCACAACACCAGGGTGGCACCGCACCACTGACCTCGAGACCAGAGACAAGACATGGAGCGACTGATGGTTTAAGAGCTGCAAGATCCTGAAAATGTGTCAACATAGTGATATTCAATTCTTTAATAGTTTGTTATGTAAGTTACCTGACTGCTCTTTTGCTTCTGAACTCCTTTAAAACATCTTTTCAGTTCTTTTCTCCATTAAAAGACTTTGACTCTTTTACTTTGATTACTTTATACATCCTCTGATACCTCATAATCATGTTAAGATAAACGCAAACATATCCACAATAACATCAACAACACCGGCACACTTCATTCACAGTCAAATCTTTGGTTTGTTGATGTTTTAATAAATGTTTAACACAATATTTTCTCTTTATATTTGCTCTTACGTTCTCCTATATTTTTATTGTTTTATGTGGACAAAGAACATAATTTATAGTCAAGAAAAAAAGGGAAAAGCACAAGTTAAACAGAGTACACCAGGCATACAGACAGGAACAGTAAACAGACTATGGCAGTAGCAATCCCGATTTAAAAAATTCATCCCCTTTTCTTACAGAAGCCACAGAGTAAAAGTCATCTCTCTCCTGCAACAGAGTTTATAATGTCTGTAGGTAGTTAAATGGTTCAGGGTTCTTTTGGAGCCAGCAAATTGTATTTTTTTACTCACAGCCCTGAAAATCTTCAAAAGGTTATGTTTCCCTCCTTCAGGAGTATTTCCAAAGCACAGAGAGAGGAGAGGAGAATCAAATGTCAATACGTAGCTCACTTGAATTTCAAAGAGAAAGGGCATGGAGTCATTATTTTTTTTAATCTGCAAAATACAAGCCAAGTATGAGCAAGTGGTTCTGCTATTTTAGAATAATGTTTTTCAGTGTGAAAATGCTTCTACAGTGTATCGTATCATTTAAAGGTTTAGGAAATCTGAAGAAATCTCTGTAGAAGAAGAACAAAGATAAAAAACTAATACTGGATATTTATGATCTCTCGTGCCCTCAGGTGGCACTGCTTAAAAGAGAAATACAACTCTGTAGTGGAAATCACAGCATGGGCTCAAAATCACCTCCAAAAACATTTTCTGCATCGTTTGTCTCTGCATCTACAAATTTAAGTTTAAACTGGTTTGGTGGTATAAGGTAATAAACGTTATCATCATCCAGAAATGCTGGCAGCTGTGGCTCAGTGGTAAAGTCTGTCAACTCCCAATCAGAAGGTCAGTGGTTTGATCCCCTAGTCCTGCTTTCACATGCTGAAGTGACACATGACCCCACCTGCCCCCACTAGCTTTATGTTGAAGGGATCAGTCCAAAACTGATGGGCTCTATACAAAGCAGCCTCTGCCACCACCAGTATGTGAATGTGACATGTAATGTAAAGGCACTTTGAGTGGTCAGAGGTCTAGAGAAAGCGCTATAGAAACATAGTCCATTCGCAATCTCTGGAAGGACTGAGGCAACATGGAAAACTGTCCTGTGATGTGACAAATCAAAAACTGATATTCTTATAAATTCATGGACGCTGCATCCTGGACCATAGAGGAAATAGACCACCTGGCTTGTTATCAGGATAAGCTGAAAAGCCAGCATCCCTGGTGGTGTTGGCATCATAAGTGTCCATGGCATGGGTAGTTTACACATCCTGGAAAGCTAAACAATGCCAAACAATAAATAGATTAAGATGCAGTGTATTGCTTCCATTCAGACAATGTGTTTTTCAGGAAAGACCGTCATACTTGAACACAGTGCCAAACCATATTTTGCAACAGCATGGCTCCAAATAGTCTGAATGCAAAACTGGCCTTCCTGCAGTCTTAACTTGTCATCTGTTAAAAACATTTGGTGCATCATAAAAATATATATACATATTTACTACTAAAGAAACCTGAGCTGAGCAGCTAAAATCTGATGTCAGACAAGATCCAGACAGCATTTCACTTCTAGAGCTCCAGAAACCGGTCCGCTCAGTGCCCAAACATTTGAAAACAGGAGGTGATGCAACATAACGGTCCATACATGCCCCTGTCCCAGCAGTTTTAAACATGTAACTCCCAACAAATACAGCAGAAGAAGATATTTTTTATGAGTGTTTCAGTAAGAACATTGATAAGTTGTCTTTGCACAATTTGAATTAGATATAAGAGAACCTATGTAAACCTATATAACCTACATAAATATAAGGACCAAGGCAACATGGAAAACAGCCCTGTGATCTGACAAATCAAAAACTGATATTTTCTGTTAAATTCATGGAGGCTGCATCCTGGGTGTTAGAGGACAGGGACTACCTGGCTGTTATCGGAACAAGCTTTGCAGGCCATCATCAGAATCTGTTTTAATAAACATTTTAATCCGCTTTTAAACTGTTTAGGATCTGAGGTTGTAAAGTGGATGTGGCATAAGAAGTAAAGCCAGAAAATGTGAGTTTTGAGGATAAACTATATGAACACCCATTGTCCGGTTACTCGTATGAAAATGAATCCAAATCTAAAACAGTGCGAGACCTGCTATGTCAAAGATGCAAACTGAGGTAATAAAAAACCAGCAGACATGAGCATTTAAAATCATCATTTTCTTATCCTGTGTTTTATAATTTCTGCAGGATAATAGTAACAAAGACTGACTTCAGTTTACTTCAGTTGCTTTTTATTATATTTTTTAACAGACTGTAATACAGAACTGTTTTTAAAGAGGAGGGTGTATCACAGAGGGAGGACAGACCCCAAAGATTGTACATTATAAGAAAATCTATGATGGTTCCTGCACATTTATAACTGAGGCCATCTGAACTACTGCAAACCACCTCATTCATCATGGTGCCTCACTTGTCAACTGCATATTCTCACTGTGATTTGTCCCCTCAGAAACAGATGGTCTGCACCCAAAAGTCTGAGAAAATGGATTCTGGCCTCTGGGTGTGACGAGTTGGCGCTGAAGGAAATACAGTGACCCACTTAATGCTCTCCCTGTAGACCCTGTTATGTCCTACCATGGACCCTTCATGGCTGAGCCCCCCACTGCGTTGACCTGCTGTTAATGAAAAACCCTCTCTTCAGCTCTTCTCTTTGTCTGGTTCACTGAGGCTGTGTAGGATCTAACAGAAGAGCAAATTTCACATATTGGCTGAATATTGATTCATAGCGTGAAATGAAAGGATACAAAAATTCAAGGTTTTATTTTTCTTTTAATCTCAAATGAAGTGACTTTACAGGTATGGTGGTAAAAATGGCCATCATAAACCAAAGCCACTTTGCGCACAATAGTGACATCTGGTGGAAAACACTTTATGAGTCTAACTTTTTAGATTGATTGATTTCAGATTCATTCAGGTTAGTTTTAAATAATAAAAGTTGTAATTTTCATTTGGTATAAATAATTAGAGCTTTTCAATTCGTTAGTTTTTACCTCTGCACATGAAACAGACAAAAATAGCCTCTACACCTTTCAAAGGAGAGGCCTTGTTAAAAACTCATATTGTGGTTCATAATGACAATATTTATAAATAAAGGCAAAATATTCCTATGAATAAGATTTATAGGCAGGGGTGTATCTAAAGGGGTATCCAGGGGTGGCATGGGCCCCTTTAAATTCTGATTGGTCACTCCAGGTACCATCCTAAACTATGATTGGCCCTGTCCAAGGTAAATAAATGAGAGAAATTAGCCCATTAAAAAACTGCAAGCAAAGTCCCCCACACTGTTTGGGCATTAGATGACATCTATTCATACAATTTCCTCTATTGGATTCCTCAAAATAAAGAAGTTTTGAGTATATGTTGTTACTCTGTTGTGTTAACTTTCAAAGTTAGAAATAAAACACAGGCGTATGAACATCCTTATAACACGCAAATGTTTATGGTTCAAGTTTATGATTAGTGGAGACAAAGAGGGTCAATAAATGTAAGTTATTCAAGTGTGTATGTATATATCATGCCCCTTGAACCACTGTCTCAGCTAGGCCACCACAGCCAAGAAAAGCTATACACGCCCCTGTTGACAGCTATATTCACACGTTTTAGCAAACAAGATTTTTTCTTCCATTTTAGGAAGGCTAAAGCTTCGACCCACCGCTTTATTTTTATTTACTCGTTTCAGTTCTACTCAGCTGAACAATGAAAAAGTGAGCCTACAGATTGGCAGCATCTATCAGGAGCTGAGCACGCGACAAAAACCTGACAGGTGCGAGTAATTGGAGAGCAGCAGGTGTTGAAATGGCTGACAGTGGAGGAGAACATCCCGTTTGACTGAAAATATCGCGTTCAAACACAAGATTTATAAACCCCAAAGTGAAAAGCAAAACTAATCAGCACAGAAGTGACCATGGCCGGTTTGAAGGTGGGTGCAGGGCAGGCCTGAACGACATATATTCATACAGAAATGTTTGTGCCGAATAAGTGGATTTTTAAGGCAGAAAAACTGATAGATTAAATGGGCTTCATCTTAAACTTTGTGAAATTTAAGTAGTAATGGTTTTATTTTTATCATTATTAAGCAGCTGGGCCTGGTCCTCGTGCTTCTCCTCGGACTCACGCGCCACCTTGCTGAGGGTAAACATGTCTTCTTCATCCAGACTATAATTTGTAACCTGCAGTTTATTAACAGTTTTTATTTTTTCTGTTCAGGGCTCTGCAGTGTGGAGGACTGCTCTAACACAACCAGATGTGTTCTGTCTAAAGACCAAAGAAGCTGCAAATGTGCTAACGGATACTACGAGGACAAATGTGACAAAAGTGAGGACGTTTGATTCGCTTTAAGTTCACCATGAAAAAGCTTAGTCATTACATGGGGCTGTGAAATGCGGACACTGACGTTACATTTGCGTGGTATCTTCTATTTTATGTATTTTTTACGAATAAAAAATCAGAAGAGTAAAATAGAAAGCATTTATTCCTCACAAAAGCTCACAATGTCGTTACTTGCGTCAAACTATAGATACACCTCCTCAAATAACCTATCAGTGAATCACAAGTGAAGGTTCCTCAGCTTGAATCTGACAGAAGATAAAGTACAGGTGCAATGTTTTTAAAAAAATACTTGAAATAGTGAAACACAGTTGTATTTTCACTATGCTGGAGTGCATTCAAGAGTCTGCCAATGTGGAACTCTTTAATTCCATTTATTTAACTCTGCAGATTGTAAGATTTGCAGCTCAGTAAAAGGAATAACAAACCATAGAATAAAAATGACATTTAGGTCACGATGAGCACAGTCAACTTGTTTTTAAATGTTTATCTAGTCTATATCTATATGAAGGTAAATACCCTGACATGATTCATTAGGTTGGATTGTGAATTAATAGCCTGGATAAAGTTACAGTAACTATTGAAAATGTCACTCCACATTAAAAAACCCTTTAACATAAGCTCAATATAAAGCCTTGTTTGCTTTCAAGGGTAAGGATTTGCTCTTCTGTCGCCATCATTACCACCACTTAATGAACCTCCTGATCTGAACAAAGTTTGCTCTATGTTCAGCCATGGAGATGTACGACTTATAGGGACAGTCAGACCACTTAGACAAAACAAATGCGGATCTACACGAACTGTTTGTTGTTTGTTGGTCTTTTTCAAAATCTCAAGCATTAATTCACAACATGAATTTACTGACCTTTGTATTTTTTTATTTAATAGATGCAGACATCAAAGTGATTTGTGGCAAAGACTACATCTCAATCAGGGCCTTAGAGGATTTCTTCAAGTATCACAACGTGCCTCTCCAGTCTCTACACTTGCCAAACAAATCCTGTGGTGCTCAGATGGAGAAGATTGACAGTGTGACCTACTACGTGTCCAGAATCTCCAAAGACAAATATTTAGCATGTGGAGGAAAACCATTGGAGGTACAGCTGGATTAAAAACCTACCACTTGTCCATATTAGCAACATTTTTGCAGCTATATCAATCAAAAGTGCCTTTTTTGTCTTTTTTCTTTTCGTACAGAAAAACTTCACTCACATCTCGTACTCCCTGACCCTCCTGTCAGAGCCTCAGGTTACAGGGAACATCATCCGAGATCCAATCATACAGATGGACTTCACATGTGTCTATCCGTACACCAGGACAGTCAGCCTGCCTTTCCCTGTCATTCCCTTTTCCGCGTAAGGAGGATGAATTACATTAAAACCCTGATATTATCCTCCTCTGGTGTATTGATACTTGTGTCGCCTCTTTTTGGAAAGTGAGACGGTGATGCGTGTGGATGATCTTGATGCAACAGTGCAGCTGATGTTGTACACAGACAACTCCTACACCAAGGCTTACAGCAGCGCCCCTTCCATTGAACTCAGAGACAAGGTAGGTCAGCGTCAATTAACCATTTGAAACCAGATACCCGTCCCCTTTCTGCAAATCTACTTGTCTCATGTTAGTGAAAGTTTTAACAGATCCTCTCTGCAGGTGTATGTGGAGGTGGCTGTGACAGAGCCTGCAGATTTCTTCCTGCTGTTGGTAGATGAGTGTTGGGCCACACAGTTCCCTCAGCCAAACACCACAGCGGGATCAGTTCACGCTCTGCTGCAGAACGGGTGAGAAATCTCTCAAGATTCAGAGTTAAAAGGACATATCTAGTCCCAAAAGGACTAGATATAAATGATCGAATTATTAGTTCTGTTGGTTGCAAAAGAAATGCTTCACTTGGAGCATGCACAACATCAGGCCCTCAGACTGACAGCAAACATGAATTTGAGTAAAATGAAGTACATTGTACAGCGGGTTGTGTATCTTGCAATAGTAAAATACAGTATATTGTTCCATTAGAAGTAGAAGCAGATGAGAGGAGTCTGTAATGTGAACATGCTTAATTTAGCCTGTTGCTCTATAACAGTAGATGAGAGTATGTGTAATTAAAAAAGCTAGTTTACCATTAAGTTTTAATTATTAATCCAAGTGGACCACTAGGGTTTTGCTTATTAACTCACCTACAGCAGAGTCTGGATATGATACTAAATTATGAACACACTCCAGCCGGGAGAGCCGAATGACTTTTCAATCTCCTCTTGCTTTTTAAATTGCAATTTGTACATGAGCCTGCAGGTTGTAACCACCTGGTATGTTTCTGTGAAAACTTAACTCTTATTTTGCTTATAGTTTTTAATCAGTATACTGGTACAGCTGTGAGGCTGGAAATTAGATTTTTTATGCACAGTCTTTAATTTGGCTGAAATATGTGCAGATGTACTGTGTATGAACTCCACTGTTTCTCATCACCTCCATCTCTTTGTCCAGGTGTGTGAAAGACCAGACTGTTTCCTTTCTCAACACGACAGAGGGACAGCCGGGCCGTAATGGGGAGAGCTCAACCATTCATTACAGCTTTGACATGTTTCGTTTCACTACAGAGCCTCATGAACTCTACCTGCACTGCACCGTTAAGCTGTGTGAGCCCGTCGACTACGAGTCCTGCACACCTGTGAGGTTTCATCTCTTTATCTTAGAGCACTGTCTCTCCTGGCTTTGTGTATCATATCTTGTCTTGTACAAAGGAAGCTTTTATAGTTTGTTTTTTTGTTGCCCTCATAGAGCTGTAACTCCATCAGTAAGAGAGAAGCTGTGAGGGCAGGACCCACCCAAGGCCTCCTGTCATACGGACCAATCAGGATCGAAATACCAGAGAGGCCTTCATCCAGTGAGCTCTTTTTTTTTTTCTTTTTCAAATCACTGCTGACGTACTCTTCTCTGCAGTTACTGCTGAGTCACACTTCAAGCTGACTTTGTCTAGCCAAAGCCAGTCTCTTACCCATGAATGGTAGTGTTTGAGTATATCGTATCTCCCGATGACTCCTACTGGCTCTGGCAGATAACTGTATCTCTTAACGCCTGCACTTCTTACCAGCAAAATTACTCAATAATCTCTCAAACAAATGACAGCACAACCTCGAAATCCAAAATATCTTTACACACAGTTCTCATTTGATACCTTATTTGACTCAAATACTTTGTTGGTACTCTGCAGAGTGCCTCTTGTGTGCAAATATTGGTTGTAAATGTTGAGGATGTGTTGACAGGATGTCTCCTGTAGATCTCGTGTTACGTACCGTACTCTTCAACACCTTTTTCATCTGTTTGGTCACTCTTACTGGCCTGTGTTGAATCTCAAAGAAGTCCGTCCATTCACCCTCTGAGATTTTGTTCAGATAAGACCTACCTACCCAAATACCATCAATGTGGTGTTGTTCAGATGACTGCGAATTACAGTAGATCTCCTGCCATGGACATGTGAAATGGTCTATATGGTGGTAGAGGTGAAGTATTTCAGTTTTGCAGTGAAGTAGTTTGATATAAATCAGTCTTTCAATAGCTGTCCAGTATGTTAAGATTTATAAAGTAAGTTTTGTTTTTATTTCAGGTTAAATCAATAACAGTGTTTGTTTTGTTTTTTTGCAGCACAATGTGTTGTTGTGTTTGCTGATATTAAAGCACTGAAGTTTTGAGTTATCAGCACAGGCAAAAAGCAACCCCGCAAGCTTGATCAAAGTTTATAATAATCCCAGTTTTACCTTTTTTTTATTTTCATTCAAAGGTGAAACTTTTTCAACTCGACTAGATTTTTATAGTTTACAATAACTTGACTTTCTTTCAGGTGTGCTGATGACGGTGGTGCTGCCTGTAGCAGGCGTGTGGAGTGTGGGCTTCTTCCTCGTCATCCTCATCTCTGTGGCGAAAGCAGGCAACAGGAGGCTCACGCACACAGAGGAGATCAGGCTGTAACACTGCCACTGGAAGCAGCTTTAATAAATATTTTAAATGAGCTTAATCTGGTTTATTTCTCTTCAGAAATGATCCTACAAAATCTCACAAAGATGCCATCGCCGGTGTGATAAGTGTGGGTAACTATGTCCCCAACAAGGTCCAATAATATGTTGAAGTAAGATGTTCATGACATCTTTTCTGGTGTCAGAGAGTCAGCAGAAACCTAAAAATGATTTCAAACAACAACATTGTCATTGTTTCAACATTTTTACATCTTTAAAAATGCAGAGAAGTAAATTCTAAGAGATATAATTTATTGAAACGGGGATAATGATAAGAGTTGTAATAAATTGTTTGGGTTTATGGTATTGTGCTAGTGGGCTGCTTTCACAGTACTCAAATGAGCTTTGCCATCTGCCGGTGTTGGTGTTTTATCAAGTTCAAAGTTTATCAGAAGATTTTTGAAATTTCCATGCTGGTATCTACTGAGGAGCTTTACAGCAGGACTAGGCACCTGCACACAGTGCTAAACCTACCAGAAGCTGGTTTGATGACCATGGTATTACCATGCAGCCTGGGCTTCAACAACACCCAGGCAGAGCCACAGACTGATTGCATTCACCGTGCCACCCTGCCGAGCAATAGACGGCTATAAGACGTCTAGTTATTTTTAGACCTAATTTCAACTGTCTAGGTTCTGCATATTTTTAGACAGAATTTAGATGTTGCACTTTAACCCATTATTCAATAACTTTCTTTCAAAAAGCAGCTGTGAGTTGCATAACTGATCTCCAAGTACTTAACCGAAATAATTATGATAGCCATTGAGCAAAATACAGTGTAGTATAGATAAAGCCCAGATTTAGATTAAGTCTAAACTTGTTCTAAATTTAAACATCTAAAATCTTTCATTTTTAGATCTGTGGTAGCCTGATTTTAGACCAGTCATCTTGGCAACGTTTAGACATCCATCACACCTGTGTCAGATCAAAAAATGCTCAGTGAGACATTAATGCAATAGATCTAGCAAAAAGATCCACAGCTAAGAACTGAGGTATTGTGTGCATACATTTATACAATTTCCCAGAAGGTCGACACACCTGTTCTAAATCTTTTTATATATTTTTATTTTAATTTTTTTTTATTTTTTGGGTTTAGCGTTTTGTAACCATCCATTATGAAAAAAAGAAAAAATATATATATATGTATATATAAATATGTGTGTGTGTGTGTGTATATATATATATATATATGACTTTTGGTGAGCTGTATGCAACTAAAATAAGGAAAGATATTTCACTCTTTATGTGATGCATCTGGAATATATGGTAATTTTACTTATTTAATGAGCGTGTAAAGCACCACAATATTGTTCATCCATGTTCATGTCTGCGGTTTGAGGAATCTCAGCTGTTGTCTGACTGTATTTTTACGCAGGACCAGCAGATAGCGCGCCTTCCCTGTCTGATGTGGGTTTCCTCTGAAAGGGGAGGGTGGCCTTTCTTCACATAAAAGGAGTGAATTCTTTTATCAGATCCACATCTGTGCCCTGGTGGTCTGACAAATATTTGCAAAACTGTTTCCCGTTCCAGATTAAACCTGGGGTGGTCATTTTTAGCTCTGCAGTGCCGGCTGAGTGGTCGTGGTTGCTTTGCTGTAAGGTTTTGAAAGTTTCTTGTGCTCAGTGTTTAGTTGCTAGTTGACCAACTGCGTTATTTGAGGAGCAGTTTCCACGCGGTATTTCATGGGCACGGACGCTTCTGTTGACAGGAAGTAAAAGGGGACTTGTTGCGGGACTTGTTGGTGTCTGATCAGCCATTGTGGACGTCGGAAAAAGGGGGAAGGTCTAGTTCAATTGCCCGCTGGCCACATTGTGTGCTGTGCGCATGAAGGACACTGCTGTATGAACACTTGGGTGAACCATGAGGCAGCCGGTTTCTCTGGGCTTTCTGCAACCGGGACTGAAGTGAGAACCTTGTAACACGATTCTGGTTGCGTGAGACTTATTTCAGCCTGTTATGAGTGAACTGCTCACTTGTTGCAGCGCTTTGTGATCAGACTAAATGTAAGCGGAGGAGGAGAGAAAAACACACTGCAGCTCTGTGTTGTGAGATCTGTCTCGGACTTTGTCGCCACATCTTTCAGCTCGACAAACCTCAGCGCTCATCTGACGACTACAGACACCACGCAATGATGAAGATGGTATCCAAACAACCGTGGGCTGTCCTCTTCCTCACATTGTCGTCTCTATTTTCCGTGATTCTGTGCGGCACAGCGGAGGAGGAGGAGGAGGAGGAGGGCTTCAGTGCTGAGGTACAGACAGTCTTATCACTGGGTTTGATCTGTGATTAATTATTTCAAGATAAATTGGACAGTAATGACTGTATATGCTGGATTAAAGTCCAAATGCTCATGTTACTTGAATTTATTGCATCAAGTAAGCCTCTCCACTGCCCAGAGGAATTGACCTCTTGACCTATTAATAATATTGTGTATAAAATGCATGGATAGGGTCAATCTATTCAAAAAACGGTAACATTAAGATACTGTTAGTTGACTTTTGCTGTAGATGCATCTTAAAAATATGATCGTTTCAGAGCTTCAGGTTGAACATGTATCATGGATTAATCCGCCAGGTTATGGTTCTCACGATCAAATAATTAGTATTTTAAAGTTTTATATAACTTTTCTTAAAAAATTGATCACAGTGTCCAAAGTGGCATCTTCAAGCTGCTTCTTTTGTTCTACCAACTCTTAAAAACCCCAACACTTTTGTCTACAGTCATATGAAAAACAGGAGCAGATCCTTACTTTGAGGAGCTGGAAACTACTTTTTTTAACTTAAAAATGCCCCAAATTATTATCCAATGTCACGTCTTTCACCTCCAAATGTCTTGTTAGTCAGTTAATTGATAATTTATTAATTATTTGGACCAAGGGCACATACCAGGTGCTACACTTCGATTTACCCACTGATCAATAGACAACTATTAGACATCTATTTTTTTTTTAATCTAATTTCAACTGTCTAGATTCTGTATATTTTTAGACTGAATTTAGGTGTTGCACTTTAACCCATTATTCAATAACTATTTATGTCAGAAAGCAACTGTGAGTTGCATAACTGATCTCCAGGTATAAATATAGATCTCCAAAATAATTATGATAGCCGTTGAGCAATATACAGTTTAGTATAGATATAGCCCACATTTAGACTAAAGTCTTAATTTGGTCTAAATTTAGATGTCTAAAATATTTAAAATTTTAGACCTGTGGTAGCCTGATTTTAGACCAGTCTTGGCTACATTTAGACATCTATTAGACCTCTTTTAGATAAAAAAATGCTCAGTGGGTAGCATCTCTTGGCAAAATTTGTAAACAGATCTAACAATGAATATAGTAAATCAAAGACACACTAAAAGTAGCAGGTTGATGAGCCATAAATGCTTCTCTAAATGCTCCCGTGAGAAGTTTTAACTTGGCATCTAAAAGACTGAAATGAACAGTAATTCAGTAATAAATCTTTATGGAAACAAGACCATCAGCTGTAAGGTTAGCCATTGTTTATGTCAGTGGCTGCTGTAGAGGGTCAGCTGTCAGACCAGGTGAGTGACAACACACTGAAGAAAATGTTTTTTTACACATGAACAGGTCAGTATTAGCAAAGAGAAAAGAGGTATGACTTTGTCCACAGGAGGCGCCAATCTAACAAGATTCCTCACAGAAGCTTTTATTTATCGTCATTTCAAACTGAAGTATCCACAGCTGAACTAAAAAAGATGTAGCTATTTGGGGGGTACTACACCATCTCATAAAGAGACCAGCATAGTTAATTTGTAAGAGATGTCCCAGTGACATTGAGGAGGAGGTCTGAAAAACAGACATGAAGAATAACAAAGAGAAAAAAACGATCTTAATTAGCCATCAGTCAAATTGTTATTCTTAACATCTGTACTGTGATCAGCCCTGATTGTCATTGACATTGTTTGCAGCTCTGATCTTTTGTCTTCCTTTTTTGTAAATTTGCTGTACTTCGAAGTATATTAATATAAAGATGTTGGAGTAAGTGTTGTTTCTGCTGGTTCCTGCAGTCAGGACTTTGTTCATGTTCATCAAACCTTTCCACTCTGAAGATACAGAAGCTGAGACACGTTGTGGCTCGCAGGAATCATCTGTCACAAACATGTGCACACATGATGGGTTTGCTTGCTACATGTGTGTGTGTGCGTGCGTGTGTGTGTGTGTGTGTGTGTGTGTGTGTTTTGCCCTCAGCCAGTGTTCATCCTGAGCACGCATGAAAGTTTAAGTCCCGTGATCCAGCAGTCTGAGCAGGTCCAGTGTTGTTGTTGTTTTTCTGAGCTCTGCTGATGAGGCTTCTTAAGGGGTAAAACTTGAAACTTCACAGAGATCCCCCCCACAGGAGCCTTCATCCTGTTTGCTTGGAGACGTGGCTCCACAGACTTAATTTCACTGTCTGCAAACATACAATACAAGAGCCTGTTTCACACAAACAGACTGTCAGCCAGATGTGTTTCCACGTTCATCTCGATCACAGATGTGCACATGTAGAGCTGTGTCTTCTCTCTGTGTCCTCCTAGTGATATACAATCAATTTATTGTCCTTTTAGTGCTCCTGTTTGCAGATCTTCCTCCCTGCTCCTCATCTTTGCTGTCAGCAGGAGTAAAGCCAGGAATGAGAGAGCAGGAATGTTGTAATGTTAATAGAAGCCATCTGCTTTCTTTTCTTTAACTCCTTACACACACTCTTTCTCTCTCTCTGTGTCTCTATCAGACAGTGGCTTGTTTTTGGATCAGCACTGCAGTGACTCACTCCCTGTTGTGGCTGTCAAACACATTATGTACTGTATACAGTGTACATCAATCACACACAAAAGCAGACACATATTGGGCAACCTCTCCATCTAAAAAGTAACCTTTTACTTTCTTCCTAACAGGCCTGGCTCCGTAAGTTTGGCTACCTGTCTCAGGCGAGCAGACAGATGTCCACCATGCAGTCGTCTCAGATTCTGTCCAAAGCCGTCAGTGACATGCAGCGCTTCTACGGCCTCCAAGTGACGGGAGAGATGGATGCTGCTACTGTTGCGTAAGCCCTTTTTTGTTTAAATGAGCTGGATTTTCCTGTCAAAGACACGTTTTTATGTGTTTTTGACTTTACACAAAATAAATTCAGGGATCCCGTAGGATGTGTCAGAGCTCAGAGGATTTGATTTTCCATTTATCTGCACTTTTAAGGTAAGTTTCCTCGCTCTTAGATGCATCGTATGCTTAAGATAGAGTCATAGATCAGCGTACAGACTTCACCTCAAAATAACAACTTTCAACATGCAGATTGAACTCTGACTTTCCCCAATCATAAAAATATAAATATATCCTGTTTCATTCACCAGTGGCTGCTAAAACAGTCCTAGTGAGGCCAGGAGGCTCGCACAGGAGTTTTATTTTCCTTTCTCATGTCACACATTTGGCTAAAGAGGCCAGTTCAACGATTGTGTCATATCCTCACATTCATCTGTGACCTTGATTTGTTTTATCAGGCCTTTGTTCTCAGCACGTATGGAAGGATTAAGGAAACATCACATTAGGTGGTAAACAAATAGTTTGACAGTTTGGGGAAACACATTACCCTGCAGGGAGTTACGTAAAAGGTTGGATACTCTTCCAGTCTCTGTGAAAACCATTAAGCTGCTTATCTCACTTTCCTTTTTTCAAGTTAAGATTCTGGCTGCTGCATTTCAGACAAGCGGAAGTTTTCTGAGACTTTTTAGGGTGTTCTGAAAAAAGGGGTCACAACAATGCGCTTCATGAGTTGAAAGGTCAGCATCTTTTAGAGCGTAGCGGAGTTTCGCAGCTCAAAGAAGAACATTTATGATTATTACTTCATGGACATGCAATCAGAGTTCTTGTGTATCTTGCATGTGCACTGCAGACGCGGTAGTTCTTCTACCTTAGTGTAGTTCTTCTACCTCAGTCTGCTTTAATTTCCATGAAGTAATAATCATTAATTTTCCGCTGCACTCGGTGATTGACTTGCTATCCTGCGGTCGTTACTAAAGTTGGTAAAACTAGAGAAGCAAGTGGTCGGCAACATTCATCTCTTGAGGGGGTGTCTAACTTGGTGTTACTTGTGTAACTTAAATTTACGCCGGAATATCCCTTTTGAAGTATTTTGGAAAAATCTGCATCAGCCGATATCTTGGCTCATCAGGCAGGTTCAAAGATGAATGAATTCTGTTTGCCGCCACTGCAGGCTGCCTTTCCAGTGTGACTGCTGTTGAGCAACATCAACATCCTCTTAAATGAAAGCATGTTTTTCCCATCCTAGATGGAAGCAGATCATAATAAAACAGTTACCGACAAGTGTTTAAAATGTTTACTGGTACGATACGTGAAATAATGAATTTTAATGTTGCCTCAGACATGTAAAGTGCCCATCACCTTGAACTAATCTGATTCACTCAACTCTACCACTGAGTCACTGACACCCAGCACCTGTTTCTTATTATATGTGTTGTGTGTGTTTGTGTGTAGGGCCATGCGTCGGCCTCGCTGTGGCCTCCCGGACAGAAAAGTGTCCGAGATTGAAGAAGGTGCGAGGAAGAAACGTTACGCTCTGACTGGACAGCAGTGGGACAGAGACCACATCACTTACAGGTTCACAGCCACAAAAGTGTTTTGACAACGGCGCAATTTTCTCAACAAACAAGCTCTAATATGTTTTCTTCTGCCTTCAGCATCATGAACCAGCAAATCCCGTCCTCGCTGGGTGAGGAGCGGGTGTTTGATGCGATCAGCAGAGCCTTTGACGTGTGGAGGAGGGTCACCCCGCTCACATTTGAGGAGCTACCTACTGAAAACAACATCAGCATCAACAGCAGTCAGACTGCGCTCGCTGACATCCTCATATTGTTTGCCTCTGGTTTCCATGGAGATATGTCACTGTTTGATGGCGAGGGGGGGTCTCTTGCTCATGCCTATTACCCAGGACCAGGAATAGGTGGAGATACACACTTTGATGCTGATGAGCCCTGGACTCTGGACAACCAAAACCCAGACGGTGAGTGGGTTGATTTGTGTTTTATCTAAAGCCTAAATCTGTACACTTGTTTACAACCGTCACAGCAAACAGGAAACTGAAGTGGGAAAACTGAGATCAAAGAAAAAATACATGTGAATTGGATATTGGTCATGAAGAGTGTTTGGGGTACCTGAGGCTGTATCAGTCCATCTACAAAGGATGATGCTCAGTGTGTGGGTTTGCAAAAAGCCAGAGAGAGATCGATCAGATCTTGAGCCATGGCCATGCACCCCCCATACAGATGATCCAAACAGCAATGCAATACTTACTTGGTTGGCACATGATTAGATCTATGTTTAAGACTTTTTAACAAATGAAGGTGCAAGTTTTATCTCTCTATGAGGAGGAGAGCTTTTGGGGGTTTCAGAGTTTGACAGCAACATTATTTGAGAGCTTTAATTTTAAAGTTTTTAATGCTATTAGAGCTTGAGTTTTGTGATAACTTTGATCGAGTTTAAGTTGCTTCTTTGGATATTTGTAGTTAGATTTGTTTCTCAGCAAATCCAGTTAGACTACACAAAAGTACAATCAGAACAAAGAAGTTCTTTAACACATTTACAGTATACTTGATAAGAAGTTCACCGGCTCCATCAGTTGCAATTTGAGAGGGACAAAATGAATAAAGTACATGAGATGCACTAATAAACCCGTGGAATATAAACCAGGACAAAACTTAAATAAAAAGTGCGTATAAATAAGAGTGCCTGCCATGTGAGTGAAAAGCTACTTTTATATTTTTTTGTTATGCACCTTGGAACTAAAAAGCTTCATCCATACAGTAGCACCTGAAATTCAAAGTTCAATGAATGGGAGTCATCATTTGAAAATGGGTACAACAAACTGGGTACAACATGAGACAACTAGAAAAGCACTCGGAGAGCGCAGACCTCCACCAAGCAGCTCATGTGCCCCCTTATATTGTGATTCACACCAAAACCTTTAGTGTTTAGTGTTAAAACTTGTGCATACAAGTGTCAGTTTTGTTTTTAAATTACAGCATATTGTATAGTTACATAATACTTAGGTGTTTTCATGTGTTCTTCAGAAAAAGGGATTAACTCACTCCAATATCTCATCATGGTCTGTGTGTGTGTGTGTTTTCTGCAGGTGTGGATTTCTTCCTGGTGGCGGTCCACGAGCTCGGTCATGCTCTGGGTTTGGAGCACTCAGATAATCCCAGCGCTACAATGGCTCCTTTCTACCAGTGGACGCACACACACAACTTCACACTTCATGAGGATGACATCAGAGGGATACAGCACATATACGGTGAGAGGCGCATGCTGCACTGATACACCTGTTTATTAATCCTATTGTGGAGTTATTCAGAGACGCTATCAGCAGCACTTTGAGATAATGACGTGGGAAGACCTCAAGGTTACATATTTATGCTTCCCAGCTACTGCAAAAGTATTTGTTATGTGAGGCTCACTGTTTGTACTTTCGCCAGCAAATATTTTTCTCAGAAACATTTCACCTCATTCCAAGATAGCAGTGGAGGCTGCAAGCTTTGTATGCCTCGTTATGCTATTGTTATGTTGAACTTTGGAGCTGAATCACATGTAACCCACATGTTTGTTAAGAACTTAGTCTTTCCACTCCTCACAATTCAAAGTAAGGGACTACCATCAAGACTTGCTGTACTGTATGTACTTAAGTATGTCTGTTATTTCACATTGACAGTAACAATTGAAATCAAGTTGATCTAAAATGGCAACCTTCACCAGCAACACAGGAATTTGTTGATTTTTCAGCTACTGAAGGACACGGACAAGACTAAACAGTGAACTTCAGCGTTAGATAACTTCCAGATGATTTCTACATTCATATACAGACTGCTTTAGCGTTTGAATCAGTGTGATCTCCATGTGCAGAATGTGCAGTCAGCTATGATTTGAGGTTATGTCACACTCATCACATCTACATGTCGGTCAGAACTGGCCTCAAAAGAAGCTTTGTGGATGCACATTTGCACGCACATGCCACCACACACACACACACACACACACACACACACACACGCACACACACACATAGATTGGTGAAATCTTAAAAACAGCATATCATGCATGCCATTATGATGTTATCATGCTTTCTCTGTTTGAATGGATGGCATTGTATGCTGACAGATGGCATCTTTGTGTGTGTGTCTGTGTGTGATAGTTAGTGAAAAGCTCTAGTATGCTGGAGGTTGTACTTTACATGAGTGCTTCTGCTGATGAAATTAGCTAAAAAAAAAAAAAAACTCAAAGGTCCCATATTGTAGTTTTTTTTATGTTTATTCATTACTAATTCAGCCTCAGTGAAGATCTGCAGCCTCTCAGTTTCTGACCTCACCATCCATGTAGTGATCTAAGTGGGCAGGGATGCTATGTTAATGACTGGCTGCTCAGATGTTATCTGAGGTTGTAGGGTGCAGATGGATGCAGAAGTGGAAAAACACCAAAACAAATAAAAAAACTTGGCCAAATTCAAGTCAGTTTTTCTTTCAAGTATAAATACTGTAAACACTGTGATATAGTGGCAACACTCACAGGTGGCATGCCTTTTGTTTTGGTCATGAACTGAAGATATGAGGGTGAAACAAACACAGGTTTGTACTCATGAAGCACTCTGAGGTGAAGCGGCTGTGTTGGAGTTGCAGTTATCTTGTCTGGCTCTAATCTTTGACTTCTTGATTCTTCAGCACCAAAGCAAAATCACAGTAGTGTAAGGAGAAATAGCTTCAGTATTTGCATGCATACCCATATAAAGTGCTCTGGTTGTTATGTCACCACAGAGGGCAATTCAGATCCTGTTGTGGTGGTTATGTTTTCCCAGAGGATGATGGGCTGCAGGAACAATGCAAAGCTGGCTCAAGTGTGAATGTAAAGGCGAGGAAAAACATGCTTTTAACTGTCTGTGACCTTTAAACCGCAGATTCTGAGTTATACAGATACAGTCAACCCACAAATACTCACAAATTCTTTTCTATCCTTCTATATCTATAATGTTCATCCCTGGTCAAATCTACTTAATTTTGAGAAAGTTTTACATCGTTGTGTTCATTCTTTCATAAACGCAGACAACTCCCACTTATTCAATCTCCCGCTCTGGACTGAATATGATAGAGTTACAATTACAGTAAATCAAATCTGTCATATTTTGAAGGTTTTCTGCTGTAAACACCATAAGGTCAATGTTTTGCCGAAGTTAATACAGTAAAGTGCCGTTTATTTCACAGATCTGGTGTTTTTAATTTAATTGAAGCTTGCAATAGATAAGACAGTTTTGTAAAATAAAGATAAAGACTTACAAAGCTCAAACTTTGTCGGTTAAAACTTTATATTTGACTCTTTTTGTAGGAATTTGAGGTAACGCTACAGCCTTAAAGATCTTTCTGTCTTTGTATCTTGTTTACCATTCAGCTGTTTAGTTGACAAACACAGAGTCCTAAAGGTGGAGTAGACGATTTCTCAGTTACTGCTCAGTGTTAAGTCTGTATTACCTTTTTTTTCCACCTGTTGTTAAAAGTAGTAAGTTCCAAATCTTATATCTTATCAAATCATAGATTTGAGATTTTTATGAATAGGAACATGATAAAATACCTAGTGGCCATAAGTCTGTGTGTTCTTACCATGTGTAGCATGAAGCCTCTAACAAACAGAGCTTAACAGGTTGCAATGAGGAGGGTGAATATGAGGCAAAATGTTATTTAAAAGTTTACAGGTATGAGTCAAAAACATTAAAAAGATGAGAGCTTTGGAGCTGCATGGGACTTGAGACAGGTGTACGGTCACGCCTACAGGCAGGTTTGGTTAAAGGACAGGTTTCAAATTTCAGGGTTGAGGTTACAGGATACAGTTTATGAAGCAACACTGGCAATCTGTCAAGACATCAGAGACTACGGCCCTTTATTTACACTGCAGGGCTGATAAGAGAAGGAGGAGACAGGGGAGTGTGAGGAGGTGATAGAAACTGGTATGATAGTGTGAGAACATCAGGTGGATTAAAGGTGGAGGCGCAGCTGAAATGTGCAACAAAGACTCTGAGGTTAATGTCTTGCCAAAATAATCTGGGAAAAAATAGTTTCTTTAAAAAAAAAGAATGTCAAAAACTTGGTTCATGACTTGGCAAGGTTGTAATGTGAACACTGTATGAATTTGTGTTTTCTATCTAATCTTGTGCTCACGTGTAAAGTCTGTGCGATAACCACGTGTTGCTGCACACATACAGTGACCTGGATAAATTCTGAGTCATGAAACAGTGTGTTATCTCTCCAGTGACACAGTTGTCTCCATGACATGCCTAAAGCTTGTCAACACACTAAAGCTGTGTAACATCAGACATCCATTAAATACACAGAGAGAGTCAGAACCAGGAAACAGGGGCTGAGGGATCAAAAACTAGCACTTTCATATTGGTGTCCTAATGCAGAATGATACACTGGCTGCATGCATGTCAGAAAATCACTGTAGTTGATGACAGATAGGATAAGATTTTACCAGCAACAAAAGGAGCAAGCATCAATTCTATCTTGTTCCTGGCTGCTAAGTTAAGCCCCTTTTTTTGACCCCAAGATGACTTCAACAAAATCAGGTCATACGACAATTAGCTCTCAAACTTTAATGATACAGCATGTCAGAAACCAAAGAATAGCCTGTTATGTGTGTCATAAAGTGACAGGGCCTGTTAGTGTATTTTGAGACACCTGTCGACTATAAGAAATAAAGATTTATTCATCCTCATGATTTGTGGACCATAGTCACTGGACAACATGAGTCTTCATATTGAGCTCTGTGTGGTATTTTTAGATGAGAATAACTGAATACATCTGTGAGGCCATCAGCTGTCTGAACGTATTACATAAGTGCCTTTATCCACGTGTTTTCTCCTCTTAGCAACCAGCCGGGCCGATTTTTCCAAAGAGCAGCAGCAGCACAGTGGCAATTAATCAAGCGAGCCTTGAGCTGCTGGACAAAATGGAAAATTAGATTTTCTTTGTGTGTGGGAGAGAGAGAGAGGGGATATTGTGCAGGAAGGGAGGAGGATATAATGGATGTTGTTGATGTCGGACGTCACACAGAAAGGCTTGAGGAATTTATTTCAGCCAGAATCAAGTTTTTTTTTTTTTTGTTTAAGATGAAAATAGGAGAGGAAAAATAGTCTCTTCATTGTTGTAGTTTCTCTTTCTTGTTCTAACTCTCCACCGTTTTCCAAGCAGGTCCTCCTCTTGTCACTGATGCTCCTCCAACTTCTCCACGTGCACCTGATGATGAACCCAAAGATGACTCACCCACGTCCCCCTCTCCTCCTGAATATGAACCCACCCCCACTCTCTCAACCAACCCTCCACCAAACCCGACAGACAGCAGCCCACATCCCCCAGCCCGACCAGAGACGAGTCCCAGCCCCACCTCACCTCCTATTCCTTCCACCGTCGCTCCCACCGACCCCCTGCCTGATCCTGTCACCCCATACGTAAGAAAAGACGTCCCAGCGCCACCTCCTCGACCCCCTGCTCCTCCAAAACCTCCAAAAGTGCCAGAAAACCAGGCCCCTGATATCTGTGACGGGAACTTTGACACGGTGACAGTGCTGAGGGGAGAGATGTTTGTTTTCAAGGTAAGACACAACAACAAGTTCTCAGGTGTCTGTACTGTACTGAACCTCTACATTTACCACCTTTAATTCTCTTTGGAAGAATAACTATTTTCGAGTTTAGTCATCATCAATAAGGGAGGTTACATAATGATGAAACATAGCAAGGAAGGTTGTTTAAAAGAAATAGAGAAATAAGCAAGGGGGAAATAGAAGAGAGTGACCACTGGCCTTTCTTACATGTCACTCTATACTCTCCACCTCTCCTGTTTCTTTTCAGCTGTGCAATCCAAGAAAGTTAAGAAAATCCATAACTTTTTTTTTTTAATTTCTTTTATTCGGATTAAAAAATAAAAAAAACCCAAGTGAAGGACTGAAACTATGCATGTTATAGACACTGAAAAATTGTAGTTCAGCATTAGCAAACAGCAAGCAGTGGTAAAGGCGACAGTGAACGCAATATACAATATATAATAATGTATAAAGACATGAATATGTGACCTGGAAATGTTTTAATGAAGCAGTAACATGACCTCAAGGATAGAAAAGAAGAGCAGCAGAGTACAAGTGTCTTGTGTTAGGAGTATCTGCAGCAATGTGGCAGCCATCCTCTCAGATAGTAGAGAAACAGCTAACAGCTAGAAACAGATAATCCTTATCCAACTAACTAATGTGGACTTGAAGCAGAAACTTATTTACCACTTATATATTTTGATTTAATTGAATATGAGTTTAGACTTTAAACATCATCTCTGTGCAAACCTCTGTTGACTGTCCTTTCCTTTTTAAGAATGATCATACCTGAACCAACTCTACAACTTTACTTTGGCTACCTCTGGATGCAAAAACACTGTCCAGTCTGAACGTTTGTATAGGGTTGCACAAATGTGAAGTCTTCATTTCTTGCAAGAGAATGTTAGCAACAGTATTTTGATAATAGAAACTAGGATAAATATGTATGTACATGCATCATAATTTGCTTTTGTCATGCAGGGTCGCTGGTTCTGGCGGGTGCGTAGGAACCGGGTTTTGGATAACTACCCCATGCCTATATCTCTCTTCTGGATCGGCCTGCCCAGTGATATTGATGCCGCCTACGAGCGCCACGACGGCAAATTCGTCTTCTTTAAAGGTGCGTTACAGAAGTTTTATTCCCGAGCGGTAACACCTTTCACTGTGCTGCCGCAGCCGCCACATGCCGTGAACTCACCAATAACATGTCCAAACCTTGCCTAAGGACACAAAAAGGCCAGTTAGTTCCAGCTCTGCTTCTTAGCCAGAGCCAGCAGGGAGCTCTTCGAGAGTGCTTTCTATAAACACAAGAATGGGAGTGAAACTAAAAATCTGATCTTGACTTGATTTGAACTGGTCAGGCTGAAAGGAAATACTGCCAACTCAGCATGTTTTTTTTCCCCACGCAACAAGATTTATGAGGATATGGTAATAATTCAACACAGCTATAACTCTCTGAACACGCCAGATGTACACACCCACCCACAGAAACACACACACAGACAGATACACACAAATATTTTTTAGAAAAACAAGAAGGCATGTGGCTGCAGATAAAGACCTTTGAGAGTAAAAGGTTCTGAGCGTGTGTTTATATATATATCTGCACACAGAATTTGCGTGTGTATCTCTGTATGTGTGCATCAGTGTGAGTCTCTGAGTTCACCGGGTCCCTTGAATGAGGTCTATGCAGCGTGGCGTTGTTGCTTGCCCAGTATGACTCCACACCAGCTGAGCTCAAACAGGCCTCATGGGAGAAACGGAGGATTGCATCAGCCTTTCTGCAGAGCAGGGCTCCAGATGTTAACATGGACAGAGCCTTCACTTTTACGGTCTGGCTGTGTGGTGATTAGTTCTGCATTTTTATTCAGAGCTTCTGATTGTGGATTTACGCTCTTTTAAATTCCACAGGTAGCTCCAGCTGAACTTGGTTGTTGTCATGGTTTTTGCCCTTTGATTGAAGTAGAGATGGACAGGCTAAAGACGAGCTGCACAAGTTGATCTTCCTTTTCCGTGGTGGTCTTTGGAAAGTACAGTTCATGCATCTAAAGCTGCAGAAAGGTTGGCCATATAAACCCAAGTGAAACAAGGCAAAACATGCACTCAAACCATGAATTAAAGAGCCAATAGAAGGAGCCCCTGTGCACAAACGTTGCTGTTATGGTTTCAGTATGTTGCAGAGCAGCAGTGTGCTGGCACTTTGGGTGGAAAGTGGCTGCAAAGTGTGCCCAAGGTTAAGGTTAAAAACTGGCTCCCTCTTTAGGGAATCTTGGAAAGTCGATGTAATGCCCATTATTTTTACCTTGGATGTCCTTTCTACTTTTCATCAGGAGTGAGGTGCAGGACTTGTGTTTTGGCCTCTCTGCATGTGTCGCTGATTTTTCCCCCTCCTTCTCTTCTTTACCTCATTTTACCCCTTTTGAACCAGGTAACAAACACAGCATTTTGAGGATGAAAGGATAACACCAGTTCGTTTAGGATAATATTATGCTCTACACTTTAGTACAAGGAATGAATGCATTTATATACTCTTTCAGTCAGCACTTAAATGTGTGTGAAATAACACCTGGATGCACTGGACAGCAGAGTAATGGTTATTGTGTTACCCATCACTAGTGCAGGATCTTTGTCCACTGTGCACGGGTCACACTGTAAAGTGACTGTTTTGACTATTATTTGCGACGAATGAGCGATAAATAATTATTCCGCCAAGGAGGTTATGTTTTCGGTAGCGTTGGTTTGTTTGTTTGTGAGTTTGTTTGTCTGTTAGCAACTTTACGGAGAAAGTAACAGACGGATTGACCTGAAGTTTTCACCAGAGGTGTGTCTCAGCCCCAGGAGGATCCCATTACATTTTGGTGGTGATCCGGACAAAATTCTGGATACTGTGATCCAGAACACACAAAAATAAGGGTGTCGTTGGAATTTTCAATGCTGAAAGATAACCAATGGGCGGCACAGTGGTGTAGTGGTGTAGTGGTTAGCACTCACAACCAGAAGGTCCTGGGTTCTAATCCCGGTCAGGGGACCTTGGCGGAGGTCTGCGCTCTCCGAGTGCTTTTCTAGTTGTTCATGATATATCGTCAGAAAAATCATCCTTGATAAATACTTGCCATCTCATGATAAATATAATAAATGCAAGTTGATGATGTAAGCGCGAGCGACAGACTTGCAGCCGTAGCCCACACAGAGCAGAATAAGAAACAAACATGGCTGAAGGTAATAAAGAAGACATTTCTAAGCAGGTTGTTGTAAATGAGGCTCTACATGAGGGATTTCCTTCAAGATTGGGGTTTAGATGAGTGCGATCAGGTATGCCTGACATCAGACAGTGGATCTGCTGCTCTTCACTCTGTGCAGTAAGAGTTTTCAACAAATGTTAAAAATGTTTTCACATTTGAGACTTGTTTGATGTCACTAGTTTTCTCCATAACCTACCACTTAACCATGTGGTTAAGTATCTTATTTGACAACTCCAGCTGGTGTTCTCAAGACAAAACTAGTCAAAAACATAGACTGGAATTATAATATTAAATCATTGTCCCCAGAATGGCAAATCTTACAGTGATAAATTTTTTAGCCCATATCGCCCATCCCTGATATTCGCTGCATTCAAAGCTCTGGTTTCCAAAAGGAGCTGAGGACTGGATCATGCCACTTTGACATGTCAGCAGAAAGATTGGTCATGTTGCCAATGTATTTGACTTTACCTTTACATGCACGGCAACTAGCTGCTGATTTATTAAGGTCGCCTCCTATTTTACAAAAGTAAAAAAGAAATATGTCCGCACTTCAGACATGAAACCAGGGACTCCATTATCTCTCCTTGGTCTTTATCAGCCATCATGATGCTGCTAGCACATACCCCAAATGCTGCCAAATGGGAGAATAACCTCTGATGTACAGTGTAGATTTTCTTATCTCATAAATGCATCCACAATACCAACATTTGATGTGTCAAATGTATGGCAGTTTCTCTGAATTGTTACAACTGATTCTTTTCTTTGTGAGATGATTATGAATCAATATCAAAATCAGTGCATTAATGTAATGGATGACTTGTTACACTCCCAAAATAAGCATTATCTCTTTGTCCCTGCAGATGATCGATACTGGGTGTTCAGAGAGGCTGACGTGCTGCCTGGATACCCGCAACCTTTACATGAATATGGACGGGGAGTTCCTGCACACAAGATTGACACAGCAATCTGGTGGGAGCCCAACGGGTACACGTACTTCTTCTCTGGAGACAGGTAACTGAAACAGACAATGAGACATGGACCAAGGTTTGAACCTATTAGATGTAAATTCACCCTCTGCTCATTTACTGTCTATGTGCAGATACTGGCGGTACAGTGAGGAGACCAGGACTACAGACCGGGACTTTCCAAAGCCCAACACTAGATGGGGAAATATCCCTGACTCACCCAAAGGAGCCTTCCTCAGTGAAGATGGAGGTAAATAAGAACTCTAAATAAAGCAAATAATGTCACTGTGTGGAGGATCAAAGCAGTTGTGTTTATTATCACCACAACAGACTCTAGGAATAAACATAGATCCAGGGCTGAAGCAGGAGCACAGCGAGAGTGAAGAGAGGTGGAGGGAGAGAAAGAGCGAAAGGTTAGAGGGTGAAATGGGGTGTGTAAGAGACAGGGAGGGAAAAACTGACATTTGAAGCTGGTTAGGCTGCAGCCAGCAGAGCAGAGCATGAGGGAGAGAGAGAGAGAGAAAAGAGTGAGGGGATGAGAGAGAGAGGGAAAGAGTGGAATGAGAGCTCTGGTTTGAGGGTTGGCTCGTCCTTCCTTTGGAAATTAGATTTGTGGCTGAGCTGCTCTAAATGCACTCTGTAGCAGTTTATCTCATCTACACCCAAACTGCTCTCATGTCTATGTAAGCCTGCCTCTTGATAGAAGGAGCTGCATTTACACCCAGAGCTGTAAGCCAAAAAAGCATTAAAAAGTCTGAGTGTTCATCTATAGATGCGTGATTTCATAAGAACACACTTTGTGTTTTGCCTGCTTACGAGTGCTAGTCCAGGCATGCAAAAGTCATTCCTAACTACATCAAGTGCAAACGCTAACCTGTTCCCCTCAAAACTGTGATTGTTGTGCTTTTTGTTTTCAGTTTTTTTATAAGAAAAAAAATGTCATCAATGGTAGTGTAAATTTGATAGACTTTGTTCATTGAAGTTTACAGTTCAATCACTTTTCTCTGTTACATGAACTTGTTCACAAAAAATTGCCTACTTTCATTCCACCAAACACCTCCTATCCAAGGTGTTTTTGAAAGCATTTCCTCCTTTCATTCAAGAATTAGACCAGGGGATCAGTGTACCTCCTGTGCAGGAAAACCAAAGCCAAGGTATGATTGGTTAAGTTTAGTAATAAGGGCAGGATCATTGACTTCTGTTGGGTTCAGACATCAGAATATTGACCTGATAGTTCCTCATACTATTTGTTTGATTGATGCAAAAAGTGAAAAGTACAAAATCTTTCCCCCCGGTCACATTGAGAAGATGGTAGCATCCAGTTTCCATTTCAAATGTTGGATGTCGCAGGCAAAGCTTCAAATTGTAAGATAAATGTGTGCTGGTGTATTTGTAGGAGGAGTCGCTGGTCGCTCTGAATGGCTTATTCAAAAGGTCACATGAGAGTGCAAATGACGAGAGATTTGCCAACATGTAACAGTAGTTACAGCAGAGAGTGGGGGGGAGACAGGCAGCAATGGGTGGGAGTATGGGGGTTGCTGGGTGAACAGGTACCCAAACAGCTCATAGATTAATACACTTCACTTCTCAGTTTTTGTATGAATTATCAACTTAACACTGAAGGTGGTCAGATATGGAGATCTTGGTAACCAGAGATTGTTGTTCCTTCACTAGCTGTTCCTAGATAGTTGTGTTCTCAGTTTACTGTCTGTTAACCAACCTCAGTCTGTAGCTTTAAATCTGAAGTTATAGAAATGAGACCGTAAAAACATCTGCTTTCAGCTCACAGCAAGAAAGTTAGAAATATATACATTACATAGACATTCAGCTATTCCTTTAAAAGTATTTCCTGTAATAGATCCAAGAAACAGTCAGACTTTACTTATAATAATAAAAATAAGATTTTGACCGTTGTTAACTCCATCTGTGACCATACTCATGATTGATATTCCACTCCAAAGCACACTTTCAATCAGCCCGACTGTGCCTACTTTTGCTGCATGCCTTTTGCATCACCAGCCACCTGGAAACAAAGCTGTCATTACCACAGCTGCTCTCCACATACCAGTTAAAAGGCCTCACCTCCACCCTGGCATCTGCAAACTTAGGATATAGCTACCAGTGTTTAAAAGACAGTAATGTCTCTGAAGTTTCTTTGTAAGAGCGACAAGGTTAGCGCCCAGACATCAAATAGAAACTTTATGCACACACGATTAAATTCATCTAATAATGCACTGTTAGTTGTCTGGCATAAACCTAACTTATCCTCTTTCCCTGCAGCTTACACCTATTTCTACAAAGGCACCAGTTACTGGAGGTTTGACAACCGCAGGACTGAAGCAGACAAAGGCTACCCTCGCTCCATTCTGAAGGATTTCATGGGCTGTGTTGGGGTCCCTGACCCGAAGCCCGACGTGGACCCTGAGCAGGAACCAAAAGACAAACCAGTCAATCCTTCAGACCGAGGCAGAGATGAACACAAAGAGCCGGACACAGGCAGAGACAAAGAAACAAACCCTGAGGAAAACCCAACCCCTGACAGCACAGAGGAGGAGGAGGAGGAGGAGGACAAAGATGTGAAAGTGGTTGTGACCGTGGCCGACAATGAATCGAAAGTTATGACTCTAATCATGGTGTGTGTTCCTCTAGTGCTCATCCTGTGCATCCTCGTCCTGATCTACGTCATCCTCAGGACTCTGCAGAACAAAGAGACACCAAGGGCTCTGGTGCACTGCAAACGTTCACTGCAGGACTGGGTGTGAGGTGTGAATTTAAAGGTAGAACGGGTATTCATTGTTTTCTAGAACAGACGTTGGCGTCAAGAGAAGCTTCGACACAGTTCTGAAGTGTTATAAAGCAGTGGATGAGTCACCGCTTTTGGCCTCATACACTGTGACACCTTTTATTGCTCATGTGAAATAATGTAAAAGTGGTAAAGTGGGTGCCTGTGGAGCCGGAGTCTACTGGCCTTGAATAATTCCCCCCTGTGCCTCCCTTTGTGCCTTCAAAACATCTGAAAATGTACCTCTTACTACTATTCCACCACTCCTCAAAAATAGACTTTTTACTCCCCTTTTTGAACGCCTTAAAGGCACTCACACTTGAAATGTCCACTTCTACCAAATCTGATTGCACGTATTTGGGACATCTGATATATTTGTAGTTCAAATGCAGACAAAGTCGATATGCACATAAAAGAAAAGCAGATGAATGCTTTTGGCTATGCAAACAAATTAAAACCCCTGCATTCATACGAAAGAGCTTTGCATACTGCAGAAACTCAAAACAATATTCCAGTCCACTTAATGCATGCCACATTTTTTCATGATAAACATGATAGTCAAGATGTTACAATTTACAAATAGGACCTGAAGGATGTACTTGTAATGAGTAAGAATATTCTGCCAATGAGATATGAAAAACACTTAAATAAGAATGATGTCTAACTGTATCAACTATGTGAAAAAAATACATGCACCCTGGAAGGTTATGACATGAGAAATAAAATAGGCCAAATGATCAAAATTTTAGCATTTTTACCTATTAGCTAGCCAGCATCCAACCCATAGACGCAGGTATTTGAAATAATTGTGGGACTAAAATACTAATATCATGGGGCACCACTGGCCTAGCAGTCTAAGCACCTGTATAGAGCTTATGCCTTGAGAGGGCTTTCAAGCTGTCTGTAGAGTAATTTTTATCCTGCTTTCACAAGAACAGGATATATGAAGAAGAAGAAGAAGCAGCAGCTGCTTGTGATCTAACTGTAGCATCCCACTGAGGGATGATCAGATACTTTTGATACTAACATCAAACAACATTTGAGCTTACAGGTCTTTTAGTGACAATGAAAATGACCATTTAATGTCCGGATTCACTTCCAATCCATAACTTATCGCTGAACTAGCTTATATTTCAAAATAAAAGCATGGTTTTACAATGCAGGGAGTAAAGCAAACTAAATGAAAGACAGAGAAGAGAAATAAATATGAGCAAGAACAAGTCTTTAAAAAGGACGGTGGTTTCATAATCACAGCCAACATATTCATTCAACATTCTTAAAAGTAAATTGTGCCCACTTCATTGGCAACTTTTTTTTACTCATCACATGCAATCAGGTCTTATTTTCTACCGTAACGACTTGAAATCAAATGTTGTTTATATTAAGTGTAATGCGATCCTTTTATTGAAATAAGACTGGCTTAGTTTTGAGTTTTTGCAGTGCAGATGTTTGACTACGGTGCCTCAACCTATTTCAGCTTTTGTCTTTGTTCAGAGCAGAAAATTTGCACTTTTTGTTGTCTGTTTTTGTTGTCTTTGTTTTGCTGAATTAGCTTCTCTGTAGATCTGTCTGCATGTGTTTTTGTGCAAACCAAACACTCGGTCCTCGTTGAGGAGCTCGATCTATGACCTGCTCAGGAATGTCAGACAGCTGTGTGCGTCCATGACCGCCCATCTCCCACTGAGCCCATTATGTCTGCCCTCTCTCACACATACACCAAAGTCACATGATGAAGAAAAAGAAAAACCCTGCTGCTCTCATTTTTTGCATCCATGCATGCACACATTTGCTGACACATACACTCACCAAGACCTAGAGACCACTCACTCAGACAAAGGCACATAGAGTTTTGCACACAGACACTCGGGCTCCAGCCTCCCCTCCTCCCACCACAGCTACGATAACTGCTCAGACTGCACCACTAAAATCACAATCCCAGTGGAGACATATTGATATACAACCGGTGCCAGAGCTTACATGAAATACAGGAGTCAGGGGATTTATTCACATTTAACAAGAGGAATTGAACATAGTTGTGGTCTTTACAAACGATATCGAAGTCGGCTTGACCTGTGAAGAGTAAATCAAATGTATTATCTGTGTCTTCACCATCTCCTCTGCTGTTTTCACGCTAAACTCAATTCAGTCAAAGCTTATTGCAGTGTAATGGACACAGGAGAAGCCTGCAGGCTGGAGAGGAATGGGTCAGGGTCTGGTTTCCATTAAGCCCACATGCTGCTGATTTAGTACTGTCAGGCATGAAGAGGGGGGAGAGAAGGGATTTGAGGAAAAAATGCAAGTAAGAGAAAAAAAATATAAAAAATGGTGGTGGGGCGTTTGGAGAAACGAGAGAGAAACAGATGAGGAGAGAGAGGGTGGGCTCCGGCAGATTTTCCCTTACAGATTTCTCTGGGAAAGGAGGAGCGAGAGAGGGAAATAGGGGAGGAAGGATTTCGGGGAGGGGCAGCGCTGGCGTTGCGCCTCTTGACCTAGATAGGGACAGTGAGTCCACTCCTCCTTTTCAGGTCTTTTTTGTTATTATTAACTGAAGATGACTTCCTCTACCACCCATCCCGCTCTTCCTCTTTTCCTATTCTTCTTTTTTCCTTGTTTATACAATCTCAGTGTGTTGTTTTTCTGTATTGTGGTACCTAACCCCAGCTCTGTGCTCCCAAATGTGATCATTTCCCTCTACACCCTTTAGTAAAGTTAACTTAAACACACCAATTGTATCTGATGCACATACAAAATTTGACTCACAGTGTGTCCAGTGAGCTCACACCTAAGTTTCTGTGTGAAACCACGAATCAGTCACACACTCCAATCATCATTTACGTCAACTTTGTGCCTTTTTATCATCTCCTTCAGATTCCACTGTGCCTTTTTTGTGAAAATTTGGGGGCATTTTCTTTATACTAAAAATAGCATGAGGGAAAGTTTTTTTAAATGATATTTTTCTTTTTTTTTTTTTTTTAAATCAACTTTTCATCAGTAGTTTTGTAAATTTTGTTTCTGTTCATATTTTGTAACAATAGCAATACAGTAGATTTCTATGACCATGTTGATGCATGCAGGGCATGTTCTGTTAGGACTGTGCACTCCTGTGTAGAGTACAATAAAAAAAAATCTCACAATAAAACCCTGAGGTGAAAGCAAAAAGAAAATCTCTTCTGCAGTAGTTTGTGGCTTTATTTTCCTTTTGACTATTGACTTCTAACCAGCTGTTTCAGGTTTGTGGAGTTGATCAGACTTCTGGCCACAAGAGGGAATCATTGCTTCTAAAAAATACATTTCAAGGATTTTGGCTGTTCAAGTTTATTTTTATTACTTTTAGGGCTATTTGATCAACAACTTGCATCTAAAACACATATAATATTAGTAAAATGTTGGTTATAATCAATAATGTAAATGTTGTGAATCTATATAGTACTGGAAACAATGCCACGACAATGTAGTACATGTTGAAACAAAAAAAGTCATTGTGTTGCATCAGCTCCTCTTTAAAAATCTACTCTTTAAATATTCAGGACTCCAGAAGACCTGTTTCTGGAGTTTTGAAAGTGAAATGTTGTCCCCCTCTTGCCAAGAAGTGCAGCTGCTCATCAGTTCAGGGTCTCCTTTGACTGTTTTTTTTTTTTTGTTTCATAATGTGTCGGGTCTGCAGGCAGGACAGTTTGGTTGTTTTTTTATGCATCTACACACCTTCATGAATGCTGGCCTTGGAACTGTGCTGATAAGAAGCTTGATGGTTCTCTTCCACTTTTGAGCATAGGCTGTAGCAGCCATGATTTTCAGTCTTGGAGAAGGCCCAGAGAAGTTGCCAGCATTTCACAGTCTTATATAAATTACTCATTTTATGGTACAGTTGTGGAAGTAGAGACAAATGTGTTCACAAATAATGCTGTTTGGAAGAGATTTTGAGCCGGTGCAGTCATGCCAAGTCATGCCACCTGAAAGCCTGCAGTGATCACAGTGATCCAGTTCTGGGTTTGGGCCCTGTAGATTTTTCCAGATTCTCTGAACCTTTATATTTTGTACTGCAGGTGAAGATATTACCAAACTCTTTGCCATCTTAACCTTGGGAACTGTTTCTCATGCCGTCTCTCACAGTCTGGTGATCTTCCTCTCATCTTTACCTCTGAGAGACTAATCCTCTCTGGGGTGTCCTTTTTTATACCCTTTATTGTTCCTAACCTGTTGTAAATTAACCTCATCAGCTCAATCTGTTTATTTACTTACTTACTCATTTAGCATTACACAACTTTTGAGCCATTTGTTGTCTCTGGTCCAGCTTTTTGAAAGAAGTTGTTTTTTGGTTAAATATTTGATATGTTGCCTATGCACTATTTTCTATTCAACATAGGGTTTGGGGTTCGGGTTAGGGTTATTCACAAATCACCAAATTCTGTTTTCAGCAACATTTTACAAAATGTCCCAACTTTTATGGATTATATATTTTTAAATATATTTTTTTGATAATAATGTAAAAGTGTTGCAGAAATGGTGGCAGTAGCTGAGGAGGTGAAGCGGTCAGCTAACAACTGGAAGGTTGGTGGTTCGATTCCCCCCTTATCTCTAGTCTGTCTGCTGTGTCCTTGGGCAAGACACTTAACCTACCTAGCTCCTGGTGACTCTTCTCCACTGGTTTGGTTGTGAGTGTACGTTGCTTTGGATAAAAGTATCTGCTAAATGACAGTGTCGTCTTGTATTTTTTTTTCCATTTGAACATAAAAAACTTGAGTTTCTGGGTATTATGCAAACTTGCATGTAATACAAGAATTTTGCTTTGATTGGCAGGGTATTTTTTGTTTTGGGTACTTCTGTTTTGGTATCACTGTTTGAACGGCCACCTCTAAACATCAGTAAACAGATACAAGCATGGACTGTTGTGTGCACATGAGGTCTAAGTGTAAGTGAGCACACAGTCCTGCATGTCTTAATGTCAGGAGTAATCAGGATTAGCTTCCATCACAGATCATCCACCTCAGCTTTACCTCTACACCCACTTTCTCTGTCACCTTATCTCTCTTTTCTTTTCTTTTTTTGGTCTCAGTTTTTCTGTTGTTGCACAATTTTAGCTCTTCATTTTTCTCAGTCTCTTGTGCCATAGAGATCAACAAATTGAGCCATGAATAAATAATTCCTTTAAACTGAGGCTTTTCTCTCTTCCTCTCCAATGAGCCTTTGAGTAATCTTACCTCATGTTATCCAGATGTTCAATTAGGATTTAGGCCACAATGATGCTGTCATATTTCAGCCAAGGGATGACGCTCGGTGTCATCAACCTGATCTCCTTACTTATCCTCCACTGAGCTGATAATGGGATGCACCTGTTGCCTCCTGCTTCATTAGCACCATTAAATCCTCTGTAGTTCTCGAACACAAATGCTGGCCTTTCTGGAGACTGTCAGATCTTTACAGTCATTAGTTGTACTTGTCCTCGGCTCTCTGATCAACAGCCTTTTAAACTCTATATGCCTGCAAACTTAACAAACCTCATGCTGCATGCAATGTTTGTTGGGATATATTTCCTATTATTATATATCCTATTATATATTTTTTTTTTAACCAAATCTTAGAGGCTTTGATAGGCTATAAAAGTTTACTACTGCTTAAAAATTCAATTCCAAAGTAAGGGACCTTAAAATATTTGATTAGCTGTGCATTTCCAGAGTTAGCTCTTTGAAATCTTGTGGTCTCTGTGTGGCCTCCAGAAGCAGAGAAGAAGTAGATCATGAGAGGTCTAGTCAGACCCCTGGACTGAGACCGACTAATAAGCTTTACTTTCTCCTGACTGTCTCCTGACTATTATTCCTTATAAAGGGAGACTGTGCTAAGCTCAGGTCTGGTTGGTCAGGTGGAGGGTCTGCGTCACTAGTGGGGGTTGTAACGGTCAAGAGGACAGTGAAGAGGATGGCTTCCTGATCACTTATGACTGACATATTCTGTGAGAAATAAGACTGCTGCTTTTGGAAGAGTGTGGACCTACATTAAAAGACGATGTAAAAAGTTTCAATCTAAAAAAACACTATTGATCCAAATGCAAAAACATGTTGCAAAATCTTTGGAAGTTTTCCACTTGAAGCAGCTGGAAATGGCTCAAATCCCTGCACTATTTGCTTGTTTGCCGTCTGATCACCCGTGGGCCGGTGATAACCCTTAGTTACGGGGATCATGTCCTGGTGATACTTTTCAATGCCGTTAATCTGTGATGGCTCATGAACAAGGATTGTTTCCTGACCTTCAGGTGGTGCTTGTTAATCCAGTTAGCTTCAGGCAGCCGTTGTAACAAACCAAGCAGTCCCGTGTTTTGCTGCACTCTGGATCTGTACTCCAACGGTATGCAGAGCCTCCTGTAGAAACTCAGGTAAGAGACATGAGCCTTTTTGTCTCTGTGCAAAGTCAAGAACTGATCATTGAGGTGGTGAAAGAAAACCAAAGAGTGAGAGATTTGAAGTCATGCATGTTGTTGTTGCTTGATATTTGAATCTTGTGATTTACTTTTGTTGAAGTCTGCTTTGCAAACTATAAGAGTAGATTCATATCTTTGTAATGTTCTCATGGCTGAGAGTTGTAATGAGAGTGTGGCGAAGATACCAGAGGTGTTGATCCAGACTTTTATGCATTGAGGAAGGGTGCAGTTTTGAGGCTTAGCTGCAAGGTCTAATCCAACATGCTTGTCTTCAGATTAGGCCGAGCAAGAGGACCCTCTGATCTCTGCAGATAGGGAGAGTGCGTCAAGAGTCACACACTGGGTCCATCAGAGACATTTTAACAGCTTAATTGTTGATTTATAAATTGCCACTTGAATGTCGATGGTACTGATTTGTGATATACATTTTAGAGTTTACAAAGTTTTATATTAATCAACCAATCAGTGCACATACAAATAAATACGACGTCTCCCAAGGTTACAAAATGCTCCTGCAGTTTGACTAGTTGTGGTCATAGTCCTGTGAAAATCACAGCATTTTTACGTGGAACTAGGACAGCCGCCCTGTCAGTTTGCAGAACATCTTGCAGCTCTGGTGTCTCTTTTCTCTTTTCTTGAGATATTCAGCACATCTGATACTAGAAGTCAAGTTCACCTCATGCTGGTTTTACTCCCACCTTGAACTAGCATGCATGATTACTTTAAGACTCCTCTCCTGCACATTTGTCACAGATTCCTCCATGGCTAACTGATTTAACTCTTTACCACCTGTACAGGGCAGGCTAATGGTAAAGCAGCTTATGGTTCACTTCTGCTGCTTTACATTTGCACCTTTGCCCTTTAGATTCCTCTGACTCCTCATTCCTGTGCATGTGGGGGAAAACTCCTGATGTCTTTGTCTTTTTTTGGTACTTTATGAAGACAAATCAGGTCTAAACTTGACCTGACTGACACTTTCCTCATTCCTCGTTCTGCAAAACTCTGTAATTGATGTGCGAGAAAGATTAAGGTTGACTTGCACAGAGCACGGAGTGAAACAGACGTTTGGCTCAAAAATGCAGCTGGAGCCAGAAGCCAAGACTTAACAGGAGAACGTCCTTCATCAGACCTGGTAAGCTCAGGTTAAGAGCTCTATGTCTGATGGATGAAGAGGACACTTTCATACGGCACGAGGAAAAACTTATTAAGGAATTATCATCAGCGTTCTGAGAAATGAAGAGCTTTTCGAGAGGATAACAGTGTTTGTATTTGTTTGTTTGTGTGTGTTCAACAGGATGTTTAACTGGGTGGTGAAAGTGGTACCCCAGCCCCCCGATCTTCCTAAGACAGAAGAAGATGCTAAAGCTGCTGTATGTCAACACACACTCATATACACACACACACACACACACATAGACTATAAGACAAACCTGTAGTGTGTACCTTTGGGGTGTTTCTGTTCTGACTGTCTCGCTCTCTGTCTCCCTCAATTCCACAGAACAATAACAAAAGCAAAGAGGGTGAGGTTCATTTTCATCTCTCTTTACTCTTTTGTTCTGCATTTATAACAATCAACAATAATGTGTAAAATACATTTACATGATAAGATGCCTCTAAACTATTGTACTGTTGTTTTTGACCCAACCATCCAGCAGTTGATAGTGCATCAGTGGACAGGTAAACCTCTTTTGAAACTATTTTCTCTGCATGATATCTCAAGTTTGTGCAAGTGTGTGCATACATGTAGCCACTCTGATCATATCTTACCTCTCTAACTCTACAGTCAGACCCAGTCTGGAGTTTTAGGCTGGCTGTCGAATGGATTTGTCAGCACTCTGCCTCAACCAGCCGGCTCCCCTGGACTCAACGCTGAGGCCAGGGTGAGTGGTCATACTCAGGCGTATATCAGGTTTTCTACATGACTGAATTAAAATTGAACTTGCTTAAACTTAACTATTCTATAGTTTAATTACTCATAACCTGTATTTCTAACAATATGTCATTAATAATACATTATAATTTGTGCAAGTATGAAAAATCTCATAAGTCAGTCTCATTAATGGGAGGTTCATACTAATATTCACACTTACATTTCATGTAAACTTGAGGTCTGACTGGCTGATATCTGGCATTGATTAGAGCCAATATTGGCCATGCTGTATGTGTAAATCTTAACTGGCTTAGATGGATTGTCATTTGGCATGTAAGTGTAAATATTAGAGATTTTGTGTTAAAGCTGGTTGCAGTTTAGACAAAGAAAAAGGCTTTTTTTTTCAACATGATTTACAGTTGCCCTTTTTCTGACCCTGTTCTTTTTTATTCCCTCTTTTCCTTAAATGCCATCTACCAGAATGAGAATGGAGAAAGGTACAGCATAATCAGATAAAAGTCAGTATTAAATGCTTAAAACATTACGTGGAGGTATATTTAGCTCTGCTTTTCTTCCAGGACTGGAGTGATTGGCTGGGTTTCTCAGGGTTTGACCCGGGTGTTACCTCAGCCGGACGACAAATACAAAGAGATTCATGATCCAAATGAGGAGCACACTGAGGTGAGACTCAGATCAAACGCAGGATCCTCCACGAGAAATCAAAGATGCACTCATTTCCTTTGCAGAGACAAACACCAGAACACTAAAGGATCAAATTTATCAACTCATATTTTCTGTTTTGATGATCACATGAATAAATCAAGGAGATAAGACAGCAACTTATTCAGTCTATCAGACTCGGGTTAAACATCTTAATGCTGTCACACAGGCTTGTATGACTAATCATGCATGAGGATTAGGCTTACAGAGAAATAGCAGGAGGTTGAGCCGGGGTTAAAGCCCTCCATTAACTTCACTGCTGTCTATTCATGTGACTGACAATGCAGGAAGCCTGGGGCTGCGGGGTTAATCATGCAGACAACTTGCAGGAAATGTGTATTTTCATCATTTTCTGAGATTTCTGCAGGCAAGGAGCAATCCACCTGTTTCATGTCCCCTCTAAATTGCTGAAAAAGTCATAAATGAGTGAGGCAGATCAAGTGAGTTGATTGAGCCTTTTGTCCATAAGGCCCCATGTGTAGCTCTAGTTGGCCAAACTGTTGCTCTTCATGTTACTCTGTTCGGTATGCCATTAAAGGGTCCTTTGGGACATGAATTTTATTGTTGTGTTGGGCCCCATTTGTAGTCCATGTGAGGAGACACATGCTGTACTGAATGGAGCTGATGGACAAAAAATAGCAGAGCAGCTTTGACTTCTGTGTGCATGGCAAACTAACAAAATAAGAAAATATCATCAATAACCGAGAATAACGGAACAAAATAATTTTTTTTAAGATTTCAAGGCATCATCAAAATAAAGTTTATCCAGAGCTGCCAGCACTGAAATGTAGTCTACAGATAATCTTAGGAACTTAGACTAAATGACCAACAGTGATTACAAAGGGCTGCCTGTTAGCCTCCCCGCTCTTCATAATGGACTACATTTACAGCACATTTGATCCAGAATCCTGACACTTGACACAATGTGAAGCAAGTGTTTTTTAATCTTTGAGAAAAGTATAACTTCAGCTTTAAAATAGATGTTCCATGTTCCTCGTTTTAGTTCAGACAGCTGTCTGCTCTTCTGATCTTTCCCTTTGAACATAGAAAACTATGGCTTTTTTCTTCATTTTAATAAGTTTTGATAAGCATAATACAACAACTAAATTGTCACAGATTTATGTTTTTTTTTCTATTACTGTCATATGTTTTATCTGTGTTATTAGTTAATGATAAAAGTCTTTTTTGACAAAAAAAAAAAAAAATAGGGAGTAGTGATAATTTGCTATTATTTCCTTTGATAGTTTAAGATAAAGTAAGATTGAAGGTCATTTATTAAGGTAATCTCTTCTCCAGAGAGAAGAACACAAACTGGATTACTTACTGCAGCTTTCAATGCTGTGTCGGCACAAATAATTTTGGAGAGTTACAGTGAGACATTGAGATTTTGCTCACTTATAACTTTATGTCATGTAGCTGTATGAAACATAACTTTTAACATCATTAGAAATGGACAATAACATGTTAGTTGGTCAACTGCATTTATTTTAACAGTTAATGAAATAATATGTCTTGCCCATAGTCTATGGTCTTGCCTTTCCTCATTTTTCCCCCCTGAAGTTTTCTATAGATATTAAAATAGTGTTGTCATCATTAAATACTTTGACCATAATGTGAAAATATGACATCCTGACAGTCCTAGTTGCAAAAATGCATTTCCATAAGCTTAAAATCACACTCTGATGCCTTGACTTTTCTTTTGTCTCAGGTTTATGAAGTGGATAAGATGCCTGGTATGAGACTTCCTCATTTGCCTCAAAATACTCAAAATAACTACCTTTAATGTTTTGTTGATTGATTTAAATTCATGAAATAAGAACTTTACCAGCTGCTCTCTGACTGGTCTGTCTTTCCAGATTATGATCCTCTCCCACACATCCCTGTGGTGGAGATGCACTCAGATGACGAAGGTGATGTCGAGGACATGAGCCCGAAATTTCCTCCCAAGTGAGTAATCAAAGTCAAACACACTCCTCGGGTAAGACACACAAACATGGAAATGCCTGACCTCTCTTTTTTGCTGCTGCAGCGTGGTGAACTGGATAAAGCAGATGGTCCCTCAGCCTGCCATGTTGCCCCCTGGTGCTGTACCACTGGAACCAAGGGAGCCATCAAACAAGTCTGCCAGATCCTCTCTGGACAAAAGTACTCATACACACAGAATATTACAATAATAATAATAATAATAATAATAATAATAATAATAATAATAATAATAATAATAATAATAATAATAATAATAAACCACTTAACTATCTGCTTCAAATCCTTGAGCCTTAAAATCTCCCTGACACTGAACATACTTTTTAGAAATGTATTTGATAGATTTGTCTTTAGTTGAAAATGTTTAATCTTCTTCTCCGCGTGTCCCCTCTCTCCAGTTTTGTCTCCACCACCTGAATCTCTCAGTGGAATCTCTCTGGATACTGACAGCAAAGCCTCAGGGTATGTTTTTATCACTCACTGACCTTTTCACTGACAGCCAGTCATTCTAATCATCTCATATTTGCAAATGTGTTAATTGGCAATTTTTTTTTCTCGTTAAAACAAAATAGAAGAAGTGGAAGTATTTCTGTCAGTAAGCACAACAGTCCCAATACCAAATATAGTGCAAAGAAATCATTTTCAAATGTACAGACTGAAAAGTTCACTGTTGCATGAAAAATGCAGTATATATTCATCAAAATTTGATGCCAGCAACATAATACTAACGGTTGGGACAAGCACAACAAAACACTGAAAAAGTTGTATAATGCAAAAAGAAATCTGGAGGAACATCTCCCAGCATATGAGGCTAATTTGAAACAGGTTACAAAAAGGACAAAGCTAAAAACCAGGATTGGGTGGCTGAGATCTGTGGGTCCGCAGGCAGAGTGACACTTCTTTTTTACACTTCCTTTTACACTCCACTTTCTTTCAAGAGTGGGACAACATTTTAATTCAAAACTTTAGGAACTGGTCTCCTCAGTTTCCAGATGTTTGCAGAGTTGTTAAAAGACGGTTAACATGTAATATTGCATGTCCTAACTTTTTAGACACGTGTTGACAGCATCAAAATAAGCAAATATATTACAACTACTTTCACTTAACGTAATTTTTTTTTTTTAAACACTTTGCACAGATTGTATTCTACTAAAACCATCACAGATATTCACTTATCAAAGCAGAGATTTTAAACTATGGGGTCCTTTTATTCATGCATTTGTTTCCATAAATTGATTTGGCTACTGTTTTTCCAAAACCAATTGTTTTTACTGTTTTTGATCTTGCTTCTTTGGAAGAACTGCCATGTAGCTTGGCATTTAAACTCTGATCTTGTTACTTTCGTTCGCTAGTTTATCAGTTTTTCTGTTGACAGGGTGATTGGCTGGTTTGTGTCTGGACTGGGCCTGAAGTTGCCTCAGCCCGCACTCCCACTGAAAGATGAGCCTGAGGTAATTTTAGCTTATTAAATCATTTTCTCTTTTCCCTCCTAGTCCTTTTTGTCTTCTAACCTGTAATTCTTGTCTTATATTCAGTGTCATTTTCACTTTCTGATACTCTATCCATGCTGATTTATCTTATGGGACTGCCTTTTATGTTTGTTTTCCTTTTTTTCTCCCAGAATCCAGTTGAAGTCCTGCAGAAAGGTAAGTTGTGGTTCCCTTTTATTAAATTTGACCTGTTGAGTAGAAACAAAGCTTGTTCCTAAGTGCCACAATTCACAGTTAAATCAAGTGGATCTATCATATCATGTTAAGTGATCTAAGAATAAATCTTACAACAAAGAAGAAAAACATCTCTTTAACAAAATGGGGTGTGCTTTAATGAAGTCACTTTTTAAGTCACTATTTAACTGCCTCCTGTCTCCTTTTGCGTCATATCTGGAAAGTATAAAATATGTCTTTCTGCTGAAGCACCCTCTTGTTTTTCCACCCATAGTTTTTGAAGAGGTGTTTTGGTCGGACGGCCGGAGCTTAACTCAGTTCCTCTTCTCCTTCTGTTTCAGGGGGGAAGGCGCTGCGAGCCCCTTAAACAGCAGGAGGAGACGACTGGGGGAACGCTCTGATTTCCACACAGACAAACACACAGGCAGATACCGATAGTCAAATCGAACTGTTGGCAGAGCAACAGGTGCTTTACAGCTCAGCGCAGAGAGCAGGCAGCTGTTAAAGATGACAGAGCGAAACTCAACTCACCCTTCTGTACTGAATTTCATATGAATGTATTACAACTTAAAATAAGAGCACTGATATGATAAAAAAACTGTACTGTATATTACATAGCTTATCAGATGTGTTCATGTCTACAGTCTTGAATGTAATGTAAAATGAATTTGCACGTTCTCTGTTTAAAACAGAATCATTTAGTGAATGCCACTTATATATGCCATGTAGTTAGGCGTATGCAGTAAAGATTGCAGTTAGGACATTTATGCTTTACTTTTTGTGCTTTAATCTGCACTGTGATTCATGTTGCCATTTTCACATCCATTAAAAAAAGCCATAGATGATAAGAAGATAATATACTGGTCATTAGATTTTATATGAATCTGCTTCAATATAAGAAGTCATATCTGTTATTCCTAATTCACAAAATCCGCAAAGAATACCTAACTGGCAGCTATGTTCACCAATTAAAATATATTTTTCTGACAAAGTCAAAAATATACTTTTATTTTTTCTTAATATTTAGAGGAATTCATTCGAAAAGTTTATTTTTCCATATATGCACCCATTTCTTAGTGACTGTGTTAGAGAAAGCAGAGTCAGATATCTGTGCAGTTGTTTAAAGCTTTCCCATAGTTTGAACCAAAGTTGAAAACACATGTTGGGGGGGCAGCACCTGTGCTGTAAGGTCTACTTTGATCCACTTGATTTATTTCTAATGCTTTGAACTGTGAAATGTGGCCTGAGGGTCATGGCTTGGTGTTGTTTCAGAGGGTTTGGTTTGATTTCAAAGAACTATACTTTCTGGAGTTAAAGCTTGTTCAGTGTAATGCAAACATGGTAGAAAATATAATATCATATACTGTAATGTAAGATCACTGCAGGAACAATAAAGATTCAGTGTGAAAGTATTCATGTGGTTGTTTTTATCAATGTTCTGCTGTAAAACGACTGCAAGCACCTTTCGCCTGCATGCTTACACATTGAAATAATTAATATATAAAACCTTTTGCATAGTTTCACATTCTCAGATATCAAACAAACCCTTAATAACTGATAGTGTAGAAAAGCTTAATCTATTGCTGTCTATAGCAGCAGTTCTGACAGATACCCTCAATAGAAAATCCGCTGTGTATTTATTACTTTAAAATAAAGTCCAGTAGTTAGTGTCAGTAGTTTTGAAGATCCCCCCATAACTGAAACACCCTGGTCCAGCACACTCTAAAAACCCCTAGGTTAAAATCAACCCAACTTGGGTTGTTTTTAACCCAACACCAGGGTTGAAAAGGGTACAACTACTTATTGGTTTATTTTGACCCAGAATGTTGAGTTATTCAAATTAACCCAAGTTTTGGGTTGACTCAATAACCCTTTTTAAGGGTCAAGTTAAACCAGTCTTTGGGCTCTATTTTGGTGCCTCGCCGGAGACGTGCCGCAAGCGCAGAGTCAATCAGATCCGCCGCGCTGACAAGGCGTTCCCAAGCACATTTTGGTATTTTGGTGAGCCGCGCAGCCCGGCGTAAGTATCCCCCCTCCCTAACTCAGCTCCTCCCGGCAGCATAAATCATAGAAGGGGAGGAGAGAGGGCGTATAGGGGTTTAACACAGCCGAGACCTGTTTTCACCAATCACATAAGCTCCTCTCCTTGCCTTTAAATCCGCCACCGGCGAGGCGTATTACCATTTTCATGAAGTAGTCAAAGAGATCGAGAGATGTCTGAAGACAGCTATGCCACACGATGGCGACAGAGGGCAGCTGCTCAACAAGTGTCCTCCACACCCTCTCATCTGAGCACAGATAGATTTGGTGTGCGTAATGTTGGACCCACTGGTAAGACAAACACCCTTTTCCACAAAAAAGACACTCACATAAAGTTGCATATATTCAAACCTCACGTGACAAAGGTGGGTTTAGCGCACAGATCACAACATAAACTCCAAAAATGGCATTAAAATCGGAACCATCTGTGCGTAAATGACGCATCGCGCTCCGTGGCCTGGCTCTTTCTTTCATAGATGTTGGCATATAAAATAAATTTGGCCCACAAAACTGAATATTATAATATCCGTATGTCGGCTTAAAGTAGATAACGCATCTGAGCACTGAAACAAATCATCTGTTCAGCCGCAGCAGCTGCAGCAAGACGGACAGAGGACACGGAGACGTGTCCAGGTCGAGCTGTGCGAGAAATAAGAGGAAGAAAGAAAAGGAGGGAGACACATTACATATCTTGTTAACTTCATCATGTGTGTTTATTTACTAGATATTTAATTTAATTTGATGCAGTTTCAGCTGTGTTGATTCGGTCAGGTTGTGTGCCCAAACGCGTGCCAAACGCGTGCCAAACGCGCTCATCAGATCAGATATAGATCAGAATATATCGATATAGATCTAAATGTATGTGCTGACTCAGATTAATAGTTGTTGATGATTATTTATTGCACTGAAATGTGCCTGACACTGTGGAAACCTGCCGGTGAGGCATCAGTGACGTATGTCGATACGCCGCCGGTCTACCAAAATACTACAAGACCAGCTGCGTTCCGCCTTGCGCTGAAAGCTGACCAGGTTTGAATCGGCGAGCTTTCAGCGCACGTTACACGCCGGTGGCGAGCACGAAAATGTCACTGCGCCAGCTGATTCTGTCAACACCTCCCCCTGCCACGCCACCACGCCCAGCTTGGCGGATCTCGGCTCGCCTCCGTGCGACTCAGTCCACGAAAATACCAAACTCGCCTTACGCTGGGCTCCGCCAGACGAAAATACAACTGCGCGGGGCTCGCCGCCCTCCGCCGCCTCACCGGCGCGAACGAAAATAGAGCCCTTTGAGTTAATTTGACGCATGATCTTGGGTTAAAGTGATACATGCATTTGGGGATGCATTTATTTGGGAGCTCTGCTTTTACAACCTGTACCTTATTTTCCCATGTACTTTTATCTAACTGATAGTAGGCTCTACCTGCTGAGCTACCCAGCCACCCAATATATATTGGAGTAGCTCCCCCTCATTAGGCCTAGATACCATGCAGAGTCAATCCAACCCAGTGTTCTAACCCAATTATTGGGTTACTCTCAGAAGAAAAACCCATAATTATTAACCCATTCAGATAACCCTCAAATTGGGTTATAATAGAATCCATATGACCCAAGAAATGGGGATGGATCTGAAAAATAACCCAGAAATTTAACTCAACACGTAAAACCCAGGAATTGGGTTGAAGAAATAACCCAAGTGTTTTTAGAGTGAATCATCAAATGCCACCCAACTCTCACAAAGAAGTCTCACAAACTGTCTCACCTCTTTATAGTTTCAACCAAACTCAAGCCTGACATGGTGCTAGAGGATGTGGATTCAGACAACGAAGATGAAACTAGAATCAGGAACACAAATAACCAGCAAAATGCGTCACAGCAGTCAAACTTCATTGCCAGCCTAAAAACGAAACCACAACCTTCAGAGACTCTGGCAAGAATGTCTGTCGAAGATGCCGAGACACAGACCGGACGCTGGACGCCATTCATTCAAAGCATCAAGAAGGAGGCTGAAGATGTGGCCATGGCTACCATGGAGGAACGGTGAGGAGGAAGTGGTTGGGCTGTACTTCTTAGCCATTACAGTACCCCAATGCGGTAACACTTTACTGAAGAAAAGACTAACTTCTAAACCAAACATTACTACAAGTACATTTACTGCACATGTAATCAGATGACATGTAAAATATCCAATCTGCCATTTAAGAAGCATTGCAAGCATTCTGTAAACCCCTTTTTATAGAACGACTCAATTTGAATCCACTTTATTCCCTGTCTATGTAGTCCCATTGAAGAAAAAAACTGATGTTACTAACTTGGCTGAAATGGTGTACACATCTCCACACTGTGTTACTGAGCTAAATTAAGCAGGCAGACTTTGCTGTTGCATCTAAACTTTTAACACTCAGGAATGACACTTGGAACATCCAATATTGCTTTTATTATATTTACTGTACATTAAGTGCACATCATTATGTCCCATCCTTCTTCAGTCTGATGCTGGAGCGCCTGGAGATGGTTCGTATGGCTGAAGAGGTAGCCAGGCAGACAGCTGAGATAGCCATTAGACAGATGGCCGGTGAGGGGCAATCTGTCAGACTCTCTCTGGGGAGTCAAGAACTGCTGGAGGAGCATGAAATTGAGTAAGATCTTTTGCCTGTTCAAGTTATTTTTTGATATTTTGTTATTACCCGGCTTTCTTACTGTTCAAATGGCTTTTTATTCTTAAAAGCAGAGAGATAATAGGGATAATCTCATCTCAGTGGTCACACATATCAAATGCATCCAAGGAAAGGCGTTAGAGCTGTTTATGATTTTACTTCTGTTAGCAATCTCACAAAACCTCCCCTTCAGGTAGCATCAGGAGACAACATCAATGAATTTTAAGAAATAGCTTAAAACTATGCAAAAACTGAGATTAACATTGACAAGATTGAAGAAAAGACAAAGCATCCACAAACAATAACATGGTACTGACTTTAGCAGTGATGCACACATATATGAGTGAGTAAGGAAATACCAACAGAGTATGGGGAGGTGTTTGAAAAGCAGATGTTACATTTTAGATTTAAATATTGAATAAAAATATGGATATCAAATATTAAATCTTAATGTTGAATATCGATATTAAATGTTGACATAACAAACCATTAATATTTAATATTTAGACTTTTGAATATGACCTTTGAATGAACATACAACATTAAGATTTAACAGTGACTATATTTTTATGTGTTTTGAAATGTCAATACATGATGCCAACTTGTTTGTAGCTGATTGCCGGGTAATAAATGGGATAATGTATCGCCTAGTAAGGGGTCATTCCAAAAGAATCCTTTCAGAGTGGACAAGACCCTGAGGGTCTTTGTTTAACTCTGTTGGAATAACTCTATGTACATTATCCCTGACTTAATATTATGTGATGCTGCATGTTCACTATTACCAGGCTGCCAGTGACACCAGAAGAGGAGAGTGAAGAAGAGCACGTTGAAATCACAGAGTAAGACAGTAAATCTCATCTTTGGGAATCCTTTATAGAATCCTGAATCCTCTTAGTATTCTCAAAGGGTTTGTTTCCTGATGCTCTTTTGCTCTTGTTTTTATGATGAAACTTTATGGTGACTTTTAATTTAATATTCAGTGTTACTACATTGCAGTTGTCTCATTCATATCCCTATTATGTGTCACAAATGACATCATGTGGCACTACGGGACAAAACTTTCAGGTAGAACAAAATGAGTGATATTCATGTAAAAACAGCGCAGTCTTCCCTTATTAATAGAACTCATTAAACTACAGACTAATACCAAAATGTAGGCTATGAATATATATGGGAAATTATTCCTGAACACAATTAAATATGCAAACAAAAGGGAACGTCTGCATGTTAAAAAGGAATAGGCAACAAGCTTAAAAATTAGATATCCAGTCTAATACAAAGCCTGATGGGAAATGAGTCATGATTGACTGGTGCTCTTTTAAGGCTATTTAACTATTTGCAGAAACAAGACCAACACAGGAAGTTTTGTTGTGGAAAACATTTATGCTATGCAGCAATAACTTGCCCAGTTATTTTTACATACATGTCCTCAATTAATATTAACCTTTAAACAGTAGGCCTTTATAAAAATAACAGAGCTAAAGAGTTAATGCTTTTTCATGCAAAATTGTGATTGTAACATTTACCAAAATTGATTTTAATACTGTCGTTTAAAAAAAATGTCCAGAAATAAGGCAGATTACGTCATTGCATAAAACTGACAGTCTCTGCACTTCAGAGTGGTCCATGAATCATTAAATTGGCTTAAAATAAGTGAATACAATTACAGGTAAGCAGCGCGGTACTTCAGTATACTTTGATAGTATTCACTATATGGCTCTCTGATAGTACGCAGTCTATGAATTGGCTCACAACATGAAATTTTGACCTCAGCTGGTCTCAATTCAGGTCTAGTGCTGCTCCCAAATCCCGCGGGTTCTCGCTCCCTCAGCATCACTACCCTGCCATAGCAACCGAAGCTTCCCTTGGCAACGGCCGGCCCCCCCGCCCTCCTGCCCCCCTCTCAACGGTTCCCCCGGTAACAGAGCGCACCTGCTGCTGCTGCTGCTGCTGTTTCACGCCTGGAGTCTCATAGAAAATGATAGACGAAGGTTGTATGAAATATATTCCCTTTTGTTTGCTCAAAATGTTTAAGTCTTCAGAAAAATACTCCTCCACCGAGGCTAAGTGACTTAACATTTCGATGCTCGTGACCGTTTTCTTTGGGGACTATCGACGGTCAACGTGCGTGTATGTTGTCAGAGAAAGTAAGTAACGACATCTTGTAATAACGACGTTTTAGGGTAGTTTAAGGACACATTTTATACAACTAACTCGTGGTTACCGTTAATTTAACCTTTGGCTGTATACCGTAACCGTAAAAACAGGTAATTAAGGTTATGCAAGTTCACCTGTTTCATGAGAAACCAAGTCAGCCGTTTAATGCTAACTACAACAGAGAGGAAACACTTTGTCCTATCTTTAGTCTGCACTGAGTGAGGTCGTTTCTCCATACCGAGTGTGGAGCTAATGGTGGATTTATCTTGACTTTTTTGTTGTGGTGTAGGCTATTCAGGCTTAAAATAATGGTCTTACAAATAATTGGTGAAAGGAGGGAAAACAAAGTAGTCACAGTTATGATTAAGTTCAGTAAATTGTACAAATCATAAACAATATAATGCACTGCAGGTATTTATTAGGATGCACCAGTTGAGAAAATTGAGCTCAATACTTGTTTTTATAATTTGTCACACTAATGTTTTTTCCACTGGGCAATAGAACCAAACAAATCTTTCTTAATACTATAAAATGAACATAAATAAAGTCATTCAGGGGTTTATTGTACCGTCAGTGACTCAGGTTGCAGGATTTTTCCAAACAAGTTTAACTTTAAAGGCACAGTGTGTAGGATGGAAATGTTCTGGTAGTTAGATAAATTGAAATGCTCCCATGCTCACTCCTCCTGAGTGAAAAGATGGCAGCCTATGAGGACAAAAAGCTCCTGTGATGCTATTAGTACTCTATTAACCTCACAAGACAACAAACTATTTAAGACAAATTTTTGGAAACACTCTCATAGAACCAAATCTTCTTTTTATGAAGAAAAAAATGATAATTATAGAGAAAACCTGGGAAATAAAACAAGAGAGTTTTTAAGACCTTAGAAATAAAATCTTTTTTTTGAATTGATTAATTTGCTGCATTTGAATATATCTAAATATCACATGTGGTTTTGGCATTGATGTACCAAAATTAAAAATAACCAGATGGTCAGATGATAGGTGCACCGTCAATCTGTTAGTAACATACTCTCATACAAAGCTTATAATGTTATTTTAATGCTCATCGCCTTAGGACATAACACACTGTAGCACCTTCATTTTTTGGCTGTTTGACATGCGTTTCATGTCTCTGCTGCATTAATAACAATTTTCCTCAAGGCTGAAATACAGAGATTTCGAGCTTGTAATCACTAATCAATGCAACTCAACATACTGTACACTAGCTCCTGCAATCAGTGTGTGCCAAGTGCTTTTCTGACAGGCTGATGCCAGCCAGTACTCAGCTGATATTTCTTTGCATTGTTGGGAGCTATCTAATTTGAGACATTCATTTAAGAAACCAGATATTCAACACAGACTGGACAAATCTCCCCTGTTTTCTGCTACATCCACCATCCTCTATCTGTCAATAACAGCCATTAAAGCCAGAAAAACTTAAAAGAAAGAAGAAAGAAAGGAAGAAAATCAAAATTGTAACTGTTATTTCTCTAATCATACTGGTCTTAGGGCATAAGAAATTGCCTGTGTCCCAATTTTTTGCTCCTGGTTTCGATGTTCATCTTTACTTTAGGTGCAGTTTTAATTCAAAGAAATAAAGCCAGCTATATCATCGACTGTTAAGTTATTTTGTCCCCTTTCTTGTCCTTTAGAGAGGACCAGAGCCTTGCTGAGGACCGAGACGAGAGAGAGCTTGGAAGGCCTGACACTAGAAGATCAGGTAAATAGGTTTTTAACTCCAGCATATTATTCATCCGTGTATATCTTTGTTATATCTAGATCAAAACACACCACTGTATGTTAAATACAACTGGGTATTCTAATATTTCCCTCCAGAAAAAAGGCTACAGCAGACACCCCCCTTTTCCTCTCCAAGTCCTGAACCAGATTTGACATCTAATGCAAAGCATGAAACTAAAACAAAACCAAAAAGCAATGACAAGGAGGCGATCTCAGAAGCTGAGCCTATAACTCAACAGCCGCAGAAAACAAGAGAAGAAGAAGACCAAAACCCTGAGTCTGACAGAGCAAGTGAGAAGGTAATCACTATGTAAGGAATGCTTGTCACAAATTAATGTTGCGTTAGCTTCATAAATCTCCTGATTTCATCATTTGCAGACTACTTTATCACTTTAGGCTTCTTCTTTGTTTATTTTTCCCTCCCTGTCCCATCTTTAATGCATTTAATAAACACTAAACACTAACACTAAAATAAAAAGGTGTAAAACAGAACTTGTATATATATAGAACTTGTATATTAGCTGACTTCATACATCTACTTTGATATCTGTGTTTTCTACTTACTTGCTTTTGCATCATCTCACAAAATATCTTGTTTTTTTAAGTTTTTGTGTTTATGGTCAACAAACACCTGACTTTTTTCATAGTCAGGTTCATGAAAATATTATTTTTGTCATACACTTTCATATAAGTCTGTCTCTGAGATATCCCATCTTTACTGATTCCCACCACTTCCATTGTCCATTTTTATAATTACTTGGTATCATTTTCGTAGGGCGAGGAAGTTGCTGAAGAAGGCTGTGGTGGTAAGTATTATTCTTCCCATTGTTTCATCTTGTTCCAATGTATTTATATGTGATGGCCCCTTATGTTGGGCTACTTTTTGCTTGTCTATATCCACACATATGCAAACAACAACAAATACTGCTGTCCCTCAGTATCTGTTACACTGGCTGACTCAACTTTTCAGTACTTGTAGTCTCCCTGTTCTGGATAATATCCATTATCTTTCTTATCTAGAGGGTGTCCCTGCTTATACACCAGCCTTCCTGAATGTGAGTCTGTCTCTTTTATAGCTCCAGTCACCTGTGATGCCTTCAAGAGCTGCCTGATGCGCATTCCTCACACCTCTGAGTGCCTGGGCAATATCAACGCATACTTCAAAGAGAACGGCATTTCTCCTCCCAAAGTACCCTCCATGCCTGAGCTACCAAAACAGCTTTCTGACGTTACCAAACACTTACCCCGCCTCCCCTCCCTGCCCCCCGAGCTGCGCCAAGAGTTATCCCAAATCCGACTCACACAAGTCCCTAGAAATATTGCCACAACTCTGACAGAGCTTTTACCTAAGAACGCAGACGGCTCAGTTGGCCCCACTTTGTCCAGTGTCTCCCAAGGCCTTTCAACCATCCCACAGAAGGTCTCCCAGTTCCCCTCAAAAACACAGCAGTACATCCTCAACATCCAAAACCGCCTTAACAGCCTCATGCCACAAGATGCCTAGAAAACAACAACAACAGCAAAAACAAAAGAATCATTCAGATGTTGAGCTGAACCGGCTTCGACACTCCCCTCTCCCTCCACCTCACTATCCTCAGCTCAGGTCCCGTTCCCCATCCCCATCCTCCCCCAATGGTAGTGCCCTTGAACTGCCCAATGTGCCATCCTACCCACGCCTGCCTCCGATTGTCAGTCCCCCATCGAGGCAGCTCCACTCACCGTCCCACCAGCTATCAGGTCTTTCAAACCCGGCATTCTTCATTGAAGATGGCTCAGAGGTTTCAGCAATAAGACACGCAGGTGAGTTGTTGGCTTTATTGTGAGATAACTTGTGAGCAGCTGAGCCCTATCATAAAAACAAACACTTTACATTAGAGTCAACTACTTACTTTTAATCAAAAACACCTGATAGTATATCTGATTAAAATAATAAAAAAAAAACACCTGATAGTATATCTGATTAAAATTATAATAAAAAAGTTTATGATCGACTGTGTTCTCAGGTTATTTCATCTGCCTTGACTACGTTTTCAAGATTATGAACATCCAAAACATTTTTTGTCATCATGTTTTTTTTAAAACATGTTTTGTCTAAATCAGATATTTTTTGATAACCAGGGTTAATCTCAGGTGTTGTGTGAGTAAAAGTAAGAAATAGAGCTGTGTGTGCATATCCTTAAAATTGTTCACCTTTTGTATCAGTAAGAGTACTTTTACATGCCTAGTGGGTAACAACCATCCCATCCGCACAAGCTCATTTAGAAATTGTCTCAAAGGCATCAAAAGCTGAATGCCATGTGACTTTCTCCTATTAAATGGTAAAAAAGCATGACAGCCAATTCTGAAGCAGCTGAAAGATCTGTTTCCATATGTACATAAAGTGTACTACTGTAACTCAAGAGTGACTTTTGACATCAGCCTATGATTTACTGAACAAGTGAAGAGATGTCTTCAGTCATTTTTATCTATTTGGAAAATATTCAGTGTCAGATTAGTATTATCTTTAAAATCTCTCATAAAAACACAATGTTGTCAGTGTAAACAAGTCATTTAATAGCTTATAAATGCATTGGCAGTAGCTGTCTTCTATACTTACACAACTTGGCCTAAACTTGTGCCTATAAGTATACAAGAAGAGGAAAGATATTGACAGTTGACGCATTTTGCCAAAAGGGAAGAAAAAAGAAGTGTCCCTGTACACCTTGTCAGTAACCAGACTGTGTGGGTTGATGATTGCATCGCTATCATGCCACTCTTACATTTTTTAAAGTTACAGTGTAGATCCCTCTGCACTGGCCTGAATGAAGAGCTGCTAAATCTGACCTGCATTGTCCATTAAAATACTGTGACACATTGACATTTTGGAGATTCTCCTTATTAATCCTGTGTTATTTGTACCTTTACCGTCTCCAGAGAGCTCTAGCCTTAGCCTTCGTCCAGCCGTCAATGTGGAGGATGTCGACTCAGACCATGAAAGAGGACGTGATAGAGGAGCAGGGGCGGGAGGAGGGGAGGAACTTCGCAACATCCCCCACATTCTCACCCCCCAGGACCACAAACTCACAACCCTCACTGTTCCCGTGACCCCCTCAGGAGGTCGTCAAAGGTGAGGAGTATGATTTAAAGTAATATTTTTATTACCCGACCTAAACTGCAGCATCAATGTTCACTAGTTAGATAATGGCTTGATGTAAATCAATTTTAAAGAAGAGCTCCATAGTGAATGATATCAGGTTTGATTAAAGATGTTCAAAACTGAGTCAATAATTTCAATCTTTTTCTTCCCTTCATGCTTGACTCTGCAGCAAAGGAGATAAAGAGTAAGGAACTGCATGGATGTTCATGTTTTTGTATTTGACTCTACTACTTTTCTATTACTACTCTAATTCTACTTGTTAGAAATACCAAGTATGCAACAGAGACAGACTGATATTGGGTATTTGATGCAGATCCGACACCAGTTGTTAAGGAGTCAGATTGTTAAATTTTGCATTAATTATTGACAAGTGACATTGCAGCTGATAGAGTGAAATGGCAGTAGACTTATTTAATGGTATTTTAGTGAACTAATGTGACTGAATAAGAATAGCTAGGACTGCTTTCTTGAAAAAAAAAAGGCTCTTAGTAGCTTATTATGCGACCTAAACTTAGCCCTGGTAACTAAAATCATCAATCCTAGTGTGGACAAGTGTGTGCTCAGCATTGAATCACTGTTACATGCCTTGCAGACACTTTCCCAAGTACTGTTGACAAGCCAGGATGGTGAATCCAGTACTTGACAACAACACCTAGAGAGCATCCTCATTATGACATTTTGCATCATTCTTTCTGTGAAAGTGAAATATCTCCCCAAATACTTTCTTAACAATCAAGACATAAAGACACATGTAGACAAAAATGTTCATAGTTTTGGGAAGTGTTCGTTACATGAATCATGTTGGCACTAAAGCTGTCCCGAATTAAATTACCTTTTTTTGTGTGAAGGTGCTTGTGGTTGCTGCATAGATCTTTTCCTTGCAATACACATTACAATCCCAACCTTCTGTAAAACTGGGTCACCTACCTGTAGAGTGTTGTTGTGCCTGATTACTGTCACTTTTTTGCAGTAATGTCTATGATTGGTGTAATTTTCCATGGCACTCACTTCACTTATCACCCACTTTTTCTCTTTCTCTCTCAAAAACTAAACTCTGACCCTGAATAAAATCAACAGCAGCTTGAGGAATCGCAGGACTATTTGGACAAAGATGTAAGTCATCCATGTCTTACCCATGATCTTAATGACGATGTAATCAAAGCATCTATCTATTTTTTTTAATGCGCACATTGCTGTACTTTCAGTCTACCTAATACTGCTTCATATCCTATCATACACTAATCCACATTATTTTCCATTTACTCATTAAATTATCATCTTTAGTGCTTATTTGAATTCCTCTTAATCATAAATACAAATAAAGCTTGAAAGCACAGGGTCTTGACTTTCCTTTAAGCTTTCTATTTTCAAACCTCAGCAGTTATGAAATTACTTTGATTTCATGTGTTTTTATATCCACAGTTGGCATGTTGTACAATAGAGCCAAAAAACTGGAATTGCATCTTTCAAAAGCAAAAGTGACTCAAAGTTAAAACTACTTTGTGTCTGTGTCCATTCAATCATAACAGAAGGGGGCTAAGCTCTCAAAGTGAAGATGATGACGAGAGGACCACTCCTGTCAGAGCCTGGCCCAGCCAGTCCAGCCTACACAGCACAGATGACATGTAAGTAACCCCCGTGTAAACACATACACACAAAAGACATTTTTGAAACATCAAAAGAAGACAGAGAGGTGTGAAGATGTAGTTTGGATGTGTGGTGAGGTAAAGGTTGTTCAGTGTTAAGTAAAAAAATGATCTTTCTTCTAGACTCAAAGAACGTCCAGCGTCTGCTGCCAGTCAGACCAGCACAGTGGTCAATGAACGCCTTCAGGAGCTGGTCAGGATGTTTAAAGAGAGAACAGAGAAAGCAAAGGAGAAACTTATTGACCCTGACAGCTCAGATGAAGACAGCACCACCCCCTGTGAGTGTCTGCCATTCACTCTCTTTGAACTATCCACACAGTGAGCTTTCCTTTGGTTCAACATGGGATATACAGCATTAGACCTTACTCTCCAAAAGGTAAAAAAAAGGGAATATGTCAGAAACAGACTGGCAGATAGTGATCACACACTGAAGCTGCCATGTGTTATAGCATATCTTAGATTACTGTCAAAGAGTCGGCCTGTTCCAGCAGGACAAAAACCTTTAGAGCCATGCTCACCGATTGCATAAAACTCTATTAGTGACACAAAGGGCCCAGTAACCCACACACCAATTGTTTAAATAAGTAATAAGAAAATCCTTTTTCCCGTTTCATCTTTTGCGTTTCACCTGGAGTGTCCCCCATTGAACACTGAGTGCTCTGATTAGTGCTTCCCAAAATGGATACCTTAAGGACAGGCTAAGGCACCTCTTCGTACTATTCTGACCTTTCCAATCTTATCTCTGCAGCTCCCCCACAGCAGTCAGCTCCCCATCCCGCTCCTGGTGCTCAAACAGTGGAAGGGGGAGAAAAGGAGGTGCAAGCAGGTCCTTCTGGAGAGGGAGGAGGAGGGGGAGGAGGAGGAGGTGATGTGATGGAGGTTGAGACGGAGGAGGAGCAGCCCAGCCATTGCTGCAAAGCGCCTCGCTGGATAGAAGCCTGTTTGCACTACCGCTTCCCTGCCAGCATTGATCCTTTTACAAGTGAGGACTCAGTCCAGTGCTCCACCTGTTACATCACCTTTAAGAACGATTGAATCTAATTTCGCCAAAGTGCTCAGAAATGTTAGACAAAATGCTACCAGATGAGATCCTGTTTCTTCATCACACCCATGCTCCCTGTTTTTGTCTAACCCCCTCCTTTTCTCCATCATCTCTGTCTCTCTGTCAGACCTTATGTATGTGCTGTGGATGTTACTGGTCTCTCTGGCTTGGAACTGGAACGTATGGTTCATCCCAGTGCGCTGGGCCTTCCCCTACCAGACTCCCGATAACATTTACTACTGGCTGCTGACCGACTACCTGTGTGACCTCATTTACATCCTTGACATCACCATCTTCCAACCTCGCCTGCAGTTTGTTTGCGGAGGAGACATAGTGGTGAGTGGGACCCTGTCAGCCTTCATTGTAACTGACCAGGATTTCTTCAATGGGGATATAAACGTCTGCGTGCCTTAAGGTAGCTTATCAAATGAAAGGGGGAAAAAAAGATTGTATTTCAACATTTTAAAGGTCCTCTAAGAAACTTTCTTTTTTTGTTGGAGTTCCCTGCAGACAGAGTGGTACCTCTGATCTCTTTGTTGATATTGTCCTGTTTCAGATGTCCTGTTATATTCTAACAGTCAAATGTTCAGCGAATGTTTTGAAAAACTGAATCAAAAGGCATTTTATCTGACAATAAGTGACATGTCTAGTCAAACACCCACCCCAGGCAGTATTTACAAGCGTGACAAATGACCTCAATTCACTTTCTACATTTGTACATTTTGTTGCTTTGTTATTTTTCAGAGTGACAAAAAGGAGATGAGAAAAAATTACATGAAGACAAAACGCTTCAAAGTAAGTATCTCATGATAGATAAAATTAATGACTTTCATTGTATTGGCTTTGTGACTTTTCACATATTTATCCTTGGATCAATTCTTGAAACGAATCATCACTCAGTTTATCCTTTCTTATTTTTTAGTTTGATGTAGCCAGCCTTGTACCACTGGAGATCTTCTACTTCAAAACTGGAGTCAATCCTCTTCTACGCCTGCCCAGGCTACTGAAGGTGAGCTTCATTGCTGCTGCTCCAACAACAGTCAAAAACAGTATTCATTTATCAGGGCTAATAACCAAGACTACGTCACTTATTTGAGGAAATCAGATGTTTTGTATCTTGTTCCTTTAAATGCTTGTTATTTCTATGCTCTCTTTCAATCCCTCTTTAGATCAACTCCTTCTTTGAATTTAACGAGCGTCTAGAAGCCATCTTGACCAAAGCCTACATCTACAGGTCAGCTGCCTCCTGATGGTTATAGCTAACATGCACCCAAGCCACTCTCATTACCTCCTGCTCTATCTTATGACTTTATATTTCTACAGTTTTCTGCTGTCGAGTTTATTAAAAAGTGTTCTGTTGTGTCTCTCAGGGTGATCCGTACCACTACCTATCTTCTGTACTGCCTCCACTGTAATGCCTGTCTTTACTACTGGGGATCTGCCTTCAAAGGCCTGGGATCAACCAAGTGGGTGTACAACGGTGAAGGCAACAGGTCAGTGGAATAAACACGCACAGCAGTGAGGGTCTATTTATGAGTCGAAGATTAGGGTGGGGGTTTAAAAGGATTGATAGACTGGCAGCTGTCAGAACACAGACAAGGTCAGGCTGCTCGCTGATACTGAACTGTTTTGAGCCTTATATCATCTGGAGTTGATTTCTTTTAATCTATCAGAGTTACATATTTTGACTGATGACATGTCCCTTGCATGTCCTGACATTATTTGAAGTCTGGGTTGTTTTTTCGTCTCTCTCTCTCTGAACAGTTACATCCGCTGTTACTACTTTGCAGTGAAGACCCTGATCACCATTGGTGGTCTACCAGACCCCACCACCTTGTTTGAAATTGTCTTCCAACTCATCAACTACTTTGTTGGAGTTTTTGCATTCTCGATCATGATTGGACAGGTGTGTTGATGTCCTGTGTGATTTCATCCTTACACCAATAAAACACTCATCACTCATACTTTATTAGTTTTTGTACAAAAGCTGTTTTTAAAGGAAGAACTTTTTGGATTCTTTTGCTCGTATGTGCCCCAGATGCGTGATGTGGTCGGTGCAGCAACAGCCGGACAGACTTACTACCGCACATGTATGGACAACACCATTAAATACATGTCTTCTTATCGAATCCCAAAAGATGTCCAGAACCGTGTCAAGACCTGGTATAACTACACCTGGCAATCGCAAGGCATGCTGGGTAAGGAGAGCACTTTGTTCTTGTGCGCTTCATACCTTTGTGACCTTTGAGGTATGTTGTAATTTATATCATCTCCCCTTTAGATGAGCAAGAGCTGCTGACTCAGCTGCCAGATAAAATGCGTCTGGACATCGCCATAGACGTCAACTACTCCATCGTCAGCAAAGTCCCACTTTTTCAGGTAGGAAGACTAACAATACAAACAGTGATATTCTAGAGTGTCTCATTTAGAGAGTAAGACATATTTTTGTTCTCTCACTTTGCAGGGGTGTGACAGACAGATGATCTTTGACATGCTGAAAAGCCTTCGCTCCGTTGTCTACCTACCTGGAGATTACGTTTGTAAAAAGGTACTTCATGCTAATTCTTAAAATGAGAGAACTCCTCATAGATTATTTTTCTCTAATGTTTCTATTTGTAATATTTGATTCTTCTTGTCTTTTGCGTCTGCTTTTTTCATGTTCGCTCAGGGCGAGGTGGGTCGAGAAATGTACATCATAAAGGCAGGAGAGGTGCAGGTAGTTGGAGGACCTGATGGGAAGACAGTGTTTGTCACTCTGAGAGCAGGATCAGTCTTTGGAGAGATCAGGTGAAGAGATTTGAGAGGTGGCACTGTACTAAAAGTTGTTTTGATATATGACGAAAGTTTAAAATGACTAATGTACAGTACGTGAAGTGAATGAATGTTTTGTTCTTTTTCTAGTTGGTTCTCTTTCCATACTTCAGATTGTATGAAATTAAAAAGCATAACTTTTTCTCTCCTTTTTTAAAAATTTGAAATATTAAACATGGTGTGTAATGTCCTTTTTAAACCCGGATTTCTCTGGTTGGCAGTTTGCTTGCAGTAGGTGGGGGGAACAGGCGTACAGCAAATGTAATTGCTCACGGTTTTGCCAATCTCTTCATCCTGGACAAAAAAGACCTCAATGAGATCCTGGTCCATTATCCCGAATCCAAGAAGTTGCTCCGCAAGAAAGCCAGGTAGAGATTCAGGTTCCACACATTCAACTTCTAAAAGCCCAACAACAAAAACTGTGGTGACTGTGTGTTCTAGTTTTGCCCCTTCCTGTTCCTGCTGTAGAACAGTACAGACATAGTGAGACCAACTCTTTAAATATTTGTTTTGTATGATTGTAATAATCCTACTAGTCTGATAGATGTTGGCTCTGTCTCACCCATAGGAAGATGCTTACGAAGGGTAAGAAACCTGAACCCAAGGAAGAACCGAAGGATCCCCCTCAGGTCCCAGCAGCTCCTGTGAGGCAAGAGACACCCAAACTGCTGAGAGCAGCTCTGGAGATGACTGAGAAATCATCTGGACTTAAAGGAGCTCTGGCTAAAGTCAAAGAGAAGACCAATAAGTCCAGTCTCTCCTTACAGGTAAACCATGAAGCACCCGAGCAAACAATAGAATAAACATATGTTTAAGAAAAAGGGAAATACTTCATAAAGATGATTAATCTCTTCTCCTCAGCCCTCCGTTTCCTCCTTCCTGCCTCCACCTTCTCCCACCTCGAGTTCTGGACCAGAGAGAGATGCTGAAACACCGTCACCCACGTTTCGATCTGCTTCTGGCTGCTATAATAACAACTCAGCATTACAAAGCCACAACAATGAAGACTAAAGACTGTTTTCTGAGGAGAGAAGAGGGTCAGTAAGGCTGAAGTGAAAGAGGTTGCAAAGAAGAAAGTTAAGAAGTTGTTTCATTTTTGGGAGGGTAATGAAAGGGGAATGGATGGGTGTTGTAAATTAACATGCACCAAAGCAGTCAAGTCTTAATAATCTCAACCAGATCTGCTGAAGTGAAAAAATAATCAAGGCAGTCCTTTGATTCTCTCTTTTTTAAATGAAACACTTCACCACACACGACAGTGTCACAGCTCACTGTCAGCATCATGCCGTGCAGATGAATTCCGCCTGTTCCTTATCAAAGCTGTGTTTCACGTGTAAACAGCTACATCTTGTGGACATCACTGCCTGTCCTTGTCTTTTTCAAACTGCAGCCCCTTGAATGCACTCTTCTGTTGACCTCCACTTTCTGTGTTCAGCTCTGCTTATTTCTCTATTACATAATCTTATGAAGAAGAAAGTCACTCATCACCATTAACCACATCAGAATTCAAACTCAATCCTAATCTACACTAATTTTACATCAGTAAAGTTAGTATAGATAATGATGAAGAGTGAAATCTGAGACAGGTGGCATACTGAAGCCATACCAGTTAATCCAGTAATCCCCACTTCACTGAACCTCTTTCTCAAACAAACAAAAAATGTTTTTGCTGTTGTTGTCTGCCAAGTGTTTACAGATCTTTTTGTAAACTTCAAAGTGCAATTTTATTTTTATTTTGTCCTCTTTACTTTAGTGTTGTGTTGGTGTGAGTAGCTTGCCCTGCTAATGTTTTTATGAACTAGTTTGAAAAGTGTACCCATTATTGAAATAATTACACCCATACTAACGTAAAAATTTCATATCAAGAGGCCTGTCTGAAGTCATCAGAGAGGACTTAATAAAAACTTCGGTTCATCTTTACTATATTTACCTAACATATTATAACATAACCTGTTTCTTAATGCCTCAAAATACACTAGTACATGCTCATCAAGGTTTTACATATCAATCACTTAAACATTTGAACCATTGTTACATTTAGCGCCATCACACTGCATTCGCATTTTCAACATATTAACATTTGTTGTTGTTTTTTCTGTCTTTTTTTGTATAATATTGTACATTTATTTTGAAATTTAGATGACTCTCATTTGTAGGTGCAGTCACTCTATTGTTCTACAGTGTCATACCGTATACATGCAGTGTATTCGATCTTAATGTTAATTATGTGCTGTTCATATTTTCTGGGGTTCACAAATAATGTAGAGTTTTTCATTTTTGTAAATATTGTTAATTTATTGATACATTTGGCGATGAGCCCCACAAACCAGCTAACTATACTGCCAGACAATCTGTAGATAGGATTACTGTTGTGTTATATTTGGAATTTGTATGTATGTGAGTGTGTTGAAAGAGGAGCGCTTATGAAGTACTCGAAAAATTGTGTAAATATTGAGTATTTGTGTTTACAATGTAGATTTTGTATCACTGCTGTAGCTCTGTATTCTTGTGCATTTTATTTAAATAAACGCCTGTTATCAGCATATTTTGTGTGGAGTTTAATGTTGAGACCAGTCACATATTGGACTACAAAGGGCAGGCACCAGTCTGAAGACCACAAAAGATAACTGGAGAGTTAAATGGAGAGAACATGCAGCCTCTCTGTTTTCTGACAGAGAAAATCACGCTCTCTGGAGTGATGTTTTTTGCACAGTCATGAAATAAGAGATGTACCTCTTAGTTTTTTTTAATTTTACAAAATCTTTTCAGTGTTTTTCAACAGATTAAAATCCTAATTTTGATTCAGCAATAAAATGATTCTCTTTCAAATTTTGATAATTTGGCGTTGTACTATTTTCACTTAAATACAGAGTTTAAAGGATTTGAAAACCACTAGAATCTGTTTTAATAAATTAATCAATTAATCTTTCCTGCTGTGTCTTAACTCATGCTCAGTCTGTAACTGCAATCACCAAATTTGAAGATAAAGACTGTGAAAAAAAAAGCTTTAAAACACTTACATGCATATGAAACGTTTATTAAATCTGTGATTCTTAAGGTCAGATTGTAAAAGGACACTTCAATCAAAAGCATCTCTGTCCTGGGCAAGGAAGTTTAATGTAGACAACTAAATGAACTCAATGAACTGAGGATCATACTCTTCGACTTCTCAAGTGCATTCAACACCATCCAACCTATCATACTCAAAGACAAGCTCAGATGACACCGCTATTGTGGCATGTATCAGAAATGGACAAGAAGCTGAATACAGAGATCTGATAAGAGCCTTCAGTGACTGGAGTCACAAAAACTGCCTCCTCCTCAACACCTCAAAGACAAAGGAGATGGTCATAGACTTCTGTAGATCCAAACCCACTCTTCAGCCAGTGAACACCTGTGGAGTGGACATTGAAGTGGTGACTTCATATAAATACCTAGGTGTACATCTGGATAATAAGTTGGATTGGTCTAAAAATATAGACTTCATCTACAGAAAGGGGCAGAGCCGCTTCTTTTGCCTGAGAAGACTCCAATCAATAGACATCTGCACTAAGATGCTGCAGATGTTTTATCAGTCTGTGGTAACAAGTGTTCTGTTCTACGCTGCAGTCTGCTGGGGAGGAAGCATCAAACACAAAGATGCAAGATGTCTTAACAAACTGGTGAAAAAGGCTGGCTCTGTGGTAGGACTCGAGCTGGACTCAGTGGAGGATGTGGTGGAGAGATCTACACTGAGGAAGTTGGAGACTATTCTCAAGAACATGGATCACCCACTTAACAACATCTTGATGGACCAAAGGGCCAATGGTGGTGTATAGAAAGATTTAGATCTCTTGTACCAACAGACTTTATAACTCTTGTGTAAATAATAGATAACTTTAAGAGACACGTCATGTGAGATAACAGAGTTATTCTTATTCTCATTCTTAAATGATGTGACCCCTGTTGTGAAACTTCACTTCCCATAATGCTCCTCCCGGTGACGTCATTTTCACCCTGCGATCAGCTGATCCAACTCAGCCCCCCTGACGGAAATGTACAGCCTGCGGTACGGTGTAAAGTGGCTTAGTAAGGTGACAGCAGGCTGCGTAGCTCGTCATGTATTTGTATTCATATGAAGATCGTGCATATTATAAATAAGTCAATGTATAAAAAAATGATACAAAAGTTCACAGGTTTATATCTTGGGAGCTCATCTTTTTTAGCATAGCAGCTGACGGTGGTGAACTTACGCAGCAGCTTTTGAACTTGCACAGCTAGCTTACAGAGTGAATGGCTGGATGACACATTAGTGATGGTCCAGAGTCCTTTTTAACATCGAGAGAGACGCTGAGATGGAGCACTGCAATGGAGACAACATCATAGAAACACCTGAGCTGCCTCTGGAGGTCTGTTCGTTTCTTTTTGATTTTATATAAGCCAGAGATTTGAGGGGGAAGGAGAGGAGTCGGCTACTTGGAGGAGTGAATGCGATATGAATTCTTATTCTTGGACTATGATTCATTTAGGCAGTCAGGCAGAGCCGTCTCTATCTGTCATTGTTTTATCTAAATGTAGTAATCACCATACACACCCTCCAGCCATGGCTGACTTTGAGACAGGTCTGCTTTTTGTGTCTTTGCACAAACACTTTGGATGTAATTATCATTGACCTGTTGCTCCTTTTTAACACTCAAAGTTTCCTCGTTTTATACAACACAGCACCAGACTTTAGAATCAGACAGCAACTCATGATACAGTGAAATAGAGTGCAATAAAATACAAAGTGATATAGCATGGTACATTAGTATATGATGCAATACATTGCTCATCATGATAACTAGGAATATTACAGTCACCTTGTTTGATTTTCCTGTAATGTGCCGTTTTTCTGTCTCTTTCTGCAGATCATAGTTTACATCCTGAGCTTTCTTCACCCCTCAGACAGGAGGGAAGCCTCACTCGTGTGTCGAAGCTGGTACAATGCCAGTCAGGACTTCAGCTTTCAGGTAACCTGCACTTGAGTAAAAACACTTCACTGTGCATGACTGTTTGAGCTTAGAGTCTGGGTTTGTTTGTCGTTAACCTCTCTGTTTGTGTTTCTCTTCACAGAAAAATGTCACCTTCTCCTTCCCCGCTTCAGCCTCATCCCTGGAGCTGATCAGAGGTCTGGGTAGAAAGTCACGCTGCAGCCTAATCATCAGCCAGCTGGATGGACACAGTTTGTCCAAATCGCTGCTTCAGGAGGTGCAGGACACACTGTAACATACACATACATTAACTATTCATGTAGCCTCACTGCACTTACATGAGAAGTGCAGCCTCAAACACGAGTAAAGTTTAGGATCATGTGAAGTGAGTGGGTGGGAAGAGAAAAATATGCAGATTAGGATGAGGGTGAGCAGAGCTCGACTCACAGCTGAGCTGTCTTGTCTCTCGAGTGAAATCAGCTTCCTTTAATTTAGTAAATCCCTCTTTTCCTCAGCTTCTTGAGTTTATTTCCTTTTACTCTGCTTACCTACTTACCACAAATTTGAAGTGATGCACTTTTCAAATAAATACAGTGTGGTATCAAAACTATTATTCATGTTTTCTGCTGATCTGGAGGGCTAACAGAGTCTAACTTTTGCCACAATTTCAACAGGCAAATGTGATCAAATATGCCAGAATCATTTCTGTGAATTAGTTTGATTTGACGTGTGGGATCAGCTTTGTGATTGAGAATTAATTCGACCAATCAGAGTCAAGTAAAGATTAAACTCATAGAAGAATCATTTTTCATACTTGAAGCTTTGTGTCCTGACTGATAACCCCTTTTGTGTCTTTAACGGTGGTACAATTGGATGCATCACTTATCGTTAACTCTTCTGTGGGAAATACACACAAAAGCCACATCCTGTCTGCATGTTTTTCCACTTTGACCTGCTTGTGGTGGTTGTAGACCTTAAAGAAGAAGCTGTACCCCATGTTCTTCCTGACGGTGTGGTTTGTTTTTTTAGGTCACACAAAGGCACCGGTATGAGGTGAAGTCTGTGGCATAACCGTAAAAAACTTCTCACAGGAGCATTAAGCAAGAGTGAAAGGATTTGAAAAAGTGTGTGTACCTGTTTTAATCTTCAGCAGGTCTAAAAAAGGAACATGTTAGTAGATGTTAACACACTAAAAACTTGACAGTTCATGTGACTTTTTATCTCATCTTCAAAATATACTCTTTCTTTTTACGGGTTCATGGTGACACGGTACAAGCACCAGCTGTTAAAGAGATTTTTTTTTTTTTTTTTTTTTTTCAAATTCCTTCAATTTTAAATGTATCTGCGATAATGAATGCTGGTCAGCTAAGCCTCTTTACAGAGGAAATGCTGGTTCAATAGCTACAGTCTTTTGCAATCAGAGCGTAAGAGCGTGGATGTGCATATGCAAATAGTACAAGAAGAAGAAGAGGGCTCTCTGTTGGAAAAATAGATAACTAAAAAACTTTTCCAGCAGAGCGTACACATAACCTGGAATGAGTGCTTGGATCAGAGTCTTATCAAATGACCTAAATGAAGTGGTAGACCTGGTCCCATCTACAGAAAACTGTAGCTGAGCTTTTGTACTGGTTCCTCCAGCAGTTTTGCATGAAAGGGGCTGAACTGACTGCATGTATCTCATATAGACTTACTTTAAAAAAACAGAAACAGAAATAAGTGGGGAAAAAAACTCTTAGAATGAGTAAAAAAAAAGTGTGAGTGCTGCTTGATAGTTTGATGATAGCCAAACATGAAGCCAACTAAAATATCAAGTCTTTGTGTCTGTGTGTGCACTTGGTAGGAGGAGGACTATTTGAATAATCCTCTAATAGTTTCTCGTGATTTTCCTCAAAAGTACGAGAACACATAATTAGGTTGCACTGTTTGAGGAATCCTTGCAGTGCTTACTATTTGATTATTTACTCTTCAGACAGGACACCTCAAGCTTTGTTTATCTTGGGATAAAGCAGCGTGAAACTTAGTGGGAACTTAATTTTCACCAACAATTTGATTTCTTGACAATTACCTGAAGGAATTACACGATCTCCCCCTCTCTTACGTGTCCATTTAGTCCATTTAGTGTGCTTAGGTTGAACTTGCTCTCCAGAGCTCTCATTCCCCTGCAGATTTTACCTCATAAGCTACGATGGACATAAAAATACGTTTTAGAACAGTATTAATGAATTTATTCACAGAAATGTGGTTTGATTGTTTATTTGACTCAAACAATGTTCCTCTACAAGCTTCTAGATAAAGCAATATAGGATATATTTATTGCCTGTTTATGGGGGAATACCTAAAGCTTCTTTGTAGAAAAATAAACCCTCATTTATGGCACACAGGAGCCTGATAAGGAACATGTGAGCAGGTGAGGATAGGTGAAAAATAAGATATAGAGGGTCTGTTGTTCCCCGGTGTTGAAATGTTTTCTCTTCCAGCTTTGGAACAGTTAGGTTTTGTTGTAGAAAATAAACTATCACTGTCATGTGAGGTCTAGTCACCCTGATGCTTTAAAAGATCACACACTTCTTTGTGAGTGGAAAATTCCCCCACCCCAGGGGCTTTTTACAGGAAAACCAAAGCGAAAACAGGTTAAATGGACTTAAACCTGCCCAGAATCTCTCTCTTCAGAGAGGTTAACATCTATTCATTTAAGGAAAAAACAATTCTGATTTTTTTCTCCCTTTTTTAAAGCAGTTTATTGAAAAAAAAAGATAGATAATGTCAGAGTCTTAAGCACACCTCTTCTGCTCCAAAGGTCAGTTGCTGCAACCATGTCAGGTTAAAGTTTATTATTAGCTGTACGTCTAAAAGACCAAAAGTTCAGATGTACAAATGTACAAATGTGAAACAAAATGAACAGTTTATAGAAAAATATTTTTTAAAATAAAAAAAAAGATCACAAGGTAAGTTACATCAACTTCACGTCACACTTTTGCACTTGTCTCTCTGGTCTTCAGGTGGGTCTGTGTGTGGGCTCAAAGCTGGAGAGCTTGGCCCTGCCTGGCAGCAGTATCACAGAGGCCTCTCTGCTGGACCTCCTCCCTCGCCTCACCTCCCTCCGCAGGCTCGACCTCAGGGGTCTGGACAGCCTCTTCATGTCCGGGACTTTTCTCTCCAGGGAGGAGCACAGACAGCAGGTATTTTATATTTTACATGAAGGTGGATTAATGTTGTCAAAACATCCTTAGATAAAGTAGCAGAGAGTTCAGTCATAATATTACAAGAACAGAGTTGTAATATTATAAAATTAAGTCACAAGGGATTTAAGTCATAGGGCTCGAAGAAATCCCCCCCTAGACATATAAAGTCACATTATGTGTGACTCAAAGGACTGTGAACATAAATGCAAAAAACAAAGAAAATAAATCAGAAACATGAGCAATTTGTTTTGACGATCTTTTACCAACTTCTTTAAAGAGTCTAGGAACAAAGAAAAATGGGTGGTTCATATGTCTAAGAGAGTAGGGGGAGCTGTATGGGATCATGAGTTCTTTTAAATATGAATGGCAATGGAAATAAACACATTTAAAAGGAAATGGAGCCAATGAAATTGCCGAAATATAAAGGTAACTAGACTGTGAAGGGGGACTTCAGAGGAGCATCTCATCATGCACTGAAATGAGAATCTCGGAGCATCATTCCTCTCCTTGCTTTCCATGCAGCAGTCATTGACTTGATATTCAAATGTTCTCTACGCCCCCATCTTTCCTAATGTGTGATAAAAAGTTTAAATATCACAGCTATGAGCGCTGGTGGAGCCAAGACGTATGGGAGCGATATGGTGGTGGAGCTCAGATCCCTCAAGTTGGTGAAGTCCAGAGCAGCGGTTAAATTTTTAATTTGAATAAATTTTTTATACTGAACCAAAAATTGACAACTAAATGCAATGACAGAAATCATATGTTTGAGAACAATGTGCATGTCAGGTCATATTCCAATTTGACCCATATTCCAGGCTGCCTCTAAGGCCTTAACTGCAGTTAGCCACCAGAGGGAGCTGTAAATGTTCTGGCTTGACTCTGGATGGCGGTGTTTGTTCTTCTATACACTCTTTAGGAATGATTTTAGACAAAAGGCTGCAGGTGGAGGTGAACTCAGGCCTCTGAAATACACTGATGTCTAATGTTTATTTTTGTCTGTAACTTCTCCTCTCTGCATTTAAAGCTGCACGTGATTCTGCTCTCCCTGACGTCTCTTTCTGTATAGCTGCCTTATGCCAAGAATAGTCTCTCCATCTGACTGTGGGAAAAAGGTTGAAGAGTGGTTGCAGTAAATATAAATGTGCTCATGTGATAGACTGCTGTATATTTCTGTCAGTGTTACACAGCCTGAGTGTTACCTTTGATATTACTGCTCCATATTCAGGGTTTATTGTCACTGTAGCGTGTGAACAGTTTTATTGTTTTACCATCTTCCTATTTCAGGTCAGGTCAGCTCTGTCTGGCCTAGAAGAGCTGGATCTGTCCGACCTGCGCTACCTTTCAGACCTCACCTTTAACCGGCTCACGGGCTGTACCCCACGCCTCCGCCGCCTCTCACTGGCTGGCTGCCATATTGCTTTTGAGTTTGACCCCTATCACGGCTGCCCGGTCGGAGCTGTTGAAGACTCGTCAGCGCTGCTGTCGCTGAGAAACTTGAGGAAGTTGTTGATGGAGCAGAAATCTACCCTGGTAGCTCTAGACCTGAGCAGAACCTCCATCACCCCAGAGTCCCTACGCACTATTGCACAGGTCAGAGAGGTCCCTCCTTTATTTAATTCATGAACTGCTCAAGTCATATCTTTGTGCCTATTTGCTCGTTTTCAATGAGGAGTTCATCTGAGCGTCTTTTCATTATTCTAACATGTCCACTAACTTCTTCAATGAGTCAGGAACAAAAGTGTTTCCTCATCCCTAAATATTCTGTCTACTTCAGGTTCAGGGTTTGGTTTTGGAGGAGCTGTGTCTGCACGGCTGCAAGGAGCTGACCGACTACTCAATGGAGGTTTTGGTGAAGCACCAGCCGAGCCTGCAGAGACTGGACATCAGCGCCTGCAAAGAGCTGACCAACAGGTCTGTGGAGGCCACAGCGCAGGGCCTGAAGTCACTGACACACCTGTCACTGTCCCGCGACTGGAGGATCACTGAAAAAGGTACCTGATGTGACTCGGTGTGGTGTCTAAAATTACCACTTGTGAGTTTAATGGATCCAAAACTCTATGAATATTTGATTAAAAGATTATTATATTAGCATGCCACTGTTTTAACTTGACCATCAATCTAGTTGTTTGATTTAATTTAAATTTTTTATTTTATTTATTTATTTATTTTAAATTTGTCAGTGACTTCAGCTGGTAATAAGCAAAAGAGTTTACCCAGGCCTCAAACCTGTGAAAGAAAATAAAATGATTATGCTATCAGTGATCACTCTTGTCCTCGACAGGTCTCGCTGAGCTCCTGTCTGTGTCGTCCCTGAGGAGTCTGGATCTGTCTGAGTGTCTGCATATCAGCGGCACAGAGATAGTGAGAGGCCTGACCGAGTCCAGGACTGCTAGAGCACATCTGGAGACACTCAGCCTCAAAAGCTGCACCTACATTCGAGTCAGTGTGTGTTTTTTTGTGCAACACTTGATTCTGCGTGTTCAACTGAACCTGTAAAAATACATCCAAGACATTCAAACATGCTTCTCTGTTCTCTCTCTGCAGGATCTTGCGGTTTTCTCTCTCACTCAGCTTCTCAGGGATTCTCTCCATGAACTGGACTTGACGTCCTGCGTAAACGTGACTGACCTGTCTGTGCGAGCCATAGCTACTTACCTGCACAGGCTGGTGGTTTTACGGCTCGGCTATTGTAAGGAAGTCACAGACTGGGGTCTGCTGGGGATAGAGGAAACAGCCAAATGTGAGCACGACCAGGATTCGGTGAGAGTCTCGTTGATTCATAAAAAAAAAGTCTGAAGTGATGGAAAGCAGGTTACATGAGTTATCATCCTGATTCTATTAAATATACTCACATTAAGATGGGTTGCAGGGCTTGACACTAACTTTTTTCACAAGGAGCACACAAAGAACTTCAGGGGCACAATAAAAATTTGTCAAATGATCAAAATAATGTCTCATTGGTCGACACAAGTACCGTTATTTGAAATCAATTTTAAGTCTTTTGGTCACATGACATAGAAGCTATTGAAGCAAAAGGTTCAAAATCTGCCTTTAAAGTTAACACAAACATTTTTAGAGGACAAATTTGGGAAATAAGAGTTGTGTCCCATTTTCTAAACTTAGCACTACTATTTGAAACCAATTGTTTTAGAACATCAGCCACTAATTTATTGATGGTCCCTTATTCAACACCCGACGTTGACAGCGAGGATGCCGAGTAGATTCAACTGCGCTGCTGTTGCCATTCTTGGTTATGGAAAGTGAGAAGACACTGGTAGATTTGCAGTGAATGTCCACCAAAATATCCAAACTAAAACTAACTTCACCACGGTATTTACATGAAAAAACATTTGTTGCCTCGGCTGGTTTTTTTAATGTGCACACGTGCCCCTAAATACATTTTACAATTCGCACACATCTTTTTTTAGTCGTAAATGCGAGTGAAACGGTCGCACTGTCAAGCCCAGGGTTGAGAGGTGGTGAATACTCCTGTGTAAGAAACTGAATGTGCTGCAAACACATGCACACTGCGAACATACTCTGTGTTTTTATTCCAACAGGGAGACAAGGGGCCAAAATTCACCCGCACCTTCGGCAACATGGGTTTTTTCAAGCCACCTCGTTTGCCATTCGAGGAGCGACCCAAGCTGGTGACAAACAACGATCTGGAGCAGTTTAAACAACAGGCTGGAGCTTCATTGTTAGCGCTCAGCAGGCTGCAGGAGCTGGACCTCTCTGCCTGCCCTAAACTCACTGACAGCAGCATCACACAGGTGGGAGGAGAGGAGGATGTTTTCACCAGCAAGTTCAAGAAACTTCAAATCACTGATAAAAGCTTCTCTCCTCTGCTTAGGTGGTGCATTACCCAGACCTCCACCGCCTGTCTCTGTCCATGCTGACAGAGATCACTGATGCCAGTTTAGCATCAGTAGCCTGGCACTGCCGCAGCCTCACCAGCCTGGCCCTCAGCCACTGTCCAGGTATCAGTGACCGCGGAGTGGCTCAGGCTGCACCGTACCTCTGCCGACTGCAGCATCTCTACCTCTCTTGCTGTGACAACATCACAGACAGGTGAGTGACACACATTTCCACATTTCCACCGCCTCTGCAGCCTCTGAAAAAGGATGAAATGATCACGTCTTCAACTCTTTACCCCACAGGTCCTTGTTCCTCCTGATGCAGCACTGTAAACGTCTACGGACACTCGACATTTCAAGGTGCAAAAACATCTCTGTCACTACAGTGGACCTCCTTCAGTCACAGCTGCCGTTCCTGGAAAACATCAACTACAAATTCATAGGTGGGACTGATCTAACCCTCACACTCTGACTGACTGAAGGACTTGCTGCTGACTCATACACAAGAACTGAAGGAGGGCTCGAAGAGTGGTCAGTCATGGTCGCTGCTCTGTAAAACCTGACACCTGTATGTCGTCTCGTAAGTGAATGTAGAATGTCAAACAAGATATAATCAAACTATATTTACTGAACCTATTTAATGGTAATTTACTGATGACTCCAAAGGGAAAACTTTGGATGTAATATTTATGTTCAGTTTATCGATGAGATTATGCCATTATATGGTATAAAATTAGTTTATTTGAAATGTGAACATGAGGCGAGGTAGGGTGGGATAGGAGGAGCTCGAGGAAGCCTGTCAGGGGGTGTAGGGGAGGGGTCAAGATTTAGATGGGGGAACGTCGTGCACATTTCTGGTCCAGCTTTCCTCTGTGCTTAAAAGAGAGGAGGTTAAAGAACTGAGGGGAATGTTTAATCAAGGCAGTTTTTCTTTTTTTTTTTGTCCACACAGGTGATAGAGTTAATAAGATAGCGATGACTGAACTGGTTTCAGAGGTGACATCCTGTTCCTGACATTTAGGTGGAGCATCATCACTGAGGGAATTGCTGTTTCATAAGAAAGGCTCTTCTGTCTTTACACTCGTAGAAAAAACCTTACACCTGAACCACAGCTGAACTGAAAGAGAGAGCATATTTCTCAGATATAGGGGGGTGCATGGCAGTCACTTGAGAAAAGTTAATTTTCTTAAAATAGCAAGTTAAATATTTTAAATTTTGATATCCTGGGACTTCCAGACCCCCAATGGAAACTCTCATGTATGTCATTTGAGCCTGCAAACTATTAAATATTTATATTAGTGGAATATGTTCTCACTCAAACACATGTAGTATGGGGGAAACTTTAACATAGATACCTTTTTAAGTCTTTCTTTTTTAAAAACAAGATTTGTCTTCAAAATATGTCATAAATATCAAACCAAAGACAATTACCTTGAAGTTCCACTCCGATCATTTTTTTTTTTTCTTTTACTGTTTAAAGTGTTTTCAGTGGTCTTTAAATTGTTATGAAGTTTTTAGCCAAAATCACTTTACCTGTGTCATTTTCAAGGACTTTTCTCCTGCAGAGCTCCAGGAGCTCATTAGCAATTCGCCTCTGAGTCGTGGGTGGAGTCAACACTGCTCTGCACACTCCTCTTCATGCTAGCTTGCAGCCTAACATTGTTGGTGCAGCAGAAGAGGCAGGTAACAGGCGCTTTAGGGACATGATGAAAGTTAATATCATAATTAGCTTTCTTATGAGCATTGCAATCTGCTAATGCAAAGGCTTGTTCCACGGTTGTCCCCTCTACTTCTACAAGTCTGGCCTGCATAGTGGGGCTCCAGGGGCAGAACTTGCAATTGTTATGAATTGTGAGGAAATCTCACCGTGTCTGAACCTGCCGTTTGGGTCTGCCAGAGATTCACAGCGATTTTAATTCAGAAATACTCAGAAATGCAATTTTGCACTTACTATCTCATGATAAGTCCAGTAGCATCAGAAAAAAGCCGTATGAACATGTAGACAACAAGAAAAAGATAGTTTTCACCCAACAGGGAGCCAGTGCACCTCACAGCCACCTGTACAACCAGGTCCTGCTGCAGCAAATGTGTGTGGAAAAAGACACAAACACAGTAGATTTAGACATGAAACGAGATATAGCAGAGTTCAAAGTTTTAATATAAACTAAGGAATAACTCTTTATCGTGAGCACAATGCATCTTAGATTTAAATGATCCGTCTTACAAATTATAGAAAATTTTTTTAAATTTTTTTATTTTAAAGTTTTAAAGCCTAATCTAACATTGGATTAGATTATTAACATTTAAGAGCACAGTATGAGTTTCTCCTGCTTTAGGAAATGTTGAGTACACAGTGTTGTGATTGGTTTGTAAATGCAGACACAGCTCAGTCTGATGAGCCGGCTGCTGCAAGCGTTTTCTAAAAATGATCTTTCTTTTTCTCAAGTGAATGTAATATGCCTCTGTACAAATCCTGGTTTCTAGGATATGAATGTTCTGTAGCAATCAGGTACTCTTAAACAAATGAAAAGTAAACTGTATTTCAGACCATAAGGAAAAGTTATGAAGGAAGGTATCCCAAATATTTTAAGAATATATCTGACAATCTTTTACTTATGCAGTTCACTCTTTGTGAATGAAATTTAGCCATTTAGTGCACATAAATAAAAAATTACATTCCAATATTTCTGCAAAAGCACATTTCTGTAATTTTTTCAGCACTTTCCCTCAATTGTTTTGGTTTTCCACCTCTTAATAAATCAGATGACTGTAATTTTAGTTATTCCTGTCCAAACAGAATTACTGAGGAGACTCTGTTTGTTCTGATCTGCTGAAGTTGGGAACTCGAGTGAGGTAGTGACTCTCAAATGCAGTCCTGCACTTTCACCTTTAACTCAAAAAAAGAACCGTTTCCTCCAAAGCTGGTATGTAAGCATGGTCTTTAAAGCAGGAAACAAGGGTAGGTGTTGGTTTTCATTTACAGCATGTCAGCCGCATGTATGCCCGCCTTCATTTGCTGCATATAGAGTCCTTAAGAGTTTACTTATTTAATGAAGAGGTAAAAAGCACATTTAAACTAGAGGGATCTTATGGAAAGGCAGTGTGACACCTGTCATATGTTCAATGAAAATCTTGCTGGAAACTACAAGATGATTTCAATAATTAAGATCGTGTTGTCAAATGTACTTGAATTAACCTGAAGGAGCTTGTCTTAAAGTTCTGCTGTAGCCTGTTTGAAGACGTAATAACCCTTTAAACTGTATGCACTCTGCTGATTTTATGACCGTTTTGTCACTGTATGAAGCACTGCGGCGGAAGTACACTGTATAAGGAAAAACTGTTGACAGATCATGTTGATTTTATAAATAAACCAAAGTTTATGAGCAAATCACTCACACAGGTTCATTTGTTTTCATGTTTATTCATGTGAAGTCGCCCAAAGGTAACAAATCAAAGTGAGTTTTCTCACATGTCAGAAATGCAGGGACAGCCGTGACCATGCTGAAATGAAAGAACCCGCTACCAGAGAAAAAGCAGAAAACACTCCGACGAGTGTCACCGCTGAGTGCTTAATCATAATAAAAACAAGTACCTGGAGTGAAATTGGTCAGTTTATACATTAGGTCAGGATTTAATGCAAGATCAGTGATTGCACAGAGCCACACGTTTCTTTTTTTTTTCTTTTTGTGCATCCTCAAACCTCATCATGGGACACGCTCATTAGCCTTCTGTTCAAAAATAAAGAGGAAGTCAGTGTGGTGCCGAGAAACAAAACTGTTGAGTTTCCTGATCTTCAGTAATCACGATGAGGGATCCGTACAAAAGTGAGTACCTCTATGTATGTGTAGACTTGTATCACGAAACACGTGAATATTTTATTCTATTTTCACTAAGTCTGCCAAATACTCCACACTGTACCTTTAACCTGCTACCTGTTTTTATATCAGCTTATTTGTGTCCAAAAACTAAATCATAGCCTTTCATGTGTTGTATGTGCCACATCCCCATGAAGCTCTGGGCTCTACTATAAGCCTTAGAAAAGCAACAGAAAATAAAATACACAAACAAGAATAATCCATGTTTTAAACATAGTTTTAGATATTTTTAAAAATATAAAATGATTACAAACAAAATAAAGTACCACAAGTCAAGTCAGTGACTGTATCGTGTCAGAATAAACTCATATGTCCGAGTGTTAAAGTAGCTGCATTGAAAGGAGACCGATTTTACTGCTCTGTGTTTTCATACACACACATATAATGTTACAGTGTTAGATGTTCAGATGTTGGTGTAATCCCTTGTGTTGGAGACTAGACCTGTTAGCAGGCTCTGCTGTACTGCTAACTTAATGTAGGTTGACTACATGTCCTCTTTTATCCGGACATGTCCTCTTAGGGGGGAGCTGTCCGGCCTGTTCGGGGGAGTAAAATCCTAAAATCCTTTAAATGTTCAGGGTTTTTATGGAAGTTTTGAGTTTGTGTCACGTGGACTAACTGAGTTAGAAGCGCGTAACAAACACTCGAGCCGACCCAATCCGAAAAACTTTCAAAATGCACTACCCCCAACTCTGTGACTCCGCCCTGCGTAGTGGTGTCCTCTTTTTAGGAATTCAGAATATGGTCACCCTACTTAATGTTGAAGGACATGTCAACCTTTTCAATTTCCCCTCACTCTGACAGTCCATTCCATCCCTTGCCCTTTCTCCAGAAAACAATGGGTAGTTTCGCCACAGCCACAACGTAGCTGTTTGTACTGTTGACTCCTTTGTAAACAAAGGCCAGTTAAAGCTGGACTTGTATCTCAGCTGTTACTTGAACCTTGAGCTGTCCCACCAACAAAAAAACACCTTCCATGAAGGCCGGGGCCACACGTTTTAAGTGATATTATAACAACAGGTGATTTAACAATAGCTGACATGTAATGAGGAGCCAAAATGGCTGGTCTCAGATGTTGACAGGCACAACTTTCATGACATAAAAACTGTGTAAAAAGTAACACCCACAAGCTGTGTCCAACTTTACATTAGCAGCAAAGCAGCCAAAACAAAGTGTTACAAGCAGAGGCTGAACAGTGCTGAAATGACGGGGGTCTGTGGATGCCAGTCAAAGTTAACAAAGGAGTCTTGGGAATCATGCAAAGTGACTCTATAGGTGAGATTGAGCAAAGAGGTCTCCTTGAAGTTTCCACACAGCTGAGGGGAAGTTGAAAGACAGACTAAAAGAGTGTGTGTCCCAGATGAGGACTAAAATCGTGCAACATCAGTGCAGTCAGCGGCCGTTTGGCATCGATCCACACCGGGAAACTGGATACTAGATTAAAGTCACTTCCACAGGTTCAACCCTGTTCAAATTTTCACTTGAGATTAAAGGATGAGGCCACCGAGAAGAATACACTATTAAAGTTATAAATCTGTGTTACAGGAACAAGTGCATAAATCACACACTTTTTTTTCAGACACACACACGCGCACGCACACACACACACAGTGTATTTACACATTCACACTTCATGGCTGCACTCCAGTGAGTGCACACGCTCTACTGCTCGGTCTGGCTGAAGTCGTAGCAGAAGTTGTAGTTGCTCGGTGGTTTGGGGATGACAGGTGCGCTGTCAGGGATGGGAACGTTCTCTAGATCCAGGAGGCGGAGCTTAATCTCCATGGAGAGGAGGATTTCCAGCTCGCTGCGCATGGCTTCACTGCTCATCTCTCTGCCCAGGAGGACGCTCAGACCATCCGTCCACAGGCAAAACTGACGGGAAACAAGATGATAAAATTACTGTTCACTTCTCATTGTGTGCCACCTAATGATGTAGACAAGAGTGCAGAGTTTGAGCTGAAACTCACATCAGTTCTGGAGGGGGCGATGAAGTTCAAGCTAGACTCCTCTACATCATATGTGATGCTAAATGCAAGGTCCAGCACTTCCTACAGCACACACACACACAAAGTTAGATGTATCATTCATAAAGTAAAAACAACCAGACTGGAAAAAGAAGGAGGGCCGCTCACTTTGTTCTGTTTGCCTTTATTCTCCTTCATGTGAGGACAGTCTTTCCCCGTCAGCAGGCCTTTGATATCTGCTATAGGAACTGAGGGGGCAAGAGGGCAGAGATAATGAGAGTAATGAACAGAGAGGATCCAAGAACCTGATCAATATCAGTATTAACAAATCAAAGATCTTCATATCACTGCTGTGACTCACTCTTCTTCTGCAGTGTCTCAATTGGTGGGTTTTCTGTGTCTTCCTCGGCGTCACCGTAGTGAAGCATTTTGTGATTTGGTGACAAGCGGCAGTACCACAGTTTATCTGATGGAAGACACAAAAATAATGGTGGTGAGTAAAAAAGGATATGCACTCATTGTGTTTTGTTTTTCTGTTTTTGTATGTATGATTCTATATTTTCTCACCCTGTCTGCGTCGGCTGCTGATCTGCCTGAACATTGTTCCCTGACACAGCCTGTTCAGTCGCTGCTGTCGGATCAACTCGAGCAGCTCCGGCTTTAGACGCTCTTTGAGCTCACTGACAAAAACAACATACATGAATGATCAACTACGTGCCTCGAGATGCATTTCCTCAGCTGACATGGTTTTACTCTCACAAGCAAAACAACATAAAGATATCAATATAAACAGAAACCTGATACAAGACACAGAAAGTAGGGCTGGGCGATAAACCAAAAATTTACAGATACTGAAATTTGCGAAATTTGCAATGCCAATGTATACGGTGTTAATAAATAAATAAATAAATAAATAAAAAAAAGTTGGTTTTGGTTGTGTGTTGGTAGGCTATGGTCTCATGTGTCTTTAAGACACTGTCCTACGTCGGAGACGTGACTACACCCCATCCAGTCCGTAACAAAGAGGGAAAGACAGGTGAGGAGATGGAGGATTTTTCAAAAGTTGTAGCGGCTGAAGTAAACAAAGTTAATGTGGGAGGGGGTGAGCAGCTTGTGGAGTAGTTATTGTCCACACATTGTTGAACTGCTCAATATATTGTGATACTGATTTGAGGCCATATCGTCCGGCCCTAACAGAAAGCACAAGTATTGCCCTAAAAATCTTTGTTCAAATCATGATGGGAGATTACATCAGCAGTAACAGTATAAATAGACCATAAATGCCAAAAACCTGACTTGTGTGGATGAATGTGACAGCAGCACATTGTTACACTCAGTGTTTAGTGATAAACAGTGCGATCAACAGTGCAGTCTGGGTGACCTGTTATCTGTTTCCATAGGGGTGGAAACTTTTTCAGTCATCAATACATCAGCTGATCAGGCAGTGTTATTTTTCTAAAGCTTGAAAATATTCAATTTGATGAGATGTTCACTTGTTTTTCTCACAACTATCTCAGAGGGGGCTTATTTCTGGGGATTGTTCTCTAAAGAGATGTAATGATCTCTGTCATACTTTGTGCAGACACTGGTTAAACAGACAGAAACAAACGAAAACATCAGGGTACAAGTGCCTCTTGTTTCAACTAAGGTTTTTATCTAAGATGTGACTATTGTGTGAACTCACAGCACAGGAGGAGCCAGGGTCTCTTCTTGGTGCAGCCGCTCAGTTTGCCTCAGTTTGAGGATCTCGCTGTAGTTCAAGGCGTTGACTTTATTCTTGAAGAGCTCCAGGGAGGTCGGCTTACTGGACAATGTCCTAGTGATCTGCTCCCTCACCACCTGCATCACCTGAGCACAGAGAGATGGGAACAGAGGGAAACGATGTTCTTAAAGCTGACAGAGAATTTTAATGCTCAATTATGAAGCGATGGGATGCAAATTAGAGACCTGCTCAAGTCCTGTTGGTACAACAAAAAGACTGCAGCAAAAATACAGCTGTAGTTGGATAGTAGACAGCATCTATATCAAGCCTTCCAGTCTGACAACATCCATCATTTCACACAACTTTTAACATGAACTTAGTGGGGGTGGGAGAAAAAAATCGATTCACGCAAGAATCGTGATTTTTTGTTTTATAATTTTTAAATCGATTTTTATTTGAATAAATCTTAAAAACTGACCAACATGTGATGTGTATTTTTTGGGCAAATATGGTATATAGTCAGTAGACAATCATAATCATTTAACCTCTTCACTGGTGTTAAAAATGCAGACTAAAAATCGACAATATCGTAGAATTGCAATTTGAAACAAATCGGCATCCAAAAAATCGTATCCTCCCAGCCCTAAAACTTAGTGTGACGCAAAGAAACTGCTAACATTCAACATTCCCACAAAGTAACACTCTGCAGACTATATTTAAGCTTCCATGAGGGTATTACCCAAGCACATAAGAATAACTTTATTTTGACCAGAAGGGAAATTCAATTGTCTGCAGTCTCATTTGTCATGTCTCAAAAGTAATCAACCAACAAGCAAACAAACTTTTGCCTCCTACACCGAGGTGTTAAAAATATACGAACCCAACCTCCAAACCCTGTACCACAGATTTAAAGGTAATTCGCCCAGCGTAAATGCTTAGTTTTATCTCCTGTAGTTTTCTTTCAATTAGTGTTTTAGTCACAACCGGTTCCTTCTGGTCTCTCCATAAAAGTTCCCTCCTCTGTCTATCATCAGTTCAAAGTTTCAGAGCTCCTCTCCTCAGCACTGTCATATCACATGAGCTGCATTTTAACGTCCCCTCCCCCTCTAACTCAGACATGGGCCAGACATCGATCAGACCGATCATTATCAACCTTGCCACATCCATCCAACACCCTCACAACCAGACCAGACAGAGTAAACACATTTACATTTCCTGACAAACAAGTCAAGAAAGAGCTGACTACATTTGTATCAGATTCAGAGAGACGTCATCCATCCCCGATGGAAATATTGGTGTTACAGTTGGTCCAAAAGCCACGGTGAGACTATTACTGATGAGACTGACACTTCCATGACTGTTATCTTTAATTCCAGTAACCACTGAGAGACGTTACATTAAAGTTATAAATTAAAAAGGAAAAAAGACAAACATGAAGAATCTGAATATTAAAAACTAGGGAGTTATATATTTGGATATCTGATGAGACTGACACATAACTGTTTTCTTATGTCTGTTTTTATTGTTTGTTTGTTTGTTTTGTCCTGTTGTGTATTTTCATTATATCTTTGTTTACTTTTTGTTCTACTTGAATGAAATGGAAAAATTCAATAAAAAAAATGGATCACATAAATACACATATCACATATATTTTTTTTCCCTCAAAATACATCTGAAGAAAATTCATGGTGTCCACCTGCTGACGAATACTTTAGTGTTTTTACAATATCAGCTCTAAAAACACAACGGTAAGACCGAGACATAAACGCTGCGTTAATCTGACATCTAGGAGCTTTTTTGTGAAACACTGTAGTTTTGTTGGTTAGCTGGCTAAAGTGGATGAAGGCTACCATCTTTGTTTTGGTCTGTCTACTATCAGAGGCCATATGTGTGATCAGCTGACCTGTAAAGCTCCAGTGAGAGGCCAGTACAGCCTGAGACAGACTGTGCAACATGCTCACAACACAGAAATGAGAAATATAGAACTGCTTTGAATAGATTTATCTTATTATAGTATCAGCTGATCTGTGCTCTGTCCAACAACTGAGTGCTCCTGATCCTTTCGTACTTCATCTCACTGAGAATTCAAGTTGAAGAAATTTGGATTTCATCAAATTTTAAAGTGAATAGTTGTCTGAATTATCAGTTGAAAATAAGATAATGAAATTTCACTGAAGGCGAGACATGCAGGGGGCAGATTGTCTGACACTCAAGAGGAGGAGGTGTAAAGTTTGACTGCCACAGGCAGGTATGACTTTCTCCGCATATTCAAGTCCACTTCAGTTAAATACACATTTTTAACAACAGATGATAGTTCTGTGTGACTGTGTGTGTGCCTTTATGTGTTCTGCATGAGTTGTTGGACTGAAGCTCACACAGAGGGACAGGAGGTGACCCCAGCTACCCTTACAAAGAGCTCAGGGCAGTGGGTCAAACAGTACCCCTGTATCTGTGTAAAATCTATACCTCCTTTCGGCATTAGTGCTTCAGTTGTAAAAGGTGGAAAATCTATATTAAAATCTATACCAGACCGAGCCAACTGCAGCGTTATTTGTCCTGCTGTCTCTCCCCCGACACACTCTGCTGACCTAGATCATTCCTCTTCACACCCAATTGGACTGATTGTGAACAATCATTCACTAAAGTGTCATCTGAGCCGCTCATTCCAGCTCCGTCTGGGCTTTTCTCAAGACAATAAAAAGCTTTGAGACACAAAAACTGTGAGCTAAGGCAAAGAATCTGCTCAGAAGTAAACCAAGAGTTTTGAATCTGAGCCGTTGAGCTCGTGACAGACTGACGACACTTCTTATCATCAGGAGAGTGAGATTTTAGACTGTAACAGCACAGAGGACGACAGTTTTTCCATCTGCTGTCAATGTAGGTGCAAATAATGAAACCTAGAGTGTCATCCGAGTTTGTGTGAACATGCAAAAACACAAAACAAGCAGCCGGAGTTTCACTGTGCCTCCCTGCTCAATCCCCCCGAGCCAAAATAATCACACTGTCCTGTAACTTTCACATGACACAAGCCTCAGACAGCCTCTTCACACTGTTATGTCATCTTTACTCTAGAGCTGTAAATCATCTCTGTTGTCCTGTCAACTTTTTAACAACTCAGTCTGAATGAGAAGATCCTCTACTGGAAAATCAGAAAACAACTAATGATCAGAAAACCGATAAATCCACATTCAAACCAATAAAAAACTCAGGAGAGCAACCTTACCTCCATCTTTTTTTCCCTCTGAGATGACTTTTTTTTTTTTTTTGTAAACGATTTAAATCCCAACTTTGAAATTCCTGCCTCTTTAACAATCAGAGGAAAGCGAGGGGTTGACAGGCGGTGAAAAGTGAGAAGCGGAGACATGCAGATCACCTACATGACAGCAGAGGTGCAGGCATGTGGCTGTTTTGTAAACACACACCCTGATACTCTCACACACATGCACGCCCCCTCCATCCAGCCCCGGTGCCATTCAGACGAACTGGCCAATAGGAGCAGTGACTGGCAGCTGTCTCTGTTCCCGAAAAGCCTGCGGCATGTGCACGTGTTAAATGTGTATGTGCATGTGTGTTTGTGGACACTGATCATTGCAGGGATTGTAAAGGACTATGTGGATCAATTTTGATTACTGGTCGTAGATGAGCAATTACCAGAGATGTCTGAATTTGAGATCTCTATCTGTGAACATATATATAATGAACATTTTTGTAACGGTAGTTCAGAAGTGTGTATCAAACATGGTGTTGAGGTTGTTGCACAGGGACTGGGGCTCCAGTTATTGGCTACTTCCATGATGCTATAATGATCTACTACCTGTATGTAAACACAGAAAGATAAAGAGTGGCATCACATGAGCAGTTTATCATATTTTGACTTGGGAAATGGAGAAAATATATAAAACCGACATGTAAGGAGCTAACTGAGCATGTTGACCTTGATCTGCAGCCCAAGCCTGGTGGAGCTAGCTCTGCTAATGTTAACCACTCTCAGCAAAACCAATCTAGCACTATTAATCGCAGAATCCGTGAACCCAGGTTGGCCCTACTCACTAGCAATTTTTGTTTTGGGTAGTTTTTTGCTTTTCAACTAAATGTTAGGATGTTGGAATCTAGTAAAACCAGGATTACACTCAGTGATGGGGCTTCACTCTTATTTCTAATACCTGAATCAGCGTTGGCTCGGATTTATTTTTTCTTCTGGGACTCTGAGTTATCACAGACTTTTACTCTGCTGATTAGAAAAGGTAATTTTTCTTTAGAGGTCAAATAAATCATCACATAAAGTCATGAAGCATCTCACCTTTCTCAAGATGAGTTTGTTCTTTGTGGTTTGTTTAGTTGATATGTGTTGATGACTGAAATGCAAAGTGTAAAGAAACAAACCCTATATCCCGTGTATCACAGAGTACTCTTCTCTTTTTCATGAGATTCAGCGCTCCCTCCACTCTCCCCCTCTCGGTTTCCCCCTCCTGTATTGTTCCCGGAGGTTTTACGTTCCCGCAGCATTTGTTGTGTAATTACTGCTCGTGCCCCGAGCGCTTTGTTTTCCCGGTTTCCTTCTCCCTCTGTTTCTGCCGCCCACCACGTTTCTCATTGTCAGCCTAATGCTCCTTTGTCTTTGCCCCAAAGCACCCTGGGTAGGAGGCCGTGTATGGAAACAAAAGGTCGGCCTGCTGGCCTGGCGCTCTGAACACTGGCCCTGTCCTAAAGGGTCGAAGGTCAGTGAGTTTTATGAGTATCAGGAGAGCTCTCTGTTGATGACGGGCAGTTGTGGGCCGTTGGATGTGGCTCAGGACAAAAGCTGCAGCTTTCAACTTTTCAGGACGGCGCGACTCTCAATATTTCTCGCAGACAAGACCCTGCTGCTGAAGGCCTGGCTGGTCCCATTACCATCATATAAGAACTGCACTTTGTCTGTGTGATCCTAAGAGGAGTGTCAGCTCTGTCTGTGGGGGGCCAGTTGAAGATGGTTTGCACATGAATGAATCACAACATCATACATGAAATCCCCCTGAGCTTCACTCTTGGTGTGTCTGAGAGCTTTCCCCTTTAAGAGATTTTAATTTGGATAAAAATTCTGCATAGTTCACATTACTGAGAGTGGGCTTGATTCCTCTTTTCGAATCATTGAGCACAGGGTGCACCGAAGTTCAGAGACATTGTATTTCAACTTTTCCCAATCAACAAGATCTGATTTTTATCACAGAAATGGTCAAATGGTCCACTTTGCTTTGTAAAAACCTGACTGTCAATCATCCTGCCATCAGAGGGTGACCAAAAACACATTATTTCATCATTTAAGATACTTCATAATGGTGCTGCAGGTCAATGTCAGACTCACACATGAGCCTAACTCTAGCAGGGAAAGAAAAGTTTTCCTTTCTTAAGGGATTTGTTTGCAAAATTGTCAAGAAACGGATCTGTTTCAAATCCTCTCGTCCTGTTCAATGTGACATCTAATTATTTGTCATTAAAACAAGAGATCCAACAGGATGAGAGAAGTTTACCTTGCAGCTTTTCTCTGTAGAGTGTGCATACAGAACGTAGGTTCTTCACTTCTTCCTTCTGTCATACAAAGACATACTAGCTATGCTCACAAGTGACTCTAAATTGCCCAAAGATGTAAGTATGAGCATGAATGGTTATCAGTCTTTATAAAGTGCCCAGCATAAGTCAGTACAGCCCCTATTAAAAGTAATGTATTACTCAATATCTAGATGAGCAAAAGTACAATTTCCAAAGTTTTGACAAAGCTGAGTTTAACAAAACCTTTCATTTACTTTAAGATAAAAATAAGGGTGATATGGTAACTAAAATTTAGCTTTGCTCCCAGAACTTTGATTGGGGTGTACTCATTTTTGCATCCTGAATTTAAATTGAAAAAAAATATATATATATACTTCTTTGTATGCAACTTAAAAAATCTTGTATGCAATCAATGGCCTATATTTGGGGAGTATTTTGTTGTATAGTCTGACATAGAAAATGTTGATTTTGAAAGGAAACTTAAGGTTTTCTGACAACTCTGACGGGGTGTACTCATTTATGCTGAGCACTGTATATGATGACCTATATCTGTCAAACCCAACTGACTGTAGAAAATGTGGATGTAATCGAAGGCGCCTCACCCATCGGTTCTCCCAAATGAGAACTGGGATTGGCTCGACTTCCCTCAACCCCAAATGGGATAAACAGTATTGATAACAGATGGATGAATAAATCTCAACAGAACTGTCATCCTTGAGCAGTGTCACAGATGTGAGGTTTCAATCAGACCATTTCACATATATCATTGACCAAAACCATGATTTTGGAAAGTTTAGAGAAGAGAGAACTTTTGTAAAAGACAAATTAAAAACTAAAAATGTCAAAAGTATTCCTCTTGCTGGGTCTTTATTATGTTTTCATCAATAACCATCGATAAGATTTAGAGACTCTTGCATAAATGTGGGATTTAGTCCACCCTCTCAGAGTATTTGGGGTGTGTAATGAGATGGGACTAAAATCTGATAATAAATACTCACACGATGAGCTGGTCCCTGTGCTACAAGAAGTATCTGCTAAAGTTTGTGTGATTCCTTCAATGTTAGGTTTGTGTGTCTGTGTCAAAATCACTCAGTATGGTACAACAGCTCTAGCTGGAGATGGAAACCATGCCATGTCATACTGAACTAAGCTGTACCTTGTCAAAGTCCTCCTGTGTGGCTCTCATCTCCTTCCAGGTCTTGTTGAGCAGCTGAATGCAGACACAGAAAAGCTCCTCCATCAGCCGGTCCTGGCTGAAGAAGATGGGGTGGTAGTCTGATCCCGTCTCTGAGGCTGATGAGGGGAAAAAAAGTCAACTTTAGGCTTTAAATCAGGATTGACTTGAAGTTTTGAGGTTATGGCATCAAAAGTTTAGAGATGACACTTACGATGCTCTCCAATTCGGAGGATTTCACACAGGATGAGTGTGAGCTGGATGCTGCTCCTCGCAAATGGACACTCATGTTTATCTTCTCTACTGCTGTTCTCCAGGACAAACTGAGACAGAGACACACAACGTGACTTTACACATCAAATTCAAGCTTCTTGTAAACTGAAGTCTCTGATTCAGAGCATTACATCAATTACTCATCAATTTTACTACATTTTAATATCAGACAATCAAATATAATATGGGTAACATTAATATCAGGCATCATAATATATCATTATCTGAAGTTCAAGTTATAGTTATACTGTGCCATGAATTAAATTGGCTGAATGAACAGCTGATGAAATCGTGCTCACCCTGCTGTAGGCGTCAGGGTAACGGGTAGCAAAATAATACATGGTGTCCAAAGCTAGAAGACCAGGTGGTGTCCGTACCAAGTCCTGACCAGGGTTGCTGTTATTCTGGAAGTAATGTAATTATGAAAAACACCAGAATAAGGAATACTGATAATAGTGACAAAGAAAAGCTGCAGAATGACACGTCAAAGCGATCACTTACTGAGAAGCCTAACTTCTTAAACTCCTTGGTGCAGAGCGAGCGGCGCCTCTCGTGGCTCAGACTGTTCTCGCTTTCTGTCTCGAAAGCCGCTTGTCGCAAACCGTGAAGTATGTCCCTCTGGTCCTGAAGTGGAGGGAGAGGATGCAGAGTTTAAAATTAAATTAAAAAGTAAAAGGTTGGGAGTTATTATTGAGGTCAAGGTTGGGAGTATGTCTTTGAGGGCCTCATTCAAAGAAACATTGCATCACTTGTTCTCCCACTATACCGGTGCAGATGAAGACACTTTCTTACTCACAAAGCACACACAAAGGGTTAAATGCAACACAAACTGCACTACAGAACAAACAGCACCACTGTGCTATTTGTGTTCTTGGTGCAGGTGATAGCTGCAGTACATTCAAGTTTTCATTAATCCTAAATGACGACAAACGAGGTCAGTATCCAAATAAGCATGGGGACTTCAGCAGATTATGAACAACCATATCTGCTGGTTTTGATGTATTTCAATAATTCTATATATACTTTTGTGCAGGTGCAGTCTGCAGAATTAAACAGTATTGAGTATAGAACAGAGTTGGTAGAAATAGAGTTTACTCTTCATAAGTATTTTTAATTTTGTGAATAATCCCCTGAATATAAAATGGTTTTGTTTTTGAGCCCTATGTATCGTCTCTTCACCAGGGTGAGCAAGGATGTTTCAATCTAGAGTCTGAGTGCTGGATATTTCTAGATACTCTTATTTCTATACACTGCTTCTTCAACTGATCAGGATTATTCTCACCAGGGAAAATAAAATTGATTTTGACCGTTTTAAACTTTGTGTGTTTTATCAGGATGGAAGTCATAAATTTGCCCATCTGGAGCTTGGAGCTTGCTCACCTGGCTGTAACAGTCCAGAGGCGTCCTCATGCGAGGATCCAGCTGGTTTAAGGTCACTGACTGCAGCACATAGAGGTAGTGAGCCATCTCATCCTGGACTGCACCAGAACTGTGGATGATGTTCTGCAATAGAAACAAATGTCTTTTCAGTCAGCCCATAAGTTGTTTTATCAACATGCCTCTTTTACATGATCAAAGAGCATGCAGGGTGACATATATCGATGCAAATAAGAAGAGGGTTTACTTTGTAAATGTACTGACGGACATTCTTCTTATTCAGGAACGCAAACATATCCTGGAAAACAGAGGAGAGGACAATGTGAGTGGAAATACAATACATGACAGAGGTGCAATGACATGTTTCTAACATGGGGTGGCGTTACAGTATCAGTCACTGATACGTGGGCGGGACATAGGTTGGTGCGTTGGACTTTGACCTGTGTGATGAAATCGTCACTTGCTGGTACACGCACCTCTAACCCAACCATGCTTCGTCGAGAACTAATCTGCTGATAAGAAGAAGGGTGGATTTGTTGACCTACTGTAAAAGTGAGGAAGTGTGTGTGTGTGTGTGTGTGTGTGTGTGTGTGTGTGTGTGTGTGTGTGTGTGTGTGTGTGTGTGTGTGTGTGTGTGTGTGTGTGTGTGAGACAAAGAGGGGCTGAGAGAATAGAGACTGGGAGCTGAATAAAGGAACTGTGTCCGTACAATGAGAGAGAGGAGCAGGGACAGAACAGAGGGAGAGAAAGACTCGACTGTCTGTGGAGAAGCAGAGAAAAAGAGACAGACAGACAGACAGAAAGAGTCGGGTCGTTCCCAGCTGTCTTCAAACGTAACGTCTGCAGGATTCTGACCCACATGGTCGATGACAGACTGCTCATGCAAAAACTAAGAATGCACTGATTGAGAATTTGCTGTATAACCTGTATAACTTGTATAACTGATACTTAGTTATAGAGGTTTTCTGACTGATCATTGTTACTCATTTTATGTTTGCTGTGAATCCCCATCTGGGCCAGATTCACATTTATATGATGTTAAGAAACATTCAAAGAGTCATTCAAACCCTTATTAATAATCTTGTTTTTAAGCTGGCACTTCTTCGGCTCTTCAAATGTCAAACTGGGACTTTCCTGACTTTCAGTTTTTAAATTGCTGCATGGACCCTAAACAGTGAGTATCAAAGTATTTATGAAGCTCTGATCTGTATCTGTCAACAGGATGAGCATCTGATACTCAGTAAATGTATCTTTACATCTGCAGGAAAGGCTTCCTTTTGAAAAAAACAAAATAAAATATGTGCTTGAATAAAGCTTCTAATCAGAAAATGAAAAACATCTGCGGACTCAGAGTCAGAGCTCACTGATTCAGAGCTGTGGGAAACATTGTCTGAAAGCCAAGGGTGTACAGGAAAACCCTGAAACCACGAAAAATACCTGCCTGTCTGAACATTTGAAACTCTGAAGAGAAACAACCCCTTTCATGCAGGAAGAGTCATGAGATTCACTGAACAGTTAAAGAGATTTATCTATCAGCTGTTAAATCACAGGCCTCAGTCTGCACTGCTTTGAAAACTTAACCATGTCTGCAGATGCTGCAGCTGGGCTGCACAACACTGTAAAAAACTCTAAGGTTTATATTTTGGTGGTAAACATTACGAAACATAAGTAGTGCGTTTTTATGTTGATACCAGACATGTGGATCACAGACTAATGTTTGATGTGCGATTACATTGTTCAGTATTGTGGAAATAACATGAAGTGTGTAACTGTACAATGGTCATAACTAACAGTTTCTACATCCATCTCTTTCCAACATGCTGTCCTAAAATACAAAATAAATAATAATAAAAAAGCAGGTTTTATTTCAGCTGTTCATTGGCTCTGAGGGTAACTGATAACTAGACTGAGCTTCCTACACCTGCACCAAACAAAACAGAGTGAAAGTTCAACCATTACCCAGCCAGCCATCCAACAGTTCACACGGTAGCTTTCTAAGTACAAGAGTGTCTTTATTTGAATATATCCTATTTTTTTGAGTTATTGCAATTAACTTTGACTTTTGCATTTCATTTATTGTAAATACTCAAACTACTAAACTGATAAAACTGTGATACATTGTCTCCTTTTTTCAATGAAAACATGTTTTCCGATCCTAATGACGGCGTATCAAATCTGAAAAAACGACATCATGATGTTAGCATGATAATTTGGCTGTCAGACGACCTGCTCTCTGATTAACGGCAACAGCTGTTGAAAAAACGATAACAATCGAACACTATTCTTTTACACATGCATCTTACAGCAGAAGATTGTGTGCAACAGTCACACAGCTCGAAATACTTTGTTTGGTGTAGGTAAGGGGTGACGGTGTGGTGGAGGCTGGGGGAGGAGTGGAGGTCTTGCATAATAGTGACTGTTTGTTTATATCAGCATGAATAATAAGTGAACAACAACACCTCATCCACCCGCTCATGGTGAATGTTCAAAACAGTTACCTGTTACACATCTTGTCTCATCTTTGTGTGAACTTTTTAACAGAAAAAGTTCATAAAAAAGTTGGTCCGCAGTTATGGTGTAAGGATTTGGCTGTTTGTGTCTGTCATCCAGCTCAAAGCTCAATCTCTTAACGCACAAGTTGTGCGAAATACAAGCCACTAGATGCAAATAAACAGGAAGGGATGTTCTTTCACAATAAAACTTAAAAATGGGTCTAACTTTGTACAAATGTGTTCAGTAGAGCCGTGCTTCAGATGATTTCGTTGTACTGGTTACAATGACAATAAAGGATTATTCTCAATCTCAACATCATTTCCTGCAGTGCAGAACATGTGTATAGATAGTTTTGTGAGAGGAGGAAATGTATCTAAAAACTGTGTTCGATGGTGAGAAATATCCAATAATCAGCACCTGTTTGTCTGAGTCTCCTGCTGTCTGTAGTAGAGCCATGAGGAGGGCCATGGCTTTGGTCTGAATCTGCTGGTTCGTCCTGAAAGAGACAGAGAGGAGAAAATGAAATACTCGCACAGTTTCTTTCCTCATGAAAAACAGTCTGACAACAGGTGAGATGCTGCTGCCTTTTGTTTTGCATGCTCTAAGATCAAACTGTGAAATCTTGCTGACACAAAGCAGCGGTTCTGTCCGTACTTGTATTTCATTCACTTCCTGTTACAAACACTTATCATCCCCCCGAACACACACTCTACAGAGGTTTTTTTTTCCATCTGTCCTTTATTTCCTCCTCTCTCTGCCTCAAAGTGAAACTCTGCGTGTTTGCAGAGGAGGAAACTACGTTTATGGAAATAAAATGCAAAGAAGAGACTGCCATTCTTCCTCTGTGATTTTTTTACAGTGATTTAACTCATGTGGAGTCAATTATATAGCTCTAATAGCAATATTGAAGAAATACGGAGAAGAAAATGTTAATAAATCAAGCAGAAGAGGCTCAGCACATTTAAGGTTTCAAACTATTTAGAGTCGGTCCAAATCTGTCACCGCCAGAGGAGGAAAATTTGTACAGATACTTTAAATAGACAGACAGAGTAGATTCAACATTCTTCTGTGAATTTTTGTACTTAACTCAAAAATTTATAAGTTGTAAATCTGCCCTTTTTCGCCTTTTCAATGAATACTTTTAAAGAAATATTTGTACTTTCTTGTGGTTTACGTATTACATGATTAATACAGGCTTTTATGAGGATGAAGAATCAAAGTTTTTTAAAGTTATATTTTGGGCATTTTTGCCTTTATTAGGCAGAATAGCTGAAGAGAGACAGAAAATGTGGGTAGCAGAGAGTCGGAGATGACATGCAGCAAGGGGCTGGTCCAGGAGCGAAACCAACAATCGCTCTATCATCTGTATGTGGGGTGCACCTGAACCAACCAGCACCTGAAGTTTCTCAGGAGTATTGGGAAAAAGGCAAACTTAAAGGTACAGTGTGCAGAAATGGAAATATTAAACAATATCTAGTTCAGTCGCCAATCTTATTGGTGGAGTGACGGTTGCCTTCAAGAACAAGAAGCTCCTGTGGTGCATGATAAGTATGATTCTCCTATGATCAGGATTTTACATACAGAATCAGCTATCACTACCAATTCTTTTGCGGACAACAACCACTTTCTTCTTCCATATCTTCATATTTCACATGCAGCATTTTGCACAGGCACTGACTTATACAAAGGCGTACATGTTCTTTAACAATTTGTTTGTCTTGAGCTACAGCAGGAACATGGAGGTGCAAGAGGGCAGCTCCATGAAGGGGACCGGTTCCTTAAGTAAATATAAATGCTTATTTAAGGTTGATTATGCTCTAATACCCTCAGTTAAGGTTAGGCGATAAACCGAAAATTTACCAATACTGAAATTTACGACAATAACCGACGTCATTTTATTCATATGGTTATATTCGGTGTCAAAAAATAAATAAAAGTTGGTTTGGATGTGTGTAGGTAGGCTGTGATCTAATGTCCCTTTAAGACGCTGTCCTACATCAGAGACGTGACTCCACCCCATCCAGTCCGTAACAAAGAGGGAAAGACAGGTGAGGAGATGGAGGACGGTTCAAAAAGTGTAGCGGCTGAAGTAGATAAAGTTAATGTGGGAGAGGGTGAGCACCTTGTGGAGTAGTTATCCTCTATTTATCGGTATCGAGGTGAACTGCTCAATATATTGTGATATTGATTTGAGGCCATATGGCCCAGCCCTACACCCAGTAATACGTTTTTTCAAATTAACCAAGTCTGATCTGAAAAATGCTGCTTATTACGACACACTGCACCTTTAAATGATTCAGAATATTAGTCCATAGCCAATAGTATTTCCCCTTCTCTATATATTTCATGTGACACGTGAAACATGAAAAAAAAAAAAACAATGTGTGAAGACAGTAAAAGTCCTCCTCTTTGCAAATATCAGAACTTCAACTTGAATACATTATTTGTGTACTGTTGCCACTTGTGTTTACTTACACCTGTACATGAGCGATGAGCCTTTCCATTGTAATTTCTTGTTTAACTTGCATGAAGAGGCTGTGACTGCTCTGGACCATGCTCTCCAGGATGTCCAAGGACACCTGCTGTATCGATGCATCAGTCGGCTTAGCGTTGACGAAGCTGGCAATCTGATAGAGAGAGAGAGAGAATGATGGGAAAGAGAGAAGGCCAGAGAGATGAGTCAGTGCAGCTGCCGTCTTTAAATATCTAAACCTCCAGCAAAACATCCGACTGACAGAGAGCTGCAGCTTCAGCTGCTGCTACAGCACCTTCTTGATGAAGACTGATGAGAGGTTCTCCCAGGAAACTATCCCATGATCCATCAGCTCCATGAAGCCTGTCAGTGTGTGCGTCATGATCACATTACTCCTAAAAGACACAAAACACAAAAAAAATTGCACATTTACACACACAACTTAAGTCTTCATGTCTATTTTGTTTTAATTATCAAACTTGACATTGTTCTGCACATATATGAATGTTTTCATCGAGTATTCCTATCCTTCACTTTTTCAGTATTTATAGTTTGTTTTTATGCTGCATCAATTTGCACTGAGCTGTAGGTTTTTTTTTTTTGCACTACTGCAGGGGAAGTTGACCTTCTGGGAAAACCTTATCTGATCACCTTGTTGTGGAATCCTTCCAGTCACTCAGCTGCTGGTTTTATGTGTAAATATTTACACCTGTGTGATCTAAAACACTTCCATCATATGACAAAGTGCTGGGGTTTCAGCTCACTGGGCTGCAGTAGGTGTTTTCACTGTGAAAGCAGCGAAAAATAAATGAACTTACCTATTGAAAGTGAAATAAGAAGAAAAGATCAAGGTCTGCTTCTATTCTGCAAATTCTTGGTCAAGTATTTGTGGCCCTGAATATACCAAAACTTCCTTTTTTTCTTTAAATTTAGTTCTGCAGCAGGTGCTGCAACATGTGAGTAGACCTCTAATATCTGTCTGACGGACAGTTTCCCACACACCAGTCGAGAAAAAGTGCATGCAAAAAGACACATACACACAAATACACAGACACACACAAAGAGTACTAACTCATTTGAGTCCTCCACTATCTTGACCAATACGAGATGTCCATCCCGGCTGATGAACTCCTGAGCAAATGTGACATCTGTGGAAACACTTGCTAGCTCCTTCAGCGAATCGCAACGCACACCAGCATCCGAGCTCTGGATGCCTTTGAACAGGTCCTCTGCACAGCGACCCTACAGTCATGAGCAGCAACAACACAGGCAGAAACAGTCACATACACCAAACTAGATGATTCTCTATAATCATGGATGGTTTATATCATAATGTTTCTGTGTTGAATGTAGCTCAATGTGGCTGTAGGGCATCATAAATCACTGTTAAGCCCTTATGTTCTCCATGTCCATGCATGCAGCTTATTCTATATACAATGCAGAGGGAAACTCAAAGAGTGAAGCCTCCGGAGAAAGGAGGAATGTGAGGAGAATGAGGTGAAGAGCTATCGTGGCCGAGAGCCCAGCTGATGCAGACTTACCGGTGCCTTGGTCAGACGCAGAATGCAGCCGTTCTTGATGTCCAGACGATTCTAAAAGAAGCAAACAGACATGGAAGTGCAGACAGAGGTATTTAAAACGACATATACAGTGACCGACCGCAATAAGGAGGAAGTCAGATCGCACACAGACATGCCATGTTTATAAACAGTATGGCATGACATGTAAAACCCTGCAACCAATCCAAAAATGCAAACTTGGACACAGACCTCATGTGCAGTGTATGGCGCTGGAAAGCTTAGACTAATCGAATCATTTAAAAAAAAAGATGTAAAGTCAAACTTTTCACCAGAACTTCCTTATGAGTAAGTTGAAGAAAGATATCAAGCTCCAAACTGCCTTTACCCGAACCCTCAACAACAATGCAAATATGCACAATAAAGAGATGTTGTAGTTAACTGTCCTCTGATAAACCTAAACTCCAGCTTCAAGTTATTTATCAGAGACAAGTGAGACGAAAAAGGATGAGGGCTACAAGATTCTGGCTGAGGGAATTTCCTACTACAACACTAAGACATAGATGTCAAAGATGTCAGATCAGTTGTTAAAGCAAAGGGCAAAACAGACCGTGTGCAAATTCCTAATCATGTTCTTTATCCACACATATAATGCACAAGTGTAACTTAAAATATTTGTCTGTATAAATGTAATGTATGAGAAATGAGGAAGTGTAATTGTAGATCTACAAATGTGTAATTTGTGCAGTAGCAGGACAAGCATTGCTTTCACTGATAAGGAGATTCTGTGTTATTGATAGCTGATTCTGTGTCCTGTGCCGTTTTCATTGTGGTTGCAAGACTTTTCTGTGCTCTCTGTCCCAAAAAAAGGCTCAAACCAAAATAAAAAGATATGAAGGCGATTCACTTGATTGTTTTTGCACGACTGACCCTGACAAAGTTTCTCTTTTTACTTCTGTCTGTCAACGCTTAAATAAGATCGCATGGGAAAAAACTGTCGACACTACTGTAGAATAAAACTGTAAAAATAAACGACAAAAGGGCTAAACTGATTTATGAGTAAAGAAAGAGGAAGGTTAAACACAGTAAAAAAGGCAAGAAGAGCCAAACAGTACTTCAAACAGGACAGACCATCTCTGTAGGAACAGAAAGAAGGAACAGCCTTTCACAGGGAACCCCTTTAGAGGATTGTTTAGCCACAAAAAAGGGGGTGAATCAAAACTTCAGAGCAAGAAGCGGAGGAGCATTTTCAAAAAGAAAACACTAAGACCCAGGGGAGAAAAGAGAGTAGGGGTTTCTTCCCAACATGCCACTTCTAGGGAAAATTGAGTTTACCACAGATGTTGGGCCACAAAGGCGAAAAGAGGTAGGGGCCACAGTAAGGCAAGCGAGGCTTCTTCACAGCAAAGTGGAGGGCCTGACTGGGTGAGAGTTAGCTTGATGTACCAGAGGTTTTTGAATAAGAATGGCATGAGATGAACAAGTCATTGTAAGATACAGGTGAAGAGCAGAAAGGTATCCTGATCCACCCCCATCAAACCACACAGTTTGATTCAGTGTCTTTTAATATTAGGTTCTGAAAAATAAAACATTAAATAACTGAGTCACAATTTTAAGACTGAATAGGTTTCTTTCTCTGTGGTTTATGCATTTTCCTGAGATCAGACCACTTCTGACAGCAGGAAATAATCACTTACAACGCTGTCAGCAATAAAGCCAAGCACTTATCAGACTCATCTTGGAGCTTTCTCTGAACTAAAATATGCGCGTTTCTCTATAAACTCATTTACCTCTAGTCTGAAAGTGAGAGTCTTTGTATCGTGAGTAGGATTCCTGACAGTCAAAGTTCACTCTCTGTAAACAGCAGCATGCTTTCAGAGTCTGCCTGCAGTTATTTACGAACATAAACAAAGAGCTTTTCTCCTCCGTCTGTCTAACTCTGAAAAATGAAAATGTAATGTCTTCTGCAGCCCTGACTTCAGCTGGAAAAGGGGGGGAGGGCTGTCAGTGGGAACCTTTGAAAAGGTCACCTGACACTGAGGAGCTGAGTGTAGCTCCAGCTGCTCTTCTCCTTTTCCTTCCCGCACTCTGTCCTTTGTTTTTTCAGTCACTCCTACACTTTAAATTCCAGTGTGGGGCACTGACTTCATCTTCAGTCAGGTAATTTCAAGAGCTTTTGGGGCAGGGGGGATTACAAAGTGCTGATTCATGCTAAGTTTGAGTTTCAACAATCTCATTTTAAGCACAAAAACATACAGAAGGCTGACTCAGGTCTGTTGCTCAGTGTCTCGACATATATTAGGTGTGATTTCCTCATTATGTGAAGAATAATTGGTGTTTACATGAATCTGTGCAAAAATGTGACTCACCGATTCAGTGATATACGTCTGAACTCCATCAGCGTACTGCAGAGCGAAGTTGTCAGGACCCGGTAGATTCCAGCTGTAAATGCACAAAAACTCACACATCAGGTTTAGGCTTTAAATGAAGTTTCATTCAACAAACAGAAAATTCAGACAGACAAAATCTAGTCACCAAACTAATTGGATTTATTATCATTGACTCACCCATCACAGACCTCCTTTATCACAGCAGACAAGGGCTTTTTCTGCACAGAGACACACAACAAAACAGCACCAAATGAGTCATTAGTTACAGTGGAAAACACACCTGCTGCATGCATGTGGGCCGTAAAAACAGGATTTAGCAGACTCTACCGTCAGACTGTTCTCTCAGTCATGGAGCTGGACACATGCTTCAGTAATGACTGGCTGTTATGGGATTATGCTACCACAGCTATTCTGTCTGGCTGCAAACCTCGTTGGCTGAGAGGAGGAAATCCTAGAGCTCCCCAAACACTTTCTGAACAATGTTCCCCTCAGTGCCCAGATCTCGCTTTGTACCTAAATAAAAGCCAGACTACTTCCACGTCTGACTCTCCGCCATCCTGCTCATTAGTGGTCAACCAATCAAAATGTCCTTGGGTTCTGCGGTACACCCAGCGGCTGCTCTGTTATTAGTGGCAGCCAATAAGGTCAGCCAATCAGAGGTGTTCGAGTGAGACTGGTAGCCTGGATTGGTTAAGATCTAAAATACAAATAATTTGATTCGAGACTGGACACTCTTTTTCGAATTTAAAGGGATAATTCAAGTTTTTTGCAGCTCCTATTTCAAAACAATGATGAGGGTTCCTACATGCAGATGGGTCACATGAAAAACGAACTGTAACCATTAAACAGAGTTCTACATTTTAACTCAAGAGTGTGCTTTACTGAGGATTTTTACACTGCATCACTGTTTTTTTAACAGGCCATGTATACCTGCACTTCTACCCCACAGTATCAGATAAGCTGTTTGGGTCTACAATTATCAGATGAGACAACAATAAAAGAAAACACATTATTCAATTTCTCAGTTTGTTGTTAATTATTCTCATTGTTTGATTGCTGAAGGTGTTTTCTGTACTTTATTTATTAGATTATTTTTTGAGATCACAGAGTCAGTGGGTAACATCAGCACAGCCTTCAGTCCTACCTGCGCAACAACATCAAGATGTTTGTGTTTGTTGTACATGGCTCCAACACAGCCTTCATACAAGTTCATACCCATTTTCTGATCTAAATACTGCAAACCCAACCATGCCTCAAAATGCATTTGCTGGTTTACAACCAGATTGAAGTCTTCATCACCTGGAGCCACAGCTCTGGTGAGTGGCAAGTGGTTGTGCAGAATACACCTGTCATTTCAGGCCTAAAGAAATAAAATATATAAAACTTGTTAACTAAGTCTAGTGTTGATTTTAGTCTAAGCTATGCAAGTATTTGTTAGATCTCTTCTGGTGGCTCAGATCTCCTGAACAGCTGAAATACGTGTGATTGAAATTTCAGCTTTAATGCCTGAAGTGCAGTTGAAACTTTAACTCCTGAATTTTGCTTGCAAAGAACATTAGATCTGATCGGTTTGCTGATATTTCTCAGGGCCTAAGATGGTCCCCTCAGGTGCCGTAAATCACCTCATCTGACACTGACCCCATGGCAGCAGTTTCAGGCATTTGAAATTTCATAAGTAATGAATCTTCTCTGTTTGTCAGGTCTGCTCTTGGAAAGAGGCGTCTGTATTCATTTCAGTCTGTTTCATAACAAGGTTGATAATCCTTATCATGTCCCCCTGAGTTTTGTCTCTCAGGCTCATTCAGGTGTTGTGCTGTGTTTGGCTTAAACTGTGGGTTGTGTGGTGCGGCCCTCTTGATGGGTCGCTTTTTTTGTCAGGCCAGCCTGAGGGAGTTCCCAAACTACACAACCCTCTCTGAGTCAGGGTTTTGGTCACTACTGTGGTCTCTGGGTTTACCGAGATCAGCACCTAAAGCAGCCTAGAAGGAAGTGCTGCATCAGGACCCCCAGCTGAGGACAAGAGTTTCCCATGATGGCTCAGAACAGATTCAGTGAGACAGAACAGACACCAGCAACAGCATAAGTCTGAGAACTGAACTAGAGAATGATGATGATGATGAGGGCTGTGAGTGAAACCTTGTTTTATTTCTTTATTTCTTTATTTTCAAAACGGTACTGTACAAGCTTTTTTTTGTATTTTCACATTCAGTTTTTAAATCAGAAAAATGCCATTAAAAACTATCAGTAATCACGGCATCTTCCTTGATAATTCAGCAAGCACATTCACTTAACGTATTATATCCCAAACTGCAATGGGAATCATGATAATCACAATCACACAGTTATTCTAGTTTTAGCATAACCCTTATTTTAACAAGGCTTTTCTGTGATGCTTACAAATAAAGATTTAATACACTTTTCAACTGTTTTGATAAATGCATCTACATTCATTCATTCTGTTCTACATCTTACAAGTTACAGGAAGTGGTGTTTATTTTTCTTTTTTTCAAAGCATGCTTCCCCAGTACAGAAAATTTAGTAAACGGCACACATGGCTGTAAAAACATCAAGATAAAAGCATCAAAAACAACAATCTCCTCACCATGGAAGTATCTGTCAAAGCACTGGATAAACATAACACTGAGCATCATCAGAAATGGATGCTGACATGTGAGTTAGTCAACTGTGTTCATTAGTAATGTCTAAGAAGCGTCCTGTCACTTGCCTCTTCTTAAATAAACTGATTGTGTTGCTTTTTTCTTTTTTTTTTTCAAACTTTGGTTTTCAACATTACAAACTGAAAAAAAGGCATCTTGTACATTTTAAGTTGGCAAGTGGTAAATATTTTGAGTTTGTTAAGGTGTAAATTTTTGAGTAGATACTGTTAATATAATACATTGTGTACAGTTCATTTTTCAAGTCCATGTAATTTAGTTTTTATAAGTATCATTCGATCAAATCATTTAAGTATGAAGAAGACATGAATATTAAGTTAAGGGAAATAAAAAAAATAGATTAAACTTAGAATAAAGACTAAGTTAACTGAACACAATTTTTTTAAGTATAGCCTTACTCAAAAAATTTATCGGCATGACTTACAAGCTCTTACGTAATCGGTTACGATAAAAATTTTCAGTTTTCTGAACTTGTTCGGGTTTACAGTGCATGAATATTAAGCTCATATCTTTGTTGTGAATTTTTATAACCAAGAGGTGAAAATGTGACGTCATGACAGCCCTACTTTGCACTTAGTTTTTAACAGAGGGTTCAATAAATGAAGTCAATGCATTAAAATAGGTACCATAGCAGGACTACGCCTTCATCGCAACTTCAATCACGTGGCCAGCCCACTTATACAGTCATCCTACTGTGATTCTTTGACCTACCGTCCCTCCCTTCTTCTTCCTCTCTATGCTTGTTGATAACTCATTAAGATATTTAAGACTGTTTTTGTGTATCAGTGCGTGTGTGAGTATCACCTGGTCCAGCTGTATAAGCTGAGGGTAAGCCCCTGGCATCTGGATGGCTATCTTCACTATGTCCTTCTGCTGAGGCATTTTGGCCCCTCTTGACTCCACCACTCTCTACCTGTTCAAAATAAAACATAAAACAGTCAAAACAAATCACATGTCATCACATTAACTTCACCTTTTTCGTCATGGAAATACTTTGACCTTTAACCTGGACTCACAAAAAAGGCGAAACCTCTCACGGTGACTTCACCCTAGGGTGAAGAGAACATGAGTCGATGCGTTGTTACGCCTCAAATGTGGGTCATTTCATCAATCACTGTGTGCGCTCATTTCTAACCACACTGATTCTTCTCATGAGCTGCTGTGCTTCTGTCAAATTGAATTCCAGTTCAATGAGTGTAGAGAGTAATAAAGTGAAAGCTAAACCGTTCAGAGAGAAGCAGTGAATCTGTGAGCTGATCAGACCGGCTCAAACGTTGTAAATGACTCATAAATGACTCACGGCCGTTGTTTCAGCTTCACAGCAGAGTTCCTCTTTCACTGTGAGTTCATAGAGCTCTGAGGAAAGCTGAGGGAGTTAATTACTAACTACACAACTCTCACTCCTTTTTCACCACTTTCGGCTCGCAAACTCACGCAAAAACTTAAACACAGACGCACACATCATACACACTTCCTCCTCGGCCTTCAGACAGCATTCCCAGAGGATACAGAAGAAGTTCTTGTGCTCCCGACCCTCCCCCTCCCCTCCAGTCCCCCTCCGTCTCCTCCTCGCTGTCAGCACATGGAAACAATACAGCTGGATCTGAATTCTTCTGTACATTCATGAGCTCACGGTGGAGGAAATAGAGCAGAGCTTGTGTCTGCTTGTGTTCACAGTGAGTAATAACTCTTAGATAGCTGACATACCATCACTACAGTCTATAAAAGAGTTCTCTCTGAGTTTATGGCAGGTTTCAAAGCAATACTCTGGTCACAGCAACCACACGCCCTCAATGTCTTCTCACCTCACTCGCCCTGAGGCAGCGTCTTTCCTGATCAAAACCAAACAGAGGGAGGATCCAATTTTCTGCAGTGGAGGACGCTGATTTTCACAAGAGCATGCAAACAATCACATCAAGTTTGCTCGACATCATATTAATGCACCGCACAGAAAGGAATCCCCAGAGTTTTGTAATAGAGTCATTGTCCCACATTTCAACTTCCCTCCTACACAAATCCACCAGTGTGTGCAGATTTGATCTTAAAGAGATTTGGGGGAATGTGGGTTTGTTCTGGGGCAGCTAATGAGTCAGCAAATTCAAGTACAAACTCTAGCTAATGGCACGTCATGTCTTTGCAACAACAAAGAGCGTCTGTTGGCTGTAAGCTGAGTATCAGTCTGAGCTCCAATCCAGTAATCAGGAGCTTGAGTCCATGACTCTGTCGGCTTTAACCAAATTATTCCCTTGTTTGCATTCAGTCTACTTTGAACACTTTATTATAGTGTGCGTTCATAGTGAAACTATAAAAATGTTTTTTCTCTGAGGCAGGTGGCTGAATGTTTGAATGCTGAGATTGTACCAGGCCTGTCAATCACTTAATTTTTTAAAGTGTAATTAACTGCATGATTATCCATGGTTTACCATAATTAATCACACTTTTTCAAAAGTTTTTAAAACTCTCTCAACATGGGAACAGACAAATGTGTTGCTTTCTGCATGTTTACAAGCACAGCAACACCCATAACAATGACAAACACTGTCCATACAATACTCCAGGATAACCAAAAATGTTGACCTCATGTTTCAAACTGAAGAGTAGATTGGTCACCACTTAAACCCTGAATCCTGGACCCAGAGGAACCCTGGACCCAGATGAGCGGATAATCCCACTCAATGACATTCAACATACCCTTGCAACCGGGGTAGACTGATACTGGGTTTCCAGGAACTGATACCAATATTTAGTATTTTATGAGACTAACAGCTGATATTTGGGACTGATATTCAAACATTTGGATTATCACAAACTCCGACACACAACTCTGCTTATACGCCTTTAGCACTGAAACATTCAACCTCACACACAGGAGTTTACCACAAACCAGCCACACTTAAACTGCACATATCTCTGTGGTTGTGTGACATCTAGCCTGTCAGACAGTGTTGTGGGTGGGACATTAGGTGAGACAAAGTGGTGCAAGAAAACACGCCCAGTGTGAAAATAGGAGAGTGGATCTAGCACGCTTTTTCGTGAATTGATTTTATCTGCCATCTATGACACAAAAAGCCAATATAGATAACTAACCAAATATCTGCCACAGCCAAATACTGCTCTGCCTTGACAGTACAAACACCATGCTGTCACTATCTGTGTCAAACTATCTGTATCAGTGGAACAGGCATTAGCATTTATTACACACCCTGAAATATCATGAATGCATTTCTACTGTAGTTTAAGGATTAAGTATTTTCTGATAACTATGTTCAAAGAATGATAAGATTTTAAGGATGAATACATTATCTAGGGGTGGGAGAAAAAATCAAAACAGCGTAGTATTGCGATATGTTGTCTAGTGATATATAGTATCGTTACCAAGTATCAATTTTTCAAATTTGTTTTTAATATGAAGTCAAATCTATGATAATAAAATAAAAAAATCAACTGTTTGTCCATTGAGGTTGGCAGAGGAGACATCATAGAGCAGAAGAAAGTTAGTACAAAAAATATACAAAAGGTTCGCAAGATGTGCAACATGAAAATAAAATACAGTGTAAACAAGACAAACATAAGGGACAGATAAATGCTAAATCAGCTAAACAGTTGAAAACAACTGTATAAATCGCAATATTTCGTATCGCAATTCTCACTGTATTGCAAAATGTTAAGAATCACAATAATATTGTATCGTGGCCCAAGTATCGTGATAATATCGTATCGTGGGGCCACTACTGATTCCACCATTGGCTCCAATGGGAATCTAAGAGTAAAAACTACATTGACTTCTGTTTATCTTTAAAGTAACATTTATAACATGTTAAATTGTCAAAACTGTAGTAAGTGAATGTATTTCAAACTAATGCAATGTATAATGTTAATGTTTAAAGGGAGTGAGATTTGACAGCAGGGGTAGAAAGTTGTAGCCTGTGAAACTCCTTCAAAAGGACATTTCAGCAGATTTTGTTAGTAAAGTAGCAAAATCAGAGCAGAAAGTAAAAAGTTGCAGCACTCGGGGTTAACCCGTTCATACTGCTGACAGAGCACTATTAGTTTACATTCATCCTGACCTGTCCGTACATGCTTCAGACCTCAGGTAGAGGCGCTGAGGTTTTCTCTTCACTGCACCAAGACAAAGACAGTCAGATATCACTCACTAAACCTAATCATATTACTGGAAGCTGTGAGGAACTGTTGAAATACAAACAAATGAGAGGACAAAGGCGTGGCTTTTCTATGCGGGGGGGAATTCTCTGAAACATTTTCATGACGTTCATTCTTCACAGATATTTTAAGATACTGTCTAAGGTGTGGGGGGTGTACATTTCAGCTCAAGAGTCTGTGTAAGAAAATGCTGATCAGTCAAAACCTCTGCACTGCTCAGTGTTTCCTTCTTAACTCAGCAGAGTAGAGAGGGGAGGTGTTCAGCTCACTCTTTATGGAGGTTAACCACCTAAGTGTGTGCCTGCCTGTGCCTGTCTGTGACATCCCCTCACTAACAAACATGGACGCAAAACCTGCACCTCCACATGTCAGTCTGCTCTTATACAGAAGTTCAAGTGAAGGTGCTGGAGCACTAAACTCACTGTTATCGTTGCATTTAATACAACCCCTCAACCAAGACATCAGATACTGTGTGAAATGCCTATATCTATTTAAAAATAAAACAAGTATAACACATCAGATGGCGAATTTGAAAACTGTCATGCTGAAGACACACCTGAAGACACGTCTCCCACCTAACTAAGTTAATGAGCATGAATTATCAACATGTCTGGGTAGAAAAATGAAAGGCTGAGTCTGTCAGGGTTTCAGATGGGAAGAGATTCCCTTTTCTGTGAAAGACTGAGTCAGCAAATAGTTCAACAATTTCACAGTAATGTTCCTCAGCAAGAAATTACCAAAATCTACGAATAAGTCTTCGTCAGTACATCATGACTCAAAGATAAGGGTTAGGATAAATCTGTTAAGACCCAGAACCACTCCTAGATGGCTGCACTGTAACCCCTATGATACTGCAGTAAAAACCAACATGACTCTGAGGTGGAAATCACTACATGGGCTCAAAATCGCTTTCAAAAATCATTTTCTGTGAACACAGTTTGTCACTGCACCCAAAAATTAGGGCTACACCAGTTAACCTGGTCAACTATCAGGCCGGTGCTTGTTCATTTGGCTGATAATGTGAATTGGCCTTTTATTGAACAGATAGCTGATACAGGACATAAATGAAAGAAGTGTGTTACTCTGGTACTGTTGCTGGTCTTTCTCTCTTTCTTGGTCTGTTTCCTTTCACCACTTTGTCTCAGAAGATGTCCACATGATAACGACACCCACAACACTGTCTGATTGGCTAGATGTCACACCACTGATATTTTCTAACAGCATTTGTTCAGATTTGAGTTCCAGTTTGTAATGATGCAATTTTTCATAGTCACTGTCAATGCATATCTGTTAATGGGTCTCATGACTAATAATCAGTATTGGTATCAGTTTTTTGCAGCAGCAGGTGACACTGTCAGTCCTCTGGTCTGACACCTACCACCTCACAGCTGTCACGGACATTAAATCCACAATCCAGGAATTGTCAGTCTTGTTTCAGGAGGTTTTGTTTGCTTTTTTGGTTCAGAGTGAGACATCACTCTTAAAGGGATATTCCGGCGTAAAATTAATTTAGGGTCAAACACACCGTAACACCGAGGTAGACACCCCTTCGAGAGATGAATGTCGCCAACCGCTTGCTTCTCGGTCTGAGGAGCCATAAACAAACCTTAACCAAAAACGCCACTCTATAGCCACAAATAATGCTCAGAACAGCACCTAACTTCATCAACAGAACATATAGCGTCCTAACCACAGCACTAACCACCAAACATCTTTTTAGCTTTGCCTAATTTCTTCAGCAAAGAGACTAAACACACCTCACCCACTCTCCTCCAGCAGCCGCTTGTTTGTAGCGAGACCTCAGGCCAGTCCATTACAGACTCAAGGAAGAACATTTATGATAATTTCTTTATCATTTCCTTGAAGTAATACTCACCATGTTAATCATTTTGCACTGCAGACGCAGTAGTTCTTCTGCCTTAGTGTCTCGGTCTGATTGCATTTCCATGAAGAAATGAATATAAATGTTCTTCCTTGAGCTGCGTCACCCCGCAGCAGTTAATTTTACGCAGGAATATCCCTTTAATATCAACCTGATTAATGATCAGCTAAAAACTTGTCACAGTTGCTTGAAGTCAATTTTCATCAAAGTAAAAGTACTTTTATGTGAGTAAAACATTTATGTACCCTGTTCAGGCCTGGTTACATGTGATATAATTAATCTAAAAGACAATCATAGATGTAATTATCAAAGAGGACTACTCTTAACAGACTGGTGTGTCATTATAATATTGGGAAGTCAAGTCATGGCACAGGGAAATGTGTGTACATAAAACATAATGCGGTCATACTGTGGTGCAAACGCTTATTTCCCCTTCAGGACAGAATAACTTCTTCCACAGAAAACTACAAATCACACCCGACAAAGTGGACACAGACAAGAAAAAACAGATTAGAGTGTTCCCCGTGTTCAGCAGCTGTCAGTGTCTCTGTGCTCCTCTGAGCACTTTGCTTCATTAAGCTTCAAACCAGCAGCACGCCCAGACCTTTTGTTGGCCTGCAGACTCTCAGTGAGTCTCAGACCCCCTGGACCTACAGACCCCCACCTCTCTTTGCAAGTGTGTGAGTGTGAGTGTAGGGGGGGAAGCTCTCAGCTGCCTGACATTCCTAACCTGACAGGGTCCCACACACACACACACACACACACACACACACACACACACACACACACACACACACACACACACACACACACACACACACACGCACACTTAATGCATCTTTAATACATAATCTTAACACTGTTGGATGAGGGAAAATCCCGCCTTTGTTTTTTGATTTATTTAATTAAAAAACCTCCATCCCACCCTAATAATATGTCTCTTTATTATAATGATAAGCAGATACTATGCATAGATGAGTACAACTCTGAGTTGCTGCTGGTTCCAACAGTTCAACAAAGTCCTGTGTGGTAGTTTAAGACATAATTCTACACATTTTCATAATCATATCTTTATTTTACACCTCCGGGTTCATATTCTGTGAAATACCAACCGCAGTGTCTCCCTTTAGGAGACATATAACCCTTATTATTAAGTTTCTAATGAAGTACATACCGTAAACTTAGGTTAAACTTGCTATATTAAGAAGTATGATGATCAAACATTGTCTGAACTGATAATATCTATTTAAAAGTGGCGTATTTGTTGTCAAAGATCAGTGCAAATCAGCAGGACAGAGCTGTGAGAGAAGTGTGAGAGTCAGCTGCAGTGCTTTTTTCTGAGTCCTACCTGGTTTATGAAGACAAGTCGAGGGTTACTGTCCTGCAGGAACCGCCGCAGTCGGACCGAGAAACATTTGCAAATGTCCTTTTTTCTCCCTGAACAAAGATTATCCCAATCCGTAAAACTACCTTTTCCTGACAAAAAACATCTGAGCTGTACGAAAACAAAAGGAAAGTCCTTGCAAAAAGTTTGGACGAATGTTTTAGTTGAGTTAAAAGTTCCGGGTTGGTTTGACTCGTTCAGAAGAAGGTTTCTACGAAGCCACACAGATTAAGACAGCGGTTTCCGGTTATGACTTTCAGAATAAAAGCACCCCCAGCTCGGGAGGAAATAGTCAGCGTGGGAACGTTGCAAAGAAAGCACGGGCGTAGTCAGATGTGGGGGACACGGCCCTTTAAAAATGACTGACCGCAGCGATAGCATACCAAAAATGCTAAGCTATAGACCAGAATCAACTGGAAATGAATGGAGTTCAATGAACATTTCAAAGTCTCCTACAATCCCACTGAGTGTTTTTGGTCGAAAAGAGGTCTAATAAACGTCTAAATGTAGCCAAGATGACTGGTCTAAAATCAGGCTACCACAGGTCTAAAAATGAAAGATTTTAGACGTCTAAATTTAGACCAAGTTTAGACTAGCCTGCTAACAGAGGTGTACATTGAATATGGCTCAACAGCTATCATAATTATCTCGGTTAAGTACTTGGAGATCAGTTATGCAACTCACAGTGTAACGTCCGAATTCTGTCTAAAAATATACAGAATCTAGACGGTTGAAATTAGGTCTAAAAAAACTAGACGTCTAATAGCCGCCTATTGTTCAGTGGGATTTCGCAGCCTTAAATTAAGAAAAATGTCAGATGTAATTGTGACTGAAAATATGACACAATGCCAGACAAATAAATGCAACAGCTATGTACCCCTCAGGTGGTCCATGTTTTTGAGCAGGGAAGTTGTTCTTTGAACTTTGGTGTGATTATGTGCATTTAATTTAATAAGTCAAGTTTAATATTACCTGACTTATTGAATGAGATTGAATACTGTATGCTTATGATGCAAGAAAAAAATCCTTTGTTAATGTACCTGACTTTTTATCAAAGGTTAAAAAGGTTAATAAATTACTTTTCTGACAAGTCTAAGTAACTCTATAATGACAACAATCAATGGCTATATCAAGTCACTGATTTTGTTGTGTAATTGCCAATTCATAAAAAATCTTTTGACATTAACGAAGCATCTTTGGCCCACCATTTTGACAAAGAGTATGATGTAAAGGCAGCAAGCTGAACACACAATTCTTGCCCAAGTTTCGGAATTGCTGTTTCAAATCAAACAGGTATTCATGTGACCTATCCTACTTGAAAACTTGTATTTCTAATGTATCTTTCACCACATGAAATAATTAAGAAATAAAAACAGTGTTTATTGGGGGGTACAGAGCCTTCTCCACTGCCGCCCCCACCCTCTGGAATTCACTCCCCAAACCCCGTACAGACCCCATACTTTTAAATCACTCCTAAAAACACACTTCTTTAAATTGGCTTTTAACCTGTGAACTGTTTTTTTATTGTCTTTTCATATTGTGTCTTTTTTAACCTTTTACATTGTAGGTCTTACAGTAATTCTCAAAATATTCTGTATTTTAAATTGTGTTTTTTATTTTATTTTATTTTATTCTTTTTCTTTGTAAGGTGTCTTTAAGCACCTGTAAAAGCGCATTGTAAATAAAATTTATACTACTACTACTACTACTACTACTACTACTAATAATAATAATAATAATAGTATTTAAGTGGGTGTCTTGTCTGCCTCCATCACATTGAATAAATGCCTTATATCACATGACATGACACAACTTTTATTCTTGTATTTTGACTATTTCCTGAGCTGGGTCACAACATTTAGACTGCGTCTGTTCATTATAAAGTTTCATAAAAAACATTCTGCTGATATAATAAATTGTACAGAGTTACCCCCATATTTGTTTCACAAGAGGCCATTCGAGCCATTGAAAATTATGCACCAGTTTCTACTATCACACAGTCAAAATATACTCTTATTCCTACAAAGGAACTATAGAGTAATATGACATCAGACAGTTAGTATATAAAACAGAGATGATTTGTAGCAAAAAAAGGAAAAAAATCTATGTGTGCACATACACAATACCAGCCCTACATGAGTCAGTGCCCCAGTTAAAGCATCCCTATCAAACAGGAACGACCCCCCTGAAGGATGGTGAAAGTTTATATTAATCTACAGTGATATGTATGAATTATTACTGTCAGTGTGATTCAGATGGGACAGTCACCTGGATTCCCAGAGAAATACCATGCTTTTACTTTGAAAGACTTGACTTTAATTCTGGAAATCCTGCTACTGTAAATGCTGAACTAGGACAGATTTTCTTTCAAATTTCCAAGAAGTTTTAGGTAAACCTATTTCAAGGTTCCGGATGGGGTTTGGCAGATTAAAGCCGCCCCCTGCTGTTCCTCCTGCTTTTAAAGACTTCTGACATTACGCACACTTACATTTCACAAGAGTTTTACAGTTTTTTTCCCATGTTACTGCTATTATCAACACTACATACCAACCTGATGTCATCAGATTGGCACTGGGCTCTCTTTCTGTTTATTTGACCCACATTTACAAAAATGTCTCTCTACTTATACACTTATTAGGACTGAACTAATAAAAGCGTCCTTATCATAAAAACATACTAGCAGAGAGGGGCAGAGGGGAAATGAGAGGAGGAAGAGATAATGGGTGTATGCTGCAGCCAGGCAGGCTGGTAGTGTGAGAGTTTACTACAGATCAATAAACTGGAGTTAAGCATGTGTCATTGTTTAATCTGCGTAAATGTTCCATCTTTACTTTGCACATTTAATTTAGCCATCCATCTCCATCATGGCATGATAAAGCCATTAAAATTAGTGGCAATATAGGCCCACTTCATGCAGATGGTTTAGCTATATGCTGAGCTATGGAGTTTAAAGGATGATGAACCCTAATCTCAGAATAAGAATAATCCCAGAATCTCATTACCCCCATATTCAGAGGACTCTACATTATGAGGTCTTAAAAATGGCAGTCAGTTGATCAGTAATACTTCTACCATAACTAATTTAGTAGAATCATAAAAAGTACTGTTATTATCAAATTTAGTGTGGTAGTTATACAACATATAAGACTGACCTATTCTGTTGAGGGGAAAGAAGTATGAAACTGTGCTTGAATGAAATGCAAAGGGGAGTTGGAAACACTAACAACCCATGAAGATTAGAAACAGATGTTTAGTGAAAGACATATAACCACCAGTTCCTTGTTCTGGGGTGAATTTGCTTGGAAGATAAATATGAAATACTTCCTGACATCTAAATTTATCTCTGAAATGAGGGAAGGTCCAGCCTTCAGTGCTGTGAAAATAATAATTAATGTACTTTTTTCCATGTAATCTTTTTAATATGTTTGATTAGAGGTGTATAAGATGTAGACAGGCCTTCAAAAGTCCCCTTTAATTGAAAACAGACACTGACACTGAAAAAAAAAAAGATGGACTTGGAAAGGATGAGTGCTTCTTTTTCAGAGTACTCAGAATCACAGCTCTGAAGCAAATTACAAAAATATGAAAAAGGAACTAAAGCCTCATATTTTATCAAAGAGAAACGTATGATCCAAGAAGTGAAAGTGCTGAGAAAAGGAAGTGACAGAATAAGGAATATGGAAGATGTGTTTGAAAGAGCCGAGCTCTAGACGAGGACAGTTTATAACCGTATGATTTAAACAATTTCTCTCTCTCTCTCACACACACACACACATATATGAAGTGTCCAAACATGAAAAAGTCTGGCTGTGGAGAGGATATTATTTCTTGCACATGAAATGAAGTCGTGTTCCTTTTACCTGCTACATGAGTCATATAGTTGGATCACCACAGGTAGAAAATACCTCATGTAGACTTCAGGAGTCAGTCCATGACTGCGTGCGCCTTAGTAGGACTCCAAAGTACCATGCAAGTTGTGAGAGATGTGGTTCATGATACTGAGGAGCTTTGGCATCCTTCTCTCTCTTACTGCGGCTTAGTGGTAGAGTCAGTTACCTTCCGCTGTCAAAGTTGGAGATTTGATTCCAACTCCCAAAGCCACTGAACTCCAAAGTGCTCCTATAACTGTATGAATTGAATCAGTTCATAATGATGGACCCTTAAAATAACAGTCTTTCGCATCAGTGTATGACAATAGTGCAGACAGCACCAAAACTATTACCAAATGGCTAGACTCGAACCCCATCGAGCAGTGGTTTTCAAGTCCAGTCCTGGAGGCCCACTGTCCTGCATGTTTTGGATGTTTCCCTGCTCCAACACACCTGATTCAAATGATTAGCGCGTTATTAAGCCATTACAGAGCTTGATAACGAGCTGATCATTTGAATCAGGTGTGTTGGAGCAGGAAAACATCCAAAACATGCAGGACAGGGGGGCCTCGAGGTCTGGACTTGAGGACCACTGCCATAGAGGATCCGTGGGATATTTGTCAAGAGGAAGAAACACCTGACTCAAAAGGACAGACCTGCTGAAGGCCACTATCAAAGCTGTGTGGGCCTAAATGACACCTCAGCTGACAGATTTGTCCCCATGCCACGCCACATTGATGCAGTAATTCGTGATAGGAGTCCCGACCAAAGGAGTGATGGACAAAAGAACAGAGATTTGAAAAAAGTGAAACATTTCTGTATTCTTGATCCTTTTCATGATTGATTTCAGGAAATATTTTTATCACAAGAGATACTGGATCTCTGATTTATGACAAAATATTTGACTTTACAGGCTACAAATTAAAGAACTGAATGTCAACATTTATCGATTCAATAATTTAAAAACAAATTTTTTTCACGATATTCAATTTAATTGAGATGCACCTGTAGAACAAAAAGTACTTCCAGTGGTTGGGAAGACAGGAGGAGCTCCATAGAAAGTAGAGTACAAGTCTAAAGACTCAGGTTCCTCTATTTACTGATGCATTGCCAAAATAAAAAAACAAATAATGAGCTTCACTGTAACAACCTCACAACTGTCATCATCTCTTTTTCACAAGATGTCATCTGACATATTTCTAATTTTACCTGTAAGTTAAATTTAATTTCTCACGATTAACAGCAACAAGCTCAGACAGACCACACATCAAGCCCCTCCTTACTGAATTAATTAAGCATACTTACTGTAACACCACACACATGATGACAGGAAACAGTCGATACGAGTCAGACAAGTGAACGTTTCTTAATTTGGAAACCACAGAGAGTAGACTCAACTCAAAGAATACCAAAGTGTTTATTTTGTGTCATCCGATGCAACTACAGCTTTGCAATGGTTAAAAAACAGTCTGTCGGATTGAGTCTCTCACGCCAACACAAACAGACGCCATTCATCCAACCCAGCAGTGTTAAACTCCCTGGCTGCTCTATTGAAGGATTAGGTGAACTCACAACACTGTCCAAACACAAAGACCGGCCTCTGATCAAGGAGAGGATGAGCAGTGACCAGTCTGTCCACAGTGAAGTAAAGTGCAACAATGAGACAGGATGCTTCGACAAAGAGCAAGGTTTGGTGGATCATATGCTTAAAAGTGGAGCCCCACATTAGTTGCAGTAATAATATATCTATCAGGTATAAAAAATAAATGCTATTCTATACAAGCGGTAGAGAGGGATATACACAGTACATACATACATGTAATTCAGGGCCAACAGAGTATGATTACACAGAGAGAGACTGAGGAAACATAAACATGTTAACATCATACTGCAGGGCCAGTGAGAACCTCCTCTTCCTCCAACAGAGAGAATTTACAATGTTAAAAAAAATCAGAATTAAGAGTGATAGGCAGTTTTTCATGAACCACAAATAGAAGATTAGAAAATGTTGAATAGGGATCTGTACCAAATATACAAAACAGGAGCATTTATCATGACAAGGGCACTATATCCACTGCATCAGTAAGAATTCATACGTCATTTTACATACAAATGAGCCGAGTACAATGGTTTTCATATACATAAATTATACTCAAAAGAAAGAAGTTTGTTTGGAGAGGGAAACAAAAGGTGATTCCTCGGACATACAAGTCATACATACAAGTTAAGTTATATATAAACCACAGGCAATAAGTGTGTAAAAATCAAAAGTCCAGAGGCAAAATGAAACCAGAGAAAGCTTATGTTTTTTTTCATATCACCAAACCTCTCTGTGTAAAAGTGTCAGTGCTGAGGCCAGTTGGAGAACAAAGGGGGGCGAAGAGACTTTATTTCCTTTACTGAGCACCAAGTCGACCTAAAAAGCATTACTGTAAAGTGGTAGAGCCTTAAAACTTTCCCCTAATCCCTGCATTAGTAAAAGGCTCTTTATGTCTGAGGGTGTCATGGCTTGTCTTAGATCCTTATTCTCCAACCTGCTCACAATGACAGCTCAGACACTGAAAGGCTGGGATGGAAATAGTTGATTCAGAGGACTTAACAAAGTAATTTGCACATAAAAGAACGATTATTAGCGTCTGGTACCTTTTGTTTTTGCAAACTATTGCCCTGCATGCAGTTCAAATGTAGTTCACTGTTATGTCATCTTTTTGTGTGCTGGTAATACAAATATATATTCTCTATGTACACAAAGACAGTGCATATTTAACCAGCTGTGTTTGGATTCATTCAGCTATATGTGAGCAGATGCTGGGAGATGGAGGCTTTGTTCGGTTAGTCTGCAGTGACTCTTTTACCTGATGAGAAAAGGTTTGTTTTTGTTTGTTAGAGATCTGACTCAAGTTAAGTGGGTGTTCAGTACAAAACTCTAGCGCACACTCACACAGACACACTCATATCAAGCATGCCCACACACACAAACACACACACTCACTCATTTACACACCGGAAAGCTGATACACACATAATGTTTTATCATTTATAACAATCCAAAAATATAATTATTTATTTTCACTGAATATTTTTCCTTGGAAAAGCAGTAAGTAAAAGGTTTTGTTCTTGCGTGTAGATCTTCACGAGGCTGTACATCGAGCTACCATCTGACTGAGCTCAGTGAGCTCAGGGTGTCGGTGCAGAGGTGTCCTGAAACGACCATCAAATCATATCGGCTTTCCTGCACCTCCTCTCACCTTCACCGTCAGCGAGAGAGAAGTCTTGTGGGGGGAAACTGAGGGTAGATTAGCATGACAGGCAACTGCTTTCACGCTCAGACAACATCAGGGGTCAGAGGTTCAGGATGGGGACGTCAAAGAGGTCACACAGGCCTTCTGTTTCGTCCAGGTTGTAGATGTAGTCGTGGTCGCTGGGAGGAGGTGACAGGCGGAGGAGAGGCGAGAACACTGCGGATAAAACAGGCAGAGAAAGATTTGCTATGTGCAAATACAGGCCAGGAATCAGAGTGCTGTAATGTAAAACTTGGAAGTACCAGAAAGACCTTATCCAAAAAAAGAACAGGAATCTAGTAACAACAGTAGCAGTAGCAACCTAATTGATGAGTTTGGATATTTTGGAGGCAGACAAGGATGATTATTTTTAGAAATTTCTTTGTGTGGCAATGGAAAGGACCAAGGCTGGCACAGATTTTTTTTTTAAAGGGGCCGGTGCTTCTGTCAAGCAAGATTTCCCACAAATTTTGTAAAAAAATAAAAATAAAAAAAATAAAAAATAATTAATCAGCTGTATTGTGCAGAAACAAGAAGGATGTGTTAAAAAAACAAAACAAAACAAAAAAAACAATTGCTTGATCAAAGGAAGTTTGGCAGCACTTCTCTGCCTTATAGTTTCATTCAGGTGTTTTCTAGGCTTCAGACAGAGGCGAGCCACACAACAAAGACAGCCATAACTCCACATTCATACAGGGTGAGCACTTTGGACCCGTGCTGCAAACTATTAGAAGTTAACCAGCTGCTGTTGCTGTGGAGGCGTCTCCCTTCACAAACATCTGCATGCATGAATCAAAGCTGCGCTCAGAGGTGATCAAGTCTCCACATGTGAACTTACTTTTGAAAAAAACAAAGTGTAGGTGCCATGTGAAAAAACCCTTTAAGTTTTCAGCTGCTGCAGCAGTCATACTAAAAATGTATCTTTGTATAATGTATAAGAGCTGATACTTCACAAAGATTCACCTGCTGCACAGAGAGCTTCAAATAACCTTCAGAAGTGAGTGAGTCAGGAATACTGTAATTAGTCACTTTGAGACTTTCTGAACGGTTTGTGGATTTCATTTGCTGTCAACTGTTTGTTAATTTATGAAACAATCTTATGAATTGCATTCTCCTACCGACTAGCAAGCAAATCAAGAGTTTGTATGCAATCATAACAATCCAGTTGTGGTAGCACCTAAGTAAATAAATAAGGATAGAAAATATCTTCAAGGTGAATATCTATGAAAACATGTACTGTTGTTGAGACGTCTGACCTTTCAACCAGTTGTTCATCCTGCTGTCACAGTTGGCAGGCAGCACAAGGTGGCGCCACACACAAATTGCTAGCTGGGTTTGTTTGCAGTTGAAAGTTTTTGTATGGCTGTGAAACTGTTTTTTAATGTTTCAGTTACAGCCTGTTCTCTGGATAAAGAATCACAATTCTATTAAGGAAGGAAATAAACAGTATGAGAGCATCTACATGGAAAGAATATTGTGGAGTGAGTGGTTGGTAATGTCAAATAAAAGCCTAAGGGGACTCTCGTTTCCATAAACCTCTCTCACTATTTTTGATCCTGCTTATAACCAAACAAAGAAATGAAAAAAACTGACTCTGAGCTTGTTTTACTTTAATAAATCACATTTAATTTGTTTGGCCTCTCTTTCACTTAGATCTTTGTGCTTAAACATCCCCCCCTAGTTTCTGTGCACTTTTCACCCTCTTGGCTTCACTTTTCTGCTGGCAGCTGCTCAGTCATTGACCAAAAAGTTAGAATTTTGACCTCTTCAAATAAATTGAGAGTAAAATCAAAAATATCCACGGTGATATGTATTAACGCTATCAGAAACCTTTGACAAGTGAAATGAATACATCACATGGATGTAGTCCATGTGATGTTTATGCTTTAAGCTTATATGCTATAAGCTTTAAATAGCTTCCTTGGGGTCAACCTAACTACACACCCAGTCACTGTGAAATTTCCAGTGTACATGTGTATATGTATGTATATGTATATTTGTGATATATATATTGTGATGGTGTGTGTGTGTGAATAAATTAAACTAAACTAAATAAACAAGTCTCATCATTTTGAGGCTCTCTGGCCTTGATACAGCAGGTATGAAAGGGTTAACCATATAAATGTGCAAAATTCTTTTTCACGGATCGATTTGATTTGGTTTATGTCATTAGGATGTTTCTAGCATTGCTTTTGCTAGTCAGATTGAATAACTGTGGATATGAGGTTTGGACAGCCAAGTGGTGAGTATCTATATGTACATGTTTTTACACAAACTCACCCTCCGATGACATCAAGTCCTCCAACAGGTCTCCACTCATGATCTCTGTCAGATGAGAGAAAAGAAGTGAGCGATGTTTTATATCTTTCTTTTCAAGGACTCAGACAAAGATGTTAACATGTAACCAAAGCATGAAGGAGAAATATGTCACCTTTTGTTGGATCAAACATGTCAGAGAGCTCTTTGGGAAAGTCCAACACTAGAAGGAAACAACAGCATCAGTACATACAGTCATTCAACTACTCGGAAATACTTGCGATGAGGCAAAAGTCTCCTGGTAGTACATCTTATCAACCCCTTTCTGTCATTAGTGGAGCTATCACTTAAAGAGCTACAAATAATAACAGTTAGGCCTAGATCAATATATTTCCAGGATGTAAAAGAACGAGTCCTTGACTATCAATGTTATATAACTGGCACATGGTGCAGACGCCTTCATGTTGTACTCGTATGACAGCAAAATCAACATATCGTCACACCCTTGTGAAAGTTGAGGTCTTAGTCTACAAACTAAACACCCAGAAGCTGAAAAAAAATTTCAGAAAAAGAGACACTCAAATCTCTGTTATTTGTAAAATTTGCTTAGTTCAATGTCGCCCTGCTCCACCAGAACCACGAATTGTTGAATTAAAAGAAATATTCGTTTTATCTATCAGTAAGAGAGACGGCATAAACATTCAGTCTGCCACCTGCACAGACAGAGCATTTTAGGCTGCATCTTACACAGATAAGCCAGTGTGTTGACACGATGTATGAAGACTCGATTCATTGTGTTGGAAAACTAAAACTGGCCTTTGAAAATACATTGAAACATGTTGGAAAAACCAAGGCCCCATAGTTACTCATCAAAAGCGGTCATATCACCGCCTACCACAGCGGAGGCGGACGCACTGTGTCAATACAACAATTCTTGCGTGGTGCTTGTACACTGGAACAAAAAACAGTGACCTAATTAAGTAACCTAAATGAGCTGTAACTGTAACTTAACTATGCATGTAAATCCACTGAATGTTCCACTTTGAAGTGTGTGTGAAAAAATGTTGTTTGAAATATCAGGGCCTGAATGTCCTGAATTCAGAAGTTCACACGTAAAAGCCTCTGCACTAGAGATAGCAGTTTAAAATTGAGTAAAACGCAGCATGAACATGCCTAAATGATAATATATTATTCAGAACCTCAGCCTCAACAGCTCCATCTTTTCAAAACTGTGAGTGATAGACAGAGGGAGACAGAGAGCGACATGTAAAACTCACATTCAGAGGGATCTGATTTAATAGGTTCAAATACTGCAGAGGCAGAAGAGGACACAGATCCATCCAGCGAGGCAGAGGACTGAAGTTGCTGGGTAACTGTTGCAGGCGGATCTGTTGTTGGGGTGAGTGGTGTCGTGTTTGTCACTTCTGTGGGGAAAACAATGCTGGTTATTCATTAATGACCGTATACAGCAAATGGTGAAGTATCAGAGACAATCAGAGACATCCTGCCCTACCTGACACTGAGGCTGTCTGGTTAGCTGCTGTTGCTGACGTTGTGGTGGGACCGGGTTTTGTAGAGCTGGCCAGGGCTGCTTTGGGGGCCTACAGAGCCAAAAGAAAAGGTAAAGGGAAAAAAAGTGAAAGTTTAAAAGTATGTAGAGTAAAAAATAGCATTTTGAATACTATTTTCAAGGAGATACAACAATGTACAGTAAGTGTCTCTTGTCGCCTTTTTCTAATGTTGTAAGAGAGGATTTGAGAACTTTGTATGGAGAGAGCTGATGAGTTTTAGACCTGGGGAGCAGCAGTAGGAGGCTGAGAGGTAGGTATCGGTGCTGGGAGGCTTTGAAGGACATCATCTGGAGGAGGGACCGGCAAAACAACAGGAGAGGCACTGGACGGGTCCTTATTGACGAGAAGAACCTCAATAGGACCAGATGTACTCTTGAGACGAATCTGATACTTCCTCTGTCCGTTGAGGACCTGAAAAGGAAAGACCATGAAAACCAATCCGAGACTTGAGACGAGCACGACGTGTGTGAGATACTTAGTCAGATAACTTACAGATTCTGGTATTGGGACCTCTAGTTGTGTGCCAATGGGAGCACGGATCGCTAGGAGTGTGTCACCTGAGAAAAAAATGTGTGATGAGTGATGGAGACTGATTGAGCGGAGAAAGAAAAACTGTCTGCAAAGGTAAAGTAAGCACAGTACTTACCTTTAAAAGCTCCACACAGGTCTTCATGTTTGACATAAGCCACAGTACAAAGAGTTAAGGGTCCATGTCCATTAGAAATACCAAGGTGACTACAGGTATGAAGAAGTTGTATTCAAGACTTTTTAAGATCTTTTTAATACCACCGTAAAGAAAATGTAAGACCAAACCTGCGATGGAAGTACAGAACAAACTGAAAATATATCCTTTTACAATTAAAGGCATTGATGTCAGTTAAAAATGTACAATAGGGAAAAATGAAAATAATAAGTTGTTCAAGAACATTCTTCAAATGTGTTTATTAATGAAAGAGCATTTTGCCTCTCCCACAGATGAAAAATTGCTGGGTCAACTTCGTAATACGTACTCGGTCTCACACACAGCCAGCCAAGTTAGACAGCTAATAAACACAAGTACATCCACGAAGACTGTCACTTAGACAAAAAATAGGCTGTCATACAAGAAATTCAAATCTCGACCAAGAAAGCCAATATGGCTTTGCAAGGATGCAACATAGACTCATTGCGTCACGTGATCTAAATGCTGGGGCGAGATGAGATAGGACGAGAATAGTGTTTATCCCGTGCTTACCAGAAATTCTCATGGCGAAGTGACTAAAGCACATTTAAGACTTATCTGATCTGTATTTAACACAATGTACTACTTTTGAAGGCCTTTTATTGGTAAAAATGTATTCAAGACCTTTTAAGGACCTGCAGTAACCCTGGATACACTACCATGGCCCAATAAGAGGGCATGGTGACAGTATCTGTCTACCAGATATAGAAATGTATCATTGCTTCGAAGTGAAATGGAGATTTTAGAAACAGAAGAAAGTCGAGTCAAAGCAGCAACAGCCAAATCAGCCTGACTGAAAATTTGATCCTGCAATTCTACCGATGCAACTTTACAGCACCTCACATTTGCCCCTCCCTGCTTTTTAATGCCTTTATGGTGACATAAGAAGGGTTATTCATAATGAGGTCAAAGGAGGCTTTTTAAAGCTGTTTTTACTTACTGGGTAATGGTGTTTATGCCTTTGAATAGGAAAACTGGTGCAACGCCAGAACAGAGAGCATTTATATGAGCTGTGCTGCTGACAGGGACAGGCAGAATGGTTGAGATGTGTTCCCAGGATTATCCTCTATAAGATGCCAGATGGTGGCGGGGCTGGATATATTTCACTGCCCTGTCATTGTGTCTTTAGTTGATCTGTGCCGATTACAACGCAAATAGTCGTGTTTACATTGAAGTCCTTCATCATGGCTATAGATGGTTGAATATTTATTTTTTTTACAGTTTGACACTTTTGTCGTCTTTCTTCAGAAGCAGTTATTTCAGCCGATCCCTCAAAAGACAAATCTGTGGTCGTTTATTCCTGTACTTACAGACTGCTGAAGTTAAAAACTGAAATACTCTGGGATATTTCACAGCCTGGAAATTCACTAAGTTTTGACTATTAGCAGGTGGTAGCTGCCCTATCAGACATGAGTATTTTAAAAAAGGCATATTTTTTAATGGAGGATTGGTCATCTAACATCAAATCCATCATTCCTTCATTCAGACCTCCCCTAGCTGCTGTTAATGTAGCAGCTACTCTTCCTGGGGTCCACACTGGCACACTGAAACACAACATCTCGCCTATTTGATGTTAAATGTTGCTGCTAAAGCTACTTTTCCGTGCAGATATCTCTTATGGAGACAAGTTTATTATTAGACTACCACTGATAGGAGGCGGGATGTCATCCAAGGAGAAGGTTTTCTGTTTTTTTCTGCTTATCACAGACTATTACTGTATGTTACAAGCAACATAATAAACTTTCACATGCACTCAGTACAAATTATGGCAAACATTTATACAAACCTAACCCCACCTATAATATACACACATGACACTACGCGTTGAAGGATATGGGCTGTTGTTAGAGTCGTCTGTGACATTCTTGATGCTCTGTTGGACCCAGACCTTCTGCTGGTCCAGCTCGTGTTCCCTGAGAGCCAGATCATCCAGCTCGGCCTTCAGCTCAATCAGCTTATCAGCTATCTCTCGAGTGTTACAGCCTGGACCGACACCCCTGAAAAACAAAGAGGAAAACACGGTTGCAAAGTCAAAGAAAGCCTCAGACGCTTCTGAAAGCACAGACTGTTGTCCATTTTAATGATGAATAAAGGTTCTGAGATCCATTCACAGAAAAAAAAACTTAAATGTCGATGTGACTACTTCCTTGAATTGATAGCTGACTTTCAGGTTGGGGTGCAAACAAAGTGTTGAACAAAATTGTACAAGCAGAGCCAAACACTACACTCTTACAAACATACAAACATAATGCCTTCAGGCTGCTTCAGTTTCAGGGTCGCTGCATGTTACATGCAGACTCCCTGTCACACTGGGATACTAAATATAGCAGAGCTATCCATAAAGCCATAGGTCACACCTGGGCTTTATCTGATGTCAGAAATCAATATATCTGCCTATTTATACAATGCTAACTGACACGATGACACAATGCTTTTGATGTGGATAAAAACACCTGCAAGTCTGAACTACATATTTAACTTCAAAAGCTGTTTTTTTTAACTGAAATGTGACTTTATGCCACAGTTGTTCAATTAACAGTGCACATCTTTCAAAGTGAGAACCAGACGTCTGACATGCAGATGCTCTAATCACTTGACACTGTCATGATTAACAGTAATCACTTCACTTAGTCTCGGAGAAATACTTGTGTTTTTGTCACACCGATTAACACACAAGCAAACATGAGCACACCCCAGGTTGGTGTGAATTGTTCATTTACTGCCTTGATGCTGAGGTGAATCCTTTTCTAAGCCATTTCTGTCTTCTTTCTTCAGTGTCTATATGTTACCATATTGACACAAATATGACATGACCCTGATTATAAGACTACATCCCTTATTCAACACTCATTTTTAGGGGAAGACCTTTTGGAGACCAAAACTTGTCATAATAAAGAGAGCTCATCTAACTGAATACAATTACGTGGCATTAAATAAAACAAGGTTGGTTTCAGTTTTTTAATCTTTCGGATCAAATAATGTCTTAAAATCAAATGTCAGAATTAAATTGAAAAAGTATCATATGTGTGAATAGAGCACTTAAGTATTAAAACACTAAAACTATTCTAACTGACCCTGGTCTAACAGATGACAGGTCTGATGGTGCGCACCTTTTAATCCGTTATGAGTAGCATATTCAGCAGTGTGTTTGAAAGCAGCTGGACATTACACACATGGCACAGTATTTCTTGGCTGTTTGACGGTCATGTAACTTCTCTACTGCGCTGAGGCATCAAAACTCTGCCCCGGTTGTTGGTTAACTTGCCCTAATTCTCGACTTTTTTGCTCTGGTCAGCATGTCTCTCCATTTTTCATCCTTCCGGCATTGTAATGGTGAGTGGTCACTAGGGGGTAAACGCTCTTCACAGATATGTGGCGCCACCCACTGTCTTTGTGTTTCACTAAACTAAGATCATAAGATGGTCTCAAATTTTTAAGTGTATTTAGAGGAGGAACACCTCCTATATTGGATTAGGTATGATCTATTCCCAGCAGAAGAGGTGGGAGGATTGATGCTTGTGCTTGGGAGACAAATACTGACAATTCTGACCTGTATGAACAAAGACACTCATTTTTATACTATGAAAGCTTTACCAGACCAAACTCTTAAATATAAAATATAAAATATAACCATAAGTGAGTGACATTTAACCTCTTTAATGAAAGGAAACCTCAAAAACTCCTTATAAACAGAAAATTTGGCACTTAATCTGTCTCTTTAAATCAAAGATTTTCTTTTTTGTCTCTTGGGAAAATATCAACATTGACTTACTTCCACTGGATGCTGTTTTTGGATTTCTTTTCTATCAGTCCGATTCCCTCCAAAACATTTGTGATATCGTAGATCCGCCGCTTTTGCCGCACAGCCAAGGTGTCTGCCGCCTGAACAACGGGACAAAAACAAAGAAAACAAGAGTGATTATTAGTATTTCCTTTAGTATGCTTACAGCTAAAAAGACTAGGACCTACGGTTCAATCTATGACAACAAGTACAATGCAATGCAACCAAAAACCATGACATTTCACCACCTAAGACAGAGCACCACAGTGTCATTCAACCTTCTTTCCCATCCCAGCCTGTTGGTGTTTGACAAACTTATGATAACCATATGGCTGGTGCAGATAAGAATAGATTTGGCATGAGGAACTGTGGGTGCAATAGAGGCCTGCTGAATGACAGCAGCTATATTAAACCTTAAGTGGGTTTGGTACAGTACACTTAATTTCATTAGTATTCACTCATGCAGAGTAAACATCACCAGTATGCACTACATTCAATCAGCAGACATCTGAGCCAACACCTGACAAAAGGAGAACAAGCCCCAGAGTTATTAGCCTTTGGTAAAGGAGCTGTGTTTCTTTGAGCAGAGAGGGAATCATGGCCTAATATGGATTGTTTTCATTACTAAAAAATACAGTGTGTTGTTATGGACAGGTGAGATAAAGAATAAGCATGACTGCCTGCTCTATTCCAACACTGGCAAGGTGCAAATACTAGTGTCAGCAGGTGTGACGCCACTCTCAGTAGAGTCACTGAGGTCACTGTGGAAGAGAAACGGTTTTAATTTATAAGTAATGCATGGCTGGTCAAACTGCCGTTTGGTTCACTGGGGCGGATAACACAAACAAAAATTCACAGTTTTTTTCTCCCTATTTAAAATCTAATTTGAAAAGTGCAAATTAGAAAGGCTAATCAGTTTTGGCTACATTTAACACCTTTTTTTTTTTAAGCGGAACGAGGGGTTTGAGAGAGGAAGTGGCACTGGTTAAAGATCTGCACAGACCACTTTGTACTTAGACTCTATCTCACCAAAGCAAACACCAACTAGTTCTTCAAGAAACTTAAGTAACTCTTACGATAACAGAAGACTCTCCAGGCAGGTTAAGGTTTACTGGGGGTCAATTCAGGGAGCGAGAGGGTTTAGACCAATGACCTAGACTGCAGTGCAGACCATAACCACCTTTGATAATACACATGTGAACACTTCGGCACTGGTGTTAAAAGTATCCTTTTAAGGAAAAACCATTGAAGGCTGACCGGATGAATGCTTGTCGTCAAAGAACAAAGACTATCAGTCAGAAATGATTGTTCATGTGTGAAGATGCAGAAGCATTTGCTCAGAAGGGAACGACAAAAGCTGACCCAGTTTTTTTAACTCGGGATCTGCAGGGGGCAGAGTCTGAAAAGTTGAGCGGTGCTGCAATATTAAAAAAAAAAAAAAAAAAAACTTGTTACTCTACTTTGCCCCTCTTTAATAACCACAATACCACTCAAGGAGTGAATTTTCAGTTTTCCAGAGAACATGGGAGCATTAACTGTTTGGTTGTAGGGTTGTCACTCACCATAATCTTGAGCTTTTGTATGATACTAAAAGAAATCAAATGATATTGATTCCTGTTGTGATACAAAGGTAACACAAATTAAACTCTTGGGAGACCAAATTTGGGTTTCTTTAATTTTAAAAGTTACCAAACAGAAACTATCACCTGGGTTACTGATGAATGAAAGCCATATTCATGTTTCACAGCTTTGATTTCATTTACGGTGCTTACTCTCCTCAGTTGTTTAATCATAGATTCTTATGTTCAGGTACCACTATGCAATTATGGCCAAAATATTCAACACACTTATTTTGATGTTCATTGAGATAACACCTGTAAATAATTATTTATCAATTTTAGGGCCAAGTTTGGCCCAGTTTATTGTTTGTTCAAAAAATATCTTGCATCTCAGCTATTGTCTGGGCTGGACTGGAACAAAAAATATACACCTGCCTTTTTGTCCCCCACTGTGCCCAGAAATGTGATCAAATAGAATTAAAGAATTGCTTTTACAATAACTTAAATGTGATAATAATCCATGTGAACAAATAACTTTTACTTGCTGTGGATTATTTTCACATTGTGGTATAAGAAAGCATACCATGTGGACTTGCATATGTTTTATCACAGCACAGCCACAGATTGAAATCTGTTACAGTCTTTTGGTCCTCACCTATATTATGTGAGACTTACAACTTAGTTTTAATGTTTTAAAATAATACAGACCTAATGTTCACTCACCTTTGGCTCACAGCACTTGTTAATATTTGATAATGTGAATCTTTTCTCTCTGTTCTCACTTTATCCCTCTATTTTACTAACACACAGCTGATCTTCTTGCTCTTTCTCTACTTTGCTGCACATGTTTTTTCTGCACTGCAAGTCAATAATCCCTGTTGATCACATTTCTTTAATCCAGGGAAAGCCAAACTCTTGATCACGGTTGTGTCCATGTCTCTCTCAAGATATGCCATGGTAAAAACTCAATAATAAACGTGTGCAGGTTTACTTTTAGAGTATTTAGGTTTCGTTTATTTATATGTACACGTGCATATATGTGTGTATGTCTGCATGAATGTCAAAGTAAATGTATATTTCAACGTTTTTTCGTGTTATATTTGCTTTTCGTGTATGTTTTCTGAGCTTCGTGTTTGTAACAATAGTATGGCGCAAGTTAGTTTTTCAAATGAGTAAGTTTTTTTCTGCCATGCTTTGTTCTCATATAATGTAAAGTCTACATAGTGAAAAAGGCTAAAAGCTTCTGAAAATACAAAGCCATAAGGGCAGAAGTAGCTCCCATTCAAATTAGCCTGTCACTAGCTAAGCTAAGCTAACAGGCTAGCTGAAATGCATGTATCCCAACGACAGCAGGCAGGCTCAAAATGACATGTGCTAGCTAACAACAAAGACTGGGCTGCATGCTCACCGCTTTCAGATCCAATACTCCGTCCTTTGCCTCCTGTAATAAAGTCACAAACTTGGTCGTAAGCAGCCCCAGACTTTTTTCGTGTCTGCTGGGAGTCTGTGGCTGCAGCGAGTCCCCCACAGCTCCCAGTTCGCCTCTGTTACTGGCCGTCTCCAGCTCCATCATCACTCGGGACCAGTTTCGTACTTCCCCCTGCCTCCCCGACCAAACCCAGCCAGCGAGCCCAGGAAAGCACGCCCCACCGCCGCAGCCAGATAAACAGAGGGGTCGGTGAATTGTGAGGCAGTTCACAGCTGTTAAATGAACGACTCTGACCCGGTTTGCTCAGAATGATTACGGCAAATCGAGCTGATCAAGCTGACTAAGATAATTCAATGAGCGAGCGGTGGACAGAGCCGTTGGCCACGCGAGGTATGACGGGACGGTTGAATTTTGGGGGAGCGTCTACAAATACTCACATTTACTCAAACGCGTGTTACAAAATAAAACCGTCTCTGTGCGCAAAGTAAAGTGATATGGCATGTTTTCTCCACCACAGGACTTATTTATTGTATTTAAAAAATATTAAAAGAGCTAATTTTGTTTTTTTTAATTTGTTGGAGTGTTTTTGCGGATTAATGTATAACTGCAATTTGCACTTGTTCCCTAACCCACTCAAACTTGAAGATAACACACGCACGCGCTTTTCAACACGCACACACCCACAAAACGACTCAAACGCAAATATTCCCATAGGTAATATTCAAGTAAAAGGCAATTTTTCACCACTTTCAGTGACTTTGTTTTTCAATCCAGATGTCATGCTTTAATAATAAATGTTTTCTATCTGATAAATTTTCGCCAACACGGAAAAGCACATTCAGTGTGAAATGAATAGTCCATTTTTTATAAGGTAACATGTTGCTCCATTCTTGATTTCTTTTCCCTTGACTGGACTGAATAATTTTTCCACTCTTTTTACATAAACATTGTAAAAATCTTTAGCCATGATAATCGTTGGGTGAAAATGTGATATCCTGACAGCCCCACAAAAGACTTAGTTTATCTCTTCATGAATTGTAGTGATGAAAATAAAGATATTGGTATTCACCTCAAATTTGAGTTTAAACTCATCCACCTCCTCTTCTCCTCTCCTCTTCTCTGTGAGGGGAAAAAGACTGAATAAAGGGTTTAGTGGAAAAAAGGAAATTATGGACAGACTATTAATTGAGGTGGTAGTGGTGAGACTGCAGTGGGTACTGACATTAACAACATAAAACTAGAGTTAACTACTATTAGGCCTGCTGACTGTAATCACATTAAATTAATTTAACATTGTCCATAATTACTCATATCCTAACCCTGTTGTTGTTATTGCTGTTGTTTTAATGTTGCTGCTGTCCCCTGTCCCTCTCTCACCCTCATTCTCTACTCTCTCTCCCTCCCCCTCCCTTACTCATTCTCTCTCTCCTTACCTCTGTCTTGTTCTCTTTCTCTCCCCCTGTCCTCTCTCCACTTCTCTCTCTCTCTCTCTCTCTCTCTCTCTCTCTCTCTCTCTCTCCCTCTCTCTCTCTCTCTCTCTCTCTCTCTCTCCCTCTCTCTCTCTCTCTCTCTGTATTCCTCCCCAAACCAGCAGCGGCATGGTGGCTGTCTAACATGAGTCTGGTCCTACTCAAGGTTTCTGCCTGTTAAAAGGAAGTTTTTTCTTGCCACTGTCACTCATGTCAGATGAGATGGGCCAAATCCCATCTTAGGTTTGGTCTTGATAATTCATCAAACAATGAGCGTGGTCTAGACCTGCTCTTGTTCTTTGAAAAGCATCTTGAGATGACAACTGTTGTGAATTGGCGCTATATAAATAAAATTTGATTGATTGATTTGATATTGAGAACCTTTCCCTCCTCCTCCTTATTCCTCTTTCTGTCTGTGTCATTAACTGTGAATCATCATGTCCCATTAGAATCACTTATACACAGTCTATCATGTGATAGGTTCCTTTGGATGGCTGCTGCAAATGTTTTGCTGTCGTGGACCTGCCTGCTTTCTAGATGCTTCAACTACATGCATCAGTCTCACCTCTGTCCATGTTTCTCTTTCTGCATTTCCCTCTGTCCCCTCTAAACCAAATGTCGTAGTGGCAAATGATTGTCTAACATTTATGCGGTTCTGCTCAAGGTTTCTGCCTGTTAAAGGACATTTTTCCTCTCCAAAAATGAGGCCAACTAATCCCCCAAACTGCCAATGTTGTCAAATTGATTAACAGCAAACTACCTAATCAGCCTTTTTTGCTTACATGCCCTGCAAAAAATAAGTACGATTGTTACAATTGACCTATAAGTTAAATAAAAGGAGATTTTTGTTTGTTTGTTGAAAACACACATGCACATAACAAAACAGGCAATGACAATATACTACTCTGTCAAAAGTGGTCACCAAAATATTCCTATGTTTCTCAGGGGTGGTTATCATACCAGAGAGCTTGTTGTGAGGTGAGCTCTGCTGTCCAGTAAATAATTATGTCACAAAATCTGTGAGACATCATGTTTTTTAGGCCACAGCACAAAATATTAGCAATGGCATCATGAGAAACATTGTTCATTTTTATTATCAATAATTAAAGGGTTATGTCTTCGTCCAACTTATATAGACTATGGACTACATCTACAGAAAGGGGCAGAGCCGCCTCTTTTGCCTGAGAAGAATCCGATCTATAGACATCTGTAGTAAGACGCTGCAGATGTTTTATCAGTCTGTGGTGTCGACAGTGTTCTGTTCTACGCTGCAGTCTGCTGGGGAGGAAGCATCAAACACAAAGATGCAAGACGTCTTAACAAACTGGTGAAAAAGGCTGGCTCTGTGGTAGGACTCAAGCTGGACTCAGTGGAGGATGTGGTGGAGAGATCTACACTGAGGAAGGTGTAGACTATTCTCAAGAACATGGATCACCCACTTCACAACACCTTGATGGACCATAGGGCAAATGGTTGTGGACTGCTCCTCTCTCTTCACTGCAGGACAGAAAGATTCAGAAGATCTTTTGTACCAACAGCCATCAGACTTTATAACTCTTGTGTAAATAGTAGATAACTGTTAGAGACATATTTTGTGAGACAACAGACAATTGGATTTTCCTTTGGGGATCAATAAAGTTATTCTTATTCATTTTAGGAAATCTAAGTTGTATCAAATTTAATATACCAAAAATATCTGCTCTACTACCACCCAAAATTCATATTCAGTTGTTAAGATAAAATTATTGATGACATTTTTGGATGTTGAATTGCTTCGTGTTAGTATAATTAAAATGCCAGTTTATGACCAGCAGGGGGAGCTAAAGCACAAGGAACTGTCTGAGCCACGGAGAACAAGTGAACGCGCTCTCGTAAGATCCGCAGATTCGTGTCTCTGACAATCTGCCAGACGGACAAACCACGAAAATAATGACTTTCTCCGAAGAGAAAAAACTTCCAACACAAATTTGAGCATTTGTTACACTCAGTCATAATCTGTAAGCGCTCAATCTAAAACACAACCAGGTATATCTATGTCTCTTTTTGTCGAAAGTGCTGTTTCTGTCACGGTGCTGCACTCAGTTGTGTCAGCTGACTGATCCAAACATCCTCTGTGCCTCTGCTATTGGAGTAAACATACTGATTTTAACCCAGGTAAATATGCATTTAAGGCTTTACATTATCACAAACAATAAGGAGCAGCGGTGAGTCAGGCAGACATGTCCACGGCAGACTTTCTCTCATTTTGAGTGTGTTTATCCTCGCCCTGTAGTGTTAGCTCTGCTGCTATCTAACGTAGAGCTAGTCATACATTCAAATTTAGGGTAAACCGAGCTAACACTTTTCTTTATTTTAACACTTAAACTAGCCAAATATTGGTCCTAGCGTTAGCATTAATTTAGCTTTTGGTGGCTATATTTTAAAGGCGTCACTGTGCTGTTATTGTCTTATAGTTATGAAAATAATGAAAGGGTTATGAAGTGATAACAGCACACCTGCAACAGACAGAGTAAACGGAAACAGTGACAGTGTCGCTTGTTTTATTCACACTCTATATTTTGATAATAACCAGTTCGACTCTGATATGCCCTGGTGTCTGTTGTATTGACTTGAATTTGATGTTTTCCAGTGGCAGCAATGAAGAAGAACAAAAGCAAAGTCAACACGACAACTGGGAAGGAGTTTGTGTTTGAGTTCAGGGCAGGGAGACACAACTGTGTCCTCAAAGTCCCTCTGCAGTTTCCTGTGCAGGAGAACATCAGTGACCTCCATGGACGCCTCATGCTGCTCCATAAAATCCCCTGCTACATAGAAAATGGTGAGACCAGTCAGAAGTTAGCCACTTATTTGCATTCTACATTAAATTGTGTACAGTTTAAAATAACTGACATAAATGATCTCTGTGAGATAATTGGCTCAAATTGCTGATTCCCTAATCCAGTGGTTCTCAAGTCCAGTCCTGGAGGCCCACTGTCCTGCATGTTTTAGATGTTTCCCTGCTCCAACACACCTGATTCAAATGATCAACTCGTTATCAAGCTCTGTAATGACTTAATAACGAGCTAATCATTTGAATCAGGTGTGTTGGAGCAGGGAAACATCCAAAACATGCAGGACAGTGGGCCTCCAGGACTGGACTTGAGAACCACTGGTCGAATCAGTTAAAAATGACCAGAAGGACTCTAATATGATAGTTAAGGTTGAGATCTGGACATCCAGAGAGATAAGTGCTCTCCCACAACTCTATCATCCATTTGTCTTTTTAACCCATTAAGACCTGAGCCCTGTCTGAGACATGCCTCTGAAATCCTGAGGGCATTTTTGAGAAGGGCCCCCAGACCCTGAGGCTTTCTGAAGTGTTGAGGTTGACAAAAGAGCTGATATCTCAGCCTCTGTAGCAGATAGAAACAAAATTCAAAAAGTATTTGAGAGCTTACAGGTGTGGCTTTCAAGATCAATATCTTTTATTGATTCATTACATTATTGAAAACCTTGAACAAACAAACTCAAATGAAATAAAACGACTGTATAAATAAAAGTAAAGGCTCTGCGTTGGAGAATAACAAACAATTTGCTCTCTGTAAAACAAGTGGCAATCATGATAAAGTGTCCATTCAATAGAAAATAAAGTGTTGAAAGGGTATACAGCTGCCCTAGTATAGTCCCGGTACAAAAGCAGCACTAAAAAATAAATAAATAAATACGTTGCTGACAGTGTGTTCATCTCTGTGCTCAAACTTTTCATACTCACACCCTTGAAATGATTCATCATCCACGTTGAAGTGTTAAATTGAAATTCCTGAGACATAAACAATCTTCACAGGCCAAGATTCATTATTATTTGTGTTTTTATATTGTAACACTCCCCTGAATGTTGAAACCAGATCTCTACTAAACTCTGTTTATTTGAAGTGATAGTATCCTAAAAGTAACTCTTCATGTCTCACTGAGATGAAGGTAATATAGTCAGCCTGTATGCTGTTAGTTTGAAATCACAACAGATGGAAAGGATCTACCCTGTAAAGCACTTTGTAACCTTCACAGAAATGAAAACATATTTGAGTTGACAGGAGTTTTTTGCTATGTTTGCATCTCTTCTGCAGAGCTAAAAAACTCACTTTCCAACTTCATCGAGAAGGAGACCATCCTGGATTTCGACAAAGAGGCAGAACTGGCTCTGCAGAGACTCACGACAGGAAACGTAGATGTGAATCAGCTCACAAATGCATGGGCCAGGTCTTATGTGGAGGTGAGAACACATATTTTGAATTTTTGGAAGTGAGTAGTTGCTAATGGCTCAAGCTGTTGTGTCACTGTATATATGTATATTTGAGTGAAATATAGGAAATTGTTCTATGTCTCTATACATTTACAATCTTCCAGGTTTTACACATTTTTGATGCAAAATAGCACAGGTTGTTTGACGCTGGTCACCATTTTTATCTGCACGACACATTTGTACGCTGCCACTCTGAATTTACGTGGCCAACTCTCTGAAGTTGACAACAGTGAATAAGAAATAAGATTTGAGAATAGGACACAAGTAGACTTTGACCAGTCGAATGTATTAGATACACTGCATACAGTTCACTTGTTTCTGAGTCAGCTCGCTTCTTGACCATGTGACATATTGATGGCATTCAAATATTCAGAACAACAATGATACAAAAATGAACAATCAAGCCATGTAAATTAATGGTTTGTGTGATTGTGTGGCCTAAAATTGCTGTCTTGTAGTTAAAAAATTGAGAACATCATCATATTTTATTCCATACATACATGGTTTTCCAAAGTTATGTAGGCTTAACATTTTCTTCCTCGCAGGTGCTCCAAAATGTGTCCTAGAGACCCTGGCTGTAAAACCCTGATTCTATATTTTCCACTTCATTATTCTGTGGTACTGCAGCAGGCTTTTGGGATTGTCCCTGGATGCGGACACAGCTTACTTCGGTGCAGTCATGGATCATTTAAGTAATTCAAACAGAGGCAGTGCAGTGCATCTGCAAATTGATTATTCATGAGTTCCCGAGAAAAAAATCCCATTACATGAGCGGCATGCAGTGTTTAATGTCTTTTCATTGCACTCGATTACACTCTGATGCGTTTTTCTCCCAGAGGGCCAATGAGTAGATGCAGTTGTGTATACATACTGGAGAAAAGAGTCATCATTTTCAGATCAGATCGATAAAAAAAACAAACAGATTAAAAGGAGCATGGTTATCTCACTGATAGATTTAAGTGTTATTTATTTCAAGCTTTAAAAAAGGTCGATAAGGTTATTTAGTTTCCGTCTTTAGAGTTCACGAGTCTCATCTCTGCTGTCAGCTGCTTTTATAAAAAGAAAAGGCCTGCTGTGTCATGAAGCCCGCTGTGCTCAGACACGTAGGACCGGCTTCTTGTTAACTGTTTACCACAGTCACACAGAAATACATGTGGACTCCATTGCATTCATGGTCCGGAGATTCCCAAGCCTGTATAAATAGAGGAGTTTCACATGCTGAAGACTGTTCTGTTGCTTTTCTAAATATGGAAATGGCACATTGACTGCCCCAGTTAATGTTGCACAGCAAAACATTCAAAGTGTGTTGACATTGTGTTTTGCCCTCTATTTTCTGTTCTTTTACAAACAGAAATTCCAGTTTTCGCGCATTTTTGCTGAAAGTCAGCATCTCACAGTCCCTTTAACTCGCAGCCTCTGCAGCCGTTCATCACCCACAAGTGAAAAGTTGTAAACAGCTCAGCAGAGTTTGATGAACAGCTTGGTTTGGTTGTTTTTCTCTGCTGTTTCAAACATTTGCCGCTTTAAAAAAAACTGATGTAATTCTTTCGTCTTTTACTGTTTTATCACAGACTACACTGGAGCACGCACGTCCTGAAGAGCCCAGCTGGGATGAGGACTTTGCCGATGTTTACCACGAGCTTATTCACTCCCCTGCCTCAGACACGCTTCTCAACCTGGAGCACAACTACTTTGTTAGCATCTCTGAGCTCATCAGTGAGAGAGACATGGAGATTAAGAAGCTGCAGGAGAGGTTTGTGTCAGGGATAAACCCCTGAATCTGGAGTGTTGAATTTAAAGCAAATATAACTTACCCCCTTTTGACAAAATCCCATATGAAATTGTGTGTTTTAAGAATTATTGTTACCTTGAGAAGTTCAGTTCACAAAGTTTGGTACAAGAAAGAGAAAATCCTACACTGACACATTTAAACTCCAGTCCCACTACTTTTTTTAGAACAAGCCCAGCATTAACTTACACCTTTGCATCAGTTACTTTCAAGATGGTCAGAGAAAGATTACCTAAATAAGGCCTCTGCATAAATACAAGCCATGAATGCAAATAAGTAATTCTGTTAAGGATTTAAAAAGAGGATCAAATGGTCGTGCTGGAGTCACATATTTACTGCACAAAACCTGTGGTCTGTTTTCCTCTACACTACAGATTCACCAAACCATATTCTACCTGAAACTAGAAGCAACTCCATTTATCACATCATCTTAATCCAGTTATTTTGTCTCTGTAATGGTTTGATTTCACAACTGACCAAACACACCAGATGAGTTTGTTTTGTCCAACTCAGACTCTGCTAAAATGACATTTCAACCTGGAGTCATGACTTTACGTCACTGAAAAGTCACTGAATTCTGTTCATCTGCTTCTCAAATGATGATGGTATTTCCCCAGCAGTCTTATCAAATCTGTGATTATGTGTCTGTCCTGCAGGCAAGCATCAGAAATGGACAAAGTGATGCACGAACTTGGGAACACTTTGAGCGACCATGATGTGAACACTGTGGCCTCTCAGCATTTTGATGCACAGCAGGTAAAGAAGAAGAAGGGGTGCGCGCTCTTATGCACTAGAGGCAGGTGAGCCTTTAAGGTAGAGAGTGTAGGAATGGGAATATTTCATGATTAGTGACAGGAACTCTACTCTCCTCACCTCTCAAGTTGTTAAAATGATGGTGCAAGGACAAAAGCTCCTGAGATGCAAAAGTATGATCCCCCATAGGTCGTGGGTTTACCATCAAAAACTCGTATTAATACAAATTGTGTTGCACACAACAGCCACTCTTTCTCTTAACTTCTAACCAGTGCATTTCATGCAGCCACTCACCAGATATAAAAACACATACAGTGTGTTAGTTTGTTTGTCCTGTGCTGCGGTACAAACATGATGGTGCAACATGGTAGCATACTTACAAATATTATATTCCATTTGTACAAAATTGATCCTGCTGAATTTCGCTAAATATTACACACTGAACCTTTAAACCCAGTTCTAAGTCCTCTCTTCACCTCAGCTGTTGTGGGGGATTTGGTGTCAAATTCTATCTTTACAGATTTGCCAACATTGACGCATTGTTGTCATAGCAATCACTATATTTATGGGTGCTCTTTCATGTCTCCATTTCTTTTGCAAAGGTGTTGGAGAATAAGTGGGCCAGTGAGCTTAAACAAGTTACAGGCATTCAGAAACAGGAGTATCAGGAGTGGGTCATCAAACTGCATCAGGACCTGCAGAAATCCACCAACAGCAGCAAAATCAAGTAAGCCTGACAGTCCAGTGTGTGGTTGTGCGTAAGCTTGGACAAACAGCCGTGGGTTTATATTGCGTTGTGTGGATTCTGAAGCTGCATACACACGGCTGACATCTGTGGAGCAGTACTGTGTTACCGCTAATTGACCTGAACCGGCTCTGCCAGTTTGGGGACTTAATCCTTTTATTAACGCCACAGTTAAGCCACAATAGATGATTCAAGGCAATTACCGCTGGAGTCAGGTGTTTGGTTGCTAACTCTAATTACGCAGAAAAAACCCTGCAGCAGCTTTGATTTTCACTTTTAGGCAGTGACAAACTGCTCTCTACGTTCTTTTACCTCAGCAGCGGTGTGCCATCGCAACTCCTTACATCTACAAAGTAGAGTTCTTGAAGGATGAAAAACGGAGACCAGTGATAATAGGAGTCAAAAACATCGTGATCAAATGCTAGATATTCCCCAAGTGAAGCGAGTCGTCGGAAAAATACTGCTGATTGTGATTCAGAGGTCAAACTAAACCCTTAACTAACAGCATCTTAACTCTGGCTCTTCTGCAGCACATCTAATCTAAAGCACGACCGCCGCTTGGGCCTTTGAAGTGCAGACTCCATTAACATAGAAATTGGAGTGATTACAAGGGGTCAAAAGCTCATCTCAGTTTGACTGATGTTTGGCTTTGCAGCATTCGTAATGACTGGCATCTTGGGAGAAGAAGTCGGGAAAGAATCTTAATGGGGGTTAACAGTATGAGGTCTGAGAGAGTGCTGGTTTCAAATCAGATCCTACTCCTTTTTGCATATATCGGATATTCGATTAAAGTACAGATACCAGTCAGGACATGAACGCTAAGAGCCTCTCAGGCAATGTGCTGACCCTGCATCTGATTTTCTTAATCTTGAATATCATTATCTTTCTATGTGTGGGTGGAACTTTACAAATCAGCACTTTTTGCACTTTGTAAATATGCATTTTCGATGCTGCAGCCCCTAAACTCATCCTCTAAAAGTTAACATAAGAACTGTAATACTGAAAACAGTTGAATTTGATCATATTCTCCTGTTTATAGGGAGATGAAAAACCCTTAGAGTGAAACCTTTGTCTTTGTTTTGTATTTGCTTTCTTAAATCCAACATTTTTTATCGTCTTGTAAAGAAAGTAGATCAAGTATCGTTATAATCTGTTTGAGATTGTGGTGATGTGATTTAGGAGTACGTTTCAGTGTAAGTTCTGAGAAGACACTCATCATTGTGTCTCATTATATGGCGAGGTTAGTTGGCTTCCTCTTGAACACAGGCTCTCTTGAAGGTTTCTATAAGTTAGTTCCCTCCATACATAGTAGACTTGGTGGAATTTGACCTGCATGATTTGCACTAATGGTTGTTTGTATGATTGATTTCCAGTGAGGAGATTAAGGTGCAGCCCAGTCAGCTGTCAGAAGTCACAGATTCGGGGGCCAGGATGTTTGAGGAGCAGCCTCAGCTGGAGGAGAGTTTCACCATTCACTTAGGTGCTTGTCCTGTAAACCTGCTTTACAAACATTTTCCTGAAACCCTCTCCATGTTTTTACACAATTATGGAATTTCTGACAAGTATGTAGCCATCTTCATGTGCACCTATCTTTGTAGAGTTACAATATGTATGTATTTCTTGATCAGGGGCACAACTGAAGACGATGCACAACCTTCGACTGGTGCGGGCAGACGTGCTGGATTTCTGCAAGCATCGACGGCACGGGAGCGGTGGAGCAAAGCTGAAGCGGCTGCAGACGGCCCTCTCCCTCTACTCCTCCTCACTCTGTGGTCTGGTGTTGCTGGTCGACAACAGGGTCAACTCCTACAGCGGCATCAAGAGAGGTTAGGGTGGAGGATCTGCTCTGTTTTGTTAAAAATCTATGGTTTGTGTTTGGCAGTCAGCTGCTGGATAACATGTTTCATCACCCCTCAAAGCTTTGATGCTTTTCCACCTATAAACGGATCCAAATCTCCTGTTAATAGGTCAATCTGACAGCTGAATATTATGGATAGCCTTTTTTTAAATCTTACAGATGTTATACAATAAGAAAGCTGTAGCCCTAAAAAGTGAATCCCTCACACTCTTCTTGCTCCACATCGGCATGTATTAAAATGAAACCTCACATTGTTTCAGCCCCTCTGAACCCTCTGGGTCAGAAGCGTGCTGTGAGCAATAATTTGAAAATATAACAGAGATGAGATGAGTTGTGGTTGGATAATAGCTTTGTTTTTTAATACACAATTTCAACCCTTTGCTTCTCCTTTGTTGATCCTCAGACTTTGCCACTGTGGCAAAGGAGTGCACAGATTTCCATTTCCATTCTCTGGAGGAGCAGCTGGAGGAGGTGCAGCAGGTGGTGCTATACGCCAGAGCCCAGAGGAGCCATAAGCAGAAAGAACAACCAGGTTAGATTTTGGCTTCCTGTTAGGTCTGTGCGCCAACACAACCGTGACAAAGGCACACAAAGTTTGAAAATGTTGGTTATAAGGCTGGATTTACATTTCTCCAGAGGTAGAAATACTGTCTGGGACACACATGCTACCAAAGAAAATTGAGAATTCTAGACATCCAGGCTTGCAGCTTTAGTCAGCTATGCATAAAAAAGGCTTAACTAACATTTTTAAACATGGTACGTTTCGCAGTGTCACAGAAACTGATTTCTTTAAGTTGTTATGCAATCTTGGATTATGACAGTTTATACAAACTTCTCTCAAAAAACAGAACAAGTTTACTTTGTATTTACTCTCTCATTCATCTTATTTGCCTCGCTGTTGAGATTCTTGTTAAAACGTCTTTGCTGTGGTGTTGTCTTGTTATCTTTGAGCTGGAATTTTTTCTTACTGTGCTCTTAACTTTTTAAAACTTAAGAACTCATAAAAGATTTAAACTCAGGCAGAGCTGCTGTCTTTATTACATCTTGTGCTGAGCAACTGTTTTTGTTTTAACTCTTTCAGAAGATTATGAGAACTGAATTTGAGATAAAAAGACCCTAAATAACATGTGAGGATTTATTTATGGTGATCAAGTTGTTATAGCAGGATGAAACCCGAACAGGACCCACTCATGAAGCAGAGGGACCTTGTCTCCCCCTGAAGTGTCTGCTTCATGCTTCATCTTCAATTTGAAAAGTTTATTACTCTCTCACAGTTTTTGTGTCCTGAATCTGTCCTGCCTTGTCTTTGCTGTTTTATTTCTTTTCTGAATTTTCCCACAGTAAACGTCTGCCTGTCTGCCTGCCCCTTATATTTTATGTGTATTTATTCATCGTCATTTACAGTAGATCACACATCCCTTCACTCTTTCCCTTTAAGACTTAATACCCAAGACTTTTATGCAACCAAGACCTTTTATGAGATAGTTTATGGACATGTTTTGAAGAGAGACAAGGCTCACAGCAGCATCTTACACAGCCAACAAGCTTCCAGTCTGAAGCTGGTGTTACTCCTAGTTCATTTTCCATCGCAGCAGACTGCTGTAGAGACATGTTACAGCTCACTCCTGCCTAACCTGAAGAGGAGAGGGTTCAGCTTAAGCAGACTTCTCATCCCCGTCTCTACCTTTGCTGTCTTCCTTTAGATGTTTTCCTTTATTCCTATTGGTGTGTTGGTATGGTAGGCGGTGAGAGCTAGCATGGAGGGAAGGTGGTCCCAAGACATCAAGGCTAACTGTTCAGCCCCTGTGAGCTCATGTTAATGAAACATCAGTGGAGGCAGCTGCCTGTTTGACAACCTTAGTGGTGTACTTGCTCTTGCTCTCCATGCGTCCCCTCATTTTCTTCATGTCTGGGTCTTAAGGGGACGATGTAAATAATGAGATGAGAATACTATGAGGGTGTGATGGGGTGGGTTCACTGAGGACTCATACAGTACGTTGTGCTTGTTTTCAGTCTTACAATTGAACCTGATCTTGATGTTAAGCCTTTGTCAATAGAATATATAAAGAGTGTTCCAGATCTTCTAGTTTCGAAGCACTCTTAGTCAGCGCGTATTGTGAAGTATGAAGAAATATTGGTTTATTAAATAATGAGTGAAGTATGGCACACTTAACACAGCTGTGGACTGAAGTTTGGATGACCTATTTTTCAGCTACAGTAAGTGTTAGTCTTTGAATTCACTTTAAAAGGAAACCTCCTTTTTAAATCAATCGAATCAATCAATCATTTTCCACTGCAGGCTTTCCAAAGAGGTGAATGCCAGCAGTGTGAAAGTGGGAGAAAAAGAAAAAAGGGCGACTGTGTATCGTTACCACAGTTTCAAAGCCCAACTGTGTCAAGATCAGTATCATAGTGATTCATAAAGTGAAGCTGCTGTCTTTCAGGCTTTGATCATCCTTTGAAAGTATAGATTTTTACTGTATTTTCTTTTTTTTAATGCCTTATCTTTACAGAAGTTTCAAAGAATGGAGGCGATGACAAGAGCAAGAATGTTGAGAGAAACCCCTCTAACATCGTACCAGGTAACGGCCATCATAACATACTTCTCTGATCTGATTCAGTCTCCAGTGAGGAGTTTTCAGCTGGTTATATAACAGACTTTAGTTAATGCAGATGCCTCTACATGACCTGTTAAGGCAAACAAGGCCATCGGGGAGAAGATTGACGACCTCTGTGGAGTTATTTTCGTGTCTGTAGACCGGGGGGATTAACAGTATTCTGCAGCTCAGCGAAACCAACTCACAGCTTTGTTTACGATTTCCATCACACAGATTTACAGTGAGGGAGGCGATTGGCCATTAAAAATAGCATGATACAGTGTTTGTTGAATGATACAGTTTAAGGAAGAATTGATTTATCACCACTACAGGGACAGACCAGCAAAGACATAAGAGGTCACCAAGCTCTACACAAAGTGAAAATTCCTCACAGGAGATTTAACAAAACATTTAAATACATTTTTTACCGACTTTTTGATCCCATATATTTCAGCAGATGTACTTCTAAACTGCACCAATTTTGCTGCATTTTTTTATTCATTAATATCTGAGTTTTGAATCTGTTCCTCCAGGTGAGTTTTACATCTCACGACACTCCAACCTGTCAGAGTGCCACGTAGTCTTCCACCTGTGTGTGGACGATAATGTGCGTTCAGGGAACATCACAGCCAGAGACCCGGCTATCATGGGTTTAAGGAACATCCTGAAAGTCTGCTGCACACACGACATCACCACTGTCACCGTCCCCCTGCTGCTGGTCCATGACATGTCAGAGGTAAGAACAGGTAGTGTGCGTACAGATGCTGTTGTGATACATTGGAGTTCACACATCCTCACACACTCTACGTGGTGAGTTTGTTCCCACAGTTCTTTCTGTCCCATGTCCCTCCTAAACTACACATGATACCAAGGCTTCTTAGTGATGCTGAAAATCAGTTTATAGTTAATGAGATTTCCCCAAATAAGACACAGTCAAGGAGCAGATACAGCACATAAAAGGATAAAGGTTTGAGTTGGCGGTCCGGTGATTTGGCTACCAAACACATGACCTGAACCGATTGGGACTGGGTTCTTGTAAAACTATCACTGCCAAAGGGATCTTTAGTTGGCTGTCTGAGTCTTGGGCTTGTACCCCATAAAACAAAAAAAATAAAAAACTTATGAATTATCTGTTGAAGTAGTTAGGCTTGAAAAATGATGAATAAATGCTTGAGAGAATTGGCTGGTTGTGATGAAAAAAAAATGCCAAAAAGTTTAAGGGTTGATGTAAAAGCATTGGTTGAAGTTGCTTGTATTTTTTATATCAGGGCAGCAGTCGGTAAGTCTGTAGGGGTGTAGCTTGGAAATGGAGGGTTTCTGGCTCAGTTGTCTGGACAGACCAATTGCCCTGTTTGAACTGTCTAAATTGCACAGTCTAAGGCGCCAGGTGCAAAGAGAGCTTATCTGACCACATGTTGCTAGCAGAGGACTGGATGCTTAGTCAAGTGCAGGGTGCAGAGAGGCTGGATTAAGCCCCCCTGATTAATCAAAGGTGTTTATTTTGTAACATGACTCAACCAATTAGTGTGCCTGCTCTCATTTTCATTAAGAACTTGGTGTACCTGCAGGCAGGCGTGTTGATATTTACACATCACATTTCAGCATTTTTGACTTAAATAGACCAAGCTAGAGAGCTGACACATTGAACTTCTCTCCTTCCATTGTGCCCCTGAAATGCAGAAAACACACAGAGATACATGGATTTACTCCACTGAAACCTTCTGCACAGCAGGAACAATCAAGTATCCATTGATGAATGAGGCCCTGTAGAGTAACTTTATCTCTTATTGAAAACACAATAATAGATATTCCAGTTACTTCTGGTGCTTGACTGAGTGCTTTTAATATCTCTCTATTAATGTCTGTTAAGGATCCTGTTGTTGCATGTATGGATGTTTCAGCACCAGTCTGTGGGATAAAATTTAACTCCAGAGTGAAAACAGTCAATTACCCCTCATTAAAATGTCATAAAGTAAATAGTTGTGATTAAAATTAATAGTATCTTTGCTGGGACAGTGTTATGTGTATCTTTTCCTGGATTGTCTTACTTCATAGCTGAAGTGATGGTCAAAGCTGTTGACTAAAAGTGATCTTCAAACCATTTCAAAGTTTGCCAGTAAAAATGAGAGTATGCATTAAAAACACTGGAGCAGTACTTTGAATAGATAGTTGTAACTTGCAAATTTTTACTGTCCCGAGCCGTAGCTCTATCAATGCAAACTCGACCACTCCAACTGACACACGGAGACAGATTGTTCACTGTTGGAAATTCAGGTTTAGCTGCAGAACATCAACCCAAGAGCTAATAAGGATTCAATGCTGCTTGATTACCCTTCAACTGGATTGATTCAGCTCTTAATTACATCCATTAATCCTTTTAACTCTTATCTGCTTTTGCCTCCGCGTCCGTGTTAAGCCTTAATAGTTTGTTATTGTTTGTGGAGGAAAGGTGAGGAAAATCTGCGTCACAGTTTCCCTGGTCCTAACTGACAGCATAGTCTGTTTTTTTCCCCTTTTTTCATTCTGCCCCAGCCTGAGTTCACTTCATACCCAGCTGCGGTCTGACTTATGAGACACAGGCTACAACTGAACATTTCCCAGGTTTAAAAGCAGGAGGGCGACGTAGAGAGTCATGAACTCTTGTGTTTGCTCAGCACCTCAGAGAGCATGTACAGCAGCACTCTTGTACCCACAGAGCAGGAGAGAGCAACAGAGAGAGCTTTCACTGACTGATGAACTCCACCTGAATCAAGCAGAGAGGGCACATAACTCATCATAACAGGGGGATTTTTTTGTGATTTCTTGAAATTAGATTTTTTTTAATGGTAAAAAAATAATAAAATGTGGTTCTTCTTTGAACCTGATCAGGAACTCATTCTGAGTAGAAATTAAAACCTAATAAATTGTGAATCCCTCGAGATGGAAAGTAAACTCTCGGGAAGCCTCTGTCAGGGGGACACTCATGCCACAACATGCCTAGTACGCGTTTTCTCCTCCTGTCTAATCAAGAGTCTTTGTTTATATAACCAAAGACTTTTGAAGCTTTGGGAACCAGAGGAAGTTTAATTGATAGCTTCTGGTTTCACATCCAGACTTTCCATCTGTCATCGTCTTTTTTTGACTTGTTTGCCATTTAGAGGCAAAGTTTGCCTGTTTATACAAGTCTATTCTTATGTTATGGCTTTGAAAGAAATGGACATTATTTGTCTGCCAGAGCTGCAGTCTGCAGTATAAATACAACAGGGCTGTGGCTCTTATTCTTATTTTAAGTTGTTTTTTGTTCCTGTAAACTTTAAGGGTTTGAGGGAAAAAAGAGGCACAGTCAGACACAATGTAATGTCTTCTTTCATGGCACTAAAATACATGTTTCAGGAGAGGAAATTAAAACCTCTTTCTACCAATTTAGAGTTACAATTAAAAGACAAAAGATGTTCATAATTGCACATCCGTCAAGCTGCGTCTCCTTGCCTTAATTGCTCGGCAGAGACCACAGCCTCCTTTTCTGTTCCTCGGAATAACAGAGTTTGCTCGACTCCACGCTGGTGCCAGCCTCAGTCAAACAGAAAAACTCTTGGGTGTGCTGTGCTATTGTTGATGCATCACAGAGCAATTGCTCAAGCCTGTACAGGTTATCTCAAGGAGCAGTTCACATGGGCCTCAATGACACCCCTGACTTCAGCTCATGGATCTGGTTTGTTGACTTGAGGGTGTGTGTGTGTGTGTGTGTGTGTGTGTGTGTGTGTGTGTGTGTGTGTGTGTGTGTGTGTGTGTGTGTGTGTGTGTGTGTGTGTGTGTGTGTGTGTGTGTGTGTGTGTGTGTGTGTGTGTGTTTGCTGTGTGTTACTAGAAACTCTTCATATCTGACACTTCTCACTGTGAGCAAAGGTTGACTGCAGGGCTGACTGCCTGCTGAGGTCACTGTGAGCTGCCTCCAGCTCACTTCACACTGAAGGGAGATTGGCGGTTACAGATACAGTAGCCTGTTGAAGGGGTGTACGTGCAGCTTCGTGAGATGTCACATTTCTGTCAGGTAAAATGTCACAGCCACAAAACAGGAGAATTTGCACTTGACGCAGTTAATATGTAATTCATACAGTGTCTTATTTACATACCTGCGTAAGCCTTCTGAGAAGGAATCTGTTGTATCAAAATGTTAACTGTTGATATGACTCAGCTCCAGCGTCACCAGCCCATTTTTCACTCTGAACATAAAAGACGTACAGTGTTTGTTTTTATTTAGTTCTGCGCAGTGTAGGAGAGGTTTGATTTTCAAGAGACAGAGTTAAAGCAGGTCACGGCGCTGCTTAAGGTGGTGAGATGTAGGTGTTGGATTCAGGGTTTATCCAAGGGTGCCCAAGCCCCGGCCCCAGGGCTGTCCCTGAAATCTTATTATACATCCCAAAATCCTAAACCATGAGTGTTTATTTGTCTTATTATTGATTGGACTTGTCAATAAGTGAAAAGCTTCAATTTTTTGACACAATAGAAATATGAAATTTAATACCTTATTTTCTGTTTGTTTTTTTTTCAATGGCCCTGTGAGAAGTTTTTAACTGATTTTAAATTCTGAGCTTCATCCTGCCTTGAAAAAGTATTTGTATGAGACAAAGATGTGCTGTTGATTTTCCTTTGTTCATAGTTGTGTCGCACTCCCAGCAAATACACTCTGATAGTTTTTAGGATGGATTTTTGGATCAAGAATTAAGAAAATACTAACTGTATTCGATGGGAAGTTTTAATTGCACTCAATACTTAGGGTTTTTTTGCAGGCTATTTGGGTTAATTGTTTCTTTGAGTGAGTGTTGCTTCAAGTCAGCGCTCAGTATTTCTGGCAGTTATCAAAAGCTTCCCAGCATCCTCTTGTGGATCTTTCCTTGTGATACCTTTGTAATAAAAATAGTGTTTTATACATAGACATGCATGTCCCAGGTCTACCAGCTAACCAGCACTTTTGTCATTGAAACTATCAAAAAATAAACTGTATTTCATTTATTCACCGAAACAATAACTGCACACTTTGGCAAGAGACACGTTTTTATGACAATGGTGATGGGGCTCATGGGAAATAAAGCTCTCATCTGAAAAAAACAAAACAATAAAGGGACCCAAGGGGTCTCCAGAACGAGCATAAAAACTCCCAATAGTGCCTCTAAATTGGTCTATTAAAGAGTGTTGAAACAATGAAAGCTTGTCCTTACAGCACAGTCCCCTCTCTGGCAAATGATAAGGCCTTCTGCTCAAATTTAAGTGAAAAGGACACGTTCTGAGGCGTCAGCACAGCTCAGCAGTTAGATATTAGGCTATTGTCCTTGAAGAGAGTAGCAGAGTTTAAATCAAACCTGGGGCCCCCTCTGCTTCATGTCATTTTTTACGCTGTTCACTGCCCTATCCTCTTAATAAAGCCACCAAAAGCCCCATAAAAAAAACCCTCACCAATATCATCATTTGTGTTAGACTTTTGATTTGTGATCTTATTCCTGTTGTTACCTCTCTTTTGCAGGAGATGACCATCCCATGGTGTCTTAAGAGAGCAGAGCTGGTCTTCAAATGTGTCAAAGGTGAGATGAAAATTTGATGTATTTTTCAGACCCAGACACAGTGCACTAACCACTGCTGTTGGTTGGTATATTAGTAACATTTTTTTTTAAAGAAAATAAGTTAATATTGACAGCATGACTTACAATGAAGGGCATTTTTTAAAACACATCTTGTTTTTCCCCAGTGAGCATGGGAGACATGCCAGCGTGTCTACTGAAAACGCTTGAATTTTTCACAATAATAACCCTCATGTAATAGTTTTGATTGATACTCACCCATGTCTTACTTTAGAAAAAGAGGCCATGCCTACAGACGTCAGCTAGATGTGTTTACATATTTTCATCACCAAACCTGTGGTAAACACTGACCTCCTCTAATCATGCTGAGAAATTGAACTTTTAAAATATGAATCACTTTCAACCGGTGTTATTCGCAGGCTTCATGATGGAGATGGCCTCGTGGGATGGAGGTATTTCACGCACAGTCCAGTTTCTTGTGCCAAAGGTGAGAACAAAATGTGCTGCACATGGTTTTGGTTACACAACATTAAGTTGAGGTGACAAACAGTCTACCTCTGAGTAACTGCTTTTCTGCGAAGCTCTTGTATGTGTGCTTAAGGCTTTAGTTGCACATAGCATCACAAAGAAACACCTGGCTGTGCAGCACACACCTTTTGACAGCAGACAGAGAGGAGAAAAGCCGTCATAAATCATAGATTAGAGAGCTTTCGGTTCTTTTGACCGACGTTTACTCTGCTGTGATAAAAGGAAGCTCAGCGACTCATCAATATTGTTGTGTGAGAAGCAGACGGATTAACATGAAGCTCTCGAACACTGAAGCATTAACTCAGTGTACCTCCTTATCCTGGTGAAATCTAAGGTCTCTATAAAAACTGTAATCGGGACAAACCAGTTTACAGAAGATGCTTTATTATGAGGAGGAGTAAAGCAGCGTCTTACGTCATATTTTCAGGGGCTTGTGAGCTGAGAACAGGATGAAGCATAACTGCTGTTTGATTTAGGATTTAGCTGAATGCCGCGTATATTTAACGTTTGTGGTTTGTCAGGAAGGCAGCCGAGCCTATAGAAGCATCTCATGTTGACAGGTTAAGAAGATAAAAGAAGCAGCATCAAAGGACCCGGCTGCATCAGTTCCTGTCAGCTACGGGCTCAGACACCATTTAAAATAGCACTTCTGAAACAACATTGTTGTCTACTCCTCAAGGAGACGAGATGGCTAAATATACATTCAGTGTTTGCGCGACTGAATATGTGCCTGTGTTTCAGCCTAAAGTTTAATACTTAACATTCCTATCTGACGGGTGGCGATGCTTAGAGTGACATGGTATGCTCCTCTGTTAAAGTCCCAGCTGCCGGGGTTCACATCCTTTCAGCGTCTTGACTGCTGTTCCCTCGGGTGGTAAAAAGGATCCTGTGATGTTGAGCTAAAGGGCACCACAGGGGCTGTTAACACTTGGCTGTACGCAAACAATCCAGATGTATTTTTGTTTTCATGAGTACACTTACAGCCGGGTTAAGAAGGTTTAATTGGTTGCCTTCCTTTTTCTGTCTGTGTGAAGTTAAAATGTTTCCACAACAGATGAACAAACTCCAGAAGAGTAACAGAGTTTGATTCAAAACTTGTGTGTGATTAAAAGTACCTGCAACACATTTTAAAACAGCTGGGACGAGAACCAAATACTGACCTAAGTAGGTAAAAGTTCTGGTTACCAGGTTAGCAACATGACTGGGTGTAATAAAAAGACACTCAAGAGAGGCTGGGTCTCTTACAGGGAAAGATATGGAGAGATTCAGCATTCTGACAGAGGCTGGGTAATGTTCCACAGCGTGAAATCGCAAATAATTTTGGGATTTTAGTGTCTACAGGACGTAATGTTTTTTGAAAGATTTAGAGGATTTGGAGAATTATTTGTACAAACAGGAAAAGGAGCAAAACCAACACTGGATGGCAGATTTTCTGGTCCTCAGGCACCACTGCACTCTGTCGTGGGAATCACTGCATAAGCTGAGAATCATTTCTGAAAACCGTACAGGTACAGGTTAATGCTGCATCACTCAGAAAGGAAAGCATTGGCAAACATAATCCAGAAATGCTGGTAATACATTTTGAAAATTATAAATGCTACACTCTCTGCTGAGAAGAGGAGGAACCTTTTTAGGGAACACCTTGCATAATACAGCAAGAAGATACCAAACTACATAGGCCATGCATCACAACAGCACTGCTTTGAACTTGTCTGTCTGCAGTTCCAACTTTTCGTCTACGGAAAAAATTTGCAACATTATGACAGAAAAAGTACAAAACATGAGACCCCAAACTGTTTAGCAGCTCAAATGCATTATCAGGGACACTTTCACGTTTTGAAACATGCTGCTTGTATCAAATTGAAAATTATTGCTGATTTTTAATGAAACAATACTTTTTTTGAGGTAATATTTAAGTTTCAAAAGCCCTGCATCAGCAAAACCTAATTTTATTGACACTTTAAACTTTGTTCCAACTCATTAATTTAGGGGTTTGTTTTTTACCTCCGCCAAGGAGGTTATGTTTTCGGTAGCGTTGGTTTGTTAGTTTGTTTGTCTGTTAGCAACTTTACGGAGAAAGTAACAGACGGATTGACCTGAAATTTTCACCAGAGGTGCATCTCAGCCCCAGGAGGATACCATTAACAAAATGCTGGATACTGTGATCCAGAACAAACAAAAATAAGGGTGTTGTTGGAATTTTCAATGGTAAAAGATAACCAATGGGCGGCACAGTGGTGTAGATAGGCAGCACAGTGGTGTAGTGGTTAGCACTGTCACCTCACAACCAGAAGGCCTTGGGTTTGAATCCCGGTCGGGGACATTATGAACAGTGAACATACCAGTTTAAACACAAATAAAAGTTAATAAAAGACACGTAACAGTAAAAGTTTTGGTGTGAATCACAATATAAGGGAGGACATGAGCTGCTTGGCGGAGGTCTGTGCTCTCTGAGTGCTTTTCTAGTTGTATTTGTGCTCCATCCCAGTCCTTGTCAATCAATAATTGAGACTATCTTCTTTTGTATTGACAGAGTATCTCAGAGGAAATGTTCTACCAGTTGAGCAACATGCTGCCTCAGATCTTCCGAGTCTCCTCCACCCTAACTCTCACCTCAAAGAACTGATGATCCTGGATCATCATATTTATTTAAACTGGAGTAAGAAGGTTTTTTTTTAAGACTTGCAAATTAACTCTACAATGATAATAATAAAAAGGTTCAAAAACTACTGTGGCATTAAAGCACTGACAGTATAGGTGCAAAACATGTTATTTGAATGAGAAAAGACCTTAAAGACCTTAACTTTTGTGGAAGCTTGTAATTTTTGCACCTTCAAAAGTTCCTTGCGTTGCTTGTGCTTCTTTCTGAGAGAAATCTGGAGCCAGTGGTTTACCAAAGCAGCTGCTGCAATTATCATTTCAAGGCTCTAGGGAGCGGCTCTGCTGACAGAGTTTTATGACATCATGGCATCATCCACGAGTACTGCAAGAGGTCCAGTATTCTTTCAAAGCCACATGCTGTAACTATGTGCACATTCAAACTACAGCATAACAAAGAAGATGGTGTTGTGTTGAAGTTTGAGCCTGCTGATGCAGAGTTAAGTAAAAAAAAAAGCAACAGAGCAAGCAGATGAAAATGTGAAAACAGAGCATTGTTTACTCCAGTGAGGAAGCTGGTTGAGACTGGCACTGACTGGTGAACAGATGCGACCTAACAAACATCACTGACTCTCCTCACTAGCAAAGTTAGAAGCCTACTTTTTGTGATTTTTGTTTTCACCATAAATCATACAGATATATGTAATTAAAGGGTGGTTAATCTCAGCTTCAGAACTTTTTATTTCAGTTTTGATGTGAATCATGAGATCTCTGACACTATTAAGTGTCATCTGTTGATTGATTGTGATTAAGTCTTGATATATGATCTCAAAGTCCAGCCTTAATATAAGATCAAGCTGTCTAAAGCAGTGAGGCATGGCCGTGGATATCTTGCCTGATTTGTGACCTAAACTTGGTGACCTACAGCGGTAGGGTGTAACAGCCGTGATGAGCGATGTTGAGGAGATTTTATGCTGCATTGCAGTGAGTTGAAGTGGAGACCACTCTTCATGCTCGTGCATGTGTCTGTGCACGTCATGTGGGCTCCTTCTTCTACCCCTGTAACAGCAGATGGCGCTGTTCTGAAGGCTAAAGATGTGAAAAAGAGAACTGCATACTTCTCTTATCAGAGGAGATCAAGTTTAAATGAGTGTTTACTGCCTGTTGAAATTCACCTGTTTGAGTGTCTAAATTTATTCTTAGCAGGAGTGAAGTACTCTCCCACGCTCACTTATGGTGGTCTTGCATTTTCAATGTGTTATACCGTCTCAGATTTGTTTTATTTTCTGTATATTTACTGTATATTTTACATTTTTATGTTTTAATAAAAAAAACCACATCCCTGTGATTTGGTGTGATTACTTCATGAAGACTCTCACAAGCTCACCACATACTTGATGGTTCTCATTTGTCCCTTTTTCTCATCGATGCACTTGGAATTTGTCCCAGCGTTTCATTCGTTGTTGATGGGTTACCCACGAGTGCATAATCTCTCTGAAGTTGATAATCCCTGTCATTCATTGGAATTACATTCCTGCACATCTCATGGTGGCCTACAAGCAGGCAGCCTGAAATCATGAAGTTCACGACAGTCCCGTCCAGTGTCAGCATTAGGATAATTAAAAGATTTGAGTGTAGCAATCACAGCAATTTGACTTCTCAGCCTCCAAGAAAAACAAGTCACGAAAATGAAACTTCATAGCTTCATACTGAAACTTGCAACTGTTTGTATCCCACAGAGAAGCCACAAAACTGTAAGAATATGCATTGCTGAGTGTTTGGCATTCTTGGGATTGGGCTCAGTGGCCTGGAGTGTTTTGTTTCCTGGGGCTGAGGGTACAGGCTGCAGACTCAGCATGATAGTCCTCCTAGAAGACTTACACTGAAGAGCTGCTGTAGACGAAGTCACATGATGAAAATAAGCACCAAGAGGCACCTGTTCAAAGATGTTTGGACAGAGGTGAAACTTAAGGCCTTCCTCGGGCAGAGCTACAGGGTCTGAAGTGTTCATTTGACTCATGCAACTCTCACAGGCACAGAAACATAACCAGACCTTCACAGACTGAGATAATTCTTACAGTAAGTGGTCCAAAGTAGGACACTACTCTGAGTCAGTTTTTGTGGAAATAGATCCTTAACCTGTATTAAAGGAAAGATTTTTATATATTCATAGGATTGATTTATTTTGGCAATCTAAATTAGAAAAAACAAAGCCATTGATAAAGAAATATAGGGGCCAATAAATATTTGTCATGTGTATGAAATTCTGTGTGGAAAGAAAGCTGGAGGATAAGTGCAATATTTGAGGTATATCAAAACAGAAGTTCATTAATTTGAAACGTTTTCAATTTGGACAGCTGTGGAAAGTGAAATCTAAATGTGCTCATGCTGATATCACTGAGTAGCTTTTTGTGTACCAACACTTTCCTGAGTTGTTTCTTAAAATCAGTCCTTCGGCCTTCAAATATTTCAGTGAAAATTATTTCACTCTCATAAATTTTACTTGGAAGTTACTGAGTAAGGAAAAATAGCTGAAAATAAAACAGGCTTTTCATGGACTGCATGACAGCCGGCTGATTGGACGATGCTTACATTGCAAAATAAAATCTAATTGTACCCCCTAAAGTTACCTCATTTCTTGTCACATTTCACTCCTCTTCATATGAGCTATATCAACCTGACAGGTCTTAATGTAAATCTTATTTAAAATCATTTTAAGCAAAAAAATATCTTGGTCTGTTCATTTTTTACTCATTGTAGGTAATGAAGTCCTTATTTATTGCTCACAATAACAAGCCCCTCTGCACAGCAGGCCATGACTTAGTGTGCAGGAACCTTCAAGTGATACAGCAAAACTTCACCTTAGACAGGTACAGATTTAAAATTCCAACAAACATTTGTGCTATTATTATTAAACTCTTGGGTGCATATCTTGCTCTCCTTTTAATTAAAGTTGAGTTTTTAGTACATTTCAGATAGAGTACTTTCAATCAAACTAGAGTACATAAACAGACGTATAGTTTTACCCTTCCTTAGCATGATGTCTATGCTGTAGTTTTACTTGAATAGAATATAAGTAGCCAACTCATTCCACCCCTGTAGTTGGGAGAAAAACTTTTTCTCTAAGTATAGAGTAAAACAGCATAACTGATTTCCTCTGCTAAACTATTGCTGGGAAATTGTTGGCTAAATCTGAGGTCTCTCTAGCCAGGAATGCTGTATAATGATCTGGTTTTATTCAAAATTAAAGGATAGTTAAAGTGGAAAGGGAACTATAGCCTATGTAATTTAATGAATACCCAAAACCTTTGTTTAAAAAAATGTTGAGGTTTTTATTTGGTAGTTTCAGCTTTCTTCAAACCTTAGGTATTTCCAGATCAATGTTGCATACCCTCATTTTTTTAAGTAAATTTATAGTATCAAAGTAATGTATCTCAACTTTAAAAAAGGTAATGGATTCAGCTAACCCAACAGACTATGGATAGTCAATCACATAATAATGGAGGAGGTAACTAGGGTGAAAAAGTTAGTAGAGAGAAGTGATACAAGGAAAAAAATGTGATAAAATAATACAAAGCTAATTTAATACGCATTAATAACTCAATCAGAGGCAATAGTTATCTCATTTGTATAATTTATTCGTTATTAATCTGTTTGTTTACAACCATTTTCCACCCACGTCACAGGTACTAATACCGGAAGTGGTTTTGTTTTCGATCAGAGGTGCAGACTTGACCCTAACAAAGTATTCTAAAAATAACAACACATTATAGTTTCCTTAAGATGAGTTGACAATGCGCGTATCTTAATTCAATATACTCCACTTATCTATCTCGTTTTATAATAGTTTAAAAGATTTAAAAGCGTCTGAGGCCAGTTCTAGTTGTCCCTTTATTTTGAAAATCTCAACCGGAACTTGCAGCTCTCCCGTCAGTTGTCTTGACGGCGTTGTCACAGCTGGGTATCTCTGCCTCTCTCGAAGTTGAGTAACAGCGGTAACGTCGGGACTGAGCAAGTTGCTGCATGGATTTCCCGGAGCTGCACATAACTTAAGGTGAAGTTTACATTCACGAGAGTGTTAATATGGATGGTTACCTTTGTTTAACGTGTACTGTGTCTGTTTCGCCCTGTTTTATCAGACACAAGTCTTTCCCCTTGAGTTAGTGAATTAACGGTCGCTGTGTTGGGGAAACTTATTCATTGTATGTGGCTCTTCTTCTTAAACGGCTGACCGCGACGAAACTGCAGACAGCGAGCTTTAAATTCCCCCTTCTCTAAACGCGATGTGCTTCGCTCACTTCGTGTCTGATTCAAGCGACGGCTGATTCAAGCAGAGATTTCTTTCGGTGCCGAGAATGGAAGTGTGTGATTGTGTTTGCTCCGAGTCTGCGGCTGAAAGGTGTACGGTGAGCCAGGATCCAGCAGCATGGTGCTTTCTGGAAGTTTTTTCCACTCTGCGTCGTTGACTGCAGCTCTACACCGGGCTGTCTGCGCACACTGATGCGGTGCCAAGTGCCATGGTGGCAGTAGCTTCACTGGCTCACCAACTCACTCAACCTCACCATGATACCCATGAAGGCTTTCGACTAATTCGCTGTAAACATTTTGCGCTGTGTTCAGGTGCGTACATATGGGTGGCCAGGGGTGACTCGGACTGCCATTAAAATATACCCTTTTGGTGTCCCCCCGGAATCTTTTATTGTTGTTGACTATTTGCATTTCCCAGCCAGAGTGCATCTCAAGTTTGTATTAACTATGTAGATGTGTTAAATTTTTCATTTCTTTCGGTGCTTGATAAGTATTTCACACTTTTGCCATAAAATCTAGAATACAAGACACACCTCTATGTTAGATGCAGTTTGTTTTTTTTAAGGGTTAAGGTCCCTTCACACCGGGACTGTTTTTGTCGTGCGAGTATTTCGGACGTCAAAATTTTTATTTGAACCCGTATCCTGTCAATACAAGCGTTTACATCAGCGACGTTTTCCTGTCCTGCGATATTGCGGCATTTATTTTTTTGGATCATGGTAAATTTTTCAAAAGTTTTGCATATTGTGTGTCCACTTCTGACCAATCAGATTTCGTGTTGTTGTGATGTCAGATTCCCCCGTATATCCAACATGGCCGACCGGCCGATTGTTTATGATTGTTTACACACACATTACAAAGATTACAACCTGAAGGACAACTTGTGAAGAGTCATAGCGTCAGATTTCTGATATGACAATGGTTTGTGTGCTTTAACAGTTTGCTAAATGTCTTTGTTTTAACTTTCATCTGTTCTAACATAAACTAACGGCTGTTACCATAGTTTCATGTGCTTATCTTATCACCTCTGATTGGTCATAAATGCTGACTGTTTGCCTTAGCATGTGATGATGTTTCCAGCTTTTCTAGCCAATCAGAGGCGAACGAGGCGGACTTTCCCCGCCGAATGTGTACAATGCTACTGCGCAATGTTGGTGTCAGGAAATGGAGAAAAAACGCGGAATTACTGAGAGCTTTTTGGCTTCAAATCTGTATACTGGCAGAAGGCGGAACCAAGTTGTCCATACAGTCTATGTTTTAAACTGAAGCCACATTGGCTGGTCTCCCTTTCTATTTATCCAGTGTGTTTTACTCATGGATGTAGATGCTTGTTTCTTTGAGCACCATAGTCTGGTTATAATACCATAAAAATTTCCCATGGCATTTTGTATCAGTGTAATGGTCTCAGTGGTATAGAGGACCCACCGGCTCCCTATTTAGTTGACAGAATAGGTCTCAAAAATGCATCCTATACACCAGATTAAAGGGTTTTCTTCAGACAGACAGGAGTCAGTTCATCACAAACATAAGCAGACATTTGCTCATGTAAAGAGTTATAAAGATAAGTACACAGAAATCTGACATCTGCATGTTACATGAATGTTAGTGGTGAGAACAGATTTATCAGTGGAGACAGGGATAGTATGTTTGCACACATTCTCAGCACTCCTCCGTAAGTCAGTGCCTGTGTTGGCCCACCCCAGTCAGAGCAGTCTGGACATGGTCCTGGCTGTGTTGGAAAGAACTCCACTGTTTTGACACATGAACTTGCAGACAAAGAGGGACACTTGAGGGCACCCTCTTTGAAAAGTTTCCCTTAAACAGCTGTGAGTAAGATTGACTGTGACTATGCTTGAGGTGTTCTTCTGGTTGTTTTCATGTGCTGGTCCAGTATTCAAGAGATTAAAGTGATCTGAGAGCCAACTAAGCTCAGATATGCTGATGCAGCTGTGAACACAGTTCTTGGCAAATAAATAGCATCATGTATTTATTATACTGAACTCAGTGAGAAACCAGTGTTTTTGCCCTCACATCACATCTGATGACCATGCGGGAAAACAGTCTCACTGCAACCTACAATGGACTCAATGGCAATTTGTCCTCAACAGCACTAAGGCAGTAATGTTGAAACAGGACACTGACTCACTAGCTGCTCATTCAAAGTTTCCAAGGAGCCTTACTTTTGGAGACGTGGACTTCCTTCTTATGCTGATTACTCATTGAATAAGTAATAATAATTTGCTAATGATTTGAATAATAAAACACAGAAAATTACTAATACCCAGTCAAACTATTAAAAACTACTAAGAACTATAATGGTGTTCGGTCTTATAGCACTTTCATATAAAATCACAGTGTAGGATGAAGTGGTCGGCTTATGTAAAAGAAAAATAAATAAATGGCTGCTACTGATTACTAGAAGTTCATGAGACTAAAGGTCCTTTCACACCGGGACCGTTTTTGTCTTGCGATTATTTTGGACGTCAATATTATTTTTCGAACCTGTATCCTGTCAATACAAGCGTTCACATCAGCGACGTTTTCCCGTCCTGCGATACTGCGGCATTTATTTTTTCGGATCATGGTCGATTTTTCTAAAGTTTCGCATACTGTGTGTCCACGTCGGACCAATCAGATTATGTGTTGTTGCGACGTCTGATTCACCGGTATATCCAACATGGCCGACTGGCTGATTATTTACATGTCGGAGAACAGAGAGTTATTTGATAAAACACAAATATTACAAAGATAACAACCTGAAGGACAACTTGTAGAGAGTCATAGCGTCGATGGTTTGTGTGCTTTAACAGTTTGCTAAACTTTTTTGTTTTAACTTTCATCTGTGCTAAGTAACTTTAGCTCGTAAGCTAACCTGTTCAGATACAACATACCATATGTATTTTCACTGTCTCGAATTCAATCACAGCATTGCTGTCACAGCACCATTAGGTCTCGGTTGTTTCCTTATGTTTATGGATTATAGTTTAATGTGCTTATCTGGTACTGGCCCTGACTCAGGATGCTATGACAGACAGCCATCTCAACACTAGTGTCTAATCAGAACTGAAAAACACTCAGTCTGCTGTTGTGTCAGTCTTCTCGCTTCCACCCGGGACGCATCTTTTTCCCCCTGGAAAGTCGCAAAATCACATCGGGCTTTATGTGTATAGTCAGGGGCGTCAAAATTCTCCTCCGAATATTTCGTAATTTTGCGTTCTATATTCGCGTTGGCCCCAGTGTGTAAGGACCTTAATAACCGATATTTGGAACTGATATGCATTTACTATAAAAATAAACTTCCTGTCAAAATTTAGAATGAGGAATATTACAGAATCCAAATTTCAAGACTTGTAATTCGTCTATCCGTACTAAGTCTTTGCATAGTTTATAAGTAGAAGATGTATTGTACATGTTTTCTTGGCAGTGTTTCAAGAACTTTTCGTGACTTGGCCTGAACCTGACGTCAAAGTCTGTGGTGCTACTAGGCTGTTGAAGGACATGTCCACCCAGCTGTTCCGATATTTGACAATCTCCCCAGGAAGCTGTCTTACACTGACCCAGTCTGAAGTGTTATGTTCTCTGTTCTGCACTTCGCTGATTCAGTATGTCTTTGCTCTTGGCTGTTTTCTCCTCCCAAAGACAAAGGCACCAGAAAACAATGACAGTTTTTATACTTTCAGGACCAAAATAGACACAATGTAGCTCATTGTGCTCTACTCTTAACCAATGACTTCTCTGCAAACAAAAGCTAGTATGAGCTGGATTTGTGTCTCACCTGTTGCTTAAACCTGGGACTGTCCCGTTGATAAAGACCTTTCATCAAGACTAGAACAACAAGCTGTGAGTATCATTATTATAAAGACAAAGAACGCAACAGTTCTGAGGGATAACTTTGGGGTCACCTTGTGACTACAAAGCTGTGAAGAAAGTAACACCCCATCTGTTGTCGACTTAATATTGTTGTAAAAGCAGCCAGAATGTAAAAGTTCAGGCAGAAAGGGATAGTGCTGAGATGACGAGGGTTGTCATGGATGTCAGTACAAGATAAATAAAAGGGGTGGGAATCACTAGTCGCTCTACGATATCATGTTATTACGTTACTTGAGCCATGACACAATATAATTGGGATTTTAAACAACTTGCAAAACAATGAGTATTGCAATACCAAATATTGCAATTTATATACTTTTTTTCAACTTTGCTGATTTAGCATTTGTCTTTATCTTATGTTTGTCTTATTTATGCAATACTTTGTTGTCACGTAGCAAACCTTATGTGTCAGGTCCATCTTATTTGTGCCCTGCTGGCATTCCTAATGTCCTTCCCCAGGTGTTGCCATGTTTGTTGTACTAACTGTCTCCTGCTCTATGATGTCCACCTCTGCCAACCTCACTACACAAACAATTTATTTAATTTTTCTAATGTCATAGACTTGACCTCATATTAGCAATTAATTTGAAAAAATCGATAATTTGTAAATGAGAAAATAAGTTATAGCACCAGACAAAATATCGCAATACTATGCTGTATCATTTTTTTCCCCACCCCCTGTTAAAGAAGCTGTTTTTTTTTGCTGGAAGAGGAAAAATACTTTTTTTCAAGAACCTGACGAAGAAAATGCACTAAAAGGTATTTTTATAAAGGTTAGAATAACAAGAAAAATCTATCTAGATTAAAATCCTGTGGTTAGACAGCAGAGTTTTATTTTGAAAACAAGTTAGAGTTCAGGAAAGAAAGCTGTGATGCTAAGGCAGAATCTATAAGTAGAAACATAAACACTAACTGGATGATTTCTCGGGCCGTGGCCTAAGTGCAGCTAACTACCTCTGCTGCCGATGATTGAAGCACATGGATGCATTTACTGATGCATCATATCTTTTTCTGGACAGATCCATTATTATATCACATGATTTATGTTTATTCCTTTAATTCCTTTTACTCCCTTTTGCCGCTCTTTTTAAAGTCTTTTTTTCAAGGTGACATTATTTTATCTTGAGGAAACAATGTCAGGAATGTAAACTACATTTTTAACTTGGTAAACTCCGTCTCAAATGAGTGGGACCAGAACTATAAGTTTCCGAGCTGTTTTTGGCCTGTGTGAGAATGTTCAAGAGCCCAGAACCACATTAAGAAGGACAAGGATCAAAAGGTTAAACAGCTCTAGCCCATGACAGAGGGACTTTTATTGTCACTGTGACCGTGACTCTGCCTTTACACAAAGACCTCTTTCCTCTCTCCGTGGACCACTCAAGTGTGTTATTCATTTGCCCGGGAAAATAGACTCCTCTCTTCTGCCCTGTTGGCCCCAGCAGCTCGTCTCATCCTCCAGCTCTCAACAGGATTTACTAAAGAAACTTTTAACCTCATCAAAGGGATAAAAAATGATCTGATTGTATCCCCTGCTGCTAGTTTCCATGCGAGCTTTCTGGTTTATGATTCAAAAGACATCATCCAAAAGTGATGCTCCTGACAATCACTCTCTAACAGTCATTACGATCTGACTAGCAGAGCTGATGTTTGGCCTCAGGAGGTGTTTGCGCTGCTTTCTGCAGAGCTCATCTGCTCTACAGTGATTGAAATGCTCTTTCAGCCAGGATGCTGAGGCTCGACCAGCTGGCTGTTCTCTAACTGCTTTCTGACAGGCTAATATACCCCCAAGCTAACACGGGATAATCACCCACTGTCGAGGACACCAAGCTACTTAGGCAGACTGAAAGCTTTGCAGTTTTAATCAGTCGTAGGCTGTGTATCTCCTGTTCTGAGTGCTCCCTGTGCTTTCTAAGTGTACCTGGATTCTCAAAGAATTACACTCCGCTTCTGAGTGTGTTTTTGAAGACAGGTGCTGGATTATGTAGTGAATGTGATATATTTTCTTTGAGCGACCTCCTCGTTATAGAGAGGGTTAAAGAGCTTTTGCTGGAAGGTTCTTTTTTTTTTTGCAAGGGGGGGTATTACTTTAAGCTCTATGTCCTCTTCAAAGCATTGTGGGCTGCTGTTGCTCTGGTATCGTGTAGCCATGAACAATCACAGGTATGTGTTCTGTACAATGGATGTCTCTCACATCAGAAAAGTACGGAGGACACTGACTTTGGTGGGAAAGCAAAACTTTGTGGCTCACATGAGAATTCTGCTTTTCTGCAGGTTTTTAACTTTCTTAGGCTAGTTTAAGTCAAAGAGGTGAAGTTAGTTTTTCGTTCTTAGCCTTTAAAGCTTTTTGTTTTTCAGTTTTTTTCTAGACTTTTTTTGATGTCAGTGCTGTAAACAAGACTGTCCACGCACAGCCAAACCATGTACTGTGGCGCCAGATGGTTATAGGAATGTATATAAAGAAGGAAATTAACCACAGTTCAGCAAAATAGCTTTACTGAATTGATTATGAGCTTCCTTAGGTTTGCCCAGCATAGAAGCGAAAGATAGCCTGACACCCCCAGACCATGCCTTTGGGAGTGATTGTAACGACCTACAGCAATTCAGATCAATGCAGCATGTGACATAGCACACAGGTAAAAAAAAAAAAACAGTGGTGTGTAGAGGAAAGAAAGGCACCTTTCTTACAATTGAACTCTGGATGTGCTGTTGTTTGTCCATGTTTGGTTGAAACCGTATCGTCTGGTCTTGTATTGTCTAGTCTCATCTTGTATCGTGGGTAACCCAGTGATTCTCACCCTTCTATTGGACCATGTTGAGTTCATAAGAAAGCTCATTTTGTGATTTGGTGTCGTATGAATAAAAAAAAAAGTAATCATATAACAAGACTAGGGGTGTCCCCATACGACATTGATATCGGATATCGCTCCAATATCAGCCAAAAAATAAAGAATATCGGATTATATCTGCCTGCATTTAAAATCTCCGATATCAGCACTCCAATACAAATAGTCCATTCCAGACTCCGCTCTGGCACCTCTATCAAGCAGCGCCTTGGTCCAGCAAGCTGAGCCCATAAAATCACAACAACAGTGTGTACTAAGGTACTAACAAAGTAGCAAGGAGTAAGAGTGATGTCGGCCTTGTGGCAGTATTTTTTGTTTATGTCTGAAAAAGACGTTGCAGCTGAGTGAAAAACTTGTCATGCATAATTTTGTGTCAATATCGGTAACGGTCAATATTGGAGGCTACAATATTGCTATCGTATCGGAAATCAAAACACCTCTGATTAAGACATCTTTATAATATTATCTGAAGTTTTCATCACTCAAGTTTTGAAGGGACACACAGCATCGGAAAATACTTTGTGTGGGAATCTGCAAAGACAGGAAGGAGTACTTTCTGAACATTTTTGCCAGTTTTTTTTTCACGAGTGTTTTTCTGAATTGTCGAGTCTTCCTTATATGCATTATAAGAAATAATGTTTACTCTTTAAATTATCTGTCTGCAGGAAATGAGATAAAAACATGTCTGCGCTGAAGTCGTACCAATTGCCATAGGGGATTAATGTAATGTGAGCTGTTAGCTTTACATTGACAGAACCCATGCTGGCTTCCTCTGTTTCCTTTGTCTCTGTATGAATGCCGATTCAGCAGGAGTTCATTTGTCAGATCTGCGTGCTTTATTTTTCTGTTATCTTTAGGCAAACATTTAAACCACTTGGGCCTCACACATTTGCTGCTGAAGTGAATGAGTCCCTCAAGCAGTAATCATTGTAAAAACAGTGAGCTCATTTGTTGAAACAGGAGGGGAGAGAGAAATGGTAATGGTAAATTTGATGGGGAAAAAGTGTTATGTATTTTCTTGCTGTGTGCTTTTCCCCCGAGAAAATCATTCACCAATCAAAAGCCGCACAACACCTGCTTACAGAGACTGGGAAAATCTTACAAGTGCTAGAATGAACATCATTAGACCACCATAACTCACTAACAGCAGGGGGAGAGGGCTGAACATTAACAAACCTGTCTGGTTCCTGGATCACTCGTTGACGGGAAGCAGAGGAGTACCAAAGTTTTTTCCCAGCTCTCTGCAGGGCTGCAGGGTCAAAGTCCAAACAGTTCCCCTGTAATAGTGCTCTGAGCCAGCTGGGCTGGAGAGAAAGAGCGCTTACAGGCTCTTATAATGGGCCAGAGCTCAAAGAAAAGATGACAGCTACCCTACCAACAAGGAATGTCACCTCTGTGACATTGTTATCATTCAGCTTTTTCTTTGTTTCGGACACCATGGCAGCTTTCTCACAGTTGTTGCCGGGGAAATTTACCAGACCAGCAGGATTTAACTCAAACAGAATGTGACTGTAATTTCAGTCACTCTGTTTCCCAACCTGAGTTCATTTACTATTTGAGTAGCATCTGTTAAAAATGCAACAAGCTGCTAACACCATTCTCACTCTGTAGCATCATGAAAGTGACACTCAAGAAACAAGGTCCTTGGACAGCATGGTGCACGGCTGAGCTTCTGTCGGGATCAGATCCTCTTCATGAACTCTGTTAGGTGTAAGAAGCTTCAAACTTTTTCAATTCGTGCATATACATCATATCGTTAGTGTTCATTTAATATCTGAGCTGATCAGAGACATGAATATCGCCCATCTTCAGTTTTTGCAGGAAACTGCTCCCTGCCAGAGTGTGTGGGTGCATTGGCACAGGTTCAGTTCTCCAGTGGCTTGCTCGGCCAACTGTGTCCCTCTTTAATTTTCATTCCCTGCTCTGTATTTTAGTCAGTCAAACTTAGATATAATGCAACACAATGGATGAAGTCTAACCACTGCACAGCACTTTCTAAAATTAGAAATCATTTTGTAAAGTATAGGGACAAACTGTACAAGTGGCTGTCATTTGTCCGTCTGCTTTTATCATGCAACACAGGGATGAATTAATGTGTCTTTTCTCTGCGGAAGTTCTTGTAAGTGTTTTATGCACTGATGGTGTCTGGTGATTGTGTTTAGTTTGCACTTAACTTTTATTTTTTTGTCTGTAGATGAAAGTTACATCAGACCTCTGGTGACTCCAAAAAAGTGAGCAAATATTTTGTAGCCTCTAATGCATTTTTTTTAAAATTAAGAACCCCTGAACAAAAACCAAACATTTCTATTTTCCATGGTAGAAAAATGATGGTAGATAAAATACTGCTTTAATCGTTCTGCTGCGTTTTGTTTATGATATGTGGTTGGCAAAACAATACAAGGTGATATTGGTTCATTTAGAACAGTGAGATGAGTAGAAATCAATACATCATTTCTTTTGAATGTGTGTTGAGTACATAACTGGACATCTTGGACAGTGTAGTTAGGGTAAAGTTCTAGGCATTATTCATCATTAGGGTAGAGTTTGTGATGATTATGTTGAGTTTTGTGCATGTGTCACACAGTAAAGTGTTGAGGTCTCTAGGGCTGTAAAGTTCTAGTCGACTGGTTGACTTATTGGTCGATCCGTGCTGAGTCGACTAAAATTCTGATCGGTTGACTCGATTTTTTTTTTCCACATCAATTTACAGTCGAAGGTTAATTTCATCAGGAGGGACGTACCAAGTGCTAATGGGGGTGTTTTCAGAGCACCCCCATTGTTTTCACCATTTTGGATTTGCCCAACTCACTGGAGACCGGCTGGAGAGAGGAAGATTGAAGAGTGTCCATGTTAGTCGAAGTCCGGTGGTTTGCTGAATATAATATTTGTGTTGTAATTGCTTTCTTGTGCTGAAATCAGTAGGGTATATTTTCACCCCACCGAGCCGCGTCGTCTTCTGCCGCAGAAGAGTTTGCCGTCAGAGTTGGAAAAATCCCCCCAACCCCCACCCCAATTAGTTGATTTTTGGTTGAAAATTTCAGGGTTTTAGTCGATCAAGAATTTCTTTGGTTGATTGCAGCCCTAGAAGTCTCCACTGGTATGAGCTTCATTCAACTCTTTTTATATCTCATTTTGGATCAATATGATGAGAGGCACTTACTTCAGGGTTTTAACATGAAATCCCTCCACTCAGCATGACGACAACTTGTTCAGCACGGCAGCTACATCTTTTCATCAATCTTCAGATTTTCTTGCAGCACAGATATGTAATATTGTTTTTGAGGGTGACTTAGTTTGTTGTGTCTTGGCTTTGAAGTTTGGTTCATTTCACAGAAACTTTACAACTCTGCCGTAGGGTCACATTTTTGAACAGAGATCTGGGAATAAATTAAGTTCCTAAGTAAAGCTCCAGATTTGGTTTTATCAAAAAACCAAAGGTGTGCTTGGAGTCCTGCACCCCTACATTACACCTAATCCTTTTAGTCTAATGAGTTCAGAATAGTCTGGCTACAGTCTCTGCACCCATACTCTATTTATCGGGCCCTTGCCTACTTGTCATAAAAGTGTGGTAGATTGGAAACCTGCATCGTCCTCCATCAACTTCAGCAAAGTGCTTTTAACAAAAAAACAAGCTCCTGATAGCTGACAAGGCAGCACTTAGTGGCTTTTTGGTGAGAGAAAACAACAGACCAACAGTTTCACTCTCACACCCCCTCTGCTAGTCTAATTCAATTTAGCGACTTACTTAGTTCGCCCACATGGTTCAAGTGTGGAGGGGGACTGTGTGGCATTAATGGCAAAACAGCCTGAGGTCCAGCTCTCACGAAAGGCGGGAACAGACTGAAAACGAGTCTTTTCTATAACTCCCCATAAATGAGAAGCAGTATTTGAAGAGTTTGACATGGCTGCTAAGGCTCAGTGAAGTCCAGATGAGACGTGTACGCACCCTGGAGCAGGGATAACACAGGCCTGTCCTCAGACACTTTCCCATGGTGATAAGGACTTGGCCAGATGTTTGCAATTCATACTCACACCCCTCTCCTCAACTCTCTTCAGCTCAGGGAAAACCCCAGAAGGTGTGTGACATGTTAACGCAAAGAGAGCAGGTCTGGTGAGGTGTTTAGTGGGCCAAATTTCGAATGACCCTGCCACCTTCTGATAATTTGCTACAGAAACTACCAGAACACCTCAATCCAAGGGGACAGTGAAGGGTTTTCAACTTGATTTAGCGCTCTTTGAAGTTTGGCTGTGTGAATAGGAAAAAGAGCATATTATAAGACACCACAGTGTTCTCTTTCATGTTGCGAGCTGAAAGGGATGCTATTGAGTGTTTGAGGGAGTCCTTTGATATATGAGATGCTCAGTGCCTTGTGAAAGGACCAAGCTTATGATTTGAGTCAATATCAGCGAGTGTGTGTCTGTGTGTGTGTGTGCGCTTTGATGCCGGCTCCTGCCAGTTCCATGTTTTGTCAGAAATGTGTCTTACAGCAGGCTTATTGGATCAGCCATGGTGTGTCTCAGACGGTCCTACAGCTCAAATATGTGTGAAAAGACGCCTGCTGTGCATGCACACATGTATAGAGTACAGTCACACACTCACACACAGCCTCACCCTGGTTCACAGTCAACAGCGCTCTGATTGTGAACTTGTTTGTGTAGTTTCATCTCCATAGTTTTATTCAGGGTTTACAGACCGTGATTAAAATGAAGGAAGGAGCACTTTGTCTTGATTAAATGTTTCTTTGTTGGGAAACTAAAGAGCTGATGATGGACATTTCTGATTTCCCACATGGCCTGGAGTAGGCTTCCCCTTTCACTTCAGCATTTTTGGGTTGAGCACACAAATGTAAGCCCTTCCCTGTGTTGTGTTATTGTACTTTTGTAATGTTGTTTTTCAATGAACTTCCAGAGAAGTCTCTTTCGTGTGATTACTGGTCTTCTTAAGATCAAAATGAAACTATTTAGATGTTGTGTGAGTTCACAGGAAAAAGCATAGTGGATTGGTGAGTGTGTGTGTGACTGTGTGGGGCAGGGGGGGGTTCATCAGGCTTTCCTGTGTGTGCTTGAAGTTTCAGAGGGAGGGAGAGGACTTTGCCCTTCTCTTCCATCTTTACCATCTGGTTTGTGTAGCATTTGACTGAGGCGTTAATCATTGTGCCTTGGGGCCACTCCTGCTCTCAAAACAGCTGGAAAAGGGAGATGGACCTGTTGATGTCCATCTGTCCATACGTCTGTCTGGCCTCCGTGCGTGGCTGTATTGAGTGTATCCATTGCAGCTGGAGGGGTCGTGACCTTGGTGTTTCTAGTTTCTTTGAAAACAGCTGGAAAGGTTCCCTGGTACGTCTCCATCTATTTGTAATGTTTCCCCGCTCATAACTTCTGACAGGTCATCCAGCGTTTCCTGGCTACCAAACTATCTCTGAGTGTGCTTACCTGATTTTTTTTAATGTATGACGCCAGTACTTACAAAGACAGATGTGGAGGATTTGTGGAAGTTACTATCAGGTCAGTCGTCTATCAGTTGATGTGTTATGTGTCAAAACAGCTCGCAAAGCACGTTAGCAAGAGGCTAACGTGATGTCACTTTGTGCCGTTTGTTCGGAAAGTTTTGACTTTTTTTTACATCTTTTCTTTGTCTATCAAGGTTTTGTTTAATACCTGACTTCCTAGCAACTCATCCCTGCTGTTCAAACACTGGTCAGTTTTAGTGTCAGCCAGTTTCATTTGAATTGAGCTTTGTTAGTCTGCCTATGAGAGGCTTGATTTCAGTCTTTCAGAGTAAAGGTCCTTTCACACCAGGTTCGTTTTTGTCGTGCAATTATTTCGGACGTCAATATTTTTTTTCGAACCTGTATCCTGTCAATACAAGCATTCATATCAGCGATGTTTTCCCGTCCTGCGATATTGCAGCATTTATTTTTTTGGATCACGGTCGATTCTTCTAAAGTTTTGCATACTGTGTGTCCACTTCTGACCAATCAGATAGTGTGTTGTTGTAACGTCTGATTCACTGGTATATCCAACATGGCCGACCGGCTGATTGTTTACGTGTCTGAGAACAGAGTGCTTTATGAAAAAAGACACAAACAATACAAAGATAATGACCTGAAGGACAACATAGCGTCGGATTTCTCATATGACGATGGTTTGTGTGCTTTACGCCTTTGTTTTAACTTTATCTGTGCTAACATAAGCTAACGATTGTTACCATGGTTTCATGTACTTATCTTATCGCCTCTGATTGGCTATAAGTGCTGACCATTTGCCTTGAGCGTGTAATGACGTTTCCAGCTTTTCTAGCCAATCAGAGGCATAGGAGGCGGGACTTTCTCCAGGATGCGTCTTTTCCCCCCCAGAAAGTCGCAAAATTGCATCGGGCTTGATGTGTATAGTCAGGCCTGTCAAAATTCACCTCAGAATATTTCGTAATTTTGCGTTCTATATTTGCGTCGCCCCCGGTGTGTAAGGACCTTTATGTGTCTATATGCATTTTAAAAGTACAGTTTTAGTCAGACTATTGCAAGAAACCATTTTTATTGATTAGTTAATGTTTTTAGGTAACAAACAGAAGGGATGGGAGAAAAAATCGATACAGCATAGTATTACAATATTTTGTCTGGTGATACATCACATCCTCTCATCCACCAAGAATTGATTTTTTTTAATTAATTGCAGATATGAAATCAAATCTATGATAAAGGAAAAATAAAATCAACTGTTTGTCCAGTGAGGTTGGCAGAGGCGACATCATAGAGCAGGAGAAAGTTAGTACAACAAATATATAAAAGGTTTGCAAGATGTGCTACATGAAAGTGAAATACAGCGCAAATAAGACAAACATAAAAAAAGCCAAATGCTAAATTAGCTAAACAGTTGAAAAAATGTTAAAAATCGCAATAATATCGTATCGTGGGCCAAGTATCGTGATAATATCGTATCGTGGTTCCACTGGTGATTCCCACCCCTAACAAACAGTGTTGCTCGTACTGTAAGTAGAAGATGAGTGTGTGTTGGTACTTTAAATGAAACCTTTATGTAAGATCTCCAGAGAGCGTGTCTCAAAGCACCAATATCCCCTAACTAACAATGCACCCAGTACAGACTGACTCCACATCACACCACAGCTCTCCTTATTTGCATCGCCAGGGTTAGATAAACGTGTCTCAGTATTCTGCACAAAAATGTAAATTTTTTATGTGAATATGATAGAGTGGGACATGGTTTAGCTCTGATATAAAGTTAAAACCTATGAGTGTCACTGTCTGCTAACTTATAAAACTTTTTGCACAATGAGAATAACATGGTGGTAAAATTTACAGACAAAGAAACACAAAACCAAAACAAAGAGAAAAAGATAAAAAGTAAATGTAAATGTCTGGAAGATTAAAATTCAAGGATCAGTGTTTTTTTTTTTTATTTAACTTGGATAAGATTGACTCCTGCAGGGCTCATGAACATTGTGACTAGCCTCCTGAGATGCCCCTCCCCCTTTTGTCTGACTGGGGAGACTTCATCCTGTGAGGGGACAATATGTCTATCCAGGTAAAAGTTGGGGTCAGGGCTCCTGATATCCTCCAGAAATTTTCCATAGTGCGTGTCTATAAACAGCTTGAGTGATATTTTTTCACAGAACTGATGAATTTGGGCTCCTCTGTGGCAGATGGTATATTTACGAAGTTCGATGTGTTACTGAACAGCGATACATTCATGGCATGTGCGGAATTACATTTTTGGGTTTGACCTTGTGAGTAAGAGATAAAATTTTTAAAGTTGCATGCTTTAGTCCTGAAATGTGGTATCCAGGGAAAAAAAGTTTTAAATAGTCAGATCAGGCCTTGAGGAAGTGTAAAGTGGCCGTATGTAAAGTTTGATTTGACCCTGAGAGAGACATGATGGGCTCCTCTCAGATTGATTTTTCATTATTTATGACCCGGAGGCAGCTACAGCAGTGTGCAACAGATGGCCCGGTCTTAGTGAAACACTGGAGTCTTCAGTTTAACAGGGATGCGTCATAGAGTCTTGAGGCATTTATTTATTGTGGTTGTGTAGATAAGCCCTGAGTCAATGATAACTGTCTGGTACTCTCAGATAGTCATTAGAGTTGTGCTAATCCTGACGCTGTTACATGTTAAAGGCCATCAGGCATATGTATGGACGCTCTGTGTTTAAGCATCAGCATCACGTATTTACTTAAAGGTTAATCTGCTGTGGAGGCACACTGCAAGTGATTGATCCTCTCCATCCCCTCTTTGGTGCTATGTATAATGTGGGTGACATTTAAGCTTTATTGGGTCCCTGCTGCTATGTCAGGAGAAGTGGCCCTTGAGTTCTATTCTTGCTGCACTGTTTTGGTTTCCTTGGTTTATCAAAGCATGGAGCAGTGTGTTGTAGCTTATTATGGGCATGTTGGGTTTGGCCAGTGCTGGAGACGCAGAGGTTTTGTGGAGAAGGCTACCATGGAATTAAATCCTTCTTTGCCTGCACAGTGCGTGTGCATCTTCAGCCAGAGCCGTAGTCAAGCACACACCCCATGTAAACAATAGAAAAACTTTGAGATTTTCGTGCAGCATGATTTATTTTGTTGCGGGGACATTTGTAGTACGAGCTGTCAGCTTATTGGGAGAGTAAGTATCTGGTATGTGTGGAACTCGAGGCTTTCAGGGCTTTAGGATGGAGCCTCATTTTTTCAGTGTATGCCTCATTATTCTTACTTCCACTCTGCTCCCTCGACTGGCAAGATGGCTATCTGGTTGTTTTGAATTATTTGGCAATTATGTGGCCAGAAGGGTGTGTTACTCAAAACATGCTTGGTGCTCTGTAATGACAAACCATTAAGAAAAAAAACACACCTCTAAGTCTGAGTCTGACTTTGTTGGGTTTGTGTGCAAGCTTATTATGCCCGAGATTTGTCTGAACTAACGATTTGTGATGGGCAAGGCATCTTAGGTAAGACAGGACACGGGCGTTTTTAGCCGAACAAGTGGGGACCCGGCCTTTCTCCAAAACCGGATTTTCAGAATTCTCTTAATTCCAGACTGGCTGCTCCTCTAGCAGAGGAGAAGTGCTGCCAGCAGCAGCCCCTCTCCGCACTCTGTCTTCATATTGATCTGCCTCCAGGCTCCACAAATGGAGATTCCTTAAAGCCAGCCGTAGTCTAATGACATTACTCAACACACCCTTGGCTCCCCACCCACCCACCACTTCCCACCTCCCCCACCCTCCCCATTTTAGATCTCCCTCCGCTCCACTTTTTTTTTCTTCCTCTCACTGTTATCTAATTAAAAGCTTTTCCGTAGAGGGCTGCTCTCGGCCTCCAGGCATGGGGGGTACAGATATGGCTGCAAGACAGGGTCGGAGTGATAGTGTTTGAGTGTGTGTGTGCACGCGAGCATTTGTGGGTGTATGTCTGTGCGTGTGAGCATGTCCGTGTCCGCTCAAATAGGCTTATTCTTGGCTGAGCCGGTGAACCCAGAAACGGGTTAAAGCAGTCCGTGGACTAGTGGTCGTGCAGGAGTGTGAGCTTATGACTAGACTGCAGAATGGAAGGTAATGAGAGAAGGTGGGAGAGCAGCTCCTGACCTGATAGGCAGCTGAACATGATACTGGGTCAGGGGGGATAATACAGAACTTTTAGGGAGTGGTTATAGATAGTGAAAGAGTAAGGGGATGGGGGAGTGGCCTGGTGTGGGGTTGTGAGCTGATATCAGTTCATTCTTTGTCTCCTCACCTTTTGTTGCGCTCCCGTCTTACCCCACAGGTGAGTGTTTGAGAGCTGCTGCGCTTTATTTATATTCCAAGTCATGATTTTACCTTCGGTCTGTACGCACAGACAAAACCTGGAAGGTAAAACCGGAACGAGTCATTTTTGAAACTGACAGAGGCAGACAGAAAGCGCCAGGATTCCTCAAGTGCTTTGGGATTTTCCCAATTCCCACCTTACAGGCTGAAGCACAGAGGAGAGGGAGGGAGGGAGGGAAGGAAGGAGGGAGGGAGGGAGGGAGGGAGGGAGGAAGAATAATGGGAGGGATGCAAAGGAGGTGGGCTAAACGAGAGAGGAGGGAATAGGGGACACAAAAAGCAGCAGGATAAAAAAAGAGTCAGACTCTTGAGCACAGAGTTGAAGCAGGTGGTCAACAGAGTCAGCGCAGATTATGCTCCCGACAGTGAGTGAGTGGACTGTGTTGATTGGATAGAGAGTGAGCAGCCTTTAAAATAGATTAGATGCTCAATTTTCAGCGATGCATGTCTCTTGATGGACCTTTGAGCTCCACTCCATTTGCTGGTGAGTGTCCTTTTCCAGAAATAACTCCACTTCTTTATGTATAATTTTTACCACTACCGTACTTTCTCTCTTAATGTCCGTGTGTGAAAGGCCTTCTAGGATAAACAGGAGAGTATACACGCTTGAGTGTATTCCTCTGTTATTTCCAAATGGACGGCACATGCATGTGGGATTTTTGGAAGCTGTCACTCAGCCAAGCGTGATGAATTTCCTCTGAAAGTGATGGGCTCATTGTAGCGTATACAATGAAAGTGTACATCTGTATTGTGTGTGCTAATAGCAGTGAAAGGTCAGCCTTATCTCCTGTAATAAAAGCTCTAATTCAGGCCCAGTTTTTGACAAAAAGTCCTAATGTGATGTTTTCATCACTTTTTCCAGGATGTGCTTGATCTACTCAGTGAGAGGGCTGTTAGCTGAGACAAATTTAACCAAAGAAAAAGCTGAAAAAGCCTTATTTAACACCCTGATGTAAGTTGAATCAAGTTTTATGAAAGATGTATCACAGAAATGAATGTCTGCTGACAGTAAATCAGCACTAAGTTATGTTGTGATAGATTAATAGGGTTTAACATTGGCCGTGATAAAATAGAAGGGTGTGAATTTACTGTGTTATTAGAAAATTAATCAGAGGATGTGTGCGGACTCACTCTGTGTCCATCAGTTACAGCACAGTATTAATCAGACATACAATCTTACAGCACCTGAAAGGTTGTTTATTAATCCTTGTTAAAAGTCTGACTGCTCTATTAACTAAGTGTAAACACACTGATCATGCTTGAATGCAAACTCATTAGGAGTTTGCATTCCCTCCTCTAGGCCCTTTCACCTTGACACAATAGGTTTGCAGTGACTGGAAAGCCTCTGTCCGCGGGGAGGCACGTTATCAGCCGCATTGACTCACAAGAGGCTGCATGGCTGAACTCTGCTGCTCTCCATTGTTGTGCTATTTGCATGGGACAGAATGATAACAGTCACTCCCTGAGCCGTTGCTGGATTCACGCTCCTGTGTGTGGACCGAAGTGCAGGCTAGTCTGGATTTACTCCATGAAACACACACACACACACACGCACACAAACTCCCTAATACCACACTAAGGCAACCAAACCTAAACTGCATTCCTCTGAGTGCTCTCTGTCCTGATAAGTGTGTGTGTGTGTCTGGATCCATGCTGATTATTAGATGGACATTGTTTTCCTTTAACACTTAGTTTTGACTCCACAGCCTCTTTCTGTGGAAACAGTAGATCTTAACAGTGTTTAAGTATTCCTGCTGTAGTAACAACAACATCTGTCTCTAAGAACTTTCCTGTATTGTTTACAGTCCAGTTGGCAGCTTGAGGAGACTGTGTGGTCTGATCAGAAACAAAGTAAAGTTTGTCCCTCTGTTGACTCTGATTCATCACATCTCCCAGAAAAGCGCCAGTTCATGTGTTTCTGGTGGGTCTCAGCTTCACTGTTAACAATAAAGCTACACACTCTGGTTTTTAAATAGTTTTTGTGTGACTTACTGTGATTAACAGTTCTCTATTTGTTGAAAACACAGCATCAGGATGCAGCCTTTTAAATTGACACACACACACACACACACACACACACACACACACACACACACACACACACACACACACACACACACACACATTGTTAGATCAGTTTTTAAGAGGCAAACTAGAGATGCACCAAACCGTTTTTTTTTAAGCTAATTCAACACCGATACCTGAGCCGAGCATATCGGCCGATATCCGATACTGATCCAAGACTATTGTTGAATGAATGAACTGTATACCTTGCCTTGTGAGTGAAGGCATCAGGTTTGACAGTAGCCTTGTTTAAAAAAAAAATAAGGCAACAAATTTACACAGATATACATTTACTTAATATCATGTATTAACAAATAACAAATTGGACATTAGCACACAGCAAAAAGAAGTAAAAGTAAAAGTAAAAAAAAAAAAAGAAGTAAAAATAATTAAAAGAAAAGAAAGACTGGATCGGAACGCTGGATTGGCGTCGTTCATCAGATATCCGATCCAGTTAATTTGTCAATATCGGAGCCGATATCCGATCCAAATATCAGATCGGTGCATCCCTAAGGCAAACTCCCTAAAGTTTTACAGTGTTTGTTAGTTGAATGGAGGTTTGATTGATGATTGCTGATGCTTGTCAGGAAGTCGAGGAATCGTGATTGGTCTTCAGCTTTAAGCAGGCTCTTGCTTAAGTTTAGATTTTTGTACTCGAATAGAGTATTGGCTGTCCTTGCATGCAGGCACGTCCATAAGATGAGCCAAATGTCTTCAAATTGCTGTTGATGGGAAGGTGCTCAGGTGAATAGTTTGACTTATTGAGTTGTGCTCTGTGTCCACTCACCGATCCCAGTGATTCTGATGCCATTATTTTTTGGAGAAGAAGAACTTTGATGTTAATTGTTAAGATATATAGACTCTGATTTGTTGACCTCAGTTTGAAAACTAAAATGTGATGAAATGTTGCGACAGCTAGCAACAGCTGCTTTCCCCTTTGCATGAAATGTCTTCGCCACATGTTTCTCTTGATTCCTCTATCATTACCTCTTATCGTGAATCTTTGCCAAACTTTCGATCACTCCCTGTCCACCATAATCCTCTTCTCACAACTTTAAAACAGCATCACAAATGATGTAATGGTGCTTCGGCACAGTATGCCCTGGCGGATAACCAAAACTTTTGCAGACTGTAAAATTCTCTCAGAGATTTAATCCTGAAAGATTCGTACTGCTGTTCGGAAGAGGGAACATTGCTTGATCTGAGATATTTTAAAATTGAGATAAACTTTCCCTTAAACCCTTGATAAAGAGCTTTAAATACAGTATCTAAACATGCTTGACAATGTAGATTGAGTGTATGTGGAGGTGTGTAATTTAGTGAGCATGTGAATCAATGACAAAGCTGCACCACTTGAGAAGAACACATGAACGCTTCTTTGGAGGATTGTGCTCTGGCTGTTTTTTTCTATCAGGATTTTTCTAAATGTTTTTACTACATTTAAAAAAGCTTAATATAAACATACTACAGAAAGAAACCTGAAAACTTTTATACCAAAGTTCAGTCCTGTAGGTACGAAAATCTGAGAACAGTTTATGTAGATCATTGTGGACGCAAAAATAACTGCATCGGTTTTCCTCCAGAACCTGATATCAAACTCACTTCTTAAGATCTCTTTGGAGGACACTGGTGGCATTTCTCTCTCAGTAGCCATGAACTATTACTTTCCCGTCATTTTTTGGGTCTTTTAAACTTCAGGGATTTATTCTGAGTCATCGCCTTAATTAGGTGCTGGGATGGAAAGAGGACTTCACACTTTGGCACAGAGATGAGTGTTATTAGAACCTTCAAAGTAAGACAAGGTCATCTCGCCTGCTCTGTTACGAGAAATATGTTGTTCTGTCGCACTTCTTTCAGAGGCCGTCCTTCAAAATAACTGCTGACAGGTTGACTTCATTGAACCAGGGTGGTGGACAGTACAGGAGGAGGACATCAACTGCAGACGGCTTTGAAGGGTTTGGTCGGTCACATGATTCCCAGTGAAAGGCAGGGTCAGGGGTCACACTGACGGATGTGGGCTTAAGATTACAGGCTGGGGGGTAGGGTCAGCAAAGTCAGAGCTGCCTTTTAAGTGAGGAGAGGCCCAACACAAATCAAACACTCAAGTTTTTATTGTAGTAGTTAAGCAAGTTCCGCGTTATTATCCAGGTTGTCAGAAACAGAAGGAAATGGTGTGTTTGGACAAAGGCTGCCAGAGGTTTCATGGTGTCCTCATCTGGATGACAGACCATGGAAAGATGTCTAGCAGCTGGTACAAAGAGAGACAAGAATAGAGAGAGACATAATGACTGAAAGAAAGCCCGGGGGACAGGTAAATATCTGCACATTACAGAAGATTAGTTGTTTTGTCTATAATGGAGGACCTCTTGTTCACAAAGAAAGTGTTTTTAAAGCATTGTTGTACAAAAGCTCCAGCACAGTATGTCCACACCATAGACTGTACAATTTGGCTCTGCCTCCGATCATTCTACGAATTTGACGCAAAATTGCTCTTGGTAATTCTGGGATTTTCTCCACTTCCTGGAACCACCGCTAGCGCAGTACACTTTCAGCGGGAGAGTCGCTGAGATGACGCTCTGCTCAAACAGCGTTTCCAGGAAGAGCTACGCAATCTTCATATGCCCGTTGGCTGTATCAAGTTTCAATCATGCTGTTCTCTTGGAGGCTTCACCGTTCTATATACAGTCTATGGTCAACACGCACTGTTAAGTGAAGCTATGATTGTGGTGCTTTTTGGCAGTTCAACTGGACTACTGTTCTTGTCCCAACCAGAATGTAAGCTCTTGTATAGGATCAGTTTATCAGCTGAAGTACGTCTGTCTGCATTGCAGTGGGTGATGATATACTCCCTTTCTGTAAGTCTACAGTATGTGCTCTATTATGTCACATACCAAAACAATTGAAAACAAGTAAGCAAGAGGCTAACTGTTGTATTTCAAGCAGTGAAAACTTTGATGACTTTCATCTCTATACTGTTTGTATGAATACATAACAGCGGAGGTAAGGAAAACTAGATAGCGCTTGAGTTGTAGAAAACAAGTCTAAATATCAAGGTCTAAATATTGATTATTGGTCTCATGTAGGTTAATCAGTATCAGCATTGCCCTGGGAAACCAATATCAATTAACCCCTAACTGTGTATGTCTAGTTTTAGTCAAAATGATGAAGTAAATTGATTTTGTGTTATATTGTGAAAACATAGCGGCTGAAACAAAGGCCCTGGATTAGGTTCGTGTCCTCAGCCCTTTAGTGTTATATTATTTCCTACTCTAACTACTCCTTTTTCAGCTCTGTCTGTCATGTTATCCTCTGGAATAAAGGGATGAAATAGCCACATAAAAAGTAGCTTGTAAAAAGTTACCTGGAAGTTACATTTTAATATTGTTGAACCTGCAGGGGGAGTCCTGGTACATATGACTGTTTTTTATTTGTTCTTGTCTCCATTTCCAAGAGTGATGGAAACAGTGGGATACCTGGGGACACAGGGTTAAAGGCCCTTAAATTTTGGACCTAGCTCAATGAGTTTGCAAAAAAGGGCCTAAAGGCAGGACACCATGGCTCTACTTGACTCTTAGCTCTGATGCTCTCTGCTACTGTTTTGACTGTCAGTAACATGATGGTGCAATGTGCTCCTCTGACCTCTGAAGGTCTTCCAAATGTGTCTCACATTGACTCCCTAAGGCAGGAGCTGACTGACTCAGGGAGTAAGAAATTCAAACCATGATGTGTCAGTTTTGTGTGGCCTCATGGCTAATGATTTTCAGCCTCCAGAGGACAATGGTGTTACCAAAAGTCTACGGCAAGTTCAGGTATTGTTGGAAATGTAATGATCTAATCAGAAGGAGAGTTCATGGTGGTGCACCAATTTGCATGTGTCCAGTGTTCCTGGTTTAAATCTCTTTCCAGGTCGAACCTCTGTGTGTGAGTTTGCATGTTCTCCCTGATCATGCATGGGTTCTCTCTGGGTACTCTGGCCTCCTCCCATGGCCCAAAGACAACGTCATTGGGTTTATTGGTCTCTGTAAATTGCCTGAAAGTGTTAATGCGTACATAAATGGTTGTCTGTCAGCCTATGTCAACCCTATGACCGACTGGCACTCAAGGTCGCTGGTTCACTCCAGGGCATAGCCCACCTCTTGCCCAATGACAGCAGAGATAAGCTCCAGCCTCCCCATGACCTTCAACAGGGTAGGTGACAGAGACATTGGTTTGTTGATGGATTGATCCCCCAAGCCAAAAAAACAAACATCACAACTGTCTTTGGTAGGATCATCATCTCAGTTTAAGCAACAGTCAGATTTTTTGTCCAAGTATTTTTTGATTACTGACAAGCACAACCAAGTAAGGCTGCCTGTTTCAAATATACCTTATTTTTTCGGACCATAAGGTGCAATTAAAATCCTTGAATTTTCTCAAAAATTGACAGCGTGCCTTATGTATGATTACTTGTTGTGCTTACTGACCAATTTTATGCGGTACAGTGCGCTCAATAATCTGTCGAAATGTGTAAGTACAACTTTAGTAAGCAATGAAGCCGCTCCGCTCAATGGATATACAGAGCACTAAGGTACGCTCTGTCACTACCTGATCGGCCCAGTAACAGGACCCCTTAGCAGTCATGTAAGGCAGCCCGGGCCCGGAGTACGCGCTAGCAACAATAAACCAATCAATGCTGAATGCGCCTTACAATCCGGTGTGCCTTATGTGTGAACACAGTGCGCCATATAATACGGTGCGCCTTATCGGCTGAAAAATATGGTAGTCCCTAAAACAAAAATAAATAAACTATTTCAGCCAAACCACCTAAAAAACATGATTAACCTGAATATGAAATTTGGCCAACTTTGGCTAAACAAGAACATTTTTATGGATAAAACATCTGCCCTCTCAATCTCATAAATTTTTGCTTCATTCAAGAATAAACAACGGTTTGAAAAGCTAAACAGCATCAGCAGCAAAGGAAAGCACACTCTTCCTAAAGAGAAGCTGGCTTTCTCTTTCCATCAAGATTCAGAGCAATATCAATTACAGGGTAATCTACTGATGTTTGACAAAAAGTTAGAAGGTAGTGTATCACAACTGGGAATCCTCCAAGCATTTATTCCAACTTCTACTCATCCATAAGATACAGAACTCATACAAGCTTAATCTACAGTCCAGTTTCCTCCTCTCTGAAAACACGTCTTTTGCTACATGATTCGTGTCTGACATTTAGACACAAAATCTGCTTCACACATCCTCATACTTTAGACATGCCTTTGTACCTAGACAAAAAGAAAAGGAGAGGCTGAAGAGAAACAACAGAACAAAGTTTATCGTGAGGTTCCGGTCAAGTACAAGGCCGAGCTGATAAGAAAATCACTTGTACTGGACAAAGTAGATACTTCTGTTTCAAGGAAGCACAGAGCAACTATTGTTTTGTTCGTTTAGTCAAATACATTTCAGTTCAGCTGTAAAATGTGTGCACCTGATATGAAGCAGACAGAAGCTCTATGTCTGGAAAACAGTAAGAATGTTACGTTATCTGTGTGTATGCAAAAACAGTGATGAAGAAGTTCAGAGGCAAAGAAAGAAAGCAGGTGGGTCTTTCGTTTATGAGTAAGAGATAGTTGATATCTAACCAGTAACATTTGAATTTTACTTGACAAAGATGTGTTGATGGCACACGTGTGTAAAGTTATCTAGGTAAATGCAGGTATCCATTCATTGAGGGTTGTGCTGTTTCCTGGTTGTGACATCAGATAGAGACCCTGGTATCGTCTCTACGGACTTGCAGAGGGTTGTGCACTAGGAGATTCTAGTCTGCCTGTTTCCCTCTGAGCCTGGCTCTCCCCTTGGCGCTGCGGTCCTCATAATTTGTCAGCATTATCAGGAGCACAGTATTCATCAGAGGTTGCCTCGTCTTAACTCGTGTTGGCTGTTAGGAGTGCAGAGCAGGAGAGTTACAGGGAGAGGTTTTACAGGGAAGCTTGCCAGGGAAAGCAGGCAGCAGAAAAGCTTGTCCTGCTGTACCTCCATGCACACAGTGGAGGCTGTCAGTGTGCAGGAAAGGCCACGACGCTGCAGCCATTCAGCCCGAGCCAAACACACAACCAGACCCTCCTGCTGAGGTTTCTGCAGCCACAGCCGTGACTGCGCTTGTGGCTCTGATGTCATCCCGGAGCAATTCCTTCCTCTCTTTGCTTCCAAACCCTGCTGTCTGCTGGGAGACCCCCACCTCCATTCTGCCCACCCAACACCACACTCACTCTCTCTCTCTCTCTCACACACTCACACAGGCTCTTTATCCTACCATCTTTATGAACTGTGCCATAATAAAAGACTTGGAAATAGACTTGATACCTCACTATATCACATTTCTCTCTCTGGCACAATGTACACAAAGCCTGTTTTGTATTGTACAAAAACCGCTCAGAGTCATTAGAGCTGTTTTTTAGGGGGCCTGCAGCTGAATAGAGCTCGGTAATGGAGCTGTGGGAGAGCTGACAAAAGCAACCCCCCTCCTCACCATCTCCTCTCTGTGGCCTGCTCAGACTGTAGTGTTTAAACACAGTAGGTGACAGGAGGTGCTTCTCTTCGAACATGTTCATGTGTCTGCGCCTCAGAGGCTACAGGGAACATGATGGAGGGTGTGACCGGAGCACACTGTCCAGTCAGAGGTGTGTTTAAGTGACTGGTGGTATGACTGTGTGGGCTGTTTGTATACCCGTCCTGAATAAGCAACCGGAGAGCTCTAGTCTGTTCCTGGTACATTGAGCTAAGACATCCAAATTTAAAACCAGCAGGGGTTATATTTTAGTGTCTGAGTGGAGATGGATAAATTGACTGACAAATGCTCCTCTCTCATCATCCATGCCATCATTTCTCATTTCTTCCACCGCCCTCCCTCACATCTGCCCTGACTTTAAAATGCCAGCGCCACTCGGGTCAAGACTTCTTGCAACCATTCAATTTCCAAAAACCTTGGAATCCGAATCGCTTTTGGGCAGGCGTCCAGACAAGCTGCGGCTGCTTGAGTGGACAAATCAGATTTCTCTATTCTTGCCACTGGGGGCCCTTCTGTTTTCAGTGAGAACGCTTGACAGAGAGTCAGCTGGGGTGGCAATAGAAAGCATTCACACTGAGACCCAGAACCATAAAGGCATAACCAGTCATGGGCAGATATGTCAAAAGGCTCCTCTTAGAATGCAGGTCAGAGACGGGCCTGACCTCAGGGGTTGTGGAAGGACGAGGAAGAAATGCAGAGATGAAGAGGGAGTGGGGATACGGGTGGGGGGTGTACATATACTTGCACGCAGAATATGTTGGCAGGGGGTTGTAGCGGCCAGACAGGCTGCAGGGGCAAAGGCTGGTCCCCTGATGGGTGTCTTTCAGTGCACCCAGGCTGGGTGGGAATGAGATCTGACGGGTGTGAAATGGTCCTCTTTCTCAGTGACCCAGGCCCCTGCTAGGTCCAGCCTGCTCACACTGTCGCTTTGTCCCACAGACTCTCAAAGAGCCTTAGTATCAAAAGACTCATATAGACCAGGCTGAGGCAGTGTGAACGCTTGGGGAGCTCTGATGGCATCACTGATGACATTTCGATAACATTTTTGATTACTATGATGTGACAGGCTCAAGGAGGTTTGTACAGGCGCTGTAAGCCTCAGAAATCCAGTGACAGTGATTTGCGCAAGTGACTGTTACATTTGAGGACAACTGCTGAGTCGAAGATTGAAGCTACATGTTGCAACACCCAAAAGTCATTATTCATATCCTTTTTTTTGTGTCATAGCCAGCATATTTGGAGCTTGTTACCTAATGAAAGAAGATGGATTTCCTTGAAATGCTGCATAAATCTGATTAGATCACTAGCTGAGCTGAGCACATTTCTGTGGTTACCTAAGTCTTGTTGGAAATGATGACATCCATTTTGCTTGCTGGCGGAGAACAGATGGGCAGCACTGGCAAAGAGATTTCACACCCAATGCAAATATAGCACCTTGTTATTTCTGTTTTTTGCGGCTGTTCTGACTGTTCCTGCTCTTTCCCTCTGCTTTGAAAGAACTCACACCTCAGCGGATGATGATGATGATGATTTTGACAGCGTAGATCTGGGGTCTACTTCTTGTTTTTTGCTCACCAGGAAGCAGCGAGATCTATAAGTAAATGCAAACAGCTTGGAAGCAGGTAATATTTACAGAGGAAATGTTGCTTCATCAGTCTGCTGCTTTCCTGCACACATTTCTTTGAATTAGTGTTCTTTGACAAACAGTCATTTTAAGACTAAAACTAGCTCAACTGTTCGGTGTGATCAACAGAGTTTGGGAGCATCGAGTGCTGTTTTAGCACAAAGGAATGACATGGGGAGCGAATGCTAAACTTGAAGGATTGCCTCTCGAGGTGCAGTCGACTGGTCTGTTAGTGCGGGAAAGAGTGTGGTGACATTCCTATGATGTTGAAATGTCATGACGCAATTAAAGCATGAGGACAAATCCACAGTCCAGTATTAATCACAATATTTAAAAAAAAGATTTTAAAAAAAGGCAGTTTAAATAGCTCTGAGCAGCTCAGAGATGCACTCTGTCTGCTTGTCTGCTCCTTTCTCACTGTGGAGATACCTATACAATAGGGCTGGGCGATAAAACGAAAATTTACTGATACCAAAATTTATGACAATAACCGAAGTCTTTTTGCCCATGTCAGTATATTCGGTGTCAAAAAAATAAATAAAAGTTGGTTTTGGATGTGTGTAGGTGGGCTATGGTCTCATGTCCCTTTAAGACGCTGTCCTACGTCAGAAACAAAACGTGACTCCACCCCATCCAGTCCGTAAAAAAGAGGGAAAGACAGGTGAGAAGATGGAGGACTGTTCAAAAAGTTGTAGCGGCTGGAGTGTTGGCCAAAGTAGACAAAGTTAATGTGGGAGGGGGTGAGCAGCTTGCAGAGTAGTTATCGTCCATTTATTGTTATTGAGGTGAACTTCTCAATATAGCGTGATATTGATTTGTGGCTATATTGCCCAGCCCTACTATACTGATAACTCTAGTTCAAAACCCAACATTTAGGGGCATTTAATTATCTACATCTGGGGTTGCAGTAAAAAGACAATCTCGCTTTTAAAATGTAAAATGTGGAATATTACAAACTCCAACACAAAACTTTCATAAAGTATATTTGGGGGGGGGGGACCAGAATGAGAAGGACGAACACACCAGCAGCAGAGTCAAAGTCATGCAGAGCGGTAAAATGAAGCAGAGCATACATAATGGACAGAATATAGGGTTAGATAGTCAGCCAAGGCCATAACCCGAGTAGGAACAGATGTCATCTCAAAACTGTTTATCTCTTTCCAACAACTAATGCTGCTTCATCTGAGGAAGCAAGCAGAGCCCAAATAATAAAGGGTACTAATACTGGTATTCTAGGGCCAATATCTATCCTGATCATTAGTAGTTCATGAGACCAATAACCGAGACATTAGAAGGAATCACAGTGTTGAGTAGAAACAGATCCCGAGGGTCATGAGGCACTGATTGAGATGATTGGCCTAATGCCTAATAACAGCCCTGATAATAGGTCTATTAACTAAAGATACGGTTACATCTCTCACAAAAGTATCAGAAAGACATTTATCATCACTTTAGTGTTGGCTTGTCTTTTCCAAAAGACCTCAAATCTGACTTTATCACAGCACCTTGATAACACAGTAGATGACTTGTTTTGATCTCGCCTTTGATTATAAACTATGCATGGTCAAACATCTTGAGCAACATCACCCCCCTCACATGTAAAGATCTACCCTCCTGCCTTGCAGTCTCTTACTAGTGACGCTTGTGCTTAGGTGCTAAAAGCATTCTCATGCACACTGAGCTGAACAATGGTGGTAATCTAAGAAAATTTCTCTAAGGCAGGCAGAGGAATATGAGAGGGCTGAATAATGAGAATAATGGTAGGGTTGGTATAGGAAAGACTGTGTTATAGATCCTTCACTAATAATAGTTATAGTGATGGGAAAGCTGAAAGTAGAATGGAAAAGGATGGGATATTCTGGCTTTTTCAGAGATGGATCTGTCAAATCTTAGCAAAGCATGTTTTGAAGACTAAAAAAGACGAGCAGGAAGAAGAAGAGTTTTCTTGGCAAACGGCTTGGTGTGTTTGCCACGTCTCTGCAGCTGACTCATCTCCAGTGTCCGTCTGTTGTCGTTCCTGCTGTCCGAAAGCTGTTGGTGAGGAGCTGAGAATGTATCAATATCATCCTCGTGACTGTCACTGCTGTTTCCATGTTTCCAGAAAATATGTCGGAATCTGTTTTGATTGGATACCGACGCCAGTGAATGTTTGGAAAGGCTGCGCAACCGGTCATTCCCAGCATACTTCACCTGGATGTCAGTGACTTCAGGTTGTCTCCTGGAGACAGTCTGGCAACAGCAGAAAAGCTTTTAAAGAATGACATGCTACAAGAAAAGAGTGGGGAAATGTGTGCACAACTGTTGAAAAACTCTTAAAACTTTTTCTTTTTCTCACCTCTTCAGATCCAGAATGCTGACAGGACGATGAGTCCTCCAGGTCATCTGAGACGTCCACGTGTCTTTGCCGCTGTCCCTCTTCGACAGCCCTCTGGTCCCACTGGGGCACCATCTGCCTCCCCACGCTCACCCCCTTGTCCCTCCCCCCTCCACTGCCCCCAGTAGTGGCCATCCCAGAGGGGAAGAAAGGAAAGGCGAGCCAGCCCCCTGTAAATATGACTGGATGGAGGTCTCAGTGGCGTCTCGTCCTGCTGAACTCCCTGACCTGTGGCCTGGAGATCTGTGTGGCAGCTGGGATCACATACGTGCCCCCGCTGCTGCTGGAGGCTGGAGTGGAGGAGCGATACATGACCATGGTGCTAGGTAAGGGCTCGATAACAAGCACGAAAAGAGGGATCTGGTTACCGGCCTCTCTATTTCTTCATACTGTTAAGTGTTTCTTCTATTTCACTCTTCTTCATGTTTCCTCTGTGGCTTCTCAACTGACCACAAAAGTTGTTTTCCCTCGTAGCGATTTTGTACCACGCTGTTTATTAACATGGGGTCAGAGAGAAATAAGATTTTATTTATTCATTTCTGTCTCTGTCTCTTTAATGCCTTGACACAAATGGAGCAGATTTGAATGAGTTTCTTTTCTTAAATCAAAACAGACTGAGTTTTATGAAATGTGTGTTTCAGAGGCAGTATTCTGTGTCCTCCTTCTCCCCCTTCCAGTAGAGCAAAGTTTTTTGGGGGTGCTGGGAAGTGTTGCTTGGCCTCAGAGCCTCCACCCTCTCACCTGTTTGGGTCATAAAGACATGACTGTGGTACCTTAGCAAGAATTTTAGACAGATGTTTTGATCAGGCTCTTGTCCATCCCTGTGATCCTGAATGCTAATTGTTGCTGAATTCCAGGAGTGTTTGTTGAAATAAACAAAAATATATTTCATTAAACTTGACTGTAAACAAGTAATGAACAGTTAGCTAATATACTTGATAACTGATTTGTTCTGCCTTGTTAAACAGTTTTTGTTGAAAAGACTGTATTTGATGTTTTCGTCACTACTTAAAGGATCTGCGAAGAAATGGGTAAGGTTTGTGCTTGTTTAGTTGACTAAACCTTTAAACAGATTTCCTTTGGCAGTCCCTTATTACTATTTAATTAAACTAACTACCATTATTCTTATCATGGCAGACCCAAAAATGCTCGTCTTTTGTTGTGTCTGACAGCCAAAAGCCACTAGCTGGAGCTGGATCTCCAGTTTATGGCTACTACTGCCTCAGTGCTATCATGGTCTGCTCTCTGGATACAAACACTAGTTTGGCCGAACTGGTTGAGCTGGTGCCTTGTATACATAGGCTTTAGTTCTTGTCACACTTTTTATAGGAAAAGTGGTCCTGACATGGATTCCAAAGAGGAATTCCCAAAATAAACTTGAAAATACAACAAGCACAGATGGCAGATGGGATTTCATAGTGTAGTTAGCGTGCCTTTGCAAAACTGTGGTCTAGAAAGCGGAATTAAAATTGTTTGTTGGCTATGTCTAGTCAAATACAGGTGAGATAAAATCTGGACAACAACATCCAACTCTAGCAGGCATCAAGGAGGTGTATTCGTGGTTGTCGTGCTGGTGCAAAGGTGGAGGCAAAGTTGGAGGCTTGGAAGTGGAGATAGAAACCCTTTCTTCCATCAGTCTGACATTGGAAACGTTAACTCTGCCCAACAAAAGTGATGAGCTGGAGATATTTGTAAAGACTGAGAAAGCATACCATGGGTGCAGTCTCCCGTGTTTTGACTCAAAACAACTCGGACTCAAGTGTTGATCTACCTAGCTTCACTCTCATAAGGTCAGACAGAGATGCTCAAGCTAGTGGCAAGAGGAAAAGAGGGGGTCTGGCTTTATTTGTCAACCAGAGATGGTGTAACCCTTTACACATATATATTTTTTGTACCCCCAGCCATCTGACTTAGCAACTCTTCAGTAAATAGTAGATGACTTTTTGACACATGACAACTGAGACTACAGACAACTGAATTCCCCTTCAGGGATAAAATAAAGTTATTATTCTTATAACTGCCAAGGAGAAGTTGTGTTGTCCAGATATTGAACTCATAGCACTTGAGAATTCTAGAGAAATTCTTCTTCTAGAGAATTCAGCCATATCATAACAATACTTGTTTACATGTATTTTCCATGATACTGTTGCTAGGAGACTCAACATTCTGAGGCCCTCGCAATAACACCTGGAGACTTCAACCATGTCACCTTCTCCTCTCACCTGACTGGATTTACACAGTTTATTAGCTGTCCTTCCAGAGAATTTTTTCACAAGCTTTCAGACAAGTGAATTTCCCATTTAAGGATAAATTGTATTGTATTGTATATTTAACCAGTACAGAAGCATGGACATTAACCTGTGAGGAGGAGTGACTCTGGAGGGGCTGGCTGTTCAGTAGACTAGAAAATTAATTGTTCAGACCATCACTGAAATAAACAGCAGTCTGAAAGTATAAAGGGTAGAAAAATGTGGGCCAGCCTAGATGTAAAAGATTTAATCCAATGCATTAAAAAAACACAGGACACACATGAAAGAGGCAGCAGGAGTCTGAATCTTTGTCCTTTCCTCGTTTCGTTTAGCAAGAAAATAGTAAACTGACAAATGACAGATTATTCTTTCAGCTGTGACTCCATTACTCCAGTTCAAAACTGCTAAGGTGTCAGAAGAAACAGAATTGCGAGACGTTAATAGTACTCATACTGCTACTGCACCTGTCCAGGTTTTTATTCAAGGTAAAATATAGTACTGGTGCTTTGCAAGGGAGTGGTATTGTTCCAAATATACAGTCGTTTCTGAGCTTGTGAGCTGATTGTCATTATAGTAGTACTATACTAGTCATTATAGTAGTATAAACCACTGGTTCTCAAGTCCAGTCCTCGAGGCCCACTGTCCTGCATGTTTTGGATGTTTCCCTGCTCCAACACACCTGATTCAAATGATCAGCTCGTTATTAAGCCATTACAGAGCTTGATAACGAGCTGATCATTTGAATCAGGTGTGTTGGAGCAGGGAAACATCCAAAACATGCAGGACAGTGGGCCTCGAGGACTGGACTTGAGAACCACTGGTATTTTTTTATTATTTTTTAAATTTTATTTCTTTATTTGAATACTTGTATAAACAACACTAGAATCTTTTGACACCTCCAACTCTCAAGGATCCACAGCCACCAGTCAGTGTTGGATACATCAAACTACAGATCTAGATAGTTTAATCACATTTTAGCATTAAAGATACATTTTACCGGTATCATGCTTTTACATTACATCATCCATCATATCCAGGATCTTTAGTAGGACCTATAAAAACAAAGTTCTTCCTTTGCTCTGTGTGTGTGCGCAGTCTTGTGCAACAGGCGGTTATACACACCACAAATGCTTGAGAGAAAAATATGCATCCGATGACTGCACCATTATGTCTGGCTGACATGCAATTTAATTTGATCTTTGGTTGTGTAATTGTAGCCTCACACCCTTTAGTCCGAGGGTAGACTGTAAGAATTTACTGTAATTGTTAGGAAGTCTCTCTGGTGTGAAATTTGAGACAGGTTTGTAGAAGCTCACTTTCTTTCTTAGAAATCAGAAGAATGCGTGAATATACACTCCATTAGCATTACCATATAGAGTGTTTATATACATATATATATATATATATGGACACTGTAAATAAGTTTACCAGTAAGCAATGTGAATAGTTGCATTATCCTGTCAGCCCAAACAGCTTTCACATGCTCTTCACTAAAGGCTTCTCTTTGAGACATTGTCTTGTGACTCTACAGATGATTCTTAGAGTGTTATCAAACCAAAAGCCCTGTGTGAATGACAGAAGTGTCTATTCAAGTACAAAGATGAAAAAACACACTTTTACACTCCCTTTTTCTAACTGCGGCTCGAGATGTGAAGAAAAATGATTCCATTGTTGATTTCCTCCCAAACAGCCTGCTCTGTAAGCCAATCTGGAAAATGCACTCAACCTAATTCTCATCCTGCTGTATTATAATGGAGTGCCTGAGTGTTCTCCGAATGAAGACAGATTTTGTATCTTGGGAGGGTTAAAGCTAATTTCCCCAAGCAGCAGTGTCAGGTTCTCAGGCGGCTGTTTGCTGCTTTTACTAATCACCATTTGTCGGCTGCTCCATCCTCCAGTTGTTACTTTCTTTCTCCAGTTTCCTCTCTCTCAGTCCCCCACGATAATGAGGTATCCACTACTTCATGCCCTTTTAGGAGTATTTAGACATTTAAGTCACAGAGCATCAGCTGGAGTGTGATTTGTTTCTAAATCAGGTAGGAGGGATCATATTTGATGTGTGTGTAGTGGAGGTAAACCTCGCACTGATTTATGCATGTGTAAACAGCTGGAGAACAGCTTGTATTGTATTCAGAGCTGGAAAGCATTAGTTGATGTGTGTGAAATAGTGTGTGACATAAAATCTAGAGAATAGTAAGTGTGTAATAGAGTGAGTCATCCAGCTGTAGATGGTAAGGATTCTTGTGATGGGCCTCCACAGCTGCAGCGAGAAGAAATGTGGTAGAGGCGCTGACTGCCGGCTGCAGTCGTCTTATCTGTCTTTCTCAAATTGCCTGCCTGTCTCCTCTCTGTTCACTGTTAAAATACTTTTGAGACACCAGAAACCTGCAAGTCCTCTCTTCTTTTCTGTAGTCCAGTCTCTGGTGCAGCAGGAGGGCTACATATGGCTCTTGCTTTAGTTGTGGAGTTCAGGCATGCTTCTATGCTGCTGAAATTCAGACCCCTAGTGGTGCTGGAGAGTAGTATTCAACGATCGATGGTAAGGATATGTTTGTGTTGTGTGAATGTCTTTTTGCAAGCATGTGCAAAAGAACTGTGAGTCCCCATCACCAGCACTTCTTAAAGAGATGTTTGTTCTCAAGCTTTCAAGAAGATTCTGACATGCATGAAAGTTACCTGATCTGAACAAAAGCCAAAATCAAAGAACCCAGAAGAGCACTCTCATGCGTCTTTGTGTTTTTCTTCAGTGAATACAATATTATTGAAGGATATTTATAAATGCATAGTTTAAATGTTGACAATTTTTATTTCAATTAGTAATGTTTGTTTGTAATTTCAACTTATGAAATAATAAATGAAATATTAGCAGACAGGTTAAATTTTTGTCAGAATATCAGAATCAGTTTAATTTGTTAGATATGTAGTCCTACAGCTATGAAGTATCAAATATTAGAATTAAATACATGAAGGATTACAGAACACAGTAGTAGTAAACAATGCAGGATAGAAGGAAAACTCATTCCCACCAATAAAAACCTACCTGTAAATACAGGTAATCAGTCACATGCAGCCTTTTGAGTAAAATCACTGTCTGATTGTTTTATTCATGAAAAAATAAAAATGAGTCTAGATATGTAGTATTTTTCTTAAAACCGAAATTTTATTTGCATTTTTTAACCATAACGGAAACAAGACAGACAGTCATACAGGAAAAAAGTTTCTCATTTAAAACAAACAAAAACAAAACATGGTGTCATTCAGAAAGAAAAAAAAGAAAATTGTCCATGTAGCCTCCATTAGAGTTATCCATTTTTGTAAGTGTTGTAAAGAGATTTATATTTGTTCCATTTTTCCCACTTTCAGGTTTTTGTTTCTTGCTGGAGTCGTAGAGCGTGTATCATATAGTCCATATCATATAGTTCTTCCACCATGTCCAGCCAGTTTTTCTAATTGGGTGGGTTCTTGAATGTGTAGTATTGAGAAAAGTTTGTTTATAATCACTTCCAGTCTTACTGCCTTTTTTCAGAACTACTAAAGTTTTCTTTTACTTGCCATCCAGTGCACATTAACTTTATGATCTACTGTATTTCTTCTGCTTTTTTTTAAATCTTGCGTTATTTCTGAGCTTGCGAACAGCACTGCAGACTCATGCCGTTATATGGGCATTAAAGAGGCATGTACCCATCCTAATTGGGAACACCAACCACAAGGGTCAAACTTTTGAGGATGTGGCGTTCATCGATTTAGGAACACAATGTGAAGGATTCAGTCCTTTGAAAACTAGCTTATGAATCTGCCATAGACTTTCTTAAAAAACAAACTTTGAAAAAAAAAAAACCTTGGGAAGATATTGGTGAGTGAAGCACAGTTCTTTTTAATTAACACTCAGTAAAGACAAAATCCTGGAACTCTGCAACTCCAAAATAAGAGCTCTACAAGGTGCCTTTGAAAAGTGAAACTGGAGCACAAAGATTTGGGGATCTGTGCTTGCATGTGTGTTTGTGGTGGGTTCTAATTATCCAGACTGGACCTCATGTAGCACCAGAGCTAGTGGGGGTCTACCTCCAGGCAGCAGGCCATCTGTAAGAGCAGGGCACATGTAGATAGACACCGGTTAGAGCAGCAGCCAGGAAGAGTTCATGTGAATAGTAAAAGTTAAAAGTGTGTTGAGCCTCCGAAGCAGAAAAATGATTTTATAGTTGCATGTGCTCAGAGGGGGATTTCTGAAAACGTCTTAAAACACCAGTGTAAGTACAAACTGTAATTTAACTAAATTGATTATTTTTTAAATCAAATCAAGTTTATTTTTAGAGCACTTTTAAAACAACCAGTGTTGATCAAAGTGCTGTGAAATAATACTAAACAAGAAATGGGCAAAACATGATCAAACAAAAGAGATGATTGTTAGTAGAAGCAAGGAAATGGAATCTGGGGGTCAATGAAAAGCTTAGGAGAACAGGTTTGTCTTCAGTCTGGACTAAACAATGACTATAGTGGTAGAGGCCTTTACTGAAAATGCTAATGCTGCGTTCCAGTTACCTCAGAAGTTGGATGTCGGAGCTAGGAATGATGTTACACCCGAGTTGACGGCGTCCCAGCAAACAAGTCATCTTGGATTATAACATTGTCAAATCGGGGTTGGTGAGGATCGTCCGACTTTCCGAGTTGGAAATCTGACTTTAAGGGGGCGTTACAGATGAATTTCCAACTTGGAGCTCAGAAATTCTGACTTCGGAGTACAACTGGAACGCAGTATAAGCTATCCTAGAGCTCTGGGGCAGCTACAGCAAAACGCTTGGTCACCCTAGCAACTGCTGATTGGATGATCTAGGAGCTTTGGGAGGGGCAGGGGGTGGAGAAGTGGAGAGATGTATTGTGGAGGGAGGCCGAGTAAAACTTAAAAACCTGAAAACCAATCAGTGATAAACCAAGAGTTGAAAAGGGCATAATGTGTTTTTGTAGATGGAACTTAAACGGAGCATGTACAGAATGAACAGTACAGGTCCTAATACTGAGCCAGCCTTGAGGTGCTCCACAGGTGATGTGCTGGATGCAGAGAAATGGCCAGTGGTTTGAATGGAAAAGGATCTGTCTTTAAAGTATGATGTGAACCCCCGGAGAGTGCTACCCAGGGTACCAACATGATGTTCAAGACTGTTTAAAAGGATGTAGTGGTCTCCGGTATCAAAAGCTAAGGTGAAGTCTAACAAGATTAATATTGCAGAGTGACAAGTGTCGAGAGATAGCAGGAGGTCATTGCAGACTTTTAGCAGAGCTGACTCTGTGTTGTCATGCCCTGAATCCAGACTGAAAATTGCCCATGCTATCATTGTTTTTAAAGAATGATAGGAGCTGGGGATAGAATATGTTTTCCATGATTTTTGAAAAAAAAAAGGCAATTTGGAAATGATTTGTTAATAATTCAAAACTGTTGGATCAAGGTTTGGTTTTCTTGATGGTAGGATGAACCACTGCATGTTTAAAATAGGAAAGGATGGAGCCACTTTAAAGGCTGCTGTTTAGGAGTAGAGACTGTGGGACATTAAGTGTTGAACACTTCCTTCAGGAGTCATATGGGAACAATGTCAAAGGGAGAAGTAGTGAGCTTAATATTTGAGATGATGTCTTTTAGGAGGATTAAGGTTTTTATAGTGCTAAATAGAACTCTGAGGGAGTGGAAGTTTTTAGAGATAATGTCAGCCAAGTATTTCTCTCCTGCTGTCTCTACCGATTGCTAATAATCAGCAAGGCAATATTTCAACTTGGGGTCTGTCTTTTTTCTGTTCTCTTTCTGCTCTACTACACGGTTGTCAAAAAGTATGAGTTTCCTCATTAAGCCTGGATTGAGTTTTGGTTTTCTGCTTTTGGTTTGGAGTTGGGAAAGATTTCTGTGTTTTATAATCTGATTGTCTGACCAAATTGAGTTGAAGTGAGTAATTAGCTCCTCTGTGCTCAGGGCAGGGAAACTGACCTTTGTAGGAAACCATGACAGTGGAAGGGCTTATAATGCAGGAGCAGGAGGCAAGTAACTTAGATTTTAGGCTGGTATGACAGATTGTGGAAAACCTAACATGATGATGGTCTGAGATTCTGAAGTCCTCCATATGAGTGGTGACAGTTAAGCCAAGGGTAAACACCAAGTCTGAGGTGTTCCCAAGGTGGTGGGTTGGGCCAGAAACGGGTCGCTGGAAGTTAAGAGAGTCCATAACACCAAAAAATTCTGTAGCCTTTCCGCCATCATAGAGGTCGATATGAACGTTAAAGTCACCTGCAGTTAAAATCTTGACATGATTCAGAACAGAGGATGAGTACCATCCACAGTGTAACAGGAGAGGTGACCCCAAAACAAGTTAAGATTAGGACAAAATTGGAAATCCCATTGAACATTTGTCATTAATAATTTGCACACCTGACATTGGTTCTCTTTACCACCTCATGTTTTTGCTTTTTCTCCTCCTCCACCTCCACCACCACCGTCTGTATCCTCTCTGACTTCCTCTCTGTATCCACGGTTTGGTCTACAGGTATTGGTCCAGTGCTCGGCCTCTTGTTCATCCCTTTGATCGGCTCAGCCAGTGACCACTGCAACAGCAGCTATGGCAGAAGACGGCCGTTCATCTGGCTGCTGTCTCTGGGAGTCCTTCTGGCGCTCATTATAATCCCTCATGCCGATGTTCTGGCTGCACGCCTCGCCTGGGGTGGGCGCACCCTACAGGTAGGACACATGTGATCATTTGGAATTCTAGTTTGGCAAATTCTACCACCCAAGTCGAGAGATATTCTTGTCTTGTACCATGATTCAAGTTTTTAGTTTTCTAAGATGCTTTGTACCATGTGTTACAGGTGGGCTTCCTTATCCTCGGGGTGGGGCTCCTTGATTTTTGTGGACAAGTTTGCTTCACCCCTCTGGAGGCTCTTTTATCGGACCTGTACCGAGACGAGGAGGACTGCGGCCAAGCCTTTGCCATGTTCTCCTTCATGGTCAGTTTGGGAGGCTGTGTGGGATATTTGCTGCCTGCGTTGGATTGGAGTAGCGGTCTGCTCTCTATTTACCTGGGAGGCCAGGCAGAGTGCCTCTTCTTCCTCCTCATCCTCATCTTTATCTCCAGTGTGCTCATCACCATGAAAGTGTCAGAGGAACCCTTGTGTGCCAGTAGTGGCTTAGCTGGATCTGGATCTTTACTGGATTCAGGGGTTGGTGCGATGGAGGCTGGCCGTTGTGGAGTGCCACGCTCCTGCTGCTATCTGCTGAAGTGCAAGTTGAGGCTGCTTAAGTCTGGACCCCTGCTGTGCCTGCTGAGGACTTGCTGGTCCATGACCCCAGCCATCTACAGGAGCTACTGCCATGTCCCGCGGGTGATGAGGCAGCTGTGTGTCGCTCAGCTCTGCAGCTGGATGGCTGTCATGTCATTTATGCTTTTCTACACAGACTTTGTGGGGGAGGGTCTGTACGAGGGTGTGCCCAGTGCATTACCAGGAAGTGTGTCCAAGCAAAGATATGATGAAGGTCAGTACTCCTCTTCGTACATTCAACTAAGAAAGTTTTCTCTGGGCTCAAAACAAGTATTTTAATGAGTATGGAAATTACTTTGGGTATACCAACTATAGACAGTGAGGTGAGAAGTATGAAACACTGAGAAATATTACTTGGGAGCCGCTACTTACCATATTTTTTGGGCGACAAGGCGCACCGGATTATACAGCGCACTGTGAATTAACGTTCACACATCAGGATTGATTGGTTTATTGTTGCTAGCATGTACTCCGGGCCTGGACTGCCTTACATGAATGCACTTCTAGTGTAGACATTACAGTCAGGCAGTCTTGTAGACTGCTCAGGGGTTCTGTTACGGCCGATCAGGTAGTGACACAGTGTACCGTAATGCTCTGAATATTCATTGAGCGGAGCTGCTTCGTTGCTCACTGAAATTGTACTCCCACATTTTGGCAGATTTTTGAGCACATTGTACCACATAAAATCGTTCAGTGAGCACAACAAGTAATCATACATAAGGCGCGCTGGATTATAAGGCGCGCTGTCAATTTTTGAGAAAATGTAAGGATTTTAAGTGCACCTTATAGTCTGAAAACTACGGTACTCACAGAAAGGTGAACCTCCTCAGAGTGATGGGACTCAGAATCCTTTTGTTAAAACCAAGTCATGTTACTAGCCAGTTCAAAGTTCAACCAATAAGCTGGGGGAGATGTTCCTTCAGGTGCTTTCCTCAAAAGCTAATTTTATGAACAATTTACACAATGCCCAAACTTTGGATCTGGAGTTGTAGTATGCCGGATTTTAGACCAACCATTTGTCATTTCTTAGCCTTCACCACCTGGTTCATGAAAGCATGCACAGGGTCCATCTTTGCTATGCTGTTTGCACTGTCCCAGTTGGTCAGGATGCACTCACATTCCTCCAGCACAGGTGGAGGACAGAGCCAGAGCTCCTGCTGAATGCCTAGATGCATTCCTACTGACCTTATAGAAATCACCCATGAACATTACAAATAGTGACATGACATCAGGGAATGCCTTTGCAGTTCTGCCTCTCCGAGAGTCAAACTCCTTTGATTAAGTATTCTCCAGCTACAGGGGTATTACCGTCCACCGTGGCACTTCAGAAATGGTGAAATATACACACCTCCCCTGTTTCTGCTCTTTTAATCAGAGAGTTGTCACTAATCCCTCTAGCTTTATTCTTAAGCTATGCCAAAGCTTAGCTGTATAGTTCTACCTAAATATAGTCTTTGGGTAGAAGGTGTACAGACAGATAAACCTGAACAAGTCTGTCCTGTCAGCGGTATAAGAGGGCCAAACATGTGAGGAGGAAGACTCCGGTATTTTTTCCCAGACGATGTTCGAAGAAAGAACAGGAAAGAGGGTGAATGAAGCTGAAGTTAACTGATGTGAGGCAGTTCAGCGTGAAGCTAGACTTCCTATATTACACATGTCTCTGTATGCTTTTTAGCTTCACTTCACACTTTTATTGGTTCTTTCCGACCATCTTAAATCCTTGTTCTCAACCAGCCCCCATCACTCTCCCTCTTTTACTTGCAATTTCCACCATCCATCCTCCTCTCTTTCTTTATCTCCTTCCTCGCTTTTGTTTACTTTTCACTTTGCCTCTGTCTCTCCTCACTGTGCTTGTTGAACCTCAAGGAATGTCACACTCACAAAGAATTAATGTCAAGAAATCAGCGCAACAAGAATGTGTTCATTCAAGTCAGGAAGACGACCAAAAGACCGGACTTTGAGGTCTCTGTTAGGAATATTTGTTTAACCAGAAACTCAGCGGATGTCATGAAACCGAATTATCAGTCTGCAGATGTTTCTATCACTGTAATTGTCTGTAGCTGCTTGGATTTACCTTTTCCAGTTGATGTCTGAGTAGCTTGTTCAGCAGAAGCAACCCATCCTGTTCTCCTGCACACAGTTTCAGCAGTACAACTGCTCTGTCCTATAGCTCAAACACTCCTTCAAGGTTCACTTCTTTATAGTGTTTGTGAAGGAGTTGCTTTCCAGTAGTAGCATAATCCACGTATTCCTTTCTCATAAGTGATTTCTGCTCTGCTGCTCAACTTTTGACCCACACTGTTCACAGAGAGCAGGCTAAGATATCAGGCTGAATGCAGAATAGAATAAATAAATGTCTAGATGTCAGACCAGCTTCTGTGTAACAGGACTTATATTAAAAAAGAAAAGAAAAAACAAACAAACATGTAGATAGTGGGGTAAAGGTGAAATTTAACATTTTCCCATACTAATAAAATCACACAGTTGACCCCAAATTATTAAGCTATTTATAAATAAGGGAATTTCCCCCTGTGGGATTAATAAAGGATTATCTTATCTCTTATCTTAAACACCTAAATTCTGTCGACTTTTTTATGGTGGGATTTTTGACTGTTAATTTTACTCAGCAAGTTTAAATTTAAATTTCACTTTTAATCGTATCATTATGGAGAAGCAGCTTATTTTCCTTTTAAATAACACGGTTGCATCAGTGAGTTTGAGGATGTTTTCTTCACCTCTGCTGGTGGGAGGGAGGAGTTTCAGGCCACCAGAGAAAAGACCACACTGAGCCCCACAATTTCACTACCAGCCAAACCAAAAATTAATTCAGGGTGTAGACATGTTTTCACTCTTCAGTTACTTGATTTGAAATGATAAACCTTTTGCTAAACACCATTTTCTATGGTTTTCAGTATATAACTTAACTTAATAAAATAGTTAAATTAACTGAATCAATCTTAATTACTGTTTTATGTGTTAATTCTTTTAAGACTTGTTTTGATCAAGCACGCTTTTATTTTGAAAGGTCAAAAACCAAATCTCTGGTACATTGTACCACCAAGTGTTTCAAATGATTAAAAGCTGCAAAAATAGTAGTTGAATTGTAAAAATGTACAGTGTTTTATATCCCTCAGATAGCCTCAATGTTGTCGTCAGCTGTGTAAAACAGTCATCAGTTTAGGGGCACTAATTGCCTAGCGGTTTAAGCGTCCCACATATTGATGCTATAGTTCTTGTTCCAGTGGTCGCTTGTTGGAGTCCCGGCCTCCGCCCTTTGCTGCATGTCTTACCCCGCTCTCTCCATCCCATGTTCCCTGTATCTCTTTGGCTGTCCTATCCAGTGAAGGCAAAAATGCCAGGGTTGATGCTTTGGTATGTGAGGTCACATACGAAGTTTGTCCTCAGTTTTATTTCCAAAACTTATAAACTCGACCCACTTTTCTTTGAGAGTGAATGGATGACACTCTGTGAACCTTTCTATGCCTTCCACTGTTTATCTCTTATCCTTCGTCTTTTCTGGTGTCCAGATACCAACTACTGAATACAGATACTGCTCTGATACACTCACACTCTGTAAAAAGAGACTGCTATCTTTGTTAGTGGTGTGTGGTGGAAGGTCTCTCTGATATTGGGTTGAATATATCATTTAAAAACTGCTTGATAACTGCTCCTTTTAATGCTCGAATTTTTTCGGAGGCCTCTAGAATCATCTTCACTTTTCTTCTTCATGTGATGAGGGAGGTGGTGACTGATTCATACCTCATATTGATTATGTTAAGTCTTTAATACTTAGTGTAAATACATGTAATTGTCCCAGTTGCAGGATATGATACTCTCACTGATGATGAATATTTGGATGCTTTACAAGCCAAAATAAATTAATGACTTTATTTGGCTTAGGAGTCTGCAAGTCTGTCTCTGTTTTCGTATCTTGAAATTCTCTCTGCTGGTTGGAAAAACCTCACCCCAATGCTTGTTGTCTAGCTCACAGACTTGGACCTGGAAACAAACTGCTTTAGTAGATAAGCGTTGGCCTGTGTGGGACCCCAGCTTTTAGGCGATTTATGAGGTTAATGCTGTTTGTCCAAGTTGGTCCTCTCAAACAGTGTCCATGCGTGTCTGTGTTGCAGAGAGCTCTGAATTTCAGCAAGCCACTGGAGGAACATTCCTCTGTGTTTACAGGCTCAAACAAACAGCTCAGCCACAGAGCTGTTTATGAGTCACAGTTCAAGGCTAATGTACAGCAGCTCCGGCTGTGGTCAGGAATGCATGCAGGTATCAATACCGTATTGACCTGGATCATAAGACAACCTCCTCTTTTTGAGACCTATTTTTAAAAAATAGAATATCAGGTAAATAATGCAACCAAGTCTAAGTATTTAAACACTTTGAGGATGAAAACCTGCTCTCTACTGTTTGGACAAACCTTACTTACTTACTTACACACATTTCTTCATGCAGTCGTCTTTTTCAGACTTCACACTCCATGGCGCTGTATTTCTTGTCTGTTTAGCAGTCTCTGCTGTATTGCATTTCATTGCAAAAAAGGCTTCACAATCGCACCTCAATTGATGGTTAACCTGTCCTAGTTTTGTGCCACTTTGCAACCATAGGCAGTGAAGGGGTGTTTGAGGTCTTATCTTGGACATGTGGGGTACAGCCTTTTCAGAAAGGCGGCACCATTCATTTTCTTGGTATTAAAGTAATAAACCTTGAAATGAAACAGTTCCACTGAAAAAAGTCTGATATTTGGGTTAGTATGGTAGTCTCTGTGCCAACATTTTGAGGTAATACTATCTAGAGCTGGGCGATATGGCCTCAAATCAATATCTCGATATATTGAGCAGTTCCCCTTGATAACGAAAAATGGTTAACTTTGTCTACTTCAGCCGCTGCTCCATTGTCGTAAATTTTGGTATTGGTAAATATTCGGTTAATTTCCCAGCCCTAATACTGTCATTATTACTCCTGGGTCACCTACAGAGGATTTCTAAGATCTGTAAGACCATGATGGCTCAACTGGTTGTATTACAAGCTGCATTTTCTCTCAGGTATCCGTATGGGCAGCCTGGGCTTGTTCCTGCAGTGTGCTACCTCAACCTTCTTCTCCCTGGTCATGAGTCACTTGGTCCGCCACTTTGGCTCCCGGTGGGTCTACCTGAGCAGCATGGTGAGCTTCACGGTCTCTGCTTTGGTCATCTGCCTTTCTAAAAGTGTGCTCCTGGTCACTGTGATGGCAGCTCTTACTGGCTACGCATACGCCACGCTGCAGACTCTGCCCTACACACTCACCTGCCACTACCACAAGGAAAAAGAGGTGGGTAAAGATCTAATTATCTCACTAGCTTCTAAATGTGTGTCAAAAAATCTTATTGATGAGTTTTTTTCTTCTATTCTCTGTCATGTTTCAGGTCTATATGCCAAAAAACAAAACCAAAAGCATGCTTAACAATGGTATATCCACCAAGCGGGATTCCACGTATTTGACCCCTGCAGAAGGGGAGGGTGAACTCAACCACAATACAGGGACTCCTTATGGACATGCCCTCTTCACCCAGGACCGTCACGAATACTACCCCACTCAGCACAGTGTGAACGGCTCATCTCACAGCTCTGGCGCCACAGAGCAGGATGAGCCTGAGTCTGGGTATGAGAAGCGTGGCGTGGGTTTGGACTTTGCCATCTTGGACAGCACCTTCCTTCTCTCTCAGGTGTTCCCCACCCTCTTCATGGGCATGATCGTTCAGTTCGCCCAGTCCGTCACCGCCTATATTGCCTGCTCTGCCATCTTCGGTGCTGTCGCCATCTACTTGGCCAGTCATATCATCTTTGACCAAAAGGACCTCCTGAAAAGCTGAGACTTGGATGGAGAGTGTGGGAGAGGTGAAGTCACAAATAATCAATCAGTCACTGAGGTGTCATGGTAGAGCCTCAACAATGCACTACTGTTTTCCAGAATGCCTTGTTCCAGTTCTGTGTCTTTTCGTCTTTAAAAGCTCTGCGTTGGGGAAGTCTGTGGTGAGTCAGGTCAGGTGTAGGAAACTCTGTACAGGATTAAACCGAAATATGTCACCAATTTTTCTTATGACATCTTTTTTGTTCATTGTCTTTTCCTCAGGTACCAAAAACAGATTTACTGTAAAAACTCAACCTCAGAAATATCGCTACTAACCTGTTGCGTTTTTATCGCCATCTCTGGGCTGCTGACGAAGTATAATCTTTTTTTTGTCTTCAAACATGTCTTTCGCAGCATTGTCTTGTAGATACTCCTTTGCAGCATCAACAAGCATGTCTGGAGAGTGGTCTTCATCAGTGTAACAGACCTGGCTTGTAGAATAACTTAACTTGTAATTCAACAGCAGTAAAGAAGAAAAACGATAACTCCGGGGGGGATTTACTTCGGCAACGCTGTGAGGTTAGGAAGACTTGAAAGAAACACAAAAGGTTATTCTGTGTCTGTCAGGACAGCGGGCCAAGCTGAGCAGGCTAATTCTGAAAGGAATAGTTTCTCAGTGAGGCTGTATGAGGCATTTGTCACCAGTGTTTCAGTAACAGGGGATCCCAGCCAGCTTGGCCCCTTTGTTGCAAAAAATAGCTTGAAAACTGGAACAGAATCTAGACCATCACCCGCTACTACGGGCCGACTCTACTGCGAGATTTAGCTAATTTTATCTAACTCTAACCAAAGCACTATCTTACATGTTCCTATGTTTGCAGTGTGCCAATCAGCTACTCTAATCGATTACATACAGGTCACTGAACCTGTGAATTTCAATAATTTTGCTTTCTCAGTTTGACTTACTCATCGAAGATTATCATTCTGACACAGTCATGTCTGTAGCGTTTATTTCAGCTCTACACACTGTGGGTCGTGTCATTAGCTTCTGTTTTGGTACTCCAGCTGCTTTCTAACCAAGAAAGGATCCCCATATGGCTAATACACCTATTATGAACAAATACCTCATACAACCCTGCTTCAAAAAAAACAAAACAAACAAAAAAACATGAACTTTCCCTTTAAATTTTCCATCACTTACAACACTGTCATCTTTACTTGATGTTCCCACCTGTTAAGTGCCATTCTATTCTATCAAATCTCAACCTTAAATCAAGATGAGCAACCCTGAAGATATCATCCAGGTTAGCTCCACTGTGTGGACAAAGCTCTTTCAGAGCCACAAAGGACAGTATACAACAGTTTTTACGAACAGAGTACAGCTGAGGTAGTAAACAGGTCTTTTTCTTTTTAATCAGTACCCCTTTAAGTACTTCGTTTTACTTTTATGCTGGCTCAATTTGATGTGCCCCCAACCCTCAATCCAGAGTCATCTTTTCATTGAAGACCAGATTTACTGTAAATATTTTGTAAACAAGTTTACTGTGTATCCCTGTGGGAGAAGTTTGATATGCAACCTGTTGAGGTGAGGTCTTGGACTGTGGTGGTTTTAGAATGAAGCCGTTTACTGGAGCTGAAAAAAAATTGCATCAAACGTGCTCTGTCTGCATAATCAAGTGTAGTCTGGAGCAATGTGTCTGATCAGGACAGTGGTCTCAGGTAAGCACACTGTCCTTATACCACTGATAAACTCATCCCTGCTGCCTAAACCTTCATATTTAACTATGTATTTAAATGACAATCTAGGACATCCAGACGGGCTTGTTATGTAAGGCTGTATGAAGCCTGTGCAGTGATATCAGATGGATGCTCACTTCATCGCACCTGCTCCCGATAGACCAAAAAGAAGACGAAAAAAGGTTCCCAGTTATTGCAAATATTTAGTCACTGAACATGGTGTAAGAGGAGGTGCTCCAGTTTGATGGGAGGGTCAATCTGATGTGTGTGTGAGTGTGTGTGTGAGAGAGAGAGTGTGTGTATTCATAACATGGAGGTCAAACAGAAAGCATGAGTAATATATTAATGTGGAGCTAATAAAAGGCGTCCTTAAAGAGCAGTTATAGTCACACTAAGCTGCACTGACGTTAACCTGGCCCATAAGATGCTGTGTGCTGGGATCTATTGTGGCCTTCAGTTGAACTTAACAAATTATCCCGCTCATGTAAACAATGTGCTTGTTTTGCGGTCAGTTACAGAGTTCACTTGAGCGTTTTGTATCCAGGTCCTCTGATCCTGTATGAGAGGTGATGAATTATGTTCAGCCGATACAAATAGTCCTGAAGGATCTTATCGCCTGGGCTGCTCAGCATGGAGGAGGTAAAAACAGCAGAGGATCTGTTTGTCATGTTGACACTGCTGCAAGGAGGAACACTCGAGGGACTGCGTTGTCCTTCTCACCCCATAAAATGTCTAGCAATTAGCTGAAGTGTCTGAAAAAAAAAAAAAGGTTGATAAACAAGTGCCTGTACATTTTTCAAACAAATTTTGTACATATGTATTTATTTATTATGCTTTTATTACGGATTAGCTGGTATTGAACTATTGGCCTCTTTGGCATCTTTCATAGGTGCAATGGTGAAGGCTGTCTCTGTGAAAAAGATAAGTTATTTGTATAGATGTGGTATAGAAGCATCATCAGAGCTATAATTTATTTTAACATTACCAATTCTATCCTGTAGCTTTGATAACATTACCAAGTCTTTGTTTCATGTGTGATCTGGTTATGTATTGAATGAGCTGCAGATGAGAATATTGAGAGTTATCAGCATTTTACCTTGTGGTTGCACACCCTGTATCAGCTTCAAACTTTCTGTAACAAACTGAGATTCTGTGTGATTTTCTTACAGCTTGTGGCATTTTTGATTTTAGTCTTGCTTTATTACGGTTTTTATAACCACTTTTTTTTCAAGAGAAATCTGTTTTATTATCAAACTAAGCTGACAAAAACTACAGGTATCTTTGAAGTGGATGGATTTTAGTCATTTTGCTGTCAACCAAATCTTAATTTCAAACTAAAGTGCCAATGTTGAAACTGTATTTAGGACAGAAGTGACCGTGTCCCTATGTTACTGACCCATTTTTTTAAAAGTGTTGTCAAAGATTTCAGTCATTTGTGTGATTTCACGTTCACATTCAGCCATAACAAACTGTTCATTTCACTTTCCATCCATCAGATTGTGTATAAATATGCAGCTACCAAATAGATTTTATACAAAATAAAAGAACTGCATCAATAAAGAGTTGTCCTTGAGTATTTCTATCAAAAACATTCTGGTTTCTTTTTGCAACTCCAGTTACAAAAATGTTGGAATGCTGAAAAAAATACTGATAAAACAGAATCCGGTGGTTTGCAAAGCATGTAAACCCTGAACTCAATTGAAAAAAGTGCAAAAAGAAAAGAAAAATACAACAATTACATGCTAGATTTCAGATTTGTCGCCAGCATTGTGTTGACAAGGACAAGAACATGTTCCCATTGTGTCTCATCAATTCTTGTGACAATGAGGACCAGTTTCTTGAGTTTTGAAACTTAAAAGATATTTTTTTGTGTCCCAAGTTTGTGACACACTAGGATTGCAGACAGGCCAGATTGTTCAGCATTAGCTTTGCATTCTCAGATGTGTTAACTGCCCCTGCTATGGACATCTACGCATCCCAGTTCCCTATAGATGCTGGCTTTAGATGTGTATGCTGATGAAAAGCTGGGTGGTCCTCCTCCTCCTTTTCTGTAGTGTGATGGATGCAGTGTCCATGATTTCCAAAGGGAATGTCAAATTTTGATTCATCAGACTTCGGGAAAATGTTTCACTTTGACCATAAGTCCATCTTAAAATGGTCTTGGGTCAAGAGAAGCCATCTTCATTTGTGGAACATGTTGATACTTTCCTTTTTGCATGGAAGAGTTTTAATCTGCATCTACCTATCTACCTATTTAAGGCATGTGTATATATTGTATATATCTTTTTTTTTATTATTCTTTTGTCTTTTCACTATTTCGTTCATTTTACCTACCTACCTACCTACCTAGAGAAGTGAACCTCTTCCCATCCTCCGGGAAACTGTTTTCCAACTGTTTAGACGGCGTCAAATCTAAACTGATCAAACAGTATTCATACCGTGTCAATATTTAATGAGTTGCCCTTGCACTATTTTCAGATGAATGTAGTCTTTACATAATTTGCAGACTATTAAAATCTATCTTTGTGTATATTTCAGCCAACATCCTGACTCTCCTGTATTGTGGGTTGTACAATATTTTGTCAGTTCACATGAAATTTATGTCACTGTAACTTTTTTGGATCATTCAATCTAAATCAGATTTTGATCAACACTATTTAGGAAATGTTTTGTTGCATGGCACAAAAATCTAGATACCATGAAGTGGACAGACATTGAAGACTGGACTATACTGAGGTGGTTTCTGTGAACTTGGATATGGTGCCATCCTTTGGATAAGTTGAGGAACTGATGTGTGGAGAGGGACTGCTGGTGCGCAACTGCACCGGCTCCACTGACGCATGGGCATGCTGCTGGTGACATTATCTATTACATGGAAAAGATGATAGGCTTTCATGTTGCAGGGAATGGCACGCTGACTATGTGTGCCATTCTATGACAGGCCTCTCCCGTTTGCTCCGCATAGTTCTCACGATTGCACCATGGGAAATTCACGAGTTATGATTGACTTATTAAGCTATGAGACTCGTCAAAAATGTCACTGTGGGCCCCGTTAACAAACCACGCTGTGTGTGGGGACTCAGTATTTCGCTCAAGGGCAAGTTAGAGGGACGGATGCTGGTCGTCACTAGGGTCTTGAATCCTGGTAGCTGGGAGAGAGTGGGAACCAGTGCGTGATTTTTTCATTTGGACTCAGAAAAATCAGATTTGCATGAGAAAAGTTCTTGAGAGACAGAGCAAAATAAACGGGATCACAAGAGCCCTGTCATTGCTCTCCGGTGACAAGTGGGCCTGTTTTTACACCTTCCTTCTAAATAAGGAAGCGGCCTGACAGACATATGACCACCGACCCAATTTGGGAGCAGCCTGAGTGCCCCACCGCGTCCCACGGCCGCTGAACGCCACCAATAAGCTTTCTGCCCTTCGTGTGCAGCACTGACAGTAGACTGTCCCCTCAACTCTCCACAGACTTGATATTTTTTTTGCTGTCAGCACCCCGCTCTACCCACGCATTGTCCCAGCGGTGAAGTCAGCATGATGTCATCCAGGGATGCGAAAGCCCTGGCAAGGTTGAAGCAGGGTTTTCGGTGAGTGGTGGAGGATTTGTTCTGAACTCTTACCGAGAGGGAGACAGAGAGGGGGAAGAGAGAGAGAGAGAAAGAAAGAAAGAGAGTGTATGTGTGTGTGAGAGAGAGAGAGAGAGAGGCGCGGAGGAGCTGCAAAACATGGTAATCACCACCACCAACATCACCACCATCACCACCACCATCACCTCCAGCTCTGCCGCGCACTCTCCCGTCTCCTCTCCTCCTCTGCACCGGGGCTTGCGTTTCATGCCCATAGCCCTGATCTGCGCTCCAAAAATAACCCCCAGCCAGCATGCCGAAGGAAGCAAAACAAGAAGAGCGGTATTTTTAGGGTCATTAAATTGGACCACGTGGCCCGAAGGTAAACCGGATGGCCGTTGCGCAAAGGCTCCTCGTCAGTATGTCCTGCGAGGCCGGCACGCCGCACTGGACGCTGACCGCGGTGGTTCTCCTGGGCTTTCTGCTGGGGATCGTGTCAGCGTACCCGTTACCGAGCAGCAGGACAAATGCAACTTTACTGGAGAAAAGATGGGAGACCCTCTTCTCCCGCTCTGTACTGGGGATCTCCGGGGAGAAACCGGAGCTGAACTGGGAGAGTGACTATCTGCTGGGCATCAAAAGAGTGCGGAGGCTCTACTGCAACGTGGGCATCGGGTTTCACCTTCAGATCCTCCCCGACGGCAGGATAAACGGTGTACATAATGAAAACCAGTACAGTGAGTTATTCCTCCACCGATGTAATGCAATAGACTTAAAAGAGAGGCAGTCAGTGAGCATGGATCTGTGATGGGCAGGCTAGTCATCCCCTCTATTCATTTGCATGATCATATGTCATCCCACTCTCAGGGAGAATTGAATTTCTTCCACAGCAAAGACAAATCTATTAAAAATAAGTCTCCATCAGTGATGAACACCCCCCACCCCCCCTTCTACCCCTCCAGCTCAACCATGACATGAATGTATGGACGCTTTTAGACACAACTTATTTTTACGCAGCTCTGTGAGGGCGGTCCAGAGACCAATAGCCGTGCACGTCAATGCAATTACTGCAATTATTGCTATAACCTGAGTGCGCTTAATTGGCACGCGCCTGGATGCAAATGGGGACATGGGGTGAAAGATGCAGAACAAAGGCTCGGCATGCTGCGCAGCAATCTGCAAGGTTACACCCATAGACGCAGGGAGAGCACAATGCTACTACTGTCACCATGATAAAAACTGAGAAGCAGCCTGGATGACCGGGTGGATTCTCCTCTAATCTTCACGTCTTTGTCTTGGTTTAGGTCTAATAGAGATCTCCACGGTGGAGAGGGGAGTGGTGAGCCTTTTCGGGGTGAGGAGTGAGTTGTTTGTCGCAATGAACAGCCGAGGAAGGTTATACGGAACGGTAGGTATGCACAGCATTTCATTTATTGTCCAGCAATATTAGTTAAAGGAACCCCTGGAAATAAGACGCACTTGCATCCCCTTGCATAGTGATGTATTTCGGGATGAGACTCCAGCAGGACGGCTGCTTGGTATGCGTTGCGAAATCCATATATTTTAATTTCATTAGGAATGTATAAAGCTCTATTTAAAGCAAGTGTGCCAGGCCTTATGGCGCACGGGTACATAATGATGAGGCAAACAGATGCAGGGTCGAGTCCTGACGCCTCTAACGTGGTCGGTGTGTGTGTGTGTGTGTCTGTGTGTGTGTGTGCGTATGTGTGTGTGTGAGGAGGGAAAACCCCTTGACGCAAAGGGACCTGTCAGCAGAGCTGCCAATCGATTTTTAACGGCAAAGCGCTCATTTTGCTGGAGCATCACACACCGCCAGCAGCAGCAGCAGCAGCAGCTCTCCCTGCTCCATCCTGCTCAGGATAAGGCTGGATTGGGATAGGAAGGATTCTGTAGAAATATACAGATCTGAGCTGCAGTTCAGCTTTTCTCTGGAAAGCATCAAACGTGCTGGTGGAAACGTGTTGAAACGTATCACTGTACTCAGGTCTTTTTAAGATGTGTTATCTCATTGGTGCATCCACAGTGAACAACTGAGTGCTGCTCTCTCTCTGACCTAGTTAGAGACTCTTTGTCTCTAACTAGTGATGAAGTGAAGGCAGAAAATATAATACTTAAAGTTGTGAGAAAACCTGTGAAGACCTTTGTCTGTAGGTCACACATTGTCTAATGATGGTCAACGTCGTCCGTCATGAACTCTAAAATGTCTCATAAATCTTCAGTTTACTGTGATTTTATTGTCGTGTTGTGAGTTCCCCTTCATCTTTTTGGTAGATATTTGTGTCATTCTCTAAAACAAGCTCGTTCTCCTATAGTGGCCCTTTGGCAAGTTGAGGCCAATCATTTGTTTTATTGTCCCTCAAGAGGCTGTCAACACACATGTAAGGTTTGACCGCATTAAAACAAACATTACTGAGGTAAAAGGACCGTGTTTGCCTTTGCCTTTAAGAATTGAATTCAGGGTCTCTGAGTTACCTTTCAAAGATATAAATATAAATAACATTTTTAAAAGAGGTTGATCAGAGGTTCAAGATCAATATGGTCAGTGGAGATAATCTCCTCTCATTTTACCATGTCTGGACTCAATATTGTGATTAAAAACAAGGCCATACATCGTCATATTTGTATTTTAAAATATGTACTTTGCTGAGTGCTACAAGCAAGTTAAAATGTGTGTGTAACAGAGTGGAAGAAAAGTTAAAATCTACTGTTAAGATCTGTAAAAATCAGTAATTGTTTGAGTCATTTGTTGCTACTAGCTGACTAAATTTTCCGTAAAGCTCTCTTGCTGCTGAAGTTTACTAGTCTTGATGTTGTAGACTGAATTTTGCAGGTAGTGTTTAATCTTATGCAGCGGTTAGAAGACATTTCATTTTCTACTTAATGCAAATGTTTTATACGGTACTGTAGTCAACTGGTAACTGTAAATCTTTCACTCAGTCGGTTTTATTTGAATGAATCCAAACATACATTTGCAGATACTCTCTATGCCCAGATACTTTTAATCCTGTCACATCTTGGCGGGATTGAATCTCTTGTTGGGTTTCTTGTTTGAATTCAACAGAACTGAAATGACTTTAGCCTTTCAATGACTTTCATCCAAAGCATGCAGATGAGAGTTTTGTTGAAGAAGTACTAAAGATCACCTGCAGAAAATGTGATCTCCACAAGAGCAATGACAGCTACTAACATATTTACAGCCATGGTGGAGGGGAACACATTGTGCTGTGTAGAGCCCTGCTGACAAACGGCTGCTGATTTGCTTGTCACAGCAAACATATTTGACAGGCAAAATGTGAGTCAGTTATCTGGTCGTGAGTGATGAAGCGTTGGCTTGTGAGCTGGCTGATGATCTGATAAGAGATTGAATTAGGCCACATGGCCTCTGACGGAGAGTATTTTCTCTGCTGCTGAACATAATACAAAACATGAACTGTTTGCACAGCATAAAAGACTAGTCCTTTTTTCTTTACAGTGACAGAAGCTCTATTTAAAGATTTTACGCAGTTGGGTTTATGAGAACAGTCCTTCAGTGATCGCTCTTACCCTCATAATTAAATCTTCTTGATAAATCTTCTTGATAAATCTGACTGTGGTTTTGGTTTTCTTCCTTTATAATTCTATTACGTTTGGAAAATAATTTTGCACTATTAAACTGCTCCTATATAACCTCAGCAGTTCAGTTATTTCAGTTCCTGGGTTGTTTCATGTGACTATCATCATGAGCAAACTCACTCAAGTGACCCTAGAAGAGTAAAGGCGCATCGATTGACCAATTACTGACCATAATCAGCTGATTTTCCAGTCTTGTTTGGACTCGGAGACTGGGTGACTGGGGAGTCCTCTCAATTTTTATTGTCGATCTCAGACTTTGAACTTTGACAGCATGTTTCACAAACATACAAAATAAAATGCAGACATGATGTGCCCAGCTAAGGTGAAAGTACATTGATTGACATATTGAAGGATAAAGAAGAAGAAATGTGTATTTTCAGGCAGACTAATTTGTCCACTTATTAAAAGTATTTCATGAACTAGTTAAATACTCTAAACTTGTAACAGACAGGTGCTTTCAAATATATTTCAGTTAGGACCACTTTTATTATTAACTATTTGCATACCATAAGTTAAAATCAGCAGTAAGGCTCTGTTCTCAGAGAGCTTCTGTTCTTCCACTTGTGTAAGGGGAAAGTCAAAGCCTGAGGGAGGGAGAGCAGCAGCAAAGACCCCAGAGATACAAAACAGAGCAGGCATCAGAGTAGGGCTGGGCGATATGGCCTCAAATCAATATCATGATATATTGAGCAGTTCACCTCGATAACGATAAATGGAAAATAACTACTCCACAAGCTGCTCACCCCCTCCCACATTAACTTCGTCTACTCCAACCGCCCTTCATCTCCTCACCTGTCTTTCCCTCTTTGTTACGGACTGGATGGGTTGGTTCTCTGACGTAGGACAGCGTCTTAAAGGGACATGAGACCATAGCCTACCTACACACATCCAAAACCAACTTTTATTTATTTATTTTTTTGACACCAAATATATTGACATAGGCAGAATGACGTCAGTTATTGTCGTAAATTTTGGCATCTGTAAATTTTTGGTTTATTGCCCAGCCCTACATCAGAGGCACTTAAAAACCCAGTTGAGTCTGACCCAGTGTAAAGAGTAAAAACTGGGATGGAGGTAGGCTGCAAAACTCTCTGGGAAATTTTAAAATTTTCTTGTTAAGTTTCATTGAACAAGATGCAAAACTAAATTTATGGGAGTTAAAAGAAAACCTTGGCCTGGAATACCTTGCACCATAATTTGTATTTGGACTTAACAGTGTAGCTTGACTCAGAGCAATGAGATACAGTGATTTGACTAGAGATGAGACACATTTTATTGGCAAGATTTGACTTCTTTGCAGTGCAATTGTCATTGTTTCAGGCTGCTGCACAAGTTTGTCCTTGAGGGCTACTGTAAAATTATAACTTGCTCTGTTGGCTGTCGGTAGGGCTGGGCGATAAAACAACAACGTTATATATCGAAAATTAATTCCCCTTAATATCAATTTAAAACATAATCAATATGCCTTTTGATAGTTGGCATTCTGCCATGTTTTGGTAGACTATACAAATAGCCAATGAAAAGAGGAGTTTCTCCAGGTCCGCGTCGCGCTGAACCAATCATGTGCTGAATTAGAACCAAGTAGCAAACGACTGTGTAGTAGCAGACTGCAGCTACACGCAACCATAGAACTTTAACAGGTGAAGCCGACAGCACTGTTGGTGAGAAAAAAAGAAAATGAGTACTAACCCCGGCAGAAATGCAGATGAAGGCTAAACAGATGATGACATCTTCGACAAAATTGGCACGGAAATGTCGGTGGTGTGGAGGTATTTTAGTTTTTTGAGGTCGGACATGAAGCAGAGTAATGTGCACTACAAATTATGTCGAGTACTTGTTCTTGCAAAGTCGGGGAATACCTCAAATTTTTTTTACCACCTGAAGCAGTGCCACGCGGCAGAGCACGCACAATGCAAAAGGTTACAAACCCCAAGCGGAGTAAAGAGCCCATGGTGCCTGTGCAGCCAAAACAGCCAACCATTCAGTCCGCTTTCTCTAGCGCAACACCTTGTGACAAAACCTCAGAGATGCAGTAGCTTATCGTACTGCAAAAGACATGCTACCAATAAGCACAGTTAAATGTTATTTTTTATATTGTGATATATATTGATATTGACTGATATGAAAAATATATGTTGTGATAAACTTTTTCCCAAATCGCCCAGCCCTATATGTAGGTGTGCTAAATAACAGAAAACATGAACTGACTCACTGTGCTTGGCTTGGTTACAAATAAGTAATAAAATAACTATTTATCACCATTATTCAAGCAGCAAAGCCCCTTGAGAAGGGGCAGCTTGTGTTTGGGTGCTAAATATAAGTGCCAAAGTGTAAATTCATTCTTCCCAGTGCTGTCTAAATTTAGATTAATATTTTTATGCATGCCTCAGAATCTTTTTTAGGACTTTTTGAATGTCCTGCCATGAGAGCTTCAAACCACACACTGTCTATTTCTTGAGTTGTTCATTACACACATAATTACACACTCTTTCTGTGTCTTTGTCCTCTCCAGACAGTCTTCCACGACGAGTGCAAATTCAAGGAGAGCATGCTCCCGAACAACTACAACGCCTACGAGTCTCTGGTTTACAGAGGCTCCTACATAGCACTCAGCAAGCATGGCCGCGTGAAGAGGGGCAACAAGGCCACCACTGCCATGACTGTAACGCACTTCTTACCCCGGATATGATGAGCAAAAACTGGCAATAACAAACTTATTTGCACATGTGGATTATTTCCCAGGTAACATAAATACCGTATACGTATGTCCAAACATAAAAAACAAAATGGACTGTAAAAGAAAGAAAAACCACTATATATGACAGTATTTATTCAAACTTTATATGTATATTTGGGTAGCTTACTTTGTATTAGAAATGATGGAAATGCCATTCTTTGCTGCTTTTATGATTTTCATCATTTTGTGACATGAAGGGGATGGAGGGGTGTCAGTTGTCCCCTCAGTTTATATGGGTGCTTGCTGGAACTGGTTGAGCTTTGGCCTGTCAGTGGATGATGGTTCATCCTTTTGGGAAATTAAACAGATACGTTATTACCTCAAAGCACCATATCCTGGGAGAAAAAGAGAAAGCGGAAAAAAGAGAAATGTATGCATGAAATTTCTACAGAGAAGAATGCCTGTTTACTGGAAAAATGATTCTGTTGTCATCCATGGAGGACTTGGACATTTCTCATCCTCTATATTCGAGTATCTCTTTCGCTGTCAGGGCAACTAGAGCACTTGCAAATATGGCGCAGTTTTTTTCTTGCTTTGTCATGAGGTGGCGGTGCCTTGAATTCCTACTTGCGGCCCCCTTCCCCTAGCATGTGAGAAACGTGGTGCTCGAGTCAGAAATAGGAATGAAACGCAAGTCATCACTCCCTCTGACACCACCCACGGGGCTGTAGCCCAATTCCTAGAGGGCCAGAGGTTTCTCTACTTTATTTTCCTTCCATAATTAGATAGATTAAGTAATTGAGACTCTATGCTGCACAGGACCCAGTGGAGCCTCTCGTTAATATGGAAAGCTACATTTAGAGTCAGCACTCATCCCCCTTGCCCCACATGCCCGACATGTCCAAGGGAGCTTTGACAATCCCAGGTTTTACTGTCACAAATTTTTGTAGCCGGATCATGAGTGTGTACTGTATGTTCGGACATGCATTTATTTTAAGAATGAGTGTGGACTTGTGCAGTTTCAGAGCCTCTTAAATTGAAAAGCCTTTCTCGGTATTTGGGGGGGCCCTCTGTTAAACAGGATACTGTAGACCTGACACTATGAAGCAAACATCCTCTGCTTCTCTCTGCTGTATGTGGTACCCCCCTTTAGTTCAAAGTGAGGTGAAGCAATCTGCTGCATCTGTTGTGCAATGTTGGTCTCTTATTGTCAATGACTCATTCTGATATCTTTACAAAAAAAAATCTGTCTATTTGTCAAAAGTGATGATAGGAGCTGTTTGATCTGGCACTGGTTTGACTGATATTGGGCTCTTCTTGAAAATTCATCTTGTAGAATAAGAGAAAAGTTAGAGTTGCTGTAGCTGTGGTCTAGTCATTGCATTCATTTACAAAATAGCCTACACTTCTTTGGTTTACGGAGAACTTAAACTGCTCAAGATTACATGACCATGAAATCTGTGAACAGACTCAGTTTGGCCAGGTACACAATGCAGGAACAAAGTGACCCATATCAGATTTTCTTTTTGCTCATGCGTGACTCAGATCTTATTTTTATGATGACAGTGTGAACAGCACAAGTCACATTGAATTTGATTTTTCAAATCAGATTTGGGTCCCTTTTGTGTGTGGTCTGAGATCAAATACAGTATGGATTTTTGGCTGTGCGACAATGGTGTGAGCACCAAAGCTGGGTTGAATGTGACCGTGTCATCACTCTTGAGTGAAACATGTCACAGGTCTACAATGGGGAAGCTCGGTGAAGAAGTCAGGTTTTTGGACCTCAGGAGTATTTGTGGTGATATTTCTACACAAGCTTTAGAGATCACATTGTAACCTACCTGTGTTTGAAAGCATACTGAAAGACATGGCTACACAAGTACGTAACTGCAGTGTCAATGGAAAGTGAAGAGCTGTAAAGACACTTTAAAAGAAGCCAAGGACTCTAAACCAACGCAGCGGCTCGTTTAACAATGAGTTAGTTAATATTATGATGATGAACCCCACAGTCAACTGTAAAAGCTGTATTATAAACCTGCTGATGCAGGATTCAGGACTGTGACCTGTTCACACAGGAATCTGATTCAGGCCAAACTTTCAAAGGAATGTAAACAGTCAAACACATCAACAAATCTGAGCAATTAACCTGGAACTGAGTATGAAGGCCTGCAGTGTGAGCGATGCCTTTGTCTGATACTTCAATGTTGTTGATTGTGCTTAATGATCCTAGATTTTGAAGCTATTTATGTGGTATTTGATTGGTCTCTTTTGAAAAAAGACGTTTGATCATTGTTGCCAAAAGCAGTGAACCAAAGGGTTATGGTAGCACTATTCATTTAGGCTCTGTGTGCAGAGCTTTACATACTTGAATTTAACATCTGCAGATCTCCTCTGTTCATACGGTAGCTTTTTCAACCATTAAGAGGACGAGGTGGAGCAGGATGGAGAGCAGACAGAGTTACAGAAGTCAGAGTGATGTTCAGACGACTTGAGGGGGACTCTGCATGCGGCACTGGTTGCCAGTTTAACTTGGCAATGATGCAAATAATGTGGGGTAAAATACCTGAGCATCAGACTCTTGGGCCCCTTGTGTGTTAATGAGAGACTGGACAGAGTGCAGGATCCCAGATTCTTGTCTGACTCATCTGAGACACTTTGGTACCAAGTTCAAAGTTGGGGTCCTCTGTGCTGTTCTTCATTTAGGTATGATTTCTTGTTCACCTCAGAGACTTTTATTGTGTTGTTGTGGGATTTCTGCACCTGTAGGAGACAGAAAAAGTTTTTCTGAAATGTGCAATGACGAAATGAACAACCTACACCTTTTTTTGTTTGTTTGTTCTTCTGATCAGAGTCTGTTTAATGTTAAAGCTTCATTATAGTTCAGTTATTTATTCTTTCGACAACATTATCATGTTTTGGAATCTGACCTGCAATACTCTGTAAGTAGGAAAATATTGGTCAGGCCAATCTGGCAAAACATGAGCAAACAAAAGTAGCAAGACTCTTCTTGGTGTGTGTCATCATATTTTACCTCATGCCCTTTCCAACATTACTGTAATACACTGACAAAAGTCTGTGAGCGCCGGTTGACGAGCCCTTTAAGCTCCAGCTTATGTCTTGTAGCAGAGACGAATGTGTAGCTTCTGTTCAGAGTGTGTGTGTCTGTGAGCATGTGTGTGTGTGTGGATGTGCATGTTTTCAACTGAGCATGCTCCTGTCATGTTCTGTTTCTGCTGAAGCGTCAGTAGAGATGGTATCAGTTAAATTTACCACGAGTCAGGAATAACAGGGCATTGTCTGTGCAAGCTGATGTACTGTACTCTCCTCGGAGACGATGATGATGAAGATGAGAGGGACGAAGGAAGTTAACACAGAGACTACTGAGGGGTGTGTGTTTAAAGAGAGCACTGCTGGGGTTTAGAAGCTGGCAGTTATGTAGCAAAAGGCCACTTAAAATGAATCAAATGCTTCCAGGAAGGAGATAATGAAGTTGAAGAGGTTGTCTGCAGGACTGATTACTGTGACCCAAGAGAGCAACTTGACTCGTTTAATGCTTTCATTGACACTTTCACAATACTTCTTTTTGACTGATCAGCCTTTATGACATAAAAATATGATCAGTTTAGCATTTTCAGGTCTGATTTTGCAGCAGTGAAGATTTGTAGAAAAGGTATTTTGGCTTCTATGTTAAATTCTACTCAAAGTGCACATCATTTTTGATGGGGTGCAATTTACTAAGCAGGGGTGCATACAATTTTTTTTTCTTATTGTTTTATCACAACCAGCTAACATGCAAGATCAAAAGTACCTTTCTTTGGTGCCGCTGTTGCAGTACTTTCTGTTTGTCATTTCTAATTTATTATTGTATGTTTCAGGGGGCACTGTCAGCACAAGTCAGGAGTTTAATGTCAAAAAGGGGACTTAAAATTATAAAAGCTCCTGATAGTTTGATACTGTTTACAGCCAAAAACAAACTTAGCCTGAGAGCTGAAAGTAAAGAGGAAATTTAAAGTTGTTTCTTGTTCTTTGCATGATATTATTTAAAAGCAGAAAAGGTAACTGAGAGATGGAACGAAAAAACAGGCCAACACCATAAAATGCTAAACCTTTAATTTGTAAAATCTTTTCTGATGCATTGAGGGTTTATACAAAGTTGGTGTGTCACCCCCTGGTTATGTATTATTTGTCATGCAGCTGGTTTTAAAGTGTGTTGGTTCACAGGGAACTGGAGGTTTTCAGGAGGATCTGGGATCAGATGTGTGTACATGTGTGTGTGTATGTATATGAGTGTGTGTGTGTGTGTGTGTGTCCCTGTGTGCCGGCAGCCTTTGTGTTTCTCTCTCAGTTTTCTATTCCTGCACTGAGGGGAGAGTGCTTCCTCTGAGTCCCCCTCCTCTTTTTTAACATATACCTCACCTTCTGCCTTAGTTCCGATTATTGAAATGATTGTAAATTAGTTTGAAACAACAGACTTCTCCAATCATTTGTTTCTGAAAAATATGATGACGAGTAAGTAAAATACTATATTACAAATGGTTTTCCTTTTATTTTTGTACGTATGTGCTGTGCACAGCAGTCAACTGTATTCCTGAGATGATAATAAAAGAGGTTTTTTAAAAACTGGTTTGATTGGATGCTTTCAAACTGTGTTTGTTTCATGGTCATTTCGTTTGAACTGTAAAGGTAAATGTAAAGAAATTCTGAATTTCTAATCAAGGATGTGTTTATAAAAAAAACTCATGGGTGGATGTGTGGCGCCCTCTTATGGTGAGAAAAACTAAGACAACTACATTACAGACAGATATAGCAGAAACCTTCAACTTTATGGGTTTTATATTTAAAGAAAACTCCAGACCTCCTCTTTGGACTAATCTATGTAATCTCTTAAATATAAGTACATGTTGAATAGATTTTACTGCTCCAAATAAAATAATGAAACATTATTCTGATGTTCTTTAAAGGTAAATTTGAAACAGTATAGCCTCTCAAACATGCAGCAGGTCATAAATGTTTACCCTTTCAAACACGTTGAACCTGTCAAAATAGAAAATAATATATATATATATATATATATATATATATATATATATATATATATATATATATATGTATATCAGGGGTGGGCAATCATGTGCCATGGAGGGCCGAGAGACTGCAGGTTTTCTTTCCAACCCAAAACTCCACCAGGTGATTTCACTGATTACCTTACCTTCAAGCAGAGAGCAGGGACTAATCAGTGAAATCACCTGGTGGAGTTTTGGGTTGGAAAGAAAACCTGCAGCCTCTCGGCCCTCCATGGCACATGATTGCCCACCCCTGATATATAAATTCAATTTTAACAAAACAGTTCAGATGTAATGTCAAATAATCCCCCAAACAGATTTTGATGGTTTGCAAATAATTCAAACCGTATGTGTTAAAAATCCATTCAAATACAACTAATAAAATGTTAAAGAGAAAAATAAAAAAAAACTGCATTGATGCCAGTAACAGTTCTCCAAAAAGTTAGCCTCAGGTCATGTTTACCATTGTGTTGCATCACTTTTTCTTTTAACAACACTCTGTAAATGTTTGAGAACAGAGGAAAACTGTTTCAGGGATTTGGAAAGTGAAATGTGTTACCAGTCTTGCCTGATATTTCAGCTGCTAAATGTTTATAGTGGGTGACGAGTTGAAACTGTGGGCAGACCGGACAAGGCTCTGGATTGCCCAAGCAGTCTTTCAGAGTGGTCCTCATCTTGCTTTTTTAAATACCCAGTTATGTCATTAACACGGTCTAAATGAACCTCATTGATTGGAGGATATTTCTCTATATGCAACATGTCGATCACTCAACTTTCTCAGTTTGTTCTTGTACCTGTTCCAAGTGCTTTAAAATGTGGTGCTGGCATAAAATCTAAAATGAGTGTATAGTTTTCTTCAAACAATAAAAAAAAAGAAAAAAAAATCAGATTTAAATTTGATAATGGTGGTTGTGCCAATGGTGGAGTGGGTCGGCTCTCAGTTGGCTGTGTCCTGCAGTGAGTAAATGGGTTGGAACACTGACAGGTACCTCACATAGCAGCCTCTGTCATTAATTTGTGAATGAGACACAGAAAGTGATAAACACAGTCCATTTACTATTTATATGCTTTATTTGCACTATTTTTAATTAAAGAGTTTGAGTGATTTGTAAGAAACACTTTCAACCCCATACAGCAGACAAATCCTGATATTCATTCCTATTTATTCATTATTTAGCACTAGTTGACATCTTTTGTTCTCCTGCTACCAGAAAAGATATGAACAGTAGATGGAAAATATGGAACTGCATTTTAAATGAAATTTGAGCAGGTCCTAATGACAGGAACTCAAAGACTTTCTCATAGTTTCATCAGGGAAAAAACACTTAACCTGCCAAAAATGCGAGGTTAGAACTTTTCGCTTGACAGTGCATTATGTAAAGGGAAGTGAGGACAATGAAAAGTATGTAGAGTTAATTGATAAGCAAAGTACGAGCCCTCTGCTCTTGGATGATAGTCGAATGTGACTCAACAGGGTGCAGTATTCATTTTAACTGTCACCCATTAATGCCTAAGCTGAGAATGCTGCACTGCTGATTGTTTCCTGTGGTTCATAGCTGAGTGCAGAACAATGCAGCTCTGTTTTATTCCAAAGGTTCAAGTTGAACTCGTCCTCAGGTGGGCTTCAAAATCCCAACTCTGCTTTTTATTGTACTCTGATAATACAATGTTGTCAAAGTTTACCTAAAAGTTCATTTACAAAATCAGACGGCTTACATAATAGGGATAGTTTCCAAACTTGTTATTCTTACCTCTTACCTCATATGTGAAAAGGTGAAATCTTATCTCCATCATCCTGTGGCTGCTTCTCTGTCTCTTTCTCCTCCTTCCCTTGTGCTCCAGTTTCTAAAGTCAAAGGTTCAATCTCTGTTAATTATGTTTTTTGTTTTGTTCAAACAAAGAGTTCAATGACTATGTTTCCATCTATGAGACAAAGGAAAATTGCCTGTAATGCTCTGTGCTCTCCACAACAGAAAAGGATTTTTTTTGGCAGTGAGAGCATACAGGAATTCCACCTGAATGAGCAGAGAAAAACAGGCAGGCTTTGAGTCATTTTGGTAAATGAGTTAGCCAGTTTATCAACCCCCTGTTTAAATAGACCTGTTGGACTTTCTCCTCCTCCAGTAGCTGCCCTCACAGCAACCTGAGCATTTGCGCTGTTAGGGTAAAGAAAGCACGGCATCCCCATCGATCATGCAACCGGCTTTTTTCCTACTCGTGCTCATTGCTGTGTCTGTAATGGTGGATTGTACACCGAGGCTCCAGGACCACGAGCAACTTTTACAACATCAGAGCAGCTTCAGCAGAGGAGCAGGAACAGGTACATCTGCTGGGATGACAGGGTTCTACTATGAGCTGAGTGAATCGACGAGTAAAGGCATTCACAGACCCTTTCTGGGTAAGTGGGCCTTTATCAATGAATACATTGTGTGTTTTATTTCTATCAATAGAGAATTACTGATTGATAACTGGGGTGTTTCCTTCAGAAATTGAGGTCACAGAGGGCGGTATAATGTTTTCCTAGAATGTGTGAACGAAACAAGAACACTGGCAAAATGCATCGAAGTAGTAAATCCAAACCTGACATTTTCAGGGGTAAACTGATATTTTGAAAATTCAACAGACAGGATATTTTCTGCATGTCAATCATATTCTTCTGTTGGATTGGTATGTTATATCTTTGTTTTTATTCCTCTGTTGTACAGCATTTGTTGTTTTCTCATGAATTTGCTTTACAAATAAAGTGGAGTGTAATGGAAAAACAAACATGACTTTTTGCAGCTACTGAAACATATGCATGTTTAACCTGTTTTTAACATCTATCCAACACCCACAGTGTTTTTTTCTGCGTTTAACTCTGACATGCATGTTTGAACTTGTTTTTCTTACAGTCCTCTTGCCAGTGAAAATGGGTACAAGCAATTTTGTGTCAATATTTGACTTAAGAAGAAAGCGGTTCCTCTGCATGGACAGAGAGGGAGAGCTGTACAACTCTGTGAGTGTTTTATTAAGTACACTTAAATGTAGCACAGTCAAAAAATATATTAAGAGAACTATCTAACATTGACTATATCTGTTGTCTTGAAACCTCCTCTCTAACAGAGACATAAGGACAGAGAAGAATGCCTATTCCAGCACATTTGGTTAGATTTTGATAGCGGCCATGATGTATTTTACTCTACAAGTGGGGGTCAGCTGTTCAGACTTAAGGCTGCTGAGCTAAGAGTTTCTCACCAGGAGCCACCTGAACCTCCATCATCCCTGCTGCAGAGGTTCCTGGGTGCCTCGGGTAAGAGACAAAAGAGGAGTGAGGAGGTGAACCCCTCAGATCCACTTCAAACAGAGTCCCATCCTTCACTTCCGACTAAGGATCACAAGGATGCAGATCAAAGACAACCTGAACAGGACCAAACTGGAGCCGTATCCAAAGAGACCATCACATCTTGTGATGACCCCCTGCGGGTTTTGCAGACTGATGGGCTTGTCAGCCCTGTCAAGACTAACATAGCAGAACGGGCAGAGCAAGACTAAGATACTGGAGCGGCAGTAGCTCAGGAGGTAGAGCGGTCGTCCAATAACTGGAAGGTTGGCAGTTCGATTCCTCCCTATCCCTTGTCTGTCCGTTGTGTCCTTGGGCAGGACTCTTAACCTACCTTGCTTCCAGTGTGTGTCCTTCACTGGTGTATGACTGTGGCTGTCAGAGAGGCCGTAGGCACAAACTGGCAGCCATGTTTCCTTCAGTCTGCCCCAGGACAGCTTTGACTACTAAGGTAGTTTACCACCACCAGGGTGTGACTGTGTGAGCAAATCAATAATGTATCCAATGAAAAGCGCTTTAACAGTCGGTCTACCGAAATTCTACAACTACTAGAACGGCCACAAATGGCGTTTTGTCTGCTTGTGGCAAGTTATTTGCACCTAATTTGGATAATCAACAATAAAAACTAATTATAAATTGGCCGAATAGATAAAAAAACACATCAGTACGCAAAATGAAAATTATAATGAATGAGATTTTTAAGGACCTTCCTCAAAATACCAAGACGCATCATTCCCTGAACTCGCTCATCCATCGGATTCTTCCTCCATACTTGTCATTTTTCCTCTAGTTATCATTTTTGAGTCTCTTGAGTTTTGAGTAAAATTATAGCAAGATTTTAGTTTCACAGAGCCTAAAATAAAAAACAAAAAATAACACAGGAGAGAGAGCTGGAAAATGTATCATAAAGCGAAACATAGCACCCTTTATAAAAAGCATGCAGTCAATTTGACTGCTCTAGTAGTTTGAGGCAGTATTACTCAGACCTCTTTGGTGTTTTGAAATTTTAATGGTAAAACAATGTTAGAGTAAAATATACACACATTTAGGAAGCGTCAGGGTGCAACTGGTGTATGAGTTTTATTTTTAAAAAGTTACGACATTGTAAATTTTGAAAGCAGTCAAAATGACTGCCTTGGTAGTCTCTGATAAAGCACTCTAAAAATCTGATGCATTGTTATTATCATACTAAGCACCGACCATAACTGAAAGATCAAGAAGCACTGAGGCCTTGGTTTGTGGAGGACGCTCACTCTGAGTGTGACTCATCCTGTATCTGTGAACTGCAGTATCAGTGAGAGTCCTGGAGGGACTTACAGTAGAGTCAAACTGACAGCAGAGTTAATGTTATCTGTTGGTGATCCACGACCTGTCAATATTTGACACTCTCTGGAAAAGTGATCACCTTTTATAAAATATTTGGGTACAAAATCCTCAAACTGGTTTTCATGGAACTACTATGACTGGTAAAAGACTCCATGTTACATCACAGCTGCTCCAACAAGGCCCTCTATTTGACGAGCCCATGAAGGATAGGTTTGGCAACATTTGACATAATCAGGCAACAAGTTTGGTCCAGCGCCCTGCTGTCCTTTAACCTCCTTTGTCAGTTAAATTTTAAACCACAGGCCACATGTGGCAATGTTTGTTTTGTACGTGTAATCTGTAAGTAATTATGAATATTAATCAACACATATGTTGATACAGTAAAGCCTCAGAATGAGAGCTTGAAAGCTATACCAAGACTGAGGGGTGCTTTTTTTTTGCGACTGGAAAAAAAGAAAAAAAAAAAAATCATCTGCCAACTCCGTCTGCGACAATACACAAGATCAAATGATGTCAGGTGCCGGACACCAACTGTGAACAGCAATGAAAGGATATTTATTTATTGAAATGTGTGAAATGACCTCCTTTAACAAGCCTTCTATTTTATTATTTATATATTTCATGTTGTGTTGTTTCTGATGTGGATAAATAAATGGCAACTATTTTCTGGATCACTGTTTGTTTGTGTCAGAAAAAACTGTTTCTGGTCTAGATTCTGACAACAAACATCTCTGGTAGATGTTTATGTAACCTCTCTTGGGGTCTCATTTGAGGACATGCTGTGACAGGACAGAGGACTGACCAAGGACACAGATGAGAAAGAATTATCAATAAACTGTCCACCAATAGAACTGATGTTATTTTTGGAAACTGTCACTGGATACCAGAGGAAAAAGAACAACTGGATAAGAAATTTCTTTTCCTCTTCTTTATATTCCTGTTTTTAGAGGGGTCTGCAAAATCATTTATACACTTCATATTTATCTTTGATTTGAAATGTTAAAAAAAGGTCACAGTAGAACTACACAAAGCTTACCAAACAATGAAAAACTGCTAACCACTTTTTTGACCACCAACTGCTCATTTTCCAAGGACAGGACACCAACCTCACAGTTACTCTGCATACAGCCAACCACTTATGTAACTAGCAAATGCTAGACTTAAACAAAAAGAAAAAAAAATCCACATACATTTTTTTTGTAAAGCTGTTTTCAAGTAGAGCTGATGCTCACAGAAAAGAATCAAAGAGACAAGATAAAAGCTGGATAGGTTTATAAACTGAAAAGTAAAATCAGTGATTTACAGAATGGAAACATGAACAGACCATTAAGTCAAACCACTGAAACAGACACAGCTGAGCAGACAGCTTTAGAAATGTGCTAAACTGACTGGATAGTATTCCAACACAGTCCCAACATCAGTCATCGAAGATATATAAACATTTCTATTATTATTATTATAATTATTATTATTATTATTATTATGTGGCTCTTTTTCCAGTTCAAAAGTTATTAAAAACATCTTTGAAAGAAAATAAAACAAGTAACAAATTAGAGGAGGCTTGATAGAACCAAATACGTAACAATGACTTGAAATGTTACAAAAAATGTAATAAAGCCTGAAATGTAATAAAAATGATCTATCAAAACGCATAATGTAATAACTTACCCAAAATGTAACAAGTTGCTACAATTTGGGAAAAAAGTTCAAACGTTTTGGGCTCAGTATCTTGTTACATAACCGACCAGTACATTTTAGGTTTTATACCTTTTTTTTTTTTTATTAAATTTTGGGTCATTGTTACACATCGGGCTCTAAAAGGGCTAGTTTACAACTTGTGTAAAGATGCGAAAGATTCCAAAGACAACTCACCAAACTGGCTAAGATGAAAAACTGAAGAAGAAACATTTATGCATCTGTTTTAACATCATTTGTCATTCTCTTATAAGTTCAAAACTTTCAGGGATAACTTTATTTCTGAAATAAAGTGCTGAATAAGGAATTTGAAACACATCTTTGCCTTGATTTACAACAAGATATGCCCGATTTGTAAGCAGATTCATGTGCAGAACATAATAATTTAATATGCAGAAAAATTATTATTTCTTATTTTACAGATAGGTCTGTTTATTCTCTTTCTTTGTTGCAGTCCTCATGTTTATTCTTTTTTTTATTAGCTGCCCCTGAACTGTTAAATAAAGAGATATGAAAAAAAGTTACTTGCGTTTCCTCATTCTTAACACAGAATCAAAGGTGTATTGATAACCCTGTGTAATTATGATAGATAAATTTTGGATTAGATCATAATTAAAAAAAGTAGTGAACATCTGCACACACTCTTCCTCACAACAAGTGGCATTCATACTCAATCTCATGTCCTGAATTTGTCCTTGCTGACCAAAGTGTTAATTCACAACAATGATGAGTCACTGATTTCCGAAAAGTCAACAATGTTCCAGTCCCACTTGTGTTTCTAACCAAGATCTGTGAGCTCAGAGAGGATAAATATAGAAACAGGGGCTCATTAGAGTACGCACTGGCATTAATGAACAGCCAAGCAGTAACAAAGTGATGATATTTACCCAGAGTACAAACCATCTATCTGAGATTACGAGAAGGCGCTCAACTCACAAAAAGGCACACAAAAGCTGACATTAAAAACATAGTTTGCTATTTTAAGTATTCTATAACTTTACTTAACTGGCACTAAAAACAAGCACACAATAATTCTAACCCTGAACTGAGATTTTTGTGAAAACCCTGCAAATGAGTGGAGTGACGTAAGTAATAAATACAGACCCCATGTTTAAATATGATCTACGTTGTAAACTTTTAGTGATGAATTCCTGCTCCTTCTTCAACTTCTCTTTATTTCTAAAGAGCCTCTTTGTCCAGCTCTTACTGTTTTACATGGTCCCCTCTGTGCACAAACACACAGCAGATTTCTGACAACACAAATCTCTCGTCTTCTTTCCTAATGGTTAGTAAAAACCGACACAGACCTGTGTTAGGACTTATAGAGAACATGTGTGCTTTGTTGGAGCCTGGGGGCAATGAGCAATTTAACTCCTCTACAAAGTAGCGCACTGCGACACACATGTAAGCCCCGTGGGTGACAACCAAAGCATGAACGGGGACACTCCTGACCCCATCGTCTGCTTTCCCCTCCACAGCCGGAGCTTCTTCTACAGCAGATAAAGAGGCTTCATCCTTCACTCTGTCACCCCAGTGCTCGGCCCCGATTTGCTGTAGCATTTTCTCCAAAAACCTTTTGACCCGCTCCTTCACCTAAAGAGAGCAAAAAGCTGTTATGTGCTGTGTTATGCTCCCCTTGACTTGACCTGTTCTGATAGCACATGTCATTGAAAAGCTGCTACGTGCAACTGAGGAGGATAAATGTTAAGGGTCGGTATATTAAAAACAACAGTTACAACTTGATCCATGCCAACTCATCCTGACGCACCTGAAACACATTTAGACAAGCTGGGAGGGAGGGCTGAAGGAGACAGTGATTGGGGCGCCTCATGCTTACGTCAAATCTATTTTTTTACTTGCAGCATCATCATCATGTGCTGATCACGTACTAGGTTGACCAAAGTTAACGTCCAAGCCAAGATCTAATGGATGAAGCCGGACAAGGTACCTTTGAAATGGAACATCCTTCCTTCCTTCCCACACACATGCTGTCCTCCCACGCAGCTTCAAAGACAAATAACACTAAATGGTGACTTTTTAATCAGTTGACAAACACTGTAGTTGTTTGACAGCTGAAGGACGTGCTTAGATCCAATCTAAATTAAAAACTATTTGTTTAAGAGACACTGATATAGCTTATATCTGTGTAAAGAAAGTTTGTGACCAAAAAGGTGTTTTCTGCATCATCAGGGTGAAACAGGATATTCCAGCTATAATTATATCCAAAGGTCATTACAGATACCTGCAGCACAAAGGTATGAGATACTGGCTAACTTACATTTGGTTCAGAACACCACACATTTTATCTGGTTTAGGCCCTCAACAGTAGATGGAATTAATGTTCTAAAACAAATTACAGCCACAGGAACCAGGTCTGGTGACGTTATAGTAGTTTTAATTACTTACTATGACAAGCTACATAAAATCTGCTCTTTACAAGATTTCAGGTCTCTATAATTCCATGCTAAAATTCAATAAAGTATGAAGACATATTTTTTATAAGACTGGGAACAGCGAATATGAGGTACAGCCAATGATAGACTGTGCTGAGGTAAATCTGTTTGAGTTCCATGCTTAAAGGGATATTCTGGTGAAAAATTAAGTTAGGGTCAAACACACTGTAACACTGAGTTAGACACCCCCTGGAGAGATGAATGCTGTAGACCGCTTGCTTCTCTAGTTATACCAACTTTGGTAATGACCGCACTATGGCAATACACAGCGGTCTATGTCTCCATGCATTAACCTCAACCAAAAAGCCACTCTATAGCCACAAATAATGCTCAGAACAGCACCTAACTTCATCAACAGTACATATAGGGTCCCAGCCATAGTACTAGCCACCAAACATCTTTTTAGCTTTGCCTGATTTCTTTGGCAAAGAGATTAAACACAACTCAACCTCATCAAAAATTTGTATTCTGTGTAATAAATTTCAATGGTTTATCCAGAGCCCCATAAGCTTTGCTGGCGGAGGCGGGATTTATGACCTATACTGCAGCCCGTCACCAGAGGGTGCTGTTCTCAGAGTGGCTTCACCCAGCGAGTCCATTCTATATACAGTCTATGGTTTGACCCTAAATTAATTTTACGCCAGAATATCCCTTTAAGTAAAGAATCTGAGTATCTGTAATTATTGATTATTCAACAGGAAGACTTACTGATCTTACTCCACTACATTTGAAACACAAATCATGATTTTGGCTCTACCAGATCTCTATGAATGCTCTCATTACTCCGTGATCGATTTTCTTCCTTTCTTTTCTAAACTCTGATCCTGAAGACAATTAACTGAATAGTTCTCATGCAGTTGTGCGTTCGGCCTGTTAAAGTGATGTCTGTGGTTTGTCTCCATGGTTGACTGTAAACGTAGAACACACGACACTCAGATGAGGCAGTTCATGTGGTAATGATGGCTACAGCAGAGAAGGATGAGCACCAGTGGTCAAATCTTGAGCTTGTGTTTGAGATCATTTTTAATAAAAAAGTATCCCTTTAAGCGTTCTTTCTGTTTACAGTGCACAAACTTCATCATGACCTATAAAAATGTGTTGTCTGACCTGAGGAAGCCTGTTGAAGGTATGTAGCTAAACATTTGTCCTATTTTGGATGAATACTATCAAACAGATTGTCTGTACTTTCAGTCATTAAGTGCCATTTTCATTCTTTTGTTGATTATCCCTTTTAACTGTTCTTTTTTTTAGAGCTGCAAATCTCAAAATCTGTAGCATGTGATTTTAAAAATGTAAATGACTTTTTCCAAAGTACCCAGATTGCACTCTTGCATTGTGAAAATAAAACATGTTTGGAGATTTTTTTTTAAACAAGGTTTGATACTTAATTATTGTTAAAATCAAGTCCTCCAGTTATTCAATGTAAGTAATAACTTGACTGAAGCTTTCACTTGTGTTCCGATTTATGTGCGCTATATTCAACATTACTCATCAAAGACAAGAAAGGGAGCAAAGACACAGACAGAAAAATCTAATCCAAGAGTATAGGAAATGGGACAGTAAGAGAAATAAATAACAGAGGAGCAATACTTCAGAGGGGTACTCCTCTATCAAGCTACAACATCAGCCTTACCTGCTCCCGAGTCTCCCCTTCAGGAGGGGTGAAGAACTCAAAGGACTGACCGGCTGCTTTGGCCATCTCTCTTAAGTCCTGTACACGTCCCCCCTCTGCAATCCCAAAGCTCTAAAAAAAGGGCAGTGATTAGATGACTCTGTTTTTTCAGTTATGTGTGAAATTCTTCGGCATTTAATTTACAGTATAACACACAAGAAACAAAACTCACTTTCTCTTTAAGTAAAGGATCACACACCATCTGTAGACCAGAGCAACTGCTGTTGTGTTTCATGATAGCGCCAGCGGTCTGGGGGAAGCAATAAACAAGCTCTAGATCAAATACAGAAACACTGATGTAGAGAATAATCATGATTTAGAACCTCTTCATTGTCATCTATCACTCTGTAAATCTTAGTGGCAGGAGCAAATGTTAGATGATAAAATAATGTATGAACACACCTGAAAATGTCAACTGAGGCACACCGTGTAGTTCTATTCTCCATAACATCAAAATCATATAGCACAAAGAAGCATTTCATAACCAAAAACATCAGAATTTCAATTCATTATAAAGGAAAAACATTGTACCTGTTTCGCCCGCAGCATGTCACTGACAAACACATTGCTAAACTTGACATCTTTCAGGTACCCGCCTGCTGCTTCAGCCTGCTGCAGCCCGATTTCAGACAGGGGACAGTCTATGGCCTGGCCTGTATGCAGGAAGAAAGATGAAAATAAGACACAGAAAAAGCAGAAGGAAGAGAGAAAGAGAGATAATGATTTTAGTTGACTATTCTGTACCTTGTAGGAGGCCTTCTTTGTTGTATCGTGTCTCCCCACTAGAGGAGAGAGATTACCCATATTCAAAATGTTAGTGTGAAGCTTATATCACTACAGTCTACTTGTAAAACTTTATTTCATGATTGCTATTAAGTGAATGTGTTAAGCTGCCTTGCTAGAAGGTCCCTTAAGTCTTCCTGTTGTTATTCCAGGACTTTGGTTAAAAATTCAATGTTCTAGTGTTTGAAGCTTCCTGACTGCTGCTGTGTCAGAGCCAACCACAGTTGCAAATACCTCTACAAATACCATTATAGTACTACTATCGTGTAGCACTACCGTTATAATAACTATGAATTAATAAAGATTGTGTGATTTAATGAATTTACTGAGTTACCGACAGCTTATTGGTCGGTGGTGAAATCTCCACTCTCAGTCTACAGTAAACAGTTTAGAGTTGGCTTATTTTGTTACACATATCCTGCATTATTTCTCATTGTGAAAACCTGTACTCATTCAGGCTGAATTATTTAAGTGTGATGGCTCTGCCTCGGTCCAATATTCAATGTATAGCTTCTGTATCAGCTTCTGTACAAAGCTGGACCTCGACAGGTTTAGTGCTAACAAAATCACCTCATACATACCTAGCCAGCTGTTGGTTATATAACAACAATTTGGAGGGATATATGCTTTTATATGAGGTGTGGGTCATATCTAAATATTCAACCTCCTATCTATTGATTTAAAAGTAGGCTATTTCTTTAACTTATGTATATTAATAAACAGGTAATTTTACTCCTATAAGTCTCACTAAAATAAGTGTCCCTTTACTTGAGGAGGGGAGTCATATAGCCTACTTTTTTCACCCCCTATCTTATGCACAATAGGTGACACTTTTACCCATTTTTGTTTTATTTTCTCACTGTAATTTATCGTTTTATTTTCATGTTGCATTTGTCCTTGTTTTCGACTCACTTTGCAGCACTTTGAAAAGTTAATTTGTTAAAAGTTATCTATCTCTTCTTGTTCATGCTGCGCTACATCAGGAAACAACTCATGAGTTCATTAATCCTGACATCTAGCGGTCCAAGGTGGTACTGCAGTGTCCAGAGAGTGAACCATGGACTGAACTCGGAGTCGGACAGCTGAACAAGTTTCATAAATCCCGGCTATCTGCTCCCATTTTGGGCTGTTCTTTAGTGTATTTATCTATGACTCTACTATGTTTCTACTGAAGGTCTGACATAGAAACTGCATTAAAAACACAGGCTATTATTACTCTGACTGTGACGGGTTTCTTTGAAAGCCGATGTTTACCATTCAGCACCTGTTTGAGTTAGCATACAGAGTGAGCTACGGCTAAATGTTAAACTTTACTAACCTAACCGACCCAGTTTAGTGCTCCACAAAGACATCCACCACCTTTGCTAAAGTCTTTTTTAGAAACAGGCATATAAAATCCGTCTATAACTCTGCAAGGACAGGTCGACACTTGATTCAAACCGTGCAAGAAACGTGACATGCAGCAGATAAAGCGTAAGTGCTGGTGTTTGTCAAATGAAAATACTGTCAAAAATACTTACTGTCGAACAAAAGTTAGCCCAAAAGTTAGTTGTTTCATACCCTGAAAGCTAAAGACGCATACACGACCCATCTACCATTGAACCTTTTGAGTAACTGCACGTAAGATGCCTTCAGTGCGTCTCCGGATTTCAGAGGATATGAACGTGCGAGGAAACATGAAAAGCAACAGGCTAAAGGTGAGTGTTTCTCTTTAATTGGGGGACAAATATAAAAGTATTGTGTAGCTCATGGCTGAAATATACTTAAACACGACGGAAATGGCTAACACTATCAAGATAAAATGTTGTACTAGTAGTCAACATGAAACCTCTGTAACTCATATTCACGTGGTGTCTGAATAACTGGAAGAATGACCGCCAGAATTCAAGTAACTTAAACGGCTTTAAACAATATTGATAAAAATAAAACAAAATATATATAAAAAATGAGATTAAATATTCTAGGAACGGGTTTGAGAATACAGCTAAATTATAATGACACAATGGTATCAATTATTAGACTAATTCATACGTTTTTAGGAGCATATCAGGTTATAAACTGGTTGCTGTACGCTATAGAGGCTCAGATGAATTTAGAGCAAAAAATATGGCATAATGTCATCGTTGCCCCCATGTTGTACAGCTTATTAATGGGACAGAAAAGTCGGAGAAACAGGCTCCAAACTTAAAAAGCCAAAGTTCCGAGGCGACCTTGAATGTAGGCTGGGCTTGAGACGCAGACCATATGTATTCTATAAACAGTCTATGATGCAGACAAAACCAGCCAATCAGAGTGGCTAAATCAACTTCTGACGTTACCTGTAAACCAAAAAGTCTATGATCAAGAAACAAAAACTGTATAAAACCACTCAACACCACAAACACAACTGCACAAGTTGTGTTACGGTGACCCGTAGTCACCTATACAGATATTTCATGACCTCAAAAACATTGAATGCCTATGAAAGTTCACTCAATCTACAAAACCAAGACACAGGGAAATTATTTATGCAAGGTAGAAACACTGTCCACTGTGCAAACAAAATCACAAACACCAAATCATTTATCTGAAAAGATTAAAACAAAATAACGTTATGAAAAGCAGAGAAATTTAACAAAAAAGTTTTGCATCTAATGAAATGTTTCTGTCTTAAAGTCTTAAAGTGTAAAAGTCTTCTTGAAAAGTTTTCTTTCAATATGTAGGTAAATATTCCGAATTTCTTGAATTAACTTTCTATACAAAGTTTATGCAATCCCATAAAACTGATATTTTGTAAAATTATTTTTGGATTGAGGAAATTGCTGAAGAATTGTTTTTGCATTTCATTGCACATTTAAGCATTTTGTGCAATGTTTTTGTGTTTCATGAAATGTTTTCTATTTTGTAAAATACTTATTTTCAAATGAAACATTTCAGCAAAATGTGCCATGTTCTTGCAATTGATTAAACATGTTGTTTTATTGATTATTTTTGTATCTTGCATGTGAAACATTTCTGTCTTGATTTTGTATATCAGGGAATATTTTTCCAATTTTTATTTTTGTATTATTATTATTATTTTTATTTTTTTAACACTACTGTTCATGCAGTTTACCTTCAGGGCCACCATACAGTGTTAAAATCACTGCCAGCTTCCTGTCTCTTTAAGGCTGAATTATCAGTTCTTTTATAAAGGAAGGGTTTTCAATAATATTTTTTTTAATGCAAATGCAAATATAACTTTCCTTAAAACATGATGCGACACTCATATTTTACTTATTTATTTGGCAAAATAACAAGGCTATCTACTTCATGTTATTAAGTTTTCATTCAAAGACTAACTAAGGACATTTGAGATATTTTGATACGCTTGTGTGTGCATCTGTGCCTGCTTGTGGGTTTATTTATGGCTGTCATTGTTAGCCACTAGAGGGCGCAGATTCATAATTTACCAAGTGTCAATGTTTCTTGACGTAGACCTACACCACTCAAACTTTTATTCTGGTCAAGTCAGGGGCCAAGTAACCCTCTGTGTTTTCTCAGTCTATAACATACAATTACTGCAATGTATTGCTATGGTTTTGGTTGTTTTGCTGTGACATTTGGGTAGTTAGTCTAAATTTTAGACATTATATTTGCATTTTAAGAACTTAAGGGGCATTGGAAAGTTTTTACAAGTCGTTTCTCTATGAACCTGAATATCTCCAAAGCTTCAATATTAATACATCAAACGTTTCCACCTTTACAACTTTTCTTTCTCAAACTCATTTTCCAGGGAGAAACATATTGTTCCTTCTTCAACGTCTCTGCTATTGTAACTTTCAAGGGACTGAATGGTCCAGCTGGACCTCCTTCTGTAGTCTCATTGTTTAGTCACAGATACAAAATAACCTCCTGGTCATGAAACAATAAGAGCTTAAAAGAAAGACAGGCGTGGGAAATGGTGAGTTGATGCGTTGTCACACCCTTTAAAGCAGAAGTTTATTGAACAGAGGCTGTGCAACAGACATTTGAGGTACATGATATGAGTTATAGTGGAGGGGGGGCGACTAAAAGGGAAATCTGCACCATTGAAACTTCCAGATATCACAATATTTATGACTAGACATGGCAGGTGAAGCTCAACTCACAATTATGCTGCAGTTACAATGGCACACTGACACAGTATTTCAAACCAAAGTGTAACTTTCTCACATACAGAGCCCACGTTCACTGACAACATTCAGAGATATAATGGTTGTATAAAGCAAGAACTTTGGCCATCATAGAAATGCATTTCTCCTCTATCTCTCACACAAAACAGGTCAGATGGAGCACCAACATGAACAGAAATGCACATGTTTGAACTATCCATGCGTTGCTGTTGTGCCCCCCCCCCCCCCTCCATTACAATGACAGTCCAGGTGGAAGCCTTGCATATGTCCTGTTCCCCATCCCACTGAGCAAGCTGTTCCCTTACTCAAGCAGCGGGAATCATCCACAAAGACGAGTTCGTCATTGCTTCCTCTGCACCTCCACTGTTTTCTTTCTCCTCCAGTCCAAGCTCCCTAACTGAAGAGGTATAGGTGATGAATTTGTTTGTGTTGAGTTTTGTCCAGTAATCCTGAGGTATAGGAAATACCACTGATGCAGAATGTGACTGAAGAAGTAGAGCAAAATAGATAAAAAAAAAGGGGGAAAAGGAGATAAACTATCTAAGCAAACGGTCAAACTGTACAAAGGACATTTCCAGTCGAGTACTCATTTCATGTTCTTCTATCACCATCTACTTCGTTTTTTTTCTGAATGTATCTCTTAAGCAGTAAAATAATTATATTATAATACAAATGTTTATAAAATAGCAGCACACTCAAGTGACACATCACGACTAGGTAATGTTATTTTTTGTATAAATGAAACAAATTCATAGCTTTTAGCAGCGCAAAAAGACAACAATAATTCAATAAAAATATTGACACTTTTATCTTGATGTCTTCACACCTCCTCCTCTGTCCTCTCTTCACTTTGGAATACAGTATCTCTAAATCTTAGAAAAACCCTTTTGTGGGTCTGGTCACCCCAGAAAATATGACAAAACACAAATTGAAAAGGTGGTCTCTATGAATAACACATGCAACAATAAATTGCAGGAAAAAAAAAAATCACAATCATGAAGTTTGGGAGAGAGCTTACATCAGGCAAACAGAGGCAAAATGAAGGATCATATCAAATATTCAAATGGGGATGATTTGGCAAATGTGTCATTAAATTGCCCATTTCTACTGAAAAACATGACAGAAACATGAAATCCCCACGTTTCCTTCAGTCTGACAAACATACACTCAGCAAAGTCACATACCATCATGAAAAACTCAAGCATTAAGTCAAAGACACCTCGCTGTGGCAAAGCAACGTGTCCCGTTGAAACAAACAAAACAAAAATCATGTTTCTTGTTTTTTGTGCTCATGTCCATCGACCTGGCTGATGAGCCCCCTTGCTAATTAATTTAAGCAGCAAAGCTCACAGGGGGACAGATGTGTTCATTGACAGACAGTCGGCCTGAACTGCACAAGACAGCACCATAGAAAACTGACCAACCACTGCAGCACACACACGAGTTCAGGTGGTTTTGAACAAAAGCTCTGCTCTGTCTCAAAATGCAAACCTCATTGTCCTCTGAGGAACCTGTGCAAATATTGGATGTTAAAACCACCCTTTCTTGGAGCTCATTGCCACTCTGTGTGACTGTCTGTGGCTGTGATGCAGATAAATATGAAGCAAAAATTCAAGTAAAACAAATATTTAATTTTTTGACAACAAAAAAGAAAATCTAACAGAGCTTGTGGATTGGTTAGCTGTTGTTTTCAATTAATTTTGTGTTTTTTTTTTCATGTTCAAATTCTGTCGTCGACTTGCTCTTTGCTTGATTAGGAATGTTTTTTGTTGTTGTTGTCTTTGACCCGAATGTCCTCCTGTAAAACGTTGTGGAAAGCATATTTAATTTGACTCTTGCTCGACAAGGGTATGTCTGATGATTGGGAAACCAGCCCTACAGCGTAAACCAAAGAAAAGGCTAACAAGGAAAAAAAAAGAAAACATCCATTCACCTCCAATCACCACCCATCGCATTTCATTTTAATTATCTCCTGGGGAGCATGTTTTCAAAGTGCTTTGCCATTGAAATCATATAGGGGAGCTGAAAACAACCCTATGTGGGACTCCAGATGCATTGACAGTATATCCTCATCCTGTACTCCTCTAACCCACCCCACCCCTTGAAAAGTTCATCCTCACATGATCTGGCAGCGTACAGTCTTAGTTCCTCTTTTAACTTCCATGTAAATGGAAACCATGAACGCTTTTGTTCACTTAGCTGTGTCGTTGTAGACACTTATTATAAAAACCGAAGTTGATTCCATCTATAAAAGCAGATATCAAAGTTTTATTGTGATACCTTTGGGTGTCTTTTATTTGTTATCATCTTCCAGCCACTGGCTGTAAATCCTCCCTGTCTCCTACACAGCAGCATGCTCCTGCACCACTGGATCCTCTCTGTCCACCAGTGACATCTTAGTCAAAAACCTCTCTTTTGCATTCTTTTGATGCAACACCTGGTTCTCTTCATGCAAAAGAATACAGAGACCTTACAAGCATATCCTTACTTTCTTCAAGACAAAACCCTCTCCTGTTTCACATGTGCCAGAAGCTGCACATATGAGAGGTCATTACTACTCCGCCTAGACTCAAAGCAGCCTTTCACAACTCAGGAAACACCATATTGTAACAAAGTGAAAAGAATCTGTAATATTTCATCAACAGACTGGCAGTAATGAACAAACACCTCACATGGCGTCTGAAAATGCTCTTAGAAAGATAGCAGGCTCTAAGTCCTCTCGCCTGTTTGCCCCTCTCCTCTCATCACCTCTCTCTTCCTCATAAGTTTACTGTTGGCCAACGATGAATCATGATACACACTGTTAATGCAGGAAGGCAGTGATATAGCAAAGATGTCCTGTTATACTGACGGACAAAGTATGTGTAGCCTCCGCTTGCTCCTTAGCCTTTTAAACGAAGAACAGTAAAGTCTACGACTCGACTTTGCTCAAGTGCTTCACGTCGTAGGATGCACTCTGCTTATATAGATACAGGATCACGTGTAGCATTCACGCACACATGCACACAGGTATGCATACAAACTGATAAACTCACATACAAACTAACACACAAGCAGCCTGACAAACGGAGCTTATTGATCTTACTACTCATTTTCCAAAAATATGTCCAATAATAAAATTAATAATAATAGTTATTACTAATACTACTTATAATTATAATCAATCTGTCTCTTCCCTGGAATTGGGTCCCATCCACTTTTTAGCATACTGCTCCCTCAGCTTCTGCTCGTTCTGACCGAGTTCAGGTCGAGCGTGAACACATGGTGACCCCTCAGCCGTGTAAGTAAAAGTAATAATACTCATCGAACAAAACAGAGAGAAAGAACTGAAGCCTCACTGTGATCCCATGGATGCAACTTCTGCAGGGATTCAGCAACTTCTACCACATCAGCCTCATTATCAAGCTATGGTTAAAATATAACTTAAAGATCAAACTGTACAATCAAAGGCAGAATGCAAATATGATTGGCTTCCCTTCTGTATATCCAAGGCACCACACACCTTCTTTTCGTATCAAATTTGTCGCTTTGAGACAGGAGCATTATAGATAATCTATGTTGTGGGCAGGTGTTTTTGACTCAAAGAACAGAAAACCTACAAAAAAACTAGCAAGCATTGTTCTTTTTCTTGTAAAGGGCTTGTGTTTTTTAACATTTTTTTGTTCTTTTGTTCTTTTTTTCTGCTTTTAAGGAAATTGAGTTTTTTTTTCATGACGCTTTCTTTTTTTTTTTTCATTTGTAAATCCTGTGCAATGATGCCCTCTAGTGGTTCACAAGTTGACATCGCGGACGTCTGTTGGGGTGGAGGACTGATCCAGCTCATCCAGGCCTTTGCCGCTGGGGCCTCTCTGTGTCTGTTGCTGTTGCTGCTGCTGCCGGCCCTCACGCAGGCTGCTCACCAACACACGCTCGATCTGCTCCTGGCACGCTTTCAGAACATCCTGTAAGGCAAAGCCAGAGGGACAAACTGTTAAAATGTTTCGTGTTAATTGTCAAAGATTTGAGCTATGGAAAGATAAAATGTATGTAAAGTATGTACAATCATATCTTAATAAAAACAGTTTTGTTTTCAGTAACTTAGAATGAGTTTTATATCTATGTAAAGAGTGAGTCACCCTCCATGGAGGCCATCTTCTTTCTACTATTGCACAGAATGAACAAACTTGAACATACTGTATTTGCCAATGGCTAAGGGATTGTTCTCACATAAGCTCCTTTAATGCGCTGCTAAAATGTCCCGACTGATCTAAGGAGGATACATGTGCGATAACAAATGTTTAAATTATCACTTTGACATCATCCAGATTCTTTCCAGCCAGCAACTGGTTAAAAAAGTTGCATCAAGTTTTTCTACTCTTAACTGCTCACCACTGTTATCTGTGTTCTGTTTTCTGCTACTGTGGTTGTGTTATGTCATGTCTGTTTGTTTGTTGTAGTGATGTAAACACAGAAACTGTTGTTTTTTGCCGAAGCAGCTTCCTCTTCCTGCACACAATACTCAGTCGTCCAGCCTCACATTTAGCAAGTAGAGTGTTTTTAAAGTGTGAGAGTCCAAGTGACATAATCTGAAAATGTAAGGTGGTCATTACGGAAAAACGAGAACGGCCATAGATTTCTCTTTTTTTTACGCACTGTTTTGACTTGTTATCTCGTTGTCTCGATATAACAAAGATTGTTTTCTCGCAATGACCGATTATTTTGCCAACCTAAAACTGTAATTTTTAATAACACCCTCCAACAACAAGCCAAAGTTTTTAATGAAGATGCTGACTGCAAGCGCCACACATGCGCGTTACACTTTCAATGTGGGAACACTTAACTGCCATGCGTGAATCAGACAACAGCGGTATCAATGGTGCACACATTATCAATTAATTCGTTATCGGGAGAAAACTATTTTTATGTTGAGCAAACATGACAATAAGTTGTTATCATGAGATAACAGTGCATAAAAAAAGAAAAATCCATGGCCATTCTCATCTTCCGTAGGTTGTGCATAAACATAGGAGCACATTTCTGACAAGAGTTAACCGTGAGTTTGGTTTTCAACTGCACGGTTAGTTGAGTTACATTTTCAAGGATGCAGTTTAAGGTATAAAAATTACACGGCACAGGGCAAGTCAAGAAAAAAAAGTTTGAAAACTTGAGTCAATGCTGTGAAACTAGGGGCCCCTGGTGTGGCAGCAGAGGGGCCCCTGGACAGCCTGGGCCAGAGGTTTCAAATGACCAGTGATTCTCAAGCAGCTCCAGAGTAGACACAGACCAGACTCAAGCATTACATCAGCCCACCAGGGTTGTGCACCGAACACCCCCTATAGTATTCATGTGCACATACACAAACACACGCGCACACATGCATGAACACACACTCCTTCCTACCCCATCCAACCACCCACCTATCCCTCTCCTCCGCTAGTCCCAAACACACACACAAAACCCAAACAGTAGTAGCCTTGACAACTGCGGCTGAAAACACAGGTAGTACTAAAGCTATGTTAATTACATCCACCTCCTGTGGGAACACAAAGGTGGTGCTTTTTTAACGAGAGCCAGTCTGTGTGCCTGCCTGCCTGCAGGGGATCCATCTGAGACCCGACCGGCTCGCCTTTCACCATCAAAGGCCGCCGCAGCAACCAGAGAATCCACCTGGGAGAGGAGCCTCTCAACAGGGCTGAGCCCTCATATCCTCCCCTGATGGAGGGTTGACAGAGGGGACACCACGGTGCAGAGAGGGGGGGCGGCTTGGAGGAGGGCAGAGAAGTGCTAAATGAGGTGCTAGCAAGAGCATCGGTGTGAGGTCAAACCGTTTTTGTGTGAGGAGTGGTGATGACAATGATTGAATAAACCGAGAAGTCAGAGCAGACTGCTGCAACAAAACAAACTAATGTGAAAATTCCTGTCTGGAAGAGCTGACGGAGAGCTAACACTGCCCTCCGGTGGCAATATGTGACAACACAGCTGAAGCTCAATAGCTGGCTTTCAGCTCCACACGCACACACATGCATAACCCCCTGCCTTTAAGCACCAGGCGTCTGTGGGAAACATGACTGAGAGCGCCCCATGGCCGGAGGGATGGGTGAAAGTGTAGCGCTTGTGGAGCAGGGAAACATTCTTCAGAAATTTACAGCTAATTTAAACCTGATGGGCCACAGTTTGAGCCTGTGTTATAGCTGCTGGTGCTGCTGGGTCTTGATGAAAAGAGAACTGAGACCTCACTCACATCAGAATTGCTCTTCGGGAGCTGCACACGGGTGAGTGCCGAAAGGTCACAGAGTCAAAGGTCAAACAGCATGACATATTACAGGGTGAGACATGAATGTGTTGTCACAGGGAAACGACGTGTTTCTGACTTGTAACCGAACTTTCCAGATGGATGATTTTTTAAAATTCTTTGCATGTGAACGCTTTTACCTCACAGGTGGGGTCTTTCTTGCAGACGTCCAAAAATATCTCCTGTAAGAAAAGACCACTGATGAGGTTCCTCCACCAGCCTTCACGGGGTACTATAAGTCCTTCTTCGAAATCCCTTATTTTAAACTGTACTCAATCTATCATAATTAGCTCAGAGAGATTTTTTCCGTCACAATCCATAGAGATTGATTCGACACAGAGGAGTTCAGACTGATCCAGGCTCGGTGCCTCCAGGAGATCGTTTATTTTGCAACAACTCTGACGTGGAGGAAACCCGACCAGCGTCTGTCCCTTAATCTCCTCCAGAGGTTGGCCACTAACAAGGCTATGTGCACACACACACAAACACAAAATCTTCCCACCAACATGTGCTCCATTGGTCATAAAAACTCAAATCCTGTGAGAAAATTAAGTAGAGCAAAGAACATGTAAAGGAACTGCCTGTGTCTCACCGCAAGAATGCACGCCTTCACTTCTTAAAAGACTCACTCCCCTCATCCCTGCCGCTCTAAAGAGCAGTGATTCGGATCCTATGCCAAGACCCATGGGCTTTATTCGAGAAACTTTAATGACTTCAATGTGTGACTACTGGAAACACCAACACTGTTTTTAGAGAAGCTTTAGGTCCTGAGATTCTGGTGGGGCCAACAAAACTGGAAATGTTGTTCACGGGAAGCAGGGCTTGAATGAAGCTTCAACGAAAGAAAAAAGCAAAAATTCCGCTTTTCTTTTCAAGTCCTTCACTAAACATGCACTATTCTGCGACAGTCTGTCTTTCTGGCAAACTCAGGCATGCACATTATCTTCTGGGCGGCCTTTGTGACACTGGCAGTAGGGGGGAAGTCGTGCAGACAGACAAACCCAAAAGGAAGAAATGTGTGAAGCCATGGAATGTGTTTTAACTGCTGACTACACCACACAAGACCGTGTTAGCTACTCTGGGAGGACTTAGTGGTCAGACAGCTGAAACAAACACACAGGCAGACACACACACACTCACACACACACTGACAACACACACTTGATCTCAGTGAATGTTATCCGGAGGCTGACACTGGAAATTAGAAGTCACCACATGACTCAAATATCCACTAGATTATAAAAAAATGACCTTTCTTATTCTCGAGCCGGCATGTTAAATCACCACAAACAGTGACAGCACAGGCTGTGTGAACAGAGATGAACTCTCCAATAACAGCGTCTTTGTTGCAACATATTCTTAAGCACTAATAAACCCGATCAGCTCAAGTACGGATTTCCATTTTGCATCCGTTCTCTAGACACTCATGTGAGAGCTTTTTACTGGAAACAAAAACGATTAAGACAGAGGAATGAAAATGGTATGAGAGGAAGATAAGTGGAAAATGTGTTTCCGTTGTCTTGCTGTGTGACCCTGAGAAAAAAAAATTATGAATGAGAGACGAAGATGGAGACAAAAACCATAAAATCTAGGAAGTGGTGGTCCTCAAGCTTCAAGCTAACCTCTGCTTCCCCTTTTAATCATTCAAAAAATAAAGAGGAAGCCCTGCCCTTGTAGCCTGTTTCTACTGACTGTTTTTTTTTTTTTTTTTTTTTTTTTAGCATTTATTCTTTTTTCTTCTATCCTAAAAGTCAATGAGAAAGGTTTAGATTATTTTAAAATCGTTCAAAGCTTAAATTCAACTTAAAATGGTGCAAAGACAACAGATTAAATGTTGACAATGAAAAATATGACTAGTTTATGAAAAATATATGATAATTGTCTGTTTGAAAACAGCAACACTTTCCAAAAAATTAGGACATTTTTCCGCCCTACTGTATCGCCTCTTCTTTTCACACCGTGTAAGGGTTTAGGAACCAAAAGACTCAGTTTGTTGAGTTTTTAAGGGTCTGATATGATATGAGATTACGGCTGCTCAACACTTTAGGGTCTCTTTTGTCATATTTCTTGTGGTTGCAGCGACAAACTGTGTTCCTAGACAATGTTTTTTTTTAATGGGTATTTGAGCCCATATAGTGGTTTCCACTATAGAGTTATGTTGGTTGTTTATGCAATGCAACCTGAAGGTCCTCCCATTATAATTTTAAGGTGCTCTGGTCCTCTGGCTCTGTGAAATGCTAATAACTGGAAGATCTTAATCCAAGCAGTGTTTTTTTTTTTTTAATTACACAACTTTTTAATTATTTTGTTGTTCCTGTACCTACTATCTTAAAGTGTGTTTCTGTTGCCTGAAAATCAGCAGAAATTTCCAATAATACAATAACATTTTTCAATTTAACTGTATTATTTGTTGTCTTTGCACTATCTTTAATTAATTACAGGCTTTAAATGGATTTGCCAGCCACCAAGTGCCATTTAATCATAATTTCTTACTCAGCTACTCGACCCTTCAGAATTGGGTTTGTAATTTTCTCTCTCTGTACATCATGACTCTGCACACAGCCTCATGTACTGTTCCTCACAGGGAGCCTCTCGTGGCCACACCAGGTGCATGTGAGGCTACACGCATTCTTCCAGCCGCCCAACATGGTGACTTGGCCCTATCACGTTTCCTCTGGAAAACCACAGCTTCTGGATACCAGGGATGCCAACAGGGTGCCAGGGGGATGGCGCTGGCTGTGGTGCTGTTGGCAGCAGCAGCTGCAGAGGTTGGCGAAACTTGTTTTGCCTACATATTTTGCCTGGCTCTTGCTCCGCCTGGCTGAGACGCTGCACCACCAAATTGCAACGCCTCTACACTGGCAGCCAAAACCAAACACAGTATGTGTACACATTTAAATTCAGGTTCATACCACCACCCTGATGACTGCAGTCCAAACTAGAGTCAAGGTGACCCTTGGGTGTTAGACTGACGTATAATGTGGTTCAGCTTTTGGGAAAAGGGAGGTCGGGTAAATGTGTCAAATGACAGTGCCAGTGAGCACCATTTCCTCTTTCTTTGTGTGAAAAGACTTCATGTTCAAACAGTAATGAACAGTGTAAATAGCACTGAAGCCAAGAATAACTGCTGACTGCTACCTCAGAGCGACTGTCACTGGGTGTGTTTCTATCTGTTGTATCAGAAGAGGTGCAGAAGTGCGATGTTAGCTCTTTGGAGGCGTTCTCCAGTTTTGTCAGGCTTATAATAGAGACTTAAATGTGATACTACAGCCTCTCATATATGTTGAATTAGGAAGGGTGCCCTGAGCTCTGCCTTGTGGGTTTTCTGCGAGCCATGGCTTGTCTGAATCCAGGAATGTGAGGGGTTGATCACAGAGACACAGAGCGACTTAATTCCCTCAAGTCTGAGACCTTGCAGCCTAAACACACTGAGGCCCTGTGCTGCTGAGGTCAGCTATTTGTTTTTCCTCAGCTGCTGAGCGAGACTTCACACTGCTCGCACCAGAGGGAGCCATGCTTTCCAGCAGTGAAGCATTATGGGCCATAGGAGGAGACGAGAGAGGGATGATTGTTCAGAGGGAGGCATGACACCACCTCAGTGTCCTTTTTACACTTTGACAGCTTTCTTCCACCTCCTCCTCCTACTTTGCCTCCATTAAGGACAGAGTTTAACATCCCAGGGCCGAGGCTCAGGATCCAAGTCACGTTGTTTGATCTGCTCCCTGTGCAGTGAGCACACATGAACTCTGTATGTTCACGTTTAAATTAAGTCTGCCATGACCGACTGAAAGCCTTTTTCATCATGCTTGGCAGTACTCGTGCCAAGGCAGTGGTGTCTAAACCAGAGCTGCGCTGAGGTTAGACAGTTAGAATGGGTCAAATACAGAAGTCAGATTTCTCCAAAGAGACTAATAACACGTAACATATCATCTAACAATTTCCTTCTTCTTATCCCTGGCAGCTTTTCCCACCTACACATCCTACACAGAGTACTGCAGCCAGCTGACGCACTCTCTCATCGCCATGATGGAAGCCAGGCGGCCCGGAGTCAGTAGAGGCCCTGTCTGTGTTTGGACTCAGCCCAGATACCATTGCAACCTTCAATGCACCCAGACGGACAAAACAACTGAGCCTGCAACCCTCCCAGCAACGAAACATGATGTATATGCTTGATGTTGAGGAATTTTACATTTGTAGGCTCAGAGGAGACAGACCAGAGCAATGAGAGGACAGTGCTAGTCCAGGCAGGCTTCAAAATCAGGCCACATCCAAAGTATATCCAAAGCTGGATATAAGTCAAAAAAGGATCTCTACTTAATCCTGCTGTGATTGTACCCAATGGTCTTTGCTTTCAGTCGTAACTGCTTAGGTTAAACGGGGTAATTAAGTACAAATGTAAACTGGCCACAGCTAGAAAAAGCGTATTACGACGGCAACAGAAGATTTGACCCCGAGTCCAGGAGATGCTGATGTTGACAGAGAAACAAACACCTGCTCAGTTGAAAACAACCAGCTCAGAATCTTAGGCCGAGGACTTGCTGACTACCATTATATTTATCAACAGTATGATATTTAAGTCTTGATAACATGCCTGGTAAGTCATATTTGAGTGTCTTTTAGCATTAAAAGTCAGGTGATGCTATAATGACTCTCCAAAGAGAAGGTAAACGCCAAAGTTTAGAGGATTGACTTTCCAACCTGAAAACTGGGACCATCAAAGCAGCACATGAGCAGCATCAGACACATCCCGAAACATTTCCAAATATAAGGTATCAAGCTAGAACTGCGGTTCAGTGTTTCAGTGAATTCCCCCTCCATAAAAGATGAATATACAAGAGCTGAGGGTTTGACAGAGGATTTAAAGTAAACTCACCACTTCTGTGTTTGTGATTTTGGCCAGCAGGTCTGTCAGACTGTCGCCCCACTGTGACTGGTCGGCTGAGTCCAGCTGTAGGCCACAGATTGCTGCCCCCACACTTCCTGTGGCTATCATGGAGGGAGGATACATGGCGAATCTAAAATCTGTAAGAGGAGAAAATACTGACTGAGTCAAAGGTGACTTCCATATTTTCAATTTGTAAAGAGCACAAAAATTACACACTGGTCCTCCAGGTGAGGGGAAAATACCTGCCTCTTCACTTCAGAGTATAAATGACATTAAAACGAGTGATTTACACTTGATTTATTATACACCTGCTGAATTAAGTGCATATTTTAATACAAATGTGCCACAAAAAGGGCAGAGATATGAGAGACACTTTGATTTGGTCATCTAGCAGTCAGCTAATAAATAATCCTTCTATTGCAGCAGGCCTGAACGCAGCGCTCACTAATGACCAGGGGCCTGGATAATGAGGGTTCACTTGGCTTGTAAAGGAGCTGAAAAGCAACCAACCTCACCCACTCCCCACCCCAGCCCCCCTTCCCCCAGCCCGGCCCCTTTTCTTCCATCTCCTGAGTAAATCGTGTGCTCGCTGAAAAAAGCCCCATAGCGCTTGGAAAGGGAGGAATAAAGAGGCTCAGTGCCTCTGCCAATGCTCACTGCTGTAGGTCCTTTTTCCACGTGTGGTCACAGGCGTGCGTCTCAAAGACCAATAACCTTGTTAGCTCCCCTCACTGTCATTCATAATGCAAATGAGACAGCTTGTGAACGGGCCAGAAGCCCGAAAAGGCAAGGCAACTGGCATTCAGGGAAAGAGAGTGAGAGAGAGCGAGAGAGAGAGTAAGAGCGAGAGAGAGAGAGAGAGAGAGAGAGAAAGTTTTCTCTTCACAAACAGACTCACACAAACATGCGTTAACATACACACATCCACACTCACGCGCGCACACACACACACAAAACACAGACACACACACACACACTTGCTCCTTTCTCTATTCTCTTTTTATGTCTTGCTCAACTTCTACCTTTCTTTTTGGACAACACATGGACTGCTTAGATGGGGCGAGTGAATGGCACACATGCCCCACTCTTTGTTGCTACAACAGGCAGCGGTTTGCATTGGCGGTCCTCCTATCTTTTAGCATATTAATAGAGTGGCGGGCCTGCGAGGGGGAAGGCAGAAGAGTGTGACTCCATTGTCCAGAGTCATCACCTCATTTCACCCAATTGAGAGACACAGCATCCATCCCCTCTCTGCTGATACCAATTCAACCAGACAGGCCGGACAAAGAATGCGGCTGGACGGGGGGGACAGGGGCTCGGCGGGGGGAGGAAGATGAAGAAGGAGGGATGGACGGTATGGCGACAAGGCAACAAGGAGAAAGGAAGGGGAAGGTGGTGGGCTTGCTGGGAGAGGAGAGGGGGTGGACAACTCTGATGCACATCACTCTCAAGTCAGTGTCCAGACTCTTGTGAGGTTTTGGAAGAAGAAAAGAGTCGCCCTCCAGCGACCCTCACCTCCTGTCTCCACCCCCCTTCCCCCCCCACAAGTATGCCTCTGTTCCTGGGCCACCTATGGGCTCGAGGAGTGGGCAGCGGGGCAGAGAAACAGCCTGCGCATTAACATATTGCCATATTCAATTGCAAAGCAAACTGCGTGCGATGGCTCTGAAGGAGATTTTTCTTCCTTCTTTTTTTTTTTATGTGGAATCAAAGAGGTAGGCCCTTTGATAGCTGTAAAGGCAGCCCCTCACTGCCTTTTTAACATGCACAGCCAGGCGCTTTCTCATCTTGTGGGCTCAGTGTTGACAAATAAATGAACTTATTATACACCCCTGTGTTAGCCGCTGGGCCTCTGCCAAGGCGATTTATTAAGGCTACCTCGAGCCAAGAGGAAAGAGCACACAAAGCCCCTCAGCATTACATCACTGCTGTAAGAGCACAACTTTCTAAGGGTGGGTAAAAGGACAAAGGCATACATGGATTTACTGTACGTGTGGAGTGAGCGCAGACTGACAGGCAGGGAGGCAGACACCTAGGAGACACGGGAGGGAAACAATGCACTGATGGCTGCCTGCTTTAAGATGCAGACACAAACACACACACATATACACACAGAAACACAAAACCAGCACAGACATAGGTTTGTGGGAGAGCTGAGTGGCGGGCAGTGGGCAGCAAGCTGATTTTTCGCACTCAAGACAAGACAGGTCTGTAGCAGAACAAGGACGCGCGCGTGCAGCCGATGCGGGCTGACACTCCGGCCTGGTGGCTGCTGCATGTGGGGGGAAGAATGGCCGTATTTTAGGAGCCCCTCATTGATATTCATGCTGAGGATAAACAGTGTATGTAGCTGAGTGGGGACGCCTGCGATGGAAAGCTCCCTGTGAGCAGCGGCTGGCTGGTCTGGCCTGCACGCCTCTCACCCCCTTCAATGGCCCTTTCTCCTCCCTGCGCCCCCTCATCTCCATTTCTTCGTGCTCCTACCCCCTGAAACTTCATCCTCAGGCCTCTGGTCACACAGTCTGCTGCCCTACATGGCCCACTCCTCTTGGGTGGCTGTGATGCACAGTATGCACATTAAACTTGTAAATTAATTAAACTTGGAAAGTTGAACAACAGCCAAAACAAGAAAGAAAAAAAAGTCAGAAACTCTCCTTCCCAGCTTCTCCGCTCCCTCTCCAGCGCTATAAATCAGGGTCTTGTATTCTATACGTGTAGCGCTTATTGACCGTGTTTATTAAGGGAGCAGCATCACCAGGACTCCGGGCCTGTTGACTGATTAAGGCCAAAAACAAACATCATTTTGGGATTGGACTGACAGTATGTTTCACCGCTAATGCAACACAGTCTGGTAGTCAAAACAAGGTTTGTAGAGTCTCCTCAGACCCTTTACCTTATGTAGCTTTGAGACGCACAAACAACGACAAGGCTCGGGGAGTTTCTCCACACAGAACAAGAGGTGAAATCACTGATTCTGATAACCTGATACTGCAGTCTGCCATTTTTCCATCTGCTCCTGCTCCAGACTGTCACTCAGGAGACAAACAAAAAACACAACTTGGAAGAGGCGGAGGCAACGTCCGGAAACTTTTAAAAAAGTGATTTCTGTTTTCGCAAATCAACTCTGTCCACACCAGAAAAGTTTGGGGGTATTTTCTGTCCACACGACAACGCAGAAACAGTTGAAAAGCCAGGAGGTGGCAATAATGTGCGACCCCCGGTGCATTACTTTTGACCTCGGAAGTCAGAAATGTTGCGGCGCCTGCCAGAGAAGTCACTCTGAACGCCTCCTGAAGCTGGAATTCCTTCTCGGGAATTCAGAGGAACTTCAGCAACCCCGAGTTCAAAATCCGAGATGGCTGCCCCCCTGCATCAACAGCAAAAAGCTTTATTTCTGATTGAGTTTACGAGAGAATTTGTCTGAATGAATGGTGTAAGCTGTATATGTAACAGGATGTTTTACTTCTTTTTTTGTTGTTTTATTTCATTTCAATTCAGAAGTTATTCATGTAATTATTGAGCTAATCTACAGATGTGTCCACCCCTCTTGAATAGGGTTAGGGTTCTGCATATCATGTCATATGATTGACTTCCTTAATGTAAAATAAACACTGCAATTCATATGAAAACAACAGGCATGTGTGTAGTTATCAAGTAATTTGGCATAAAACAGACTCTCCCTTGGTTTGCAGCATCCTGTTTCACCTCTTTTCAGTCTTACACCATCGTCTCACTGTGCTAGCCCACTCTTCTGGGAGTCAGTAAACTCAGGGGCGCAGCTCTGGATCACATTCTAGGTAGGATGCAGAAATAGTCCACTTCTATCCACACTGGAAATCCTATTTTGGTTGCTCAGTCTTTGCCCTTTATGCGTACGCTCCCTCTCCTCCTTTTCAGTGACCATCTCTGGAGCTGATGTGATTAAGACCAAATGGGAAGCTCAGCTGAAGGAATTAAAGAGTCTGCTCCAGGGAAGAATAAAGTTGGAGGACAACTCTGGTGTCATGACAAAAAAGGCTCAGGTCAAACTATCTGCTGCTAACATTTACTCAAGCTCAAATCACAAACATTAGTCTTTGTGGTTAACATGACCTCCAAGGTAAACACGTCAGCTCCAAACCATTTTGATTGCTGACCCTCTTTGGTGGGATAGCGGAAGCATCTGAAGCGAAAAGCGTCTGTCTTCATGTGTCTGCTGTGACTCAGCTGGCCGCAGTATTTAAAGTATGGTGCTGGTTACAGCAGCGAGGTGAGGAAAGCGGGGGATTCAGGACGTGCCACTCCATGATTCACTCTGTGTGTCACATTTTTGGGAGCATACTTTCGGGAGGCTTCTTCCTGCTTCAAGTGTTGACGATGCAGCCTGACCGGACATGACTCCTCACATCAGTGGAGCGTGTGGAGAGATGATAATTTGATGGAGGTGGCGGCCAATTTGTTGGAGTTCTGACTCATCAAACATGAAGGGGGTTTTTATGTAAACAAACACCAGTAACGACCATTTCATTGACCACATCTGAGACGAATCATTCGACTCCAGAATGAAGAGCCGGGCCTGGAGGGGATTCTCAGTGCGGCAGCCAGGAGAGGAGAGGAAGCTGCATGAAGCATTCCTGCCCCTGGACCAGTGAGACTTCACAAAAGGACTTGTGAGTCATTTCACAATATCGGACTGTTGAATGAAAATGGGCAAGTTTGCATACACTCTGTCTCTTCCTGTATACACAAGAAGCCTCAAGAATTCAAGACGCACAGTTCGGACAGCAGTGGAGGAAACAATTGAAATCAAACCCAAGACTGTTAGGCTCTGACTAACCTAAATATAGCCCTGCGTCTCCTCTGTCTGTTTGGACTTCCACGCACATTTTAAACAGAATTAAAGAATTCAAAGACTGGTTGTGCGATCAATTCCCAATCCAGCCATCAATTGGTGCACGTCTCACTGCTGCATTTCTCTTCCATTTCAAGCTGTTCTATCAAAACAAAGGCTCAAGTGCTCAATAAAATCTGTATGTGTGCATGTTTTCTACTTTTCTTTAGGGTTTGAAACTGCATAATATTTTTAAATATCAGCTGAAAAAGATTCCATACATGAGCGTTCATTCACACTATGCTCCAAAAATGGATTCACTGTGTTTGTCTGACTTCAACTGGACTTTCAGACTTGAACAAACATGTTGGCCCAACTGTAATTGCACTAAATCAAATTTATGGGATCAACATACCGAGACATTGTGGCTGGGGATGCATTTTCTCTTGCATGTACATGCCTCAATCAGTCCTAAACCAGTCAAGGCATTATGCGCTTGGTTCTCAGTTCACATGCCAGGCTTTGACCTGGATGGTTGTCATGTGTCAAAGGAAGCAGGCGTTGTTTTATACCTTCAGATGTCACCATTTGAAGGTCCAAAAGTAGGATGACCATATTCTGAATCCCCAAAAAGAGGACACTACTACACGGGGCGGAGTCATGGAGTCTCGGGTGGTTAATTTTGAGAGTTTTTCGGGTCCGGTTGAGTGTTTTTTACACGCTTCTAACTCAGTTAGTCCATGCAACACAAACTCAAACCTTCCATACAAAAAAACTGACATTTGAAGGATTTTATAAACTCTTTTGGACACGGCCAGGCAGGTTGGACAGCCCTCCCAAAAAGAGGACATGTTTGGGTAAAAGAGGATGTACAGTCACCCTGTCTAAAAGTGACTAACAGAGTGGGGCATGTTACCACAAGCTGTAGCAGAGGAGGACATACTTTAATCAATAAATTGATTCTCGTTGAGCTTTCATACTGGTACAAGAAGAGTAGATCCAACTGAGTCCCCTGATCAGACTCTAACGGTAGCTTGACCTAACTGTGCACCGAAACGTACCGAGTGAACCTGTGCAGCACAGCTCGTCTTTTCTTCTCCTTGTTAGCGTGTGAGTCATTAGTTTCTCTCAGAAAACTAAACCAGTTAATCATCAAATTACCTCACACAGTCTCAGACATTCCCAAACGACAAAATAATGGTCACATACCATTTTCAAATCAAAGAGTCTCTACGCTCTCATACTTAAAGCTCTTGTTATTTACATCCAGACTTGTAGCAAAGTCGTCATTGTGTCCTCAGGGACAATTGACTCTTTCTTGGACAGCACGGCTGGCCCTGGTCCAGAATTTTCTTTTGATCGACTTCTATGACTATTGTCACCATTCCATCCATACCATTACAGAGGGGCTATTGGAGCCGGTATTAAAAAAATAGACCATAATCCCTGCCAATATGGCGAGAAGACGGTGCTCAATAACTGCAGCAGACAGGTTGGGGTGCATCTGTCTGCCCCATGCACCCCGTCCATTCTCCCACTTTACCTCAATTGAATAAGAATAGAAGAGGAAGCTCGGAGTGCTTGGTGTCTGTGTGCAGGAATGGAGGTTCATAATCTCCCTTAATGAGCTTGTTTCTGGGCTATTATCCGGCGGCCTGCCTGAGGGAAACGCTGGTGTTTCCTATCAAGTGGCCCCGCAGCGCTGACCCTCGCATGGCTCTGCATATGAAATGTAAGGGCCAAGCCTTTTGTCTCCTTTCTCCCAGCCTCTAGCTGAGCTCCCGAGCCATTTGCATAGTCCTGAAAGGACCAGCCAATGTTATTAATTAATACAGAGCCAGCCTGCGCCACCTGACAAAATCCCACCGAGTGGCCCGAACGGAACTGTTTCATCAAAAGAGAGGAGCCATTAGGAATGAGAGGCCTTATTCTCCACTTCTCCTCTTCTCCCTCTTGTTCTCTTGAAGACAGAGAGCCGTGGTTTTATGCATGTTTTCTTTTTCAGTATAGGGGTGGCAGTGGTGGGAGTGGTGGTGGGTGGTGGGTTGAATGAGGCCGTATGAAATAGGAAGGCCACAGGTGACCTGTTGTCAACTGTCTTGCAAATGTAAATCCTCCTGAGAGATCCCCTCCTTCTGCTGCGTCTTTACCTTCTCAGAGGATGTCTCAAGGAGGATTCTCACCAGATAACACGAAGATTTATGGCTGGGAACGTTCCTCCAATGGGGTTTCAAATTCCCAAAAGATCTACAGATGCACCAAAACTTTGACTCACTCACTCGTTCTGTCTTGCCCTTGCTTTTCTGTTTGCCTGGATACGAGTCTGAGGAGAGCAAACTCAGACAAATGACCTGTTGCTAATCCAGAGCTATCTCCAGAAAGTTTCTCCAACAGAACACAAAGTGAGGAGGATGACTCCAGGGGGCTCGTAAATTTATTTCCATTGTATCGTTGAAGCAATTAAGGACAAAGTGCATGCTGAGTCTTTCACCAGTATTGTTTAGGGAATAAGTCTGATCACAGACGCGCTGTCATTGCACATTTATTTGCTGGCATGAAATAAGGGGTGAGAGATGCAGGGTTTGAGACGGAGAGAGAGAAACAGATATACAGAGAAAGCAAAAGACAGGCTGACAGTAAAACAAAGAAAACGGGCGTTCCCTCGCCAAAGTTTGCTAAATTCTGCTGCGGAACTTTCTCACCCTATCATATCTGTTGCACAACCAGCGCAGGGAATTCCATCACTTCATGTTGTAAATACCTGTCACCTCCCTTGAATCTATTCATCTAAGTATACACACACTCCTCTGAATGATGTCAGCACAAGGAGCTGTTTCCCATGAGGGGGGTGTAGTTAGCATTCCTGTTTGAGGCCTGCAGAAAAGGAAGCCGCTGCTGGTGGTGGGGGTTACCCAGAAAGTGAGAAAGAAAGGAGTGTCAAACAGCCTCTCTGTGGGTGAATTGTGTAATTTCCTCATTCATGTGAAGAGAAATTATCTAGCATGTTTGGGAGCAGTTTAGAGAAAAGTAGCCCTGTCCCGTCTGTAGCTTTGAATGCGGATTTGAAGGTGACGCAAACAGGAGAAACCTGCCCTGAAGAGAATCTCAACATGGGAAAGCTATCATGTCCTCCAGCTGTAGGGTGGGGAGGCGTGAGAAGTTAGTGGGGAGAGAAAGAGGGAAGGAAGGCGGCGGGGAAAGAGATATGAAAACATGACATGCCTTAGAATTGGCAGTGCAAAAACAATACACTCCTCTGGCTTTCCCTCACTCCCCTGCTCCCTCCTGCATCTTCTCCCGTCTCGATCTCGCCGTCTCTTCAGATCATGTTAAAGGCTCCCTGTCCCTCCCACCACTCCATGGATGTTTGATCTTGAGGGAACAATTCACCTCAAGAGTAGAGAGACAATGGCCTGCCTGCCTCCTCCCCTGTCCATTCCTCTTCTCGACCCTGTGCGACATGGGAATGCCCCTCAACCAGGCTCGCTCTGCTTTGAAGTGTTACTGGATGCTCTGGAAGCCACTGATACGCCTCTAAAACATGACCACATACCAGCCTGGGACCAGACAAATGATGGACATCGGGCTTTAGAGGCGAAGGCTGAAATATCTTCCATGACACATGCTTTTCTTAAGCAGAATACCTTCCCTTTGGAGGTAATGCACTTAAGCAGAGACACGGCGGGCTGAGACTGGCCCACAGCACACCTCTGAACAGAGATGTTGCCGCATGTTATTGAGAGAGCGCTTTGATTCTGTGCAGAAGGAGGAACATGCAGACACAGATATTTTGCAATGTGAGAAAGTATGTTGATGCAAGCTGTTGTTGCTGGGCTTGACTTGGCAGCTACTTCGCGATCAGAGTCACTTGCAACATCAACAAAAAAAAGAGAACCGAATTACAAAGGGATTATTTATCAGGATGACAATGTAGGGCTGCAGAATTAAAGCTAATCATAATTATTCTGATCTATACTGAGCTCACCAGCATTGTTCACAATTATTGATTGATTTTAGAGACGGCCTTTTTTATTACTTTGCGTCCAGCGTGTTCAGTAGCATGAGTAATCTTTCAGAGGGATTCCTGGACTATTTCCTTGCATGCTTTGGGCTAAAAATGTCCTGATAAGGATAAAAAAAAATTCTGTAGTTGCGTCTGCTGATTGCTTCGGCTGTGACATGGGCGGGATAGATCAAACTGCGTCGCTAAAAATTCTTGGGCTTGAATCTTAATCCCGAGAGTCTGACAACATCAAAGAAAGAATCCCTTTCTGTGAACATATGACTCATTTTTAACAGCTCTGCTCTCTGTGCTCACTCTGTCCCTCTGCTTTACTAACACACAACTAGTCCTCTTGATCTCGTTCTCCCCTCCTGATCATCTTTGAATTCTATCAGTGTATCATTCGTTCATTCCACATCCGTTTTAGAATCCAAAATCAGAAAACGGATAACGACTTGTTATTTCATTTCTCGTTTTCAAATCAAAGATCGGAAAACAAATAACGGCCTATTTTTCGCTGTTTTGATTTTGTTATGAGAGAATGGAATTATCATGGGATTTTTGTTCTATTCGTTTTTGGTTTGTATCATTTTCAATGTGTTGTGACCCGAAAGTTATTGACTTTTTTTTTCCTACCTCGTATATTGAACTGACCACAGCCCTCTCCAGTTCTGCAACAGTAACATGACGTTTCCGCCTGAGGTTGTGTTGGATGCAGAAACGTCTGACACTCATTGCAGAGCATCTACGGACACCCATCTCCTGCAACGTCTCCGAAATGTCTGCGTGGGTCTTACCAGCTTCGAACAACTGCTTAATAACATTGGCGTATTGTTCTAGTGCGGCCATAGCGGTCTATTGATATCGCCTTCTCTATCTTTGTGAACAGGTTTCAAGATCCGCGCGGTTAAAGACTGGCCTCCCTGAGAAAAAAAAGTCAACAACTTCCGGGTCACAACACCTCGAAAATGATACAAACCAAAAACGAATAGAACAAAAATCCCATGATAATTCCATTCTCTCATATTCTATTTTTAATTTCAAAACAAAATCAAAACAGCGAAAAATAGGCCGTTATTTGTTTTTCGATTTTTGATTTGAAAACGAGAAATGAAATAACAAGTCGTTATCCGTTTTCTGATTTTGGATTCTAAAACGGATATGGAATGAACGAATGATACACTGATAGAATTCAGTCAGTATCTGAGGACATTTACTTATGTGACATAGACTCTTCATGTGTCCTACCTGTGGCACATAGGGCGATGAAGGTTTGGACATGTTTGCGTATAAGTGCCAGCTTATCCTTGGGCAGCGGCAGCCTCCTTACAATGTGCTCTATGAAGTCGTTCGGTGTTACTGCTGCCAAGTTCCACTTCAACTTCCCCAACACCACCAGTTCCCATTCCTGGAGAGAGTGGGGGAGACAGGAAGAAAAAAAGACAGAAAAATGAGACAGGCTGACATAAGTGAGAGAGCTCATTTACATACTGAAGCAGTTTTTTAATGTAGCTACAACTCTGTACTGTACAGCAGCTGTTCCAGCAGTGACACAGCAGCCTGAAGTGATCTCCTCTGCAGGCGCCTGGCCCCGTACATGACTATGTGTGGAGGTTAAGCATTATTCTTATTGCGTTAGTCTCTGCTTGGCTGAGCCTGGGACAGAGAAACACCAGCAGCACCACCAGGTGACCTCACAGCACTGTCTCCCTCCCAGTCTGCCTGTCTGGCATCTGGGGACTTTCCTAAAGAGGCCCACCAGAGGTTCCACTCTGTTAGTGTGAGTGTGTGTGTGTGTGTGTGTGTGTGTGTGTGTGAGAGTGTGATTGTAGAGTGAAAAGGGATAGGAGGGCCGTGCTTTTTAAACACAATCAGCCATAAATCTGTTTTATGTTAAAGAGTTAAACTGAGTTTCATTACTTAATTTCATTTCACTCCACTCATCATTTAAGCTCTGAGAAACCCTCATTGTTTGTTGCAAACAGGTAATAACATTATTTCCTTTTCTGCATGTTGCCAATGGTTAAAAAAAGCCCTGTGATTTTTCTGTCAATTACCCATCTGAGTGGGTTTGGACTTGATATCTTAGCTGGGAAACAGAGTTAAACAGCATATTTCTCACACATGGACTTTTTTTTTTTTAAGTTTAAAGCTCTTGATGTCTCAATCTAATCCTTTGGCAAATGTGTTGATGACCTGCTCATCTAGATTAGTGTACAGGCATGTGTGAACGTTCAAGTGTTTTGTTACTTTCGCTTCCTAGAGGAGGAGGTGATTAACGGAGGAGTTGGTGACTAATTTGGGAAAAATGTCGTGGTTTGGTTCCGGGCTGAAACCTTGTGACTGGGACCATGGATGCTCTTCATTTTCCCTTTCATAGTGAGAGAGAGAGAGCGAGCGAGAGGGAGAGAGGGAGAGAGAGAGAGAGCGACCACATGGACTCAGTCATAAGACAATTCAATATGGCCGCCACTGACCATGCCACCAGTATAAAGTACTCTGATTCCACCTTTTATCAGCCTGAACAAACTTGATGTAAGTAGAATATAATGTTCACCTGTCGTTTCTTTATATGACCCTTATATGGAGGCAGCCTTTTTTCTACAGTGGCACATATTGGACAAACTAGTAGCATGTGCATTTATGGATTGATTGAGTGACTGGCTACGCACTGGGTGGAAAAAGTTGGCATTAAAAACTTGAAATAATGAAATGAAAAATGAAATATAATGCAGATCATGTATCAGAGGAGCTTCTTTTCCTTGCAGGCCACTGTAGATTCATGACGGGTGCGCAAGGGAGCCTGATAAATACTGCCAAATATGCCCATATCCATACACTATGCCTTTAATGCCTTCTGGTCACAAAAGTGTTGTCATAAAAGAGAAAAAGTAGACTTCTTTAGATACAATTTCAGTTACAGTAGATGAGAAAATACAAGCTCCCCCACAGTAAAGGCTAAAGGTTTCTCTCTGTTTGCTTTGGGAAGTGCGTCCCTCATCTCAAAGAGTGAATCATCTGATCAAATTCAGATCATATTGACCAGCAGTGGTCAGTGTTGACTGTTTGCAACATGGCTGCCTCCTGATCCAAAGTGCCTGTTCCATCAGAAGGAGTCAAGCACAGTGTAAGAGAGCGAGGACAAACCTTGCAACATGCTATCTATGCTGACAGAGAGGCTGGCAGGCAGGCAGGCAAGCAGGCAGGCACCCACTTCCTTCTGCTACTGCCTTCCTCTGGTCACACCTTCTTTGTAACATTGCGGTTCACTTTACAAGAAATTGTTACCAAAGACGAGGACAAAAAAAAAAAAAAAAAAACGATCACATGCCCTGCGCAGCTGATCTCTGTTTCCTGTATCTGCATGTCAGCCAAAATACTGCCTTATACAGAAACAGAGAGATGAGGCCCCAGCAACCGGTTCAAGGACTGAGGGCTTTGTTTCAGACTGAACATAAAGGTAGACGAACTCAGTTTACTCAGAAAAGCAGCATGTCAAAGTGTTCAACTAAGTGCAGCTCTTCCTTTCGCTTACACATAGTCTGTTTTCTTGTCAAACCTTCAGAGCGATAACGTGAAATCCCTCACTGACAGGACGGGAACTAAAGCTTTTAAACAACCAACAAATCTGATAGAAACCAGCAAAAGCAGCATGTTAGAAAGTTGACTCTGCGAGCTGCGAGGCAGGCCTGCAGCCACGTCTGATTCAGAATATGTGGCCTCTTTCACAACATGGGTGGGATTGGCTGTTGTTTACTGAGGAATGTTTATGTAGCACCACAGAGCTGTGGGGAAACACTTATCTGATGGGAAACTGAGTTAATTAATTGGTTTGAGCCCATGAAGGCGGCTGGTATTATCAGGCCAAAGACGTCTTATCAAGAACACACAGAGAGAGGACATTACTTTAACTCTGAGTGACACATCCAACCCTGCATCATCATCATCATCATCATCATCATCATCATCATCATCACACTTGGACAGCAGGCTGCATTTCAGAGTGAGAAGCTAAGAGAGTGCAGCATGACATAATATCAGAAATGTGTGCATCCCCGGTTATTTTTGGATGAAAGCTGCACTGTAAAAGGCAAACTTGAATTTCTTCGTCTCTCTCTCTCTCTCCTCTCTCTCTTTCTCTCTCTCCCTCCCTGACAGGAACAGAGTCAGAGCTTTGGCTGGAGTTCAAGCTGACCTCGTTGCTCTGTGCAAATATCTGCCACCAGATGGCGATAGAGACCATTACACAGAGAGGGACTGATACTGTAAAAGCCCACAGGGTCTCTTGTACAGTAAAGAGAGCTCTTGTGGAACAATTCACCCTGAGCATTCGCCTTTTTCTGCATTTTTAGTGAGTTTGCAGTGTAAAGTGAAGAGTGGACAGCAGGTTCAGTGACAAAAGAAACGCTCTTTTCTCTGCTCTTGTGCATGTTTGATCTTAATTGGTAAATCTGTTCATTTAATTACAAAATACCTGAAATGAAACATTCTCCAAGAAGCAAATACGATGAAAGCAACAGGCCCAAAAATAAAGCATGAAGATGTCTGAACTGATGCAAACATCAATCTTCAGATGTGCCACTGAGAGTTTGGTGAATTGAAGTGTTGAACCATCTGTTGCTTACCAGCAGCTCCTGTGGTCTGATGGAGTTATCTGTATAGATGCAAAGCTTCTCTGCAGTTAATGGACGAGTCTCTTTCAATTTGGATGCAAGAAACATGCAGACTGCACCCAGCAGCTGCAGGTTACACTTTTTGGTGGGCACCACGGCTAAAAATCTGTCCAAGTAGTTCATGGCCAAAGGAAAAACTTCTTCTTCGCACTTCTGTTCCTCACAAACCTGAGAAGAGAGGGAGAGAGAGAGCAGACAATGCAGCAATGTTCAGCGTTTGGAATCAGTCACCTACCCTGCAGTGACCTGACGTATTTTCCAGAACATGAAATGTATATAAAAGTTTTATGAGAGAACGAAACAAAAGTGGAATCACATAAAAAGCACTTATAAATTCAATGACACACTGAGTTGGGGCTCGGCCAAGAATTTGCGCCCAGCCCTAATCTGTTGCGACATCATGCATTAATTAGAAATACATTATTAAAGAAAGAATGAAATATATGTCAGACATACTGTCAATAGAGTCACATTCCTGCAGTTCATTCACTAAGAAATGAATTCAAGTCACAATCAGCCGAGCCAAAAAAACACCCCGACAGCGCAGCACACGGAAACATGCTTTTTTCCTCATTCGTCATGTTTTCATAAAATAATTAAAAATATAAATAAATTTGCTGGGATAATTTTTTTCACATGATAATGTTCAGGAGTCTTTACCACATCAGATCCGACGTTTTGAATCCAAATCCCGACACTTTAAATGTCTATAAAATGTCAAAATAAAAGACAAGTAGCGAGTGGTAGGTCTGATGTGCGTCACCGCCGACCCGATATATTCATTTCTAAAATTAATTAAAAATAACCAGCGCGTGCCACCCTTATGATATTTACATGTAAATAAAGCTCAAAGACTCGGGATTGTTTACATGTGGACACTGATCAAAAATACTTCACCGAGTGTCAAAAATGGAACATAAATCCAGAGAGAGGCGAAACGACGAGGAGAGGAGCTGAAGCAGATAAGGCCCGCGCCCCTTCCGACATTTTAAATAGAAACCTCAAATGTTTGCAGCGCTTTTCCTGATCGTTTTTACATTCAAAAGACGCCCGAAGGTCTCTTCTGTCATTCCCGATGACTTTTAACCACTGTTATTGTCTTTATGACACTGTAAAGCCCTCTTAAAAGCGCGAACGCTCCTGTAAAAACCAACATGGCGATAGAAAGGCGCAGGGCAGCATTGCATTGGGGAGTGCATACGTGTGCATGGAAATATTCAGGCTATCTAAAATAATAACATTAAATAAGCAGCGGGCAGCTCGTACAGACAACAAGTGAGGCATATGGAAGAAATACACGGTGTCGGAGATATCTCAGCTCCGAGTTTAACAAACACGACCTTCATGATCGGACTTTAAAATCGCGAAGAAATTCAAAGAAATGTCAAATGCGGTAAATACGCGGAATACTGAGTCAGATATGACAGTAGTGAGTCTGATGTAGAGTCTGGAGGGCAAACAGAGCTCAGCAAAGCAGCAAGAAACAAATAAAGAGGCTTTAAAGTCGAGTACGGAAATACTAAGTCTTGTCAGCACTCGGTGTTTCGGTGTAGCCTACCTCCAACATCCAAGTCGCGACCATCCTTCTCATAAACGGCTGAATATCTTTCTGGACGCCTTTAAAATAAGAATACTGAGGCAGAAACCTCTCCTCTATGGTCAGCAAGCTCTGCAGGACTCTGTCATCGCACAGAAGGTTCGGATCGGGACGAGCTCGTATGATGGTGTCCATTTCGAGGCAGAGCAGCTCCATGGTGCTGGTGCGAAGTCAAAAAGTAGGAAATCTCTCTTGGAAATCGTCAAAGTGGCGTTAAGGGGCTAAAAACGACGTGAAAAGATGGCAGAGAAAGTGTTTTAGAGGCATAAAAGTGAGACTGCAGGGCTCCGTCAGAGTAGTCCTGCCTCTCCTTGTTGAGAACTTTTTCCTCTCTCCCCAAGAGCGCCTCTTACTTTCATCCGCCTGCAGATCAGGCGAATTTCAAGCCTGCCCTGCATGCGCACTGACGCAGTTCACTTGATTACCTCTGTATAGAGCAGACGCAACATGCTGCACTGCTGTCCCTCTTTCTTGTGGCCTGGCATGCATGACAACTTTCAGCCAAAGTTGATTCATTTGAAAATGTTAAGGGCTGACATTTGGAGAGGACATATGATTCAGAAAAAAATACAGGAGATAATGTGCAGAAAGAAAAGGAAAGAAAAACCACAATCTTGATACAAGTTTAACAGGTTCTTTTTTTTTCCACGTTTTTGCAGAGTTGATAAAAAATTCGTTGGAGGTGATTCAAACATGAGGAAAGTTGCCCTGAGCTTCACGAGACTTGAAGAAGTTTATTTTGGTGATCTTCTATTGAAGCGACACAAAGGAAATGACCAGTTCACATGTGGTTTATATACCCTCAACATTCTTCTCCTATCTGAACTCAAACTTTCTTTACTTTCTCAAACTTCCCTCCTTTGTAGAGAAACTTAGAAATAAGTGTCAGAGTATTAAGCTCAGAGGACTACATTCACTCTTTCATTTTTGGTTTAAAGCTTCATGTGTGCATGTGGCCATGAGACGCTGCATGCTAACTTACAGAAAACATGTGCCCAACCGGACACGCGCAGAACCACCCAGAACCACCCACCCACTTTAAGCACACTGACTCAGCCACACACACACACGCACATAAACACGCGCGCGGACGCACACATTGGTCGCAGAGACTATTTTTTATTTCAGCTTGTGGCTTGTGACAGATAGCTTTCTAGGAAATTTGAAGCAGCGGATGTATTGTCTTTGCACAATCTCCCGTCAAAGATAACACAGAGAAGAGTCCTGGCTCTGCTCGAACCCAATCACATGAAGCAGCAGGACAATTCTGCTCTCAATCATCACATTTTTCCACATCAGGTTTTTTTCTGTAAACTTATTGACATGGAAATAAAAAAAAAACAAGCAGGTGGAAACGAAGCGGAGTGAGTGTAAAGTCATTGAGCAGATAATTAAAAAAAATGACTGCCAAAAGATTTAGCCTCACGTACAGTCACAAAGAGAATCTGCATGGGTAAATATGTTAATCCCCCTCCATATTCTTAGTCAACTTCAAAGACGGAGCCCTGAATGAAACGGGACTTGAGCGCGTCAGGGGAAGACTGGGGACTGTAAAGTCCTCCGAGCCTTAGAGCTGTTAATTTCCATCACAGGCTCACAGGCTGTATAGCAATGCTTGTGAGAAAAGTGGGGGAAATGTCTCTTTAAAGTTTTTTTTTTCCAGTCTAAGTTGTTTCCTCCTCCCTGTGTGTCTATTTGCATAGCCAATAGTTCCTCAGCGCTCGAGCGAGGCTGTGCGATTGTTACTGGGCAGACTTTACCTTCTCTCTCTTCCCCTCTCTCTCTCTCTGTCAATCTGCCTCTCTCTCTCTCTCTCTCTCCTTCGACTGCTCTGGTCATTTCTCAGTCCTAACCTCAATCTGACACGTTCATTAGAAACTCTGAAGTGACACCAAACACGTCGGAAAGTTTCATGAATTTATAGTTGGATAAAAAGTGGCCCCTAACTTAGTTTTCTCACACAAATATTCGAGAAATGAAGAGTTTTCTTATGTGGCAACACTTATCTTCAAGTATCCCGGATTATTTTTTTTTAAAGATTGAAGCAGGCAAAGTGAGACTTCACCTCAAATATTAATAAAATAAATCATTGTCAAATTAACTTGACTGTGAAATGAATAGGAAAGAAAAATCCGCGAACATCAATTGTTGAAATTAATCACGAGATAATTACGCACGGACATTAAATCTTATCTGAAACAAAAAAGTATGTTTCTACAGAAAAAAATGTTAGAAAAAGAAAGAGTAACTTTGGAGGAAAGACAGGTGCTTCAAATCCTCCTCCTCCTCCTCCTCCTCCTCCTCCTCCAGCTCCTCCATCAGCTGCACCAGGATGCGCAATTACGCACCTCAGCGCCGTAATCCGCGGCTTTATCCCGCAGGCTGCTTGTCAGCAACGGTCACCTCAGCTCTGGCACGTGACTCTTATTCATAAAGTATTTTTTTTAAGGGGAGGAGAAAGTGGTTGTGTAACATTTACAGCAGCACGCGATTTCAAATGCCCAAATGGACATGGTCGATCCTAAAATCGTGCACACCCCCCACAGAAAGTAGTTAAATTCATCCATTTAAGGTGTTTTCTCATCAATCTAAATCTTTTTAAAAATATGACAGAAATATTTCACGCATTGTCAAAGGATTCCCATTCCTTTTATCAAATATTTTCCATAAAAATAACTCGTGGACACGTTGAGAAACTTCAGCCAGGAGCTTCATGTATGTTTTTTTCTGCGGCGGAACAGTGACGCCTGCGGCTCCTCTCTCTGAGCGATCACGAGCAGCAGCTGCGCGCGCGCCGTCCCGGAAGCATTCAATTAGCATATCAGAATAAAATCAAAACACACCCTACAAGGTTAGAAACATGAAAAAAAGCTCCGACAGACGACATTCAGACGCGCTTTGGGAGGAGGAACAGTCAGAAGGAGCAAAGTTTGAAGTGAGGAGAAATTCTTCCGCTGCTGCACACTGCAAGAAATATCTGTCGGGTTCAATTATTTTATGAGTTCCGAGTAAAAAAATCCTCATTAGCTTTAAAGACACACTTTTTAAAAATATTTCCGGCAGATCTGGATAAGTTTACTTGTTCTTACACCATCAGATGGTGTTGTTTTTAGTGAAGAAATGGAGGGAGGTGTCCTTTTTTTGGTGAGACATGCTTCTATAAATGCCCGACATTTTTCTAAAATAAGAAGTTGTGAATTTTTCAAAATTAAATACCTTCCCACTGGGGTTTTCCCGATCAGTTAGTGTTAAAATTTGTGCAGAAGTGTTGATTAAAAAATGCGAGTGTTCATTTTTTGCAGTGAGGATCGATCATCTTCATCATGGCACCTGCCTCTTATTATATCCACATGATAAGGAGCCTGACCGACGGGCAGCACCCCGGGGTGTCCGCAGATTTACGCACAGCTCTAAGTGTTTTTTTTTCTGCTTATTTACCGACATCAACATGGGAATCCTGGCGCTGAGAAAAATGTCCCACTTGACAAGAAGAGTGTCGGAGGGGAATTTGTCAACAGCAGAGAGTTGTGAAATGACAGCAGCTCAGATCTGACTGACTGACTGACTGTGTGTGTGTGTGTGTGTGTGTGTGTGTGTGTGTGTGTGTGTGTGTGTGTGTGTGTGTGTGTGTGTGTGTGTGTGTGTGTGCAGACTTAAGACTGACTCATGTAACATCACGAAGGCTGGATTTTCTTTAAACACCTCAAACATCTCACAAAAGAAGGATCTCTCTGAGCAAAAGCAGAACATTAATTTCACTTTATTTTTGATCTCCAAAATGAGTTTGAAATACTACAAAAATAATGCATTTCTTTTGTTTAAATTCGACAAACACTGAATGTTAAAACCTCCTTATCTGCAGAGCAGTCATCCTGTCAGGCTTTCCTGTTGAGCTGCATGTCCATGAGCTTAAAGTGAAACTAAAAGTGAGGCAGTGAGGAGAATAAAACATTACAAGAATTTAAAAAACAAATATCTCCTTAGAAGAGATCAGATCTTGTTCAGGCATGTGAAAAGAAAACACCAAAAACACAATGTAAGAACAACACACCTGCATCAGCAGCTGCCAAACAGGAAATACTTTTTTTTTTATTATTATTTTTGAACAAACCACATAAAAAAACACATGTTTTTAAAAGTTGACTAAGTATAAACATTTATGATGTTTCTTTTAAGCACACAAAGAAACAGAAAATAATGAATAACTGATTAAAAAGAAATCATGGATGGATGGAAGTGAAATTCCACCTGTCTTTTTTAGTTTGAATTATATGTTTGTTGTTTATAAAACCCTGTTTACAGAGTTTACGCCTATATTCTTAAATTCTCATCATGATTCATTTCAAGTATAATTTTTTATAGATTTTCTATGAAGGTTTTAACTCTCCATGTCAGAGAAATGACTCCTAAATGGCTGTAAAACTGACTTATTAGCAGAAACTAATTCAGACAATTATTTACTTCGACAAAAAGAACATAATTAAAATGAAACATTTCATGTTCAAAATTCAAATGTGCCCACGTCCTCATTTTCTGGAGAACAAATGTGCAAAATATCCATTTAGTTTAGAATCTATAAACAAATCAAATGATTAATTTAATATAAATATGCAACCTGCAGACCCAGGTTTGAAAGGGTGAAATACAAAAGAGAGGAATAAACTGAGAGTACGAATCATTAAAATCTCAGTCTTAAAAATGTGTCTGTTCATCCACACTTTTATTTATTAATTTTAATCATTTAAATTCATTTAAGCAGGAAATCCTCATTTAAAATCAGACCTATTCTACAAGGATGTCCCAGCTAAGATCAGCCGCAGTACAAAACTCAGCTCTCATGCACATCAAAACCAAAGAGGACGGCTGCTGAGAGAGTGAGAGCTGCACAAGAACACAGAGAAAACAGAAAATGCACACTGCAGCCTCCAACAGTCAGAAAATGAAAGGTATCAGTGAAGTGACGCGCTCTTCATCAGAGCATCAGCAACAAAGCCCCTGACAGTCAACAAGCAAAACTGTGACAGACAAAGGTCACAGGATCCTGAATCACGTCAGAAAGTCCACGCATCTGATTCACTTCTTGCCACACCTTCAACCTACCTTTAAAAACACTTCTAATCCCAATCCTCCTGAGGCAGATTCAGGACTTCAAGAAACTATCCATTAAAAAAGATGCACCATGGAGGCAGAAAGCAACTATAAGTCTCATGAGTGGGTTACACATGGGAGATTGAAGATTCCAGCACTTTTAAGATAATATTAAACAAATGAGAGACAAAACAAGAGATGCCAGATGAATACCAACATGCAAGTCTCAAAGCAGCCAACTCAAGCATACGAGGCGCAATGATAAGTTCTGGTATTGACATTTGTGGAAAAAAAACTCAAAACTCCATGCTAACTAGTATCCAGAAGGTAAAGGCTTTGAGACGGTGCACGAATATACAAAATATCACCAGCAGAAGCAACAAGCAGTAACTTCTTCACAAGGCTGAAAAGACAGTAAATCACTGATTGAGAATCGTAATCATATATATCAGGTAACAACAGATGTCAGGTTCAGTGGAGGAGTTCACACCGTAACAAGGAGGCGGTCAGACAGGCAGTCAAGGATTTCGAGCGTTCATCTGCTGAGTGAAGCTCTCAGGTAACTTCCTGCCAGGTGACTAAAGAGCAGGAAGCAGAGAAAGATGGAGCTAACATCCTAACAGAGCTTCTCCTTTTTTTTTTTTATGATTCGCATTAAAGCACTGAGACGTGAAGTGGAAATGTGTAAAAGGCAAAAACAGCTCTCAGGGGCTCTCCATGCCTCTGAGCTGATTATGAAAAAACTCTACATGATGGCCGCTGATGAGTCACAGCTTAATTCACATGAAAACATCCCTCACACATGCATATCATTTGTTTATCATGCCCACATTTCCCCATTTTATTCTGTGCTTGAGTAAGTGCAGATGTGTGTGCAAAACAACAATAAAGAGAAAACTTACTCATCCATGATTAAAAAAACACCAGACTTCATGCAAAACTCCACTGGAAAAAAAAAACTTTTCACCAACCGAACAGCTTGAAACACAAAATCTGTTTGTTTGTGGACATGTAGAAACATTTGACGCCTGCTGTGTCTCCGGATGCTTCAACGCTTCTGCTGTATCTCAGTTTGCCATCAATTACCAAATACTTGAGGTTTTCAACACAAAACAGCAATGGTTACCCCCTTTCCTTTCTTTTATTTGAAAAAGGTTGTAAACTGAGTTTTTATTGTTGTCAGATTCTACAAACCCAATTCAGAAAGTTGGGATGCTGTGTATAGTGTTGATAAAAAGTGAATTTCATGGTTTGTAAATCATTTAAAACCTATATTTAAAATGCAAAAACAACATTTCAAATATTAGAACTGATTAAAAAAACTTTTATAATTCATTTAAAATTTGAAGCCAGCAGAAGAAAGTTAAAAAAAGTTGGGACAGGGACAACAAACTACTGAAAAAGATGCTGAAAAACAATACCTGGAGGAACATCTCCCAGTTCATTTAGATCATTTGTAATGGGTTTATAACATGAATGGGTATCAAACGGACATAAAAGAGAAGCTCAGTCTCTAAGAAGTACAGACTATCATGGTTTTATCACTCAGTGAGAGACTGCGTGAGCAAAAAGTTCAGCAACTTAAAAACATTTTTCCTCAGTGTAAAAATTACAAAAACAAAAAATAAAAACAAAACAAACAACACAAAACTTTGGGGTCATTGAATCATGACCCAATATTATCACATAAGATCATAAAAAGATTCAAAGGATCTGGACATTTCTGTGCTAAAAACTAAAATCAGACGGCTATGGTGTAAAAGAATCAAATCAACATTAACTCTGTAGTGGAAATCACTGCATGGACTCAATGCCACTTCCAAAACCGCTGTCACTGAACACAGACTCAAACTCTACAATACAAAACTGACACCATCTGCAAACATGGTCCAGAATTAGAGATAACCATTTAAAAACGGACTGAGGTGAAGCATAAACCTAACTTGTGCACCAAAAACTAGAAATTGGACCTTCTTTTTGGAAATCGTGGATGCTGCGTCTTTAAAAAGGAGAGGGACACCAATTAAAATCCAGCATTCTATATGACGTGGGTATTTTACACATCTGAGAAGGAAACATTGCATAGCCTACAAGTTTTGGAGCCAAGTATGCTGCCCTGCAGACAGCGCCTTTCTCAGGGAAGACCATGCATATTTCAGCAAGACAATACCAAACCATATTCTGGGTAAAGCTTAACAGCAATGCTCTGCAGCAGAAGAGTTCAGGTGCAAAACTGGTCCGCTTCCAGCTCCCATCGAGTCACCCACTGAAAACATTTGTTGCATCATGAGAAAATATGCCAAAAGAGACCCCGGACTGTTTAGCAGCTGAAATTCCTGGTCTCCTGAGAGGAGATGGAGCACAACAGTAAACATGCTCCTCTTCAACTGTTTTGAAACAAGTTGCTGTCATCAAATCCAAGATGGGATTATTTTTCTTTTACAACAATTAAATATTTCAGTGTTGACATGCAATTTCTTGCCTTTGCTCTATTTCCAAGAAAAAATATGAAATATAAATGTTTTGCAGACACTTTCATTCACATCTTCTGCAGCGTCCAAACTCTTGACATCCTGGATTCATTGCAGTGCGATTATGCTTATGCTGTTCAGAGCCCTGAGCTGTAGCTGTAGCAGGATGAGAGTGATTCCAGCGGTGCTGATGTGACATCTCCACTAACCACCTGTGGGATTTCTCTTGATTCTCCACCATGACTGATGTTACAACAATGCAGCTTTGGCACCGAGTGCTTGCCCTGCAGACTTCCCTCAGACTCCCTCAGAAATTCTTTATGCAAACACGTCCTCCCGAATTCTTTGAGACATCCTCTTATCTCATTAGCCGGGGAAGAGAGGAGGGGGAGCAGAGGAAGGTAAAGAAAAAAGTCTTGATGGTTGCTGTGTTTGGGAGGAGGAGCTGACTGTGTGAAAGTCCTCTTTGTAGAGGGGGGGGCATCTCATTGAAGATAACCTCTGGTCAAAATGTATCCTCTGCATGGTGTTGAAAAGACATCCATCAAGGATGTGATCAGTGCATTGTGAGTATGTGTGTGATATACCTCTCTTAAAGGCATATTCCCACGTAAAATTAACTTAGGGTCAGACACATCGTAACACCGAGTTAGACACCCCCTCGATGAGAGAGATGAATGTTGCCGACTGCTTGTTTCCCTAGTTATACCAGCTTTACTGACGCCTGCGTGATAGCAATACTCAGCCCCTCATTCAACCAAAAAGCCACTCTATAGCCACAAATAATGCTCAGAACAGCACCTAACTTCAACAGTACATATAGGGTCCCAGCCACAGCACTAGCCACCAAACATCTTTTTAGCTTTGCCTAATTATTTTAGCAAAGAGATTAAACACAACTTACCCACTCTCTTCCAGCAGCCACTTGTTTGTAGGGGAAGCTCAGACAAGTCCATCACTGACTGCAGCGGGGTGACACAGCACAAGGAAGAACATTTATGATCATTACTAAATGGAAATGCAATATGACCGAGATGCTAAAGCAGAAGAATTACCATGTCTGCAGTGTAAACTGATTAATATGATGGTTATTACTTCAAGAAAATGAAAAAGTATTGATTGTAAACGTTCTTCCTTGAGCTGCGTCACCCAGCAGCAGTCGGTGATGGTCTCGTCCCAGCTCTCCCTACAAACAAGCTGCTGCAAGAGAGAGTAGGTGAGTTGTGTTTAGTCTCTTTGCTAAAGGAATGAGGCAAAGCTAAAAAGATTTTTGGTGGCTAGTGCTGTGGCTGGGACCCTATAGGGCGTACCAAAATCTGAGAATGGGGCGTCAACATTTGCTGCCGCCATTTTGACAGGAATGATTCTTTCATGTTCGTTTTTGCTCTAAGTTATTAACTTACAATGGTGAATATTTGCTGCGTTCACAAGTGCTATATCAGGAGTCGAGGGAAAGTTTAGGAAAAAGTATGTTTTTTCTGCTTTCCAACATGGGAGAGAAAACACAGAGCGTAAATGGAAGTGTTAACAAAAAGAGAGAGAGAGAAAGGCAGACATGTTTGTGTGTGATCACCTCCCATTGTGCGTTTTGTTGCTAACACTGTGCATCGGCAGTTTGTGTACCCACCCAGATGTAAAAAAAAAACGTGGGCCAAGAGAGACTTTTCATTATGGAAGGAATTAAATGTATAATAGTTTGTTCCTCCGATGATGCTGCATCACATGCACTCGATTAGGTGGTGGTAGCATCTCGAAATCATCTTCTGACCATACAGTGTGTTCATATGGGTCGAGTCCCGCAATGTCCGCAATTTTGCTGAAGTAACGCTCTCTTTCTTCATTGTTCAGCTTGTCCCTGTACGGTATGTTGAGTCCAAGTTTTGCTCTCTCTATTCCGTTCTCCGTTTACTGTGTAGTCAGCTAATACATGGTTGGTTTTTAAAACTGAACATCATCCTTATTCCATTCATTCCAATGCACTAGGTGTTGTTTTGTCTGTTAAAATGGCCGCGCTGGCACATTACGCTCCATGCCCCCCCATGCAGACGTCGCCGCTGCTACAGGTTATATGTACTGCTGATGCAGTTAGATGCTGTTCTGAGCATTATTTGTGGCTATAGAGTGGCTTATTGGTCAAGGTTTGTGCGTGGAGACATAGACAGCTGTGTATCGCTATCGTGCGGCCGTTACTAAAGTTGGTACAACAAGAGAAGCAAGCGGTTGGCAACATGGATCTCTGGAGGGGGTGTCTAACTCTGTGTTATGGTGTGATAAATTTACGCCGGTATATCCCTGTAATCTGGACACACAGAGTTAGGAGAAAGCTTGTAGATGCATGCTTAGTTTGTGCATGTCACACTACCAGAGGTGTTGGGTGCTGACAACGATTTTACAGTGTCTGGCTGCAGTTTTGTGGTTCTGCATCATGTTTTGGCACATCAAAATATGTTTAACACCGGATCTTTGTTTGCCACAATGTTCATGTAAACTTGTGTGTCCTCTCTGACAGATTTCTTTAAAGCTCCTGTGAGGACTGCTTCTTTAGCTGCTTGTCTGACACTTCTCCTATCACACAAGATGCAGACATATCATAAAACATCTTGTATGCTTGTATTTATTTGTTAAATTTCAGTCTTCATAAACATGATAAAAATTCTCACCCGAGGTTTTCACTGTTGGTGTGAAGCATGCAAACACCATTCTGTCTTTCCTGCAAATGTTGCCATCATTCACAGGCTAGGACCGCAAAGAACCAGAGAAAGAAATATAAATTTAAAAAAACTAACACTGACAGTTTTGTGTTTTTTTGGACAAAGCTGTTTCCTTCTCAGGGTCATTTCCTTCTTTTCTTTTTATATCTAAAACTAAATCTGCATGTGACCTGACCAGTCTTTTCTTCTTTAGAAATAGAAAGGGAACTTTTGCTTATTTTACTTGTTAAAGGAGAACTTTCATTCATATGTGGTCCATTTTTAGTTTTACATATGTTGGTCATTCAAGTTCTCAGTTCCTGGTTTATTTAAGATATCTTTCCCACATTTTTGTGTCTCTTTTTTGTTGTTGTAGTTGTTGTTGAACTGGTGCTTTTCTTCTTGGTGTTGCTTCTCCTGTGGTATTTTGTCAGACCTGATCCTGGTGTTCATGTCTGTGTGTTGCTTGTCTTGAGAGCATGAAAGGTGAGCTTACTTGTCCATTTTGTCAATACTGCACTTGTGTGTTTAGTGTTTCCAGTTTTATTTTGTACTTCTTTCTCCCTCTGTGTCTTTAGTATGACTTCCTGTCTCTGTGTTTCTTTCCTGTTTGATTGTCTTTGTTTGTTTTACCTGTGTCTTGTTGTCACACCTTTGTTTGATTATCCCTCTCTGTGTGTTGAGTTTCTCTCGTTTCCCTCTGTCTTGTCACGTCCTTGAGTCGGAGTGCATCTTCTCCTCCCTGTGGTTTCCTTTATTTCTTACATTGAACTTCTCTTGAGTTGGGATGTTGGACTTAAATGTGACAGAATGAACTGAAGGAGGCAGTACATGAAGTGACACATGATCAACTCTATCTGCGCTGTGACTTCAAATGAGATAGAGAGGACAGGGACAGGCAGACTTCTCTTTCGCAAAAGAAGTGTTTTTAAAGCAACAGTGGAGGACTTTATTTCTGGGAGCTCTCAATTGTCTCAGCCCCCCCAGAGCACAACTCCCAACCTCAGTTCCTGTTTCCCTGTCTGAGACCCTGCCGGCACCTGCTCCAAGGAGGGAAACCCCCTCACCCTGGAGGAAGAGCATGGTGCCCCTCGCTCTGCACTACTCAGGAGAGCCTGGTACCCGTCACCCTTTGCTTTGTTTTGTTTTGTTGTTGTATTGAAACAGAAAGCGACAATGAATCCGCACATTTCAGCAAAGGTGGTTTCATCAGAGTACAACAGTCTTTATCCTAATATAAGAATAGCAACATGTACAAGCAGAGCGTTATTTAAAGAAAAAAAAAAGATTAAATATGTTTCTGAGTAGTTTTTAAAGTCCGTGCTTGTTCTTTACATTTCACATTACATCAGTTACAGCAGAAAAAAATGGCTAAAATCTACCAACTGCATCACAATTAGCTGTTGGATGATTTCTGCACAAAAACCCCTGACATTTTAAAAAGTGTTTTGGCTCATTATTAGTCGAAATATCTCTTTACACCTGAGTGGAGCTACACTGAGGTGACAGCTCCATAATTCTTGTTTAAAGATATTTCACATATGTTTTGGCATGGTTTTAGATTTCCAGTTTTTTAATACCTAATAGTACAATAATGAATAAAATATGTAATTCTGTCAGATTGAAAATTTTCATTCATTATTGGAAAACATCTCGTGATTTTGCGTAGATGTGTCATCCACTCTCCTCCAGGAGCTGCTTGTTTGTGCGGGAGCCTTGACGAGTCTATCAACGAGTGCAGCAGATCATGTCAATGAAGTAAAAATCATCATATTAATCATTTTGCACTGTAGACACGGTAGTTCTTCTGCCTTAGCGCCTCGGTCTGATTGGATTTCCATGAAGTAAGAATCATAAATGTTCTTCTTTGAGCTGAGAAACTCCGCTGCAGTTGGTGATCGACTTGTCAGGGCTTCCCCCACAAGCAAGTGGCTGCTGGAGGAGAGTGGGTGAGTTGTGTTTGGTCTCTTTGCTAAATATATCAGGCAAAGCTAAAAAGATGTCTGTTGGCTAGTACTATGGCTGGGACCCTATATGTACTGTTGATGACGTTAGGTGCTGTTCTGAGCATTACTTGTGGTTATAGAGTGACTTTTTGGTTGAGGTTTGTTTATGGCTCCTCAGACCGCTGTGTTGTAAAGTTGGTATAACTAGAGAGGCAAGCAGTCCGCAACTCGAGGGGGTGTCTAACTCAGTGTTATGGTGTGTTTGACCCTACCTTAAATTTATGCCGGAATATCCCTTTAAAAATTAAGGCTAAGTACTTTAAATACATCCAGATCCTCAAGTAGATTAACAGTAGTAGTTTTATTGATAAAATTAAGTGAAATGTCCTTAAATGAACTGTACTTCTACTCCTCTTCTCCTCTGACATTTTATTAATGTGGTATTTTAGATAACTGTGAGGCTGCTCTCAAACACACACCTCCTCTCTTTCCAAAGAAATGAGACAAAATAACACCGAGTCAAACTAAAGAACCACAGTTGTCTGATGTTGCTGCACCCTTTCTCTGGTTTTCACAGGCTGCAGGTGTGAATGCCCGGAAAGGCAGACATGAATCATTTGTTGCACTTTTCTTTTGGTTGTCACAACAAAAGCCTCCAAACCTTTAACTACACTACCCTTTTTTCCCCTCACGCTCTCGTTAAAGACGGTGTCCATCTTTTCACACAAACACACACTCATCCCTTCAGAGAGAGCGAAGATGCAAAGCGAAAGCATCATTAATAACCGAAAGCAGCCTTGTGTTACGTCTCGATCCATCACTGAGGTGAGCGACAGCCTGCTGAGAGACAGATGAGAGTCTGCACAGATTGCTTGTTGTGGAAGGAGCGTCACTGGAACAATAAAGTCTGGTAGCTCTGGCCAAACCCTCAGTTAACACAAGCAGCCAGCCGTCTGGTACTCATTTACCTTTCTTCCTACCCCTCCACCCTTTTTCTTCATCCCTGCCTCCATCCCTCCCTCTCCTCTTTCACATGCTTGACCCTGTCTTTTGAACTCCACCAACAACCTTTCATGCTCTCATCAAATCTGCAGCCAAATGAGCCAGATAGAAACGAGGGTTAGGGGCAGCAGCTGCTAAATAAAGTCAATATTTCCTCCCCCTAACAGAGGATAAACTGCTTTCTTTTCTGTTTCTTGTACTTTCACAGAAGAGCAGCAGCAGTGAAGGCAGCGCTGCAGAGCGGCTCAGCTGCTGCTGCCGCCGCTGTCTCTTCCCCGTACAGCTCCTCCAGGATTTTCCCATGTTCATATCACTAGCCCTTGACTTTGTCACTCATGCAACAGCTGCTTACTGATACCACACCACAGTCACAGCCTCACTGCGCTACCCTCTTCCACTACACATGCCAAGAACAAAGGCAGTTTTAATCCAGCAGAGTCCTTGGTACAGAATGCAAGGACTTCGAGGGGGAGCTTGTGTTTGTCAGACAAAAAAAATGACATTTTTGCACGAAAAAACTCTCAGATTGTTTGAAAATTGTGTCTGTTGGTGCTTCGGGAGGATCAACATCCTGTAAGATCTTCCACCTGGATCCAGTTAAGACAAGAACACACCAACTTCAGGCTAGAAAATCTTAACACCAGTTTATCAGCTTGATAACTGCATTCATCAGGGGGACAATCAGTCTAATAAGACAGATATTATGACATAACGCTGGTACAGGAACACTGAGGATAAAGGAGGATTAACAATGGCTGCAGAGTTCACTCAATGAAGAGTAACTGAGCTGCAGAATAACCCTCTACTCAATCTGTTTTGCCTAATTTATACTGCTTCAATTATAAAAACCAAAAACCATAATAATGCAACTAAAGAAATACTTTAACCATATGTTGTCAAAGTAACTCAGTTAGTTAAAAAATAAGTCGAGCGCACAGAACATCTAGTGTAAACCAGCCATCACATGCACACATGTTGCTTCACGTTGTGCCGCTGTTGCCCTTGTTTTATATCTCTTCTTGGTACAGGTAACAGATGGTTCACCGGATGTTTAAGCCCACAGAAAGGAGATGGGATCAAGATTACGTCGATCATCGGGTTTCCCAACTTGAGCTAGCACATCAGGTGCTCACCTATCTGCTGTCACTAATAATAAACACTTAATGTTCAGCTTCAGAGTGAGGATCTAAATATACAGTGGCAGAAGGAGGATGCAGATGTAGCCACATAAAAATATACAGACAAAAAAAAAAGCACCTGGTCCAAAATAAACCAATGTTCATCTTTTCACTGGTATGAGCGTCTGCAGTAAAACAATCATAACAGACTTCCCTTATTTTTTTTTTAGATCAGACAAAGGCCATTATTTCCCACTATTTAGCCATTACAATGAAGTTACGACACTGTCAACTCCCCTGAACATTTACTTTTACCACTTAAGTTTGAAGTGAGAGGATAGTTTGCAAGGCGCCAAAAGAGAAAACTCAGTGGGGAGAAAAGCAGCAAATCTTCTACCTGTTCATATGTTGGATTCAAGAAAGACAACCAGTGACAAATCAAAGTTATAAAGGAAAGTTTGTATCATTTTTATTTTCTGTTCAAATGTGAATTTTTGTTTTCATTCAAGATTAGATTTGATTGATTTTAAATTTTGTTAGAAATACTCAGTTTTTTAAAAAGTTTTATTAGAAGAAGAGGAGTTCTTACACTTTTCATTGACACTGTGATACCAAACACAAGGCTCCTCTTTAAACTCTGACTGGCCACCCAAATATCCTGAGCTATGATTGGCCATTTTCCAATTTAAAATATGGACACATGTTAAAATCAACTATTTAGCCAATGAAACAGGTTATTGGAAAATACTTTCTTTTGTTTAAATGTAGCACATTTTCTTCTGCTGGTATTTCAAATTTGTAAAAAATATATAAAATGAAATACTGACAATGTTTTGAAAAGTTGCAGATAAATGTGATTTTGACAACAAGACTGTTCAGGAATTTGCCAGTGGTTTGACTTTGAGTACTTTAACAAATCAAGTAAAGAAGTTTTGTTCGTTTCCAGGCTGCTGATGTTAGCTTTCATAGTTACAAGGTTATATGTGTATAGTTTTTCAAAAATATGTCATATATAATGTTCTAACATCTGTGAGACTAAGGAACTTAAATAGATGTGATAAAAGGAGACAGAAAGAGTAAAGAAAGGCTATTTATTTTTGTGCACACTTCATGCAAAACATGCATTTTGATGTTAGAAAAAGACACATTGCAAACACAGGCACAAATAATTCAATGAAAATAAAATGAACATAGATTAAACATCCACCAAAATGAAATGAAATTGCGAAGATGAAAACTGAGGACATTTTTTAAATTACAACAGAACATTTCTGATGTCCTTCTTTTTGTTATTTGATAATTTTTTGGCAAAATCCTACAACTGAAATTAGTAATTTGTAAAACATGTGAGGATGCTAGTAATGGCTTATAATTTTTTATTGATTTATTGATTTATTTATTTTTGATTAGGACAATGCGCAGTAATCGAGATGTCAGCAAAGGCATCAATGCAAAAATACCGGAGTTAGTATAAATGCTCATTTGAATCCGTTGTCCTAAGGCAGATGTTTAAAAACATAAAAGCAACACACTATGACAAATAGAAAAATCATGCAGGATCTTACATAGAGAGGTAGTTCCAATTCATATGGAAAAGTTAAGGTTACTCATGAGAGCTGTAATCAAACTGTAATCACCTTATCCTGTGTTATATCGCTGTCACAATACTACACAATGTTATAACACTTCAGACTTTTGTCATATTCTTTCTAACAAACTGTGAACTATAAACAAGATCAGCAGAGATCACAAATGCACACACACCCTCTCTCTCTCACACACACACACTGTCTGATCTTCTGTGTGATTAGTGATAGAGACAAATGAAGGGGGGCACCACAGCGGCTGCCCCCTTCATTACAGCACCACACATGAATGTGCACCATCCTCCCCTCCACCGCTCTGGATCAGGCTGAAATAATCTGATCCTTTTGGGAAACTGAGGTGTTGGACTGTAATTTATAGTCCGTATCTTTCAAGTCTTTTCCTCGGCTCTGCTGGTGGCGTCAGCCCCTGAGCCACTGTGTGTGTTTAACGGCTACATGTGTCGCTCCCTATCTCGCTCTGTGAGTGGCACAAAGGTAAAAGGAAGCTTAACAGCCTGGGAAAAAGTTGAACAGTGTGAAATTACCTTGATCCAAAGATTCCTGCCACATACCAGCCCAATGAACCCATAACAGAGCAGGCACTCAGTCAGAGAGCCCTGCCTGCAGGGAACAGCTGAGACATTACAGAGGGAGAGGGAGGGAGGGAGGGAGGGGGAGGAAAGAGGGGAGGGAGGGAGGTAAAGAAAGACAGATAAATGGGAGCAGGAAAGAGGCCCACCTCCACTAATCTCCAGTCTACAGTCAGTGATCGGGGTCAGGGTATCTATATCTAATGTACATCCTCTGATAGTGCTGGATAACTGTGAGGTGGGGTACCACTCACTGCTGCCGGCACATTTCACAGTAGGAGGCCCTCAGAGGGAGACCCAGGAGAGGCAGCTGTAGAGCTCTATGATGCGAACAAAGTATCACGTTCAAATCCGATAACAGTTGTCTGAGGAGAGGATGCTGCATTCAGTGACTTTTTCAGATTGAAACTTGAAATCATGTAATGATCAAAATGGAGATCTAAAATCATTAGCAAAAATAACAACTATGAACTATTAATGTTGCATAATCACTGTAAGCAGTTCATTTTAATGGAATTCACTTGAACACAAAGTGACTGGACCAGATAGACCTGATTTAGCACCCAAGGACGGAGAGCGCAAATATGACTGTAAATAATCACTAAATTGAAGAGTAGAAAACTGGAGCCTTGCTGTTCAGTCAGACAAATAGACTCTGTAAGAATTTAGTTTTTATACAGTGTCTCAATAAAAATCTAATGCTGTGCTGCTCAAGAATGAAAGTCAGACAACCTGTTTGATGTCAAAACCTGGCAACCATCACACAAGTGTTAGCTCAGTAACGAAATGCCCTTATATCAGTCTAAAGGTCAATTTGTGAGTTATGCATCTTGAGCTGTTAATAAATACAAAGAATAATATATATATATATATATATATATATATCATATTATTGTTAAAATGGTAAATTTCAGTCTGTGTAAAAAAGATGACTGTGTTAAATATTTTTCAAGTTTTTTAGAACCAGAAAATACAAAAATCTGCCAATGAATAAACAGGCTGAATCTACAGGTATAAAAAGGTAGAGTTATGGGGTGCTCATACCAAGCATGAGTTATATCATCTACTCACTTAGTTAATCTAGACGCATGAATGAATAGTATTTACTCGCTTCATTCGCGCGTCAAAGGTAATTTCAAAGGTAATCCCTGCCAATTTAACAGGCAGGATCAAGTGATAGACAAAGGTATTTTTTACAATTAACCAGGTAATTTGACCTCCTCACTCACAAGCTCCTTTTTATTTTGGTTTCTGCAATTGAAATAAAAGGTATTAAATAATTCGGCGCACCCAACACGATCAGTTTGTCCTCCATTTTAGATACCATTGAACAATCGTCTGTTTTCATATGTCACCTGACAACCTTTGTGCTGGTTAGTTATCGTGACGTGAATATCTGCTCAAATTGAGACATTTTCAACTCCCGCCCGATTTGCGTCATTGGCACCACCAGAGTAGTACAAGCGTCTAATCGCGTCTTTGCATTGGCTTAACATGTGATTCAGTCAAGCGAATGATTTTACTCGCACTTGGTGCGTGGAGACAGTTAGTTTGCTGGATTTTAACAGATGATGTCACAACACTGCTATTCTCGCCTCCTCCCCTGGCTCCTTT